GGAGCAGGTCCCAGGCGGCCCGGAGGGGGAGGCGGGTGAGGACCCGTGTGACGCCGTCTGGGCGGTGGGCGCGGGCCGCAGCCGCTGCCGGTCCGCCCGGCAGCTGGTGGCTGGGCTGCTGGGGCTGTGCAGGGCGGCGGGGGAGCTGAGGCAGAACCTGGAGGTGGGGGGGAGGGGAGGGGGGAGGGGGTGTCAGGGGGGCAGGGGGGGAGGGGACGTGCGGGGCCGGGGCGGATGAAGGGTGGGAGGGTGTCAGGCGGTACAACACGCTGCGGCCCAAGCCAGCGGTGGTCGCTGCTCACCCTCTTTCGCACCAACCGACCTACCTACCTACCCTCCCCCAACTCTCTCCATTGTTTTGCCCCGACCTGTGGTTTTTTATTGTTCTGTATGGTCTTTGATGGTCTTTGTTTCCCCCCACCTCCCCACCAGGCTTGCGGCTGTCCCTCCGCCGCCCGCCTGCCCCCCGTGCGCCGGGCGGTGGTGGCGGCGGCCCGCTGCATACCCGCCCTGAGGCTGCTGAGCGGGCTATTTGCGGAGGGGGAGGGGGAGGGGGGGCAGCAGGGGGCGGGGGGAGGAGGGGGAGGGGAGGAGGAGGAGCTGAGGCCACAACCCGGTGAGAGGAGGGGGGGCCAGGCGTGGTCACCTTGACTGCTGGTGTTTGAATGGGTGTGGGTGGGCGTAGCTGGGCCTGGTGGTTGATGGAGGGGAGCTGTGGCGGAGGAAGGGAGGGAGGAGGGAGAGGGGAGAGCGGCACAGCCTTCTTAACACCCTACCTGCCCCCCCCTCCCCCCCCCCTCCAGGCGCCCATGCGGGTTACGACCGGGCGGTTGCGGAGCTGGCGGGGGCGCGGGCGCAGTGGGGGGCGGCGGTGGAGGGGGAGAGGGGGAGGCTGGCGGCGGCGGGGGCGCCTGCGGGCTGGGTGGCGGGGCCCGAGTGGGGTGCGGCGGTGGAGGGGGTGGTGGAGGAGGGGGAGGCAGCGGCGGTGCTGCAATGGCCGCAGCAGCTGGGACCGCTGCTGGTGAAGATGGTGGGAGGGGGGAGGGGGACGGAGCGGGGGAATAGATGAAGGGAAGGCAACGGAGGTTGAGTTGCTTGGGGCCTTGCGATGCCTGAGCACGCCATGCTCTCCCGACCCCCCCCCCCCAGCTCTCTAACTCCCCCTCGTCCCGCCTTCAACCCCGCCCCACCCCGCCCCACCGCAGGGCCACCAGCTACTCCCCCCGCGTCCCTCCACCCCGCCCGGCACCCTCCTCGCGCACTGCCCCCGCCTCGCGCCCCGCGCCACTCGACTGGCGGCGGCGGAACAGCGAGTGGCGCGCCAGTGCGCCGCCGCATTGGCCGAGGCCGCCGCCGCATTCAGTCGCTCGTACGGCGAGTTCGGTCGGCTCATTGAGTCAATGGCGGCGCTCGACGTGTTGGCGGGCTGGGCGGCGGCGACGCATCCCGACAATGCGCCGCCGGGTGCGGTGATGGTGGAGGGGAGAGGGCGGAGGGACGAGGGAGAGGGGAGAGGGCGGAGGGACGAGGGGAGGTAGAAGGGAGGAGGGGCTCCCCTGGCGCTGTCACGGCTGTACGACCGGCTGTAGTAGTACCGGTGACTAGGACCGGACTGCAACACTTGCCTCTGGCGCTAATGACAGTAATAACCATGCCCCCACCTCCTCCTCGCTCCCTCCGCCGCCCCCCCCTCAACCCCAACTGCAGGCTGCACCTTCTGCCGCCCAACCTTTGTCAGCGCCGCCCCGCCCTCCGTGTCCTCCTGCTCCCCCTACTCCGGCCCCTCCTCCCCCTCCGGCCCCCCGCCTCCTGAGCTCACCCTGGAGGGGTTGTGGCACCCGCTGCTGCTGCTGAGCACCCCGCCTGCTCAGCTGGGGGGAGAGGATGGAGGAGAGGGAGGGGGAGGGGAGTGCAGCACACCGCAGAGTGAGCCGTGAGGGGGGGGGGGGGGAGGGGGGCCTGCATCCGCTCCATGCGGGGAGAAACGGCAATCTCTCTTAGTCAGGGCAACATGCCTCTTGCCTCCATTTTTGCATCCTTTATCGGTGAATCAGGTCATCCAAACATGGAGTGGTCACAGCTGACGGTTTACCCCCTGACAGTTTGCCACCTCCTGTCCCTCCTCCCTCTCATCCACACTTGCACGCACACATCCCCTTTCACCTCCTCCCCGCCTCCCCCCTCCCTCCTCCTTCCCTCCCCCCACCTCCCAGTCACCCCCAACGACCTGCGCCTAGGCGGCCCGCGCCGCCTGCCGCCCTGCCTGCTGCTCACCGGGCCCAACACGGGTGGCAAGAGCACCCTGCTGCGTGCGGCGGGGCTGGCGGTGGTGATGGCGCAGGCGGGGTGCTACGTGCCGGCCAGGGGGGCGAGGATGGATCCGGTGGACCGAATATTCACACGCATGGGTGGGGAGGAGGGAGGGGAGGGGATGGGAGGGACTAGATAACCTGAACCACGAGAAATGCTGTCTCTGACCGCCTCCCTGAAAGGATGGAGGGAGGGTGGCTCTTGCTTGTCTGTCCAGCTTACTTGCTTGCCGTAGAAAAAGGTGAGCCGCTTTCCCCCCTCTTTTTACCCCCTCCCCCCCCAGGCGCCCACGACCGCATCATGTCGGGCGAGAGCACCTTCCAGGTGGAGATGGGCGAGGCGGCTGCGGCGCTGGGTGCCGCCTCGCCCGCCTCGCTGTTGGTGCTGGACGAGCTGGGGCGGGGCACGAGCACGCATGACGGGCAGGCGGTGGCGGGGGCGGTGCTGGAGCACTTGAGCAGGGGGCTGGGGTGCAGGTGGGGGTGGGGCGGGGTTGCGGGGGTGTGGGAGGCGATTAGAGCGCGGTTGGGTTCCGGTATGCAAGAGGTAGGCGGGGGGGTGGGGGGTGGGGCTCGTTGTGCTTGCCAGGGGCCCTACATGCATCCAGGTACGGACAGGGAGCTCAGGAGAGGGTACATGGCGTCCGCGGGCTCCGCGGGCTCACTACCCGCCCGCCGGCTGCCTGAACATCGGTGACCCCTCAACAGCTCCTCAGTGACCCCTCAACACCCGCTCCTGCCGCCCGCTGCCTGCGTACCCCACCCCCCCTTACCCCCCCCCACACCCCACATCCCACATCCCATGTGTCCCCTCCTGCCCGCCAGGACCCTCTTCGCCACCCACTATCATGGCCTGGCAATGGAGGCGTGCGGCAGCAGCAGTAGCAGCGGGGGCGGCCCCGCCAACGGTAGCAGTGGTGCCTCCGGGGGTCTGTGCGGCTGTGTGGCGGTTGCCCACATGGGCAGCTGTGTCAGCACGCAGGGGGGCTTCAGGCCGCTGCATGTGCTGCGACCGGGGCCGGCGCCCGACGGCAGCTGCGGATTGCAGGTGGGGTGGGGTGGGGGGGAAGGTGGGGCGAGCGGAGTTAAGGACTAAGAGGGCAGATCCCCCAGCACCCTGTGCCTTTCCTTGGACCCTCGTCTACATGGTTGTAGATGCGCCTGTTAGTTGGACACCCTGTCTTCATCCCCCTCCCTCCCTTCCTCCCTCCCGCAACCCCCCCCCCCCAGGTGGCTGCACTAGCAGGTCTGCCCGCCCCGCTGCTAGCCCGGGCGCAGCAGGTGGCGGACGCATTCGTACGGCGGGCCGAGCCAGGGGACGAACAGCAGCAGCGGGGGCCCGGGGCAGGCCGCAGGGGCAGCGGGGACGGGGGTGCGGGTGGTGGTCGTGGGGATGATGCCCGGGAGCTGGCTGGGTTGCTGGCGGTGCGGCGGGCGCTGCTGGGTCGGGTGTGTGAGGTGTTGCGGGTGGCGGGTGGGGCGAGGGGGGCGGGCGGGGCGCTGGGCTGGGCGGCCCCCGAGATGGATGCGTTGGGGCACACGTGGTGGCGGCTGCGGCAGGGGGCGGAGGCGGGACAGCAGCAGCAGTAGGGGCCGCTAGGGGGAAGAGGGGGGGACCTTGGGGGATAGTGGGGAGAGAGCAGGATGCCTGCTGCCCGGGCGGGTGGGTTAAGGGAACTGGCCGCGAGTAGGGTGATTGCCGGAAGATGAAGTACCCACCGTGTGTTAAGAAATCTGGTCCGGGGTGTGAGTGTTGAGGAAACTGGGTGAGTGTGTGTGTGTGTGTGATTGGATGCTGCGTGCGGCGTGTGACCCAGGTGACGGGAAAGTCCCACAGAAGAGGTGAGGGGGCGTGTGGAGGTGAGGTGGGTGTGAGTCGAGTGCAGAGCGGCGTGAGAGCATGGGACGTGTTGGGGCGGCATGCATGCAGCGGGAGAGAGAGGGACGCGCAGGATGGAGGGGCGCAGGAGGGGAGGGGCGCGAGGAGGCCTCCGCAGGGGTGCAGCGCGCAGGAGGGGAGCGAGCAGGTGGGATGGTCAATGAAGGGATCAGCGACCTGACGTGATACACAGGTTGCACACAGGGCGCATACAGTCGTGTGTTGGAGGGACCACGAGCACATTGCTTACCTTGCCGAGCGAGCGAGTGATCCAGGGACCTGGGAGCGAAGGTGATGCCGGTGGTGGTGGGCTACCTTGTACGTACCGGTAATAGCCCCCGGCTGGACACTGCTGCTCGCTGTGTGGCTGTACACCAGTACGACCGTACGACGAGTGGATCCGAAGTGCATGTCGTATGTGGCCTCGAAACCCCTTTACCCCTCAGGCTGCCGCCAGCAGCAGCAGTAGCAGCACATGGCCATGTGAACGAATGCAATCCGGAGGGTGCATCCTAGCTTCTCCAACAAGGGCCGCGTGTCGGCGTCTCCAACAAGGGGTGTCACCTCAGTTGGTGCCATGGGGTCTCAAGTACGCTGGTCGGCAAACATTCCTATCCGCATCAAGGGGCTCCGCCTTTTTCCAGCTTTGAGGAAGCTGAACCCCTTCGTCGTCTTGTGTTGGATTACCGGCAGGGCGAGAGCACGTGGTGCATGCGCCACTGAACGGTTCGAAAGCGCTGCCGCCCTAGACGCCGTGCCCCGCAGCTGCGTGTGGGGTGAGCAGGACGGCAGGTGCTGGGTCTGGGACGCAGCAGCGCTGCAGGTCTTACATTACTCATTGGTATACATCTGAGTATGCTCAGCTCATCAAAACCATCACCCATGACTCTCCATTAACTCGCTCTCTGCTCTCCCAACTTGTATAAAGTTCCAAGAGGCTTTCACCCATTGCATGCCTGCTCGCGAGACGATTGTCGTACCAACCACCCAGCACAGACCAGAGCTACACCCACCTTCCAGAGCCTTATTTGCAACTACTGTCCACAATAATGATCACTAGGTGTTGTTATGTTCAGATAGTGTTATCAGCTACTGGAGAAGCTACAATGGCACCAAACGGCAAAGGGGTGTCGTGCAGACGCCAAATAAGCCTGTCTGGGAACAGAGAAATACACCCCAGACCGAATGATTGCCGAGTGAAATTTTGCATAAGCAGTTGGGCGTACACAATCACAAACACGAAGCTCGCCTTCGCTCATATGTATGTACGAACGATACGGATGGGCGGAATGGTTTTGCGATGTTTGTAGCGTCTTGCACCACCCACCCACCCGCCCGCCCATCACTTGCCAGGCGCCCCACTCATACGTCGCGCCCCAAACCAACCAAGTGGGCAAAACCGTTACGTAACCGTCCGGAACAAGCGCACGCACGCAAAAGGACCGATCTGTGAGCAGTCCTTGGATCGCAGGAGGAAACACGCACAGGGCATGAGAAGCAGCTATAAAACGCCTCGATTTGTGTCAGATAAAATACCCCTGCAGGCAAAGCTGCAGACATAGGATGATCAATTTATTGGCAAGAGGAGCAGCTTGCAGAATGTGGATACCGTATGATCGCCAGCGTGAAGAACCTGCATTGCTGCAGCGCTGTAGGCGAGATGAAGAAAGGACGCTCCAACTGTTGTCAACAACTCGCAACAGAAATACCCCACAACCTGTTTCCTCACATTGCAACCCTCGCAAACGTAGCCTCCTTGCAGCCGCGCAACGTCCTCCGTCAATTGTAAACCCCCTCCCCCCAATTTCTCTCATTTCTCTTCCGGATCTTCGAAACGGTACTGTATATCTCTTCGCACAATTCCCACATGCCCAGAAATTCTCCCACTCGCACCGCCGCAGACAACAAGTAAAACAACAACTTGCTCAACTACTTCGTTTCGAACAAAGCAAGCAAAACGAGCACTGCGTTGCGAACAACCCAGGGGGATCACCCTTCTCTCCAGTCGAAGCACGCCCGGCATTCCTCCACACCAAAAACAAGCTAGGACCGTCACAGGTTGCGGCCCAACTACCATAAATCATATTCATCGTTGTGTAAAAGGCATAGGGTCAAAAGGGCAAACACAAGCGATCCTTCGGCATCCGTAAATCGCTGTCATAAGGTATACCGTACAACCAATCCTTGCGTGTAAAGCTCAAAAGAATCCCCCAAACCACACCATTTCGTAGACGGATACAAGCAGTTCTCCATCAAACCCAGCAATCCTACGCCATTCCTTCCTGAGAAGATGGCTTCAACGCCCTCACCACAGCCTTCCAAATTCTCTTCAGGCTCCTCCCTTTCTTCTTCAATTTCGCAGCGCCACCACCGCCGCCGGCACCTCCTCCCTCCTCAACCGACGGCGGCCCAAGCGGCGGCGCAGCCTTCTCCCGACCACCACCGCTGGTACCCGGGCTCCCAGCCGCCGCCACATTGGCAGTCAAGTCCGCCGCGAACCCGCACGAGGCACGCGCCTTGCAGCCACTCCTCCTGTCGCTGCCGGCGGCCACCCCCGCCAGTCCCGCCTCCTCCGCCTCCGCTGCCCCCTCCTCCCCTGCCCCGCCCTCCGGCGCATCCAGGTACTCCTGCGGTGGGCTCAGCTGGCGCGGCAGACCCGCCGAGGTGGCGGTGAGCCCCTCCAGCGGCGACAGCTGCACCCCCGCCGCCAGCATCACCGATAGCGGGTCGCAGCAGCGCGCGCCGGAGGCGGCAGCAGCGGAGGAGGAGGCCATCACACCCGGGGGCAGCGGTCCCCGCATGCCCTGTACAGCTGCAACCGCGGCCGCCGCAGCAGCCGCCGTTGCGTTCATCCCAACCGCCGCCGCCCCTCCCGGCCCATGCAACGAGCCGCTGTGCCCGGAGGCATCCCACACCCCGCTGCCCAGCCGGCTCCTGGGAGCCTGCTGGCCCCGAGCGGGCAGCAAGCGCGCAGCGCCCCCGCCAACGCCCATCTGCCCCACCATGAACCCCTCCCTGCTGCTGTCGCCAGTAGCTCCCCCGCCACCGCTGCCGCTGCCAATCACAATACCCGGCAGCGCCCCTCCCTGCTGCGTGTCGCTCACGCCGCGCCCCAGCCGGCCCACCAGGAAACCGCTGCCCCAAGTCGCGCAGCTGCTGGGGGTGCGCGAGGAGGCCGCTGCAGCACTGCCCGCATCCGCCTCTCGGACCGGTGACACCTGGCCTGGAGCGGTGTGGGCATGCGAGGAGTGCCCCTCCGGGGTGAGGTCGCCTGTATAGCCGCAAGCGGGGGAGCGGGTCAACGAGGCGCCCGAGGGGCCGCGGGGAAGTCCGGGGATGGGGAAGAGGCTGTCGCTGTCGGATGCGGCTGGGGGGACCCAGGGTGTGGAGGGAGGTGGGGGCCGGCGGTGAGGTGCATGCAGGCCGCCGGCGTGCAGGGACGCGCCATGCGGCAGCAGGGGCGTGTGGAGCAGGCACAGCGGCATGGTGTCGAGCTGCGGGCTGAGGAGGGAGGCGCTGTCGCCGCTGGGGGTGCCGGTGAGGGGTGTGTTGGCGGAGGTGGCGGCAGCTGCGCCTGAGGAGGACTCGGTGTATGAGGGCGCGGCGGCGCAGCTGATGCCGCTCTCTGCTGGCGCGCTGGAGTCAGCTGGGAGGCCGGCAACCGCAGCACCCCCGCCGAGGACCGAGCCTGGGCTGCATGGGTGGGTGCTGCTGCTGCCGGCGGGGGGAACAAACCCAGACCCAGCGCTTGCCGCACGAAGACGTGAGGGGCTGTTGACAGACGATGTGTTTGCAGCCGCCGCAGCTGCCGCCGCTGCAGCAGCAGCACCCAGCGCCGCCCGCGCCCCCCACGTGCGGGCAACCCGCTGTCGCGACCCTCCTGCCGCCCGGAGGCCCTGCTGCACCCGCTCCCGGGGCAGCCGCATGAGCCGGGTGTCGCTGTTGCATCCCGAACCCAGGCCGCCGCCCATGCTGCCGTCGTTGCCGCCTGCAGGCGAGGGGCTCTCCTCCCTCGGGCGCTGTGCGGAGCACCAGACCTCCTTCACACCCGCCGGCCCCGCCTCCGGCCCTGCCAATGCTACTGCTGGTATGACCGGCAGGGAGGCACTCCTGGTGGATGAGGACTCCGAGCCCGCCGCGTCCACTGTAGGGTACAGCAGAGGCGGGTGGCGCAGCGCCCGAGCGACGCTGCTGCCACGTCGGCCTTGCCGACCACCCACCCCTCGCAGCTCTGAAAGCCCATCGTACGCCTCGTCGCCAGGACAGTCCTCCTCAGCGGCCACCCCTGCCGCCCGGGGAGCCGCAGCCACCGCCGCCGGCGGCTTCTGGCCTTCTGACTCCCTGGGTACTGCCTCCGCACTGGCAGGGGCCCCGAGAGGAGCCCGGGTAGCGGGCAGGGACTGCTGCTGTTGCTGCGGCGGCTGCTGCGGCTGCTCCTGGTATGCAACGTACAGTAGCCCGGGGGTGGCGGATGGGTCCGCTGCTGCCGCGGGGGCCCCGGCGGGCAGCTGCAGCTCCTGCGGCAGGGCTGCTGGCGGCACCGCCACCTCCACCGCATCACCTACCCCGTCAGGTGCCCCTGCACCCGGCTCAAGCACCTCAGGCTGCTGCGTCCGCTGCTTCCTGTCCAAGGCAGCTGATGGTAGTGAGGGGGGTGCCGAGCCTGCCACCGCCACCACCGACGTCGGTGTGGAAGCGGGCGCCAGACCCACTGCTGCTGCCCCCGCCTCCACCGGCACAGGCTGAGGGCCATCCAGCGGCCTCACAGCCGGCGCCGCCCCCTGTGCCGGTGAGGCCTGCGGGTTCAGCCCGGCAGAGGGAGCAGGAGGAGCTTGTGCGGCGGTACCGGTAATGTTGCTGCCTCCGAGGGCAACTGGTGCACCTGAAACCTCCGGAACCGCAGTAGCAGCACCGGCAGTCGCAGCTGTCGCAGCACCTGTTCCAGCCGGAATCCGCTGCTGCTGCGATGGCTGCTTTTGCAGCGACGCCACCCCAACCTTCTGTCCTAGTCCTCCTCCTCCCGACGCCATGCTACTCGTACTCGCCGCCACCCTGCTCGCCGCCACCGTGACCGCCACCCCCACCGGCGCACAGCAGCTGCCCCCCGCATGCCACTGCTGCGCTGTGCTCCCCCACGCAGGCAGGACCCCACTACCTGTCCCCACTCCCACTCCCGCTGCTCCCGCCGCCGCCACAACCTTGCCGCCCTCCCGCCTCTTCCTCTCCGCCGGCGGATACAGCCCCGCCAGTGTCGTACCCGCCACCAGCTGCGGTACGTCCCAAAAGTACGGCATCTGCAGCAGCTCCGCCGCCGTGGGTCGCAGCAGCGGGTTGGGCTGCAGGCAGGCCTCCACTAGCTGCAGCAGCCGCGGCTCCAGTTCGGGCAGGCGCTGGCGCAGGGTGCGGTGCAGGGGCGGCACCGCCACCCCCCGCAGGCGCTCGTCCGCGGCCATGCGGATCAGGTGCTGGGGGGCGATGGGGCCCAGACAGCGCATGATGCGCCAGAGCTGGTCGGCGGTGGACTTGCCTGGAGGGGGGGAAGGGGCAGTGGGAGGGGGGCTGGGAGAGGGCGGGGACGATGGCGGCAGGGAGGCCGGGCGCAGGGATGCAGCTGCGAGGGGAGGCTCATGAAAGCGGCAACGGGGCCTCATGCGGGCCTCCGAAGAGGGGCCTCCGAAGAGGGGCCTCCGAAGGGGGGCCTCCGAAGAGGGGCCTCCGAAGAGGGGCCTCCGAAGAGGGGCCTCCGAAGAGGGGCCTCCGAAGGGGGGCCTCCGAAGAGGGGCCTCCGAAGAGGGGCCTCCGAAGAGGGGCCTCCGAAGAGGGGCCTCCGAAGGGGGGCCTCCGAAGAGGGGCCTCCGAAGAGGGGCCTCCGAAGAGGGGCCTCCGAAGAGGGACCTCCGAAGGGGGGCCTCCGAAGAGGGGCCTCCGAAGGGGGGCCTCCGAAGAGGGGCCTCCGAAGGGGCTCCCATACACGGCTGCATCCCCTTGAGGATCCCAATCGGGTAATCTGCAAGGGCGGCCCCGGGGCCCCCACCCGTCCCCCGGGGCCCCCGCCACACCTCCCTGCGGCAGCTCACCTGGGAAGAGCGGGCGCCCGGTGGCCACCTCCGCAATGGTGCACCCCACACTCCACACCTGGGGGGGGGAGGGGGGCACAAGGGGTGGGATCAGGGAGGGGGGGGGCTCGAAGGGGGCTTGGCTCGAGGGTAGCGCAGCAGCGGACATGGCAGGGAGGTCGCGGAGGAGGGTGCGGAACTAGAGAAGCTGCAGGATGGCATCCGGCCTCCAGCGCCGGGTTCAGGTGGCGTGTTGGGCGGTGCGCTCGCGCCCTGCTGTGACCCTCATGCCGCACCGCTCCCCTTCTTCCCGTCACACCTCTCCAACATCCCCCCCCACCACCATCACCACCCGGACTCACATCAGCGCTGGGTCCGTAGCAGTCGCTGACCAGCAGCTCTGCGGGAAGGGGGGGGGCAGCGGCAGCAGAGGGACAGAGCAGGTGAGGGGGGGGGCGGGGGCGTCAAGGGACGCCACAGAGCAGGAAAGAAGACCTCACTCGCTGCCATACCGGTATACACCACAACACACACGTTCGTTACACACACGTGTGTTTCGCTCATCACGGCTCTCTAAGCCCACCCCCATCGTGCCCCGCTGCGCCCAACTCCCCCATCCCAACCACCCCCCGCTCCCCCCCCCCGGCCCCACCCGGCGGTCGGTACCATCGAGTGATGCAGTAGGTGCTGAGCGGCTGCTGCTCCCGAGGGGCGCAGCGGGTGGTGCGCGCGAAGCCAAAGTCGCAGAGCTTCACCACCCCCTCCGAGGTGAGCAGAATGTTGGCGGGCTTGATGTCCCGGTGCACGATCTGGGGTGCCGGGGGAAAAAAGAAAATCCAATGTGTGGTGTGATAGTGGTACATGCCCGGGGGGGGGGGAGGAGTGAGAAGGAGCATGGGAGGGATGCCAGGAGGTGCTGCCGTGCTGCCCCCGCTCCTGCTGCTGCTGCTAGGTGTGTTTTACAGCACAACTGGGTTCGTAAACGCGGCATCCCTCCTCCTGCAGGAGCCCAGTGCCCCCACCGGCCAGCCAGCCCCCACTTGCCTTCCTGTCATGCAGGTATGCGACCGCATGCAGCAGCTGCCACGTCACGAGCTTTGTCGTACTCCCCGGCAGCCCGTGCGGGTTGCGGTCCAACTCCCCAAAGATGCTCTTGTCCACGAATTCAAACACCTGTACGGCATACGGCATGTGCGTAGGGTGACGACCGGCACATCGGAGCGGAAGTGCCGTACACTTGACTGCCGGTGCCCGGCAGTTCCCAGTGGTGACAGTGTGGCAGGGAGGGGTGCTTCAACTACAGGAGGGGGTGCGCAGGTGAGGTGATGGGGGCGGTTGTTGGCCGCTCGTGTCGTCGTGTGCTCCTAACCCGAGGCATCTCCATTTCTTGTTGTCGGGAATTGGTGGCCCCGAATCGCTTGAACCCCCTCCCCCAGCACCAGCACCAAAGAGTAGCCCTCGCTGCGCACCAGGTACACTCGGCCGCTCTTGGACTTGAAGGCGTCCAGCAGCTTCACGCAGTTGACGTGGGAGATGGTCTGCAGGATGTGAGCCTCCCGCTTCGCCAGAGCTTTGATCTGCAAGGGAGCAGCAAGGGAAGGATGAACCCGTTTAGGAAGCGGGAAGCAATGCAGGACCTGGTCCTGGTGTTGCTATGAGGCTTGAGGCTCGTAAGGCCCAGACGATACAAAGGGGCAAAGAAGTGTCCGATAAAGTGCTAAATAATAATGAGCCTGTGGTGTTGTGGAGAAGAGTGGGCAGTACAAGTACCGGTACCTCCTTGTTTCAACCGCCGAAGAAAGTTAGGGAGACGAGTCTTAACTTGCGGCAAGTAAAAACCAATATCAAATGTGACAAGGAAAAGTGGCAAATTTGCCGTTGTCTCGTTCTTACCTCAGGGTCCTCGTGTGCCTGCTTAAAAACCTGCGGGAAGGCACGGGCGAAGAATTTAGGGCTCAATGCCAAGCAAAGAAGTTATTCCAAAAATAATCACCATGCTGGGCTGCAAGTCGGTAGTCGGGCTAGAGCAGAAACCACGCCCGCGATGCGAGCCAGAACCGCCCACCTTGACAGCGCAATAGGCTCCTCCACGCCGCTGTGTAAGCCAGACATCGCCATATGCCCCCTCACCAACAGTTCTGGATAGAAAGCGCAAAGCGGGGGTTGTTAAGCAAACGAATCAGGTCACTAGCTCGCTACCCAGAACAGGCCGCCAAAGCTCGTGTAATAAAACATGCCTTATGTACGTATATTCATCCATGCATAAGCGAACGTCTCAACTCCGTGTCGCTCTGGAGTAAGCAACGCCAAGGGGTTCGGCAAGCACTTGAACTGCTGCATAGTGTGAGCTACAAATTGCAGCTGATGGTACAGTTGTCCCTCTGGGACAACATTGTACACCCGTAAGCATCAGGAGAAGCCCGTCGAGCTCATGTGAGACGTCTGAACCTTCCTTAGGCTACTGTAAAGGGGAGCATGTCAAGAACCGTACATAAAACTAGTTATCCTTTTAAACCGTCAGACTTGCGCCAGCAATGAGGCAGTATTTCAAGGAATTACAAGTCGTTGTACCAACTGTATGGATGTAGGGCTCAAGAGTGTCAGCATACCAGGTTTCCACTCAACCTCTATGCGTACAACATGCAATTAAATTCTTGGCGTGAGCATGGGCTAGTACGCGGCTTGACCTTTTTGTGTTATTACTTGGTGAACTTTTCTGGTTTGACACCTGTGTGTTAACGTTACATTGAACATCATAAAACAACGGTGCACGTAATGAGTGCCGGTACGGTGTAAGTCTGCTTAGGATGGCCCCATCAAAAATATTGTGTCCTGAATAGCAAGAGCCCTTCGCACTAGTACATCAGAGAATACATTAGGGACATATGCTACCATGTGGCTTACAAAAGCAGGCCCTAAATAAGCCCTTCGTTGCTAAGGTTTATAACTGTTCATAACTTGCTGCAATGCTGCTTACGTGTACACTTCCTTCTTGCATACAACCTGCATCGCGGTCGGGTACGCCCTACCGGACAAGGATGTTCCCTAAATATATGCATGGGCACCGCACGCGAGCACCCAACCCATCATTGCCCCTTCCTGCCTCCGCATGCTACCGTAGTCTACTCGTCCATCCAATCCGCCCCCCCAACGGGAACGCCCACTCCTCTTCGCCAACTACATTCTCCCCGGCTCCTCTAGCCTCCTCCTCCGCCTTACAACGGCTCCCACGCTCCTACCCCGCAAACACCTTTCGCGCTCCTCACACCGCGGCACCCCCTCCGCCCCTCACAGCAGCACCAGCACATGCAGCAGCAGCAGATACGCGCTGAACAGCAGCCGCGCGGTGGGCCGGCAGTACAGCGCCACCGTCAGCTTGTCGTGCAGGCGCGCAGCGGCCAGCAGGGCACTCGAGGCGACGGGCGGGCAGTTGCCTCGCAGCAGTCCGGAGATGGGCTGGAACGTGGTGGAGGCACCCTGCGTGTGAAGGAAGGGGTGGAAGATGGGGATGGGTCAGAGAACGACCAAACCAAGTGAAACCAGAAGTAAGGGCAAAGCGTTTGGGAGGGGGGGGCGCGGACAGGAGGAGGCAACGGTCGTGGGTGGACGTACAAGCGTAGGGTACAATGCCTGTAGGCTAAACACCGAAGCTCTTACCGTAAACACCGTCTATAGTGTGGCGGATATATCGGGCTGTTCGGTGATAAGTTCACTTTGCCAGCTGCTTCTGCGCGGATGTGCAGCTGCACGCTGCACGCATGACCCGAACCTCCACCCCTATAGCAAGCTAGCGCCCACATGCATACCAGGCAGGGCCCCCATGCTTACGCCCCGTGTAGCCTAAAAGCCCAGAGCAGGCCCCCACCGCACCTGCAGTACGGCACTCTCCGGGTCGTACACCCCCGCGAGTTGCGACGCCATCTCGTCATGCTTCTTGTCCGCCGCCGCCGCCGCGTTGCGCGCAGGGCTGGTGGTGCTGCTGGCGCCTCCCGCCCCCGGCAGGTGTCCGCCCGCTGGCCCGCCCTGCTGCGCCGCGAACCACTCCTGCACCCGCCGCTGCTCCACCCGCAGGGCCACCTCCAGCTGGCTGCGCGCCTGCCGCAGCTGCTCCACCTCCGCCTGCAGCCCCTCCACCTGGCTGGCCCTGATGGCCGGTGGCGAGGGCGGGAGGACAGGTTGGGAGGAGGGAGGAGGAATCAAGACGGACGCCGGCACAAGAGAAAGACGCGTGCATCTTGGCTGACAGCCGCCGTTGATGTGGGATGCTAGTGCATGGGCAGCATGGCTAAACGGTATCATGTTCATGCGCACAGGCGGGCATGTATGTGCCTGAACAACGCCAGGAGGCAGCGCATGCCCGGCCCAAGCCCGAACCCATGTCCTCCTCTCGCGTCCCTGCCTCACCTGGCTATCAACGTTGTTCTCTCGCTCTGCAGCTCCAACAGCTGCCGCCGCACCTCCTGAGTCGCTGCAGCCGCTGCTGCAGTTGCCGCTGCCGTACTCTCACCACTACCACCAGCAGCGCCCGCAGCCACTGCCGCCCTCAGCCTCTCCACCTCAGCCCCTGCCGAAGCATGCTGCTGCTGCAGCTGCTCGTAAGCCGCCCTCATGGCCGCCAGTTGCTGCTGCGCCTCTTGCTGCTGCTGCGCCGCCAGCCCTTGCGACCCTCGCGCCTCCAGCTGCTGCTGCAGGTGCTGCACCTGCGCCTGCGCGGCCCGCAGGTGCTCCTGGTGCTCCCGCAGCTGCGCCTCCAGGGTCTGCGAGCGCTGTGCGGCTGCAGCCGCCTGCACGCCCGCCTCCTCCAACCGCCGCCGCAGCTGCTCCACCTCCGCATGCGCCTCCAGCAGCGAGCGCGAGGCGGCGGCGCCCTCCGCCAGCTGGGCCTGCAGGCCCTGCAGGTGCTCCTGGAGGGGCGGTGGGATGGCGGGGAAATTGGGTTGAGGTTCTAAATCCTAGCACACTTTCCTGGCGTCGGCAACGGCGCCCTCCTCCTTCGTGCCTACAACCAAGGCCTGCCGCTGTTATTGTCATGGACATCGGCACGTGCCCAGGGGTTTCCCTCCCCTTCACTGTCGGACCCGCTGCCCACCTGTAAGCGCTGCATCTGCTGGCCCTGCTGCTGCAGCTGCTCCCTCTGCTGCTGACCCAGCGCGTCAAGCCCCAGGCAGCGACCCTCCAGCTCCTCATTCTCGGTACGGACACGGGAAAGCTCGGCCGACCCACGGGACAGCTCGGCCTGCGGCGCCAAGGGAAAGGAGGTCAGCCATCCAGCCAGCTCGCCAGCATGATCACAATCCGGGGGAAAACTCCAACCGCGGCAAGCTGTATGCATGCAAGCACAAGCATTTCCCCACCGTAAACCCCAGCTCCCCACCACCAATCCCACCGCACCTCAAGCTGCGCACACCGCTGTCCCAGTGCCGCCACCTGCTCAGCGAGCGCTGCGGCCTCCTCGCCGCGCCCAACCGCCGCCGTCGCCTCCGCCAGCTGCCACTCCAGCTGCGACACCCGCTGCGCCGCCACCGCCAGCCGCTCCCGCTCCTGCCCCAGCTCAGCGCCCTGCTGCTCGGCGGCCTCCCGCAGCTGCCTCAGGGACGACTGCAGCTCCTCCACCTGCGCGGCCGCCCCGCTCAGGGCCGCCTGAGAGGAGCTCAGCTCGGCCTCCAACTCCTCACAGCGCCGCTGCAGCCGGGCTGCCGCCTCACCCTCCACTGCACGCACCCTAGCGACCTCATCCGCGCCCTCCCGCAGCGCGCGCAGCTGCTCTGCAAGTGCAGCCTCGCGCTCCGAGGCGCTGTCAGCGGTCGCTCGCAGCTGCTCCAGCTGCACCTGCAGGGCTGCCACCTCGCCTGCGGAAGTGGCAGCCTCGGTAACCGCAGTCTGACGTTCCGCTGTTGCTCGCTCTAGCAGTTCCTGCAACGCCCGAACCTGCTCTGATGCGCCTGAGGAGGCAACTGCCAGTTGCTGCCTCAGCGCATCAGCCGCCGCCTCTGCTTCAGCCGCCCGACCCTCGGCCTGCGATGCCGCCACCCGCGCCTCCTCCAGCCTCGACTCCATTTCCCGCAACTGCGCCGCCGTAGCCTCACCCTGCTCCGTTGCCGCCGCCGCGGTGCTGCGCGCCTCCTCCACCGCCGCCTCCAACTCCGCCACCCGCAAGCGCAAGCCCTCCGCATCCGCCGACGCCGCCGCCTGCTGCGCCTGCTCCTGCTGCTGTGCCTGCTCCAGCTGCCCCCGCAGCGTCCTACAGGCCTCCTGCAGCAGCTCGCAGCGGTCGCGCGCGTCACCCGCCTCCATGGCGGCCTCGTGCGCCTCCTCCAGCTCCGACTCCAGCTCCGAAACCCGCCACTCCAGCTGCGATACCCGCTGCCGGGCGGCCTCCAGCGCCTCCTGCAGCGCAGCGGAGGCACCCTCCTGGCTCACCTGCGCCTCGCCGTCACCGGTGTTGGGATCGGATGAGGCCGGACCGCCAGGTGCGTCGTGGCCCACCGGCGCTGCGCTGCCACCGGCGCTACCGGCGTCCGCAGCGGAGATCTCCGCAACCAGCGCTGCAACCGCCCTTTCAACCTCGCCCTCGCCGTCCGCATCAGTGCCGGCATCAGCACCACTGAAGGCATCAGCCAGCGATGGCGCTTCGTCCCTCTGCGCGCTGTTGCGTGTCTCAGCCAGCTCCGCTTTCAGGCGCTCCACCTCAGCCGCGTGGGCTGCGGCGCGCTCCTCTGCCGCAAGCATGCGCCGCTCCAGTTCCTCCGCTTGCTCTGGCGCCGGAACAGCCGCATCTGCGTTCGCCTCCCCGCCCACATCCGCTCCTGCCCGGGCCGCCTGCCGCTCCTGCTCCAACACAGCACACCGCTGCTGCGACTCCGCCAGCGCAGACCGCAGCTCCGCCGCCTCAGCCTCCGCGGCGGCAGCGGAGGCCGCCGCTGCCGCCACCCGCTCCAGTTGCTCGTCCCTCGCCGCCAGCACCTGGCGCAGCTCATCCACCTGCTGCTGCAGCCGCTCAGCCTCAGCGTGGGCCTCCTCGCCAGCTGCGACTGCTTGCCGCTGCAGCGCCTCCGCTGCCTGGGCTGCGTCATCCAGCTGGCGCCGCAGCTCCGCCGCCTCCGCCCTGGCCTCCTCCCTCTCCGCCTGCTCCTTCGTCAGCTGCTCCGACGCCAGCTGGTACGCGGTGCGCGCCTCCTGCAGGGCCGCCTGCACCTCAGCCAGCTCCGAGCCACGAGCCTCAGAAGCAGCCGCGGCCTCTGCTGCGCGCGCCTCAGCCGCAGCCAGAGCCGACTCGGCCTCCTGCCGCGCCTGCTCCAGCTGCTGCTGCAGGACCTGCACCTGCTCCCCGCCTGCCTCCTGCAGGCGCAGCAGCTGAGCCTGCAGCCCTTCAGCCTCCACACGCTTCTCCTCTGCCCGCTGCAATGCCTCGGCCGCCTCTTCCGCCCGCTTCCGCACCTCCGCCTGCGCCTCCTCCACCTCGCGCCGCAATGCCTGCGCCTCCTCCACCGCAGCCTCCTTCTCCTGCTCCATCTTCCGCCTGAGCTGGCCGATCTCCTCCTGCTGGTCCTCAACTGCCTCCCTCAATGCCGCCACCTGCTCCCGGGTCGACTCTAGCCGCTCCGTGAGACTCTCCACCTCAGCAGCTGCAGCCCCCCGCGCCTCCTTGGCGGCCTGCCGGGCCTCCTGTGCCTCCGCCAGCTCAGACTGCAGCGCCGCCCGCGCCTCCTCGGCCCGCTGCAGGTCAGCCTCCGCGGCAGCTGCGCGCTGCTTGGCGGCCTCCGCGGCGGCCTGCGCCTCCTCGCTGCGGCCACGCAGGACATCCGCCTCCGCCATGAGGTCGGCGCAGCGCTCCTGCAGCTGCTCCACCTGCGCAGCGGCCTCGGAGGCGGCGTCCAGGGCGGCCTGCATGGGCACACACACGCACAAGGCATTTCAAGTTGTGGCAACTTAGCACGCCAGTAGCGAACACCACCCACGCCTTACAAATGATTCGACCTCGGCTTGGGCACGTATTCCCCACCCTCCGCATGCACCCCGCCCCACCTGGACCTCCGCCAGCCTCGCCTCCAGCGCCGCCTTGTCCGCCGCCACCGTCTCCGCCTGGCCCTCCAGCTCTGTCACCCGCTCCTTCAGCCGCGCCTTCTCCTCCTTCATCTTGCCGAACTGCGACTTAGCAGCGGCCATGCGGCTGGTCTGCTCCGCTATCTTGGCCTCCAACTCGCTGACACGCGCCTGCAGCCCCGCCGTCTCCTGATGTGCCCCACGCGCCTCCGCCAGCTGCGACTCTGCTGCCTCAGCAGCCTCCCTTGCCTCCGCCAGCTCCGCCGCGGCGGCACTCCGCGCCTCCGCTAGCTCCGCCACCGCAGCTTCCGCCGCGCTCTTGGCCTCCGCTAGCTGCGCCTCCAACACCGCAGCCCTATCCTCGTGGGCCACACGCTCCCGCTCCACCGCTTCACGCGCCTCCGTCAACTCTTGTCGTACGGACTCCAGCTGCTCTCCCGCCGCCGCCACCTCCTCCCTCAACGTCTCCACCACCGTGTCACGAGCGGACACAGCAGCCCGGAGCTCGCCCGCATGCGCCTCAGCCTCCGACAGCGCCTGCTGCAGCTCCGCCGCCTCCGCCCTGGCCTCCTCCCTCTCCGCCTGCTCCTTCGTCAGCTGCTCCGACGCCAGCTGGTACGCGGTGCGAGCCTCCTGCAGAGCCGCCTGCACCTCAGCCAGCTCCGAGCCGCGCGCCTCAGAAGCGGCGGCGGCCTCTGCTGCGCGCGCCTCAGAAGCGGCGGCGGCCTCTGCTGCACGCGACTCAGCCGCAGCCAGAGCCGCCTCGGCCTCCGCAGCCCGGGTCTCCGCCGCTGCCAGCGCCTGCCCCTGCTCCTGCAGCTGGGCGCGCAGTGCCTCCAGCGCCGCGGCCTGCTGCACCAGCTTGGCCTCCATCTGGTCCTGCGCGTCCATCTGCTCGCTGTACTGCTGCTGCAGCTGCTCGTTGTCGGAGCTCAGAACGGCGTTCTGCGCGCGGAGCTCCGCAGCAGCGGACTCGGCAGCCTGCGGGGAGGGTTGGCAACGCAGGAGTTTAGGAAGAAAGATGGCTAGTAGAGTCATACGCTTCAAGGAATAAGGCTAGTGCAGTCCATTTTCGCAAAACGGGAACGTTTTGCAGCGAACTAGGGGTCTACATGGCCCGGCTGACGTTGCTGGCGGGTTGGAGGTCAACGGCTTCTTGCATGCAGGGTTTGCCATGCACCGTTGCTCGCTTTACACTCCGCTACGGGCCTCACATGCACAGCGCCTCCTTACCTCCAACTGCCGCCTCAGCGCCGCCGCCTCGGCCTCCAACCGCGCCGCCGCCTCCCTAACCTCCGCCACCGCCGCCTCAGCCGCCGCCGCACGCTCCTCCGTAGCAGCCACTGCGGCGCCGTCCGTTGTCGCAGCCGTCAGATCCTCCCGTGCCTTGGCCAGCTCCTCCTTCAGCCGCTGGTTGTCCTCCTTGGCCTTCTTGAACGCCGCCTTCCCCTTGCTCAGCTGCGAGCGCTCCCGCGCCAGCTCCTCACCTATGCGCTGCAGGTCCGACTCCAGCTCCGCCACACGGCCCCGGACGGCCGCCAGTGCCGCCTCGTGCTGCTCACGCGCCTCGGCTTCAGCCGCCGCGACGGCAGCGGCGTCAGGCCGCGCCGCCAGCTCTGCACGCGCCTCAGCAAGCTGAGTCTCCAGGGTGGCTGCCGCCCCGGCGTCTGCTGCCAGCTGTGCGCGCGCCTCTGCGAGCTGGGCCTCAAGAGCTGCTGCAGCCTGAGCGCCCGCCGCCAGCTCGCCACGCCGCGCCTCGCACTCCTCCACCAGCCGTTGCACCTCTTCCGTCTGCGCGGCCAACCGGCCCTCCAGCTCCATCGCGCTCTCCCGCAGGCGGCCGCACTCCGCCTCCAGCGGGGCCAGCTCCGCCACCCGCGCGTCAGCGGCATCCGCGGCGCTGCGAACCCGCTGCAGCTCCGCCGCAAGTTCACGACTACGACTCTCCGCTGCGGCGCTCTCCTCCGCCCTGCGTGCCTCCGCCTCCGCCGCGGCGGCCTCCAGCGCCTCCCGCCGCTCCGCCTCCGCTGCGGCGGCCGCCTGTGCCGCCGCCAGTGCCCCCTGCAGCTCCGCGAGCCGCGTCTCCAGCTCCGGAAGCCGCTCCGCTGCGGAGTGCAGCTGGCCGCGCTCCGCAGCCATGTCGTCAAGCTGCTGCTGCAGCCGCTGCTGCGCTGCGGCCATCTCTGCCAGCTGTGCGGTGGCGGCATCTGCGCCTGTCGCTCCCGCCTGCAGCTGAGACTCCAGGGAGGCCTTCTCCTGGGCCAGCGCCGATAGCTGAGCGTCGGGAGGAAGAGACACCATGCAGGACCCATGTTAACGGCATGGAACGAGCGCGTGTGACGGGGTTGTGGGCATGAAAAGGCCGAGTGCGACGCCAGGGTTCCATGCGAGTCAGCTCCCGGGACGTCTATACATGTCCTGCCCTATCGCCCAGCCGCCCAACGACACACCTGCTGCCTGGCTTCCGCCAGCTCGACCTTGCGGTGGTTGCTCTGCTCCTTGAGCTTGTCGAACCGCACCTTCCCCTCCTCCTTCAGTTTCTCGTACTTGGCCTCCAGCACAGATGCCTGCATGGCACATCACACGTGAGTTCCAACATGTAACAACCATGTGCCGTAGACTAAGCACTTCAGCGCACCGGGACCCTAGTTTGACCTCTCCCTGACCCCACCTGCTGCGCCCTCGCCACCAGGGTCCCCACGTCCTCCCCTCCCAGCTGCTGCCGGAGCTGCTGCAGCTCCCTCGCGGCCGCCTGCGCCGCCTCCAGCTCGAGGTCCTTGGCGGCTAGCTGCGAGCGCAGCTCCGAGTGCAGCGCCTCCCAGTGAGCCAGCTCCTGGGGGGGGGGGGCATGGGTAGGTACCGGTCGGGTGACACGTCATCAGGAACGGGCGTGGGTAAAGGGACCCTAACCGTGGAACTCGGAGCCACTATGCCGGCTAGGAGCACCAAAGGGCCACGTTGCCTTCATGGGCAGCCAAGGAAGTACACGTATGCTCGCACCACCGCCCTCGCCCTCGTTCCTACAAGCCGCCCCCTCCCCCCCGCATCCTCCCTCACCTCCTTCGTCTTCCGCTGCAACTCCCGCAGCTCCTCCACCTCCGCAGCCAGCTCCGCAGCAGCAGCTCGCGCCGCCTCCTGCGCCCGCACCCGCGCCTCCTCCTCCGCTCCCGCCTGCTCCGCCCTACGCGCCTCCAGCTCCTCCCGCAGCTGCCCCACCTGCGCCTCCAGCGCCGCCCGCTCGCTGGACAGCACCGCCACGTGGTCCGCCAGCTCCGCCTTGCTGGCGCCCACCTCCGCCACCTCCGCCCGCAGCCGTTCCACCTCCGCCGCCAGAGCCAGCAGCTGGGCTTCGCGCTCTGACAGGGCCGCAGCGGCAGCAGCGGCAGCGGCAACCGCATCGTCAGCAGCCGCATGGGCAACAGCGGCCGCCGCATCGGCAGCTGTGGCGGAGGCGTCTGCCTCCAAGTTGGCGGGAGGTAGGGGCGGTGAGGGTGGTTCCTCTGCTGGGGTGGTGTCAGGACTAGGGGTGGTGGTGGCTGGGATGATGCCGGGGGCTGGTGGTGACTGGGGAGCCTCAAGGCTTGGCTCGTCTGGCTCTGGGACTGCTGCTGGTCCCTCGGGCTCAGGGGTTGCTGCCGGTGCCAGTACATCTTCTTGGGCTTGCGGCTGCGACTCCGACTGCGAGATTGCTTCTGCATTTTCGATAGGCGTGGGGACAACTAAGAAGCCATCCTCGGCAGGTGCGCTGCTGGATTCGCTGTCCAGCAGAGCCGTGTGCAGCGGGCCGGGCAGCGGCTCAGCTGAAGGGGTACGAGCAGGGCTGGGCTCCGCTGGCGGGGTGGGCGCCGGTGCAGCCGCAGGGGTAGAGTCCGCGGGTGAGGAGGCTGAGGTGAAGCTGACGGAGGAAAAGAGGTCGGAGGGGCCCAGCGGGTGGGCTGAAACCTGCGGCAACAAAAGGGAAGGCACCGTGGCTGGGGCGTGTGGCAGGCTTGGAAACGCTCGGACCGAAACCGTCCAAGTCCAGTGCTTACCGCCTTAGCAGCGCTGCCCGCTTGTATAGGTGTCCGAGCCGTGTCACCATTACTCTGAGGATCAACAGGGATCGCGTCAGTGTGCAAACAGCCAACGCCTTGCCTGAACTGCCTGTACCTGCTGAGTAGTCAGCAACTCCGCAGGCGTAATAGACCTCGGTGTAGTCGCAGGAGAGTTGATAGCTTTGTGCGTTGCACGTTTACTCTTAAACTTAGCGAGCTGTACGCGGAACAAGCGATTTGCAAAGATCGAGTGCGAAGCATGATCAGAAGGAGAGTCAGCCTCCCGTAACACCAGAAGGGAAGTAAACAAGCCGATGCAATAGCAAAAGCAAACAGATGGAGTTTATCGACTAGCGCAGTTGCACTGACCACATCCGCGCCAAGGCTCTTTAGCTCCTTCGTCTTCTGCGACATAGTTTCCTATAAATCACACTTATGAAAATGCACTTAAACTGTTTTCATGTCTCCGACTTTACAGGCGACTGGGGGATGAGCAAGGTTTTTCAAATAAACTTGGTGACGGCCTTCTGGTTAAACAGTACACAGCACAGCAAGGTGCAAGGAAGACCAAAACTATAATCAGTGTAAGAGAGCAGGAAATGGCTTTTCGGCTGGTACGACAGAGTGGGATGGTGTCTGCAAGTGATCTGCAAGTCTGCAACGGGCACTTATTTCCCCGTTCAGCCAACTCTCCGCACGTGTACTTCAAAACAGTTAGTATCACATCCCTTGCAGTTAACCCTCCAAATGGAGTAGACTTCATGCTCTCATGACAGCTGTGTAGGGCCCTGTACGGCGGCCATGGGAGTGTTCCCGTACCTAACCACCAGGGAACTCTCCGCCACATGTATCTTAGCTCAACGATCTTTCGGGGTCTTGACGGAACCATGTGTGCTGATCTGCCGAATGCGTTGCTGTAGCAGTATCAGCAACGCAACAGCTCCGCCAATCCGGTCTTCATGTCTCATTTAGCCGCTGTCGTGACCCACACCGGCCACCGGCAAGCCCAACCCGCTCACATACCGGTACTACCGCAGCGGCGGCCCTACAGTTATGAAACACCTCTGCAAACAGTTCCTGGCCCGCCCCCCTGCGCCCTATCAACGCCCAACTACAACGCAACAGCCAATAAGCAAGTAGACCTAACCACAAGTGACAATGGATGTCATCAACATCCTGTACCCCCAGCGCCCTAAGCACCTTCTTCAGGTGCTCTAACATCCTATTATCATCTGCTCCGCATTCGCCTCCAAGAAACACACTACCACCACCATCCTGCTTACCAACTTACAAACACCCTGCTGGCGAGGAAACGACACACCGCCGTCCCACCTCACGAACCCGCCTGCTGCCCCGCCCCCTCCCCCGTCCCTGCTCCCTCCCCCACTCCCGGACCTGCTGTCACCGCCACCCGCACCACCGGCACCAGCACCACCGGCACCGCCACCCCCGCCCGCTCATCTACCACCACCTCCCGCCTCCTACCAGACCCCCCACCACCCCGCTCCTCGCCCTCACCCTCCTCCTCCTCATCCGCCTCCTCACTCGCCACGTCATGCTGCCCCACCTCCAGCACCGGCAGCTGGTTGAGCCGCGTGTACGGCGCGTAGGCGCCCCGGCAGCACAGCCGCCACGCCGCCACACTGCCGAACCCCACCGCCACCACCACCAGCTGCGCAGCCAGCAACACATACACGACACCCAAACCCACGGAACGGGCACGGCGGGCGCGGCACGCCTGAGCCACGTCGAAGCAGTACTGGAAGCTGCGATCCGTGGTGCTGCTGCCACCGCCGTCGACGGGTATGTCACCGCCGTCGCTGCCGCTGCTGCCGTTACCAGTGGCTGCGGCGGCGGCGGCGAGCAGTGCCCTCCGCCGCAGCTGCGTCCGGATCCTCAAGGAGTGGTCCGTGGTGCCATCGTCGCCCCCATCCTCCCTGCTGCCGTCAGGGGAAGGCCCAGGCGGGGATGCAGCCGCCGCGGGTGTTGCCGGAGGCTGCGGCGCCGCAGCTGCCGTCGCCAGGTCCACCGCTGTCAGGCAGCAGTGCTGGCCGCTGCATGAGTCCATGTATACGACACCCTCGTGTATCTCGTACGGCAGGGAGGGGTTGCTGCTGCCGGGGGCGGGGCCGTACGAGGGCTGCAGGCTCTGGCTGGCCAGCAGGGCGCCACTGGCCAGGTGGATGCCGTACAGCCGGGAGTCCTCCGGCGGGGTTCCGGAGCTGCGTACGACAACGATACCCGCCTGCTCGTCCAGCGTGTCCCAGGCCTGGCAGGGGCAGGGGAGGTTCAGGGGCAGGGTCCGAGGGGACAGCAGGCGTGGGTGATACTAGTTAGCAGGAATGATAGGAGTGGGTGATGGGAGGGAGGGGGCACAAAAGGGGCTTGGGAGTGCAGAAGTAGAGGATTGACAAGCGGCGAGGTACGGCGGCAAAGGCGTCGTGCTGCCCCCAAGGCGGTCTATAAGGGTGCGGCTGCCGGGCGGCCATGAGGGGTCCAGCGGGTGTTCGGAACAGGGTGGGTGTGTCGGGCCGCTGTGAGGGGCGGGCCTTCACCGTAACACCTGCGTACCGGTACCGGCAATCCCATGAACAAGGCAATACAGCTTTACTTGTTTCCGTATCACCACTTGGCTCGCCCACCGCCCCTTCCCGTGGACGATGCCTCCCGCCCTCTCCACCACCACCCCCTCCGGCCCCCATCCCCCGCCACCTCACCTGCATCTGCTGTCCAGCGGGCAACTCGAAGGTCCACAGCCTGCGGGGCAACCCAGCCAGGGGAGGGAACCCAGTGTCGCGACAAGCCCCGCATTCCCAGTCAGTCAGTAACACAAAGGCACTCGCAACCATCAAGTAGACAGTTGCATGCAACGCCAGGCCCATACAGCTACCGCTCCGCTCCGCCCCGCTCCGCCCCGCACGCTCTTGCTCCCTCCCCACCCTGCCGCCCGCCCCCACCTGTCGCCGCTCTCCCGCTGCAGCGCGTGTACGGCGCCCTGCGAGGCCAGCAGCACCGCCCCGCCCGCCACCCGCGGCCCCAGCGCCCCCGCGCCGGCCCCCGGCGGGAAGGAGCTGCCGGCGCCCCGCAGCCGCACCCGCCACACCGCAGAGCCGCTCTCAGCGGACACACAGTAGGCACACAGCCCGCCGCTGGAGGGGGAGGAGGAGGAGGGGGGAGAGGAGGAGGAGTTGCTGCTGGCAGCGCTGACGACGACGGTGGCGGCGGCGTGTTTGGAGTCCGCCTGGAGCCCCCGGCGGTGGTGGTGGTGGTCGCCCTCCGCGTTGCTTACGTCGCCTCTGTGTTCGTCCGCGCTGCCGCCATCCTTATCCCCATCCCCATCCCCATCATCCGCGTCATCATCCTCATCATCGCCGCAGGGGCAGCCGAAGAACAGCTGCCGGTGCACCACCACCACCGCCGAACACGCCAGCTGCGGCTCCGCGGCACTGTCCACACCCCTCCACAGCACCCTGCCGCTCTGCAGCTCCACCGCCTCCAGCTCGCTAACCATGAATCCGTACGACGCAATAACTGCCGTACGCTCGTCCACCTCAAGTACGGCACAGCCGCCGCTGCAGTCCTTGGTCCACACCACGGCGCCCGTCAGCGCATGCAGGCCGTACAGCGTCTGCACCAGGTCCGCATCCGGCTCCCCGCGGACCACCAGGAAGGCGGCGGTGGCTAGGGCCAGGGAGGGTGCGCCGGCGGTCATGGGGCCGGTGGCCCAACGTGTGGCTCCGCTGGAGAGGTAGACCGCGACCATGGCGCCCGCAGGGCCGGTGGAGTCATCGCTAGCGGTGGCAACGGAGAGCAGCAGCAGGCCGGGGAGGTCGGGCGGGAGGTGGAGGGACGTGATGTTGTCGCCGGGCGGCAGCGTGATCTGCCACTGAAGCTGACCGGTTTCTTCGGAGACTGCAAAGAGGTGGTTGCCGGGGTTGTGGGAGGCGACCAGCACCAGCCATGTTTGGCGGTCGTGTGGGGCGTCGGGGCTGGAAGCTAGCGCGCGGAGCACACGGCGGGAGGCGCTTGGTGTGCTGGAGAAGCTGTGTGAGGAGGAGAAAGCTCCCTCCACAGTGCCGGAAAACGTGGCCTTAGCTGGAAGGCCAAGAGGGTCCCGACGACTGAAGATGCCCGGACGCCGTGGGAAGACCCATTTCTGCTTGCCGGTATTTATGTTAACTGCGCTAAGGCTATGGCCTTTCCCTGGTGTTGAATAGACGTGGCGTAGACCTGGGCTCGCATCGCCTAGCTCGACATTGCGCCAGAGTAGGACTCCTCCTGTCCTATTAAACACGGATACGGCGGTGCATGTATCTTCTTCGGTACGTGCTGACTCTATACTTGATACCGTCCACAGGACGCGCTGGCCACCAGCAGATATGATAGATGTTCGGTAGGCATGCCCCGACCCCTGTGCGCTCGCCAGAGCCGCAAGGAGCGGGGCACACAAAAGTAAAGCTGCCCTGATACAAAACATATTCTAGCTCACGAAGCGATATTTCAATCGGCTTCCGCCAATCACGTGCGGAGCCCTACCCGCCAAGCGAGGGCTGGCGAGGGCATTACCGGTAGTCTTTTAGGAGTGCCCAGAATTTTCCTAACAGGTTGAAGAAGAACCAATATCATCTAATACAAGCATCCTGCTATCCGGTTACACCCCGATTATTGCCGTGCGAGTCACTGATGATCTCTCATCAACCTGCGAGATATTGTTCCCAACGGCGACCTCCGCCCTGGAATTTAACACCATTCTTTGCCACTTATATACTACTAAGGGATCGCGATCATATGCATTGTATCCTGCCTGCCCCGGATAGATACAACGACACCCGTGACATCCCCCCCTTACCCTCACACTGTAACCTCCGCTGACCTCCTCATTCCCTGTTTCATTCCATCTATAGTGACCGGGATGTACAGCACCTCCTCGGCAAAGATAGATGCTGTACGCTCTGTACCAGTAGCTGCAAGCTACGCAATGCTACCTATGCTACTATACCCCACTACGCTCCGGTCTCCTCCACTACACGGGTATCACCTTAGCCCGCCTGCAAAGCCCTGGTTCCGTGGACCGTCCCCAACCACACGCACGTCGGGCCTATCGGCCATGCATACAGCACGGTACCTCTCATCCTGCGATTATTCGGTATTCGGTACAGCTTAAGGAAACTATCCCCAATCCTATATCTAGGAACACTGGTATTCCGCAAGCACCTCGACCGGACAAATCCGCGAAATCCATCAACAAAACCATCCCCGGCCTTCCCTCCTAGGATGCAGCACCCCAGGGGAAAACGCGTAGGGGAAACCCGCGCCGCCCTCACGACCTCCCTCCGCGCGCCCGCCGCTGCACCGGCACCCCCCGCCTGCCCCGCCGCATCATCACCGCCGCCAGCAGCACCGACCACCACACCGCCAGCAGCGCTACCACCCGCCGACCCGCCACTGCAACAGACCCTGTAATAGCTGAAACCACCTTGCTGCCCCTGCCACCACCAGCACCACCAGCACCAGCACCACTGCTTCCTTCCCGCTTCCGTGCCGCCTGCTGGTTACCCTTGGCTCCCCTCTGCCCTGCAGCCGCCGCCGCTGCTGCTGCGGCGGCGGCGGCGGGACGCTTCGCTACTGTCGACGGCGCCCCCGACTGGGTAGCATCCGCAGCATCCGCCGGCGTGGCGGCGCCAGTGGAGGTACCACCCGCCGCCGCCGCCGCCGCCGCATTCCCGTCCAATGCAGCCGCGCTGCTACCGGCTTCCGCTGCAGTTGGCTGCTGCGCTGCCGCAGGCGCAGCAGCTGCTGGTGTGGTTGTAGTTGCGGGTGCTGCGGGTGTGGGCTTGATGAAGCTCTTGTAGAGCTCCCGCTGCGCGAGGCGCTCCTGCTGCAGGGTGGCACGGATGGCTCGGAGCTCGGCCTTGAGGGCGGGGTCGGCGGGGTCGCTGGAGGCGGGGAGGAGGGGCGGGGAGGAGAGGAGGAGAGGGAGGGAGGGGTCAGGGATGATGCAGGGGCAGATATGCCGAGGTGGGGAACTGCAATCCTTATCATTTTACGGCTTTCCTTGGTAGTAGTACTCCTTTACTGCAGGCAGCTGCGGACGCCTTCCTAGATCTCGCGTTTCTCCACCCGCCCTCCTATACACACTACCCCCACCCCCACCACACATTGGAATTTCTTTTTTACCCCTAGCGCCTCCATGGTGAAGCCTTGTCATACAGTTCATCAGTTGCATCGTTACAGTGTCTCATTAATGTTTTTACCCCTAACGCTTCCCCTCCCTCCCCCCTCACATCCTGCACGCCGCCTCCAGGTCCTGCAGCGCCTCCTCGCTCCGCCCCAGCCGGTGCCGCGCAGTGCCCCGCCGGAACAGCGCCTTCACGTTGCGCGGGTCGAGGGACAACACCTGGGGGGGGGGGCGGGAGGGGCGGGAGGGAGGGGGGCAAAAACAAGGAATAATAATAAGGGGGGCGCAAGAGACCATAGATACGTGGGGTACCAGGGACCCCAACGCCCAACCCTTCGCAACGGGCTACTGCACTCACTGTCATTAGTACACTACCAACAACCTCCACCCCACCCGCCCCCGCACCTCGCACACCCAAAACACACGTCTTCCAACCCCACCCCTCAACACACATCCTCTTAACCCCACACCAAGCACCCGTAGCCCACGCTCCTTACCGGCCCCCTACACCCCACCTGTCCGCAGTTGTAAATCGCGGTGTTGTAGTCTCCCGTCTTGAGCTGGCTGGCCGCCATGTTTAGGTGGATGCGCAGCTTCACCGCCTCCGCCGCGTCCAGGTAGCGCCCCTCCAACTGGTACATGAAGTCCTCGTCCATGTAGGAAAGAGCCTGGGGAGGAAAAATTAAATAAGTGAAACAACGAGTCCCAATCCCATATCCCTGGCCTGGGGAGGGGGGTGAGGAGGTGAGGGAAGTGGGGAGGGAGGGCGAAGATACCGGCACCATCCTTACCCTACATCCGCACTCCAACCTACGTCCCCGTCCCTCAACCGACACAGCATCTCCTCTCTCCACCGATCCAGGTCTCGTGCCCACCCTACCCCGCATTCCACCGCCCCTATGCCACCTCCAACCACTCCGTCCCTCTGCTGCCGCTCCCCCCACCCCACCCCATCCCCACCCCACCCACCAGCGCATACTTTGCCAGCGCCTCCTTGAACCTTCCCTCCCGGTACAGCCCGTTGCCCGCCTCCCGCCGCCGCTCCGCCCGCTCCAGCCGCTCCTCGAACAGCAGGCTGGCGCGGTCGCCGTCGTTGTCGGTCTGGGGGCCGGCAGGGAGGGGAGGGGGAGAGGCGGGTGGGAGGTCAAGCTGGACCGAACCACAGGAAACCACGAATTAAGGTAAAACGAGAGGGAGGCGGATGGGGCGGCAGGAGGACAGGAGGCCAGAACATCAACATGGGCCATACGGCGAGGTAAGCGACAAGCGTGGGTGTTGGAATACGAAAGATGGGGACGAGTGTAAGATAGGGTAGCCGTGCCGCACATGCCGTGCGCGCGGCGTGTGTGTATGGGGGGGGGGGGGGGTTGGGCACCTAAGCCGGCCTAGGCATTGCGCAGGAACCCGCCACACAGCGCCATGCTACCCTGCCCACTCCCCCCTGCCCGCCCACCTCCTCTATCCCCTCCCAGTCCAGCAGCGTCATGTCGTACACCAGCTGCGAGTGCGGCGGCACGCAGGGGAAGCTGAAGCTGCCCACGCTGCCGTACCCGTACACCGGGTCCTGCACGTACACCAGCGCGCGCTCGCCTCGGGTCATGGAGGCGGCGGCCAGGCACAGACCCGTCTCCTGGGCGGCGGCGGCTGGGGTCGGAGGGGGGCCGGAGGAGGGGGTGGAGGAGGGGGGAGGAGGGGGTGGTGAGTTGAGGGGGAAGGAGAAAGGAGGGCGCGGGAACCTGGGGAAAGGTACGATGAGGGTATGGTTGTGGAGGGGGGTGGGTGGGAAGGGAAGGGCCGCCGTGTAGCCCACGCGTGTGTGTGAGGTAATGGAGAAGGTGGGCTGAGGATCGCGAACGCAGATTGCGGTTTACAGGCCTGGTTTGCATAGCAGCCAGACACCTAGGACGCATCCCAATAGGGTGTTTCTGTGTTACAAGGGGGGGCTCGGGCACAGTAGCAATATGACACGGGAATGGAGTTCAGTCCTCAGCCCGCTGCTAAGCCCCTAACGTCGTTCCGGACTCCTGCATGTGCTCGCCTGAAGCACCCCTGCACCGCGACTCGGTCCCTACTTACTCCTGCCCGCCACCACCACCGCCGGGTCCTCAGTCTCACGGTCTTTCCGTGTGTCCATGAACACCTCGCCGCTGCTAGCCAGGTAGCCCACATAGTGTACTGCGTTGGTAAGGGCAGGGTGGAGGGTTGGGCACAGGCGTGCGGCAGGAGCGGGTTGGTGTGCCTCGTGGGTGGATGGACGGTTGAGGTGTCCTTAGCCGTCAGATTTATGTGTGTTAGGCCGCAGATCTACACCATTTGTCAAATAGACCTACTAAGGCATCTTGCATGCAAGGACGGCTTGTCGCCGGGCTCGCCATGCTCGAGAATCTTCTTTAAAACTCCACGGTCCTGAGTAACCGCGACGCAGTCTTCAGGAGGAACCAAAGGAACCGGAGATGCATCGCTTGGGCCACTACTTTCAGCCTGTGGAGCCGCTCCGCTCGGCTCCGTTTGCGGTTCTGCCGTAGTCTGTTCAAGGATTCTCCTTCCGTCCAAGACAACCTCCTCGGCTTCAGCCGGCGAGACCTGGTTGGAAGCTGCAAAATCATTGCACCTTTCATCCGATGCTGCTTGCTCTGTTTGCGCCATGTGGCCGGTCAGTTAAGCGTAAATTCCTTATCGGACCTTTACAAGAACCAAGACCGCAAGCAAATTGGATGACCACAGTACAGCTACAGGATTAATACATCAAAACATATGTTCACATGACATTGCAGTTGACGAGTTCCATGCTTGCAAGTTCTTTGGTACTTCCTTGCAACCGAATTCACGTATACTACACGTCATAAGAGAGCGACACATTCTACATGGCACACTGGCCTGCAGAAACGATACATCGCAGGCACGTACGACAATAACATGTGTGGCTGACACGCTTAATGAAGTACGGAGTAAACCCAGCGCTTCAAAGCGAGGCACGTCTTGGGCACAATATGCATATCGCAACATGTAGCAAGGGGCCTCTGGCATGAATGTGCGCGCCGAACCACGAGCGCGCAGCCCTTATGCTCCGAGAGAACGGGACCAAGCAGTATGCCATATAGGTACAACTCAATCTTCGTACATCCATTCTGCCACAGCGGAAATACACGCAGACGTGCCAACATCGTGGCACCATTACACATCCGTTCTCATGGCACTCGAGAACAGGTTCCCGCCCCAAATCACAATTTCCCAGGCCCACCTGCCCAAACCACAAGGATCCCACCACCCGCTCAACACCGCAGCCACCGTTCTTCCGTCTCTTCGTCTTCCACCGTATGCTGCCGCCCTGCAACAGACGGATCGCTCCACACGGCGGCTCTGCATAGGGCCCATCACACCGACACCGGGTCCCCCGGGTACAGCCCCGAAACCACCTCGAAGCTGTCCGGCGGGTCAAACACCTGGGGAGGGCACCCAGGCAGGCACAGTGGAAGGAGTTGGAAAAGCCGTGTAGGGGCTAGGGTACAAGGCTGAAAGGAACTGTAAAAGTACGGAAAGGGAAAGGAAGGGGAACATCCCAACAACATCTTACCACCCGTCTTCTCCCTATCATTGCTAGCAGCCCAACTCGGGAATTTCAGCCCCAATGCCGTACACCCCTCTCTCCCCCCGCCCTCCCGCCCGCACCTCCAGCTCCACAATGTCCCCCACCGCCATCTTGGGGGCCGCCACCGCCGCCTTCCGGCTGCCCCGCGGCCCCCCCGCGCCCACCGGCCACCCCAGCGGCGGCGCGTGCAGGCGGTAGTAGGTGCAGTTGCGCTGGGGCGGCTCGTAGGGCGGCGTGAGCAGGTCCAGCACCGCGCAGGGAGTCTCGGCGGTAAACTCGTGCAGGTTGCCGCCTGGAGGGTGGGGGAGGGGAAGGGGAAGGGAGGCGGGGAGAGGAGGAGACAAACGGGGGAAGGGACACGGCACGTAAGGGGCGCGTTGATGAACTGCATGCAGCAGTGCAACAGACGGGGTGCCGTGTTTGCCCCCCTCGCTGCGGTGGCCGTGCGCCACCACAAGGGCCGCTGTCCCTGGTGCTGCTGCTGGGGGTGAGGTGGAGGTCACGTTGGGTACATGCTACCAGCAGTCTCGGTGCTGCCGCCGCGGTGCCAGGAGCTGCCAGGCGGCAGCTGGTATCTGCGCCCCACAGCACTGGCACGCCCCGCGTTGCTGGGCTCCATCCCTGCGTGCAAACCTGCCACAACACTCCCTCCCTCCCTCCGCACCCAGCCCAGCCCATACGTGCAGCCTTCGCTTAACTAGCCACTAGGGCAGTTTGTCTGGTAGGTCTTCCACTAGCAGTCGGGGAGGTAAAGCGGGCGTGTGGGGGGTGGTTTCGCTCCCAACAACAATGGAAGCCAACCAGCTGCGCTGATGGAAGAAGCCTATCGGCCCTCCCCTGTCTAGCACGACACGTCTGCTGACCGCAAAGCCACACTGACGTGTCCAGTAAGAAACACCCCGGGGCTCTCATCAGAAGCAAAGCCCATCCAATCCACTCTCCCACACCATCAGCGACCCCTTCCCCCTCCCCCTCCCCCACACTCTCTCTCTCTTCCTCTCTCCCGCCCGCTCTCCTCTCCTCTCCGCCGCCTACCTAGCGGCGCCGCTGACGCACCTGACGCCGGGAACAGCACCACCGGCGGCGAGCTGGGCTCCACCACCGCGTCGCACACCAGGCGCGCGCGCGCCGAGCCGTGCGTGATGGGCTCCGCGGGCTGCACCTCCCAGTCGTACGCGCTCACCCGCAGCCGCCCGAACAGCAGCCTGTGCAGGGGTGGGATGAGGTAGAGCAGGGGCGGGGAGGGGGGCGGGGAGCAGGTGAAGTGGATGTCGAATGAGGCGGCGAAGGAGGGCTGTTGAAATAAGCATAGCTGTGTTTGCAGTGGACGCTAGCCGGGCTGGCGGCTTGAGGATAGAGAGGGCACAGACCGGAGAGGGGTAACCGGGAACGGCGAAGGACCATAAAAAGGAGGCAGCAAGGCACCCGCTCGCCACTCGGTAGCTCTCCTGGTCGAATCTGATGTTACCCGCCTCCCCCATCCCTCCCTGGTCGGGTACTCATTCCCAATACACCTCTCCCCTCTCCCCGCACGCCCGCATGCGCGCACCTGGAGAAGACCGTCATGCCCGGGTGGTTGTGTAGCGGGATGGTGGCGCCCGCGGGGAAGCAGAAGAGGCCGAAAGTGAGGCTGGAGTCCTCGTAGATGCGCATGTACTTGATGCGGCTGCGGAGCGCACCGGCACACACAGGGGAACAAGGGGGCGGACACACGGGGGCGGACACGCCGTGAGCGAGGTGTGCAGCACACGGGGCGGGGTAAGTGCCTTGCCCTCCGTTACGGTACATGGCGCAGAGGCCGCTGCGACTGCAGCTGCCGCAGAACACGTTACAGCAGCCCTACACACATGTCACTTCAGCAGCAAGGCAGCTTGGCAGCCGCCAGGAGGGGAGACTGACAAACAGTGAACGCCGGTACCAACGCCTAGGAACATTACTGTTCCACAACACACGTCAGGCCCTGCCTGGGGACTCTATCCCCTGCCAGCCAGCCCCAGGACTCCCGTGCATGCGTGCGGCCGCCCACCTGTCCCGCAGCCGCAGCTTGAGCGCCCCCAGGTAGGGGTCGGACACCATGTCGGGGTCCATGCCCAGCTCCTCCAGCGAGATCTCGCCTGGGGGGCGGAGGGGCGGGGGAGGTCAAGGACGGGTGGCAACGTGGGCGACAAGGAGGCTCAGTGGGTACGGCTGGTTCACGGCGCATGGTGGCAAAAGTGGTAATGATATGGGGATATTGTCGTGCTGTGTGCGTGGCCGGGGGCTTCTTGTCGTGCATGTGCGCGTATACCGTGGATTGGGCGCCAGGTCAAGGTCAAACAGGGGAGCTGATGTGGTATGGGGGTGTAGGGTGTTTTCACTGCTGCTGAGAGGCCAAGCATGTTTGCCAGGTGTATCCCTTGGAGGTGCCACTTGGGGCCCACACGCAACTCGACACTAGCAGCAGGTGTAGAGCTGTAGCGGGCCAGGCTCTATGCAGCTACAGCGTCGGGTACTGAGACGCCCGGTACTGCAGCGCAACACTCACCGGAGCTCCGGCTTTAGTTTTCCATAACCTTACCTACCACGGCAAACAAGAAGACTTACCCATCATCTGGGCCAATTGAGTTACTGTCTCGGGGTGCGCATCATTCACCATGCCGCGCAACACGGCGCGGCGGGCAGCTGTAAAGAAGTCCTGTAGCTTTGACCCGCTAGGTTGCTGGGGATCGAACGGGCTGCTGTTCGCAGCTCCCTGGGATTGCATATTAACATACTGCCGGAGACCTGTTGCCGAGTTGGCTCGGGACGTGGCACCCGTGCAACCTCGCAACCGTAAGACTGTGTTTGACAGGCGAAGTGGAACAGGATGCAAAAGTGGTAGCATGAGTCCAGCTGCTTGCTACCGAGTAGGCAAGGCAGGTAGAAAGCCAGGAAGCTCACGGTAAAAAAACAATTTGACCCACAGGCTGCCAACCATACTATAGAGAAAGAAACGGAACGCAGGGCATAATTGAAAAGCTTGCAAGTCTCGTAGTTTGGTAAAATTTGGATTCCGAACTGGGCTTCACCCTGTTTGCTAGAGTTCTCCTTTGGAAAGTTTCAGTAATTGGGTCCTGTGCCAATTTCCTCCACCACTGGAAAGATCACGTTAGCAACTGAACGGGAAAAGCTGTACGGAACAGGGCCCATAAGCCAGCCATACAGCCATACAGCCATACTGGGCTATCTTGGGAAGGCGGGAACGTCAGATACCTTGTTAAATAGGGTGAATCATCGTGTGTACTCAAACATATTAACGTTGGTTAACCTTCGGGCAGTGCTTCCATTGTACTTATAACGCTCGAGCCCGCGCTTTCTGTGCTGACTACAAGTCCCCGACCATGGCCGAACTACCGGCCGAGCTCATCGTGTTGATGAGCAACCTGAGTATCACTCAGCTTGTGGTGGCGGGCAGTGCAGTGCTTTTCCTGACCCTCGTCGTGGGTCGCCTTTTGTTCAACGGCATCCCGGGCAAGCGGCCACCTGTGTTCGAGGGAATTCCCTACGTCGGTGGCCTCCTCAAATTCGCAAAGGTAGTTTCGGCTACCGATGTTGGCGCGCAAGCTGCCATCGGGCTCTGATCACGCCCGCGTCCCGCGTTACAGGGGCCCTGGAAGCTGCTTCATGAGGGCTATGCGAAGTATGGCGAAGTGTTTACCGTCCCTGTCGCGCACAAGCGCGTCACCTTCCTCATTGGCCCGGAGGTCTCGCCGCATTTCTTCAAGGCGGGCGACGAGGAGATGAGCCAGTCTGAGGTAGGATCAGCTTAGTAGTCCTGAACTATCCGAAGCTAGGTTGCTTGGTTTGCCTCCCAGGTGCGTTACAACCTTCAAACCCCGCCTCCTGGCTCTCATGGCAGGTGTACGACTTCAACGTTCCTACCTTTGGCAAGGGCGTCGTGTTCGATGTGGAACAGAAGGTCCGCACCGAGCAGTTTCGCATGTTCACGGAGGCGCTTACCAAGAACCGCCTGAAGGCCTACGTGCCGCAGTTCACCCGGGAGGCTGAGGTGGGTGCAGGGCGGGGCTTTCCGGTATGCAGGGAACTTCCATCGTAGCCCCCAATAGATTGCTACAGTACCGTGATTTTGTATATTGCAACGAGGGCAACGGGCCAGGGTGAGACTGTAGAGGCTACCCGGAGTAGTATCCAAGCGCCCCCATCGGCCAGGATCCAGGTCTTCCACATCTACCCGCTCCTTCGCCTAGACCTGCACGCGCCTCCGCCCCAATTGCACTCCAGACTGCATTCCGTCCCCACCTCATCCTGCCCCGCATGTGCTGCTGTCCTCCCCACTGCAGGAGTACTTTGCCAAGTGGGGCGACTCGGGCATTGTTGACTTCCGCGACGAGTTCAGCAAGCTGGTCACCCTCACCGCCGCCAGGACCCTGCTGGGTGAGGGGGCCTGCGGGGGCTGGGCACGCGTGCTGGGGGGTGGGGGGTGGGGAACAGAGGAGGGCCCTTGTTGGCCGGTCCCTTCGTTTCTCGGCTACGTGACGCATTGCACATTTTGCACCCCCTGCACATCACCATCCTCGCCTAGGTGCTAAGATCCCAACGCCCCTCCTCCTGCCTCCTGGTGTGCCGCTGCTCCCAGGCCGCGAGGTGCGCGAGCAGCTGTTCGACCAGGTGGCCGACCTGCTGCACGGCCTGGACGAGGGCATGGTGCCGCTGTCGGTGTTCTTCCCCTACCTGCCTATCGAGCCGCACAAGAAGCGTGACAGGTGCGCGGCTGGTGGCCCCGCCGTGTAGGGGTGGCTGTTGTTGCACAGCATGCTTGCGTGGCTAGGGTTGCATATGTCGGTTGTAGGGGTCGTCTCTCTCGTCTGGATGTAGGCTGCCATGCCTACCTGTCGTCTCTCACCCATGCGCCCATCGTCCCTCCACTCCTGCCCGGCTGTCCTCCGCAGGTGCCGCAAGGCGCTGTCGGAGATCTTCGCCAAGATCATCCAGAACCGCCGCACCTCGGGTCGCCGCGAGGAGGATGTCCTGCAGCAGTTCATTGACGCCAGGTGGGGGATGGCTGGGGACGACCGCCTGGCTTGCGGCTCAGAAAGATCGTCTTGCCAGCCTGCCAGCCTGCTTCCGCCACTGCATGGGCTACCCTAAGGACCGGCTATAAGTCTATAACCCCATGGACCCTTTGCTCCGCTGTGCACCTGCAGGTACCAGAACGTGAACGGCGGCCGCGCGCTGACGGAGGAGGAGATTACGGGTCTGCTGATCGCGGTGCTGTTCGCCGGCCAGCACACCAGCTCCATCACCACCTCCTGGTCCGCCATCTTCATGGCCGCCAGCAAGGTGCGCGACAGAGTCCGACATGGGCAGCTGGGTAGCACAACAGTCCCGCAGCATCCCCACGCTGACGGGCAGCACCTCGACGCTCTGCACCCACATGCCGATCCCATGATGCCCTTGATGTCGTGCAGCCTTCCCCTCGCATTATGCCGAAGCACACTACGTACACACCCTTGTTGGCTATAGTGTCTAGCCCAGTGTCCTGTCCTTCCACAGCATTTACTCTTCCCCTCTCTGCTGCCCGCTCCGCCCCTCTACCAGGACAAGGGCTGGCTGCCCGCTGCCGAGGAGCAGAAGGCCATCGTGGCCAAGCATGGCGCCGAACTCAGCTTCGACGCGCTGATGGACATGGAGGTGCTGCACCGCTGCATCAACGAGGCGCTGCGCATCCACCCGCCGCTGCTGCTGGTCATGCGCTACGCCAAGAAGCCCTTCCAGGTCACCACCAGCCAGGGCAAGAGCTACATCGTGCCCAAGGTGGGGGAGCTGGGGAGGGGCAGGTCATGGGAGTTGGCGGGCTCCTGAGGCTTTCCTGCCTTTCCATGAATGCGTTTGTTGAGGCTATGAGTTGTCGAGGTTATGAGTTGCGCCGAGGTCGTGGAAATACCGCGCCCTTGTTCTTGACTTCACACACTCCTGGTGCCTCCGCTACCACAACTTATCTAATACCGTTGCCGCGTGACCCCCCCTTGGCTCGCGCAGAACGACGTGGTGGCCGTGTCGCCCAACTTCTCGCACATGCTGCCGCACGTCTTCAAGAACCCCGAGAGCTTCGAGCCGGAGCGCTTCACCAAGCCGCGCGAGGAGCAGGCGCGCAACTACGCCTACCTGGGCTTTGGCGCCGGCCGCCACGCCTGCATCGGCCAGAACTTTGCGCTGCTGCAGATCAAGTCCATTCTGTCGGTGCTGCTGCGCAACTTTGAGTTCGAGCTGCTGGACCCCGTGCCGGACGCGGACTACGAGTCCATGGTCATCGGCCCCAAGGCCTGCCGCGTCAAGTTCACGCGCCGCAAGCTGCTGTAAGCGGCGGCGGCGGCGGTAGTGGCGGGCACCTTACACCTAATTACCCGTTGGTAGTGGTGGTTACACCTAATTACCCGTTGGTAGTGGTGGTTTGGTGGAGTGAAGCGGGTGCACGGCACCGAGGGCTGTGTGGCGGCAGGACTTGGATTAGCATTCCACCATTTTTGGAATGTGGACGTTGACAGCAGCATGTTGGACCGTCCTGGTGTTTGGTGTTGGGTCCTTGTGTGCTCCGCTCTTTTGCACTGTTGGTCTCGTGGCCTTTGGCTATGGATATAGAATAAAGGGCTGACCAGCGGGGAGGGTGCGTGCATGGCGAGTGCCGGACACGGGGATGTCACACGGGTACGTCGCGTCATTACGCGCGGGGCAGCGGCATTGGCACCTGTCGGGGCGTGAGCTGAGGTTGTGCGAACTGAGGTTGTGCGTGGTTGAGCTGGGAGGGGTTGGGTGCGATATGGGATGTAGCCGTGTCACTTACCTAAGTGGTGGCCGTATGGCTAGAACTGAAGGGCTAGTTGCCGTTGGCTCGGTGTTGCTTGCAGGAGCGTGGTGTTGCCTTGGAAGCGCGGTGGGTTGCTGCAGGTCGCCGCGCACAGAGTGGCGTCAACGCGTAAAGGAGCACCTTAACATTGTTATAACTGTTATGGTTGACAAGTATGCGAGCGGTTCCTATATAAGCGGTGCTCTTTTATATATACCGTATGGCTTGGGTTTTGCAAGCGTGTCGTGTTGGTCTGTAGGGGGTTTTGTACGTGCCCCTATTCTTTACGTTGAGGGGACGATTGTCTTGCAATGCGGTATTGGTATCTTGGGGTGCGCAACAACAGGCGGCGCCCCGCGGCGGTTGAAATAGTACTACTAATCCATCTTTGACCGCTGGTTGGAGTGACTGATTACTGTGCCTTGCTGAGGGGTTTTGGCGCTAACCTAACAGCCATCTTGGGGCGTTAGCCTATGTCGACATGTTTGTATGCAGCGCGCGTTTTTGAAGGTTTTGTGTTCTCTTGGTTTGATTCCCAACGGGCGTCTACGGATCTGTTAACAAACTGAACCTGTAAATTGCCAAATGCATACGCACGTGTTCTAAGTAGACGAATGCTTCATTTGAACATGCATGGGGAACAACAATCGCAGCGCCGCTGAATAGGACTGGGAAAGCATGCTAAAGCGCGTCTTTCGCAGGTGTACGGCACGGACTTGGCTCTGTCATGCTCTCGGTGATGCATGCTGCCGGGGGACCCCATTGGTGCTAAGTGGGCCGCATCAGTACCGACGACCTGTGATGTCTGGGTCGTGCAATAAAACGGTCTCATTACAGCAAGTTCCTACGGCTCTGTTGCCAAGGCTCTGTTGCCAAGGAACGCATCGCAAACCCCAAGTATCCCCACTGCCCGTTTTGCACACCGCGTAGCATCCCGCGCACTCCCTTCACCATATCCGTGTTACCCACATACTGCGTACTCAAGTGCGTACCCAGTCCTGCGGTCAGCTAATGTATTCCAGTACAGCTGCCTCAGTTGTGACCAAATTGAAGATCATGACACTGAGCATTAGTTACGAAGTAAGATCGTGAAACTGAGCACTGCTGAGTGCTGACCCTTGCAAAAAAGAGGGGGGCATATAGAAAGTCGTACGGTGTACGGTCATATGCTTCGCAAAGTGTGCGTTTCACGCCAAGTTACTGATGCCAAACCGTTTGAGGTGCCCATCTTGCAATAGATCGCGCAGTACTGGCGGATTAGGGTGCGCCCGTCGTGGCGCCTTGCCAGCGTGCTCGCGTAAATCAACTCCAGAAAAGTAGCAGCAGTGCTTTCAGGGGCAAGCTTTGTTCGCGTAGCATACTTCGGCTATTGATCTGGTGTTCCCAAGCTTTAGCGGACTGGCGATCTAGTTGCGATGGCGCAGCACCCAACTAGCCCGACCTGGGTATGTACAGACATGCTGCTTGCCTACTCGCCGATAATGGAGTACTACTTGCTCCTTGCGGATATCTTGAACCAAGCAACCTGCCTCTGTGGAGCCCCGCCGCCCGCGGACCGCGTAGTCACGCGCCGTTGCCTGTGTTCGCAGGTCGGCGAGCAATTCATCAGCAAGTACTATGACGTGCTGGAGAGGCTGCCCAAGTATTTGCATCGCTTCTATAGGGAGAACAGCACGTTCACTGTGACAGATGAGCAGCTCAATGGCTCCGCAGCTGTGGAGACGGCGAGCGGTAGCCTAGAGGTACACATATGTAATGTAAAATTAAAATAGATCTCACTTACTCACATAGTTCGGGTGCCTTTTGCAGGCCATCCAGGAGAAGGTCATGGCCACGGTTGCGAACGCGGTCGTCGCGGGCGACAAGTCCCTTGACGCTCAGTTTTCGGAGGGTGGTGGCGTTCTGCTGCAGGTGGCGGGCTTCATGAAGCTGCACGTAAGCTTGCTCCTGCACTTCATTGCACTGCACGGATTCTGCTCACACGCTCCATTGGCTCGCAGGGTGTCGACAGGAGGTTCGTGCAGACGTTCTTCCTGGCCACACAGGAGAAGGGCTACTATGTCCTGAATGACATGCTGCGTATCCTTGCTCCTGAGCCGGTGCGTGATATGCGGCCCCTGGAGAACGGGTTCGTTGGAGCGCATGTACCTGTCATTCCGCCGCCCGCATACGCTCTCGCTCCCCCTCCTCCGGTAAGATGCCTTGCCCATTCCACGCTGTGTCCTTGCTCCGATCATGCGGAGCATCGCACTGACGCGTGCCCTCCCTTGCGTCCCCAACCATTCCTTGCTGCAGCTGGCCAGCCAGCTGCCGCCGAGGGTGGACATGACCCCTGGAATGGCCCCTGGCATGTCCGTTGCCGCGGCCCCCGTGCCCGTTGAACCCGTAGCGGCAGAGGCCGAGCCAGCTGTGCAGGAGGCGGCTGTCGCTGCCCCAGCGCCTGTAGCAGCTCCTGAGCCGGAGGTGGTAGAGGCACCCGTGGTGGCTGCTGCTCCGACGCCCGTGGTGCAGGCCCCACCGGTGGTCCCGGCGCCGCAGCAGGCCCCTGTCCCGGTTCCGGTGCCCGCGGCCCCGGCCGCGGCTCCGGCGCCGGTGCAGCCGAAGCAGCCTGCCCCCGCCGCTGCAGCGCCTGCTGCTCCGGCGCCTCCGCTGAGCTGGGCTGAGCGTGCTAAGCTGGCATCCGCAGCCAAGCAACCCGTGCCCGCAAAGGCACCACAGCAACCGGCGCCGGCAGCAGCAGAGGCGCCGGCCGCGGAGGTGTCGTCTTCGACGCCGGCAGCTGCCGAGGCGGCCACCGGCGCTCCTGCGGAAGCGCGTGGCGACGTGGACTCGGACAGCCGGGTGCCTGAGGCCCTGCCGGCCGTGCCGCTTGGCATGGACAACGACCCAGGCCATGGCGTCTACGTGCAGGGCATTCCGCAAACCCTGTCGGAGGAGGACCTGGTGAAGCTGCTCAGTGCCCAGTTCGCACAGTTTGGCGCCTTCGGCATGGGTGGCGTCAAGATTGTGAAGTCACCGCGCTTTGGCATGGTGGCGTACGTGTTCTACCAGGACGAGAAGTCGCGCGACGCTGCTCGCGAGAGCAGCGGCAAGCTGCGGCTCTCGGAGGCTGAGAGGCCCCTGAAAATCCTGGGCGCGTTGCCAGAGTTTGAGCGGGGCTTTGCACAACGTCCGGGTGGCCGCGGCGACCGTGGCCGCGGCAGCGGCATGGGCAGCGGATACAGGGGTGGCCGAGGTAAGCTGGGGGGGGATGGAATGCTTACATGCCCTGCGGGAATGCATGAATGTCCATCGCGCATGAACGCTCGCGGTAGGCAAAAGACCGCAGCTTTCATTAAGGAAAGATGCAAGCGGCCTTACCAACTAACACCGCCATAAAGCGCAATGCTACGGAGTGTGGGGTTATAGCCTTCCACGCTTGCGCCCCTGTAGGCGGTTTCGACGGCGTCCGCGGGCGCGGTGGCCGAGGTGAAGGCCGCGGCGACCGGCCTCCCAGCGGAGGGCCCGGCGGACGTGGAGGTCGGGGCGCTGAGCGCGGCGGCCGCGGGGGCGGCCCAGGGCGTGGGCCCCGCGACCCGGCGAGCGGGCCCGTGGTGCCGAAGCAGCCGTAACTGAGCGGCGTCTGGGGTGCTGGTGAGGGGTGATGCAGGCTGCGTGCACAGCAGCAACTGGTGCACGGGCGGGGGTTAGCAGGGTTAGGCAGCGACTGGTTTGTGAGTGCATTGTGTTTTGCTGGCGTACTTGTGGCAAGAAACTACCCGGGCGGTTCTCTGTGAGGGAACTTGATGGCTGGGGGCGGATTTGCAGACGTCGAATGTAGTGTGCCCGGAAGGGGTTGTGCAGGGATCCCTCACATGGCCCGCACGGTCTATCATCTGATGAGCAGGGCAAGAGTTGCGAGCTTGTCCTGCAGTGGCAGGTGGCATCATACACGATTGCGTGCTCTGTCAGTGGTGAGTGGGCATGCTGGAGTAGTTAGGGTGCAGTTGGCGAGCGATCTGGCTGGAGTGAGTGCAGGCGCTTTCTCGAGGTATTTGCTCTGATGGGGCAAGCGCCCCAAACCGATTGATATGAAGAGTCGAGTAGTCTGAGACCTGGCCCTTTTTTTTTGCGGATGCGTAGTTAAGCGGGCAGAGTTTGCAAAGGAACAACATATAGGGGCGACGGTTTGCTCGTATGCGGCGCATATTTGCGTGTGCATACTTGGTGACAGGGACACGTCTTGCTATAGGCCGCCATGGCCATTTTGAAAGGCACGATGCTTGTGACCCTTGAGGTGACATGACGTACTGTGCAGGCGTCGGCAGGAGTATGCGTTCTGCGTGACAAAGACGAGCGTTTTTTGACAAGGCCACGGCCGCTGCTAATACTAGACAGAATTGCTTGACTAACCATCGTGCGCGACATTATTGACGGGGTATTGCCTTATACCACTGTCCAGTTCGTCATTGTAACTCTGGTATGTACTGCGCATGCATTCAGCATCTCTCGCCAACCGCTCGCGGCACGTTGCGCCGCTTGGAGACAGCCCGTGGACAACCATGCAGCAGCTGCTGCACTTCTACGCAGCCCATGTTGGGTTTCCCGCCTTTGGAAGCTTCGCTGCCACGAGCTCCTCAAGCTGTTGTTCCCGCAGCAGCAGCGCCATCGCCTCGATCCTGCAAGAGGCGGTTGTCGTAAGGGGCCGCAACGGCATATCGCCTCCGTGATTGCAGCTTAGCCGGTACCTACTAAGCGGGCCTGCCCAGGAATGGCAAGAACACGCCAAACCCCCAATGCCCGTTTCTGTCTTTCACTGTGGGTGCAGGGTTGCGATGTGCTTTGTCCCGTTCAAACACATCACGACTGCCCACGAGATCCACGCACCGTAATCGCTCGTTCTCCGCCTCCAGCAGCGCGATAGCGGCCTCATCCTGACGTGACCTGGCGCTCCCGTTCTTTTGACCCAGCAGCCGCTCCACCTGTGCAAACCAAACCCCGTAAGCCAAACCCGTGCCGCCTACGTAACACACCACCCTAAACCAGCCTAAATGCCCCATAAAAGTTCGAAGAAAGCCAACTGTTCCTTGATCCTTGTAGCCATGCCTCAAGTTGCTCTCCAACCGTTTTGCAACAGACCGTGTCACAGCGTGTCATGGCGCACCTCGAGGAAGGCTTGCCGCGCCCGCTCAGCCAGCTCGTCATCCGTGGCTAGCGCCGAGTCCATGACAGCTTCAGCGCCCGCGCCCCCGCTCACGAGGGCTGCAAGCTGGGCTTTGAGCTCCGAAACCTCCTGCCGCATAGCTGCCACCACTCCCGCCTGTTGGGAAGAGCATGCAGCGTGGTGTTTTTATGGCGTGCCGGCCTTGCCTGGAGGGATCTCAGCTCTCGGCATTCCTTACCCGAGGCATGGGTTTTCCTGGCTCGAACAAAACTGCAAGCCTGCTTTCTGCTTCCACGATCGATTGTGTTAGCTTGGCTGCCTCTGCTGACTGGTCCGTGAGCGGTGCAGGGCCTCCGCCTACCGCGGCTCTGACGTGCGCCCGATGCGGTAACCCGCGCAAGGATCTCCCTGCATGCACGCAGCATAGGAACCAGTGAACAAGGGTGCAGAGTCGAGGGCCGTTGGGCCGTTGGCCTTTCCCGCCTAGAGCGCTCCCCTGCTGACCTGCTAGCGTTGCACGAGTGTATCGTGACGATACACATGAAGGGCGAAGCTTAACCATCTTGCGGGAGATGCGGGGTAGACAGGAAAGGGAACCCCTTCGCTAGCGACCCAGATGAGGACAGTTGCAGATACGGGAGCGCTAGGGAACTAGTAATCAAGAATGCGATTAACTTATTACGTTGGCGCTGTCCAGGGCAATGAATCAAACCCCCAACCGGTGCATCGAATGACATTTCCAAATCATCCGCCAACCCATGCAACGCACGGAGCTCTAGCGGTGTTGCACACCACTGTACTGATTTTGTTAGGCCTTTACTTTTGACCATACCTTACGAAGTTTGACGCTTGAGCTTCGTCGCTGTCGCTGGGCCTAAAATAACAACATACGAGGACCAGCCAGTTCAAATATTACATAATAATAACGTTGTGTATCCTTAGGACAAGTCTAAAGCGATTCTCTGGGGGGTACCCTGAATTCGGCGCGCAGCCTGGGGACGAATGACCCAGCCCTACCATACTCAAGCCTCCCAGGCCCTAGACTTTGGCTTTGGATTTGTCGATGGCGGAGCGACGGGCTTGACGTTTGAAGACTACGGTGCCACTCAAGATGCGCACCCCGGTACTCTACAATTCAACGATTTCACGCAGGCAAGGGGTGCAGTCCTTCTGTGCTCCTGATCCGTGATCCGATGGCGAGATTGTGTCGCATAGAGTTACCTTATTCCCCCGTCTTATGCCTTTGCTGGTGCAGGGTGTCAGCCAGGCACTTAGCTGGGGGGCCCCTGTGGGCGTGCCGACCACCACCCAGCGGCTGGCGCCTCAGGTTTGTGCACCGTTAGGACACTTTCTGCCTAGGTAAAATGACGCACGGGAGGGTTCGGCCTTGTCGACTGCGTAGCAGCTTGACCGGTGGTGCATGTCACGATACCTTCCTGCCCACCTTAAGTATGCCATCCGTACCCATCCCCCTTCCGGCCCTCAGGCACCCCAACCTGGCTTTGACGGTCAGCTAGACGGCCTAGCAACGGGCTTCCAACAGGTGTGCACGACAGCTGCCCACGGCATTACCTAGGCGTTGATCGCGTAGAGCCAACCGCGCATCTCCACTTCCATCGCCCTGCGTCACCTCGTTAAGAGCATGTCGCCCCCCCCTTTCCTCCTAGATGAGAACTGGCTCCCCTGCTGCCCCCAACTGTTCCCCCATGTCTGCCGTACGTTCCCCCCCGTGTGCACACCCGCAGCAGCTGCGCTTCCAGGAGGCGTTCGACGAGGCGGAGGAGGAGCAGCCGCCAGCCGCACCGGAGCAGCCGCCGGAGTGGGCATGCGCGTGAGTGGGGCGGGGGCTAGGTAGACTGAGCCGCGAGGAAACACCGGCCTGGCAAGGGAGAAGGAGGGACACGGTTGACTACCACGGGTTCTGCTTGGGTTGACGCCCCGTCAGGTTTTAAATGAGGCAAGAGGGGATTGTGCGCTGCTATGTCGTTGAGGGCAAGAGGGCCCGTGAGGGTAGTACGGAGGGGGTGACCCGGTGAGGAAGGGGACGATGCAGGAAGCAGGTGCTGGAACCTGGGGGCCGCTGTGCACCCCTCCCAACCCCAACCCGCAGCCAACCAACACCCGGCCCGCGCCCGTCCTTGTGTTTGCAGGTACTGCGGCATCCACAACCCCGCCTGCGTGGTCAAGTGCCTCAGCAGCAACAAGTGGTTCTGCAACGGCCGCGTGCATGGCTCCGGATCCTGCATCATCATGCACCTGGTCAGTGGTGCATGCGGGGGCGGGGGTCGGGAGGGGGCGGGGGGTTGAGGGTTGGGGTGGCATTAGCAACACATGCGGGGCATCCCTATCCCTATCCTCATCCCCAGCACGTGTCCGTTTCCTCCTGCGCTGTTTGTGTGGGGGGCCTTCAGTACCCCCTAACCCCCCCCTTTCCTCCCCTCCTCCCCCTCCTATGGAATCGGGACTCGTTGTTTCACTTACATATTTATTTCCCTCCCCGCCCCCCCCTTCCCCCCTCCCCGCCCCCCAGGTCAAGAGCAAGTGCAAGGAGGTGCAGCTGCACAAGGACTCCCCCCTGGGCGACACCGTGCTGGAGTGCTACGCCTCCGGCAGCCGCAACCTCTTCGTGCTGGGCTTCGTGCCGGTGCGCAGCGAGAACACGGTGGTGCTGCTGGCGCGCGACACGCCGCCCAACCACCCCACCATCCGCGACCTCAACCTGGACCTGGCCCAGTGGCAGCCCATCGTGGAGGACCGCGGACTGGTGCCCTGGCTGGTGAAGCAGCCGGAGGAGCAGGAGCTGCTGCGAGCGAGGCACCTCACACTGGCGCAGGTGGGTGGGGGTGGGGGGTGCTAGGGGGTGGAAGACCCGCAGCGGGCTGCGTATCTTGGAGGCTGAGAAGTGGGGTAAGGAGGAAGAAACTAACTGGGTTGGGGTTGGCTAGTAAGCCATAAGGCACACGGTGCTGTGGTGAGAGCGGGGCAGGGAAGGGGGAGGTGGTGTTGCAATCCAGGTGGGTCGCTGGTATGGTAGGCAGGCGGGGTGTCCGCAACACCGGCGGCATGCAAGGAGGGAAGAGGCGGGGAGCAGGGAGTCAGGCAGCGCCCCCCCCCTTCCCTCTGTCTGCTGCAGGTCAACAAGCTGGAGGAGCTGTGGAAGACGCGGCCGGCTGCCGGGGTGGACGACCTGGAGGAGGCGGCGGCGGCGCAGGACGGCGCGGTGCAGCCCGTGGCGCTCAAGTACGAGGACTCGGCGCAGTACCAGGTGGGGGGGTAGGGGGTCGGGGATGGGTTTGGAAGAGAGCAGTAGCAGGCGGGGGGTTACCGGTAAGGGGGGTTGGTTAACCTGCCAAGCAGGCTGGGGGGGAGGTTGGGGGTGGAGTGGGAACCCAGCAACCGGCTGTCTCCGGACCTCCCGCTCTGCGCTGACTTGCCGCTCTGATGGTTCCGCGGTCTGCCCTAATAATGGTTTCACTCTGCACCCCACCCCCTCCCTCCCCAGCTGTACGCTATCATTTCATTTCAGTCCTGGCAAATAATCCATCTCCGCTTTCCCCTCCTCCCGCCCGCTCCCCCAGGCTGTGTTCGAGCCGCTTGTGAAGCTGGAGGCTGACTACGACCGCTCCATCAAGGACAGCCAGTCGCGGGACGACATCAGTGTACGCTGGGACTGGGGGCTCAACAGCAAGCGGGTGGCGTACTTCTACTTCCCGCGGGATGACAACGAGCTGAAGCTGATGCAGGTGGGAGCTGGGTGGGGGAGGGAGAGGGAGGGAGTCGGGTTGGGAGGGAGTGTGGAGGGTCGAGGAGGTAGTGGTAGGTGAGGGGGCCAGGCAAGGGGGCGGTTAGCCATGGATGGGTGGGTTAGGCGGAGAGGTTTCCTTGTGCGGCCAGAGAAGTAGTTTTACACCGGTATGCCCTGCCGGTATTGCCGCCACCAAACCCGCATCTTACTCTTTTACCCCTCCCCCCCCCAGGGTGACGAGCTGAAGCTGCGGCACAAGAACGCGGGCAACCGGGGTCCCTGGGAGGCGCTGGGGCACGTGCTGACCTACCAGCAGAGCGAGGAGGTCTGCCTGGAGCTGTTCACCAACGTGAGTGGTGTGAGCCGTGGGGGGCCGCGCGGTGGTACGGCGGTGGCATGCGGATGACTCCTGTATGGACTTCACAGCGCCCGTGGGGGGGGTTCACAACTGGCAGGTTGCATGGCCCCGTACCAGGGTGCCCCGCTTACGTGGCGCATCCTTTGCCATGGAGAGAGGGTAATTGCAGCTGCCATGTGGCTACATGGCCCCTCCATCCCGCACCCACTCCCCCTCTCCCACCTTGTTTTATGGCACACTGCCGCCTCCTATCCCTGATGTCCTGCTGTCATGCCCTCACTTGTGGTTCAGTTCTTCCCCTTTTCCTCCTCCCTCCTCCCTTCCCCTCTGACCCCTCCTCCCGCTCCCAGGATGTGCCCGAGGACTGCACGGTGGGTTTCTCAGTGGACTTCGTGTGGCGGGGCACCTCGTACGACCGCATGCGGGCGGCGCTCAACACCTTCAGGAAGTACTCGGCCTCAATCTCAGGTGGGGGGACGGTGGGGTGGTGGTAAAGGGGAAACGGCGAACGAACCGTGTTATAAGGCGTCATCATGGTTCCGCGGTGGGGTGGTGTGTGTGTTCAAATAACTGGCTGCTTGGTGCGTTTGCGGTAGAGGGATTCCCTAGGTATCGTAGTCCCAGGCTCTGGTGAGGATGTGCGAGCACGGTCCAGCATCCCACCTGTAGTCATTCCGTTCCTTGCCTTACCTTCCCTCTCCTTCCCTCTCCCCCCTCTTTCCCCTGCCCCCCCCCCCTCTTCCCATTGCTTTGCCCTAACCTGTGGTTTCTTATGGTTTGGTATGGTCTTCGACCCCCCCCCTCCCCCCCCCTCCCCCCCCTCCCCCCCCAGGCTACCTGTACCACCTCATCCTGGGCCACCCCGTGGAGCCGGTGACGCTCAAGATCCCGCTGCCCAAGTCGGGGCTGGCGGTGCCCACACTGCCGGAGCTCAACCACAGCCAGCTGCACGCGGTGAAGAGCGTGCTGCAGCAGCCGCTGTCGCTCATTCAGGTGGAGGGGGGGGAGCGGAGAGGGCGGGGGTGGGCGGGAGGGGGAGTAGAGGAGAGGAGGTGGCGGCAGGTTAGAGTTGATGTAAACCCTCGAGTATAGCCTTCGGGTGGTCTGGGGCGGGGGTGTCTCACCAAAGGGTAGGGGCCTCTGGTGGTGATTAAGCTTATACGGTATCCGTCTCGCCGCTGTCATGCTAGGACTCCCAGCTTTTGTCCGGCTGCGCTCCTCCTCAGTCTCGCGCCTCTCACCTCCTCTACCCCCGCCACCCGCAGACATGGTTTTCGTTAGGGGCCGCTAACCCTCCCCTGTCTTGTGACACCCCGCCACCTCCTATCCCCATTGCTTTGCCCTAAGTCTGTGGATTCCTGCGGTCTGCGGTCACTCTGCGGCCGTCTATATTCTCCCCCCCCCCAGGGTCCCCCCGGCACCGGCAAGACCGTCACCTCCGCCGCCATCGTGTACCATCTGGCGCACTCGGGCACCGGGCAGGTGCTGGTGGCGGCACCCTCCAACGTGGCGGTGGACCAGCTGGCACACAAGGTGGGGGGGAGGTGGGGAGGGGAGGAATGGAGCTAGGCAGGGTTGGGGGCTGGTGGCGGAGGCTGGAATGTTTGGGGCAGGATGAGTGGCAGGCAAGGGCTTGGGGAAGAGGAGAGGTATGCTGGTTGGTGGCGTCATGGTTACCGCTTGCCGCTTCCTGTGTCGCCGCATTATCTGCTTTCTTGAGGTTCTGTGCAAGCCCCAACGCCCTCCCCGCTCCTTCCCTCCTTCGTCCTCCCCTCTCCGGCTCTCCCTTCCCAGATGGACCAGACGGGCCTTAAGGTGGTGCGGCTGTGCGCCAAGACGCGGGAGGCGGTGGCCTCGCCCGTGGAGCACCTCACGCTGCACTACCAGGTGGGGAAGGGCAAGAGGGGGAGGTGGCACTTGCAGAGCGCAGGGCAGGGAAGGGGCAGAGAAGGTTAGCTTGCGGTAATGACAACGATGGAGATGAAGTGGTGGGGCGCGATTCAGCCCCGCCTCGGTTCCTCTTATCTCGGTGCCTTCGCTTCGCTCCGTGTACATATGGTTTTGGGAGGGGCTCCCTCTGCGGAGGGTCTTGGCGGGCGAAGTTTTTTGGCATTTCCCATGCTCTCTATGTCGTCCATGTGCACGATTGCATTATTCATCGCGTAGCTTTAATGTAGGGCAGCGTTCTGTACTACGCGGTGTCCTCCAGTCCCCGGAAAATCATGTCGCGCTGGAAGGGATGAAGTTCATGCCCATCGTGAAGGTCAAACGAAGGCCCCACTTCCTCGCTCCCTCACGCCCAACTCCTTAGCCGCTGCATACCTAGTTGGCTTAACTAGAAAAAAAATATGTGGATAACTGGCGGTTGTTGAAGACAGGCCCGTGGATGCCGAATGCTACCCTACTAAGTTTGTAGTAATTGTAGTAAAGCCACACCTATCTTGTCTCCTCTCTTGATCCCATCTCCTCCCTCCCTGCTGCGCTCCAGGTGACGCATATGGCTGTCCCCGAAGGCGAGCGCCTCCGCAAGCTGCTGGCGCTGCGGGGGGCTCAGGGCGGGTTGAACGCCTCGGACGAGAAGGAGCTCAAGAGCCTGCGGCGGCGGCTGGAGATGGAGGTGCTGGAGAACGCGGATGTGGTGTGCAGCACCTGCGTGGGGGCGGGCGACCCGCGCCTGTCCAACTTCAGGTTCCAACATGTGAGGCTTGAGGAGGGGGAAAGTGGGGGATAGAAGGTACTTCTCTATTGAAGGCCATTGCGTAATAGGTTGCTGGCGGAGTTGGGTGGGATATAGGTTATAGCCATGGCCACCTCGCCACTGTTTGCGCTCAAGTGCTGTTGGGGGTACTGCCTCCGTATGCCGTGGTTACTGTGCATGGAAGTGTGTCGCTGTGCAAACACGACTGAGGGCCGTGGTGGCCGCCTGCTGGCTGCAGGTGCTTATCGACGAGAGCACGCAGGCAGCGGAGGCGGAGTGTCTGATCCCCATGGTGCTGGGAGCAAAGCAGGTGGGGAGCGGGGAGCGGGCATTGCTGGCGGGTGTGGTCGCCCTCAACCAACGTTCCAAGCCAGATTCTCATCACAAGCAAATGGCATGTCTCGCTCCTGGCGACAGCGACATCCCCTTCACCACCCTCACACCGCTTCCCCTGCTCACCCCCCGCACTGCCTCCTCTTGTTACCGGTACCTCCCCTGCCCTCCCCTCCCCTCCTCTGAGTCGGGATATGGGATTGGGACGCCAGTTGCTTTGCTTCTCACTTACTTTCTCCCCCTGCCTGCCCTGCCCTGCCCCCTACCCCCCCTAGGTTATCCTGGTGGGCGACCACTGCCAGCTGGGCCCCGTTATCATGTGCAAGAAGGCGGCGGAGGCGGGGCTGTGCCAGTCGCTGTTCGAGCGGCTGCGGCTGCTGGGCGTGAAGCCCATCCGGCTGCAGGTGCAGTACCGCATGCACCCCTGCCTCTCCGAGTTCCCCTCCAACACCTTCTACGAGGGCACGCTGCAGAACGGAACCGGCATGGGCGAGCGGCGGCTGGCGGGGGTGGACTTCCCCTGGCCCAACGCCGACAAGCCCATGATGTTCTGGGTGCAGCTGGGGGCGGAGGAGATCAGCGCAAGCGGTGGGTAAAAAAATATTTATAAGGAGACACTGACGAAGAAAAAGGGAGGGTAAAGTGGAAGGGAGCGAGGGAGGGGACAGATGGGGGACAGGTGGGGTGGTGGTAACCGGACGGACGGTTAGCATGCTGTCCTGGGGGCTGTGGCCCTTTGTTTGCGTAACATGAGCTCTACGTCTTGGGTTAGACGTGTCCGTGCGCCGACATCCACCGCCTTGCCCGTTGGGCGCGAGTCCCGTCATTCCATTTCTGAATGTGTTACCCCAACACCACCTGCTGTTATTGCACGGTAACCCTCACCAGGCACCTCCTACCTGAACCGCACGGAGGCTGCGGCGGTGGAGAAGGTGGTCACGCGCTTCCTGCAAAACGGCATGACGCCTCAGCAGGTAAGCAGGAGGGGGAGGGACACCCAGGAAGCGCGGTGCATACCCGCATACACCCCTGCCAAGGCCCTGTCTTAGCGTCCGCAGCCGCTCCCATACCGCGCACCCCGCTTGCCACGGGTGCTGCCCCGTCCCGCCCCTGGTGCCACCGTCCCTAGGTGCGTCTACTTGATGGCCTGACCTACCTAGCGACCTTACCTTGCCCTGCCTCCCTCGTCAGCCACCCCCTGCCAACCCGCCTCCCCCCCCTCTGTAACCCCAGATCGGAGTGATCACGCCGTACGAGGGGCAGCGCGCACACGTGGTTTCCGTCATGGTGCGCAACGGAGCGGCGCGACAGGACCTGTACAAGGAGATCGAGGTAAGGGAAACCAGGGAGGGAGGGAGGGAGGGAGGGAGAAAAGGGCGGAGTGGAGAAGGTGAGCTTGTGCACCACGGTCCCCACACCCCAATGCACTCGCGCGCGTTTCATTCATCCATGCATGCGGTAACTCCCTCGCTGGCAATCCCTGCTTCCTGTCTGCCTACCCCTCCGCTCCCCTCCCTCCTCCCCTCCCCTCCCCCAGGTGTCCAGCGTGGACGCCTTCCAGGGCCGCGAAAAGGACATCATCGTGCTCTCCTGCGTGCGCTCCAACGAGCACTCCTCCATCGGCTTCCTCTCCGACCCGCGCCGCCTCAACGTGGCGCTCACCCGCGCGCGCTTCGGGCTGGTGGTGCTGGGCAACCCGCGCGTGCTGTCCCGCCAGCCGCTGTGGAACAGCCTGCTGCAGTACTTCAAGGAGGCGGGCTGCCTGGTGGAGGGGCCGCTCACCAACCTGAAGCCCTCCATGGTGCAGCTGCACAAGCCAAAGCGGGTAGGAGAACCGGAAGATGGGGGCGGAGAGGGGGGGAGAAAGGAAAGGGGATGAGGAATTTAAAGGAAGCAAAGTCCGTGTGACAGCTAGGGCTGAGGCAAGTGGGTACAGGAGCGGTGGTCCCGCATTTATGGCGCGCCACCGCTCCTTCCATGCTGACAACGCGCACCCCCACCCCCGTGTCCAGGTGTTTGACCGCGGCTCCTTTGGCGTGGGCGCCCTCACCACCAACCGCTACCAGCCGCCGGAGAAGGTGGGCGACCCGCTGCCAGCCCGCTCCGCCCAGCAGCACCCGCCCGCCGGGGGCTCCTCCTCCTCCCCCTCCCTGCACTTTGCAGCCGTACCGCCCGTGGGACCCTCAGCGGCGGCGGGAGCAGCGGCGGGAGCAGCAGCCGGCGGCTCTGGCGCTACGAATGGGTCCGGGGCGGGCGGGGGCGCGGCTGGCAGCGCGCGGTATTCTGCACGCCTGGCAGCGGGGGCGGCAGCAGCGGGGGCGGGCAGGTCGGCGGCTGGGGTGGCGGGCGGACGGGGCGCCTCGCAGACGTTCATGCCGTTTGCAATGCCCACCTACAGCATCCCGACGGCGAATGGCCGCTCCTCCAAGGTACGTGGGGATGGGTGAGGTGTGGAGCCGGCCCGTGTAGGATTTCACCGGACAGAGCACACTGATACTTGGTGTTGTTATGCTCGTTCCCATGCATGTGGGCTCCATGCAAGTGATAAACACGCGCCAAGTCATTCCCTCACAGCGCCACCTCCCTCCCGACTCAATCCCCTCTCACGCACACCTCCCTGCCTGCAGGCCGCTCCCGGCCGCGAACAGCCCGCCTCCCAGGCCACCAGCGACCTCTCCCTGCCGGCGCCCCTCTACACCCAGCCCGCCGCCGGCCCCGGTGCCGCCACCCAGAACCTACCTGCCACGCAGCTCATGGCCTCGCAACTCACGGGCCCTGCCGGCGGATCTGCCGCCTCTGCCGCGGCCGGAGCCGGAGCCACGGGCGGTCTCGGCTACGGCACCGGCCTGCCGTACGGTTTCACTGCTGAGTTCAGCCAGACGAGCTACGGCGGTCTGGGCGCCGCCGCAGAGGACTTCAACAGCCAGATGGACAGCTTCCTGCTGAGCCAGGGCTTCAATGAGACGCAGTTCCTGGACGCCGCGACTGGGGAGTACTACGGCGGGTTCGGAGCCGCGACGCAGGTGGGTGCGCTCTCGCGCGACGTAGGGGCTGGGTAAATCCGCATGCAGATATGCAAGGGGCCTGCTGCGGGAAAGGGAAAGGTTACTTACATTACAAGTAACGTGTACTTGGCTTGCGTTGTCTGAATGGAGGTTGCCTTGCTGCTTTCCCGCCTTCCGTTCCCAGGACCGATGAGGCAACAGCGCACAGGAAAGGGAGGACGGAGGGCCGCGGCGCGGCGTTGGGTCACCTTAGTCGTGCCACACTTGCGGAATGGAGCAGCCGGGATCCAGAAGACGAGAAGGCTGCCGACCGACCCCGGCTTCTCTTAGAGACGCTCTCGGCCCCAACAAGCACGCTGCAGCTGCTCTCCAGGCCCCGTGCGCAGCGCCCGCCGCTCAAGCCTTCCCTCGAGCGACCAGGCACCCCCTCCTCTCAGCCCCCTGACAACCCATTCGGGTGCATCGTCCCCAAAGTGACCGGAAGTGCGTGACCACAAAGCAGCATAAAGGAATGGCACAGGCTCATGGCTCGCCAGTCACCCGCTGTTGGGCCGTTGTGGTCCCTTTCCGCTGGTGCATACGCTCCTCCTGTTGCGCCTTCGCCACCTCGCTCCCCCCTACGTATGGAGCCATACGTGGCTCGCAGGAGGTAACAGCGAAGCAGGAGCAGGACAGACAGCAGCGGCCATGGAGCGCGCTAATCGCTGCGACGGCGGTCCGCACGGCCCTCAGGGGATTAGATAGGGAGCAGCAGGATCCCGGCTTTGGCAGCGGCTGGCCTCCATCGCTTCGGAATGCAAACGGCGGGTGCCTCTGGTCTTGGCACGAAAGGCACGAAAGGCGTACGTCGTGGTTCGGCCCCACACAGCGGCCAGCAGCTGCGTGAGGAGGAAGGCGGACGTTGCGGAAAGAGCGCCCCAGGATTGCGGTGCAGGCCGTACCTTGCGGTGTCCCTGCATGTCTGCTGCCGTTGCTCATGTCCACGGCCATGCTGCCAGGACCCATGGCGGCATGGACTGGTGTGGGGGGGGGAGAATCGGCCTGCATCGGGTGTTTCCCATTCATGCGTACGAGGAGTTGCTTTTACCGCTGTTGCGGCCATACGTTGGCATGCAGGTTGGGGTGGTGGAAAGGGTGAGAAGCGTTTGCCTGGGTTCTTTGTCGGTCGTACTAAGGCGGGCCCACAAAGGTCTGAGTCTCAGGTCAGGCATCGTGGGTCGGCTTCGGTTAGGGGTTGCGGAGGGCTAGTAGTACTTGTAGGCGTGCATGCAGAGGGGATGTTCAGGTTCCCCGCGAACGATACGGCGCCTATACGATGTCTATGATGCTGTCTATGATGCAGAGGAAACTGCTAGGTGTACCGCTGGTTCGGTGCAATGGGTGCAAGCCATGCCCACTCAGTCTGGCACTTGTTGTGGATATCGCAATCGACATAAGCGCTGTAAGACTCTTCGGCTTGCAGTAGCTTGCATGCGGTGAAACCAAGGGCAGTAGCATGCGCTTTCGTGCAGCATTGTAAGGCATAAACCAGCGTTTGTTTTATGCAGGATTCAGTGCGGAGGTTTGCTGGTGTTTAAGGCTGAGCTGTTATGCATCCACTGGCTAGCGGATTGCCTGTGCTGGCCTTACATCGCCTGTCAACCATGGCGCGAGCTTCCCAATGGGGAGGGCATAGTTCAGCTTGGAAGGTGACCCGAGCTCCTAGACACAGTCCAGACCCTTAGGTGCCGGCGTCGCTCTCGCCCTCGATAAGGGCACGCAGACAGAGAACGAATCCAGTCACCGATTGCTACACAATCTGCATTAGCACTTGTGAAGGACAACCTGGGCTTTCCCCTGGGTGGTTAGGATGTGGGAGGCTGCTGCGGCTGCATGGGATCTCCTGACGCCGGCTTGCAAGGGTTGCAACCCCAACTGATGCGTCTTCCCGTCTTCATGTCCCCAGCACGGCTTCCCTGACATGCGGCCCTGCTCCACACCGCCTCTATCCTTCTCCTTGAGCCCCACACGGCCAACCAACCGCTCCAGTTTTTGTAACACATAGGGGACGTGGCACATCGTGCGGTCGCACAGTACGTTCCGACTCACGGCAAGTTGTCTTAAGCCATGACATAGTTGCCCAATCCCCATCCCCATCGCCCATGGGGATTTTACCCACCCCTCACTCCCTCACCATGGTGAAGCCTTGTCTTTCAGCTCGTAAGTTCAATCGTCAGTGTCTCATTATTTTTTCCCTCCCTCACCTACCCCTTCAAAATCGCCCTGTACGTCCTTGTCTCCTTGATAAAAGCATACCCGAATCGTGCTCTGCTCCTCATGTTACTTGAGAAGAAATTGTAGCATAGGCGATTAACAGTATAGGCCATGAACAGTTAACCCTTACACAGCACAGGCCCACGGGTCGCATCACATGTAAGGCGGCGGGATGCCTTTCCGTAGGGGACGTGGTTTCAAAGATTATGAATTTACGGTGGAAGCTCTTGTCATATCCCGGATCACTTTACGCGGTATCTTTACATGGTTGATGGGTGCGCAGCCGAGGCCTTAGGGGTGTTAGCTCCTACCACATAGGTTTCCAAAGGCTAATAACATGCTTTGTACGCTGTATTGCAGTTCTCAACCTCTTTTCAGCCACTCATTTGCTTGGCAGCTTTCTCCAAAAATACCTTTCTGTACGGGGTCTACCGTGTCTACCTACCATAACCTACAGAAAAAATGAAGTTGGCAAAGCTTTCCCGGTAGGATGCCGAATGCAACACACCCTTATAAGCAGTTGCGTTGGCCATGGTACATGCTATACATGCCCGTTTCTGAAAGCAAATCGTAATCTCATTTAGCAGCTTACGCTGCCTTCAAATGCCATAGATCTTTGCAAGCGAACATAACTTTTACGTCCAGGTATTGCTCAGAATCAAACCATTGTTTTTTTAATTGCTACCAGTCGTAGCAGCAATTTGCAACTTGCAAGCGTGATCGGTGGCCTCCTCAGCCATAAGGCTCCTCTGTCCTTACCTCCCTGGACTGTGACGAGGTACGGGGTCGTACAGCGCTTGCTTAGAAGCAGCGGACATTCAGCGGCGCTATAAGGCTACCGTTGCTTAGACGGAAGGTATAGTAAGCATCTAGCAGGGTGCAACTGTACTAAGCACACTTGTGCTCAAAGCTGAGTTTGTTGGCCGCCTTCTGGACCATTGCTAGCAGACTAGCGCTTGACTAGAACAGGTCTGCTCCCTACCAAGTTCAGTTTGAATCCTGCAGTTGATTCATAAAGAACATCGTGGACCTTCAGTGCGCGACATTTTGAGGTAAGGCGTCGGGCCGCGGTCAAGGTACCTCCGTCTGCCTCGTACCCCATACTAAACAGAAGCAATCGCCAATAAAGTTGAGCCTTTAGGTCTGGACAGTCAAATTGCCTTGCAGTAAGGGAAATATGTAGTTAGGAAGCCCTGTCGAACTTGAGTGATGCTGATGGCTTCCTTCGAAGCGCTTAGCAATACGGCGCGCCTTTTCAACCTTGTATCCGCTCGTTTTACTAAGCTTGCATTGTCCAACTCTGCCCCTCCAGTCCTGGCTATATAACCTTTCAACATCTCCGGCACCTTTCGAGGTGCCGCGCGGTCGTCAAGAATGCTTGGCACCGTCGACTATCGTCGATTTCTTCGAGTGTTGTTAATAGCCTTCCTGCTGCCGGGTGCGCCGATTCCTGGCACCCCTAGCGGACTGACGTTCGCCAATGCCGATGGGACGCCTCTACCTCCGTCGCCCTTCCCCTCACCTGTGAGCACATCGCCATCACCACCTTCGCCTTCGCCTTCTCCACCTTCGCCGCCTTCTTCTCCACCATCTCCTTCCCCATCGCCTCCCAGTCCGCCTTCGCCTCCACCGTCCCCGCCTTCCCCACCTGCACCTCCTCCCTCACCACCTTCACCGCCTTCACCTCCCGCACCACCTCCTAACCCCTCTCCTCCCATCGCGCCACCCTCCCCTCCGAGCCTCCCACCCTCACCACCATCCCCTTCGGCTCCGCCTTCTCCGCCCTCACCACCATCCCCTCCTGCACCTCCTTCACCTTCTCCTCCGCCCTCGCCTCCTAACCCACTCGCGCCTCCAACCCCGCCCTATCCTCCGTTCCCGCCAGCGCCTCCTGGCAAGTACTGCGCCTACGTCTGCCCGCCATCTCCTCCCCCTCCGAGGCCGCCTCCCCCTCCTAAGCCTCCTGTTCCATCACCTCCTAGCCCAGCCCCGTCCCCAAATCCACCATCACCGCCCAAGCCCCCGCTGCCCCCCTCCCCTCTTCCCCCTTCCCCTCCTTCTCCATCACCTCCGCCCTCACCTCCCTCACCTGTGCCGCCATCTCCTCTTCCTCCCGCACCTCCCTCACCTGAGCCGCCATCTCCTCTTCCTCCCGCACCTCCTTCACCCGACCCGCCATCACCATCACCTCCCTCCCCGCCTCCATCACCACCCCCTCCATCCCCTGCACCCTCGCCTCCTCCTTCCCCTGCACCCTCGCCTCCTCCATCCCCTGCACCCTCGCCTCCTCCATCCCCTGCACCCTCGCCTCCTCCATCCCCTGCACCCTCGCCTCCTCCTTCTCCTGCGCCGTCTCCTCCGCCTTCGCCCTATCCGTCACCTCCACCTTCGCCGCCTCCGCCTTCGCCCGCTCCTTCGCCGCCCCCGCCTTCGCCTCCACCTTCACCTCCTCCTTCTCCTGCACCATCCCCTTCCCCTCCACCACTTCCCCCTTCGCCACCTCCTTCGCCGGTTCCACCTTCACCTCCTCCGCCTTCGCCCGTTCCACCTTCACCTCCGGTTCCACCATCTCCGCCTCCTCCTTCTCCCATGCCTCTACCTCCATCTCCTCCGACACCTCCTTCGCCCGTTCCACCTTCACCTCCTCCGCCTTCGCCCGTTCCACCTTCACCCCCTCCGCCTTCGCCCGTTCCACCTTCACCTCCTCCGCCTTCGCCCGTTCCACCTTCACCCCCTCCGCCTTCGCCCGTTCCACCTCCTTCTCCTCCTCTACTTCCACCTTCACCCGCGCCTCCTCTACCACCTTCCCCGCCTCCCAGTCCCGCACCATCACCTATTCCGCCCTCGCCCCCTCCATCTCCCGTTCCTCCTTCCCCTCGCCCCTCGCCTCCTCCTTCCCCTGCACCCTCGCCACCTCCTTCCCCTGCACCTTCGCCGCCTCCTTCCCCTACACCCTTGCCTCCTCCTTCCCCTCGTCCATCGCCACCTCCGTCGCCCGCCCCTTTCCCTCCTCCTTTCCCGCCACCTTCACCTGCTCCGTCTCCTCCCCCCTCTCCGCCTCCTTCGCCCCCGCCTTCACCCGCTCCGTCTCCTCCCCCATCTCCGCCCCCCTCCCCCCCTCCGTCACCCAAGCCCTCTCCTCCTCCCAGCCCTCCCCCTACTCCCCCATCTCCGCCACCATCTCCACCTCCCTCGCCCCCGCCTTTTCCGCCACCTAGCCCCCCGCCATCGCCCCCGCCTTTCCCTTCGCCGCCCCCGTCTCCTCTTCCGCCATCGCCTGCCCCCAACCCGCCTCCATCACCAAGCCCTCCTCCCTCGCCGATTCCGCCCTCTCCCAAGCCTCCATCCCCTCCGCCGCCGGTGTGCCAGCTGGTCTGCTGGGACATCCCCGCCCCTGTGTCTGGCCGTGCTGTTGCCATCGGCCCTGTTACCTGCAACGTGACAGGCTCCCCCACCACCACCGCCCCCACCAACTCTACCGGCTTCTTCTACCTGCCGTTCAACAACGGCACCGCCAGCCTGATCTCCGGATGCAAGGACAAGGCCACCAATGCCTCCTATGACGACGCCCTGCTGTGGACCGTTGTTCCGACCTACACCTCCACCAACTTCTCGGTCATCTCGCCGCTGTCTTCTATTGCCTCCATCTTCGCTTCCACGCCGTCTGAGCTTTCGAATAAAATGGCGAATCTGGGCAAGATTCTGGGGCTGACTGCCACAGAGGCTGCCAACTTGCCAGGGTACGACTACCTTGCCGAGTCGCAGTCGGCAGCTACAGGTGACAAGATCACCTCTCGTGGTGTCCGTGTGGCGTTGGCGAACTACATGGCGATCGGTACCACGGTCAACATCATCAACTTGCTTAAGAACCTGTACAACGTTACCCGCGACGAGGCTGTTGATGCTGCTCTCTATGGCCTGGCGGACACTGGTAAGTAACGAGGGAATGCGAAGTCTTGGTTTTGCGTTTAGTACCGTTCTTCATTGCTCATCATGTCCTCGGAAACCCATGTGAACGTTCCTTCATGCTGCACCACTTGCAGTGTCCCTAACCACCAAGGCTGGTCTTCAAGAAGCAGTCAGCACCGCCGTCGACGTGATCAAGGGCAACATCTACCGTCGCAGCGCCCTGTCCGGCCCCTTCACCTTCGAGCTCGCCAGGCGCTCCGGTGGCAGCACCCTGGAGGTTCGCCACGCTGCTCGTCGCCTGCAGGGCACCACTCCTGATGTCGCTGCCGTGACCGCCGCTCTACTTGCCAGTCTGGTCGAGACTAACGCCCTCATTGCTAAGCAGCAGCAGACGGCTTCCACCGTCACCTCGCCGTTGCAGCTGTCCGATATCCTGGCCTCGGGCGGCAAGGTCGCGACGGTGCAGACCACATCCATGGCGGCCGCCACCTCTGCCCTGGCCAGCGGCACCGTCAGCGTCAGCTCCTACAGCGCCTCCTACACTGGCACCGGTCTGTCCAACACGGTTGCCAACGTGCAGTTCTCCATCGCCGCCAACCAGCCGCCCCCGCCTCCGCCTCAGTCGCCGCCTCCGCCGTTCCCCTCGCCTGAGGAGACGAAGAAGAAGGTCAACAAGGGCGCCATTGCCGGTGGTGTGGTTGGTGGTGTCTGTGGTGCCGCGCTCATCGCTGGTATTGTTGCGTTCGTGGTGATTAGGCGCCGCAACTCTCAAGTTACCGCCGCTGCTGCCGCGCGTCCCGCTGCGTAATTGTGACGGCTTAGCCTCATAATTGTGCACTGCAAAGTGCGAGTATGGATCCATTCATCGGAAGGACGTCGGAAATTTCCCATGTGTGTGTATGGGTACATATAGGAGGAGATATTGGAGTCCTGTGATCCGTACAGTTTGTTGGATTCATTTCCCTGGGTTCGGACGCACTGTGTGCTGTGTCTTCCAGTTCGGCTGTATGATGCGCGACTGGTGTGTACTCATCGCCTGTCCGTATTACCTACCAGCGCTTGATTGACCGTACTGCGCATTCCTGAGTGTGAAGGGTATGTTGCTAACCGCGGATTGGGAATTCTCGGCCCCTCCGGTAGTTGCTACAATAGTTTGAGCTGCATGATGGATTGAGTTGGATTAGGTTGTACGCAATGCGGCCATTGTCGTTTTGAAGCTTTCGTTAATCGTGACGCTTTCGTATCCAGTAGTCCTAACTGACGTTATCCTGACGGTCTGCTTTGGCAGCGGGGTTGCCCAACGCCTCATTTGCGCCTATCCTCTCGACGATCGCACCTGAATCCCATGACACGGTTCGATGCAATCACTATGGCTGCAACTATGTGTCATTTTCATCATGGAGCAGACCGTAGGGTAGGGTTGCTGTTAGGATCGTCGGGTGTCTTCATCCGGATTTTGCCGATGCTTTTGGCAGGGACTGCGCCTATTATATACAGTTGTGCATGTGTTACGCCGAGGTAAATGTGGGACTGGGTGGAACGGGCTTTCCGCTTCGTATTCCCGTCGTCTTCATGCAATGCCATCGCGCCTCGGCCTCCTTTTCGACATGTCGAGATGGAGTGGCTCGTGTACTGAGTGTGACCTCTTACTGCGTGGTGTACCTAGAAGGACATAAACTCCAAGCGTCACCGGACATAAAAACTTATGTGCATACCAACTGCAGCGCGTGCTGCTGCATTCTGTAATCTATCTCAGGAGTACCGAATCTTTTTCCGTCGTCCACTTTTTCCATGCAACCTTTATACCGCTTATCCTAAAGGGAAGAGGCCATGGGTAACGCAGGTTACACGCTTTCTGGCCTGCGACGGTCAGATCGTAAGCCAACTTCCGCTTCAATCGTGCCATGGTCGCATTATCAATGCCCCGACCGTCGTGACAGCTCTGATCTCCTGTCAGTAAAACTCATCGCTGTTTCCCCATCATTATACGAAGCGCGTGGCAACAAAGAAGTAGCTAAGTTGACACGGACAATACCCACCTGCAAGGGCATGAAAAACAGACTTGGAATGCTCTGAATGCCCATTGTTCGCATCGCCCATTGTTCGTCGCGCACCTGGCTCACCTCCGTACCCTGATTCTTAATTAGGAAGCGAGGATTACACTGGCCAACCATTAAGGAGTCCATACTGGCCAATCGTTAGACGTACAATCCAACATAGCGTTGAAAGCCCTGCCCCAGGGGGCACACCAGGCCCGACAGGAAGGCCGCAAACCACCTACAACAAGCCCTGTTGCGCTTTTCTTCCAGTGTAGGGTACTAGGGTTGGGTTCATCACCCGTGTTCCCTTTTAGGTGACCATTGTAACGGTCATTCATTCATTCAAGCACGGACAGCCGAAATACGAAGTACAGAGAGCCACAGGGCCCATGAATGAACTGAAGCACAGAGAAGGGAGCCGAAGACTGACAGACCATGAGCCACCAACACCAAACACACATGGCCGCAGGCCGAGGAAAAGCCACACTAGGCCCCTAGGCCAGAAGTAGTCCAACCAGGGTCACAATCATGGAAAACTAGGGGGAGAACCGGAATCAGGCGGCCCACAAAACACCCTGACGGGCAAGGAATGGGTGATCCGACGTGACCGAGGCCCAGCCCTGGGGAATGATACCTTCACTGGCGAACGAGGGTACCCTGGCCCAGAAAGCAACAATCACCTCGGCGCTGATATGTCACAAACGACCAGGGGGAACACAGGCCATCCCTGGAGCTACGGAAGCCTCCAGGGCATCTCCCACCAAGAATAATCAAGCCAAAGCCACATCATAACAACCATCCTATAGATCTAGGCATCAAAATGCTACTCAGAAGATCTCCCAGAACGGAATGACCCACGTGACCCAAGCAACCCAAACCCTAGTCCGCAACCACCAACTGCCGAAATACCCTGTGCCGGTAATCGGGCAATTGCCAGTAATCGGGCGTGACAGCGGTGGCAATAGCCCTATCTAGCGCTAGCGGCGGGCGGATGGGGCCTCGGGCGTCCGCCGCAGATCCGGAGGTCATGCCTGCTCGCATGCACGCTTGCTGTTGGCCAGTGCGAGGACTGCATGGGCGCGCCGGGCTTTGGGCGGGACTTGTGGGCGCCGGTGGTTCAGCAGCGCGAGTATGCCTGCACATGCAAGCGCCGGTAGTTGGACAGTGCGTAGAAGGATGCCTCCCTCTGCCCTAACCCGTGCGGCGCCGCTGCAGCTCACCTGCGTTGCCCCGCGGCCCGCGCGCTGAAAGGATCCCGTGGGGGCGGACAGGAACCGGGCATGCATCCCTTCGCTTCGCTCCTCCGAAACCGTATACTACGTATACGTTTTCCTCAAATCGAGCTGCGGGGATTTCCTCGAATCGAGCTACGGGGACAACGAAGCAGCTTGCGGCAGCAACAGATAAAAGGCTTCCGTGTATGCGGTCACGCAGGTTGCCAGCCTGCGAGAAAAGAATCACGTTATACACAGATGGACAGTGTGTGGACAGTGCTCCGAGACCAGGCGACGGTTATCGACGAAATTAACAAGCCTCCCTTCGGTCGGGTGAGAAGGCGAAATCTGCTGGCACGCTTAGCATATTGAAGTGTTTAGGAACCAGGGCAGCGAAAGGCATAGGGGTGAGTCGAACAGAAGGCCATGGGGCAATAACACCTGCGCGCAGGGGCGCCGTGATGTGGACAGGGGGATGTCTGCACCTTAAGGCACGCATGGGCGCAAGTAGTCTTGGGTGATGCCTGCACGCGTGAGCACGGGCGGGGATGAACGCGGCAGGAATGCCTGCATGCCCGCGCTAGGGCCCGTGAGCAGGGCGGTGATGTGTGTGCATAAGGGCGGTCATACCGGGAGAGGGTGAGGATGCATATCCGCAGCTGGGCGAGATGAATTGTGCCCTGCTCCAGCACACACCGTCCCGGCTGGGCGAGATACACTGCACCCCTTCCCGGCGCCGGCAGGGCAGGTGCACTGATAGCCTGTTTGCATGGGCGCCAGCTGTCAGCCAAAGCGGGAAAGGCTGCATGCACGGGCGGACGTACTTCAGCCCTTACCTCAGCAGGGTGAAGATGCATGTACGCCCTGCATCCCGCAGTTGGCTAGTGTGGGGACACCGTCCCCGCTGGCGTCTAGGAAAGGTGCGCATATGCTGCGTGTACAGGGACTAGTGAGCAGGACGGTAATGCGTGCGCACACGGGCGCTGATACCTTGGGTTGGGGCCGCATGAACACCAGCACTTGGCAGGGCAGGGATGCATGCTTGCATGGGTGCCAGGATAACTCTGGCAAGTCGGGGCACTCCGCATACTTGTTTGCCTGCGTGCATGGGGGTGCAGGGATGTCTACATACCGGTACATGGGCCCAGCTGTCAGGCAAAGCGGGGAAGGCTGCACGCACGGGCGTACATACTTTAGCCCATACTTCAGCAGGATGGAGATGCATGCAAGCCAGTGGTCGGGAAGAGCAGGGAGCCAGCACGCGTGGGCGCTTTGGTATGGGCAGGATACCTGTGCGTTTGACAGCCGTAGTGGGAGAGCGTCAGGGGTCCGTCACTCCGTCTTGCTAGAGCACCTGTTGATATGCCGATTCATGGGATGCCTTCGGCATGCCACATCTGTGCTGCTTGCACGCATACGTCTGCGTTCACTGGATGCTGTCGTTTTGCATGTTCTTGCTGCACTCAACCTGTGTTTGCGGCAATCGTCGTATTGGCAAACCTTGAACTGTGCGAGCATGCCGGCACGCACGGGTGCTTTGTACCGGTAGTTGCCTACACGTATGTATGGGTTTCGGCCGTTAAGGGTTGGGTAGCCTGCACGAACAGCAGGGCACGGCGGGGATGCCTGCCTGCACACGTGCTTGGTAGTTGGGCAAAGTGGAGATTGCCTTGCACGCATGAACGCTGTAATTTGGGGAGGAGGGATGCTTGCACGCTTGGGCGCTGTGCTTGGGCAAGGCATAGATGCCACGCATGGACACCCGTCTTTATAAAGTATAGAGGTTCTTCCACGAATGAAAGCTAGCCCCTTGGCAGCTTGAGCACGCACTAGGATGCACGCGCACAGCATTCGGGCAGGGGGGATGTCAGCATGCACCTTCTGGCACGCATGGGCTCGAGTCTTCGGAAACCACTGTGATGCCTGCATGCATGAGCGCTTTCACATTTTGGGCACAGGCGGGGATGCACTCAGCAGGGATGCCTGGATGCAGGGTGAATGCGTTGCATGCACGGGGGCCAGTAAACAGGGTGGTGATGTGTGCCCAAACAGGCGCTGCCGTAGCACGCACCATCCCGAGATGCACTGCAACCCTTCCCGACACCGGCAAGGTAGGTGCACTGATTGCCTGCGTGCATGGGCGCCAGCTGTCAGACACAGCGGGGAACGCTGCATGCACGGGTGTACGTACTCCAGCAGGGTGGAGATGCATGCACGCCAGTGGTTGGGTAGAGAGGGGGAGGCAGCACGCATGGGCGCTTTGGTGTGGGCAGAATGCCTGCGCGTTTGGAAGCCGTACGGGGAAAGAGAGTCAGGGCCCTCGCTTGCTAGGCCACCTGCTGACCTGCACGTTCATGGACCTGACTGTGGCATGCGGCACCTGTGCTAGCCCCTTGCACGCGTACGTCTGCGTACGTCACCTCAAGCCACCACACGCGGTTGGCTTGTAAAGCAGTGATGGCGGGATGCAGCAAGTCAAAGGGGGGCGATGATGGCTGCACTTGGCAGCTCAAGCACGCATTGGGACGCACGCGCACAGCATGGATGCCTGCATGCCTGGTATTATGGGCTTTGGGCAGGGCGGGGATGCTGTGTGTATTGGTTGGGCAGGCTGGCGCATGCCCACATGGGCGCCAGTACTTGGCAGGCCAGGGAAGACATGGATGTTTGCTGGGCAGGGTGGAGACGCTGGGATCGAGCGTGACACTACCGCTCGCGGGTTTTGCCGGGGCACGTGCTGACCTTCATGTTCGTGAAGCTGCTTGGCGCATGTGCAGCCCGCACGTGCACACTTGGGCTCACCGCTCTGCTTCTCTATCATCCTAGTAACGCGTTAGCAAGCATCGCAGGCGGCGAGTATGAGTTTGGCATGGAAATGCAGAAGACATGCACTAATCAAGTGACAGGCCATCGCCGTCCTCTTCAAGGAAACATATTTAGATTGTTAATTCTAGCTTAATGCATCTAAGCGCTTCATGCGCTCACAGAACGTCTCTGAGAGGGCAACTAGAACTCGTCGCCCCTTTGCGCTTTCGGCGGACGCTTTTCGCATATACCGCTTTTGTCGATAACCTTTTGTCGGTAACTATAAACTAGTACATTGCAGCCTTGGCTTTGACAATTTCACGTCCGAAGCTCAGCCCAGAAGTCTGCACGTCGCCCGACGCGAAGGGGCCTTTATTTACATAGATTTTCCATACGCTTTTACAGCTAACGTCAGAGCGTACATCGCAGTTGTTCCTGCGTCCTTAGCTGCAACCCTTCTATAGCGGTTCTGGAGTCCCAGGTTTTATTGTCGTACACCAGTCCCCTGCAGCGGCTGCGGTTATCAAACTATATATAATAACTAATATAGTACTAATATATCCAACTATCTGTAATAACTAAATTATCCAACTATTACTTATCTGTATCAACGAGGCTATACGCCTCGCTACGCTCGGCGCACAACGCCTCGCAGCATATTTTATAGGGCTTAGTATTCTGTGCACCCAGAGCGCTATAAACGAGAGTGTTCCATTATACCCGGGGCCACCTTTCGAGATTAACATTGCAACTCGTGAACACTTGGACTCCATTTACTTATGCATCATATACTTCTGGCCATAAGTTTGGCCATTCTTAGTAGTTTGCCGACAAGAGGCGGAGAGTTGCAGTCCTCTCCTTCGGGGCCTTCTACCCCGTGGCTACAGCCAGCAAGTTGGGTCCCTGCAGATGCGGAGAAAGTCAACGACTTGGAAGCACTGCTAAAGGCCCGCGCAAGCGCTGATCGATGGGTTACAGTCTTCTGTTTCTCTGTACCGGAGAAACCTGTTGGCAGTGCCGAGGAGGAAAGCTTCATGCGATTGGCGCTTAATACGCTGTACTCTTACCGGACGTTTGGTCAAGCTACGTTTGACATTGTGGCGGCAATCAGCCCAGCTGCCCTTTTAAAGTGCCAAACGTTTAAATTACCGTGCTTCAACGCTTCTCACTATGCTGCGAATGCCCGGACCCTTAGGACTATTAGTTGGGCGAAGGAAAAGCTAGGCCGTGACGTCTTGAAGCTGGGTTATAATCTACATATTTCGGACCTGGACGTGACCTACCTCAAGCCTATACCTCTAGCTATTAAAGAGGTGAGCTTCCTGCGCTCATAAACCACCTTCTACACAACAACCTGTGCACTCCCAGCCGCGCATCTCACGGCAACCACTGAACTGCAGGTCTTTTCTTGGAGCAATGGCGCCGCCGATGGCAGCATGATGCAAGAGGAAGTGGTGCTGGACAATCCCCAGGATCCCGGCAGCCGGCGCCCATTGTTCATTGCCAACGCAGGGGTGATGTTTCTGCGTGCCACGAACCGCTCAGTGGCCTTCCTGGAGTCGCTGCTGCGCTGGGAATCTGAAGTGGACATGGTAGGATGAAACTGGGAAGGAGAAAAGCTATTATCAATCGTTTTCAGCGTGGGTAGATGCGCTTGCAGTGTATTACATCAAACTAGTCTGGCGATGTCGGGTGGAGGTGTGGACTGTGCACAAAGCATGCTTGTTTGTGCTGTCCAAGCCGAAAGTTCACAAGTAAGGAGCCGCAAATGCAACATAGACAGAAATAGCAACACACAACTTTCCCCACTCCACACCCCAAACACCAACAGGTGCAACGCATAGCCGCTGATGTCGCCTACCAGTCCTGGGCGCCCTGTTCCGAGGAGTCCACCTGTCTGTCAGCACAGCGCCAAGGTTTGGCCGCAATCACAATGCACCCAACACAGTTTGCGCATTCCAACTGCCAGCCAGAAACGTGTTACCACCCCTGCGCCTCTCGCCGCCTGTATGCGCACGCCATATGCCGAGGCGCCTACACTGAAAAGGAGGCCTTCCTGCGCTCGCTGCATTTGATGTTTATCCGAAATAGTAGTTACACAGGCGGTGGCGGTGGGGTTACAGGGGGTGGCGTCGGGGCGAGTGGTGAGGTGGGGCTGCTAGATGATGTGGAGCTAGCGGCGAGTAGACTGCCCTGTCCTGACAAGCAGCAGCGCGCATGGAGGGCACGGTTCTACAGCGCCTACACCACGGAAAAGGTGCAGCAAGGCGCAGGGCAGGTGACAGGTGGAGGGGGGCATCAGTGCCGTTGGCAGTGGGTCAGTGGTGGCAGGTGTTACTGCTGATGATGGTCCAACGAAGGGAGTGTTGCGCAGTTGACTGCCTGGGCTGGCTGCTGTTGTCTCAAAGCAGGTGCAGGATTAGGCGAAAAGTGCATGAGCGGATTCCTCGAGGCTTACTGCTGCATTCATGCCCGTCCAACACAGGCGGCGGCAGCCCGTGCCATCATGTGTCATAGTGGCTTGGTGGCGTTGTAGTGGCTGCGGACTGCAGTTTGGAAAATGTTTAGTGCTTGGGTTCGGCTGGCTCATGGCACAAAAAAGGACACGCCTTGTGGGCCTTACATGTTATGTACGGAGCCCCTGCTGCTATTTGTGATGCAGAGATCCCCTGCATGCATTGACCATGGATGACTGCTTTGTTGAATTATGGTTGTTGGCCTTGTTGCTAGCCGCTACCAGAGGGACAAAGTGGAGCAGCTGGCGTCGGTGTATGTGATGATAGGACCCAAAATATGTAAGGCTGCTAATAGGTAGTTGCTTTGTTCAGTGCCCACCCTTCCTATGCTTTCTGCTCTAGACGCCCCTAGGCTACTTTGGCAGGCGAGGTTCGCGTTCTGACATGCAGCCAGCCATAGTGCAAGGACTATGTGTTAAGAGAACTGGCCGCGAGTAGTAGTTAAGAGAACTGTCACCTCGCCGACGCAGCTGTCCGATATCCTGGCTTCGGGCGGCAAGGTCGCTACGGTGCAGACCACCTCCATGGCGGCCGCCACTACCGCCTTGGCCAGCGGCACCGTCAGCGTCAGCTCCTACACCGGCACCGGGTTGACCAACATCGAAACATTGCATCTGCCTGCACGGTCCCTTCCACTTCACTGTCCGTCGGTTTGCTGTGTTCAAAGACCCCTTACCAGGCAGCCAACACGCCAGTACCGTCAAAGCTGTCTCGTACACTGCGCAGGCACGATTGCCGTACATTCCGGCAGCGTGTCCGATGGCGGCTCTCCTTGAATAAGCCACATTGAAAAGTAAGGCAAGGTGCTAGGTATCACTTTGACCTGTGTCGTTGGTGGCGGTGGTGGCGTCTGCTGCTCCGGTGATGATGATAGTTGCCACTCCACATGTTCAGCGCTCGGTGCTTGAGAGCCGTTACTGTGTAATTGTAAGCCAAGCCACCATAGTGTGCCTCCCAAATGAACGCCCTGGAAAGGAGGGTAATGTTTGTCGGATGAATCGCAACGGGTTGGAAAAGGGTCGAAGGGAGGCCGGAAGGGCGAAGGCATGCGGGGCAGTATCAGAGGAAGCAGGTAGCGGGGACAGGCAGGTATGCAAGGAGCGGATGCCGCAAGGTACACCCCGCCCCCAGGTACGGGCCCTCGCTGCAACCTGACGCGAAGTGCAGCGCATGCATCAGACATCCGGCATGCTCCCGCCTCCATTCCTTCCAGGCATTTGTCCTTTGCGCACCTGGCTCACCACCGTACCCGGATTCCTAATGATTCCTAATTAGCCCCATTTGCCATGTTACCGTACGTACGAGCTAGCTCACCTGTGGTAATTCTCCACTCCCGCCTGGTGTGCCAGGGCAAGGGGCCATGAGGGGGCAGGGGCATTGTTGAAAAGATGGCGATGCCATATGAGCCAGTGTTTGCAGCAGCAATTGCAGTCATGGGTCAGGTCTGGTTTATCTGGGCTATCTGTGGGCTATCTACCTCCTCTCCCACGCCACCGCCTCGCACCCCCTCTCTCCCTCTTCCTTTTTCTTGCCCCTTTCACGCCCGGGCCCCACCTGTAGCCTCTCCAGCTGCTGCGGTGTGATCATGTCCAGGAGGTCTACTAGCTGGTGCAGGTCGTGACGCGAGATGCGGAGCGAGAAGTCCTCAAAGGGGACAACGTCCCAAAAGGGCTGGCGTAGGCAGGGGAACGGGTTCCCGGAGGGCAGCAGGAGAGGGAGAGAGTCGGACAGCATACAGAAGCTATGAGGTAGCGGGGGCGTGCGGAAATAAAGAAGCGGATGGGACAGGGGGTTTTATTTGAGGAGGGATTGCCCGCATGCACATCATGCGCGTACCTGGTAAATGTGGTCCTGTACGATGACTGGCACGCAGCCTAGCAGCATTGCCTTGGAGAGCCGGATGCCCCAGCCGCCGCCCATGGGGGCAAGGCAGAACTTGGACTTCATCAACTCCGTAAAGGTGTTGGCTGCGGTGTGAGCGAGGAATAGGACAGTAGGTGGCATGGGGCGATGCGATTCGGGTAGTTGAAGGGGGACATCCATGGGCAAGGTACTATGCATCAGGCAGGGTCTTTGAGTGCAACAGCAACACGGGTAGGAGCCAAGCTGGAGAGGACAAGAGCTGGAATGCAATCCTGCCGTTCGTGGGGTTATGTGGTATCCTAACACCATGTCTCCACTTTCTATGGGCCATAACCCCAAGTCAGGGTAGCCGCCCGAACCCGAGTACTCACGAGGGGGGCCCATGATAACAATGTCCTTGCGAGCGTTGGGGCTCTGCGGGGTCGGGTTGGGTTGGGTTGGGTGGGTGCATGCAGCCGGGAGTAAGCAGGCGTATTGGGTGGGTGAGTCTCAGCTGGTTTGGCGTGTCCAATTACCTATTGGGTAGGAGAAACAAGATACCGGTGCGACAAGTGCGAAAAAACGTGCAATGGCCCTTGATGTGCCGCCAAGACCTTGCCAGAGTTGCCGCGACAGTCGATATGAGATTATCAGTACAGTGGTAGCGGTTTCTGGCATCATGTGATGTCGTACCTGTGGATCGTATTTGCCGCCAGGCCCAAACATCTTGTTTAGCGCTTGCCGTACCCCTTGACTGTAAGTCATGTCTGGCCTGCAGCGTGTGTTACGCAATTCATTGAAATGCCCAAAAGGGGGTAAAGGTACGGTATGCACGTAAGGCTTAAGATATTCTTGTCTCCTTGGGGCATTCCGGTTCCTATCTAGGCCGACGGAGTGCTTATCTTAGTCCGTAGCTCATCTCCACCTCTTACAACGGCAAGTTAAGACCATAGAGCCTCCTATCCTCCCAACTCCAGTGCCCAAACCACATCTCCACGCAACGTGGGACCTGGCCCGCCCCCATCCCCCTTCTGCCCCGTGTGCTAACCAACCCAACACCAACCCAACCCGTACTGACTTTGAGTAACCCCCAAAGAAGAGGGTGGTTGTGCGAGCAGGCGCGTCGGGTCTCCTCGTGACCACCCGGCTACCATCGGACAAAAAGGTTGTGTTCCATACCTAGGGAGGAAACCAGAGGGCGCGGACAGCAGGGCGTGAGAAGCAGGACACGGAGGTCCAGACACGTGAGTTCCATATCACGTACGTTGACAGGGCCAACACGATCCGCCGCCAATGCTCCCCCTACCCCGCTAATTCCCTAATCTCCTTGTGCCCTTCTTGCCTCCTACCAAGCCCTCGGAACTGCCCTCACTGGTTCCTGTCACCCCTTGCATGGCACCAGACGCCCTCCGGACCCTTCCGTACGTCGCACCGCACCTGGTCGTACCAACTAGGAGTCAAAGGTACCACGTTAGGAGCCACAACATCCTTTTCAGGCCTGCACCGATTGAGAGGTAAACGGCGGATATAAGAGTTGCGGAACAGCACGGCGTAGACAGAGGTACGGCAGGCATGCATAGCCTTAAACTGTGTACCCCATGATTGTTTATGTTTGAGCAGGCGCCCGAAGGCTGACCCAACCCGACTCCACCAAAGCCGTGGTTGTACGCTGCTACAGCAGCCGCCACAACCATACCCACCAATAGCAGCAACAGCAGGAACATCAACAAGCAACCAAACGAGGTTTACCAAACAGGATACCCTTGTAGGCTTGCGTCCATGACCGCATGTGCCCCCTGCCGGTATCCTACCCGTAGCACTGCTCGCTCTCCGCTACCACATTTCCGGCATTGAATTCGGGGAACTCCTCAAACCGGTGGCCCGGCTGGGGTAGCGAGATGCCGCTCCCGGCCCCAGCGCCCGCCAGATGGGAGGGCAGGTAGTGGCTGCGGCGAGGGGACTGTCCGAAGTGTACCAACTGCAGGCGGCAAGGCGGACACAGGCTCGTGTTGGGTGCGTATGAGCCGAGCTGCACCCAGAGTGACATGCAAGAACGTTTTTTCTCCAATGCGGAAAACCGGTATTACAGACATAGGACAGGATTTGTGTTGTCTGTGCCCCGTTTCCCGCTCCCTTCCTCCAAATTGCTAGCTCCCTCCCTCCAGCGTCAAACCCCGCCCCACGCCCTGCCTTAATGGAGTGCTGCACTTCCGGCGGAGCTCCCGCCAACCCGCACACCCCCCGGTCGTTTGTTGCCCACATGATGTGGTTCCTGCCTCCCGTGAGGTTGAAGAAGGGCGCCATGCGCTGCAGGTGGTGCGTGACGTGCTGCATGATGTGGTAGGTGTTGCCCACGTTGCCTGCAGGCAGGCATGAAGGAGCGTAGGGAAGGGGGAGAAGCGTGGGGAGGTAGGGGTAACAGCGGCACAAAGCACGGGTGGAAGGGGGCTATGAGGAAGACAGCAAGGAGGTACAAATGGGAGTTCAGGGGTTTATACGCCACAGAATGTTACAGCGTCCCACTTGCTTCCGTGTCAGCAATGGGTTTGTGTTGTATGTATGTACCCCCGCACACACCCCCAAGGGCCTCCTCCCAGCCCAGACACCTACTCGCACGGTCTTGTTGCCTAGGGCCTAACCATCATCCATCACCCACCTACCTCCCCAGCCATACCTTCCATGCCACACGGTTAGTTCCTTCCTATTTACCCCCATCCCGAAGCCCATCATGCTCACTCACCCGTATACCAGTAGGTAAACATGGGCACATAGAACAGGGTCGCTAGTGGAGGGAAGAGGCAGAGAGAAAGAGGGGAGAGCAACAAGGGGAGGGGTTAGGGACAGGGAGGAGCAGTAGGTACGAGAGCAAGCGGGGGACGCAGGTACAGTGACGGGGCATTCCAAGCTCACCCCCACTGCACCAACGGCAGATGGGCAGATAATGAAGGGGACGAGATCCACGGCATTCCACACCCCTGCTATTAGCGGCCCTCCTAGCGTCTGGACAATTGCTACAAATACCAGCTCCGCCCTGCCGAGCTACCACGTTCAAATTCGGGTTTGTAAAACACGCACGCGGTGGTGTCTCAGTGACTGTATTGCCGGGCAGTTGTGCCGTACCTTCCCACGGGTTTTCCGTACGAACGCCCCAATCCCCGAGCAGTTGCTCCGTGAACTCGAGCTCAGCGTTGTACATGGCGTCGATAAGAGCCCTGGAGAGCAGCGGGTTCGGAAGGGTTAGTCACAGAGGCGGAAATAAAAGCTAGGAACACTGATTGGTAATCAGGCGACTGGGCAAGAACTCAACCCGTGATAGAAGGCCACCAACCGCTTGGATTCATAGCCACGTGACGCGGGGAATGGACATATGGGCCGCCATGCACCAGCCAAAGTTTGCCTCCTTGTGTCTGTGAGCGAGCCAACGACACTGCCCACTCCTCTCTGACGAGCCTGGTTACATGGTCAGGCACTCCTCTTATTCCTTGCCTGCTCTACTACACTACACTAGGTGCCCTCACTGTCCCGATTACGCCCTTTCTCCGGTGTGTGGCACCTAACACCGTTTCCTCCCCACTACCAGGACGACCCGCGTGCAACAAACCATGGGTCGCCAGCCTTCCGGTGCACAATGATGTTTGGCAGGTCGTACACATAGATCTTCATGTCCGCATGGTTTGGCCGCCAACCTAGGAAACAGAGGAAGGGCGGGGTGGAAAGCGAGCTCAAGTGGAGCCAGGAAGCACGAAGAGAATGAGACAAGGGACGGTATGACCCCAAGGCGCGGGAATGTGGACCATGGGTGCACGTGAAGCGGTTGGTAGTGCGTTGTGCTCCTCACGCCTTCGGTCCACCGTCCACCATGGGGCGCACGGCAGGCTTCGCGTGTATGGCACCTCCGCCACCCCCCCAGCCAGCCAGGCTTCAAGGCCCCTAGCCGAGTCAGCCACCCACCCACTGTGCTGCTGTACGCCTTCCTCCGAGTGCACCCATGGCCCCAGTAGCCGGGCTGGCAGTGGCACCACCCAGACAGGCAGGTGCCCACACCACTGGAGGAAGAGGCAGAGGGGGAGGATAGGTATGGGGAGTGGGGAAAGACACGATAGATCTGGTAGACAGGGTTGGTGGGGAGCAACCGGTTTGGGAGAGGAGAAGGACGAAAGCTTTGTGCGGTGAGCTAGCACCTGCTGCAGGATTGACACTTCACTTTTCTGCCCCCCTGCGCCCACCGCACGCCGCCCACCTGCAGTTACGGTAGCAGTGGTAGTTCTCCGCCCGCTCACAGGACTCCCCTGAAAAGTACGAGTGGCAGTAGCACCAGGGCTTGTCGTCCTGAGTGTGCTGCCCCTCCTGGTTTCCGCCGTGTACTTGGCACCACCCGCGGTGGCTGCAACTGCGGGGGCGGGAAGGCCGTAACAAAGCTGGGAGTGGTCTTTGGTTAGGAATATTATGGCGCCATGACGCGTAATGGGGCGCGTGTAGGCGAGAAAGCCAAGACGTCTGGTAGATGGATTATAGAGGTTAGCAAGGTAATGTGGCGGGCGCTAGTGGAGAAAAGTGCAGCAGACAGTAGTAGACATCCGCTTAACCCGCTCCTGTCAGACTCTTGTTGTAAGCCCTGCTCCCAATTTATCCTCCTACTCCTTGCCCCCCTTCCCACCCCCGCGGCTCAGTTAACCTAATCCCCCACCAGTTCCCCACTTACTTGCCCGGACACTCCGTCAGGGGTCGCCACGTTCCCTGGTCAGGCGTCTTGTACTCCTTGGGGTAGGTGGAGAAAAAAGAAATTCCAAAATGTGGTGTGATATTGATTCAAGTGGGGAGGATTGCCATTGTGGGGCTCGCGTGTGAAAAAGGCCCCTCTTCAAAGCTGCCTGAGCAGCACAGCCGCACTCCTTCCTGCCTCTCCCCCCTCTCCTCCCACCTACCTTGGGCACCTCCTCCCCAGTCAGCACCCTCTCATTGAGGTTGGGGTAGGGCGCCATGCGCACCCACTCCAGGTCCGGGTGGTCCATGGGCGGCGAGTCGGACAGCTGGGCCGACTCGGGCAGGCTCTTGTACCGGTAGCAGAGCAGCTGGAGGAAGACGGCCACCAAGGGGGGAAGGGCGCGGTTGGGTCAAACGACGCCTGCGCCAGCGCTGGCCAGAAGGCCCACAGATGCAAGACAGATGTTGCACTGGAATGCCATGCCTGACGACTCGAATTGAATATGAGGTAGCCTAACAATAGCCAAGTGACAGAGTCAAACTTGACATGGAAGGTACCCCTTGCTGACATGGAAGGTACCCCTTGCTAGCACCCTTCTTGCAATGCGCATACTGCAGTATATTCCACGTACATCTTTCTCCATGAGGATTTCATACAAGCAGAAGGCGCGTGCATCGCCGTGCTCGTACTTGGGACAGCTGTAGGGATTCGCTAGCAGCTGTCTGCGTGTACGACAGGAGGGGGATTGGAAATAACGAACTGGTAGGGCTCGTCGGGTAGGGTCCGAGATGCTAAAGGGTACACGTGGTAGAAACATCTCTTGGAGCATACGGCATCGCCGGCCTAAGCACGCCTGTACGTAAGCAGTCAAACCCTTCCCTCCATCCACCCATCACTTTCGCAGCCCACAACCTCCTCCTCTCCCTTACTTCGCGCAATAGCAGTTTTTGGGATACCAAGTGCCGATGTGTGGCAGCGTGTCGGCCTCGTGGCTGGAGTGGCAGGCGGGGAACAGCCGTTCCGTGCATGCGGGGCCTGCGGAGAGGAAACGGTGGGGCGGGGAGGCATCTGCGCTAGTGCACCGTGCCGTTAAAAAAACACGGCTCGCTACTTTGGCGGCAACCTAACCGCAGCGCGCCCACCTGCAAGGCCGAATGGGCAATCGCACTGCCCTGTCTCGCCGTTGCAGTTACCATGCCTACGACAGTGTTGCCGGTGGTGATGCGAGGGCTCTACTCGTCTAGTTCGGATTGGCTGCTTACCAACTCGATGGCTGGGTTTTAGTGTTAATAAGAACTCACTTTGTACACTCGGGATGACAGGTTTTAGTATCCTCTTTAAAGACTACAGGCACTTGTGCTAACGTCACGTTTATGGCAATAATTGCTGTAAAAGCTGTCGCCCATCGGAGATTAGTTTTACGGGGCGCCATCTTGTATCTGGAGCGTTCTTCCAAGTGAGTACTGCCTAGAAACTATAGCATTATAGATGAGTCATGGTACAAAAATAGCGTTCAGAAGTTATGACAAGCGGCAAACGTCGCAAGCCACTTTCAGACCGACTGTCGCTCACGACTTATATAGGAGTAAGAGAGCACATTACGTGCACAATGCCTGGAACACTGCCTAGTCCATTTCTCTGATGACTCTGGGTATCCACCAGCGTAGGACATCGGCCGTCAGGGCCATGGATCCAGCGGGCATGTACGACAAAGGTAGTGTAAACAGCAAGACGCCGCCTTCCGTGCTTGCATTACCGCTTGTTAAACCTCCTCATTTCTGCAAGAAAGAGCTGCTTAACAATACTGCGTTGCTGTGAGAGCTTTCACGTTCTGACGTTTCTGAATAATCGCTGGTAAAAGCAACGCAAAAATTGGCTTGCGAAAACTCTTCAGCTGTGCAGTGTCCACCTCCACGCAAACAATAGCCAGTGCAGCAGTGCAATAAACACAGTTGCAGCCTGCGAAGACACGTATGAACAATTTAATCCATTCGGTGGAAATGAGGGCGCTTGCTATTGTAGCGGCCTTTGTCTTATTAGCTCATGGCCCTGACGGCCGGGCAGGGGGCTGTACCCTTCAAGCGCAGCGCATGCTTGCCAGTACTGCCGTAAGGCTTGCCATCAGTACGTTCGGGGGAGCAGCGTGGGGTGCGGACGGAACCGCTGCCCATGGGGGCCACGGCGGGGAACCAGCGAGGTCGGCCCGGGCATGCCGTCTGATACCCCAAGGCGCCCCGGCAACCCTTATCCCAGGCGAACGGGAAGACCCCACGCAGCTAGGTGGCCCCGGCTGCTCGTCCATGTAGTCGCAGATTCACAGTCGTACACGTCACAGCTCTACGTGTCCAGCATGCAGGTAGCCTACCACTGGACCCAAGCCAGCAGACACCATAATGCCCATGATATTCTGATCTCGATACCTACACCCAACAACCTGAGCAATGAAATATGGTTAGGGCACAGCAGTAGGCTAATTCCTTCACCTGCAGCCTGGCGGAACCATGGCCGATTGAGAGGAGACAGAAGTGTGGCTGCTACTTCCTAGCACGTATTACTACGCCAATGCCCGTCACCAGTGTCAACGGAGTTTCCGGGCTTGGGACCGCTGTGCGTGTGCCAGGAAAAGATAACTCACCACTGTCGCGCGGTGGATGGTGAACGCCGCAAGGCAGGCTGCCTCCACCTATGACACAAACACCTTATGTGCTCCCATGAATGCAGCCCCGTACATGCAGACAGAAATGCTTAAGCACACAGCATGCAGTCGTCAAGTGCTAATGACTCCGTTTCACTCCATTTACAAACCGAGACTGGCTACCAGTTACTTCTTTGTTGTGCTGGCAGGTCATAGTAGCTGAGAGCCTTGCATTTGCTGTACCAGCTCTGGTAGGTGGCCGCCGCCTCACCCTGCATCCCAACCACCTCAACCAACCGGTCCAACCAGAAGACCGGCATACCCTCCTTCTGCAAACGCTGGACTAAGGACTCGGCGTTGAGACTCACGATGTCCTTGTACTCCACACGTTGCTGCTCCGTGTTACCAGCAGGCGGCATTGGAGTCGCGGGGTTCTGGAAAATGGGGTTTAGGATCACAGCGTCACATATGTGTAAGCAAGCAAGGTGTAAAGCCTAAGATTAGGATGACCAAAAGGGTAACGTAGGCCATCGCAATGCGTACACCGCGGTGCTCAGCTACCGGTATGAGAACGTGTCTTGGTTAGGGAAGCATAATGGACGTCTGTAAGGACTGTCGCGCACGCAGCAGTAACAGCAGATGAGAAGAAGCAAGCCATTTGTTGGTGGCTTTGAGATTTTGGAACCGTTGGACTAACGCCACAATCTTACGCGCAAAATGCAAGAAGCGCCTTACCCCAAGTACGAGAGTGGTTGCCGGGGATGGTTCCAGCCGGGTGTTGTGGCCATGACTGTGATGATGATTGTTGCGCAGGTGGTGGAACTCAACAGCCAGCATGCCGTGCCACACGTCCTGGCCTCCAGGCTCTCTGTTCATAAAGCAATCTGCAAGCGAGCAGGGGGCAAGCTCATAACTCTTATAACTCAGAGGCAATTGCTCAACATGGAAAGGTATGTACCACGCAGATAGTGCCATGTGTATCACATACCGGCACCCTCAACCTCCTGCTGGCCAGTAGACACCTAGGCTCAAGCATAGCTGCAGAATGGGGCCCACATATGCCCGCCCCCACCTGCATGTGTGAACCCCGGCCACTCGCACTGCAGCTGCTCCAGCGAGTCGCCAAAGGGCTGCACTTGGTACTTGGTATCCAGGTAGGCCGACCAGGGGATGGAGTGCTTGATGGGCCGCTGTAGTGTGCTGCGGACTTCAGGCCTTAAGGCCTGTTAGTTAGGAGTGCAAGTAGGTGCAAGAAAAAGCAGTTGGATTGCCAGGCCTTATATATTAGCCGGCAGCGCGGCATGCTAGTAGCCCATGAGGTATGGCGTTGCGACATGAACAGTGGGCTGTGGCAACAATTGGCGGTGTGTTAGTTGGGTGGGTGCTACGGCTACAGCTGGCAGTGCCACACCTGCCAAGCATGTGACCCATGGGTCGGACTTACTCAGTCACTGTCGCAGGGCACAGTGGGCCAGGCTGCGATTGCACCCAGCGTTACAGCCACTTGGGCGAGACCCTGCGCTGCTTTGATGAACTGCTCCTTGCCTGCCAGTGCAGTACAGCACAGTACTACATTGTGTGGGGTCCGAACGATGAGGGTATGTAGACAATGACGACAAAGCTCAAAAACACTTCAGAAGCTGCTTCAACTTCCCCATTTGCTACGGTATTGCTGGTATACTACCGAAATGGACTTACTCATGCCGGCATGTATGACACCGGGCTGGAAAGCTACAACCACGCGAGCCTCCGGAAGAGTGTAGTGAGACAAGCCGTGTGGAAGAAGTTGGTTGGTCAGATATCGACGTCCCTTGGCAGCCCTGTAGTAACCGGTTTGGATTTGTTGGTGAAGACAGGGGGGGGGGTAGTAACTGCAAAAATAGACCCCAAGATCCAAATTAAAGGAGCTTAGCGTGGGGATTCCGAATCCGCTTTCAGAATTCTGTTTGGAGTTGTAATGAAAAAATTATGGGCTTGCAAAGTTGGTCGTACGGCAGGGGTGGGTGGGTGGGTCCGGAGCCTCAACGACTTTTTTAGATGAAGCGTCGGAACTTTTTTGCCAGGCCTCTGGTGAGAGTTCTAAAAGCTGTATTGTATTCCTTTCTTCATCTCTTATGTATAGAACTAGTTATAGCAACAAAAGGTACATTTATCAGCTTCGCATGGGTCCGATGACGCTTCAGGTCTGAACTACAATAGCCCAAATGGAGCCGCCTGATTCCCAATTTGCCCTAACAAAATAAGAAACAATGTTTAGAGAAAGAAGCAGATGCGGAGGTCGCGAACGCGTCTAGTTGTGTGCACCGCATGTGCACCGTATCACGAAGATCATGTGGAGCGTGTGGTACAACTACCCGGATCATCTGCAGACGCCCACCCCAATGAACAGCTGGCGGAGCTTCAAGCAGGGAGAAGTTCCACTCAGTTCTTAAGCGCGACAGGTTGTGCCACATGGCTGAGGGTCGCATTGCAGCACTCAAGAGCGGCAGCGGCTGTAACGGGGATATTTCGCGGGTTCGGGGGAAGGTGCTTCAGCACGGCACCGACGAAAGCACCGGGTGTAGCAGCAGCAGCAGACAAGGGAATGGAGTGAGGGATGCAAGATGACGTGGATGTGGGAAGTGGCGTCGTGGGTAGTGGTCCAAGGCGTGGCGTGACAGGGGGGAAGAGGAGGCAGGGGCCGGGGTCGGGGACGTGGCGGTGGTAGTTTTCTGCCCGTCTCCCAAGGGGGTTCTGGGTATTTGTATAGCACTAAATAGAGCTGAAGCAGAGGAGTCTAGCAGCTTTTTTCCCGGGCGTTTTGGCGAAGTTTACACATTGTACGGCATGCTTGCCGTACGGCAGGGGTGGGTGGGTTGTCCCGGGACCTACCCCTTCAAAAATTCATCATGGGGTTTATATAAAAATTTCTCCCCCCCCCCCCTGGTGAAGATGCCATACAGACAGAACAGGCGAAGATGACCCTTAGTAGGCGAGACGCGGGAACGTCTTCTCCTACGCGGCAAGTCCAGCCAGAACATCGCAGTCAGCGTTAAAGCTGCCCCACAACATTCTGAGCCTGTTGTAGGACTAATAGCTTTAAGGCACCTGCCCCCCACAGGTGCGATAAAGCTATAATTTCGTAAGCCCAAGTACCCCCTTCCTTTCCTGTCCTCTAGAGTGGATAGCCGACCCCTTGCAACCCTCGCCCCAGCAACTACATACCTTGCAGCAACACGGAAGTCGTAGTGCCCTGCCAGCATGAGGGCAATGTCCTTTCCGAAGTCACCTGGAAAGAGTGCCACCCAGACATGGCCCATAGCTACCTTGCGCGGGGCTGGTGCGGTGTCGTACAGACGCGTGTGCCACCAGCCATGCCGACCAACTGCCGACCAGGTGCTCTGGGCCCAACAACCCAAGCAGTTGTCCTCCTTTCCTGCAGATATGCGCAGCAGAGGCGGGTGACCCATTCCAAACATGAAGCCAAGACGGGGTGGTGTGATATGAGAAGCTTTATGCAGCGACAACATTACTGCATATCCACACACAATCACAGTACGTTTCGCCTCGCGGCCAGTTATTTTAACACACACCCCAATGGGCCCCCCGCACGTACTGTGGGCTGCCAGGTAGCCGAACCTCTCGGGCTTAATGGCCCGTGCCGCAGCCTCCGTTGCAGGGTCCTCTGGGTCGGGAGGAAGGGACACGCCTGCAGAAGAGCGAGGCGCAATGGCAGGCACCCGAACAAGGCAAATAACAACGTGGGGTGAACAGTAATGGCTTTCATTCTTAGGCCCTGCGGCACGTGGTTTCGGGGGGTCAGGGGGCTTGGAAGGGGGCACCTCTCCAGAGCACTGGGATGGTGCGCCCTGCAGTACATGCACGGCAAGCGCAAAAGCTCCATGGCTAAGCATTAGCTGTTGTTGATGCACATTTAACACACGACTGCCCACAACGCCACCAACGCCATCACTGCCATCCGCAAGCTTTGTTGCTTACCTAGCTCAGCATAGGAGCGGCGGTACGCCGCTGTTTTGGGACCAATTGTACGACTGAAGGGGTACCTGTCATCATATAGTCATGTCAGGACATGTATCTGAACCTGATGGCGAAACTGTCACTCCATGAATGCAAGCACCCTTACCCGCCAAATTCCAGTGGCCATTGTCCACCTGCATGGAAGGTTGTAGTATGCAAAGGGCGTTACGGGGCTAAATAGGGTGGGTGTGCAGCTACTATTTCCCAACGTGAAGCCCATGCAAGAGAGCATTGGACTTACCACTGTGGGGCACTTTAAGATTAACACTGGACATGAGGACTGCACCGGCCACCGATGTGTTGCATGTAGGCTCCTCATAAAATTCGCAAGTGGCTTTGGCTATTTCTCCTCCAATCGGAATGGTCTGGGGAGAGGCAAGCCTAAGGTTAGCAAACTTTAAGCACAAAGAGTCAGTTACCTGGCGACTACCTACCGTGTATTCTTCCCAAGTACCACGCACGGCGTCCTCGATCACCTTCCACATCTGCAGCACGGCGGGCAGCGGGGTACACCGAGTGCGGGGTCATGGAAGACACCTACCTAGGCGCGGATACGCGGAAAACATCCCCTGGAGTTTGTTGGTTAGATGGACACAATTTGTGCAAGCCTCGTAGCTTCTACCTTCATTACGCATCCACATCACGGCTTCAATGCCCATGACGTACAATGTGCAGACATGCATGGGGCTGTCTAAGGGATGGCTTACGTCAAACCGTGTCGTTCCGTGCTTCTTGTATGCCTCTTCATCATCACCGTAAGTCGCCAACAGCGTTGAAAAAATGGGCCGCCCCAAAACTGCACTGTGCACAGTCTCTTGCAGGACGGACTGGTCGTTTATCCGCAATATGCGGGATTGTCTGAAGTGCGAAGAGGTGTTTTGGAGAACAGAGTCGTCCTCTGTCCAGCGTGCTGCACCCAGAAATTAGGAAGGGCCAAAAATAATTATAGTGGCACACATTGACTCACAAATTGTGGGGTCACAACCGCGGGTGGGGTTTTGCTGCGCACCCAAAAGCATGTGTGGCCATGCGGCTAATGCATTAGTAAGCCGCGCGCCCCAAGCACATAGGTGTTGCCCTCCAAGCTCCAACCCGCATCAACACCCAGGCACCTACCTACTCGGTGGGTAGCTTCGAACAGAAGCCATGTAATGGGTCCATTTGAAGTGGCATTTTGGATGTAGCAAAAGCCACTGTTGAAAGCAATGCCCACTTCATTCTGGCACAACATGTTGTACTGTCTCAGGGGAGGTTGCTTTGCACGCCAGTACCTGCGCAAAAGCCGCAGCTTTGCGATCTGTCCATCCGAGTATGCAGCAGCATACCTACCAATTTGCCAAGCTTCAGAATGAGAGAAAGACTATGAGGATCAAACCCTTTTGTCCAAAGCCCAGAAGGGATTGACGAAGCTAAACCCTACACCAACATGTAACTGGCAAGCTGGCCGCTTCACTACCCTGTGACGTGGCTGCCTCACCAGTCGTCAAGGATCAAAATATCCTGCACAAATGTCAAGAGCCACCTTCATGTAACCATTCATGCCGACGGACTTAGTTAGCATGCATGCACTGCAAGAGTGTAACCGAAAGAGCATGCCGTTTAGTTAATGGTGGGGGCGCGCGCGCCTAGTAAGCCAAAACTTTACGAGTTCGGCATGGCAAAGCAGTGGTGCAACGTGAGTAGCCAAAGGTCTGCAGCCCCCTTACCGTGTCAACAGCCATCACGTTGTACCCAAGGGCAACAGCTCGGCCTGCGAATGCATGGAGATGTGGACGCTAGTAAGGATACCGGTACCAGAACAGGTACGTTGTGTGGGGCAAAAATAAGGAAACTGGCGAACTGTATGACGAGGCTTCACCATGGGTGTTTATCAATGGATGTGACGGCCTTGCAACAAGGTGCGATGGCACCAGCGCCGCTAGTGGTTTAGGAAGGAGGCTTTGCATGGATAGGTATCGCTGCCGGCTGTGTGCCCTGTTGGATTTAGCATTACCCCTGCCCAGTCTATGAAGAAGACTACGCCGGACCCATGTCGCCAACCGTACGTACGCACCCACGGTATGGTATTTTCGCCAGCCGGTCATAGGATGTACGGGATGTTGGAGGTACTCAAAGCCACTTTGGTATGCCGTACCACTGCATCACATGCACAATAGCACATGCAGGCGGCAGGTCACGGGACAGCCTGCCAAAGATGAGAACCCCAAAGCGTGTAAGCATCCACTGACCTGGGGCTTTTGATGGCGTACGTACCACAGCTTACAGGGCCTTCTTCCGCCTGCCAGGGCCTGAGCACGGCCCGAAGCTGCTGGCACTGCACTGGTTCATCCTGCACAGCAAGCCAGCTGCTGTGTTAGGTTAGCACAGCAGGCAGGTCAGCATGTTGTCGACCGTGCCACTGTCCTATGTTCCTCGTGATGTGTTACGATAGTCGCGCTGCGTAGAGCGTCCTCACCATGACGACGAGTACATGGCCGTAACCAGCACTGTGGAAGCGGTGAAGCGCCTGCGCCGCTTCATTCATTCTGCTTTCTGCAAAAATGATAACCTCATTTCTGAAGGCGGTCGCCTTCAGCGCCTCCTGAAGCTGGGCTGCTGTGTCTAAAGGGCCCGTGTAACCATCCAGCTTGCCGACGGAGCAATAGCCGCCACGTTCGCAAATGCGACCGGCATTTGCCAACAAGCGTATGGAGCTAAACTCGATTGAGCACAGCGCAAGTATAATGGCTACGAATAGCTGCATCTTCGAAAGAAATCATTGCATTGTTCAAAATACGCTTACAAGTAGTTATATTAAGACCAAGTATATGTAAAAGGAATAAGATACTAAAGCAACACGTCGGGGCGCCGGTCGATTCTTAGCGGCCCCAGGATCCAAGCTGTCTGTACCGCGCTGGGGGCGATGAGGATGCTGTCGTCACCGGTGCCTGCCTGCCATAAGCGATGATGCACAAACATGCTTTAAGATGCTCGACCACCGCTCCGCTCAGATCATGACACTGTACTGGCAGCAGTAGAGAGTAGTTTCTTTTGGCTTAGGACGAAGCGGGAAGCTTGTACTGCAGCAACAGCCACCCGAGGGGCGATGTAAAAAGGATGAGCCAATGCCTGTAGGTGCGAAACTTGTGGCAATGGCGCTGGGTTCCTAGGCAGGGGGGTGAGGGGCTCCAGACCTCCAGTCACCTACTTCCCACGGAAGGGTGCCGTGCGGCCTTAACAGTAATACTCGCATTCAAAATTACTATTTCTGTTTACATAGGGTTACAAGGAGCGGTGGCAATGAATGCCCAGTGACTCTAGCTGTTCCTCCTTACATACATGATAGTGTCAGCGGATGTAGGGAAAACTACTCCGGGGTGTAGTACTATTATAAAAAGTAACTATCGTCTCCATGCCGGATTCCGGAGAATAAAATCTGCGAACTCCGTATGACCGTGACCTGTTGTCCCTCACGTCCGCAACGCGGCCCGCCATGGTGGTACCGTGGTATCGACAGCCGGTGAGCCAAAGAACCCGCATTCGTCCCAACCACAGCTTGCAGCCAATCACAGGATAGAGTTGAGTCAAAGTCCACACGCCAAAACCGTGCTAGACATGGCACGACAGTAGTAACAATAATAGCCGCCCCTTCAATTGCACATTTGAGGAGATGGCTGCCATTGCAATAAAACGTCCCCTCAGAACACCCGCACTTTACAACGCTCTCTCAGCGCCGCCGAACAACACCTAAACGGTCAAAGCAACAATGGTGCACGCACATGCCACATTGTTGCCCTCAGCTGCTAACAACATTGGACCATGCCTACCATCCCAGCCGCATGCTGGTCTCCCGCTAGCAATCAAGCCTTGCACATGCCCCGGTTGCCAACGGAAACAACGCTAAAACCATAAACACTACCATTACACATTAGGCGAACAAATCCTGCTATACCAACCCCGGGTAATTGGTTTCGCACATAGCGTAGCGACGTAGCGGAAACTGAGGTTTCCTTCTTTCGATGTCGTACGGTTTTCGTAAATTGTACAGAGCCGTTCGGCCTGCTCTTTGGAAGTTGTATGGCTTGCTTTGTTCAATGTGAACATCGTTCACGGATTCCATCAGAACTGACACCGCCATGTGTAGCTTGGCCATACTACGCTCAGTCGCTGGCTAAGTATGCGCGGTGAAACGCTGCCCGCCTCCCAAACACCCGCACGAGGAGCACACTTCCTGGCGTGCAGGCACTCTCTGCCTAGCGACGGCCCCGTACAACCTAACAGCGCATGACCAAATCCTGAAAACTAGGGACACTGCCAGGCTGCCCCCCACAAGCTCCTACCCCCGCCAGCGCACGCCCGTCTCCAGGAAGATGCAACAAAGCACGCCGGCTGTTCCTGCAACCATGTTTCACAGTTTCTCCTTCACGGCCTGCATGATCCCTCCTACATAGCTGCGTCGGGCACCCAATCTGCATGTCCGCATGTGGCCACGGAAATAGGTGCAAGCGAGCACAGATAATGCGAGACCTTGGCGCCGCCCAAGCCCTCCTCCACGCCCGCCTGCAGTCCGTGGCTGCCACCAGCAAGACCGTGCGCTGCCCGGTTGCCGCGGGGACGCGCGGTCCCCACGGTCTGCACTGGCGTCAGTGAGATGCCGGCGGCCGCAGCAGCGGCGGCAGCAGCGGCATGCGCTGCGGGCGTGCATATGACCTGTGCATGGGTGAATACAAGTGGTGGTGAGGGGGCAAGCAGCTGGTTGATATGGTCTGGCGTTTACGACACCGCGCCAGAACTTTGCATGGCGGGCTCAGTTTCTCCCATTCCAAGTTCACAGGACTCTCCGGTAATCGTCAAGTGCAACGCAGGTCATGACGCCATCCATCCACCCACCACCAACCGGCACGCACCTGGCCCCGCTGTGCCACCTCCAGCAGCTTCGCTACGTTCTTGGCCGCCCTGCCGCGGTACAACAGCCGCCCGGTGGCCCGGCACACCTCCGTGCCCACCTGCCCCACGTCCACCACCGCCCGTGTGCGCGGACCACGGAACAGCAGGTGTTGCGTCGGCACGTCGGCGCCGCCGCTGCCGGGCAGATCACCGACCCAACCGTCGCCGTTACCCTCGCCGCCATCGTTATTGTCGCCACCGTCGCCACGGTCAGCGGCGGTGTCAGCGATGGCCGCGGTCGCGGCCGCGGTAATGCCGCCGCTGTTGCTGACGCGCAGCCTGGGCTCTGCCGCGGCTTGAATGCAGGTCGGCGTGGCCGTGGGGCGGGGCAGGCGCGGCTCGGACGGTTGAGCGGGATCAGGGCTTAGCGCCGAGTCCTTCTCGTCGGCCTTTGTAGCAGCATCTACAGCGGCAGCAACCGCCTCCGCACCATACGTAGCACCGGCAACTGCTGCTGTAGGCTTACGCAGCATTCCAGACGGTCCGCTTGCGGATGGCCCTGTCGGTGACGGCTGCCCGACTCGCAACTTCCGCAAGCCGCCGGTAGTGCCCGTCTCGCCGCCACCTACGTCCCAGAACTCCGCACCTGCGGCCACCCCCTGGCCCTCCGCGGCGGTGCTGGTCCGCACGCTGCGCAGCATGTTGCGCAGCTTGAGCCAGCCGACAGCTCGGCTGGCGTTGCCGCCGCCGCCGTCACCAACGGTGATGCTGCCGCCGCCGCCGCCGGCACCCCCCCGACCCGCCAGCGGCACTGCCAGCGGCGCCAGCAGGCTAGGCCCGGACAGCTCAACCTGGGTCAAGCGCTTGCGTGGCGCTCCGAAGCCCGCGTCGTGGTAGAGCTGAAGGCGGCTGAGCTGGCTACCGCCGAGCGGTGTTGCTGCTGCCTCGGCGGCAGCACTCGCGTTGGCTGGGAGGTGAGAGGCGTCTGCCGCGCCAAGTGACGGCCGCGCGGCCCTGGGCAGCAAGTGTGCGAATGCCGCCGGGGTCTCCACCTCGATGGTTCCAAAGGCGTCCTGACTCAGCAGCTCGGGAGACCTGGGGGGACGGGTAAGGCGGTGGGCGGGCCGGGTGGGAGGCTGGCGGGCGCGACAGGCGGCAGACAGGAGTGCACGGGCGGTGAGCCGCAGGGATTGGGCATGGCACAGTGCCCCGCCTTAACTCCCTGCGTACTAGCGCATCTCATGTAGGTAACTTGGCCCTGCCGTAACTAGGACACACAAATCACGCTGGGTCAAGCGGCCAGGCCGACCGTCATGTACGGATGCTATTCTTGCCGCTCAATTGGAACAGAGCCCAATGAACCCCGCCCTGGGCTGCAAGCAAACACATGCAGTCGCTCCCCTCCCCTTCCCCACTCACCACTCCCAGTGCAGCATATCCGCCTGCACGCAGAGCGCCCACGCCAGCGCGCAGCCGCAGTCCGCGAACGCCACCACCACTCCTTCGCCTCCGCCGCTGCGCGTCTCCGACAGATAACCCCCCATGGCGGGCAGCGTCTCCAGCAGCAGCTGCTCCCACGCGCCCATCACCTCCTCCGCCAGCGCAGGCTGCAAGGCGTGCAGCGCGGCTAGGCCGGCTACCTGGAAGCGCACAAGGGCAACCAGGCCGGTGGGGGCGGACAGCAGGCCGGGCAGCAGCTGCGCCTTGACGCGGGGCGGGGACTGGAGCAGCAGGCGGGGAGCCAGGGCGGGACTCATGAGCTGCGGGGAAGGGAGCCGAAGAGGAGGGGAGGAGGTTGGTTGGGAGGGGTAGAGAGAGAAATGATGGGTAGCGTTGTGCCGGAGCGGGACAGACGCGGTGCCGACAACCGCTGTTGTTGTTAACAATGAGAGAGAAGCAAAGGGGGATAGCGAAGGCGAGCCACAGAGCCTCCGACAGCAAGGGAGCATGGCGGAGGTGACGTAATCAGGGCGGTACCGCTCAACGTTACCCATGGCATAGCTCAGTGCATGATGCCCAGGATCAGGCACTCATGCAGCTGCCGAGCACATCCTTACGTAGCCCATCATCCAGCCTAACCGCCGTGCAGCCGCGGATTACAGAAATCCAGCCTAACCGCCGTGCAGCCGCGGAAAACTGAAGAGGACCCGCATCCCTGCCACCATCCCTCCAATCTGCATGCTGAGGACATTCCCGATTCCCGCCATTGAGCGACGGGGTCTTCGTTGTATTCTCAATCCCAACGCGCCTCCACCCGCCCCACTCCCTCAGCAGTCAGCACCCATGCTGCAACCCAAGGTAGAGCCTTGTCGCACGGTTAGTTGGCTTCTTGTTAGTTTCTCCCTCTTCACCCCATCCGCCCCCCCCCTCCACCTGGAACAGCTCCACGGGCCTCAGCTCCTTATCCAGGCTCACGCGCCCCAGCTGCCACAGCTCCTGCCCCTCCGCCGCCAGCGCAGCAGCCGCCTCGGTCTGACTCGCCAGCAGACCCGCTGCCACCTCCGACATCACGATCATGCCGCCCTGACGGGTGGGGAAACGAAGAAAACCCAGGGCGGGGAGGGAGGGAGGAGAGGCGGGGCGAAGAGTTTGGAGGGTTGGGGGGGGGTTACGAAGTTAGCCGGGGCTTTGCGTGTCCGCCTAAGTTTCTACATCCTGTGTTACAGTAGGCGTTGCAGGACGTGAGAAGGCAACCCCACACGCTTTCGGTTGCAGCCCCACACCTGCAATCCCCAACCATGCGAACCACAGCGACAGCCACCCACCCTCCCTCCCCCGCAGCCCCTCCCTCCCTCCACCCCTCCACCCCTACACCCACATGCGCTGCGTCCGACACCGCCTTGGCTAGCCGCATGACCAGGCCGCAGAAGGTGATCCGGCCCGAGGTCTTGTTGAGAGTCATCTCGTGCTCCCGCACCCCGGAGTGCAGCCCCACTCGCACCCGGAGGCCCCTGCATGGGACCGGGCAGGGGAGGGGGCAGGTGCAGCAGCAGCAGCATACTAACGGGAGTGGTATTGCGGGGCTACCTGGCGTTGCAGTCCGCAGCACCGACAAATACCCGCCTGCCACCCAAAAAAACCACCCGCCACCCCCCTCCTCACCTGAACACCATCACCGCACCAGGCGCCGGCGCATCCACCAGCTGCCACCCCGCACACGTCTCCCACCCGAACGTCCACGTAGAGTCGCCGCCAACACTCCCCAGGTCCACCACGGCCAGAGCACCGCCGCCGCCGCCGCCGCCGTACGGCACAACAGGGCCAGCGGCCGCCGCCGCAGCCGCCAGCTGGGGTTGCTGCAGCTTCCGGCTCGTAGCAGCGGACTGCAGCGGACGCGATGTAGCTGCTGGGGAGTCGGGAGCCGGGGTGGGCGGCTCCACACGCTCGCCGTCAGCTGCTGTCGAATCTCCCAGCAAGCCAAACAGCGCCCCGCTGCTGAGGCCCCTCTGAACGGCAGCAGCCGACGGCAGCAGCAGTCGAGGAGGCTCCTGGTCCTGATCCGTGGAAGATGGCGGCGCAGGAAGCGAGGCAGAGGCGACGTCGCCGCCGCCTCCGCCGGCTGCCTCCGTCGGGCCGCGTTCCAGGTCTGAGCCGGTGCTTGCCGCCGCCCCGGCCATCCAAGTCGACGGCGCCAAGCCGGGTAGCAGGTCGGTAGTCTTGGAGCGGAGCAGCGAGGATAAGCTCTGACGTGTGCGGCCCGGCAGTGGGGAGGGCTGCGGTGCCGCCACCGGCGCCGGCGCTGGCGCTGGCGCGGCGGCGGTGCGATTGCGGCCGGACAGCAGCGAAAGACGCGAGCTGGAGGTGTGCCATGCGGCGCCCGGCGGCGCGCGCAGCGGCCTGCGAGGAGCCGCAGCAGCAGCGGCGCCCTCGGCTGGGATCTCCGACAGTGATGCGGAGCGGGAGAGCACCGCCAGGTCCTGGCTGACACTTTGCATGTGCACCGTCGCTGCAGCCGCCGCCGTCACCGCCGCCGCTGACTCCTTACCCTCCGCTGCAACCGCCACCTCCGTCGGCGTCGCGTCCGCATCCTGTGGGCCTTCCGGCTGCACCTCCAGGTTGTCGCCCGTCGCTTCCGCCACCGCCGCCGCCGTCAGCGCTCCTCCTGCCGTACCGCCGGCACGCAGCTTCAGCTTGGCGACGCTGCTGGCCTGGCTGGTGTGTGAAGAGGCGGAGGGGGACACGCGCGAGAGCAGCGCTGAGCTGCGGGTAGCGTTGGTGGCGGTGAGGGTGGTGGCGGTGGTGCCGCTGCCGGCAGTGCGGGAGACGGTGGCCTGGGAGGGTGTGCGGCCCGCCAGCTGTAGATGCACCTCCTTGGCGCTCCTAGGGGGGAGGGCAGGGAGGGAGGGAGGGGGAGGGGGGCGAGGAAGTGTGGAGGGGTGGGAGATGGAATAGGCGCATAGGGAGACGGCGCTAGGAGGTTGATGTGGGGTTGGGGGCAGTGGAGGGGCAGGAATGCATGCTTCTGCAATTGACTAAGAAGTGAGGGCAGGAGGGCAGGAGCATGAAGCTGTGGACGATGTCCCAAACCTTTCAACCCAAGCAAATGCAACTGGTAATTCCATGGGGGCTGCATGGGTGACCCACGGGTCGCCTGGGACCCACTTGGCGATGGCGTACAGCGGGCGGCAGATGTCGGCATCCTGCAGCAGCTCCGTCGGCCACTTGGCCTCCGTCAGCTCTGCCTGCAGGCAGCCACGCGGGTGCAGCCACACACTCGCGGCCAGCTTTCTTAACACACACGCAGGTCGCACACACGCAAGTGCAGCTACGGGTGCGTCTTGGAGTATGTGGTTCCGGGTGACATACCTCAGACCTTGCTCCTCTCTCCTCTTCCCTCCCCTTTTTCCCTCCTCCCCGCCGCGCCCCGCACCTCCTTCGTTCTTGCAATACCCAACCTCTCCCTAACCCCCATGTTTCCATCCCCTATCAACCCGGACCCCCCGCCCACCTGCAGCTCCGAGGCGAACCTGAGCGCTGCCAGCGGCGTGGGGAATGCGGCGATGAAGGAGTCGCCCTCCGTGGCGCTCTCGTAGCCGCCGTGCCGCGCCAGCAGCCGCCGTATCAGCCCGTCATGCAGCTGCAGCGCCGCCTGCATCACCTCGGCGGGCAGCGCCTCCCACAGGTTGGTGCTGTTCTGTTTGGGTGGGAGTGGTAGCACCGGTGGTATGGGGAAGGGAATAGGGGGCATTAGAGTAGAGGCTGGAGGAGGGAGAAGTCGTGGTCAGTTCACAGTTCTTACGGGTGGAAACCTTGACTCCCCTCAGCTCTCCTCTCCATCCATTCCATCCTACGCCTCCCACCTCATCTCCTCCCCTTCCCGTACAGGATGGCTATCCCTCCCCCCCTCCCTTCTCCCTTCCCTCTCCCTTACCTCCACATCCGTCACCACCAGTGTGCACTGCTCGCTAGCGAACGGCACGTACCCCCCTCCCGAGCCCCCGGACCCCCCCGCTCCGTCCCGGCGCGCGCGGTACCTCCGCGCCGCCACCAGCCCCAGCAGCGCCGCGAGGGACGCCAGCAGCAGGGAGCCGCCCAGCCCCGCACCCACACCCACACCGACCTTGGCGCTGCGGTCTAGGGCGGGGGCGCGCGCCTGGGGTGAGGGACGGAGGGGGGTGGCGAGGTAAGGGAGAAGAAAAAGAGGGAGGAGAAGTATCATGATTTGAGTGGTAGTGGCAACGCGGGAAGGGAGGGTGGTGTGAGATGAGCACGTAAGGGCTGGCGGAAAGGCTAGACGCGAGCGACATGAGAACCCATGAAGGGATGAAGGGTCAGCTGGGCAGGAGTGGAAACCGAATCATCATGGCCATGTGGTCAAAGAGCCCGGAAAGCGCTCTAGGGGCCGACAGGGGCGCCAAAACAACCCTCGCCCCCCAACTCTTTCCTTCCCGCCCTCCCGCCCGCCCGCCCAGCCCCACCTGAACAGCCGGCGGCGGCGGCGAGGGCGGCGGCAGCTTGCGGTCCATGTTCTTCCAGTAGCGCTGCCTCAGCCAGTCGGCTGAGGTGTTGGCGTACAGCGCCTCCACCGCCCGCTGCGCCTCCGCCATGATGTCGGCCACGGGGCGGGAGGTGTCGGTGAGCGCCACGGCGGCAGCGTCGACGGCCAGGCTGGGGGGAGGGGGCAGGGGGGGGAGGGGGGGGGGGAAGAGGTGGAGGAGGAGAGGAGAAGGAGGAGGAGGAGAAAGACCATGCGTTGGATGATAGCGGCAACGTATTAGGTGGCAGAGATGACACTAGCTGCGGCTTGGGGACGTCGGAGGAGAGGTGAGGAGGTAATAAGAAAAGCAAGTATCATGCCTTGAACGAAACCGCCCCCCCCCCTGCACAAACTCACTAGTAGTCAATGGCTCCCCGGATGCGCAGGTTGAGCGCGATGTTGGAGTGCTCCACCGTCTCCGCCACTGCACGCATGAACAGCAGCGTGTCGGCCGGGTGGTAGCCGGCAGCGGTGTAGCGGGGCAGGTTGGCGGGGTCCACCATCTCGCTGCGGACAGGGGTGGTCTCTGGGGGGGGCGGGCGGGGCAGGAGGGGAAGGGAGGGGCGGGAGGTGGAAGGGAGGAAGGGTCAAGGAGGGTCAAGGACCATACCAAACCATAGGAAGAAGGGGAGGGGGGAGGAACAGGGAGTATCTGTGCGAGCATGCCATTGGGTTTCAACGCCCGGGGTTAGTTCCTTCGTTCCACATGCACCCCCTCCCTCCCTCCCTTTACCCCCTTCACCCGCAGTAGCACTGAGCACGGAGGGCCACATGGCGCCCGCATACACCCTCCGAGCGCACAGCCGGTACGCCATGTACTGCTGCTCCGGCGGGCTGTGCGCGTTGATGGCGTAGGTGAAGGCGCCGCGGCCGGCGTACGGCGCGGAGTTGACCCAGATGGAGGAGCCGTTCTGCAGCGTGTGGCGCCGGCCGAAGGGGCACAGCGTTTCGTTGCATGTGAGCAGGCGGCCGGTGGCGCGGTCCTCCACTTGGGTGCTGCCGGGCAGGAGCGCGGTGCCGGTGCGGCCGCGCACGCGGGTGACCTTGTTGAGGCTGTTGTTGAAGGTGGCGTACTTTGGGGGGGGGTAGGGAGGGAGGGAGGGAGGGGGGTTAAGGATGAGGAGGAATGCTAAGATCCTTTTGATCTTGAGGAAGGGATGAGGGGGGGGAGGAGGGGAGGGGTTTGAGACGCTGGCTGCCGGGCAGGATTGCGCCGACCCAAAGCCCATTGTCCTAGTTCGCGCCGCTACCGCTGCTGTTAACACTCTGTTGTAGTCCAACCAGGTGGAGGCGCCCCTGCCCACCACCTGCCCCTTCCCCCACCCACCCAGCTCCCTCCCAAACCCTATCCCCTGTCGTGTCTGGGTTGGGTTTTGGGCACTGGGAACGTAGGTTCCTTGTCCTCCCCTCGCCTCCACAGCTTTGGATAGCTGGTAAATGTGATTCTGCAGTACAACCTGCCTCCCCTCCCCTCCCCTCCCCTCTCCCCTACCTTGAAGTGCAGTGTGGTTCCCACCGCCATGAGGCAGTTGCCCGCCACGAATGAGAGGCTGACGGGCAGGCAGGACACGTTCTCGGTGGGCGCGGTGAAGCGGGACAGGCGCCGGTACAGCTCGGCGGCGCGCAGGGAGCCTGGGGGGGAGGGGAGGAGGGCGGGGGGGAAGGGGTCGGAAGGGGTGGTACGAAAACTGGCTGCGCGTAGAAACGTACTGGATTGGCATGTGTCTGTCAAGAAAACTGGCCGCGAGTCGGAACGTGGTGAGTGTTTGGGGGTTGGAGATGGAGGAAGGGAGTGGTAGCCCCCACCCAGCCATGTCAGCTCAGTTCGTGGTATCCCATCCATTGCACATCCCAACACGCGCATGCGCCTCCTCTCACCCTACCCTCCCAACCAACACCCTCCCCAGTAGGTTGCAGCTGCTAACCCTATAACACCTACAAGTACACGCGACCCCAACATTTCAGGCTATTGCGGAGTATTGTATCCTGATTTACCCCCAGCCCTCCCACCCCTCCCCTCGTCTCTTTTCCCTCCCCTCCCCTCCCCCACCCGAGCTGTTGAGCAGCGGCCGCATGGTGTCGCTGTCGAAGTGGAATCCCTGGCTGGTGCCGCCTGCCTGCAGGAAGGGGACCTGGAGCGCCTGGAAGGTGTAGCCGTTGTAGCAGCCTGTGAAGGGGGGGAGGGGCCAGCAGGGGGGGGAGGCAACCGGTGATGGCACGGAGAAGAGGGCAGCAGGGGGAGGGGGAGTGAGGAAGGCGGCAGAGGAAGTAGCTGGGTGAAACGCTGCGTCTCTTGGTGGGCCTTTCTTGTTCGGGTGTTTATTTGTTCGGGGTCGAAAGCGCCTGGGGTTCTCCTGCTGATTCACCGCCCAGGCCTAGCCCGGCATCCTCTGAGACAGCGCTGGCCAAGTACCCTGGCATTGCCCCAGGTGGCTCTGACTCATCCCCCCGCGGCCACCTCCCATCCCCATAGATTTGACCTAATTTGTGGTTTCCTATGGTTTGGCATGGTCTTTGCCCCCCCCCCCACTTGCCGCTACCTCCATTCGTGCCGCTACCTCCATCCGTGCCGCTACCTCCCCGCCCCCCTCCTTCTCCTCCTCCCCACCCGGCTGTCTTGACATGCAGAAGCCCCACGCGCCTCCCTCCCCGCCCCCCTCCAGCCGGGTGCCGTTGTAGCGCTCGGCGATGTCCACCACCTCCTCCCACGTGGCGGGGACTGGCAGGCCCTGGGCCTCGAAGAAGTCGCGACTGGGAGAAGCGGGAACGGCGGGGGCAGCGGGTGGTGACGGCGGTCATGGCAGCAGCAGTGGCGGCGGCGGTTTCAGCAGCGGTGGCGGCGGCGGTAGTATTGGCGAGTAGCGGTGGCGGCGGTGGAAGAACAATGGCAGTAAGCGGAGTGGGAGGTAGTGGAAATGGAGGCGCAGGAAGACGAGGCGGTTGAAGGCGGGGGGAAGGAGGAGGAGGCGGAGGAGGTGGTGGGGATGAGCCGAAGGGAAATGGGGAAGGGAAGGGCAGACGAGGGAACGTTAGCACAAGTCAGGAATTAACGCAATCAGAGGACCTGGTAAGTGGAGAAGGTTCTAGGACCCCCTCGGATGACATCCCTCCCCCCTCCGTCCCTTCCCTCCCAGTCTCCTCCCCCCCCTCACCGGTAGTAGAAGAGCATGATGGCGGCGCTCACCGGCAGCCCCACCACCTTCCCGTCGTACACGGATGCGAACCTGCATGGGGGGGAGGGCGGGGGGGAGGGTTTTAAGGGAGGGCGAAGGGGAAGGGGAAGGTAAAAGGGAGGTACGAACAGGGGACTTGTAAAACAGCAGCAGAACCAGCAGCTGCAAGTGACAACAACGGGGTGAAGCAACGGCCGCGGGCGCCCTCCTACACGCCCGCTGACATGCGGGGTGCGGGACCCACCGGCGGAAGAACGTGCCGAATCCAGCCCACTGCAGGGAGGGGGGCCGGGAACAAGGCAGCGCAGCGGAAGAGGAAGTCAGGCGATGTGTGTTAAAAGGCTTATTGCAGAAGTGTGTGCTTGCACGAAGGTGTAAACGAAAGCAGTGTAAGGAGAGAGTACCCTTCCCACTGTCCTTTCCGCCAGCATCCAAACAACTAAAATCTGAGCTCCCACCGCCATCAGCCGATACCCTTTCCTTGGCCTTTGTTGCCACCATCTCTGGTTCTCACCCACCACCCCTCTCGCCCTCCTCCCTCACGTTGAGGTTGGTGTCCTGCAGCACAAGCTTGCTCAGGTCCTGCAGCGCAGCCACCGGCTCGTCCGCCATGTCGGCTGGAGGGGAGTGGGAAGAAATTACATGTGTGGTGTGAGGGGAGGGAGGGGAGGGGAAAAAATATATAACTGAAACAACGAGTCCCAATCCCATAACGGAGGGGAGTGGGAAGGAGAATGGCGGGTAGGCAGGGAATTAGCGGGGTCTCGGGGCTGGTTGTAATGGAGAGGCGGCAACGCGCGCACAAGGACGGTGGATGAAACAGGAGGGGGCGAGCAGCGCGAAATCCCTTTGTTGTCCCCAGTCGGCGACCACCTGACCCACGGGTCACACACCACTCACCCGTCAGCACCGGGTCCAGGAACCAGGCCTGACGCTGGGGTGGTCGGATGGGGTTCAAGGGAGAGGGAGAGGCAGGACGAGGGGGGCACAAGGAGGGGGAGGGAATTGTGGAGGGCGGAAAAGGGACGTGCACAGAGGGAGGGGGCGTTAGTGGTGTTCTGTGGGTGAAACTAGGGATGGTTTGGCTGTTTAAACTGGGTGCGGCAGCGGCTAAGATGCTCGTCGGGTGGCGGGTGCGGACAATGCAAACGCCAGAACGCAACTGGTTTGCAGCACGTGTGCGTACATGCGAGACATTGAGGATACTTCAGGAGGCAAAGGCGTCACAATGATAGAGGTTGAGGCCGCAGCCACACGAGCAATCGCCTTTTAACCGCTAGGCCCCGTGATAGAGCAAGACAGTACGAGCAAGCGGGCGAGGGCACGGCACAACGCTCACGGCACAAACGCAACCACAGGCGTGCAGACCAGAGCGACAGTCAACACTGCAGCGACCAGACTCACTCCCTCCGCCTCCCGCCCCCCGCCTCACCACTCCGGACGGTGACACCGACTCGAACTCCCGCAGCGGCTCGCGAGTCCACACCTGCGACTCCACCACATCCACCCCCAGCGGGTACTGCGCAGTGGAGGGCAGCAAGGATGCGGTAGCAGCAGCAGAGGGGAGGGAGGGCACAGAGGCATGTGCGGCGATGAGGCGGCGACAAGGGCGGCAGGGTTACCAAGTCGCGCGGGGACTTGCCGACTTGGGGCTACAAGCAAGTGAGGGTGGATTCCGGGCGCAACTGGATATGGGTACGGGTGCCGACGTCAGCAACTAGGCGAGGCGAGTCTGGTGACATGCAACAACCCGGTATGTTGGGATCATACTTTTCAGCACACCCACGTCAGAAAACTGCAGCATGCTGCTGCTTGTGGGGAAAGCGACGCGTGCTGTGCCCGTACACAGTGTTTCGTACACATGGTATTCGTACACTGTTCGTACCTGCATGACCTTTGATATGCTTGCAGCCATGGGGATGACTGTGGTGTTGGTGATGACAATGTTGGGATGCAGCAGCTTGACGGTCTGCGAGGAGGTGTGAGAAGGCTGGTAGTTGGCATGTGTCCCTAGCCTCTTAGGCATCGCTTTGGGTCAGTAATGACCAGATGCTGCAGAGGAACTTAGGACTACCCAAGCTGCAGCAGGAGGTCAAACCACAGGCTCGTGGTTTGTTGTTTTGATGTCGGTACTATACTATATACTATATACTGGCTACCGGTATTGTCTACTAATTGCGCGTGCTACGCTTGCGCACGCCGGCCCTTGCTATTAAACTTTGGATAATCCCAAAGAAATGGGATTGGTGCCATCTGACTAACATTGCTAGGAAATGCTACATCGCCTAATCACTGCGTGCATGCCCGTTGTTCCATCCACGTGCGTGGTACATACAAGCCCACCGTGCGATTGACGGCATTCGCTGGCTCCCAAAACGGCAAGGCACAGTTCGGAACAGATCCAGTAGCCACATCGCCAGCGGTGTAGACGCCGGCGGAGCAACTGCAGAAGGAACCGGCGAACGATTATTATGCAAGTGCGACATCGCCTTGCAAACGAGCCAGCCATAAGGTTGTTAAGGTGCAGGCAATGGGAAACTTTGAACGTTTGTACTTTGAACTTGGGAGAAACGCTAGGATATGCAGCCACCAAGTTAAAAGCGTCCGTACATTGTTGCTCGTTGCTCAGCTGAACGAACTGGTAACTTACTTGACGCGAGCTGCAACCCCCTTAATGCACGAGAGGTATTCCGGAGTGTAGCGAACCACTTGACAAAAGGATGCCTGCCAACTCAGTGCACATACGAGGAATACCGCAAGCGTGAAACGGATGCGTATGAGCTCCATACTATCTATAAATTACACGTAGGCTTCACCGGTAGGTTCTATCCTTAAGCGCCTGGGACATCGCTAGTAACATGTATACAGTGCTAACCGTGGTTCTAGCGACAGTCCACAAACTCTACTTAGCTTTCATAGCATAGGGGACACTCAAAACGCATCTTCTTGATTACGCGCTGTTTCAGCTTGCATTGCTAAAAGTGGTCACCGCGGCGCTACGACGCTTGCAAGTCGTACAATTTGGTCCGCTTAAGAAGAGCAGCTTAGTGATCTGGGAAATAGGTGCAAGCGTTAGAGGTCTGCTTTGTCTTTCTTGGATCGGCTGGCTGGCTGTGAATACGGTCAGGGTCATTGTTGTTGTGGACCTGTCGGAAAAACGCTAGCATGAACAAGCTTGAACACAGCATTTAAGAGGGCTGTAACATGAATGAGACTGTAATTGGTATTGTTAAACCCTATGCTAAGCGGCTTGTGCGCCTGGGTTAAACAGGAACGCCAGGAAACCCACTTGGTTATCTAATAAGCAACGCATGACAGAGTAAGGGGACTGTTTCGTAAACCTATCTGGCGTATACATGCATTGCGACGTCGTGATTGCCATTGCCGGATGGAGGCGTATCCGGTACGTGTGCAGTGGGTATCCGTTTAGCATTGCTTGGCTTAAGGGACCTCAAACACATAGCACAGCTGTATGTGGGCGGCATGGGATGCCCAGGGTGAAATAGTTACGCAGGAAGAAGGCTCATGAAGGGCTGCGTCCAGGCCGTGTTGTAGGTGCATCCCAGGTGCGGGCGGACCGGCGCCGTACTGCTCGCCACCGGGTGCGGAACCAGCAGGGGCGCATGGGGCATTTTAGTGTTCCAGGTACAATGCACAGCGCTGCGCAAACGCCTATTTCGGTTCGCCTCTCGGGTTTCTGGCATGCCAAATTGCTTATCAGTTAGTCACATAGGGTCGTGCTAATACCCACAAAAGTGCTCCAAGAACCGTTGAGAAGTTTATTTTGCCATCCAACCCTGAGATAGTTCACCCAAGAGGTCGAGCGATTGTAGGATTCGGGGGATTGGGGGTTTGGCGTTTGGGGCATTTCGGGACCGCGGGCATGGGTTGGTACGACGTGGCGCATGGTTTCGGGGCAGCCTGGGAGAAAACCATGTTCGCCGCATCCATGTCAGGCCACCCTCTGCAGCTAAACTCGTAAGGGCCACTTAACCCATATGCCACAGCTTAAGCGGCAAGGCCGTTCGTAGAACTTTTAGGCCTATCCTCCACTTTCTCTGCCCTCAACGTTTGGCGGAAGAGTTAATTGTATTAATATAGAGATGGACGCTGCCGACCGCGGAGTATACTTTGATGAGGTTCGTCCTCGAAGGAAACGTTCATTTGCAAAGGAAAACGTCGACCAACGAAGAAATTCTTTCGCAGGATTACCATGTACGCATTCTAGACGTGGACAAGTACAACGCTTCAAAATCTCTGCAGGTATGTTGAAACAGGCAATGCGACTGCCCTGCTTCCAACTTGTCTCAGATGCCATCCCTTGCCGGCCTTGCAGGACAACACGAATGTGTTCATCAACAACATCCAAAACCTACAAGGCCTGGTTGAGAAGTATGTGACAGCCATTGACCAGCAGGTGCGGAATGGCATGAGCCCCCTCCGCGCTGAGGCCGTCTTACATTGCTGCATATACCCAGGTGGAGCGCCTTGAAGCGGAAAAACTAAAGGCGATCGGGTTGAGAAACAAGGTGGCAGCGCTCAGCGAGGTAGGGGGAAGTCGAGCCAGCCTGTTTTGCGGCTACTTGTCACCCCCCTGGTATTGTCAAGGTCTGCAAGCAGCCCTGGGCTTTGGTAACCCGTGTGTGGCCGCAAGAGCGACCCTCCACGCAGCACGTACCAAGACGCACATCCTTACGCATGCATAATGAATGGGGTGCAGGAGAGGAAGCGCAAGCAGAAAGAGCAAGAACGCATGCTGGCAGAGAAGCAGGAGGAGCTGGAGCGGTAAGAAGGGCTGGCAAGGTGCTCATGTCGCTTGGCTTGGCGACTGGGCACCCTAAAGGGACTCTCGTTCGCCGTTCTAACATTTGGCTTACCATTTTGCTTGTGTGCGGCGTGCATGCAGGTTGCAAATGGAGGAGCAGTCGCTGATTAAGGTCAAGGGCGAGCAGGACCTGCTCATCCAGAAGCTCACAGATAGCAGCTCGGGAGCGGCGTACGTCTAGCGGCGGGCTCCGGCAGGATATGTGGAACCGCGATTTTGTTTTGACACGCAGATTGTGAGAAGTGGAAAACACTGTCGTACATGATGTAACGCTTAGTCAGCATGGGTGTTGCTTTGTCGAGATAAGGGGCATCGGGCATGAACTCGTAGTGATAGGAGGTAGAGACCTTTCGGCGTGGCCTGCTGGCTGCTAGGACCTGCTTTACGTGTTACTACTTCATACCGGTAGCAGCGGAATGACGCCACGGACGTTTGTTTGGCCACTGGGACAGAAACTGCTGAATGGCGGTGACGAGCAAAACTGTACATATGTACTTTAAGTGATTAGGATTGGGAGGGGCTTTTTAGGGATGTGCGCTGTTATGTATGATAGGCACTGAAAGACGGAACGGCCTCACGGGGCCTGAGTGGCTTGGGGTTTAATTTGAGGCAACGCTGTGCAAACCACAGATTGGATGTGGCTGACACGCAGGTAACTGTGTCTCCACCAAGGCGTTTACCGGATGTTAACACTTTGGTTTTGGTTACTTGAATACATCGTTCCCTCCCAAGCAATCCACTATCCCTCAACTGTAAGAGGGCTCAGGGCGCCGCTTCCCGCATGTTATGAACGACGGAGCTGAAATTTACCGCTAACAGGCAAAGTATTGCAGAAGAGGGGTGTATGGTGGTCAGCCACGAGTCTCCGCCGAGCAGTGCGTGGGTTTCCTGCGGATGGGATAAAGGAATTGGGCTGCGCTATCCACCATGTCTGAATGGAAACGCCTTGTATGTTGGCGTGGATTGAGGCCACGGAAGTCTGTGCACGGCTTGTGAATGAAGTTGAAGGCATTGCTTAGCAGTTGGTCAGCGGTACGGGAAGAGGGAACGTTGCATAGTGTCACCAAGGCTATATTTCGGCTATATCAAATTTAGTTATAACAGCTTCATTGCACATAGCTTGGGCTTGGGTAGCAGATATCAGCATATCGATCATGGCAACAGGTGGATGGGGTGCTGTAGGTGGGGGCGCCTGGGGGGGAGCTCCAAGTAGTAAGAACTATGAAGAGAATATCCCTGAAGCACCACGTCCAGCACCTCCGACTGCCAGTAGCTTTGGCCAAAGTGCTTTCTCGGCGCAGCCCGCCCAGCAACCAGAATTAGCAACAACGAGCTACAGGAGTCAACCTGCCAACACGGGAGGCTTTGGATCGAGCGCCGGTGCCTATGGGACAGCAGCAGCGGGAGGACAGCCATCATTTAACACAGCGAGCTCCATGGTGCGTGGTTACATCCTATGCGACTCCGGCGTAAAGCTATAGGGATAATTATGAATGTCACCGTCCTTCGTGACCGGGGAACTTCTTGGCTTCCCGCACAGACGGACCCTGCGCTCAGGCGCAAGGAGGCGGAGCTAGCAGCTAAAGAAAAGCAACTTAAGGAGCTAGAGGCAAAGCTTTCTGCTGCAGGTGCTCTTGAGAAGAAGAACTGGCCTATATGCTACCCCATCCTGTACCACAACATCAGCGAGGAAATCCCAGAAGGCAGGCGCCGGCCCGTGTACGAAGGCTACATGGCGTGGTGGGTGAGTATTGTTGGACACTGCTATTAGCAGTCCCTCTCCCTGTTCAGGCGCGCACTGGATTTTCACCAACACATACCTAAGAGAAACCCTTGACTGAAAACCCCAGGGGCTGTTTATCTGCCTAGCCTGGAATCTGTTCTGCGCCTGCGTCATGCTAGGCCAGGACGTCAACCAAAAGGTGCCCAGCTGGTTCCTGGCGCGTAAGTAGGGCACAGGGAAGCAACGAGGGCGGCGGGGTGCTTGCACCTTAAGGATTGGGTTATCGGGTTAGCCTGGCTGGAACTTCTTTGCGGCCGTCGGCAAACTTGGTGCCTTGCAGTGGCATGCAATGCGCCTCACACCAGCGCACGCTGGCATACTTCGTCGTCGCCGATGACTCTTCGGATCAGACGTCGCTGTAGGCGGGCTCCTTGCACCTCGGTACCCTCAGCCCAGTCATGTACAGCTTGCTTTCTATTTTTACCCTGGCATGGACTCGCTGGCTCCTCTGGCTTGCAGTGCTATACATCATCTGTGGCGTGCCGCTGAGCTGGTGGCTGTGGTACAAGCGGCTGTACAACGGCGCCAAGTCGGACTCGACGTTCGGGTTCGTGTGGTTCTTCCTGTGGTTCCTGGTGCACACGGCATACTGCACCTGGGCGGCCATTGGTGAGACGGAATTAAAGCTTGAGGGATTGTCGGATGGCCGGTGATCCGTTTGTTGGACAGTGTTAAGCAGGGCGGGCAAGGCAGTGAGGAGACTTCCAGCATTCCTTGCCGTGCAATGCTCTGACGGAACACCCCCGCGTGTGCATGACCCAGTTCTCCACACCGCTTGTCTGTCTCACCTTGTCAATACGTCCTTCCTGTGCCCTGCGCCTATAACCGTGTTGCGCCCTTGCCCTGATGTTCTCGCGTTTGTAGCTATGCCGTTCAGCGCAAGCCAATGGTCTTTCGCTGGCTTCATAACGGCCATGAAGGCGCTGGATGTGAACAACTTTGCGGGCATCATCTACCTGGTTGGGGCGGGCTGCTGGAGCGTGGAAGCAGCGTTCTCCTGGTGGATCCTCGTCGACGTGTGGCTGTACTTCCGGTAGGTAGCTTGCTCGTTCAACAGCTGTGGCTTTATTGCTATCCTGTGTGCCGTTGCAAGACACGCGAATGTGCCCTGCATGCCTTGGAAACGCGATGTGGGTCTGAATTCTGGTACTCCGGACAGCTGCGTATTCCCTTTGGCCGTTTTGCATGTCTCCTAACCTGCCCCCATCGCACTTGCAGGGGCAAGGGCGGCATCAAGGAGGTCAAGGAGGCGGCCAAGCGGGAGGCGGCGCTGGCGGCATTCCGCTCCCAGTCCGGGACCAATGTGTGAGCGCCGCAGCATTGCATGACCATGAACAGCGCACGTTGGACTCTACATTTTGCATCAGATGGATTCCTGCCTGTCGTCTGCATCAACGCCGTCTTAAGCTCCAGCTGACGTGCGGCTGTTCTAATAGGCCTTACTGCGTGTATGGCGATGTGGGCCAGTGTTTAGAGTAGTGTCGTTTTAGGGAGAGGACCAGTAGAGCAAGGGGCTTAAACGCTCTTGCTTGCATGTGTTTGTGAGTGGAACTGTCAATCGTCGGAATGCGTTTTGCTTAGGCTTCCGGGTTGGTACCTAGCTAGTGACAAAACAACGAAGATGCCATGCGTGCTGCCGGGTTTCCTTCCACAGCCACCGTATAACGTGGCGCAGTCATAGAACAAGTCATGTTCTGCTTTCCCTCTTCGCATCCCCATTTTTACCTGTGGTCTGGCAGCTAATGTTCGGAATGATTCTTCCGGTGCTAACAACAGTTATGATTTGCTTCATTCTGCATCATACCTTTTGGGGGCCGGATTTTTTAGACATGACGGGTAGCAGTGGACGGCTGGGTGTCTGTCAATCGCGCATTCTACCGCAAGGCTCGGTAGTTTGTGACGCTGTGTAAGGTATAACCCTAGATGCCTGCAAGCGCCGCCACCAACGCCATCGGGTCAGGGCGCCGGCTAGTAAGTAGTAACCCCTGCATTGCGATCACATGCATGCTTTTACCTCTCCCAACGGTTTCACCATGGCCTCTCTTGTCCCCTGAACATTTAGCTGCACTAGCTGGGTGTCCACTATTTGCGTGGATACTTATGAGAAGGCGCGGATACAGCATTACCTAAGCCGATCCGAATTCGTAACAGGCCCTTATTGATATATTGCGCTTGACCTGATGTATGTTCCCCCACATGTACAGGGCGTCACGACACATGAGGTTAAGTACAGCAAGCTGTACGAGAGCTGTCGACGCTCCCGTGGATCCGATCCGGATTAGAAAGTGTTTGGGCGGGGCTTGGGTGTGCAAAGACCAGCCTGTCGTGGTAACCTATATTGCAGGCATACTATTCTGCTGATACCATGTCGAATGACGCCCGCGCGACGCTAGAAGTTATTAAAGAAGGTCGTCTTTTTCTCGAACTAGTCGATAAGTGCCCTGATGCACAGCTTGCAACCGCACTCATCGCAGCTGGAGCGAGACTAGTTGGTGCAGGCACATCCGCAAAAGAGAATGTTGCAAACAATGTGGTGGACCTATCCTCTGTATTGCTCACAGTCAAGGGCCTTTCCTTTATCAATCCAAGGTGAGTTGCGAAAGAAATAAAATATACTAAACTGAACGCAATACCTGCAAGCTGCGGGCGGTTGGTTACTGCAGCGTGGTCGCTGCTTCTCCCCAGGGGCAAGTTCGACTTGACATTTTGCAGCGATGCGTTGTGCCTCGGCAATGCAAAAGCGAACATTGTTGTGCCGACAAGTGTGATCACGCATATTGCGGTGAGGAGCTGTTGGCGCGAGGTTGCTTGTCACTGTGCTTCTGTGGGCGATAGGGTTATTGCTGAACGGCCTGCACCTGGGTTCGTTGCTAGCCTGACCAATGGAATCCCAAATGGACTGGCTGCGCAACAAACTAACAATACTTGCCTTCAAAACCCAACCCCCGGGTCTCTGTCCTTCTCAGTATGGTTTACCTTAGCACCAAACGTCCTGTGTAGTTGAGCGGAAACAAGAGCAAGCATTTGGGATAGGTTCGCATGTGAACCGCAAGTACAGGCAAAACAGAGGTAAAACATAGGTAACCAAACCTGAACCATAATGCCTTTGCTTTTGCTGCATTCCTCCCTCAGATCCTGGACCAGATCCCGGGTGACACCAAGAAGCGCTGCCTGCTCTTCATCGTCCTGAACAAGTAGGACTGTAAAGTAGGGGGATGTTGTTCGCTAGGCGGGGGCACTCGGATTTCACGTGGTTAGACGCAATGGCAGTATGCCACGGGCTCTGCAGCGCTGCCACATGACAAAACCCTCTTTACCCACCTCGGGTCGCAGGGCTGGCCCCCCCGTCATGCACGGCAAGCAGCGGCTGGAGGCGATCATCGTCCAGGTGGGGTGTGGCAGGCGGGCGGGCGGAGGGAGGGAAGCGGGGAGGTGGGAGGGCGGGCGGGCGGGTGTGGAGGAGGAAGAGGTAAACCGTGTGACAGGGTTCCACCCTGGGTGGCCAGGCCGGGGTTGGACGGCTTGTCGGGAGGGGCAGTTCTGCGGCGTGTAGGCTCGGGGATTGGGGAAGGGAGGAATGGGCGGGTGCAGGGCAGCAGGTATACCGTTATGAGTGCGGTTAACCGGCTCCTGGAGGAGGCGTCCCACCCCTTCAACCCCCCTCTCTCCCCGCCCCTCCATAATTGGTAAGTTCGGTAAGTTCAGCTCGCATTGCTTTAATCACCTTTTCGGCTCGACTCACGGTTGATTCCACCAGGGATTGTCGGCAACTTGTATCATTATCACACCACACTTTGGAATTTCTTTTTTTCCCCCTCCCGCCACATCCTCTCCCCTTCAGACCCTGGAGAGTGACAGCACCAGCGTCACCTCCGCCCCCTCTGGTGAGGTGCTGGAGGGACCCATGGCGGCGGTGCTGTGCCAGGCGCTGGGACTCAGCATGCCCGCCTTCACCAACTTCATAGCACCCGACAGCGACCTCTTCAAATCAGCCAAGGGTGAGGTGTCCCCGCACTGGGGACAGCGAGGGGTGCGGAAGTGAAGCCTGGTGGGTGGGTGGGATGAGGCAACAAGGCGGCTGGACGCAGGGCTCACGTACCCCTTCCTTCCCTCGCCCACACCCCACCCCGTGGTCATGGTCAGTGTTAACATGCGGCTCAGTTTACCCAATACCCCACACCCGCACCCTTCGCATGCACAGGCCACAACGCCGTCCCTGCGGTGGTCAAGGTCAGCCCCGGGCTGCTGTTCCCGCTGCCCGGTGCGCTGCTGTTCGCGGAGCGGCCCGCGCTCTTCCTGCCGCACTGCGACGTGCTGGCGGCGGAGGTGCGGCGGCCGCAGTCGGCCACCTTTGACCTGGTGCTGCACGTTCGCAGCCGCAGCGGGGAAGGTGGGGGAGGCGGGGGGCAGGGCGGGCTGGGGGGGGGAGGCGGGAGCAACCAGTAAGGACAGGGGTTGGTAGGTTGTAAGTACCGGTAACTCAACTGAGACGCGATAAGAAATGTCTTATCCTTCACCCCTTCCGACACCCCCTTCCCCGCACACCCCCCACCTCAGGCAGCGAGACGCTGCAGCAGGTGGAGTTCAGCCAGGTGGACCGAGGGGAGCTGGCCCGCCTGCAGAGCTACTTCGCGGCAAGCAAGATCAAGGTAGGGGCGGGGGGCGGCCTGCACCGCCGCGGCGGCAACAGCGGCGCTACCGACAGGGTGGATGTGGGTGGAGCGGGGGGTTCCTTCTGGCAGTGCGGGCCTTACAAGTAGGGTTCCAATGGGTTTTTTACGTGTTGGGCGCGGGATGGTTGGACTTGGCAGCTGGCATGTTGCGGAGTGGACATTGAGAGTGAGGGCACGGGGAGCAGCCTACAGCAGTCCCTTCCAGTCCCGCAGCTGCCCGCCCACCGGAGGGGCCTTTGCCAACCCACCGACTAGCCCGTTTGTCTCTTCACACGTTACAACACAGCTTCTGCTACAGTCGTTTCCAGCTTGTGCTTGCTGCGTCCGTCACCCGCCCCCCGCCTCCGCCTTCCCCCTGCTGCAGCCGTACGACCCAGCTGCGCCGCCGCGTCTGGGTGCAGGCCCCGCTGCGCCCGCAGGGGGAGCAGCAGCAGGGGCAGCGGGCAGGTCAGCAGCGGGTGCGGTGGAGGAGGGTGCTGATGACGATGAGGAGGAGGAAGACGAGGATGAGGATGACGAGGACTTTGACCCCACAGCTCTGGAGCGGCGGGAGGCGGGGTAAGGACGCGCGGGAGGGAGGGAGGGGCGGTTGGGAGTTCGGCGAGCTGAGGGTGATTAGGGCATGGTTGGGTATCCGCTGTCTGTGGAAGGGCCGTTCAAGGTTTTTTTCGCGAAGGCGAGGAGGGAAAAGGCAAGAGAGCAAAAGCGAGCGGTCGACCACGGGGAGAGCACAACGAGGAAGTACCTGTAAGGGAGGCCCTACAATGCACCGGCGTGTGGTTGCCCGGTCGTCCTTGTGCAGTGTGCGTGTCGCGCTGTAATCCTGTAACGCACGCCTCATCCCACACCCCACCCTTTCTTCTCTTACCCCACTGTTGCCCCACACCCGCCTCCCTCCCTCTGCAGGCCGCGTCCCGCCAAGCGGATGCGCACGGGGCCGTCCGGGTCGGGTGAGTTGAGCCCGGGTGCGTCGCATGCGGCGGCCCACATGGGGGCTGTCTCGCGTGGCGGGGCCTGGCATGCGAGCCTGGGATACAGGGATAGCCACACGGTTTGCTCTTGTGCTTATACGGTAACGGGGATTGGACAAAGAGTACTGGTACGGCACGGACAAAGCACGGACAATCGCCTGTTATCGGCTTTGCCATGACTTGACGACCCGCTGCTGCTGTGTCCTCTGATCCGTGTCCCCGCAGTGGCTGGTTCCAACTTGTTGAGCGCTGGCGGCGGCAGGAGGGGCGCGGCGGGCGTGCAGGAGGACGAGGAGGAGGTGGCGGGCGCAGCAGGTGGTGAGGGCGGGGATGAGGAGGAGGAGGAGGCGGAGGGTGGTTCCGAACAGGAGGAGGAGGAGGATGACTCGGATGACTCGGAGGATGAGGATTCGTACGATGAGGAGGAGGAGCTGGCGGATCTGACGGACGAGGACGACGTACGGGCTGATGACGTACGGCAACGCGCGCGGCGTGGCGGTGGTGGCGGTGGGGGTAGCGGCGGGGGAGCTGGGCCGTCCCGGAGAGGCGGTATGGTCAGCGAGGAGGAGGAGGAGGATGACCTTGATATGGAGGACGATTAAAATGGTGGTGGTGGCTTGGTGCTTGACCATCAGGACCGTGGGCATCGTGCATGCTTGCCTTGTTGAAAGGGGCATCTACTGGGAGCTTAGCTGCGTGCGGTTGGTGCGGGCGTGTGTGGCATGAGGACAGTCGCTGGATGGTTTTTGGTCGGGTAGCTACCGTCTGTGATGAGTAAGATGGCGGACGATGTCGAACCACGTGCGCTGTTAGGAGGCCCCTGGTATCGGTGCTGTCGCCTTGCAGAGTTTGACTTTGAGTGTTTCCATTGGATATACTTCGAAGACAGGGGCCCGAGCACCGGCGCCGCACCAGCGCATGTACGGAAGTGTGTATGTACGGCGCTAGTGTACTGGCGTGACTACTGCACACAATGCGCCGTCGACTTTATGAATATGCCATTGGTATATTAACTAACGGCCTTTGCTCTTACACCCGTAATCAAAATGGGAAAGCCAAAGAAAACGCGGAACCCTGGCGTAGGTGTAGACTTCAAGCGCGTCAAGCACAAAGTTGGTAAAAAGCTTCCCAAAGCACGCAATGAAACGGATACTGATTTCACGTCGCGGAGCATTAACTTGCCTAGCCAAGCAGTTCGCGAGGACCGCAGTGGCATTGCTGTAAACTATCAGAACCTTACTCTAAAGGTGTGTTCCTTGCTTACTGGACGATACTATGCTCTAAGAACTGCTGAACGGAGTGCCTTCTGCGCCGGCGGCCGCCAACGATTCGGCAACCGACGTTGACATTTGCGACTTGCAGGAACTGCTAAACCAGACGTCACACCACAATGACAAGGCGCGTAAACATTCGCTTGTCGGCTTGGCGGACCTTTTCGGGCGTCATCCGGAGCAGCTACGGCTCCATGCTGCTCAGGTTGGTACTCATACCCAACGAAGGACACAAGCGCGCACGTCACCCTGTCAAGGATGCCTGTGACGCTCCCTGGGGTGTAGCTCCGCGCATCTAGCCCGTCTTCAGCTGTTCGCCTTACCCTAGCAGGCATGCCAACCCTTCGAGGCTGGCCATGTGCCGGTCGACAAGCTCGTCCCTTTACCTCTACTGCAATCCCACCACCTAGAATCCCTCCAACATCACATGCCCCACCCCGCCCTGCCAGGTGCTTGCTACCCTGGCTGAGCGTGTAGTGGATGGCGACAGCGCGGTGCGGGCAGCGCTGCGCTCGCTGCTGCATGAGAGTGTGCTGCCGCTGCTGGGGCCGGACGCGCTCCGCCCCTTCATGCCGGTCGTCATGGCGCATGTGTGCGGGTAAGCCCAGCCCGCTTCCGCATGCCTAGCACGGAGGGGGGGGTTCGGGGGTTGCCGGGTGGGCGGCACGCAGGGCCAGGGATGTCATAGCGGCATGGGGTGCAGCGGGCTGCTTCGCCGACCCAGGTGTGGATAGGGCATTGCTAGCCCCACTTTCCGCGATACTTATCGGCGCTCACGCTCGCTGCGGCCATGCCGCTTCCCTGTTCCCACGCAGTGCCATGACGCACCTGAGTCTGGATGTGCGCAACGACGCGCTGCTCTTCTTGGACGTGATGGTGGGTGGCGGGGGTGATGCCTGGGGTGCGGCTTGGGCCTTTCGGGGGGCAGCCGTCGGACCACTGTTGGCTCTCTCTCTTGACATGAATGGAGTCCCATTATTCCTGGCCCCTTCCTGGTCAGTGTGTTTCATCACGGCGCAGCTGACTTGCCCCTCACTGTCCGCCCCTGTCCCTGCCTCCCACAGATGGACCACGCCCCCCGTCTGGTCGTCGACGGCTTCCTGCCGCCCTGCCTCGCGCACTTCTGCGACCTGTTCTCCGCAGCACACCGCGGCCGCAGCATCCGCGCGCAGTCGCTGGCGGCTCTCACCAAGCTCCTCACCTCACTCACCAGCTTCCTGCGCCGAGCCTTTCCGGAGGATGCCGCAGCCGCCGGCGCAGCAGCAGCAGCAGTAACATCGGAGGGCCATGATGCGATGGAAGCAGCCGGCGCCGGCGCGGGTCCCGGTCCCAGCAGCATCCGGCAGCAGCAGCTGCAGCACGCAGCAGCGGCCTCCCTGGCAGCGCGCCACGGCTCGGCGTTGGGTGCGGATCGCATGCGGCGGCCGCTTCGTACGGCAGGTGAGCTGCTGGCGTCGCTGGAGGAGCTCTTCCGCGCCGCCGCCGCCGCCAGCCGGGCAGGCCGCAAGACACGCGGCAAGAGCCTGGGTGGCGGCGCCGACGGCAGCGGCGGCGACAGGAACAAGGGCAAGAAGGGCCGTGGCAGCGTGAGCACGTCTGAGGCGCCCACGAGCTCACACCTCCTAGGGGGTGCTGCGGCGGCGGCAGGAGGAGGAGGTAGTGCTGCGGGCGGCGCTAGCGGCGGCAAGGCAATTGCCGCCGCGGCGGCAGCGTTGGCGGCTGTATCCGCACCCGGAGCGGCGGCGGCAGCGGGTATGGATCTCTCGGCACCATCAGGCGCAACGGCGGTGGGGGTGCTGGGCGCGCCGACCACAATGGCAGCGGCGCTGGCGGCGGCGTCAGACGCGCGCGCCAGTGCGTTGCGTCTGGTGTCCCTGCTGATGGATTGCTGGCTGGAGTGCGCGCCGGGGCAGCTGGCGGTGTCGCCGGAGCTGGAGCAGGCGGCGGCGCTGGCCATGATTGTCAGTGCCGCCAATACGCTCATCCACCGGCTGCTGCTGCCGTCGACGCCGCAGCTGACGGCGGCGGCTGCCGCCGGCGGTGCGGGCTGGGCCGCGGATGACCAGGCCGGCGGCGCGGCGGGCTCCTCCTCCGTCATGCGTGCGCCGCCGCCGGAGCAGGTGCTGCTGCTGCAGCAGCTGCATGACGTGGTGGCGAGACGGGTGGCGGCGACCTTCCCTGCGACGCTGCCGCCAGTGAAGCCCTCCGCCGCCGTGGCGGAGGCGCTTGTACGGCTAAACCTGCAGTCGGCGGAGCTGCTGGGGCGCTTCCTGCCCCTCGCGCAGGCGCAGCAGCAGCAGCAGCACCACGTGCAGCAGTACCAACCGGCAGCTGACGAGGCGGCTGCAGCTGCTGCCGCGCATGGATCGTTCACCTGGATCTCGGCGCTCGTGTCGTACTATGTGGGTGTGTTGGAAGGCGGCGTGCTGTTGCCGGCGGCGCCGGGGACGTTGAGTGACGCCGGGGTGCAGGGGCTGCCGTCGGGAGCCTCGGATGCCGTACTGGCGGCGGTGTCGGCGGCGGTCCGCAGCCTGCCGTCAGCGGAGGCGGCTCAGCGGCTCATGGCGGCGGTGGCGGAGTTTGCCGCCCGGCAGCCGCCTCGGTCGGGGGCGAGGCTGGCGTGCATCCGCATGCAGCACGGGCTGCTGAAGGCGGCGCTTGCGGGTAGGGAGCGGGGCGGGGGGTCAAAGACCATACCGAACCATAGGAAGCCACAGGTTGGGGCAAGAGAATGGGGATAGGAGCGGGGCGGGGGGCGTGGCGGAGGGGAGGATGGAAGGATGGAGGGGGCGAGTAGATCCGCCCCTAGGTGCCGTGAGGTGCAGTGGGTGCGGCCTCTTTAGCAGAGGGCGCGCGGGCCCGGGTGCCGTAGGACAGGTTCTGAATGAAAGCCACCTCCCACCCCCCCCTTTAGGTCGGCTCTTCCTGGACGACGGAGCGGTGGCCAGCTGGCTGGGGCCGCTGCCCAAGCTGCTGTGGGAGGCGGGCGGCGCGGCGCCGGAGGCCTCCGCGGCCGCCCTGGGGCTGCTGCTGGATGCGGCGCGGTTTGCAGCACCGGGTGAGGCCTCAGGGCGGCGTATAGGACAGCAGGGTACCGTACCTCCACAGGAGGGACCACCGCACATGGAGGGTTCTTCCAGGGGTGGGAAACTGAACATTAAAGTCCCTGGAAACTGAACATTAAAGAAAAGCCAGTGATCTGTTTAACAGAGGGCAGCATGTAAGCCCTTGGAGCGCTGCAAGCAACCCGCCCGCCCACCACTCTTTCTTTTTTACCGTTAAATCCCCTCCTACCTACCTGCTTCCCCCTTCCCCTCTCACCCTCCCGCCCGCCCGCCAGGCTCCTCCATGTGCACCTTCCTGACCTCCTCTCTGCAGCCGCAGCTCGCCCCGCTCTTCGCGACTCAGCTGCCGCCCAAGGCAGCCAAGGCCGCCCTAGCCAAGTGGGCCGCCCTAGCTTCGGGTCCCGGGCGTGCTGCTCCGGCTGCTGCTGCTGCTGCCGACCCCGACGGCGGCGTGTCGGTGCTGCTGCCCGGAGTGGTGTGCCGGCTGCCGGAGCAGGTGGCGAGCCTGGCTGTGGACCTGCTGTACCACACGGGTGGGAGCGGGCTGGGGGCTGGGGGGCTGGGGGTTGGGGGGAAGAGCGGTTGGAGGGAGGGGCATCAGAGGGGCTCTGGGTCGGCGTGTAGGGCTTGCTGGTCCCAGGGCGCTGCTCGGGGGGTGCAGCGATGGAGGCAGAATCGGCTGGGACTTTGTTTGCTTGCGTAATGCTGTTTTTGTTTCTGTGCGCACCTGTGTGCAATACTCTGGTAAGTTTTCATAGGCTCATAGCTCGGCCGCCGCATGTCCTCCTCCTCCTCCGCAGGTCCCCTGGGTGCTCCGCTGCTCAAACCGCTGGCCGCCGCGCTCTCCTCTGCCGCCCTGCCGCCCTCCCTGGCGCTCCGCCTCCTCGACGTGGTGCTCGCCCGCCTGCGGGACGCGCCCGACCCCGCCCTCGCCGCCAGCTGGCTGCTCACCGTGCTGTTCGGACCCCAACACGGCCACCGGGTGCTGTCCCCGGACGGCACGGACCTCACCGCCGGCTGGGGCCGCCAGCGGGCGCTCGTGGACGCGGCGGCGAGGGGCCTGGCCGGGCTGGGCGGCGCGGCGCCGCTGCTGCGGGTGCTGCTGCCGCAGCTGGCGGCGCTGCCGCTGGCGGAGGCGGCCTCGCTGGGTGTGCCGGCGGCTCGCACGCAGCGGTACAGCCTGGTGCGGCTGGGGGCGGTGGCGGCGGGGGAGCCCGGGGGACTGCCGCGGGAGCTGAGGGAGCAGGCGGTGCCGGCGGCGGCGGCGCTATGCGGGGTGGAGCTGGCGGCGGTGGCAGAGGAGGAGGAGAGGGCCGTGACGGCAGCGGCGGTGTGGAGTGGCGCAGCGGCGGCAGTCTCGTACGGCACGGTTTTGGATCCCGTACTGCAGTTGTTGTCCGGGCAGCCTGACCTGGTGACGCCGGTGGTTCAGCGGCTGGCAGCGGTGCTGCAGGAGCGAGTACGGCAGCAGCAGCAGCAGCAGCAGGAGGGAGAAGGAGGCAGGGCTGAGGCCGTGCAGGGTGCGGATGCCTCGCGGGTGGGCAGGCTGGGGCTGCACGCGGCTGCTCTGGCGGCGCTGCGGGTGGCGCAGGCGGCTGTGAAGCTGCAACCGGTGCGGGCGGCGCATGTGGCGGCGGCGGCGGAGCAGCGGGAGGGACTGCTGGCGGCGGTGGAGGGGCTGGTGGCGGGGGTGCGGGAGCTGCCGGCAGCGGCGGCGGGGGCGGCGGCAGCAGGCGGCGGGGTGGCAGGAGAGCAGGCGTCTGCGGGGTTGGTGGAGGCTCAGAGGCTGGCGCAGACCATGGCGGACCTTTACGGTGCAGCTTAGGCAAGCTGTTGGGCTGGCTGCTTGTGCAGGGCTGTTTGCCCAGTTTGGTGTGAAGGTGTAATATGGTATTAGCATGTATACAAGGATGGCATGTTGCGGTCGGACGATGGGTACGGTGGTCGCCCTCAAGTCTACCAAGGCTGCCGTGCAGCTGTGGGTGAGGTATTCCTCACCCAGGGGAGCAGTGGTGTAGCTTGGGGTTCACCGAGGAGCTGCCGTGCAACAGTGTAACGTAAGGGTGATGTCATTGCTGCTGCAGGTTCTGCTGCTACATGCCATAAGACGTAAGCTGTCGCGGCAGCTATGACTTTCAAGACCCGGTTACCACCACCTTCATGACGCATATGCAGCGGCAGGGCCCACCCGCGTGCCACCCTAGAGGAGGAGCAGCGTGGTGCAGTGCAGGACCTCGCTGGATACTGGTAACCAACCCCCCATGCATGTGCTTCGCTGTTCGACGTACTGAGTACTGCATTACTGCACTAAGTATGACTCTAGGTCCGCCAGCAATGATGTACGAGTATGCCTCCAGCACCTCTACCGAGGCCAAAAGATGCCGAGACTATCGCTTAATGCTTAGGTACACCCCTAGACATGTCCCGGCATGGCGCCTAGTTGGCTGTTCGTAACTCCAGGGCTTCCAGTGCACACAGCAACCCGCTAGCGCGGCTGGGAGGGGCCCGAAAAGAAGCAAACACGAGCGCACGAACCCTTGCGTGTGCATCACGGCACTTCTCAAGACACATGTGTACGGTCCTCCCAAGCAGCGGTGCAGCAGCAGCATACGCCCTCTTGCCAGCAACACATCCATGCAGCTGCTCGGTGAGTCATGGTGACCGCCCCAGCAGCAGTGAGGGATTGAGGCGGCATTATCAGTCAAGGAACAAGAGGGTAGCACGCCAGCCGGCCGCGATCAAGCAAAGCCTCTAGCGCAGCAATTCACAGCGCAGGGGTGGAATCGTGGAAAGAATGCGTTCAGCCAGTTCCGACGTTCGCCTTCTGCAGGCCTGCCTAGAGCAACCCGAGACATGTTACTACAGGAATCATAAACACTAGTATAACCCCCCCGACGGCACACAGCTGCCCCACAGTCGAGCGCACCACCGCGGCTCCTCGGCTCGGCAGCAGGAGGCCGAAACCCGCACGTACAGCACTCCGCACTGCTTACCGCATACACAACCCCTCTGCTCGCTCCACTCGTTTACCCTTCATACATTCACGCCTCCGCCACCACCACGCCCACCAGTACAAGCATCGCATCTTGAAGTTACACAGCAGGGTCTCCTCCCTCCCCCGTTAATCGCTCCCACATGTCCTGCAGCCGACAGCCCGGACTGCTACTTATCAGCCCCCTCCTCCGCCACTGCCGCCACCGGGGCCGGTGTGCAGTGGTCTCCGTCGCCCTCCGCCCCCGCAGCCACCGGCGCCCCCACGCTGCTGCCGTTGTCACCGCTCGCCCCAGCATCCACGGATGCACGCTCCTGTGTCGCGGGCCTGGCCGGCCGGGTCACCTCGCTGGCACACCTCGCAGCCCCCTCACCCGCCTCCGCTCCCAAGTCAGACGCCAGCTTCTCTGCTAGCCGCTGCGCCCTATCTGCCGGCTGCTGCTGCTGCTCGCCCTTCGGCCTGCCCTCCTTGCACGCATGCTGCCTGGCCATCGCCCCCTCCCAGCCGCTGATCAGCGCCAGGGCCGCCTCCATAGTCAGCAGGTCGCCCGGCTTTGTCTCCGTCGGAGGCCGCTGCGGTACCGCCTCCTCCTCCTCCTCCTGCTGCTGCAACCCCTCCTCAGCCTTCATCCGCCGCTGCTGCTGCTGCTGCGCCCATGGCAGCAATGGCGGCGGCGTGCGCTCCCGAGCACCCGCCCTCACCGGAGTTTCCAAGCCACCCTGCCGCACCTGCAGCTGCGTGTGCGGTTGCTGCAGCTGCTGCTGCTGCGCCAGCTGCAGGTGTGCCTGCAGCAGCAGCACCCGCTCCACCAGCTGCTCCCGACTCAGCGACTGCAGCGCCTCACGAGGCAGCGGCTCCGGACCCACGGCAGGCGGCAGCTGCAGCAGCTGCAGCGGCGGCGGCGGCAGCAGCATCAACGGGTCACCCTCGCCTCCATCGAGGCCTAACGGCCTGCCAGCGCCGCCGCCCGCTGCTGCATCAGCTTCGCCTCGCCCCCTCCCAGGCGGCGGGCGCTTGGTCGCACTCTGCTTGGCTGGATGTTGTGTCCTCGCGCTGCGCTTCTGCCGGGGCACAGACAGCTGCTGGTGCTGGTGCGGCCCTGCCCCCCGCCCCGACCCCGCCTGCCCCCGTCCTGACGGCCCCGCCTGCAGCCCCCCCGCCTCCCCCATGTCACTCCCCTCCCCTGTCGCCTCCCCGCCCTCCGCACTCCCCTCCCGCCCCTCCCGCTCCCCCCACTCCAGCCACCGCTGCTGCTCCTGCCGCTGATCCGCCGCCGCACGACCACCCGGCCGCCGGCCTCTCCCCCGGCGCCCCTCAGCCCGCGCCGCCGCCAGCTCCTCCTCCTCCTCCTCCTCGCCGCCCGCCTCCTCATAGCTGTCCTCCGGCCGCAGCGCCTCCCCGCCCCTGGGGGCCCGCTGCTGCTGCTGCTGCTGCTGCGTCGCCGGCCCCTCCAGCTCCAGCTGCTCGCCCTCCAGCACCGCCGCCAGCAGCGCACTCTGCGGCGCCAGCGCCGAGAAGCAACCCGGCATGCCGGCGGCAGCGGCAGCAGTAGCCGCCCGCGATAGCGCCAGGTTCTGAGCAATGTTCGCTAGTGCCAGCTGCTGCTGCACCGCCGCCGCGTGCTGCAGCTGCTGCAGCGTGATGCCGCGCAGCAGCTCCTGGGCCGGCGGCGCCGCGGCATCCAGGCCCGCTGCGGCTGCTGCTGCCGCCACCGCCGAGGGGTGCGGCCCCGCCGCCGCCGTGTTCCAAAGCGCCGCGGCGGCGGCGGGTCCCATCATGGGGGGCAGGCCCGGCAGGTTGGGGAGCACCGGCAGCGAGGACAGCGGCGGGTGCAGCAGGTGGTCCAGCGGCAGGGTGTCCGGCGGGCTGCCGCTGGGGCGCGTGTGCGCCAGCTGTGTCAAGCCCGCGGCGGCGGCGGCCGCAGCGCCACCGTCCGTGCCGTTGAAGCCATCGTCATCGTCTGGGTCGTAGTCGTCTAGTTCGGCATCTGCGTCGAGGTGGCTGCTGCCGCCGCCACCGCGACGGCGGCGGCGGTAGTTGGGGACGTCGTCCGCCTCGAAGTCGTCCTCCTCGTCTCTGTAGTCGAAATCGTCGCCCGTGGCAAAACTTCCGGACTGCGGCAAGAGGTGTGTGGATGGGCAGGTGTGTATGTGTGGATGCGGAGGGTGGTTATGGGGATATGCCGGTGCCTAGGCAGTAGTAAAGCAGAGGACAAGGGCAAGCAACACATGCGGACTGCTACCAGCTGTTACAGGAACAAGCTGACCCAACCCCATATGTGTGTCCCGGGCAATCAGCTTACCCTTTCGCCAACCGAGCGCTTCTTTGCACGATAGCTGCGTGAGAGAGAGAACGGGGGAGGCACAGGTTAGAATGTGTTTAAGGTTCGAAGCGGCGACATGCCCGGAGTTTACACCCCACCTAATAGCCAGGAGGCTGGACTTACTTCCGGAAATAATCGCGCACAAGGGGCAGGCTCCGCAAGCACTTTGCATGTATGCGAGTCTCCTGGAGGGTTGGCGCGTCTTCGTTCCAAAGAGAGTAGGCATGTTCATTATACCATTCCAGAATTTCCTCAGCATTTGGACGTCTTCCCAGACGCTCCAATTCGCTCCTCCACCAGTCGTTAAAAGGCTGCCAAAAGCGCAGCGGGCGTCGGTCGGCCCATTCTCGCTTCGGTGAACGACGCTTCTTCATGTCCGAGAAACCTTCGGCGTCCAGATGTTGCAGACTCGAACCACCTTTTCGGGCGCCCCTTTTCATACCTCTACCTTGAATCGCTTTTGCGACCCTATGCCTGTTAGTGATACAGCAGATGTGCGGGAGGAGTGAGGTTCTCCTGCGTCTTGCGGGCCCCAAAGGTAGGTAATCGTTTTATAGTACATACTAAAGTAGTTTGCACTCATGAGGAAAGTGCATCAGGCATCCTAGGGCAATAAGGCGGGCGCAACTAGGCAGGGCAGTAGCCAGGCGCCGCCCGCACAACAAGCGAGGGCATCGACCACCAGGCAACGTTATAGGAATAACCATCCCGACACTGGGCGCGCACCGTGTGGGTCCTGAGGGCCTAGGTCTCGACCAGCAATGCAGCTACAATGTGAAGAAAGGCTGCCGACGCGCAACAACCTCTGCGACGCTTCACCCACTTAAAAATATAATTTTGGTAAGTATCAGGAAAGAAGAGCGGCCCAATTTGTCGCTGCTGCTGCCAGGTGCTAAGGCCTTAACCCCAGGTGTAGTCAGGGCGAGTAGGGTCACATCTAAGGGTAGACAACATGTATACTACTTTCTTTTATTACTTGAACTTGTTCTGGTAACATATAGTATCAGGGCGCAGCCGTATCAATTGCGTGATGCAGCCAGCAGAGCGTCCTCGTGCACGGTAACCGTCACCATGAAATACCAGAGTATGGAACGATACTCTTTGACAATGTTAGCTAGTAAATGTAGCATCTTGTATGATACATGGCATTCGGCCTACGGGTAAGCTCTAGCTTTAGCAGGGGTACCGAAACGACGTTTGCCTGCTGGAGGTTATCCGAAATGTTGCATAAGCCTATAGCTACAAGGCTCCCAGACATACCTTAAACTGCGTGCCGTGTGCCTAAAAGGACAGGGGTACAGAGGCCCGACTACCCCGCATAGTCCAGTGCTCGCGAGGAGGGAAACGTTTTACCCGCCGTTTATCCCGCCCAGCACACGCGACTTCCTTGCAGCAGCGGCTCAGGGAGATGGACCCCTGGTTGAGTTAAGAAGCGCCTGAGGGTCCATGGCTATTGCTGTATACTGCACTCCATTGCTGTGCGGGCACCAGGTAGGTGAACACAAACGCACCGTACGGATTCACAGGCCCACAGCCCTATAGATGTCCTCCAGGCTTTCAGGAGCTCCGGTCCCCCTTCTAACCTTCGCATTCTGTAGGTGTCACAAGATGCCGCTAGGACACGCCTGGCCGTCACCCCAGCAGGCTCGAACAGCGTGCACAAGTAACGAGCTTACAACCGTGCAGCTGCTGCTCCGACATGGATTCATGCTCACCACCACAGCGCCTCACTCTATTCCACCACCCAGCGGCCCCAGCGGACCCAGGGGTCCCTCCTCGCGCACCGCACCAGTCGCTGCCAGCTCGCTCATTGCCCGCCGTGTCCCCGACAGCTCCGAAACCTGCTCAGCACCCTCTGCGGCCCCAAACCGCCCATGCGTCCCTGACTCCACACCTAGCGGCCCTGCCGCCCCACCAGCCGCAGCATCCCCAGCTACGGCTTCCCGATACCCCTCTGTCTCCGCCCCCCGCCCTCCACCCCGGTCACCTGTCCCGCCAACCGGCCCCGCCACGTCCCCACCCTCCGGAGACGCTAGCCGCTCCACACCCCCACCCAACACCTCCCGCCCTACGCCCCCCTGCGCCCGGCCCTCTTCCCCGTAGCCTTCGCTCGGACCCGGCACTCTGCCACCCCATTCCCCCTCCACCCGCCCGCTTCCCCCAGCGCCCTCCCCCACACCCCCTTGCATGCCTGCGTAACCCCACCACAGCCCCTCCACCCCGGCAGCTCCTGCTGCTCCCGCCGGCGACGGCACGTACATGCTACTGCTGCTGCCGTACTCTGACGGGTGCTGCTCCAGCAGGTAGCTGCCGTACCCGCTGCCGCTGTCCCCCGCCCCCGCCTCCTCGCCCCGCTCCTGCTCCCCCGCCGCCACGGAGGTGAGCAGCCCCACCAGCTCCGTGAGCTGCTCCACCTGCTGCCGCAGATCCAAGTTGGCCGCCTGCAGCCGCGCCTTGTCCCGCAGCAGCGCCTCGATCTGGGAAGAGGGATGAGGAGGGGGGGAGGCGGGCCGGGGGGCAGGCGGGCGTGTAGGGTAAGAGAGGAGGGGGGGTGGGGTGAGGTACGGGAGACAGGGCCTCGTGGATTGAGGAGCGAGGGTGGAGCAGGAAGAGGAACTAGTGGGTGGGATGTGGGTCTTCCGTGAGGGATGCAATGGCGAGTGCCATCCATGCGCAAGCCCGCAAGGCATGCAGGCCCCTGACCCCAACCGAAGCACAGTAAACACGGGACACGCACCCAGCCCCCCATCCCACTCACCTGCAACAACAGCATCTCATCACCTCCGCCACCGCCACCGCCCCCGCAGCCCAGGCCCGGCCGCCCCTCCACCTCCTCCTCCCCTTCCCCCGCCCCCGCCGCCGCCAGCCGCCCTTCCGCCTCCGCGCTGCTGCCGCTGCCGGCCGTCAGCCCGCTGCTGGAGGCGGCCGAGGTGCTGCCGGCGGGGGCCCCGAGCAGGCTGGAGGCCGCGCTGGAGGCCGCGCAGCTGGAGGGGCAGATGGGGGGCGGGTGGCCCGGCGGAGGCGAGTGAGGTGGCGGCGGCGGCAGCCTGGTGGGGAACGGCGGCAGCGCCCCCAGGGAGGTGCTGGCGAGGGCGGGAGCCAGCAGACGCAGCTGGGGGAAGTGGGAGTGGGTTGGGAAGGAAGGAGAGGTGAAGCATGGAGCAGGGAGGGGGCGGGTGCGGGTGAGCGGCGCGGTGCAGGGGTGTGGTGCGGGGAACGGGTGCTGGGGCCGGAGTAGAGTGGGTTGGCGGTGCTGCATCGGTGGACTAGGTTGCGTGGAGGGCAGTTACGCCCGGTCGTAGTGTCGGCGTGTTGCCGAAGGGCTGCATGCCTGTGGCAGGGAGAAGATGTGTCAGTTGCCGTAGGACCGGCAACTGGCTCGGGAGTCCTCTGTACAGACACCCAAATACCAATAACCGCCGTAAACTCCCTTTCTGTCTCTAATTCTCACCTCTGCTAGGTCTGACGTTGGCATCCGGCCAGACGCAACCGCAGCAGGTTGCGTTAGCACGCGGAAGGTGGTGAGCTCAACCGTCGGCACTTGTCGTGGGACCATACTTGGTGACGCGCCTGGCCCGCGGCCTGACGTGATAGCGGCCCTTGCAACGGCTCCCTTTTCCTTCTGGCGCCTAAACTCCTCCAAGGCGCGGCGTCCTGCTTCTCGCATCCGCTCTTGGTATTCCGCCGCACGCTCCTGTGTGCACGATGGATCAGGATCGGCATTGATGGTGCAGAAAAGTAGGTGCAGCAAGCTAACGCGGCATTTGGAAAGCAGGGCATGGCGCGGTGGTTGGGGCTTGCCCTTGCCGCAAGACCTATACACCCTAGACTAAGTTGGGCTTATATCGCACTTGTGGTTTTCCCATTCGCTCCATGAAGGCGCGCTCGCAGGAGCCGTTGGAAACAAGGCAGCAGGCACCTTTTGCAACACTCTACTGTACGTTACACAAGTGAAAACAGCAATTTAAGTTCATCATTTGCACAAATGTAGGAATCATTATACTGGAGTACATGCGAAATCTTAGCATGCTTGCTTACGTGTCGGATAACTGGGCCGCGGAATTTTCACAGACGAACAAAAATGGAATGAATATCTGCAGACCCAAATTCTCGCCTGTGCCATAGCACCCCAGTCTCCACCAGCGTCTCGGCCCCCTACTGAGTACAAGCTCGACGTATTTCCCAGTCTTCTTGGTGCGTCTGCGCACGCCTCCTTCCACTGTAGAACCTTTATGTAAGAAAGTGTGTGACAGCGGGCGTGTCGTCAAAAGTAATCGTCGAGTTCACTGTCTGCGACCGGAAAAGTATTCACGTCAGCTGTCTTGGTGATAACGCTTTGCACTGTTCGGTAAGGGTATCGAATGTCGAAACCAGAAACTAATTCGTGAAGTCAAGACGTATGACGCATTGACGCCTTACGACCCCAACGCCCAATCCAAGCCCCGATCCGACCCAGGGGCCTCGGGCCTTCTTAACATATTCTTATCATTTAGCCATACTTTACATATACTTCCCCTACCTAACGCCTGTGTCAACTAACGTATCTGCCTCACTCATTAACTACAACCGGTAGCACTATAAGCTCACTTGTACCAAGGAACTTTAATAGTTGACTATAGTTCTTTGCTGAAAATGTCCCTGCGTCGGAAGTTGAAGGGCAAGAAGCCGCCGGAGGGCTGGGAGCTAATTGAGGAAGTGATTGAGGATTTTGAGCAGCAGCTGAAGGAGGCTGTTAACGAGGAGCATGAGGGCAAACGTAAAACGGAGCTAACTTGGAAAATTCACCGTCTGCACTGGGAGAAGAATCGATTTATCTATGACCTTATGTACCAACGCAAGGTTATGTCCAAGGAGTTGGTGAGTGCAGCACGCTGCGTTAAGGACAAGTATTCATGACGTGGATTTTAAGAAGGGGTGTATCTAGTCAATGGATCTGGCATCCCCTCGGGCAATGCCCCGTTACTTGATACTAGCCTGGCGCTATAAGGCTGTAGCGGATGCTAAGGGGCATGGGCGAGGGGGGCTGTTGATATGTGGTTCTACCTCCTTGCTCGGCTCCCCCTGTGGAGTCCAGTTCAAGTCGAGGCTGAAGGGGATCTCACAGAGGGAGCCTCAGACAGCACAGGCCTCCCGCCATTAATGCGTAGTGTGTCGTCAGGCAATTCCCAGCCCAGTCTCCCTGCCCCGTAACGGCCGCTAAAGCATTACATCCATCCTCCACATACCCCCACCTCCCTCCGCTGCAACCACACAACCCCTCCCCTTGCTTAACCTCTTCATCAATTTCCTCCCCTTGGCTGCCCCACCCTCTTCCGCCCTCCCTGCAGTTCGAATGGCTGGTTCGAGAGAAGGTGGCGGACGGCGCGCTCATCGCCAAATGGCGCAAGCCGGGCTACGAGATCCTGTGCTCCATGCTGGCCATCCAGAAGGGAAACCATAACTTCGGGACCACCAGCCACTGCCGCGTGCCGCTGCGGGCGCGCGGCAAGCAGCAGCGCATCACGCCGGACGTGCAGACGGGCTGCATCTCCTGCGCGTCAGGAGACGGAAAGTGAGTGGCTGGGGTGCGGTTGGGGGAGGCGGAGGAGGAGGAGGAGCAGGGGATGCATGCGGTATGGGAGTGTGCTGTATGCGGATCGGGGAGCACGTGGTTCGGGGTGGATGGGTCGGAGGAAGGGAGGACAGTGCGGTTTACGGTGGCGAGCTGGGACACGTCTTGCAGTGTGCGCACACGAGGACTAGAGGAAGGATGTGGCAGCGCCGGTTGTGGGCGGTATGGCGCACTCCAACTTGCAAGTGTCAGGGACCACGTGGCTGGACCAGGCGGACGTTGTGTACCCAAGCCTCAACCTGGCATGGGTACACCATGGCACCACGCTTAGCACACTGGGTGTAAGCCTGTAAGGCGTTTAGCACAACGAGGGTGGCAAGCTGCTGGCTATGCGACCCTCCGCATTACTGCATAAGAAGGTGTGATAAGAGGCCTTCGCACTGCATGCGGACACGTAACTGGCCGGCGCGTGTTATCTTCCACCCTCCTCGGGTGCTGCCTACCGGGCTGAGCCGCCTCGCAGGATAGGGAAACAGCCGGCTCTGGCTCATGGGCAGGTCAGCAAACACCAGCCCCTCCTCAATCCCACAACCTGACCTCTCCCGCATCCCTCTCTCCCTCACTCTCCCTCACTCTCCTCACGGTCCCTCTCCCCCAGGTTCGGCGGGCCGGTGTGGTGGAACACGCCGCTGGACGAGGAGGACGGCGCCAAGCTGGAGGAGAACCGCACCACGTGGGGGCAGGGGGGCGAGGGAGGGCAAGCGGGCGACTTTGGGGACGCGGGGCCGGGCCCCAGCGCTGCCGGGCGCAAGCGGCCTGCATCCGACTTTGACGCCGACGATGACGAGGAGTTGCCGGCGGAGGTGCGGGCACGGCTGGAGGCGCTCAAGAAGAGCAACCAGGGGCTAGACTGAGGGGGCTGGGTGCGGGTTAGGTGGGTTAGGTGGGGTCGGCTGGGAGAATGGAGTGGGCTGGGAGGGTCCCTGAACGGCGGGGTTGTGAGGAGGGAGCTTTGACGAAGGGCCATGCGTTTGCAGCTGATAGGGATTGAAAGCGTGGATGGCCATAGTGGATGGATCAGTCGTATGGGAGCACCGCACCTAGACTTTTGCCCAGCTGCGGCGAATGGGTAGGCCATAGGAGGCGACGCAACGTTAAAACTGGTGCGACATTTAATCCTATCTTAGGCAGATAGCTTACAGCGGCGGTCGCGAATGGCGAGATTCGGACACATCAAGGGCGTGGGTGGTGGGGTTGAGCGAGGCAGAGACCAGCAGTGCCTTCCTCCCGCCGTGGCCGGAGATTGGACTACTGTGGTGACGCATGCGGCTGTGTTGGTTGTGCTGCTGCTTGGGTAGGGCCGAGGATGCGTTACAAAGGGACGTGCTGGCGCACTACCGTTTCGTTGCCAGGTTGTTGGATTGAGAAGTGGTCCGCCCGTTGTCCTAGCGTGCTAGTACACATGTGCCAGATGCAGTGACCGTTTATGTTATCACATAGCAAAGACGCCGAAGAGAGGTTCTCCTGCCTGCATACCCTGCTGGGTGAGTAACAACACTAACCTGAGTCTTACCATGGGCAGCTGGGGTGTACGGCTCTTGTGCAGCGGGCATCTGCCGAAACACGACTTTGGGGTATAGCGGGTTTTGTTGTTAGAGAGATTGTGCACTACGGAAAGGGTTTCGAACTTAAGGAAGGAGTGCATTGCCCTGGCAACGTTCATCACCTAGCACATGATGGGTGTGTTTCCTTAGGGCCGTGTGGCCCGGCGTCGCGACCGACTACCGGTGCCCGATGCTGGAGCAGCGGGTACGCTGCAGCAAAATGTGAACGGACGGTGCGGTGTGATGGCTTTCGTGATTGTGGCCCTTTGCAAGGGCTGCAGGCGCTGCGCTGGTGTCTGTGTGATGGACGTGTAGAGATCTGCAGCATGTTTGCTCTTATGCCACCCTGAACCATAAGTCGGCACCTTGTTGAATCCTTGCCGAACCATGGGCCGGTGGCCTCACCCCATGAAAAAACACGCAGCAGAGTTTTCCGTGCTTCCAGAATTCTTTGGCGAAAAGGCTCTTGGGATGTATGGGGAGGGGAGAAAAGACATTCTATGGGACCTACTTCGGCCTGCTTGAAAATTTTCCAGGGGGTTCCAGAGCCTTGGAAAAAAGTCCCCTCACGTGGCTGCCTCTAGGTTACCATAGCGTCCTTGGCTGTACAACACCGTAAACTGGTAAGCGAGTTGCAAGTTCACCCGCTTAAGGATTCTCCTAGGTCCTGGCCTCTTTCTTTTTTCCCTCGTACGGCTTTCGTACCAGGTTGAGTCAGAAGCTTAAGAAATAATTAGCAGCGCATACATGTTAAACACGTTACGATTACCTGGCGTTTGACAGTTTAAGGTCGGATTATTGTTCGGAAGGTGAACCCTACCGGACGAAAAGAAACAAAGGCCTATCCTAGCTCAACTCTCACAGATACTCCTTGCAGTATATCCTTTCTTTGCAATCATGCTCTTCTTTTACTTCAGCTCAGGCCACGGTGGCTCATGGTCCATCGGGCCTCTGATAGCTTTGTTGCCGATCCTGCTGCAACTGGCGCCCTACGTTCTGCAGAGTGGATTGGCGCCGGTACGTTTATACCCAGGGAAAGGGGTCACTTTGCAAGGTGTTCTGCAACATCAACTCGCCTTGCCGGATTCACGCAGGTTCTGACCTTTTCCTGGGGACCTACTGAATTCCATACTTCTAAGGGTCTTATCAGCGCAGTCCTGATGGCTGTGAATTACCTTTTGATACCCGCCATCGGTGTTTGGGGCATGGCGCGGTTTGTACGTTGGGTAAGTCAAGGACATGTGCTGTTTCTCAAGAGGAGCATGGGCCCAATGTAGGTGTTGGTTCACTGCCGTCCTGCTTAAAAATACCCCTGATTTTGCTTTACAGGTTCGCGGGAACGGGGGTTGGAGGTTTCTGCTGCGGCTGTTGCTCCAGGGCTACCAGGCTGGTGGGGCGCCGCGTGCCCCTGCCCCGCAGCAGCGGCGGCAGGGCCGTGTGACCGTCGAGGAGGTTGCTGACGCGCTTACAAAGCTACCCACGGAGACGTACATGACGCCCGAGCAGCTGGCGGCGCTCCCTGTACACGAACTCAAGGTAGAGGTGGGCGGAGATGCCGGAGACAGCTTGAGTGGGTTCAAAACGCCATGGTGCCTGGCTCCCGGGGTACCATTCCGGGGTGTCTTTCCGAATGGTCCTTTCACTTCCCGTTTGCTTTAGCTTTTGCCCGCCGTGTATGGCGTATCGTACTGTCGTTTAGGTCCCACCCGCTAGCCCTTCGCGTTGATTCATGGCTGCCTGACCCTGCCCTGACATGTCCACCCTGCACGCCCTTAGGCGCTTCTCCACGGCCGCGGCCTGCACCCCACGAACTGCCTGGAGAAGAGTGAGCTGGTGCGGCAGCTGCTGCAGCACGGCGGCTCCAGCGCGGATTCGTGCAGCATTTGCTGCGAGGACTACGTGCCAGCTGCGGCGCCAAGCCAGGCGGGGGCGGACGCAGATGCGGAAGAGTCGCCGGTGGTGCTGCGTGTGCTCCGCTGCGGCCACCGCTTCCATGTAGAGTGCGTGGACAAGTGGTTCCTGTCGGCTACCGACTACACACGTGCCCCGGCGTGTCCGCTGTGCAATGCGCCGTTGTTGCCAGGACAGCCTAGCAGCAGCAACGGGAGTCGAGGAGCACAATGAGGGGTTGCAGGGGAATGCACGGCTGCTGTTTAAGGGGCCTAGCGGCGGTAGCGGCATGTCGACCATATGGTATGCGCCAAGTTTGCGGTCCTGGCGACTGGTTCAACCAGAGCCCGGAGTGTCGCCCTGCTGTACACCAGAGGCCTAGCTGTGGGCGTTTTGCCGAATAAGAGGCTCACTGGAAAAACGAATGTACGAAACGAATGTATTCCTATGAATTTTGTAATAAGGGATTGCTGTTGTACTATCATGCGGATGATTGGGTAGTTGTTGAGCATGGAAGGTGGACATTGTGGCTGTCGTTGCAAACCTTTGGCCTCGCTTGTGGCCAAACTTGCAAGTTATGCCATGGATCGTGCTGTCCGGCGTTGCGTCTGTGACAAATGGCATTAGTAGCCAAACATACGGACATCGCAGTATTCGGAAGGCCTATGCTCTTCATGCATAAGTTGCTGGAGTCACAACCGGGATCGTGTGGTTGTGTTCATGTCATGCCTCTTACTGGCTGTGTGCTGGTAAGGAGCAAGTGTGGCGGTACCAGGTAGTCGCTGAGGCGGCACCTGCTTGTAGTGTGCTTGCAGTATGGTGCACTGAAAGGTTACAAGGTCACACTGTTACCGGTACATGACAGCACCGATGTATATAGCAGTACAGATGGGGGTGGACGTAAATGGCATGTGGTCACCAAACGTTGTCGAGTTGATAGCCGAGGATGTTCAGCGCCGAAAGCCGCCCATAGCTTCCCTTACGGTACGCCGTTACGATCCTTTCACACATATCCAGAAGTGCCGTGCAATGGCTTACTTTGACAGGACGCAGACCCATGGGTCGCGTGCTGCAGCTACGTGCTGCTCGCAGCCGCCTCCAGCTCCTTGCCGCATACGGGGCAGGCCTGGCAACGGGAAAGAGGGGAACAATCCGAACAGTGCGACCGTTGCAGGAGGCTTGCCGCAACATGCACAAAGTAGTAGCCCATACAACGGAACAAGCCGTGCCAGCAAGCAGCAACAGTGGCAAGCAATGCAGGCCAGGACTGGTACGTACCTTGCTTTGCTGCAACCATTGCCGCACGCAGTCGCTATGGTAGCAGTGCCTGCGAAGCCGTATGATGGCGAGCAATCCATTAGTCACGTGCACACCGGTAGCTATGGTGCAGGTCCTATAGACGTCGTCTCGCAACGACAGCCCCGAGGCAGGCACGCACACAAAAGGAAACGTGAACCTGATGCCGGCTCCGTGCGCACCTGCACGGCAGCGGGGTGGCCTCGTCGTCGTCCTCAAACTCTAGTTGGCAAATGCAGCACCTGTTTTTCAAGAGGATATGGGGAGGACCGTCAATGTAAGCATCGAGGCCAATAGGATTAACGACTAAGGCTCAGCGCTGCCAGGCTGACATTTGAAAGTTAACTCTACGATACAACTCATGCAAGCCATGCGCTCAAGCGCTTCGTGCATACCAGCAGGTTGCGCCTTTTAAGTGAACGTCCCCGGCTCTGAAATATGTCTGAACTTCGCCACAGTCGTCTCAAAGGGTGCTCACTGTCCCTCGCACCTGTCAAGTGACGACGCGTTGCAGGTGGCTCGGAGGGTGCTGACACGCTCAACCTGCAGGCGGTTTAGCGTTTCCGCCTTGAGCCCCTTGCTGACCTTGCCAGCTAGGTCGCCCAGAGCCAACATGTCCTCGTAGCTGAACGGAAGTTCGCTCTGCTCCTGCTCCTCCGACTCTATCTGTGCTGGGCTTTCGGTGTCGAGCCCTGCCTCTCGTAGTAGGCCGTCTGCATCGCCACCTGGATGAGATAAAGGGCATGATACCGGCAACGGGGTGCAAAGGCTGAACGTGTGTATGATGAGCCCCTACTTGGCCATGCGGAAGTCGGGTGTCCGTGACAGACGCTGGATGGATGTCCCAAACAACTGTGTGCAAGACTGACTGGCCCCTGCTTATTGCGTGGTTATGCCCATTGTCTCCTTCAGCGACATAAGCTGCAACTGTAGGCATCCCAGCATGTGCATGGGCTTGAGAAAGCTTACCGACGCCATACGCCAATGCATGGTATGTCGCTTGGTCCTCTTCCTCTTGTAGTCGTCGTGCTAGCTCCTCATCGGTAAGCTCTACTTCTCCCGTCTGGTCAGCGCTACGAACAAAATGCCAGCAGATGCCTTCTGTCAGCTGCCTTTGACAATTCAAACAATTAGTAACAGCCTTGCCTGATTGATTGGCCCAGTATATAGAATGCGCGCTCCTGTTCTTGAAGAAGCTTTGCTAAAGCGATATCGTCATCCTGCAAGTTGAACTGATGTTGCAATGGATTCTGCAAGTTGTTCAGCCCTACTCAACCAAAGAAAGCGAAGTTAACCTGAAGGCTGGCGCTAGCGCTGACGCTGCACTCCATAGTCTATAGCGGTAGGTAGCTGTAAAAATCGTGGCAAGTATGCAGCAGACCGACAGATGCAAGACTCGGACTCAAGTTTACAACACCTGGATATGATACCTAGTTAATGGTAGCATGCTGTATGATATTGTGCCCACAGAAGCCAACGGCCTTTCCCTACTGCGCGCCCGACCTCGGAAGCTCGTCCAACCACGTGCTACCGAACACCGGCAATCTTCTTGAAACATACTCCTTTAAGCTTAATGCGTTAATACTCTGATCATATTTAAGCTAAGCGGTTTACCGGTATCACCTGCATTTGTTCAGGGCTGCAACCAAAAAAGCTACTTAATACCTATTGCAGGAGGGGTGCGGAACTATAGTTCTGTACCTCATACCCCTCCCGGGCCCGAGATACCCCGGGGGTAGTAGAACTCATCGAATTGTGCCCCTTGAACTGTTTTTAGGCCCGAAATGGGGTCTCTGGCGGGGGTCCCCAAGGGGGGAAAAATATAGACCCGGTCCCTGCAAATTGCCTAAAAGCCGAAGGGAGAATGACCTGTACCAATAGTATACGCGAAGGTGTAACCTTTACAACACTTGTGCCAAGGAAAGAAGAAGGGAAGAAGAAGATTGCCGGTGTTCGGTAGCACGTGATTTGGACGAGCTTCCGAGGTCGGGCGCGCAGTAGGGAAGGCCCAGGCAACGTGCTGTAGTTGTTGTCCGTTACCCGTTTGGATCGAAAGCGTACAGCACGCATATCGGTTAGGCCTGCCAACCGCGCAACGTACACTCATGAGTACTGCCAAACATTTAGCAGTATGAAGTAAACCCGGAATCCGCCTCCAGTGCCGTCCCTATAGACGCCCCCATATCCTAAGCACAATCCTTACAGCCCTGCTTCGTATGCTAGGCCCACGGAGGCCGCGGCCAAGGCAATCCCATCCAGAGAACCTGGCCGCGCTTACCGGTGCCTAGGCCACGAAAAACCCGACAGCAACTGCGGTTACACAAACTCGCCTAGCTTTATCCCAGCCACGACGCAGCTCCCTCTCACGTCGACGTCTCCATCTCCTCCCCGTCCCCGACCGGCACCTCGTTGTACATGTACTGCTCCTGGTACTCTATCAAGAACTGCGTGCTGCGCTTCACGTCCACAAACATGCTGTACACCTTGCTGATGTCCTCGATGTCCACCTCCGTTCCCTTGCGCCGCTGGCACACGATGGCCGCCGCAGTAATTAGTTGGATGGCGTAGCGCAGGCTGGTCTCGAAGCCGATCTTTGTGAGCAGCTCCTTGGCGTCCTCCGTCATCTCCACGTCCTCCTCCTCGCACCTGTGAACGCAGGCATGATGCAAGTGATGACGTTAACGCAGCAATGACATTCCTATGCGACTAACGTGACCGTTGCTCCATGCATTAAGTGCTATGCACAATGTGCAATACGCATCCTGTAATGTGTCACATTCGATATGCGAGCACAGAGCAGAGCACCAGGTTTTGCGCATCATGGATTGCCAACACCAGTCTCGCCCCATGCACGCTCCAAAACACATGCCGTACATCTCGAAGCACCCCACAGGTACCGGACTCCCCTGCATCTCCCCCGCCAGCCCGCCCGCCCGCCCACCTGATGTCCAGGATGAGGCGGATTTCCTTCTCGCTGTAGGGCTCCGTGGAGATGATGAGCAGGCGGTCCAGCAGGTCGATGGGCACACCGTGCGGCGAGCGGTACTGCGTGCCGCGGATGCGCGTGATGCCGCGGTTGGTGGCAGTCACCAGGATGGGCGCCATGTCGTTTTCGAGTGCCCTGTGGGTGTGAGCATGCGACGAGTCTCAGACAATAGTGATGCCAAGTCGTGAGTTCGTACCGGTAGCCTCCATCCTCCAGTTTGAAGCAAAGCATAGCGGAGCTGGGAGTACGGTGGTCTACAAGCCAGGCTGGGAACAACAGCAGCGAAGGGCTAGAAATCGAGCTGGTGACTGTCGCTGACAAGTACCCCTACATTGGCCCCATTACATCCCGATATTCAGCCCTCCGTACGCAGCCTTACGAGCCTCCGTGTTTTCTGGTACGGCCTGCTACAACCATGCGTCACCGTATCCCTGTGCAATGCGCCCCGCGGCTGCCCGCACCTGTTGAGGAAAGAGAAGCACTCGATGTCCAGCATGTGCACCTCATCGATGAACAGCACACCCGGCACGATCTCCGCCTTGCCCTCCTCGCGCCACTCCGCCACCTTGGCGTCGATCTGCTCGCGCACCTCCGAGCGGATCTCGCCCGTGTCGCCCGAGAAGAGCGCCAGGAAGCCCTGTGGGGCGGTGGGAGGGTTTGGGCGGGGAATGGGGTTACATGTGGGTGGGAGGTGGGGCGAAGACACGATGCAAGGCCGTTGCCAAAAACGGTGCTGACTCCAGAGCTGATGACCTTTACTTCAGGTAGTACCAAGACGTTCAGGGAGGTCTAAGAGTCCTTACGCTCCATCAAGAGCTAGTAAGCACGGTCAAAAGTGACCAGGCGCAAGGGGGCGGCTAGCGCCGACTGGGCACAAGAGTTCCTCCAACCCATGCCCGGTATGCGTTCTCCACTCCCAACCACCGCTCTCCGCTCCGCCCAAAAGCGTACCTGCGTGCGGCTGTTGATGACGTCAATCTCGTGCAGCGTCACCACGTGCACCACCTCCTTGCGCTTCTGCAGCTCGCCCTCGGGGCACTGCACGAACTTGGTGGAGGGGCCTGCGCAGCAGTACGGCCCCGGACACGTCGTTCCCAAAGACGATGATGCTGGCAAAGATGCTAGCCCACCCAGAACCTCCACTACATGAAAGGAGAACCATAAAACAAGCCGGTACGCACGGAACTAGGGGCTGTACTAGAGGTTGCACATGTGCCTACAATCGCCCACGTTGCTCCACATGCGGGAGCAGGCACTTACCCATGGCGTCGTAGTCTCTTGACCGCGCGAAGGACCGCCCCAGTCGGGTAATGCGACCTGCGCGGACACACAATGATAAGGTCCCGGTCTTGGCTCAGGTGATAGGGAACAGTTCATCCTCTCATGTGGATAGCACAGCTGCTTGCGTAGCGTAACGCTACCAGGAGCACTCAATGCGCTACAGCTGCCGCTTTGCCAACGTGCCCCCCCTGCTGCTATCCCGTACCCCAGCTCCCACCTGACGCCTTGTCAATCGTGATGACGTCGCCCGCCGTGACCTTCTCCTTGGTCAGCGACTCGATCATCTTTTGCCCCAGGTCGTAGATGGTCTCCATCTCCGTGGTTTTGAGCGTGAGCCGGCCCTATATGGTTGGACGACGCAGGTACAGGTGCGTTAAGTCATTGCCCCCGCCTTAGGATGTCAAGGCGCCTTTGACAGGAACCAGGCAAATGCTGCTGAGTGCTTCATGTAGCCACGTTTGACGTCCTTGGAAGGGATAGGGCAGCTGCATCATGGAGAGAGCGCCCCGGTATGAACTCCAGGGCCTTACGACTTCATTCGCCGTTTGCTGACTGGCAGGTGGCAGCCATGCATCCCCGTTATCCTTTTCCTTGGGGTGTCGTACCGGTATGCGGGGCATGCGAAGTTCCTTGGACGCAACATGTACTCCCTAGAGCACCGGGGACATAGCCCTCACGGCCATGGGTCTTCGATGCTGCCCATGCAAGCCCGCACAAGCCTGAACCCAACGTACCGTCTTTGCTACGTTGCCGCCCTCCGGCCGGTCAATCTCAACCTCCACCACCTCGCCCTCAATGATCTCCGTCTCCTCCTTAATGCGCACGCCAATGGCCTTGCGGAAGGCCTGGATGGGCAGGTTTAGTGCCGCAGCAAGGGTGGGAAACGCGCGTTCTGTCAGCCAGGGCACCAGGCCAGCGTTCCATACGGTTGCTGAAAGCTGTGGAAGTAACTGGTGCGTCCTCCAATACGGGCATGTGGGGGTGCGGCAAAGCAAGCGCTAATGGTGCATGGCAGGGCAATGTACACATGCTAGTCACTCCGTGTCCCTAACGACCTCTTCTAAGGCCACAATACATGTCGTGCTTCACCCAAACGATGGGCAAGCAAGCCACATTCACTCCCGCAAATACGGGTTAACCACTTGTTACCCCAGCAAACCCCAGAACCAGGCCGACCTGCGTAAGTGCCTCTGTTTTCGACATCTCCAGCGAGAAAATTTCGGACCCGGTCATCATCGCAAAAGGTGTCTCCTCCCCAAGCGCCTTCGCCATGCCCATGGCGATAGCGGTCTTCCCAGTCCCAGGCTGTCCGGCCAAAAGCATGGCTCGCCCAGCAATCTTTCCCTCTTTGATCATTTGCAAGATCACGCCTGCGGCCTGAACGGGCATGGACGCGTTCGTTACAGCACTTGATGGCCCCGTCTGTCCATGCCTAATTTGCGTACCTTACGAGCCTTCGCCTGGCCCACCATGCCTTGTGATACGGCGCGTGCTTCCAAAGCATCGTCCAAGCCCAAGCCACGAATATGGGAGTGCGCGCCTATCCGCTCTATGCGCGTCAAGTCGCGCACTTCGGCATTTACTTTAACATCCGCTGCCGCCATGGCGCCGATTTAGGCCTGACAGTAGTAAGAACCTCGTTTAAAGTCTATTAGTGCCGGCTTTGTAGAACGATCTCGCTTCGAAGACAGTGGAAGCGCCTTTAACAGCAGAATTTCAGTTCTTTTTACTTCTAATCTATTGCGATTTGCAAATACCTGCTTTTCTAGGGCAAAGGGCAACACAACCTTAACGGTAGTCAAAGCTTCCAGTGCGCCGCCGTACACACAGGTAGACCGCGGCCGCGTGGCCGCGGCCCAAGTCCCAGCTAGCTGACTTTCGTTAGTACACGCGACGCAAGAATTCCTGCAAATGATCACTGTCATGAGGGAAGGTTCGACGCGGCTTCGTTTACCGATCGTCTCCGACGTCTGCCGGGGCCACAACCAGAATCAATAGCATGAGCTGGGTTGGTCACGTCACAGTCTACAACAATGGTGTAGAAGACTGCGCTCGCAGCTTACTAATGTATGCCCTTCAGAACTGTGCTTGTGGGGCCCTGGTGGGGTAGCATGAGTTTGCATGCTTGTAGGTCATGCTGCATTCTACCGGTAGAAATGCTGAACAGGGAGCGGTGCAGCCTTAGGGTAATGTTTTTTTAACAGAAGGTGAAGCACAATTCCGTTACATCTTTACAGCTCATGCATACGCGCCGTGCAGCGAAACACCTGACGTCCAAAACAGCCAGTTCCAAAGCCCCGCAACTGGAAATTCCGCCACGCTAGGAGTCAGGAACAAGCTCCGCAGCAGAGCTGTACTCTCCGTGAGCGGTGAAGTACTCGACAAGCCGCTTCAGGAAGCCATCATTCGAGACCGTCTCGCTATCGCAAACCAAGGCACAATGTCTCCGGGCACGAGTGACAGCCACGTTCATGCGGCGCCTGTCCGACAGGAAACCCACTTCCCCCGACTCGTTGCTCCTGACCATCGAGATGACTACGGCCTCCTTTTCCCGGCCCTGGAAGCCGTCCACACTGCTAATCTCCAGCCCCGAGCCAATCCGCTCTTGTCGCATTTCCTTCAGCAAGGCGACCTGACAGGGGAGGAGGCAAGGCAAAAGGTAAGTGAATGGTGCGACATGAGTGAACTAGGCAACGAAGATTGAACAGCAATGTCCGAAATGGCTGCAGACGGGCATCAGCTGGAAGGTTGTCAACCAGACGGCTGACGCAAATTACCCATTGTGACAAAATATCATCTGCCACGTCACGCAAACCATCCGTCAAGCAAAAGATCCAAATACATATGCCCCAGGGACATCAGGATTAAAAAGCTCGTTTAATTTATTCCTCACCGAGGAACTCAGCGATGGATTTCGGTTATATCATCACATGTCCTTATGGAGCAACCACGGGGTATCATGCAACGATGAACGGTGAATGCCGTGAACGGTGAATGCCGTGCAATAGAGCATGCGAGCGCGACATCAGGATTAAAAAGCTCGTTTAAATATTCCTCACCGAGGAACTCAGCGATGGATTTCGGTTATATCATCATTTGCGCGCATTGCAGTGCCATGCCAGGATACGCCCATGCCCTTGCCCGCCACCCGCTTACCTGGGCGTTATATGGCGTGATCACCCCAATGTCCGCCGCAGGGATGCCTCGCTTGATCAGTCGCTGTACATGTGCCATCACAGCCTTCGCCTCGCCAGCGTTGGCATAGCTGCTGCCCTCAGCCTCCTGCTGCTCGTCGTACCCGCAGCCAGCTGTGTCGATCAGCAAGAGCACCGGAAGCGGCTGCGCCGCGTCTGCGTCTGCGGCAGCCCCTGCTGAAGCGGCGGCGGAAGACGGCGGAGGGGCCTTGGCAGCTGCCTTGCCCTTGCCAGTGGCCTTCTTGGCCCCGACAGCTGCCTTCCCGCTCTTGGTCGCAGGTGCTGCCTTGGGCGCTGCTGCAGCCGCTGCCTGCACGTCGGCCAGGGTGTGCTCCGCGACGGACTCATGTGCCGTCAGCTTGCCCTGCACGACAGGAATAACAACAAGCCTAGTAAGTTACCAATGATGAAAGCAAGCCGAGTACTGTATTGCAGAGTGTGAATTCCATATGAAGGACAGCACATACGCACCCAAGCAAATGCCATTGCAACCCCGAGTATTCTCCAGCCCCTTACCTCGTAGAGCTCATCGCTGGACCACTGCATGATGGCCTTGTTCATGCGGTACTGCACGGTGAGCATGGCGCTGGCGGCGGGGAGCGAGCGCTGCAGCCGCTCGAACAGCGTGCGACCCAAACCCTGCACGATAAAAAGGGTGTGATAGGTGAGCTAACTTTGATTTGGACAAGTGCAAAATGAGACTCATGCAGCAAAACGCGTGGGAAACGTGCGATGCCCATCCTAAGACAGCTCGACTCGGGGAATTGTAGTCTATTTGTGTAAACATCTAGGCTCTGGGAAGAGCTCAGTCCCAAGTTATCGTCATCGTCGGCTGTCTTTGGCAGGGCACCGCACAAGAGTGCACAAGAGCAGTCACAACAAGCCAAGCGTGAAGGTGCGTTTTTGAAGCCGCCAGACTCCTATTCTTACCAGTCTCGCCGCCTCATCGCACACCACCGTAGGCGGCAGCTGCAGGTGATCGCCCGCCAGCACGGCTCGCCGGGCGCGCAGCAGCGCCCCCCACGTGGCTGCCTCCAGCGCCTGCGCCGCCTCATCCACCACTGCCACGTCAAACAGCTCCGCCTCCAGCTGCCGGTGCGCCACACCCGTCAGCGTGCAGCACACCACCTGCGACCCGCGAACCACCTCCTTCACCGCCGCCTCCTGACGCTGACGCTCCTCCTTGGCCAGGCGCCGCAGGTCGCCACGCAGGGCGCGGCGCTCGGCTCGGTCTCGGGGGCCGAGCTTCAGCAGGCGGCTGTTGATGTCCTTGATTTCGGCTCGGCAGTCGCGCGCGAGGGCGCTGTTGTCGGATCGCAGCACGTGCGCCTCCAGGCTGCTGTCCAGCACTTGAGGCAGCAGGCGCGCGGGGTGGCCCAGACGCACCAGCTTGATCTTGGGGTCGGCCCGCACCAGCCGCTCAACCAGGTTGTCCACCTGGAAAGAGCAGAGGGGAAAGGTAGGTAAGAAGACAGCAAGGTTTTGGCAAGTGGACCATCTTCTAGCCAAAAGCTCACAGCAGAGAGGGCATGATGCAGCGGCAGTCGTAGAGGCGAGGAAGATGGAGGCTCACCGCAATGTTAGACGCGGACGCCGCCAGGACGCGGGATCCTCGAGCCACCTCCTGAAGGATGATTTCCACGACAGCAGTCGTCTTGCCAGTACCTGCGTTGAAAATGGTTGGCACTGGGTTAGAAAACAAGGGTGAAAGCCAGTGGATGGAAGTCAGCTAGACGGATGGGGTTTTCAAAGATGTGGCTGCACCACGACACACGACCGCCACGGGACGGCAGTGTCTGGAGGGGAAGCCTTTCCTGTTGCGAGCGATTTTAAGCAAGCACAGACCGGTGCACGCCATGCTCACTCCATTAACGCCGCGTGCACCGTGCCAAACATACAGGAGCCCAAGAACTCAAAAAGCCCAACGTTACGGGTTGCGTTGATGTTATGTGGATGTATGTACTGCTACCTAACGAGCCGGGCACTAGCGCAGCCCCACCCGCCTCAAACGAGGACAAGTGTTCTCTAGCAGCTTTGTAGAGACCGGGCATCATTAGGGTGGGTGCCGGGTCTGCTGAAAGCTGCTGATTGCTAACGCACATATATGCCATAACCATACGGTCCACATCCCACCTGGCGGGCCGTGAACCAGGGCGACGTCTTGGCTCGACAGTGCCAGCGTAACAGCGGCACGTTGCGACTCATCCAAGCCGCCATTCAGCGGCTGCCAGGCACGCGCCGCCGCCGCAAACCGCGCCTCACGCCGCCCAAACACAACATCAACCAGCGTCCCGCCCGGCAGCAACCTGCCGTCAGGGGTAGCAGCGGTGCCGCCCCTGACCCGCAGCAGCGCGTCAAGGGTGCCTTGCAGGCGCTGGTAGGTGACCTCGTTGGCCAGCTTGTCCAGCCGCACCGGCTGGTCGAGGCCCTCCTCCGGCGCCTCGTCCACAGCAACCACGATGGAGGTCTCGCGAACGCGGTAGATGACGCCGGAAACCAGGGCAGGGCCGTCGGATGGGCCGCGGCTGGGCCGGATGGCGACGACGTCATGGGGGCCGAACTTGTGGGGCGGGAGCTCAGCAGGCGGGCCGCCGGCGCCGTAGCCCTTGTTGGAGACGAGGGTGAGGAGGGTTCGACCCAAAAGGCCGCCCTCGACGTCGTCCAAGCGGAGGTTCAGGAGAGCACGTCCGCGAGCCTGAAGGTAGTGTGGAGATGTGGAATGTGGTAAGCGACGCTGAACTGAAGGTGACAAGGTACAACGCAGGTAGGCAAGGGTGGAGCGTATGTAGACAAAGGCAAAGGCGGCGGAGAGCAAAGGTGAACAGCGGCACATGCTCAACCTTACCTGGGCGGTTTCGGGGGAGCACGTTGACGTCTCTTCGTTGGCCTGAGCGATTTCAGCTTCGCGTTCCATTTCGATGAGTTTGCGGCTAAGCTCAACGAAGGCCTCTACGGTGGCCGCCTCGTCTGAGCCGACATTCTGACACGTGCTCTTGCCGCCAGCCTTGCCAGGCTGCGACCGAGAGGACGAGGTGCATGGCAGGCGGTCTGCCGCATCTAACCCGAGATGTGCAAGCAATGCTGCACATAAGTCAGCATCCGAAAAGGCGCCGCCTTGGGGGGCAGAGACCGACACCTGCAAACATTCACAATTAGCATTCAAGTAAAGCGCGATTGAGGTTATGGCGTTGTGGAAGCGTAACGCATCCTAGGACCATGTGCGCCGCCATAGATCGCAGCAGTACCTACCTTACGTGCATCCTGGCGCTTCGAGCCGACAACTATGTAGCGCTCAGATCCAGCACCCTCGCTTGCATGGTGCAGGCCGGCAGATTCAGCAATTTCATGAAGAAACGCACGCTGACGGGCGCCTAGACATGAAGGGAAGGCAACCTGCATCAAGAACAAGGCGCCTGGGTAAATGGGTCACCCGGATTGCAAAGTGCTTCAGGAAGCATTGCATATCAAGATGTGCAAAGCCTACCAGAATATTTTTCTCCGCCGCATTCTCGGAAGCAGACTTCTGCTGGGCGGGCAGCCAGAGTCAGAAGTGACACTTCGCCACATGTAGAGAGTCTTCTGTCTGCAAGAGACCCGAGAACAAGCTTCCAGGGCCCAGCCCCCTTCCATGCTGGACCAGCACACCTGGATGCCCTTGGGCGGCATTTCCAGCGCTGAAGCCTCTCAGCACACAAGAGACTACATGGAATGGCTTCTATGGCGGGTCGGGGGGCTTTTGTCCTAGCGCCGCCTGGATCCGCGGCGGCACCGTACAATTGCAAACATGGCCTTGCAAGCGCACGCAAACAGCTACCGCCATAAAAGATCTCTTCCGGACAGCTAACGCTAATCCCGTGATTGGAAAATAAAATTGTATTGCGGTGCACCAAATAATTAAGTTTGGTCACAGCGAGGGCCACGTGGGACATGACCCACCTTGTTGTAGAGCTGAGAAGTTATTCAACCAACACTCTATCACCCTGCAACAACTGATGTGCGGTGTCATTGTGGCCTTTAGTCCTGAGTCGGAACGCGAGAGTAGCCTTACGCATGCACATGTCCCTGTCACAGCTGCGCACAGCCTTGGAAATCCATCATGTCCATGTCACCACGAAGCTCGGAACGACATTGTCATACAGCAAGTGTGTCCTTCGCATTCTTGTTGTTCCGGATATAGCGGGCCCCAAGGGGTCTCATGACTGGCTTAATGGACCCAACCCTGCGGCTTCAGACAACCTACGCCGTTAAATGGGCCACTTCTATCTGCCTGTGCTGGACTCACGTCAGCAGTGTGCTGCTTCATGCGAAAAGCTGAAGTCTCTGCATGATGTGGACCCACCGTTTCCTCGTGCTGCCTAACCTCCATAGGCTATACCAGTAAAAACCCCGCAGCACGGCAGCTGCGACAGTGGCGACCTTCCCTTTCCTTCCAAGGCCTGGTCTTCCCCTTATGTACAGTGCACGGATGCCGAGGCGCTCCCCAGGGGCTCTGCTCCCTTACATGGGTAGATCCTGTTACACTGCTCAACAGCACATCCCTCGGAATGCAAAAGCTACTGCAAGTTCAAGCCCGCAGCGCCAGTGGCAAACCCGCAGGGCACCCATCGGGTCATGGCTCAAGGGCAGCGGTCACTACAAGCCGCCAGCGCCGGCGCGAGCCCCCAGAGCTGCACCGCTCGCCATCCGTCACCGGTACGCCGCCTTCTCCTCCTCACTCAACGCGCCCCACGCCGCACCCAGCAGGCGAGACACCTCCATCAGCCCCGCCTCCGGATGCGCCGCCTGCAACGCTTCTCGATGCGCCTTACAGTAGGACAAGAAGGGATTCGACCGCTTCTTCTCCACAACCAACGCCGCCACGGCAGCTGCAACTGCGCCGTCGCTATCAACAACACCACCAGCAGCAACAGCAGAAGGACTGCCACCTGAAGGAGCGGCTGCGGGAGCAGCAGCGCGTTTCCGTACGGAGGCCGCCGTACTTTGCACTTCTGCTGTGCTACCTGCCCGCTCGCGACTCGCAGAACGGGAGGCCAAGGGGACGTCATCAGGGCGCGTGAGATCTACCGTATCGGCAACCCCTGCGTCCGCCGCCACCTCTGCCCCTGCGTCCGCTCCCACCTCTGCCCCTGTACCACCAGTGCCCTCCCCGCTTGCCTCCACCGCTGCAGCCTCAGTGAAGCGCCGCTGCTGCTCGGGCCCCAGCGCGCGCCACTCCGCTGCGATGCGGCTGACGGCCCCGCGGTAGCTGGCGCCCGGGTCGGCGGCCTTGGCGGCCCGCCAGCGCTGCTGCAGGAACAGCGTGTAGCCGTTACGAGCGCCGGAGGAGGCGACTGGTGCCTGCGGCGCGGGAGGGAGCGAGACACGGTGTCGCGGTGAAGCATTGGAAGAAGCATAGAGAGAAGCAGCAGTGTTACGGAGGCAATGCAGGTCAAATAATTCTACGACAATAGTAAATGACAGAGTCATTGCCGACATCACCCCGCTTCACCCCCCTCAGGGTCAGGGTCAGTGTTTCCGCGGCTCAGTTTATCTAACCCCCCTCCCAAAGCGCACCTTGCTAGTCGCCGCTCCTCCCTGCGCTTCTCCCTCCGCGTCCCTCTGATCCTCCTCCTCCGCCTCCGCCTCCTCCACCTTCTTCTTCTTCCTACCGCCCGCCGCCGCCGGCTTCCCCGCCGCCGCCCGCCCCCTCCCCCGCGGCGGCAGCCCCCTGGCCTCCCGCTCCGCCTGCCGAGCCCGCTTGGCGGCCAGCAGCGCCACCGCGGTGGCCAGGTCCACATCCTGGCAGCGGCGGGGGCGCAGGAGGGGGGGTGGGCCAAAATAAGGTAGGCCAAGCGATAGGAAATCACGAATGGGGGCAAAACAATGGGGGGATGCGGCAGCAAGGTTTACCTACAAGACAAAGGAGGGTAGCAGGAGGGGGCCGGGTAGGGAGGAACAAAGAGGAGGTGAGGCACACGCATACGGTACCGCAGCATTGTGGCATCCACGTGTGTTGCCTCCAAGGTCAGTGGCACTTGATCCAACACACCAGCACACACCCGCTGGTGTCGGTGGCGGTAGGAGTCTAAACCGGCTAGAGGTGCCAGTCTCCGAGGCTGCATTGGACTCGCACGCTAGCTCGCATGCCAGGAGCAGGACGCAGGGAAGCCGCGGTTGAGGGCACGGGCGGCCCAGGCCTACCTGTATATCGTATATAGGGTAGCTTCGACGTTTGGACACCGCCCAAGGCAGCAGCAGCAGCTTCTGCTGCCTTGATGTGTATGTCGCAATGACCCCCGTACGCGCCTCAATCCCGCCCTTCAACCACACCTCCGACACCCCTCTCCTCAGCTCCCGAAACCGCTGCCTAACTGCTCCTTTCACCTCCATTCCAGCCCGCCTAACACCTGCACAATCCACCAGCCATCGAGGGCCATCCCCCCCTTCCAGCCCATGATGACGATCACGATGACGCTTTATCACACAGTCAGTTAGTTGTTTTCTCTTTACCCCCCTCCAGCCCGCCCCGCCCCCACCTGCGGAGCGGCTCTGCGGCCCAGGCTGGCCGACACGCCCCCATGCGCCACGTAGGGCCCGAACGGCCCCGTGTTGGCCACCACCGGCTGCCCGTCCTCCGGGTGCGGCCCCAGGCTCCGGGGCAGCGCCAGCAGTGCCAGCGCCAGGTCCAGGGTGACGGAGTGCAGCGTGAGGCCCTGGCGGGGGACAAAGATAGACCAAGCCATAGGAAACCACGAAAGGGCAAAACAACAGCGGGGAGGGGAGGGGGAGGTAGGCGCCCTGGTCAACTCCAGCGCACGCACGCATTCAAACGCCACGCCTATCGCAGCTCGTGGCACGCACCCCCTGCTGTACATGCACGCATGCCCCACCCCCCCGCACCCCGCATACCTTGGCCTTCTGCACGGCAGCCCGCTTGGGCTTCGGCGCCTTCTCCACACTCCGCCCCTTCTTCTTCACCGCTTTCGCCGCCACCTCCTCCTCAGCAGCAGCACCCTCTCCTGCTTCCGCCTCAGCCTCCGCCTTCTTCCTCCCCTTGCCCCGCTTCTTCTTAGCCCCCGCCCCCGCCTCCTGCTCCTCCTCCTCCTTGCTGGCCCCCGCTGCCTTCTTGCCCGCCGCCAGCTCCCCCAGCTGCACGTACAGCCCGTACGGCCCCAGCCGCACCCACACGGCCTCCCCGCTGTCCGGGTGCCGACCCAGCAGCCGCTCAGTGGCGCTGGCGGGGGTGGCGCCGGCCTCGCCCTCGCCCTCGCCGCCTGCAGACATGCGGGGACATGTGCGGGCGGGCGGGTGGGTGGGTGCGGCAGCAGCGGGTGCGAGAGCACGGGTGCAGCATGGGGGAGGTCAGGGGGGCACATCAGTGGAGGGGTAAACTGCAAACCAACCCTTAGATCCCACCCTCGAGTTGAGAGCTTAGATAAGAATGCTTCATGTTTCCTGACTCCTCTACGCACGAATGTCCCTAGCTTACCCTCAATCACAGGCAACAGCGGCCTCGCGTAATCGCACTTGATGTCTGGGTCAGCGTACTTGGTGCAGCCAATGAAGCCACCGTGCCTGGACGGCTTCAGCACCAGCCGCCCCACTCCGCACTTGGGACAGACCCGTGGGTCGCTGCAGGCCTCCGCTGCCCCTGCCTCTCTCGTCAACACACCCTCCGTACCCTCCGTCCTCGAAACCGTCGTTGCGACAACGTCAATGGTCACAGAACCCCCGCTGCTACTGCTGCTGCTGTTGTTACTAGATCCAGGTTCCGGAAGCAGCGGCGCGGCAGCACCAGCAGCACCCGCACCAGCGGCACCTGCTCTGCGGCGCGGGAAGAGGTAGTCCGCCAGTGCGGCATCCAGCGTGTCGAACACCTGGGTGGTGCTGACGGCGCTCATGGCCGCCACTGCGGAGCTGAAGGGACCCCAGAAGGAGCTCAGCACGTGGCGCCAGGCAGCCTTGCCGCCTGGGGGAGGGGAGGGGTGGGATGAGGGGAGGAGAGGAGGCCGTGTGGGTGGGGGCGCTAGCATTGCGGCGGGAGCGCGAGCAGTGTTGGTAAGCGGGCTACCCGCGCCGGACGGCACGGGTTGCAGGGAGCTTCAGGTAAGGGAAGCGGGGCGGGAGCGGTCAGGGACGTGCAGCGATAGCACCCTCCTCCCTCTCTAGACCCCTCCGCGCCCAGCCCCCCCTGCCCCTCCCCCCTGCCCCTACCCCCCTGCCCCTCCCCGCATCTCACTTGCAATGTCGTCCAGGCTGGCCTCCATGCCGCTGGTGAAGTCGTAATCCACCCAGGTGGGGAAGTAGTGCTCCAGGAAGGCGCTCAGCACGCGGCCCAGCGGGGTGGGGACCAGGGAGCGACCCTCGCGCGACACGTAGCCGCGGTCCTGGGAGGGAAGCGGGAGGAGGGGAAAATTATATAAGAAATGCAAACAACTAGAGTCCCAGACCCATAACCCGACTCATGCAGTGAGTGCAGTGATGGGAGGAGGGGAGGGAGAGGAGGGAAGAGGGAGGAGGCCACATACCAGGCGGTGAACGATAGGCCGATGGGGCGATAGCAGGGGGAAGGGGAAGGCAGTGGGATAAAAAATATATCAGTGCGAGGGAAGGGAAACGAAATTCTCCGTTCCCATTGCCCGAAACCTTAAAACCAGACACCACCGGTCCGTCACGCGAGGGTCGACATATGGTAATGTCTGGACCAGCCTTGCCCCTCCCCTCCCCCTTCCCTTTGTGTAACCCCCTTCCCTCCCCTTTCCCGTGTACAGCATGTGTTTTCCTTCCTCCTCTTCTTTTCCCCCTCTTTCCCCCCTCTCCCTTCCCCTTCCCGCGCACCGCCCCACCTGCAGCAGCGACATGATGGGTGCGTACGTGGAGGGCCGCCCGATGCCTCGCTCCTCCAGCGCCCGCACTAGGCTGGCCTCGGTGAAGCGCGGAGGGGGGCGGGTGGCGTGCGGGGTGACGTGCAGCCGCTGCAGCTGCAGCAGGTTGCCCGGCTGGGGGGGGAGGGAGTGGAGGGAGGGGGGGTCAAAGATTAACCAGAACTACAGGGCAAAGCAATTGGGATAGGGAGCGGGGGAGGGCAAGGCGGGGGGAGGAGTGTTCAGGGAGGGGCGGCGCAGGCATGCTGCTTAGGTGGCGGGCGTGGGGCGACTGGGGACATTGGCGTGCCGCGGAGGTTTGGCGGCCGCATGGCATAGGAGTGCCATGAGGATCTTGGTGGAGCTCTGCCCCCTGGTGGCTGCACAGTGGCTAGCAGCAGCCGCCTCGAGCCCCCACGCACAGCCGCCTCCACCCCTCCCTCCACCCCCACGCACCCCAGCCGCCATGGAGCTTACAATACGGTTTGTTATTGATGGATGCTACTAACTATACAACTACTACAATTATATGCCAACCCAACTATCCAGCCTAATGCGGATTCTGTTTCCAAATTACCCCCACGCACCTGCAGCTGCAGCAGCTGCTGCGCCGCCAGCCCCTGGTTCTCCCGACTGCCCGCACTGCTGCCACCAGCCACCAGAGCAGCCGCCGCTGCCTCCTCCTCCTCCACTTCCCCCTCCGCACCCCTCCGCCCCTGCTGCTGCTCCTCCTCTTCCTCTCCGCAGCTCACGTCCTCGTATGCGCGCAGGAAGCCCGGGTCACGCAGCTGGCTGCCCCCGGCTCGCAGTCCCAGCCGCCCGCCGTCAGCGGCCAGCTCGATAGTGACCTAGGGAGGGGGCGAGGAGGGGAGGGGAACGAAAGAGGGGGAGCGGGGCAGCGGGCGATGCAGGGTGGGGAAGAGGCAAAGCCAGGAGGAGCACATGCACGTGCACATGCAGCAAGCAAGTGTCGTGGTACGGTATGCAAGTGGAAGTGCTGCGTGGGGTTCCACCCTCACACCCCGAGCGCCACCCGCCACCCCCTCCGCCAGTTCGTTGGACTTCTTCCTCTCTATCCCTCCAGCCCCCCCACCACCACCCCCAGCCCGCCCCCGCCCTGCTGTCTCACCACCTCATACACCGCGCTGCTCATCTGCGAGGCCGCCGCCCGCCGCCACACCAGCTCGTACAGCGCCCGCAGGTCAGGCGGCAGGTCGGGCGGCAGCGCGGCGGGGGGCAGCGAGGCGGGCCGCGTGGGGCGGATGGCCTCGTGGGCCTCCTGCGCGTTCTTGGCGCGGCTCTTGTACTGCCTGGGTAAGGGTGGGGGGTGGGTGGGGTGGGAGGGGTGGGGTAAAAATAGGGGGTGACTGAGATGGGGAGGGGGGGGAGGGGTTACCGGTGGGGAGTGGGGGGGGGGTTAGAAGGGTGGTTGGGGCGGGATGGAGGACAGAGGTGGGGTTGACGGGGGGGTAAGGTAATGAGAAGCTAGGGGTTGCGCTATACCGATGTTCCCGGCCTGACCCCTGTCGGCAGTCCAGCCAAGGCACCCAGCACGTGTCAAGACGGAGGTAAGCACTCGCTACCCGCACCACGCCCGCACCACCCGCCCCTCCGCACACCAGCACCCTCACCACCACCTGCCTGGGTTGCGGCGGTACGGCCGCGGCGCCGTACAAGTGCGTGTTGGCCCTCCTCAGCTCCGCCACCGCCTCGGGCGACATGGCCACCCCGTCGGTGCGCATGTAGGTGATCAGGCCCTCGCCGGTGCCTGCGGAGGGAGGAAGGGGAGTCAAAGACCATACCAAACCAAGAAGGAGAGGGAAGAAGGGAGGGAGGAAGGGGAGGGTGGGGTGTTACAAGACAGGGGGAGTGGTGGCCTGTAGGCACAGGACATAAGCCAAAGCCTCCTCGCCGCGTCCCCAAGACTGCATCACGTACCCCCCTCCCCCTCTCCCGCGCCCCCCCGCCCCCCCCCTCACCCGCTCCCTCGTACAGCTGCTGCGCCAGGCTCATGGTTCGCGCCGCTCCGAAGCCCAGCCGCCTGCTGGCCTCCTGCTGCAGGCTGGCGGTGGTGAAGGGCGGGGGCGGGTGGCGCTGCACAGCCCGCACCACCACCCGCAGCACCTGCAGCGGACCGGACTGCGGGAGGAAGGGAGGGGGGTGGGGGAGAGGGAGGAAAAACACAATAAATGCATCAACGGAGGGAGGGAGGGGGAGTATGACGAGGCTTGGCAGGAGCCGTGGGGTTGGGGTGCCATGGGATACCGCAGCACGCAAGCCGCCTACCCGGCCCCTACACCCACTCGCAACCCGCTCCCCTTCCCTAGCCGCCTTCCCCCACCCCCCACCCGCCCCCCCCCCCACCTGTATCCTGGCGGCCAGCTGCTCCGCCTGCTGCCCGCTGCAGATGTCCTGCGACCCCAGCCGCACTCCGTCCACATGGCTCAGCCGCGCGATGAAGCGACCCTGCCCCCCCTGCCCCTGTCCCCCCTGCCCCCCCCGGCCCCCCAGCGGCCCCAGCTCCGCCTCAATGGACCAGTAGGGTGTGGGTGTGAAGCCCTCCAGCGCCCCCTCCCGCTCGCACACCAGCCGCAGCGCCACCGACTGCACCCGCCCCGCCGACCTCGCCCCCGGCAGCCGGCGCCACAGCACGGGGGAGATGTTGAACCCCACCAGGTAGTCCAGGCAGCGGCGGGCCAGGTAGGCGTCCACCAGCGGCTGGCTGACCTGGGGGAGGGGGGGGGGAGGGGTACACCAGAACCGCAGGTGAGGCAAAGGAATGGGGATAGAGGGAAGCAGTGGGAGCAGTGGAAGGGGGGTCAAAGACCATACCGAAGCATAGGAAGCCACAGGTTTGGGCAAAACAAAGGGATTAGGAGGCGGCAGGTTGGGGGGTGGAGGGAGGAAGGAAGGAAGGAGGCGGAGGAGGTAGAGGCGTCCCCTCTACGCGCTCCTTCTCGTCTCACATTGGCAAACCCCAAACCCCCACCATGATGATGCCTTATCACACGGTCAGTTAGTTGTTTCCTCTTTACCCCACCATGCCGCTGCATTCCAAGCCTCCCTTTTACCCTGTCACCATGAGCATTCCCAGCAGCGCAAAGCCCCTCTCCACCCCCCCTCCTGCCCCTCCGGCTAGGCACCCCCCGCACCCCGCCCGGTGGGTTCTTCAGCGGGTTGGTTGCCCCGCCTACCGGTGCTCGACATACCTGTGGTTGGCCCTCTCCTTACACCCCCACCCCTCACCCTCCTCCCCCACCTGCCTCCCCGCCCCCAGCGCCGCCGTGACCGCTGCCCGGGTGACCTCCGTGAAGCTGATGCGCTGTACGGCGGAGGAGGGGCGCAACACTCCCCGGGCCTGAGGGAGGGAGGCAGGGAGGGAGGCGGGGAGGGAGGGGTGGGGGCGGGGGGCGGGAGAGGGCAGCAGGTGTGTGAGGCGAGGAGGACAGCAGGGCGGAGGACAAGGAAAGTGGCGTGGGGGGAGCGGTGCGGGGCTACGAATGCGCAAACAAGTTGGGAGTTGGGAGATTTTAAGCCAGAGCATCATGCCAGTGCACGCAGCTAACCCTCCCGCCCCCTATAACTCCCTCCCTCAGCCCCCCTCTCCCCCCCTCCCTCAGTCAGTTAGTTGTTTCCTCTTTTCCCCACCCTCAGCTCCTGCTCAATGTGCCAGGAGATGGCCTCCCCCTCCCGGTCCGGGTCGGTGGCCAGCAGCAGCCGCCCGCCCGCCCGCAGCGCCGCCTCCACCGCCCCCAGCCGCCCCTCCGCGCCGCGCAGCAGCTGCCACGCCAGCGACCAGCCCGCCTCGGGGCGCACGGAGCCCTCGCGGGGGGGCAGGTCGCGGATGTGGCCGAAACTGGCTAGGACCTGCAAGGGCGGGGGAGGGGAGGAAGGGGCGGGGGGTGAGGAGGGCGGCCGCAGGAGGGTAGGAGGGTGCGAGGGTGCGAGGGTGCGAGGCGGGGAACGGGGGAGGAAGGGAGGGAGCGTTTGTGGGGTGCTGGACAGGCCACTGGTAGGTCTACCCGCCACCCGCCTCCCGCCACCCCCACCGTGTACTGGTCCCCCAGGAACGCCTGGATCTTCTTGGCCTTGGTGGGAGACTCAACCACCACAACCGTGGGGCCAGCCGCGGCGACCCGCCGGGGCCCTGGCCCTGACCCTGACCCCGAGCCTGCTGTGTGTGGTGGCTCCGGTGCCGTTGCTGGCTCCGATGCCCGGCTGTTTCTAGGCGCTGGCACCGCACCAGACCGCCGGGCGGCCGCCGCTGCTGCTCCCGCGGCCGCCGCACGGCCCTGTGGCAGCGGCCGGCGGGCCAGCGGGCCCCGAGAGGTGACGCAGCCAGTGCTGCTGATGCCGCTGCTACTGCTGACGCTGACGCTGCTCTTACCACTTAAGCTGGTGCAGCTGCCGGGACTGCAGCCGAAAGCCCCGCCAGCGCAGGCGGCAAGGAGCGCTGCACGGCTGGGTTGCGGACAGGGGGCTGCGGGCGGAGGTGCGAGGAGGCGCAGTCGCACTCGGGTCGGGGCGCCGGGGGGCGGTGCTGGGGTGCCCCAGGGGCTGGTGTGGGCCGCAGGGGCGGGGGCGGGGGCGGGTGCGGCATGGGAGGCGACGCAGCGATGGCCAAGGGAGGTCGCCGCACGGGCGCGGAAGGAACGAGCGCAGAGGGGATGCGGAGAAATGGCGATGAGGATTGCAGGGCGGAACCTGAGGATGGGTTGAGGGAAGGGAGCGTTGGGCGTCAGCTGGGCCACAAAAGCAGCCAGGAGACGGGAAGGTAGAGGCAATTGAGCCGCAATTGGTAGGAGTGAAGATAGAGGTTAGGTGGGGCATGGGTCGGTTGCTACTGCGCGTTGCTTGCGGGCCTCGCCTTCGTCCGTGTGTTGGCAGCCGCGCGGTCGCCATTATTCAGTCGGCCGGCAACCTCAGTTACGGTTACGATGGCCAAATTGCGTCCAAGACACGTTGAACCTATTTGTTAACATTATAAGGAGCAGCGCGGCTATTAACAAGAATGCAGCTCCCTCTAGTAAGACGCTACGCTCCGATGTATGCATAGATGCTGTCTATGTGGATTAATCAAAAAATGTAAGATAGCTTTACACACGAATTAGTAGTTGGTATGCAGAAATGACTGGCTCCAGCGCTCCACCATCGGCTCCATCTTGGTTTCGGTTCATAGAAGGCCAAGGGTTTTCTCTTTAATCTTTGGCATGTTTGCCCCGACATGCGCTATATGGCATATATGTTATCTTGCTTTTCACTTCCTACCTAGTACAGGCTACTGGCTCACCCAAAGACGTGTCACTTCGACACTACTTGAGTACAAAGTTGTTTGCTTACGCAACAGATTTAACCTTGTAGCATCTGATGTTGATTAGGATGCATCAAACTGGCTTGGCTCGCTGCACAAGTGGCACGCGACTTGTGAGGTATGTTCGTTCTACCGGGCGTTTTGGGTTGGGTCGTTGCGCCTGTGGCTTAACCCGCAACAGCACGAACTAAAGCATATCTATGCCTTCACGCGTTTCTTTGCGAGCATCTGTCTTCCTTGCTAACCTTGACACGACAACACCCGAAACGGTTACGCTTGCTTCCTGTGAGGTTATCGATACGTACTATACATGGTTAATATATGAAGCGTGTAGTGGTTGGTTTCACGATGCTGGTAAGAGTTACCGGCGTTTGGCCAATAAGCATCGCAAGCCCTACCCAGCCCATGGCCCGACTCTTCACCCTAACCCAGCAGGCATGTGCTCCCGCGTGGAAGATGCCGGACAGTTGCCTCTAGCACCAGCAGCATGCCTGCGACGGAAAAGACGCGGACTTCTTTTCACCATGGCATTACATACACAAGCTACGAGGTGCGCGCGGAGAGCTCAGGCACCAAGTACCCAACCCGGGAGATAAGCGCGCCTTCAAATAGAGTCATTTTGCATATGTGGCGTGACCTACACACCGGCATGTCATACCCCGCAGGCCTGCTTTGCATGTCGAAGGTCTGTCTCATTCACCATCGGACGCTACCTAGGCCTGTTCCACCGACCTTACATTTCCCCTTGGGATTGGGACTCGTTGCTGCACTTGGCATTAATCTTTTCTCCCTTAACCCCTCCCCTGCAGGCAAACACAGCGGGAATCAAATTCAACTCCTCAGGTACGGGGTTGGGACCCCGGTTTGCATGGGGCCATTGATTCCCCCGTTGCACCTTACCCTCCCAAGCGCCTCACTGCCTTCACAGGCTGGTTAGCTGGCATGCGTTTCTTCATACGCCCGCCCACCAAATGCGTGTGGGGTTGGCCTTACCTTTAATCCGGCCTGCATCCCTGCTGCATGGGTTGTGAGGGCCCATGGTTCGGAGGTATGCACCCCCTGGTCCCAGCTAGCAAGCCGCCCGCACGCATCCCTCTTGTCCCTCACCCCCTCTCTCCCCTGCTGCCGCCGTCCCCCCCCTGCTGCAGGCGTGCGGGTGCTGATCGACCCATGGTTCGTGGGCGACCTGGCGTTCAGCGGCGCGGAGTGGCTGTACGCGGGGCGCAAGCGGGTGATCGGGCGGGAGACGCTGGTGGATGTACGGCAGGTGGCGGCGGAGACGGATGTGCTGGTGGTCACACAGGTGGGTGGGGGGGGGAGGGGGGCGGACTGTGGTAGGGGCGGGTGGGCAGGCAGAAAAGGGAGAGCAGAGGCAGACACGGACAGCAGGGCATTGGGTGTACGACACATACCCTTTCTGCGTCCCTCTCACCCTGTTGCTGGCTCCCTCCTCGCTCCGCTCCCAACGCCCCCCTGCACTGCCCTCCCTCCCCCCCTCCCCCTCCCACCAGGGTCTTGACGACCACTGCCATCTGCCCACCCTCGCCGCGCTGCCCGACAAGTCGCTGCCCGTGGTGGCCAACGCGGAGGCGGCTGCGCGCATGCGGCCGCTGGGCTTCACCCGCATCACCGTGCTGGCACCCGGGCAGGAGACGTGCGTGACGGGGGAGGCGGGCGGGAGGCTGCGGATACTGGCGACTGCAGGTGGGGTGGAGGGGTGAAAAAAAAATATATATGATGAGACACTGACGAAGCAACTGACGAGCTGTATGACAAGGCTTCACCATGGGGTGCAAGCATGGTAGCCGGTCCATCCCACCTTACCCTAGGTGGGGTGGAGGGGTGGGGGGTGGGGGGCAATGAAGGTCAGGGGGTGTGGGTTATAACCTGGAGGCACCTCCCACCATGCACCCCCTCCTTAGACCACCTACCGCCCTCAGCCTCTTCCCCCACCTCCCCTCCAACCCCTCCTCAAGGTGCGCTGGTGGGCCCCCCCTGGAGCCCCCGCCAGCTGGGCCTGCTGCTGCGGGAGGAGCTGCCGGCCGGGGAGCGCCCCGCCTCGCTGTACTTCGAGCCGCACTGCGACTTCGAGGCGGCCAGTGTGGCGGAGGGGCTGCGGAGGCTGGGGCTGGGAGGGCAGGCGCAGGGGGGGCAGCAGGGGCTGGCGGCTGGTGGCGGTGGTGTGGATGTGGTGGTGTCGCCGGTTGTGAGCACACTGCTGGGGGCGGGGCCGGCGAGCTATGAGCTGGTGCAGGTGAGGGAGCGGGGAGGTTCGGGGGCGGGGGCAGCGAAGCGGGAGGGGAGTCCAGGGGAGCTCCTTGTGGCTCGATGGTGCTGCAATGATGCTTTGCCATCCAAATCCCGTTCACGCTCTGCCCATTCGTTGCTTCTGTTTACTCCACCACCACCACCACCACACACGCCCTCCCTGCACCCACCCCCACCCCCTCCCTCCCTCCCCCCCAGGGCGCTAGCAACCTGGTGTCGCTGCTGCGGCTGCTGCGGCCCAAGGTGCTGCTGCCGCTGCTCAACCACGAGCTGGACGCGAGCGGCCCGCTGGCGGCGCTGCTGCGGCAGCGGGGGGACGAGCGGGCGGTGCAGGAGGTGCTGCGGCGGGAGGGGCTGGCCACGCGGGTGGAGTACCCCGCACCGCCCGGGGAGGCGCTGGCACTGGCGCTGTGAGGCGGAGGAAGGTGGTGGGAGGGGGAAGGGGGGGAAGGGGAGAGACGAAGGGGGGGTTAAGAGGGGGCGCAGACGCCTCAGTGCACCCCTGGTTAGGGTAAGGGTAAGGCGAGGGAGGGGCGGATGGGAAGACCAAATGGGTAGAGTAGAAAACATGGGAGAGGAATGCCGGGGCAAGAAGAATGTGGGGTTGGGAACTATAGCACCAGCGTACAGGTACCGGCGGTACTGGTAATTGGCGCGATGGGCCGGTGGGTCTTAGGTAGGGTGGGATGGCAGGCGGAAGTTTAATTTATTAGTACTTCGCTGGGATCAGCGCAGCAGCAGCAATCTGCTGGATGAATACTGGCGAAATGCATGGAAGAGGGCTTCGAAGGGTTAGGCTTGGGTGGACGCGTACGCCCGCGGTTTGTTACGTAGTGCAGGCATGGAGGCGCATGCTGCTGGCTTCGCTGCATGTTGAGCTCTTGTTGCGGCAAAGGATACCACAGGTAGTTCAGGGAGTTAAGTTGTGCATTGATGACTGTGTGTGTTTCTTACAGCATTGTATACATAACACGCCTAACACGAATGACTTGGAGACGCTGGGGTGAGGCTTCTAGCACAGCCGCGCAGGTGCCTCCTTGTTAAGCGCTGGGAAGTACCGGTATGCGCTGCGAGAAGTTGTCACACATCATTGTCGGAGATGCCGCGGATTCCTTAGCTGGCGGGCTGTTGCAGGTGTTCTTAAAGAATGTGGTGCGCATTTCGGGGGCGACGGCAGTGAGGAGGCTGAGATTCGGTGGTAGGTCTCACCCCCAAAACTGCAACTGTACTATCTGTTGGGTGATTTGGCATCGGCAGTTGCAATCGCAATGACAGGTGGGTTTTGACAACGCGGGAAGGATTGGACTGTATGGCCTGATGCCAGAACCCGGCTGTCGTACCACTCCGCTGTTGGATTTAATGTTAAGCCTTCTAGAGGCTGCCTGGTTTGCCAGTCGAACCCTGTCATCGTGTTCTCCATTGGCCACAAACGGCGTACAACCACCGGCAACCGCTGGAATAACTGCACGAGCGCCCTGGCATGAAGGGACATAACGAGAGGATGAGGGAGGCAAGGAACGCACGACCGCATTGCATGAACAGTGAAAGGGGAAGGATGTGCGAAGCAAGCGAGCTGGCCGCATGGACTTACCAGTGACAGGGGATACCGACAGGATGTGCTTCTTAGCTACTGGAGGCAGGAAGACGGCAAGGCCCACGGGTCACTGAAGGTGCCAGTGAGTTCCCGTTGCATCGTGGTACAGGTACCTATCCACATCTGTCCTTTCAGTTTGTTGCAGCTATGCGTCTGTTCTCTGGCCAGGTGGTCAGGAGGCTCAATTTGCCCGGCCCCACGGTAGACTTAAACGGTGCCTTTCCGGTGGTGTAACGGTTACTTTCCTTACGCAATGTAAGCGTGAAACTGAAAGAAAAGGCGTCACCGCAAAAGAAGATCCAGAAAATTTGTGCATGGCCGACAGACGTTGCGCTTTGCCTGAGGCACTCCAACCCCGCACCTGCAGTATATGTTTGTGCGCCACCAGGGGGGGGGGGGTAAAAAAGTCTTTGCCAAACCCCATGCTAAAAAAGTTAAGAAAGGGGTGCCGGACCCACCCACCCACCCTGTCGTACCTTTTTTGCTGTACGACAACGCTGTAAACTTCGCAAAATCGCCCCAAAATAGCACCATTCGACTCCATTTCAGATTATCTTCGTCGTTCTCACGTTAGGCGTACCATTTGGCAACATGTCCGAGTCGCTCGCCACACGGGGCGGGGGCAGGCAGGCTGCCAGACTCAATGCTCTCTGGTATGCAGCCGATACACATCTCTTTTTAACCTTACATGCATTGCTGTGATGCTTGAGTGCACGGTTGCGTTGGTAGGTGTGCTCCAGCCCACCTGCCACTGCGTCCCTCGCATCACCCCGATATCGGTACGACTGCGCCCCCTCCCCCGGGTAGCAGGTCGGGCTTGCACCCCATCGCCCTCAGCACCAGATGCAGAACCACGCATGTTTCCACCTGCCAGGGGTGTGTCGTCAGTACGCCTGTTGCGTGCCCTCCCCCTTTAACCTTGCCCTAACTTTGTGACTTTATTCGTTTGGTTCCTCTTTGGGCCCCTTCCACCTTGCCCCTGTCCCTGCTGCTTGCTTTGCCTCTGGAGAAGCCATACCGTGTATGTTGGGCCAGCTAGGGTGTTCCATGGGGACATGCCACCCGCAAACTCCACACAAAGGCTCTAATATTAACATAATATGCATATACTATAACAGGAATACTAAATCTGCTATCCGTTTGGCGAAACGATACCTAGGAAAAAAGTTTTGGAGGTCAAAGAAAAAAGTCATTGGGGCTCCGGACCCACCTACCCACCCCTGCCGTACGACCAACTTTGGGAGCCTATAACTTTTTCCGTACAACTCCGATTACAATTCTGAAAGCGGAATTGGAATGCTCTCGTTCAGTTCTTTAATATTGAAGCATGGGGTCATTTTGCGGCGAAACTACCCCCCCCCCTGGCGCCACTATAAAAAACTCTAGTTTCAAAGTCCTTGGGAATGACTTAAGGCAAGCGCCGGTGTCTCCTTTGGTCATTGGCTTCAGAACGCGCTTCAGTCCATTGGGATTGCTTTTGCATTGCTTAAGGTCCTTACAGACATCATATGTTACCGGACCCGACAGCTGCGGTCACGCCCCTAACATGTCAAGATGGACATGTGGATGGAAGCGACCCAGCAGCAAGCGCTCAGCTTTCGCCGCGCTCGCATCTTCGCCAGCAGCTTAAGCTTACCCCTGTCGAGGAGACGGCCGCTCATGTACGGCCCCAAGGGCAGCCGCTGACAGCTGTCCCTGTTGTCCCAAGTCAACCCAGCTCAGCCCGTGAATGCCCATGGGCCCCTACTGCCTCGCAGGTTGGGCTGTTCCGGTGGCGTGCCTCAGAGGCGTTTCTACGCCTAGACGGGACGCCCTATTTCGACGGCTCGTACGACAAGGCATTAGCAAACGTGTAAGGAAGCCAAAGCGGGTGTTTGGGGACAGCCGTCGTCAGTGATGGAGCAGCTCAGGCCTTTCACACCGGCATGTACCCGGCATGCATGCGGCGACCGTGCATGCCTTTTACCTGCCTCGCATAGCCCAATGCATGCTCCTCCTGCTGCTATGCTGGCACTCCGGGGCATCCAGTGACACCCGCACTCGCCCCTCCACACCCCACCCCACCCCTTCACCGGGCTGGGCGGGATGGGTCGGCAATCATGTTGCGACCCATGGTAGAGACTTGCCACAGGGTCAGTTACGGTAGTTTCTTCCTCTGTTCCCCCTCACCACCGCAGCTGCATACCCCCTGCGAAGCAAGTCGAGGTGCTGTGCCTCGGTCCCCGCGATGTTGCAGCCTGGATGGGGATCCGCACCGCTGAAATCGACGAGCAGCTGCTCCTCGCCCTGAAACGCAGCACTGCCGCTGACAGCAGCAGCCCCGACTGCAGCCCCAGCCACCCCAGCCCCAACTGCAGCCCCAGCCCCAGCCACCCCCGGCAGGTGGTGATTGTGGGTGCGGGTTTGGACACGCGGCCCTGGCGGCTGCCGCTGGGTGGTCCGGGGCGCTGCCGGGTGGTGGAGCTGGACTCAGGGGCGGTGGAGAGGGTGAAGCTGGCGGTGCTGGGGGCGGCAGGGGAAGGGGCGGGAGCGGTCGGGGAGGAGAGGGGTAGAGAGGAAGGAGGTGCGGAGGCGGCGGCAGGCGGGCGGGCAGCGGTGTTGCGGCTAACGCAGTGCGAGCGGGTGTTCGCGCCGGTGGACCTGGCGCAGCGGGAGCAGGTGGGGGTGGCGGTGCTCAGTCCAGAGCCCATGGGGGTCCATTCCGTGGGCGCGCTGTGCTGCAAGGGTTCAGGGGGTCGGGTTTACTATGGGCCAGGTGAAGTGCTGCAGTTGCACCCTGTGCTGGGCTCCCGGACGCCCCCAGTGGGTGTGCGGTCAGGAGGCTGAGGGCAGTTGGGGGCGAGATGCAGGGGGCCATGTCCCACCCTGTAGCGTGAGCTCGAGCACGCTATAACCATGCTGCAAGCTCCATCGATCACCACATTGCACCAAAGCGGAGTCAGGCTCCCTGCGACATGTGTGTACCATGCCAACCCCGGCTCGCCAATCACCTCCCTCCACGGCCCTCCTCCTCTTCTCTGCCCTCCTCCCCGCCGCACACAGGTGCTTTCCGCGCTGTCCGCCTCGGGCCACGACCCCGCCCGCCCCGCGGTGTTCCTGCTGGAGGGACTGATTGGCTACCTCACACCGGCCCAGGTGGGGGGCAAGGGGCGGGCTGTGATGCGGCTACCGGTATAACAGCTGCTGGATTCAGCCCAACAACTGCCCCAGCCCGAGCATCACCGCCTAACAGCCTCCTTAAGCCACCCTGCGATCGACGAGCAACATTCTACCCCGCATTTCCTGCCGCCCGCGCGCACCCCCAGGGGGCCCAGCTGCTGTCCGCGCTGCGCTGCCGGGCGGCCCCGGGCAGCACCCTGCTCATGAGCGCCCCGCCCACACAGGAGATGCGGGAGGAGGCGGAGGCGCGCGGGCGGCCGCTGCGGCACGTCACTTTTGAGAAGGCGGAAGAGACGATGGCGAGGTAGGGAAGGGCGAGGGCGCTGGGAAGGAAAAACGGAGTGCGTATAAGGGTCAGTCCGTGTTGTGCGGGGAGAGTTCATACTGTACATGCCGCTCTATGAGCACCCCGCCTGCCTCAAGATATGCCAAAAAACGCCGTGCACTGCTCCTACGGCCCGAACACCCACAGGGCACGCGCTGCTGGCTGGGTAACCCGTCTTCTTTCAGCCGCTGAGCTGGGGATCAAGTACGGCGTGCCGAGCAACCGCTTTGGGCTCATCGTGGGCACAGCCGAGTAGGCGCCTGGCAGTTGTAATATTGCCTCTAGCAGCCCTGAAAGGCGCACAACCTTCTCGCGATAGGCAACATCGCTGACGTTCTTTGGCCGGCTGAGCAGCGAAAGCGGAGGCATCACAACCACAGCAACGTGCTTCGTTCAGGGAATTCAAGGAATCGGACAACTTATGAACTTAATCCAATTGATGCGTTGAGTAACACTGATGTTTGGGATGTTTGGGTAACCGTCTACCGGAAGTTTCGCGCCTTCAAGGATTTGTATGGATCTAAAAGTAAGCAACGAAGCCAGGCCTAGACGAACGTGCGCACGCACAAGTTGTCCATGGTGCCCAACTTGTCTTACTCGCCAAACCCCAATCTGTCGTACAATGGATCCAAGCCAAACAAGGTCACATGCCACACGTCCCAAGTAAAGTTCACGGATAGTTATCGCAATACCAGGGTACGCGTTTTATCTGTTTCCCCAGTTGATTGAGAGCTGCTATTCAAAGCAAGCAAACCTAGATACCATGTTGAGCCCGTATCTTAATGCTAACCGCGGCTCTTTAGGTTATCCAGCGTCAAGAAAAACGCCAGCCTTACCTCGCCTTCATAAATCGCTAGTTCGACACCAAATTAGAGCCCTGTCGCCCAAGGATGGCCCTACGGGTGTTAGTGAAGAGCCTGCAGCTGCCCCTCAGGAAACCCCGTACAAAGAGATCCTCCTGCAAGCGATAAAAGCGGAAGGACAGACAACTAAAGACATCCTGGGAGAAACCACGATGGCACAGTTGAAAGCGGCGCTGGGAGAAGACCGTGCGGGTAAGTTGGGAAGGCTTGGGTTGCACAGGACCCCAGCAGCGACACCACCTGCTGTCTACAACCTACTTGTGCCCTATCCTCCACCTCCTTCCCTTTTCCCGGAAGCCCCACCACCACGACTTTAGCTTGAGCCGCACCATCTGACCCCAGCTCCTGCCTTTCCCCTTTCTCCCCTCCTTCCCATTTCCCTTCCACGCCTTCCTACCGGTATCTCCTGCCCTTCCCCGCATCCCTCTCCCTCCCCGCATCCCCTCAGGCAAGCTTTTTGCCACTCTGGATGCCTTTCTGGCACACCGGCGGTTAGCCACGCTGGTGTTTGCGGCAGTGGACGTGGCGCTGGTGTGGGTGCTGGTGAAGGTCTTCCGAGTGGCCACAACGCACGAGTGAGCAGCCAGCATGGCTGGCTGACCGGTTTAATTTGAAGAGCCAGCGAGTGAAGTGTGAGGCAACGTGAGGCAGCGCGAGGAAGGAAAGAAGAGGAGGGGATATAGGTACCGGTACTGCTACGAGGGTAGGAGCACCGGGAGGGGACTGGTGGTGCGAGGAACAAGGGGGACGCGGCCGGTGGGCGGTGAGCAGCTGCAAGAGAGTTGCGGAGGGGGTGGAGAGTTACAAAGTGGGTGGGTGGGGTGCATACCGAAACACAGTTGCGACCAGCCTTCCCTGGGTGTTTGGGGCGACGGGTTTTGACAGCATTGCTAAACCGGATGAAGAGGATGTTGGTATATGTATATGTGGTACTGCAAGAGTACTTTACCTTTGACGCGTTTGGTTGCGGCCAAACAAAGTGAAAGCGGGTGGCTGCGGGTCATACCGGGGGGCAGCTCGAGGAGAGGGGAGAGGTGGTGTGGCGGAGAGGTGGTAGAGGGTGGCAGGTGGTGTGGGAGTCCTTGTGGAGGGAGGGGTGGCTACAACAGTGGCGGCAGTAGGGACGGCTAGGAGTATGGTAGTGGCCATGGAACCCTTGGGCTGGCTTCCGCTGGGGTTTAGGGCTAAGGCTGGCGGGTAGGTGCCGTGCCCGCTTTCCCGCAGGTCGATGTCTTGTGACTTTCGCATAAATGTCGGAGCCGCCATTTGGAAAGACTTTACTTTGTAGTAAAGCCACGAACTTTCCGTTGCTGTTTTGTTTCGAGGACGACACTACTGCGTGGCGGATTGAGGGTTTGAAACCCTTGGGGACACATGGGGATTTAACCCAGCTTGGGTGTGGGCAAGGGGTAAGCAGCAAGACGACAGCTAGCCGAGAGATCGCACCTTCCATGTCCAACCGAACAGACCATAACCGGACAGCGCAGTCCCTGGCACATACCGATAACCAGCTCCGTAACCCTGGGGTCATTACAGCTTTAGCCGTCCAAAAAGCGCCAAACAACAGTCCATGTCCGTAACAAAACAGGACCGAACGTGTCAGGAGCGGAACGTCACTTATCCTACAGCCATGGCAAAAACAGCCCGAGGGAAGAACGAGTTCCTAATGCTACAAACTATAGACCAAAACAATGATTGTTAAGTCTCCAACCACTAAGAAACTCTACACTCTGGTGTCCTGGTATCACACCTCTACGCTCTACCTACCACGCCCTTGCACCACGACACGCACCACACATGCGACTTCAACAAAGGATCAGAAAACAAGAACAAACGTGCCTTAACCAATGCCGCATGCACTTCAGCCGTGTCTGCAAAAGAAAACAGTTTCGGCATCATACCATACTGAAGCCATCTTCGTCCGGCGCCGGCAGCACCACCGTCCTCGTCCCGCTCACTCCCACTGGCCGCAAGCAGCGCTGGTGGCAGCACGGCCAGGGTCCATGCCAGCCTACGCGGTCCCATGCAAGCCTTCTCTCTACACGGCCCCATGCAACTTATCAAGGTTGTAGTCCCTCTCATGCAGTCGTCCATCGACGTACCGGGGCCGGGTCGGCCCCCTTCCCCACCGCTGCAATCCTGACAGGCGCGACACCCCTACCGTGCAGGATGCCTTGCATGCTGCATGATGTTGCCTGCGTTACGTCGCCCCACGTCCATGGGTACCGCTGTGCGCGGCGACTCTTGTGGCTGCTGCGGGCTGCCGCCCGAGCCCGGCACCGCATTGCGACCCATGGGTCATCAGTACCGTCACAGTCACCAGGACCCTCCACCACCAGGCCCTCAGATCCCCAGTGCTTTTCCAGCAATCAGAAAGACGCCACCGTCGCCGCCCTTGGCCCGTCCCTACACTCGTGTTCCTCCGCCCCCCAGACCGCCCCCACCGGCCGCCCCCACCTCCGCCACCTTCCTCCCAGCACCGCGGTCCTCTCTTTGTTCTCCTGGGACTTCCCCTCCCACCCCTTTGGATGTGCCGAGGAGATATCCTTCCCACTTCTACCCCGAGCCCCGCGCACAACAGTACTGCATCACGCCGTCTATTTCCCCCACTAACAGCGACACTAATCAACGTCCACATCCCCGCAGACTGCACCACACTCCCTGACTTCACTTCTACACTTTCCTCCCAGCTATGACCCCTACTAGCTACTAGTCAGCCCCCACATCATTCCTAGAGACTCTACTGCAGTGACCTAGCTGCTGGGCCGGCCACACCGGACCCAGCAGCCTCCACTTCTCCTCCTCCTCCTCCTCCTCCTCTTCCGTAACCGGCACTCCTCCTTCTTAGCCCCTCACACCGCCCCATTAGGCGAGCCCGCGACCCCACCACCGCTGCTGCCGCCACCCTCGCCAGGACCCTTACGTCCCTGCACTGACCCCACTGCAGTCGCCTCCCGACCCAGCGCTCCAGCCGCCGACGGCGACCCAGCCGCGAACGGCGACACAGCCCCAGAACCGCCACCACCAGCACCGCCGCCACCTCTTCCACCGCCAGCCTCAACACTGGACCCGGTGCCCTTCCGGGACACGTACGGCACCGGCGATCCGAACACCTCTCGCTGCACCGCCTGCTGCTGCGGCTGGTGCTGTTGCTGCTGTTGTTGCGGCATGGCAGCTTCAATCAGCACTGCCGCCGCGGCTGCGGGTGTCGCAAACGCCGACGTCGCAGTAGTGGCTGGGGGACTACCGCCGCTGCCGCTGCCGAACCGCTCCAGGGCCGCGGGCTGCTGCGGGCCGGCGGACGCCCTCGGCGGTGGCGGCGGGCTGCTTGCGGGGGGGTGCCGCGGGTCGGGGGGAGGCGGGCGGTGCGACACCCCGTCCGGTAGGTGCAGGCCGCCGTTGGGGCGCTGAGGACCCTCGCCTCCGCTGCCGGGACCGCGGTTGGGGCTGCCGCTGCCAGCGTCGTCGAACCTGCCGGGCGGCGGCTGCGGCAGCGGGGGCCGGGGGGCTGCTGCCGGCGAGGGCGCAGTGGAGGGCGAGGGCATGGCGGGTGTGTCTGCGGGGTCCTCCACCTCTCGGTCCTCGTACAGCCGCTCGTTGGCCTCGTCCTCCATGGGGGCACGGGACCTGCAGGGGGGGCAGGGGGGGTGAGAGGTGAGGGGAGGTAAGGGCGGCATAGCGGGGGTAGGATTGAGGTGAGGAAGGGCTAGTGCTTTACCATGTACGGGAACTGTCCCGAGACGGGCAGGGCACCAATCACGGTTATACCCCTCCTAAACCCAAGTGCTGCGCCCTCGCGCTGCCCCATTCCCCGCCCCCACCTGCGCGGCGTGGGGTTCCTGCTCACAGCGCCCTGCTCCCCGCTCTCGCTCATCTCCTCATTCAAAAAGGCGCGACGCATGAGCCGCGAGGGCACACGCGGCAGGCCGCCGCCGCCGCCATTCCCGCCACCAGCCCCCGTTCCCGGACTGCGCCCGCCGCCTCCGCCGCCCTCACGACCGCCGCCACCGCCTCCGCCATTTACCGCCACACCCAGCCGCGCAGCAGCGGCGGCGGAGGGCGGCGGCGGCGCCGGTGAGATGCCGCCTCGGTGCAGCGCCAGGGCGGCGGTGTGTACGGCACCCGCTCCTCCTCCCCCCCCTCCTCCTCCTCCGTTGTGGTGGTTGGGGCGGGGGCTGAGGTTGATGCTGGGTGGCTCGGAGTTGTGGCGTTGTGTGGTGGTGGAGGCGACGGCGGTGGGGGCGGGGCCGGTGGCGAGGCTGGTGTGGTGGATGAGGGGCGTGGTGTAACCTGCAGGGGGAGGAGGGGAGTAGGGAGGGAGGGAGGGAAGGGAGGTAGGGTCAGCAACCTGGTCGTGCGTAGCAGCGCACGATTTCATGCCTATACTGCCTGCTAACATGCACGCATACTTCACGCTGACGGAGGCGGTGGTGGGCGGAGGCAGCCCAAGCACGTCGTGCATGTTTCCTCCCCGCCCCCCCCCCGCCCCCCCTCCCTCGCCTTCCTCGGGAGTCCGCCTCTTTCCCCCCCCCCCCACCACCATGCCAACCCGCTACCCTCCATGACTCTCACCACTGCCCTCTCCTCTCCCCCGCCCTCCGCCCTCCTCCCGCCCCTCCGGCCCCTCACCCCCTCACCCGCCGCCCCCGTGTCCTGCTGCCGGGTCCACATGGCCGCGTACAGCCCTCCCTCCTCCATCAGCTCGGAGTGACTGCCGCACTGGGCAACCTCGCCGCGGTCCAGAACCTGGGGACGGGGGCGGGGAGGAGGGGTAAGAAGGAAACAATAACAACTAACTGACCGTGTGGTAAGGCGCCATCACGAGAGGAGGGGAGGGGGGAGGGGAGGGGAGGGGTTGCACTGCTTGCAACAAAGGGCGCTGCATGTGGAAGGTGACGCACAGGAGCACACTCTGGACTAGGGAGAAGCACACGTGTATCGGCAACCCATGCTTCATTCCTCCCTCCCTCTTCCCCCCCTCCCCCTACCTTATTTACTCCCCCCCTTCTCCCTCCCCCTCCCCCCCCCCACCAGGATGAGGTCCGCGTCCATGATGGTGCTCAGCCGGTGCGCCACAATCACCGTCGTACACCGGCTCCTCAGCGTCTGCAGACTAGACTGGATGGCCAGCTCCGTCAGCGAGTCCAGCGCGGAGGTGGCCTCATCCAGGATGAGCAGCGCGGGGCGCTTCAGCACGGCGCGAGCAAAGGCCACTCGCTGCTTCTCACCGCCGCTGAGCCGCAGCCCGCGCTCGCCCACGCGGGTGGAGTAGCCCTTTTTGAAGGTGGTGACGATGGAGGTGTGGATGTGGGCCACGGAGGCGGCCTCGGTGACCTGGAGTGGAGGGGGCGGGGAGGGGGAGGGGGTGCATTAGGACACCCCCCTTGGGTACAGTGGCAAGACAGCCCTGCGCCCGGCTGCCAGGGGCCCGACGACCTCTTTGCACCTCCCACTCCCTCCCCACCCTTCCCCCGCCTCGCCCTCCCCCCTTCCCCGCACCTCCTCGTCCGTTGCCTCCGTCCTGCCGTACCGGATGTTGTACAGCACCGTGTCGTTGAACATGACGGTGTCCTGCGGCACCACCGCGATGGCGCGGCGCAGCGACTCCTGGGGGAGGGGGGCAGAGGGAGGGGGGGGCTTAGGACCAGCGAAGCTACCGGTATAAAACGGAGGAAGAGAGGAGAAACGGGGATGATGTACGGTACGCTTAAAAGCGGAGGGGGGTGGGCGCCGGGGCAGGAAACCGATATCCTTCCATTCTGCCCCCCGTGAAGCGTCCCGAGCGACCGACGGCGCTCTCCCTTCTAGCTGGTGTCAGTGTTTTTGCGGCCCAGTTTACCTAATCCCTCCCAGCGAGGTCACCCTCCCCTCCTCACAGCTCACAACCCGCCATCCCAGCGCCCACCCACCCACCTCCGCCCACACATGTTGGTGCCCCCATGACTACCGCCCAACCGCCCACCCAACCAACCACCCCCCAGCCCACCCGCCCGGCCCGCCCGTCCCCCCCCCCACCTGCGTGACCCCGCGTATGTCCTGTCCGTCGAACAGCACCCGGCCGCTGGAGGGGTCGTAGAAGCGCAGCAGCAGCCGAAGGATGGTGGACTTGCCGCTGCCAGTGGCGCCTACCACCGCCAGCGTCTTGCCGCCTGGGAGGGGGGTGGGGAGGGGGCCGGGTGGGGCAGGGGTTCATTGGGGCAGGGTGTAGGGCTTTTCAAGGACCGAGTAGTACAAGTAGTACTAGGAGAGGCAGGGGGAGAGAGTCCAGTGGAACTCCGTTTGGACGACCAGCGGCAGGCCACCGGGCCAAAACGTCAATAAGCCCACCATACGGCCCCCAACCATCCCTCCATCCCCCCTCCCGTTAGACGTTTCGGCTCGGCTAACTCGGTTCAGGTCACCAGGAGCTCGTCCGCTTGTTTGCTAGCATCATTAAACACATTCTTTCCCCCTCCCGCCCCTCCCTCCCGCCCGCCCCCTCCCTCCCCTACCCGGCACCGTGAACGACACCCCCTTGAGCACCGGCGGCGAGGCGGGCGAGTACGCGAACACCACCCGCTGGAAGTCCACCCGCGCCTCGCGCACCACCAGCCGCCCCGCCCCCGGGCTGTCCTGCACCCCCGGCTCCGTGTCCAGCAGCTCGAACATGTTCTCCATGTCGATGAGCGCCTTCTGGACCTGGGGGGAGGGGGGAGGGGGGAGGGAGGGGGGAGGGTAAAACACGGCGTCGCGCAACCCCTCTTCGGCTGCCATTACACGTCCACCATGCCCCACCACTCCGCAACCCCCCGGTCCTCCTCCCGTTGCCTAGCCCAAGGGCGCTTCCCAACACATCTCACGGCGCTCCCCCCTCCCCCCTCCTCCCGCTGCCCCCACCTGTCTGTAGTAGCTCCCGAAGAAGGTGAGCGGCACGTAGAGCTGGTTCATCATGGTCACGAACAGCACCGCGTCCCCCACCGTCAGGCTGCCGCCCACCACCCCCCGCACGCACACCACCATGCCCGCCGCCAGCCCCAGCCACACAACGGAGGCCTGCGTGATGGACAGCATGGCCAGGAAGGCCATCTGCCAGTACTCGGCAGCCTGGGGGGGAGGAGGGGGGGGGAAAGAAATTCCAAAGTGTGGTGTGATAATGATACAAGTTGCTGAGAGGAGGGGGGAGAGGAGAGGAGGTGGGTTAGGAAACAGGTCCAAGAGCGAGCTATGGAAGGGAAGGAAGGAGAGGAGAGGAGGTGGGTTAGGAAACAGGTCCAAGAGCGAGCTATGGAAGGGAAGGAAGGGACTAAGGAAGTCGGAGCAGCGGACAGCGAGACCCAGCCATACATACACCGCGTGGGCCCTCATGCCCGCAGACGGCGGCGGGCACCGCCCCTCGACCCACTCCCCAGCCCCTCCCTTCACCCTCTTCCCCCCGCCCCCCAGCCGCCCCCCCCCCCAATCCCAATACCTGGTACTGCCGCGTGGCGTTATCGTAGCCCGCCAGCTCGAACCGCTCGTTACAAAAGTACTTTACGGTTTCGTAGTTGAGCAGCATGTCGGTGGCGCGTCCCTCGCGCGCGTTGTCCAGTGCGTTCATGCGCTTGCGGATGACGCCGCGCCGCTCCGTGATGATGACGGTGAGGGGCACGTAGGAGGCAACCTGGGGGGGGGGAGGGAGGGGGTGGGAGGGGGTGTGCCAATGCCACAGGTTAGGGCGAAGCCATGGGGATGGAGGAAAGCAGTTGATCACGAAACCAATTGGGGGGCCTGGAGGAGGAGGAGGAGGAGGAGGGATTAAGGGAAGGAATGGACTGCCCGCGTGACATGCAGGCTCATGTTAGGAAGGGATGGATGGGTGATGTGTATGCGGGAGGATGGATGCATGCAGGGGCAAGGTGTGGAGGGTGGAGGGAGACAGGGACGTGGGACCAGCGCGAACGCTCGCCTGAACGGCTTGCTTGCGTGTACGAGGCAAACGCACCCCCACACCTCCCCCCCTCCCTTCCTTATATTTGCCCCCTCCCCTCCCTCCCTCCCTCCCCCTCCCTCCCTCCCTCCCTCCCCCTCCCTCCCTCCCACTCCCCCCCTCCCTCCCTCCCACTCCCCCCCTCCCTCCCTCCCACTCCCCCCCTCCCTCCCTCCCCCTCCCCCCCTCCCCCTCCCCCTCCCCCTCCCTCCCTCTCTTCCCCTCCCCCTCCCCCTCCCCCTCCCCCCTACCGTGATGAACACGATGACCGCCGCCCAGGGCTGCATGCGCACCGCTAGGTAGGTGCACGCCACCACGATGTCGATCAGCTGCGGAATCACGTTGAACAACACGATGCTGACGGTGTCCTGGGGGCAGAGGGGGGTGGGGGGGGGGGTAGGGAAGGGAAGGGAGGGAAGGGGAGGGAAGGGGAGGGAAGGAGGGGTGAAACGCCGAGGGCAGGCAACGGTAACCAACACGCCACCGAGCTGAACGTCGGGCCAATACCCTAGGCTACATGGCTACGGTACATAGATACGGTCCTCCCTCCAGCCGCCTCTCCCCCCTGCATCCGCCTCCCCCCCCCCTGCACCCCGGTTCCCTTCACCAGGCGCTCGTCGGCGTGTTTGCCAGCCTCATTCACCACACTGGGTATTCTTCGCTTCCCCCGCCCCACCGCCCCCCCACCTGTATGCTGCTGGTCCCCCTGTCCAGGATGCGCATGATCTGCCCCGTCTTGCGATGCAGGTGGAACGCGTGGTCTAGGTCCAGCAGGTGGCCGAACACGTCCAGACTGATGCGGCGGAAGGCGGCCTGCGTGATGGGGATCCACACCAGGTCGCGCATGTTGGCCAGCAGACCCTCCATGCCGCTGCCGCCCTGTGCGGGGAGGGAGGGAGGGAGGGAGGGGAGGGGAGGGGGACAAGGGGGTTCAGCTTCCTCAAAGCTGGAAAAGGGCGGAGCCCCTCCTCTTCAGTACAGGAATGTATTATTACCACTGGAATGAATGCGATTACAGGGGAGTGGAACGACTCAATGGGCCTTATAGACTTGGAATGAGCACGGCATGCGCTCCTGTGACTCCACGGCACCAGATGACCTAACACGGATGTTATACGGACGCTGAACCCCCTTGTTTACTGTAGTTTTAGTGCTCGTTGCAAGGCTAGACAAGCTCAGAGCCCCTTGTCCAGCCAAGGCCGGCCGCCTTGTTCACCCACGGCGTACATAGTGTCCTCACTCATTGCACTCATTGTTAGGTTACGCCTGTTCAATCGCGCACTCAGTAACGTCTTATCATGCTTGATAACACCCACGCATTAGGCTACAGAACCCAAATCGACGGCGTAACTGCCACATGGGAGTGCTTTCAGGGTCCCGTAGGTCGTTTAGGTTTCACCTACATTACTAACATGATGAGGAGGTCAGGCTCGGCAATCTCGGCATCGTGCTCAGAAGGACTTCAGCCATTGCGCCCCAACATCGCATGTTAGCTTATAGGCGAGGTACCCGTTTGCATTACAGTTCATAGGCATTATGGCACACAAACCAATAGCAATGGCAGGCAACATCGTCACAAAGGATTGTGTGAGCTCAGAGTAGCACAATCGATGGAAGCAAGCATGCTCTCGCCGACTTTCACAGGTAGCCCTTTGGCGACACGCCGCTGTTTCCAATTCATTAAATACTGTTTACGGTACCAGGACAAACCATAGAGGAGCGCTAATCGGTGTTGCCGCGGTGGTCCTTTTGAATGGCTGGTCAATAAATCGTTTGTTGCGAAATTAAGTTTGTTTGGCTTCCAGTTATTTTTACTGAATACAGATAACAAATATCTATTAGGTGCAATAAATAGTTTTGTCTAGTTTGTATGTTTTGCCGTTACGGACACACGGACGGACACACGGACACACGGACACACGGACACACGGACAGGGGCAATCCTGGGGGGCGAAGCCCCCCCGAAGCCGCTTCGCGGCGGGGGCTCCGCCCAAAAAGAGGGGTTGGGAGGTGGACGACGAGGGTGGGCAATAAAGGCAGGCAGGCGAGTGGGAGGTGCGGTGCGGTGGGGTTTTGCAGGGGCAATGCGTGTCCATGCATACCCGCCATTACCACCCGCCTCAGCCCGGCAGGTGTCAGCTTTCTTTAACACTTGATCTTTCAACCGCATGTTGCCCCGAGGTCCTGACCCAGATCGCCCCAGCTCCCGCCCCTATCATTAACCCCTCCCCCCCTCCCCCCCCTGCCCCACCCTCAGGAAGTAGAAGCCCAGGTAGGCGAACACCCAGGGGTAGAACACGCCCCAGAAGGTCAGCTGCTGGGCGGCCTGCGGGGGGAGGGAGGAAGGGGGGAGGGAGCAGGGAGCAGGGAGCATGGGGCGGGGGGTGAGCGGTGGAGGCAGGGGACTTGGGCGGTGCGGGTGCTGGAAAAGGGTCTTCCTGAAAGCCCCTGCGGTTGGGGGCTGGTGGCGGGTCCAGGCATCTCAGCAGGGTAGCGTGTAGCGGCAGCCCCCACACTCCGGTACGGCCCCTCAACCCACTCGCCTCTCGCCCCCTAGCCGCCTCCCTCACCCCCCTCCCTCGCCCTCCTCCCTCGCACCCCTCACCTTGACCATCCCCCACGCCGCTGCCAGCAGCCTCCCAGTCGCCTCCGCCGCAGCCGCCCCGCCACCCGCCGCATGCAGCACCCCCCCACCTGCTGCCGCCCCTCCTCCTCCTGCCCCGCTCGCTGTCACCACCGCCACCGCCGCCCTTAGCAACTCCCGCGTCGCCTCAGCCACCGGCCCCAGACCCGACCCCCCTCTCGCCAACCCCGCCACCGCCGCCCCCTGCTCCAGCATCCCTCCTCCTCCCCCCTCCACCACCGCCGCCGCAGCTCCCAACATCATCCCCTGCGCATTCGGCTCCGGCTGCGGCTGCTGACCCGTGGGTCCGCTCAGCCCATCCACCATGTTCTTGTACAGCACCGGCACCGCCAGGTTGACGCACCGCTCCGCCAGCACCAGCATGAAGCACGCCACCAGGCGCAGCTGCAGCGGCCGGCTCTCAGGCCACACGTAGCGGAAGGCGCGAGCGGTGCGCTGGGCGCGCGAGGAGGCGCGCTTGCCCGCCCGCTTCTCCGCCTCCTTGGCCTTCTCCTTCTCCGTCTGCGAGAACAGCGGCTCCTCCAGCTCCGAGAGCGGCAGCGAGGCCATGTGGCCGTACAGCGCCTCCGCCATGCACTCGAACAGCAGCACTCCCAGCAGCACGGTGTGCAGGGAGATGCTGGGGGGGGAGGGTTGTGGTGGGGGTAGAAGTGGGTTTGGGCGTGTGGGAAGACGCGGGGAGGGCGGGTGTGGCACCGCTCAGCATGTCGACCCAGTTGGGCTGGTGTCGAAAGGGGCGGTGCGCTGGGAGAGGAGCGCTTAGGATGCGGTGGTAGGCATGTTGCTCCCGGAGCTGTGAGGTTGTCACTGTTCCCTTTAACGCAGGGGCCATGCATTGGAGTGCTTGGGCCGGTCCCGACCCACATCACATTGACAACGTGACATGGCCAGCTACGTCCAGTATGTGCGTAAGGGAGGAGCTAGTAGCCGCATGCACTGGGCGAAGCCGACAAGCCAACATGGGAGGCAGTTGAAACCACCGCGGGGTGAGATCTCGAACACTGGAAGGGATGTGGAAGGCCACCAGGCGACCAACACAGCACGCACGCCCCTACAAGCGCCCTCCCTCCCTGGAGGGGTTTGACAACTCCCCGACAGGTACCATCCCCTAGGCGGTGTTGCAACAACCCTTAAACGATTCTACATGCGAGGCATGCCCTTGCATGCTTCAAAGATCCCCGCCGTGTAACGCTTGCCTCTCATGACCGCCTCAACGTGGTATGTAGGCGTACGTGTATGGTATCTTGCCCTGGCTTGATCATGCAACACGCCTTCCCATTTCCATGCAGCTCTCATTAACCCCACTGTACCCGGCACCTGACGAGCTGCCTCACCCGACAATCCGGTCGTCATGAGTGAACTCCGGGTTGGTGTCATGCAAGCAGTCGTTGCCCATCTGCAGCCCCACGATGCTCAGTGACACCAGCACCACCGGCAGCAGCGAGGCACCAGCTTGACGAGGCCAAATGGCCATCATGGCCACCTGCGATCAGGATGAGATGTTGGGAAACTGGGCCGCGGGGCCAACAGGTACTAGGGTTTGCAGTTGGTGGTAGGCACGGCGTGGGAGGAGTTGCACTTGGCAGATACGTACCGCTGTCAGCAGCCAAAGGAGCCCTGTTGATACCAGCTGTGCATCATACAAGGCAAGCATGAATCGGTGTTGAGATGCTCGCCATGCCCCCATAACGGCTTGTCCAAGGGCCACCGCAACAAAACATCCGATGCGGATATACTTTAGCCTCAACAGCCTTTTCTCCTTTGGTGAGTTTGTTTCAGCAGGCCGGATAGCATAGAACAACAAGAGTAGCGCTGGTGTGCAGAGTGCAATAACCGTCGTCCCCAGAGCGGTCGCGACATCCATTTTGTCTGTTGATGCCAACACGGACCCAGTATGTGACCGTGTGTCAATTTATGCGCAGGAAAGAGAAACAGTCGCTCAGACGTTATAGCATAGAAACTCTCAAAAAGTATCTCGGACGGCTAAGCCGAGGCTACGTAACACTCGCCAAGGCCATCCTAGTACCATGGGGCTATGGCTACAAGCAGAAGTAATAACCTCGGACAATGTACTCATAAGAGCTAGCATGGCTAGATCAGCTTACAGAATGCAGCTATGGTAATCTCATGGGCTCCTGCGGTTAACGTACACCGGCAGGTTGGCAATCGCTATCCGGCGTTATGTGATCCAACAGTATTGTTTATATTCTTTGGTAACCGCATGTGATCAGGCGATGCATCCTTGATATCAGTTAGGTCGGAAAAGAGGAGGTCCTTAGTACCGGTCTTAAGTCTGGGGATAGAGGAGGACCGTAGCAGAGTCTTTTAAGTCCATACTCGGTCTCTGCAAAGGGAGCCCCTATCCGTTTGCGGCACTGGGGTGGATGGCCGACAAGCCCTGAGCTTGACATGCCTCTGCCACGTCACATGTCTCCCGTCCTTCTTGGACACCGTCGCATGTTTATGCCAACCTCCGACTTCTACCTATCGCACCGCCCTTAAAAGGTCCGGCACCTTCACTGCGCTGCATAACAACCCATCCCACTCCGCCAATTCGACGAAACCCGACACACTCCGGCCATGTACTTCAGCTACCGTCATCCAAACACGATCCATGCACCTGTTACCCAAAGCAAATATGTATCAAACAGGGGCCGACCGACCCTCGCCAACCTAGACACCTACCTACACGCCACATGCAGCCCAAGCAGACCCATGTGTCCTAAGCTGCCAGGATTGGCAACACTAACGCACCTCCCTGTCCACTCCGCCCTAAATTCTCGCCCCTGCCCATTATACCACGCTGTACTCCGCCGTCTCCAGCGCCTTCTTGAGGCCAAACTTGACGGCGCCGCCCTTTTGCGTGTGCTCCACGCCCATGATGTTGATGTCGCAGAAGGTCTTGTTGGACGTGAAGGACACCTCCACCGGGTAGAAGGCCTCCGCGTCCGCCGCAGAGGTGACGAACTCCAGCGAGCCGCTGCGGTTGGTGTCGTCGATCAGCTCAATGCTCCATATGAGCGCGCAGCGGCGGGAGTCGTACCGCCACTCGCCATCCACCTGGGGGTTGAGGACCGAGGAGGGTTGCAACCGCTCAGGCAATGTGCCGGAAGGACTGCCGGAATATTACCATACCTTCGGGTGATCATCGCGCAGCCCCATTAGATGGAATTATTTTTCAAGCTCGCGCAGGGGTGTCAGGAATTATTTTGCAGCTTCGCGCAGCTCGTGTCCGCCACTGCATTTTGACTGAAAAAACCCATCCATGTAAGCCCAGATCGCCAAAACAGCTATACAAATACCGCTATGTGTTCCATGGGGCATACTAGGATGCAGCCCGGGGCTGGGCAGCGGAGCTGACGGGGTGCTGGGGCATGTTGGGGGTGCGGGGAAGGGTCCCGAGGGGTTTCCCAGGTTTCGCGCACCCCTCACAGCAATTATTTAATTTTGCGCGAAACTGTGCATTTTCCGAAATAATTATTTATTTTTGCGCGATGATATCGTGAAGGTACGGTATCTTCGGGTCTGTTCATGCGCCGTGGCTAATCGGAGTGCCCCAGAATCCCCCGACTCCCAGTTATGCTTATTGACATCCGCCATGCCGCTTCACTGGTAGCGCCACCAACCTTCCTGTAGAGTAGCCCACGTCAGTGAAAGCGCCAAGCACCCCTAAGTCCTTAGCCCCACAAAGTCAGGCTACATTTTGACCTGCTTTAGCGTATTGTCGCACGACCCTTCGCGGCACTGCATTACTACGTGAATTCAGTACTCATGTTTTGCCCGTGCCTTCAACAGCAGTTCGCCAAGCAAGAGCCCTGAAAGGCAAGCAGCCCCCAACCCACATGAACCCCCGAACACAAGCCCCCCCCGCTGCTGCTGCCCGTGCCCACCTGGTTGACCGTGGGCGCGTGCCCAGACGCCGGCACCGGGATGACCACCTGCACGTTCTGCAGGTCCAGCTCCGACGTGGACTCGTACTCGATGTTGACGTACGACTCGCCGCCCGACACGCTGGGCCAGCAGTTGATGGACAGCGGCACCAGGCTCTCCTGCGAGTCAGGAGAACGATACGCCCCTCAGCGCCCGGCCCCCGGGACGAAAGTGGCTGCTCAAGCAGCAAAGTACGCATACAGCACATGTTGCGCGTAACAGTTAGGTACCGTGAAGCGGACGCTTAGGCACCGTGACGCGGACGCCGTTAATGCCATTTGCTCCGCGGTGCAAAGGTCTTCATGCCGGTATGCATGGCACGCAAATGCTTCCGGTGTCTTGGCCTAGGTCTAGAACCTTCGTCGCTGCGTGCGCCTGCTCACCTCCTTGCTCTGGAAGCGCCACTTGAGGATGCCCAGCTCGCTGCCCGTGGGGAAGGGCCGTGAGGGGTCTTTGAGCCCCAGCACGTTGGCTGACCCGTACAGGTTTTTGTCAATGTTCGGGTGGGTTTTGAATTGGAAGCCCTTGTTGGCGCCGCTGGCAACGGCAATTCGGATGAAGGCGTCCTCATCGGAGTTCACCACCAGAGACATGGTGCCCTACGGCAGCAAAGGCAGCCACAAGTATGTAACCAGAGTGCAAGGGCAAGAGGGAGCATAGGCTGGGAGTGCTGAAACTCAGGGCTGAAACCGTGAACAAGCAACAAGGGGCGGCGTCCGCCTGGGTTAGTGTATATGACAGGGATTTCCAAGCAGCTGCGGCTGGCACTGCCAACTGAACATGCGCACTATGGGAAGGTCAGCCGATGAGGGGAACGCAACATACGCATGTCCCGCCGATGCAAACACCCACATGCACCGGTTCCTCTTCTTTCCCAAAGAGAGCCCGCGCACTGCTGTGACCGTGCGGATACACAGCCGTCGGAAACTTAGTTTCTTCCTCTTCGCCCTGCCCATACCTGGACCTCCAGGTTCTCCACGCCACCCTGCTTGTTGAGGCACACCGACAGCTTCTCCTCGATCGCCAGCGACACTGGCTCCGATGCAGTGTTGACAGTGACAGCGGCCACGCCACCCGTGGGTTTCGCCACTTCCAGCTCCACCACCTCTCCCTCCTTCGCAAGGGTTTCCAAGAAGTCGTTGGCCTTCTTGGCCTTGCCCAACTGCATGCCCTTGGATGGCCCCTTGACTGCGGGTGCCAAGGGCTTGCTGACAGCTGGCAACGGTGCTGGCTCCGGTCGGTATGAGGGTGTGGGCTCCAGATCTGCCAGAATGGAGCTGGCGGCCTTGCTGCCAAACCCGCTGAGTGCTGTGCCAAGGCCGATCTTCTTCTGCTCCATTTTAGACTTTTCAATGTCCGCCACCTTCTTCTTCATAATATCCTTGGTATCGTTAATCTTACTCTGAATGATCAACTTGTGCAGCTTCTCCTCATGGCTCTCCATCTCGCAGTTCTGCTTGACCTGCTGAACGGTGATGTTCTCCTTGTGCCCCAAGGAAATGACCTCGTCAAACGCGAAGATAAGTTCAAAGGCCTTCGCTGCGACTGCATCCTCCTCCAAGCTCTGGCTAAACTCCGGCACCAGCTTGCTGAGCAGGCGTAGCGTCTCCAGGTCCTCCAAGATGTTGCTCTGCTTGTTGGTTATCAGCAGCAGGTACAACCCCTGCACGCACAGGATATGGCCGTTCGGCCAAGCCCCTACAACTGATATGTCTTCACAAAGCAAGTCCCACCTCCATGGGTTGATAGATGTAGCGCACGTTCTCCGTCTCCACGTATGTGTGCTGCTTGCCTGTCCCAACCAGCTTAGGAAACGCTGCCAGCAGGCCCTCAATCCTGATCCGGCTCATCTCCATGTACTGGCGCGAGACGAGGGCTGCAGCAATAACGATTGGCATCTCATTTTCGGTGCCAAGTGCACAACTGCTGCCTAAATGCCAAGTGGCCTACTCACGTTTCCCCGTCTTGGAGACGATCGACGCAGCCAGTACAACCATTTTGCGCCTCTCGCCCCTAAAGGTGGCCCCGGGCGCCTATGGGGTGGAGACGATCGGAAGCTAAACTCAAGACTGTCAGCAAAGTAACTACCTATAAATGCCAAACTACTACTCGCAGTATAGAACACGTCTGTAAGGACTGAAGGAACGGTTGCAGCGCTGGGAGGACTGGGACGAGTACGACGGTCATCGAGCGGAACAACACTGCTGCTGCTAACAAAACCTTGTGCACCAAGCTATATGCCTATCCAGCTTATTATAACCCTTGCAAAGGTGGGGACGTGTCCCATCTGTTCGCGTCCTATTCTTGCCTTGCAACAGCAAGTAAGGAAGGAGCCCGCAGGTGGCTATGTCGAAATGCAGATAAATGCTTGTATGCAACGCAGCGGCCACCTGGGATAGCGTGTCTATGCCATTGCCGCCCCTAAGCTGTAGACCCGTGGGACTGTTAAGCATTAATATTAGTAATGAGGAACCAGCAGACTTGCTGCCGTTGCTGGGACGCCCTGGCTGGTGAAGAGGATATACGGCATACGGCCCGGCATACGGCAGCGTAGGGATCGCAACCCATGGCAGCATGGCTTTGAAGCTTGAAGGACTCCCAGAGCGCATACCGGTACAGTCCGCCCACACCTCACGACGATGTTTTCTCCGCACAGGATAACGTGCCGGCCAAATCCGATAGCACGGGATGAAGATGTTGAACCCAAGGGCTGGACATAACTTTTATGTGGAGAGGCTGCCACCGGGCTGCTTTGCACGAAACCACACATCCCACAACGTTACCAGTCAAACCCCGATGTCATGACGTATCAAGTGCTGTTGCGACGGGGATACGGAAGTGATCCTGGGAGCTTGATCCAGACTCCCGCGCGAGGGTAGAGAGGTGACACTAGAAATGGATGCCGAATGTTTGTAATGTCCTTTACACGCACAACGATGTCAGTGGCGCATTTAGGCTGCCAAAAGACACGCAAGCACCAAGTCCCGCATTCGGGAGCGCATTAAGAACAAGCTACGAGCGCTGGCTGGCCAACTGAAGCAGTCGTCAGGACCTCTGACGGCACAAGCACCAGCTGCGGCGGTTTCCTCTGGTGCAGGCGAGACTAGCGGCGTCGGCAGCAGCAGCTGCGGCAGCCCTGAAGAACGGGAGTCGAGGCAAGGCGAGCGGCATAGAGGAAGCCGGCAGCAGGGCGAGGCGTGAAGCGAGGCATCCTGGGCGCCAAGCGTCGGGGGATGAAGCGCCAGCGGGAGGTTGGCAGCGCCGGTGGAGGGGCGCGAATGGGGAGCTTTAGGACGGCAAACGGCGTGTGATGGATAGCTGTGTTCCTATGTAGGAAGGAGTGAAGCACCTGAAGGGCAGGTAAGGTGGGCTGCAGGCTGCGGGGCTACCGGTGCAGTTTGTGGCCACTGGGTACTAGTAGTAGTCGTTCTGTCCTGGCCGGTGTAGTGCTGGTTGGTTTAGTTGCGGTAGCAGGGCTGTCATTCTGAGGGAGCAAAGATGTTGCTTCATAACATGGCTACCGGGCCCTGGGCAAGGAGCTAAACAGACGTTTTCCACACCTGGGAAGCATGTGGGGGAGCAACAGCAGGCCCATCCATGCTTTCTGTTACCGGTAACTTGCTGAACATTTGAACCAGTACGAGTGCGCATGGTACACATGCGCCAGGCACACCGTCTTCGAAATCATTTCCAGCAGCATGCATCCACCAACCACATACGCAATGGCTCTTGTTCTTACTCGCGGCCAGCTTTCTTAGCACTAATCCTGTAGCCACCGCAGCACCGGGTGTCTGCATGGCCCTCGCTCTTAACCGGCCACCCTCCACTGCATCATCAGTTGCCCCGCCTTCCCGCTCGTCCCCGCCTGTGTACAGCCTACCGGTAATCTCAAATGCCAACAAAAGGGTCTAAGAACCCCAACTCGTTCCTTCCAGGAAACACTCACGCACACGTACATGCACTTCAGCCGAACTACCGGTACTCAAATTCTCCCGTTGTTATGACTGTTTCAAGCTACCGTATGGGGCTACTCGAACATGCACATGCAGGAAAGACGCAACAACAAAGCCATCAATGGCCAAGCACATTGCCACTGTGTCCCGGCTGCACACTTGCATGGGAGATCAACATGCATGGCAAGAAAACACATGCTGGTCTGTCCGGCCCCTGAGTTAACAACACTGGCCTGGCAAAAGGTGAGGTATGCGACTGACGGGTACGGCCTGTGATGTCACAGGCCGTACCCGTCAGTCGCATACCTCACCTTTCGTCAGGCCAGAGGCAAAGGGACAGGTCAGGACTGGAGCGGATAGATGAGTTGCTGACCTTGCTGTGGTCACCAACTACTAGTAACATGTAGTCGCAAGTAACGGGCTTTCTACGGTCCAAACACGCATAGGGATAATGCCGGTAAGGACGCGCCAGGCGAGCCATGGCGTTGTGACAGCTTAGATTGCGCTCCATCAATTGGCGTCGAGGCCTAGCATGTTTGTTACAATAATGCGGGTCAATAAAGAAGAGAAAGCACTATCTCCTGTGTCGCGGCTTGGAACTGCAACGCTAGGGCTGCATCACGTGAGCGCCATGCCTGCTATCCAGCACTGCATTCGTACTGCTGCCGCTTTCTGTAGTAGTGCAATATATATGATAGTACACACCTGCTAGGCAGTTAAACAGGCCACGTGCTGTCTCCCACAGCGATTCTCCCTCCGTCGCCCATACGTACGATGTATGGATTATTAGCGGTGCGGTGGACTAACAGTGAAACGAGGCCTGCAACGACAAGCGAGGCCATGGCGTCTCCCGTCCCCTGCCCACCCCCCACCACCACCCCCGGGGCCAACTTGCCGCGAGGCATCCCCCAAGGCCCTCCCTGATACCAACAGGGGGGCCCAACAGGTGGCATGATGCGTAACAGATGCGCTGTGCTGCCAGCAAACCCTGTGCAGCGTCACCCCAGCAAGCCCTGTGCATCACCCCACCAACATCACCCCAGCAAGCCCTGTGCAACATCACCCCATCACCGCCATTACGCAACCAGGCATGCAGCCTCCGCCAAGGCCCATGCAGCCTCTGCTGCTGCCTCCTGCACCTCGCCCCGCTACCGCGCCTGCTGAGCCTTTGCCCCCTTCTTCAACCCCAGCCCAGCCGCAGGCGCTCGTGCCGCGCTCGCCGTCTTGACAGCAGGCCTGGCCTTGAGCCCCTGACCCTGCCGCTGCTGCTCCTTCTCCTGCTGCTGCTTCTGGGGCTGCTGCTTCTTCGGCGCCTGCTCCTGCCCGACCGGGGGGGCCCCGGGCTGCTCCTTCCGCCCCTTAGCTTCCGCAGCCGCCTTCCCCCCGCTCGGGGCTGCCGCTGCTGCTGCTGCTTGCCCGGCCGCCTTCTTGCCCGCTCCCATCTTCCCCGCCGCCGGCGCGCCCGCGGCCGCCTCCTTCCCCGGGCCCTGCTGCTGCTGCTGCCCACCCTGCTTCTTCTTCTCCTTGCGGGGCTTGGCGGGCATCACTGGCTTCGTGTCCGCCGGCACCTCCCCCGCCGCAATAGCAGCCTTGAGCTTCTCTCGCTCCCGCTTCCCGATCTTGCGATTCTTCCGCTTCCGCTTGTTCTTGTTGCCGTCACCGGCGCCGGCGGCAGTGGGCGCAGTACGCTTCCCTGGCTGCTCGGCAGGGGCAGCAGCAGCAGCGCCACCGTCAGCATCGCTGTCGGCTGCTGCTTCCTCCTCGCCTTCCTCCGAGTCCTCCGCACCGCCGCCAGCAGCAGCAGCAGCAGCAGCAGCAGCAGCAGCGCCCTCCTCGGCACTGTCGCTGCCCGCCTGCGCGGCGTCCTCCTCATCATCATCATCCTCGCTGTCCGCTGCTGCTGCAGCACCCTGGCGGGGTCGCCGCTTGGAGCCCGGAGGGACTGCGGCCCCCTCAGGTGCGCCCGCTTCCGCCGCGGTGCCGTTGGCTGCACCCGCTTTGCGGAAGGGGCCTGTGGGTGGGTGGTGCGGGAAGACAACAACAAGGTGATACCCCAGGCAACCGAGGAATGTATCTGCAGGTAGGTAGGGGTGGAACAACTCCTGCGGCACTCACTCCAGCAGATCTGCATGGCGCGGAGACCTCACCCTTCACCCCACCCCACTCCCCATCCTGGCCCCACCTGCCCCCAGCTCGCTAGCCAGCCGGGCAATGCGCGCCAACCGCTCCGCGTGCGTCTCCGCCTCCTCCTCCTCCGGCTCCTGTAGCGGGTTGGGTGACGTCGTGGGAGGGGGGCGGAGGTCAGGAGTGAAGGGAAGGGTTGCGATAGACCCTGGGTGGGTGCATGGGGGCATTGGAGATGCGGCGGATTGCCCAGGCAGGAGCCCCAGGGGTCCCACGTCCCCGATGTGTCGTAGTTGTTACCGGTGGTTCGTTACCGGCACCACCACCAACTACCAACCACCACCTCCCCGCACAGGCAACTCACTTCCTTCTTGGTGGTGTCGGAGGCCAGCTGGATGGGCTCGGGGGCGCCTGGGGGCAGCTGCTTGAGCTTGTTGCGGTGCTTCTGTGGGCAGGCGAGGGCGGTGGGAGGGGATGGGAGGGGAGAGACACAGAGAGGGCAGTTCAGCGGCGCCGCATGCGTGATCAGCAGCGAAGCAACGAGCTGTTCGGGAAGGAACCGGGAGGGGCCCTGCGCCCGCACATTTCCCTGCCGCAGCCCCTGTCTTGCACACAATCATACAAGCCACGGTCTCCCACACGTCACGGCGCCCTGTCCCACTGAACACGGCTGCCCTCGCCCTTCCCCCGCCCGCTCCTCCCGACCTGCCCCCTGCCGCCCCCTAATGCGTAATGCCCTTTCCTAGCGCCCCCTTAACACGACCACATGGCCCCCGCTGGTGGCGTCACGCGGCTGCTCCGCCACTCCGCGGCCCTCACCTTGGAGGCCACGTGGCTCAGGAACACCCCCCGGTTGAGCAGCAGCGACTGGCACAGCACGCAGCGCAGCGGGATACCCTGCGTGCGTGGAGGGGTGGGTGCGGGTGGGGGTGAGGGAGGGAAGAGGAGGAAGTGAGCGGAGGCTTAGGGATAAAGAGGATGGCGGTTCGGGGTGGAGAAGGCAGAGCAGGCGAGTGAGGGCTGAACGAGGCTCTGTCATTTCAGGGTTGTGTTCCTGGCGAGGTAGCTGCCATGCGAGCTCGATTGTGTGAGCAAAGACGAATGAAACGGCTTTGACCCGGCAACCGCACCTTGAAGCCATTGACCTCGGGGTCATCGCTGGTCCATGCCCTGCGGAGGCCACAACAGAAGGACTGGGGTGTTAAAGGCCCAGAAGCCAAGAAAGCTTAATTCTATGTAACAGCAAGCAAGCGTGCCAAGGCCTCGTTTACAAGCTGTCGCAACCCCTAGTATTGCGATGCCCATCCCGCCTCACTTGACGACGTGTTCCGCGGTAATTGCATCCGCCTCGACATCGTCGGCATCGCCATCCTCCTCTTCGCCTTCTTCGTCCTCATCAGGGTCACTGATATCGTCAAAGCTCCGCGCTATCCGCTTGCGTGGTCGGTCATCATCCTCATCCTCCTCGTCGTCGCTAGCATACAAGCTGCCTCGACGAGAGGCGGGAATATCCTCTGAGTCATCGCCGCTCTCATCCTCGCCACCGTCGGCACTGCCGCTTTCGCCCTCGTCGCCCTCGTCGCTGCCACTGGATGGCTCCTCCTCGGGCTCTGCAACAGATTATCTAGCTTAGCTTGACTATATAAAGACGGTGGATAGTTTCAGTGCTAAGTATATAGTCGCACCGCTAGAGCTCTCGTCAGTGTCGTCGTCGCTCGAGCTTGCGCCGCCGGACTTGCCGTGCAGGTGGAGCCAATCCCGACGCTTCAACATTTATTAAAGGCGTTGTCAGCAAGAGGGTAGTCAAACGGGGAAGAACCGAATGCAACAGACGCTATTAACTTGATGGAATTACGGTTACCAGGACAGGCAAGTAAAGTGAAGGTGTAAAACAACTATGACGTGCTCAAACAGGTTGCCAGATAACTGAGAGAACGACTCGGCTGGCGAGGCGACCCAGACTCGTACTACCGTTAGAACCGTACTTTACCGTACGAAGTCTTACGTAAACGTAAGCTTTGGGGGGTTACTGCGGGCACCGATTGTTGGCAGTATTCCCATGCTATGACGGCTTGCCGATTCGCTCTCCGGCCGTTATTGGGGCTTCGCCACCTTCCCTCGGTTTGTGCGGTGCCGCATCGCTTCACGTCTCCAGCAACCCACACCGGGCCCCCACCCGCAGCGGAGCCCGCTGCTGCACTGGGCTACAGCCCCCAATCCCGCTGCTGCAGACATACCACAGCGCTGACCGTGCTTCCGGTGGTCCATTCGAACGTTGTGGCCAGGCCTTGCACGTTACATGGCGGCAAGCAAGTGGCAGGCTGCAATCAACTTGGGCCCCTCCTCACGTTACCAAGCCCTGGCTTGGGGATCACAACAGTATTGATGGCCACCCACGACACAGCTGCACCATGTTGCAGAGTACGCCTCCCGCAACCCTCAACAGAGCCCCGCCAACAGCTCCCATGACTCCTCGCAGCACCTTCAAAGGAAGCCCTGAAAAGCACCTGGCACCCCCCAGCTGTCCCCCGGCTAGACTACCGCTTCCAAGGGTGCAAGCCGACCTGATGCAGGCAGGCGCCCAAGCCACCGCGACTGGGGCTCCCACCCATCCGTCGGGGGGGCAGATGCGGCCTCTCAACCCGGAAGAATGAGGCACATGTGCACACGGGTACACTACTAGCCTGCGGCTCCCAAGGGGGCATCCAGATAAACGGTCTGGAGGCCCGGAGCTGCAAAACACACATGAACGTGGGGGCCATGTGCACACGAGGACAACCAAATACGCACTAAGGTACCATCCCCCAATTGCTTACACTCGTCCAGCACACCTCGCCTCAAGCACAAGCAAAGGGTCCGATTTGCGGTCACTATGTGAGGGGGAAAAGGTCAAATCGACATTTGGCCGTCATGTCCGAAGCTGTCAGTCATGTAACCCCATGCCGTGCTATCACCCGATGACATACATCCACCCACTCCTCCAACAACAGTGCTGTCCATCTATCTACATCCCCCCGACCCCACTCCCCCATCATGCGCCACCAAGCCCCCCCACACGCAATGCTGCACCCGCTGCCTACCTACCGGGCGCACCGGGCTCCCCGGGCGCACCCGCCACCCCCGCCGTGCCAACAAGCACCCCAGGTGCGTCAGCAGGTCAGGTCAAACCCGAATGCATCCAACCAACCGCTCAGCAACCAAGGGTCAGTTCGCAATCAAATTGTCCAGTCCGCCTGGCAGATAGGCTGCCTTCCCTCCCGCCCGCCCCCCTTGGCCGTCCGTACCCAGACCTCCTTTACTGTACGCCTCTTCGCCTATCAGCCGTTTCACCACCCCTTCCCGCAACTCCACCTCCTATGTACCCTCAATAGCCCCCATCGTCTCGACCTCAGCCACGCTGCTCATTACCTCATCTCTACATCCACTTCACAGTCCTCCTCCCCTTCCAATCTCCTTCACCCTCCCACACCTCTCCCACACTTCCACGGCTCCCCCTCCTCCTCCACCTCCTCCTCCACCTCCCCCTCAGAACCAGGGGTGCCATGTGGGCTCCATGCGGCACAGGTTCTTGGGCTCCTGAGCCGCCGCAATCAGCTCCACGATGTACGGCAGCAGCGGCACTGTGAGCAGCGGCGAGGGGCGACCGGCGGGCTGCTGGCCGGGCGGTGTGGGGTCCTCGGAAGGCTGCACGGGGCAGGTGCGCTGGATGCGCTCGAGCACCATGCTTGTGTTGCGAAGCACCAGCGACTGCAGCGTCTCGTTCTTCATGGAGAAGGCTGCGGGGGGTAGTGGGGGGGGGAGGGAGGGAGAGGGGGAGGGGTTGGGTGGGTAGGTGAGGACAGGGCTGGGAATGAGGGGCAAGGAAGCGATTCGACATATGTGCTTGGACAACGCTGGAAAGTAAACCGTTGACTTGCAGACGTTGCAGTGAGGGGCGGTGCAGGATGCTACCAGGCCCAGTGTCTACACCTCCCCTCCTCCGTCCCCGCCTCCTCTTCCTTCGTTGCACGTCTTCCTCACTGCTGCACCCAATCACTCCTTCCTGCTTGCTCACCCTCCCCTTCCCTATCGGCGCAGTCGATCTCATGCTCCTTTCCTCCCCTCCCCCCCTCCCCCCCTCCTCCCGCCCTCCCCTACTCACCCTGCTTGCTGGACCTCCTCGCCGCCCACGCCACGATGTCGTCCCGGAAGAAGAGCGCCAGGAAGTGCTGCGCGTTGCTGCCGCGGGCTGCCAGCGCCTGCGCCGCGTTGGCCATGACGGTTGAGAAGACGCCCTCCACCCCGAACGCGGTGAAGAAGGCGGTCAGGTTGCGCGTGAGGCGGAAGGGCACCGGCTCCACCTTCTCCAGGTAGCCGCGGTCGTTGTAGACCTGCGGGCGGAGGGGGGGGAGGGGAGGAGGGAGTGTCGGTGCGAGGGTAAGGCGCACAGTACAGTTGGTAGCGGACCAGGAAGAACGTGCGATTGGCTATACCGGCACAAGGGCCAATCGGCACATGCCGGGGTCCTTGCTGTGTTCTCTCCATGCAACCCTCCTCCAATCCCCAACCCGCCACCCTCCACCCCACCCCAATTTGACCCCCCTTCCTACCGGCAGCACGTCCGTCTGGTAGAGCCGGCCCGTATCCTTGGCGAACAGGATCTTGGTGGGCGAGCGACCGTTGATCAGCAGCATGTGGCACATCAGCGCTGAGGGGGGAGCGGGGGGGGGGCCGGATGGGGCAGGTGAAGCAGCAGGGGAAGGGGTTCGGGGCAAGCCGTTATGGATACACCCGCTACCTTCGTACCCCCTCCCTCCACACCTTCATCTTCCAGCACTCACATGAAGTGTGGCTCAACCCGGCTGCATAGCCTCGTGCGCCCCTTCCCTCTTGCCTCACAACCCCAACCCGCCCTGAAGCCCCCGACCACACAAAAGCCGCCGCCCCCCATCGGCGCCCCTCCCCCTCCCTCCCCCTCCCTCCCCCTCTCACCGCTCAGCGCCGTCTGCGCACACAGCTGCTTCTTGAACGCCCACAGGTGTGTTGCCGAGGGCAGCGACTTGTACGCAAACTGGCTAAACACGTTCTCATTCACAATGTGCGCACACACGTCCGCAAACGTCTGCTGCCGCAGCGGCAGGCTGCTCGCGTCCGTGAGCACCTGCCCCCGCGGGTCGGCACAGCGCTGCTTGAACGCCACGATGGGCATGTCGGGTTCCCGGCCGTAGCGCGCGCAGTTGACCTCGTATGCCTCGTGCAGCGTGCAGGCGGCGGGCGCCTCCTCCATCAGCCGCACCTGCACCCACACCGGCACCATGACGGGCGTGTGCCAGGCCAGGGCGCGCTGTCGGGACTGCGGGTGCGCGTCCAGCAGCCGGTTGGAGAGGCGCAGCAGCTGGATGATGCGCTCGTCGGTGGTGCCCTTTGAGGGGGGGGAGGGTGAAGGATGGCAGGTAAGGGTTGGATACCGCAAGCACCCCAATCAGATCTACAGCAGTCAACACAATCCCAAAACTCTTACGTGTAGTCTCTTCCCGTTCCCCAGTTCCTATTACCCTCCTCCTCCCCCCATGGCGAAGCCTCCTCATACACCTCGTCAATTCCTTGCTTTTACCTCCCCCCCCACCTGCGCGTTGTTCTGCCCCGTCTGCACCAGCATGTGCCTCGCCCGCCCGTCCGAACCCAGCAGCACCAGCCGGCGGTAGGACGTGCAGTGCCGCCGCACCACCGCCACCGCCGCGCCAAAGCACTCCAGCTGCACGATGCCCTCCGGCGCCACCTCCTGCCCGCCCAGGTACTGCCCCGGCATCTCCACCTCCACCAGAGACAGCTCCTCCAGGGGGCGCGCCTCCTCGGCCAGGCGCAGGCTGGGGGGCAGCTTGTCCTCCAGGTCGGCCTGGGGGGGGGATTAAATAAGTGAAGGAGGGTATGGTGCGAGGAAGCGGCCGGGTTGGGGAAATTCGACAAGGTGCAGTGAAGCAAGCCAACGCAGCATGTACCGTTCGCATACGTAACGGTTTCTGTCTTTACTATACAACCGCCACACACCCTCTCCTCCACCTCCGTTGCCGCCCTCCTCCACCTGCATGCGAGGGCCTCCTGCCTTCATCTCTCCCCCTGCACAACCCTGCCCTCTCCCCCCCCACCGCCGCCTCCCCCCCCCACCTGCAGCCGCGCCCTCCAGCTCTTGAGCTGCTCCGTGAGCTCCCCCAACGTGGCGGGGAAGGCGGGGCCCTCGGGGTTCATGTCGCGAACAAACGCCTCCCGAATGTCCCGCTGAACCGCGTTACTGCTGCCACCAGCCGCCGAACCCGGCCCCGCACCACCCGCAGTGCCGCCGCGGCCGCCCTGCTGTGCGCGCGCCGCCGCGGCCTGCTCGGGTGAGAAGCAGGCCTTGCACACCCCCGCCAGCTCCTTTTTGAGCGGCTGCGGCACCTCCGCCGCGTTGGCGAAGGGCACCTTGTAGCAGCGGTGCAGCAGCGCGTTGACCACCGCCAGCAGCCGCTCCTCGGGCTTGGGGACGAACTTGCTGCCGATTTCCTGTGTTGGGGGGGGGGGGAGAGGAGGGCGGAGGGGAGGAGGAGGGGATGGTTACGAAGAGGAGGAGGAGCAGAGCCGCACGGGGTCAAGAGGTAGAGGTAAACAAGGAGAGGTAAAGGCGCGCGGTTATCCTATTAAGTTAACCAGCGTCCCCGGCAACCTCTGCCGCCTCCTCCCTCTCCCTGCCCCCCTCCCCCCTTTCTTCTGCCCGCTCGCTGGAGTGTCATCCTTTCATCCTCACCGCGGACCCGGTATCGGTAGGGAATACTAACCACCACTTTGTCTTGTGGCACCCTGCCAACTCCTTCCCCCATTGCTTTGCCCTAACCTGTGGTCTCCTATGGTTTGGTATGGTCTTTGACCCCCCATGGCACTGTGCTCCACCCCTCCCCTCCCCCTCACCCCCACCTGCAGCATGCCCTCCAGCGTGAGGGTGAGTGCTGAGCAGCGCGCCCGCAGCACGTCCATCACCTCCTTGCCCGCCTCGAAGGCGCGCATCTCGGCAGCGCGGCTGGGGTCCAGGCGGGCAGCGGGGCCTGCAAGGGGGGAGGGGGAGGAGCGGTGGGGGAGTGGGGTGAGAAGCAGGGAGTACTGGGCTGGGTTGTGGTGGTGCTATGGTTGGGAGCTGTAGCTAGGAGCCGTGGACGGGGCCATATGCGCGGTGCGATGAGAAGGACTGCAGTGCTGGCTCCAGGAGCCGCTGTCGTGCTTCCTGTTGCAGGAGGGATGCAAAGGAGCAGAAGCCCCAACAGCCACCCCCCGCACAGCCGCCCACTCACCTTCCAAGTGTGCCGCCGCCTCCCCCTCCGCGCCCCCTCCTCCCCCCGCCGCCGCCTCCGCCGCCCTGCGCTCCGCCTCCTGGCGCTGTCGCTGCAGCTCCTGAGCCGCCTTCTGCGCCGCCTCGCGCAGACTGAGCATGTGCACCCGCAGCCAGTAGTACACCGCCTGGAGGGGGGGGGAGGCATAGAAGTGAGGGGAGGGGAGAGGTAGGTGGGCAGGGAGGTAGGTAGGTAGGGGAGAGATGGGTGCGGGGACCAGGCAGTCAGGCAGGGAGGTCATGGATATAATTGCACTTCGATGCTCCATGCCCCTTCTCCTCCCGACTTCCCCTTACACCACACCCCTCAATCCGCAGTCCTGACACTCTCGTCCGCACCCCCCCCCTCCGCATACGCCCCCTTCAACCCATTCCCCATCCCTACCCCCCCACACCTGCGGATGTGCCGCCGACACCTGCTGCAGCAGCAGCTTCACGTGCGGCGCCTCGGGCCGCTGCAGCGAGGCCAGCAGCTGCGGCACCCACGCGAACCACACCCAGGGCGGCAGCTCCGCGTGCTGCTTGTCCAGGTGCGACCCCACCACCCCGCCCGCGTTCTCGAAGGACAGCAGGTACAGCAGCCGCGGCAGCAGCGCGCGACCCGAGGAGCTGCCCAGCCGGACAGCCTGGAGGGCGGGGATGCAGGGGGGGGACAGGGCGGTTGAGGTGGGGTGCGGAGGGCGCTCAGATGTAGGCGTACACGTGCCATGTTGCCCGTTGTAACCACAACTAGGAACATGTTCAGGACGTGACAGGAACGGCAAGAGGAGGAGAGAGAGCCCCCCACCACCCCTCACCCCCCCACCCCACCTGCAGGTAGCAGTGCACCGCATACTCCAGGAAGTGGTACTGCGGCAGCACGGGCTTGGGCGGCTGCGGGCCCCCGCCGCCTGCGCCCATCTGCACCGCCACCGCATTAGCCTGCGCCGCCTGCGCCGCGCTGGCCTCGTACAGCCGGTCGTTGAAGGAGCCCCAGTTGAGCCACGCGTCCGAGCAGCCGCGCCACAGCGACAGGCTGGTGGAGAAGTTGGAGGCGGCGGCGTCGTCCTCACCCAGGGCCTGAGGGGGCGGGGCCGGGGAGAGGGGGGAGAGGGGGGACGCGGGTGTAATGTGGTGTATAGGGGTGTGGGGTGTGGATCAAGGGGTGGCAGTGTGGCCGTTTCTGAGGGACGTGGCAGAGGGAGTACCGATAAAAAAGGGACACTAAAGGCAGGCTCACTGCCCTCTGCTCTGCCCCCCTGCAGCCCCATGTCGGCACCACAGCTCCCCCCCCTCCCCCACCTGCTGCATGAGCGCCTTGAGTCTGAACAGCTCCGCCTGGTGGGTGGACTGGAAGTAGTCCAGGTTGGTGGTGCTGATCATGTTGAGACCCACACACAGGTCGGCGGGACCCAAGTCCAGGTAGGCCTCGGCCTGGGGGAGGGAGGGGAGGGCAGGAGAGGAGGGGAAAAATAAGGAAACTGACAAGGCAGGGGTAGGTGGGTAAAAAGGAAACGACTAACGAACCGTGAGAAAGGTGAGAGGCACGCCAATCACAACCCCAGTACACTGATAGCCCCCCCCTCCCTCCCCACCCACCTGCTCCTTTATCTTGATGAACGCCTCCTGCACCTCCATGGCGTTGTAGCCGTACAGCGTGTTGAGCATCTGCAGGCAGGTGTCGGGCAGCCCATGCTTCAGAGCCACGGAGCCCAGACGGTTCACGGACCAGGCCTTGTCCTGAGGGGGGGGGGACGGGAGGGGGGGGGAGAGGGAAGGGGGAGCGCGTCCGAGTCAGTAACAGGAACAGGAACAGCTCAACATCATTCAGCTGCATGCATGCATGCATGCACACCTCGCCTGCAACTACCAGCTACCCACCCCACCAGCTACTCTCATCACTATGGTCCACATGCAGGCCCTCCATCTAACACTCCACGTGTCCCACTATCCAAGCCCTCCCTCCCCCTCCCCCCCCCTCCCACCCTGTATCCCAGCTGGTGCAGCGCGGGTGTGAGGTCGCGCATGGCTCCGAAGCTGTTGATCACGATGTTGTAGATCTGGTTGCGCCACACCAGCACGTCCTGCCAGTGCACCAGGCTCTCCCACTCGTTGGGGGTGCGCAGGCGCCAGGTGGCCATGATCTCCTTCAGGTCGGTGAACGCGTGCTCGGGCCGGCCGTTGGCCTGAGCCAGGTCAACCAGGATGCGGGCAGACTCCTGGGGGGGGAGGGGGAGGGGGGTTGGGAGGGGCGGGTAAGAGGGTGGGAGGGAATAAGGTAAGGGCCAGGGAGGGCCACAGGGGAGAGGGGCCGCATGCGACGTTGCACTGGTTAGGACCCGCTTGCCGCGCCCGAATACCCATAATCTGTACCCCATGCAACGTGCCTCCCCTTGCAATACCCCCCCCCCCCACCTCAGCGCCCCCCCTCCCCCTCCCCCCCCACCTTGAGCTCCACCAGCTGCTGGAATGTCTGCAGCAGCCCCACGTGCGCGGTATTGCTCGGCAGCTCGGGCAGCGCCCACCACCGCTGCAGCGCGGACAGCAGCGCCTTGTTGGTCTGGGTGTCAGCCTCCTGGGGGGGGAGGGGGGAGGATACCATGCGTTGAGTGACAGGGGGGAGGCAGCGGGCATATGCACAGGGGTGGAGGGAGGAGGTCGCCGGGTGGTGTGGACGTGAAGTGGGCCCACGGGGATGCGTGAGGAGGGGTGGTCGGGAGGGGTGACCAGGCGCTCCAAGAGGGGAGGCAGGACTCCAGAGAGACGGAGGAGGAGTGGGGGTCGAACACACACTCCTACCGGTCTAGGGACTCAGCCCGCCCTCAAACCGCTGTGCACTCCTTCTTTGACCCCTCCTCCCCACCTGCACGTGCCCCTCCTGCAGCGCCAGGTACGCCCGCGTCATGAGCAGCCCCGGCGAGTCCTCCACGCTGCCGCCCTTGGCCGCCGCGCTGTTGAGCTGCTCGCGCAGCTGCGTCCAGTCGGACAGCCGCCACAGGCAGTCCACCACCACCTCCAGCTGCTCCGTGGTCTGGGGGGGGGGCGGGCGAGCGGGGCGGGCGGGGGGTGATCAGAAGGGTGGTGGTGCCACAAGCCAGTGAATGACACACATCGCCAGGCGGCGCCACACAATGAAGCCCATGGAGCAACAAGGGAAACACAGAGGTATGACAGCCATGTCGTACATGCCCCTCCCCGCCTGCCCCCCTCCTCCCACCTTGCCGTACTCCAGCAGCAGGTCCCAGTGGTTGAGGTGTCTGCAGCAGTCCAGCCACTGCTCCACCCACAGAGCCTGCTCGCCGCGGTTGGGCTGCTCGGGGGTGGAGCGCTGGGGGGGGAGAGGAAGGGAGAGGGGGGAGGGTGGGAAGGAAGTGTGGTAAAGGGGTGGTTCATTTGTACCGCGAGAGTATTGGTTAGGCTCGCTGGGCCACAAGTAGCGCGCACCGCCTCCCTTTTCTCCTCTTTACCCCTCCTCGACCAGCCCCTCCCTCCCCTCTTTCCCTACTTCTCACTTCGCCTCCCAACCCCCCCTGCCCCCCCCACCCCCAGCCCCCACCATCTGCGGCGGCGCATGGAAGGTGCGAGTCGCCTCCCCCAGCACCTCGCTGGCTCGCTCCCACATGCCCGTCTGTATGAGCGGCAGGCCGGTGCGAGTCCAGTCGGTGGCCGCACGCCGCCGCCACAGCCCCGCCAGCAGGTCGTCCTCGCGGACAAGACGGTACAACTCGGCGAGACTGGGGAGGAGGGGGAGGAGGGGGGGGGGAGATGAGGGGGAAAAGAAAGGAGGAAAGCTCAATATACAAACGCAGGCACATGTCCTAGGCGCTCCTAGGACTCTCTAGGAGCGCCTCCTCCTCCTCCGCAATCCCACTCCACACTTCACCCGCCTCCCTTACACACTCCTGAACATGCTTCCCCATACCACCTCCTGCGTCCACCCGTCAACCTACCCCTCACACCCCTTCTGACTCCTCTCTCCATCCCCCCTCTCCCCTCTTCCCCCCCTCTCCTCCCCCCCTCTCCCCTCCTCCCACCTGTCGAAGCACCTCGACTCGTCCGGGAAGATGCACACGTGGCTCTCCAGCAGCGGGATGGCGATGTGCCAGGCGTTGAAGTTCTTACCCAGGAACTTGATCAGCTCGGGCGGGATCTTGGGCTGCGGCTGGCACAGACTGATGCCCTCAAGCAGGGCCTGGAAGGGGAGGCGGGTAGGTGGTGAGGGGAGAGCAGGGAGGCGGAGTGAGGGGGAAAGGTGTGTAGTGGAAAGGGTGTGTGCAGGAACGCAGCTCGACAGTCCGCAGCCCTCTCCGCTTTTGACCCTTACACTCTCTCTGTGACATGAAAGCATTGGAAACTCAGTGTGGCACTGCGGTTGCATTGCTGCACTGCGGCACCCCCAGCCCCCCTCACCCCCCCACCTGCAGCACGTTGGGTCGTGCCGTCATCTGGTGTCGGTGGTACTCGCGGGCCAGCAGCGTGATGATGGGCTTGGCCAGGCTCACCTGCGGAAAGGGAGGGGGAGAGTGGGGGAGGTATCCGAGTTCAGACCAGGGAGTAAGGGGGGGATGGGAGCGGTTCTCAGTGGTCCCCTTCGCCTGGAGCTTCTCATTCTCTTCGGCCTCCCCCTCCCCCTACCTGCTGCTCCTTTGCCAGCGACGCCCACACGATGGGGAACACCAGCACCCACAGGTGGTAGGCCACCTGCGGGTCCGCACCCGCGTACTCGCGCAGGCTGGACACCAGCTCGCGGACTCGCAGCTTGCCTGAGGGGAGGGGGGGAGGAAGGGACAGGGAGGGCAGGGGGAGTAAGAAGGAGGGGGGTGGGCGGCCGCAGGTAACGGTACGCGCACACGTCACCCCAGCAGCCACCCCGCGCAGCCCCACACCCACTGTCTCCCCCCCACCCACCCCCCCACTCCTCCCACCCCCACCCACCCATGGAGTCCAGCCACTCCACGTGCCCCCGCACCACCTCCAGCACCTCGGGCGAGGCGGAGGGGAAGCGAGCGGCCAGCTCAACTCCGCCCGCAGCACCGCCCGCTGCAGCTCCTGGCTCGCTGCCTGCCCCCTCCCCGCCTGCTGCTGCCGGTGCTGCTGCTGCTGCCAGCCCCCCGCTGTGCGGCCCCGCCAGCTGCTGCCCCGGCTGCCCCACCGAGGTGAGGGCCAGGGGCTCCTCCTTGACAACTGGGGGGGGGGAGCGGAGGGGTGGGGGGGTGAGGGTGACGGGCGCGGGTTTAGGATTAGTGTGGCTAGCCAACCAGCCCTGGTCCACCATGGTCACCAACCCACCCAGCCCAATCCGAGCTACCGGTAACCAAGCCAAGCGATACAGCCACCCCGGGGTGAGAGCCTCCTCCCCGCCCTGCAAACACCTCCCTCCGACCCACCCCTTCCACACCCCCACCCCCAACCTCACCTACGGCACCCTCCGCCTTGACGCCCGCCGCTGCGCCCAGGGGCTCGGCCTTGATCTCCAGCTTGATGCCGTCAGGCGGCTGCGGCGAGCCCTCGGCCGGGGGACCTCCCCCCTCAGGCGGGGGCGGGACCTTGGGCGGCTGCGGCACGAACACGTTCTGCTGGATGGGCAGCAGCGGCGGAACCTGCGCAGGTGGGGTGGGGGGGAGGAGGACAGTGGAAGGGGCACAGTGGGAGGAGGCGTACGGGTGCCGTTGGGAGAGCCCCGACTGCAGCAATACACGCTGCTGTGCTGGTCCTCACGAACCGGGGAACGCAGCAAGCCAACTGCCACGTGCCACATGCGTACGGAGACTCCTCTGCAGCGACGAAAAAAGGTGTTCCCAAACAATTTGCCAGGGATGTAGGTTGCATCCGTTACTTACCCAGGGCTTGTAAAGAGGCTTGCTGTTCCCCCCTTTCCCCTCCTTCCCCTCCCCCTTCCTACATCCCCCACCTGCGAGCTGTTGGGTGCCAGCATGATGAGGTCGTCCTCCCGCAGCGCCGCCAGCAGCAGGTCCAGCGCCGTCTTCAGCCAGAAGCTGCCGCTCATGGCCTCCCAGTCCTGGTTCACGATCACAAAGGAAAGCCGGTCGTACAGGTTGGCGGCCACGTGGTTGTCGTACAACTCGAAAAACCGCCTGCGGAGGGGAGAGGGGGGACTCGACATGAGTGAATGAGACAGACGGTTTAATGGTCACGTCTAATCTACGAGGCTCATAAGAACGATGAACCGGGCAAGCGAGGGAACCAGAAACCACAAACCTGGCATTTTCCTGTAGGACCTCTGCGCCCTGCATGCGCCCAAGACCTACACGCGGTACGCTCCCCCCTCCCCTCCCCTCCCCCCTCCCTCCCTCCCACCTCCTGATGTTGTGGTCCGCCGCCCGCAGCCCCATCATGAACCTCCTCTCCAGGTGCGTGAAGTACTCCTCCGCCCGCCGGCACTCCCCGATGTAGCGCTCCCGCTCCGTGTCTAGCGCGCGATCCAGGTCCTGCTGCTCCGGCGGCGGCGAGGACAGCCGCAGCACCAGCGACAGCAGCGTGCTGTCCCAGGCGCGGCGCAGCGCGCTGCCACCGCCCGCACCCCCACCCGCCGCGCCGCCGGCCTGACCCGCCGCGCCCTGTTGTTGTTGTTGTTGCTGGGCTGCTGGCGGCGAGTGGTGGTCGAAGAGGTTGAGCTTCTCCAGAGCGGCCAGTCGCTGCACCATGAGGATGGCCTCCTTGGGGGACAGGATGCCGGTCTGGCCGGGGTAGGGGTTCACCAGCCAGCGCTCCAACACCTGGGAGGGGCGGAGGGGAAAAAAAATTTCAAGGTGTGGTGTGATAGTGGTAAACTAGCCCTGATGGGGCGGAGGGTGGGAGGAGAGGGGGAGACGGAAGAGGGGAGGTTGGCGGGCCGAGATGGTGGTGCGAGCTGAAGACAGGAGGAGGGTGAGCTGAATGCAGGGAACCATGCGCATCCTGCAGCGCCCATCGGCGCCCATCCTGCAGCCAATTCCTACCTTGAGCATCTCCAGGAACAGCGCCGGCTCCATGTGCCGCGTGTTCTGCCCCGCCATCAGCCCAATCATGGACGACAGCACCGCCTTGCGCTGCTCGTGGTTGTGCAGCACGCGCGGCGCCAGCAGCCGCACGCACGAGGACACCACCCAGTACAGGCTGCCGTACTCGGGCTCCTCGGACTGGGAGGAGGAGGAGGGGGTGCGGCGGGCGCCCGGGTGGTTGGGGCCCATGTTGGCCAGCTCGCGAGCCGCCTGCTGCAGGACCTGGAGGAGGGGGGTGAGGCGGGGTGGGAGGGAGGGAGGGAGAATCAGGGAGTGACGGCAGCCTGCTTGTGTGTCCTTCCTAATGTGGAATTGCTACGTGCAAGCTATGTCATTGTGTGGCATTGCCTCCTCCGTTGCCTTTCGGCCAGACTTCCTATACCCGCGCGTCACTACCACACGCTCCCGCCCCAGCACCTCCCTCCCCTGCCCCCCTCCCCTTCCTACCCACCTTGCACAGCGACGGCACGCACTGGAATATGAAGTTGGCCGGCGCCACTCCCTCCAAGCTCTCCAGCAGCGCCAGGCAGCCGCTCAGGGCCTGCAGCAACCGCGGGTCGCCGCCAATGCTGCTGCCGCCGCCCGCAGGCTGCTGGGGCTGCTGCTGCTGCCCCGGCTGCTGCTGCTGCTGCTGCGCCGCGGTGGCCGCTGCTGCCGCCAGGTACTTCATGATCACCTCCTCGCACCGCCGCTGCACGCCCGCCAGCAGCGCGGAGGGGGCGGGGGCGCCGGGGGGCGCGCCGGGGATGGGCAGCTGCGGGGGATGGAAAGGGAGTGGGGTGGGGTGAAGACGCACGGAATGGAACAAAACCCACAAGAACAGCAAGGAGGTATGAACAGGAGTGCATCATACACCTCTCCACACCCGCACCCCTCCCCCCCTTCCTTGCACCCACCTCTGCCACCCCCTGCTGCGCCGCCTGCTGTGCCGCCGCCAGCTTGCCCTGCAGCAGCCGCATCATCTCCCCCACCTCCGTGGCGGTGCGCCGGTGGCGGCTCTGCAGGCAGGGCTCCACCAGCGCACCCAGCGGACCCGCGTTCAGGGCCAGCAGGTGCAGCGGCTGCGCCTCAACCAGCGCGCGACACACCTGCAGGCCGAGCGTGAGGTGGGGAGGGTCGGGGGGCGCGGAGGGGGCGGAGGAGGAGGAGCCGGCGGCTGCGGCGGCCGCGGCCTTGGCTTGCTTGGCGGGGTCGATGGGGGCGCTGAGGAGGCGCTCCAGGAAGGAGAGCTTGACCACCGTCTGGGGGAGGGGGGAGGGGGAGAGGCGGGGTATGGAGAGAGGGTGGGGAAGGAGTTTGGACTAAAGAATACTCGATACGAGTCACATGCAGACATGCTTGGCTACGTTTCTACGGAATTAAAAGCACCCACTGCCATCACCTACCACCCTCACACCCACCATCACCTTCTCACTACCCCAACTCCCATCACAATTCACACCGGATACCCCCTCCTTCCCCGCCCCCCTCCCCAGCCCACTCACCGCCGGCCACAGCCGCAGCGCCTGCAGCAGCACCTGCATGCCGTACCCCTGCTGCAGCGACGCCTCGTCCTCCTTCACACTCTCAGGCGTGATCAGCACAAAGCGAGCCAGGAAGTTGGTCAGCGTCTCCTCCATGTGGGGCGTGGGCCGGAACTCGTCATCAGCACCACCTCCACCTCCAGCACCACTGCCGCCGCCAGCTGCCCCCGGCGAGCTAACGGGCCCGGCGGCCGCCCCCCCAGCGGAGCCGCCTCGGAAGCTGCTGTACGACACGCTGCGGGACATGGCGCCGCCGGGCTGCTGCTGCTGTGGGGCGGGGCCGGCTGCAGCAGTGCCAGCAGCGTCCGTCATCTGAGCGTCGCCTGCAGCGGCTGCTGCTGCTGCTGCATGCGCTGTGGCCGCATCCGCCACCCTGGGAGACTTGAGAGGCGGCTGCGAGGCGCTCGCGGTGGCAGCCACCGCCTCAGGCACACCGCCGTCCTCACGCTGCCGCTTCACACCCAGACTCAACTGCGGGACGAGGGGTGCGCCGCCGGAGGCGGCGCCAACCCCCGCCGCTCCACCCCCACTACCCGCACCCGCCGCTGCTGCTGCCAGATCTTGTCTCTTGCGCTCCCACCCCACCACCAGCTTCGCCAGGTCGAGTGCCAGGCGGCGGTACTCGTAGGTGGCTCCCTGCAGCCCCAGCTTGGACAGCGTGTGCACCATCTGCCCCACGAACTGGCTGCGCGAGGAGTAGAAGAGGTCGGCGTGGCGCAGCACCAGCTGCCAGATGTGCACCACACTGGCCAGGCTCTGAGCCTCCTCGGACAGAACCTGGGGAGGGGAAGGAAGGAGGGACAGGAAGGAGGGGGGGAGGGGAGTAAAATAAGGAAACTGACGAGGCAACTGACGATCTGTATGACAAGGCTTTAAGGCTTCAGGGAGGGGAGGAGAGGGAGCGGATGGAGATTGTGATAGTCTCCCCCCCCCAATGCATTCCTCCCGCGCCGCAACCACCCCCGCCCCGCGCCCTCTCCTCCTACCTTTTTCGTGTAGCGCACCCAGAGGCTGATCTTGTTCTCTGGCGATCGCTGCACCTTTTCGTTGAGTGTGGGCACCAGCACGTCCAGCGCCTCCTTGATGAGCGGCTTCTTGGTGTCGGGCTGGCAGGCCTTCAGCAGCGCAACAAACACCTGGGGAGGAGGGGAGGCAGGAGCGGAGAGGGAGTTGCGGGCGGTAGTCGGCAAGATTGCAACCATCATCGGCCAACGCACTTTCGGTGCTTGGCAACCGAGAGCACCCCTGCAACACCAGCACCCGCCCCAAAGCACCAGCACCACAGGTGGTTCGGCCCCATGCACGTGCCAACCCACACTACCCCCCCCCCCGCCGCCTCCTGCACCACCACCACCACCTGCCTGCAGCATGATCTTTTCGGGCGCCTGGAAGTTCTTGAGGAAGTAGGCCACGTTGACAAAGGCGTAGGACTTGGTGACGCTGTCCTCCTTCTTGAGGTAGTTCCACCCAAACTTGATGAGCTCCTTCTTGTGCTTGTCCAGCAGCGAGGGCGAGTACTTGAACAGCTGGGTGCACAGGTGCAGCAGCTCGATGCGCAGGGACTCGCCTGGGGGGGGGAGGGTAAAAGGAAACAACTAACTGACTGAGGGATAAGGCGTCAACATGGGTTGGAACATGTGAGCCAGCCGACAGGGGGGCCCCACAGCTGCCCCCAGGGGGGGCAGGGGCAGCGGAGGGGGGAGGGGGGTCAGCCCTCACCACCAGTGTACGGTGCTGTGAATGACCTGACCGCCGACAGGGGCTGGGAAAGCCACGTTACAGCAGGTAAGGGCAGCTGCTCATATACCCTCCCTCCTCCCCACTTTCTCTGCCCCTCCTCCCCTCCCTCCTTCCCTCCCCTCCCCGCTCCCCCCTCTCACTCTGTCCCCCCGACTTGGCCTCCGTGGGGTCCAGCAGCTCCACCACCACCGCCTCCGCCAGCGCCTCCCCAATCACCTCCCGCTGCCCCGCCTCCAGCGCCTGCACCAGCATGGGCGTCACCAGCACCTGCAGCACGCGCTCCAGCTGCTCCCCCGGCAGCCGCCCGCCGCGGAACACCTCCACGTAGGCCGCCAGCAGCGAGCGCTTCTGGGCGGGGGTGTACTGCTGCGCCACCACGGTGCGGCAAAAGTCCTCGATGAAGCCGTAGTCCACGGAGCTCCGGTGCTGGGAGGAGGGGGAGGGGGAAAGGGGGAGGGGAGGAAGGAGGGGAGGAAGGGGTTTGTGTGGAGGTCAAGCAGCGTCCCTCTCATCCGCACCATAGACTGGGCTCCCAGCGCTATTTTCTCGGCTCTCATTGCCGCTTTCCCATGGTCCATTCCTAGCCAACCGGACCCTGCCAACTCCTCTCCCTCCCTCCCTCCCTCCCTCTCCCCCCTCCCTGCAGCTCACCAGGTGCAGCGAGATGACGTCGAACAGCGGCATCACCTCCTGCCGGTGCTCCCTCACGTACGCCAGCACGCACTTGGCCAGCCGCTTGCTCTCCAGCAGCTGCTCCCGGCTCACGGACGTCACCGCAAACCACACCTGCGCCGCCTGCTGAGACTGCTGCTGCTGCTGCTGGGAGGAGGCTGCGCCGCCAGTCGGTGCTTGCTGCGGTGCCGGCCCCAGCGCCGCCGCCTCCTCCGCCACTCGCGCCGCCCGGTGGGGGCTGTGCCAGCGCTGCATGATTGCCGCCATGATCTTGGGCTGTGCGGGCAGCCAGGCGGGCAGCAGCTTGGTGAGCACCCGCACCAGGTGCACCGCGTGAAAGGCGGCCTGGGGGTGCGCGGAGGGGGGCGGGGGGGCTGCGGGGAGGGAGGCAGGGGGGAGGGGAGGGACGGAGGAGAGGGGGGTGAGTTAGCAAAACCGGCCGCGATGAAGAACATACTGTGAATACGGGTTGCGCACATTAGTGCACCAGATATTATACTCCCAACCTACAGAAGAGCAGCCGCCATAATTCTTCTGCACGTAAGCACCATCATTCTCCCACCTAACCCCCTGCTCCTCACCCGTCCCCTCGGGCAGCTGCGCGGCGGGGTGCGGCGGGTCGTATCTCAGCAGCAGCGCCGCCAGCTGGTCGGTGGAGGCGGCCACTGCGTCCAGCAGCGGCCGACCCATGGGACTGCGGATCAGGTCCAGCAGCCGCGAGAAGTAGGAGGGCTGGTCCAGGCGCGCGGGGTCCAGGAAGTAGGCGGCGGCCTCGGCGGGGTACTTGGTGAGGAAGCGGGTGAGGGGGGCGCGGTAGGGGGAGGTCATCACATGCGGGACGGGGACCTGCAAGCGCGGGGGGGTGAGGGGGAAGGGATGGAGGGGCACATGGGGGGGGCAGGTTAGCGGGGCCCCATGTGGCTCAAAAAGGGAGATAGGGGTGACTTTCAATGGGCCCTTCATGACCATGGCGGACATCCACAACAACAATGACATCAGCTGCAGCAGCGGTCACCAGGTCTCCAGCCCCCTCAAAATTCCCAAATCCAGCCTAATGCGGAGTCTGTATCCCTATGAAGCCCCTCACCGGTAGGTTGAGCGCCGACAGCTTCTCCTCCAGCTCAATCGTCAGGATGACCAGCCCCGGCTTGGTGGGGCCCGCCTCCGCACCGGCGGCAGCAGCACCTCCCGCAGCCTGCTGCTGTTGCTGCTGTCCGGCAGCCGCAGCTGGTGCGGGTGCGCTGTGCGTCTCCAGGAACTTGACAGCCGTCTTGGGCAGCAGGTGGAAGAGGTCGAGCACCAGGGAGGCCACCAGCGCCTCCTCGCCGCTCTTCCATAGCACCTGAGAGATAGGGGAGGAGGAACAGGAGGAGGAGCGGCGGGAGTAGGAGGAGGAGGCACAAGTACATGGAAAGGTTGCTGGGTAAAAGTCCGTAAGCTGGGAGACTGGGAGGACGGGGGACGGTTGACACAGTAATATCCGTCCCACAAGGAAGGAAGGCCCTCATCACGTGGCCCGTTTACGCGGCAACGCGCCTCCCCTTCCCAGCCCCATCCCCCACACACCTGTCCCGTGAGTTGTTTCTCCGGGTTGAGCCAGTTCTTGAGGTGCTCAAGCAGCTTGTCCCCCAGCGTCAGGTTGAACCAGTCGCTCAGCAGCTCCAGCAGCCGGGCTAGGCCCTGTGAGGGGTGGAGAGGAGTGGGAGCAAGGAGGCAGCGCCATGAGACCACTAGCAGCAACAACACAGAAGGGGAAATAACTGGCTGGCGCTGCCCCGAAGCTCCACGACTCATCCTAATCCCACCAGACCATCTTACCCCACGCCAGCGCTCGTCCTCTCCTCTATACCTCCCCACCACATGGCGCTACCCGGTACACTCCCACACTCCATCGCCACCCCCCCATTGGGACCCCGGCTGCTGCATTCCTTCCCCCACCTGCAGCAGGGCCGGGTGCAGCTTGTTGTAGGTGGCCAGGTTCTGCAGCAGCGGCCGCAGCGTGGTCTGCAGCAGCTCCTTGGGCAGCCGCTGGTGCGAGATGATGAACTGCAGCCCCGCGCGAGCCGCACCGTGGATGTCCTCAGTGGAGGAGGTGAGGTTGCGGAAAAACATGCCGATCACCGACTCACGCAGCTGCTTCAGGTCGGCGCGGTCGCGGAACTCCTCCCAGCCCCAGACTGGGAGTGGGGATGGGGGTGGGGAGGGAGGGGGTGGGTGGAAAGGGTGGAGAGGGTTAAGGGGAGGCATGCGGAGATTGTGCGGTGAACGAGGGAGGGTAGGAGGAGATGATGGCGGCAGAGTAAGGTTGGTGGCGGACCGGAAGCGTAGGCCTTGGGCGGCCCGTTGCTAGTAGTACTTCAGCCCGTTGCGGTACACCTCGCTCCTCCCACCACCCCAGCCCACCCTAACCCCTTTCCCACCCCTCCCCACACCCACATGCGCTCAGCAGCTGCATGCACGCCACCCGCAGCCTCTGCAACGCATCCAACGTCACGTTGCGCGGCCCCGGCCCGCCGCGCCCGCCCGCGTACGTGCCCACCACGCCGCCCGGGCCCACCCCCTCGTCCTTCTGCGCCAGCTTTTGCGCCAGCCCCGCCTCGTCCTTCTCCGCAATCATGAGCGCCTCATGCGCCAGCGGCAGCAGCTGGTCGCTTAGCGGCAGCGGCGGGGGCTGCTGCCGGGCCACGGTGGCCAGCGCCTGCACCTGGCTCACCGTCACCTCCACATTCCGTATGGGCATCAGCCGCCGCGAGTGCAGCGGCGGGTTCATGGCCTGCAGCACGGGAGCCAGGTAGGAGGAGGGGCTGCGACCCATGGCGCCGGCGAGGCCTTTGAGAGCCGCCTCCGCAGCCACCCGCACCCAGCGAGGCAGCCCGGGGCCCACCATGCTGCCCACCAACACCTCCGCCACCGAGTCCACGACAGCGGTGGGGCACACCACAGTGGGTGCTGCGGCGGGTGCGGGTGCGGGGGGTGAGGAGCTAGTAGCCGCAGCAGTAGCAGGCGCGGCTGGGGTAGGTGCCCCCGCTGTTGTCGCGGGAGCTGCTGCTCCCTGGGCAGCCGTGGCGGCTGCAGCGGCGTCGTCGGTTTGAGCTGGCGCTGCAGGAGCAGCCGACGGCTCTCCGGACGCTGCGGCCGCCGGCGCTTGATCGCCCTGCTGTTGTTGCTGCTGCTGTACTACCTCCCCCTCCTTCGGCTGCGGCTCCTTGGCGCCCGTGTTGTTGCTCCTGCTGCTGCTGCCCTTATCGCAGCCATGCAGCACCTTGTACATCATCTCCCCCAGCGCCGCCTCCACCTCCTCCCGCTCCGCGCGGCAGTACTCCGGCAGCCAGCGCACCACGTTGAGCAGCGCGCGCGCGCACGGCACCGCCCAGCCGCACAGGTAGGCGGCAGGCAGCCGGCCCACCAGCAGCCGGAGCGCCGCCGCACCCGCCAGCCGGCCCTGCCAGCAGTCCTCGTGGCAGCAGTGCAGCACGCGCTGCATCACGTCGTCGATGATGGCGGGCAGGCCGTGGCTGGCGGCCCTGCTGGACTCCGCATCCGCAGCTGGGGCCGTACCGCTCGTACCAGCTGCTGCAGCAGCACCGGGACTAGTGCCAGCAGCGCCGCTAGTACAGGCAGGTGCGGTTGGAGCCGCGAGGGAGCCCTGCTCCTGCAGTTGGGCAGCAGCAGGAGCAGCAGCAGCAGCACCGGCGGACTGCGCGGCATGCTGGCTCCTGGCGCCATGCAGCAGCAGCGCCGTGTCCACGAAGGCAGCCAGACAGTCCAGCGCGGGCCGGGACTTCACCGCGGCCTTGTCGCACAGCACCTCCGTCAGCGCATCCAGGTACAGCTGGCAGTCCAGCTCCCGCAGCCCGCGAGGCAGCAGTGACGCGCCGCTAGGCCCTCCAGGCTGCCCCGCACCCGCCCCTGGGGCCCCCGCGGCCCCGCCGCCAGAGACACCCGGACTGGCAGCAGCAGCAGCAGCACCGCTGGGTGCACCCGAGGAGCCCGGGGCCGCTATCCCGCCAGGCGTGGCGCCCGCCTGGTTGCCTCCTCCTCCGTCGGGCATGGTACGCGCCATGACGGGTGCCGGCGGCGGCGGCTGCGTGCCGGAGATGAAGAGCATGGCAAAGTGCCGCGAGACGTGCAGCGCAAAGGGCTTGGCGTCGGCTGCGAGCGCCTCGTCTGCGGGTGCGCCCATGACTGCTGCCAGCAGCTGCACCAGGATCTGCCGCTCTGCCACCACCTGGGTCTTGGTCTTCACGCCCGAGTCCAACTGGCGCTAGGGGGCGGGAGTGGGGGGAACGGTGGGGCGAGGGGGGAGTTAGGAGGGTGCAATCTTGAGGTATTGTGCTGGACGGCTGTTTGGGTTGGAGGAATGTCATATGTATGGGAAGGGAAGCATGCATGGTGCCATTCCGGGCTCGCGGAGTCTCAGGAACTGAGCACATTCCCGTCCCCTGCCTCGCCCCCCTCCGCACACCGTGTCTCCGCACACCTCGTCCCCCCTAGATCCACATATCCTCTTGCAACCGGTACCAGCAGCCTCCTCCGCTACCCACCCCCCAGCGCACCTTGGGCATGGCCACCGCCACCTGCGGCGGCGGCAGCTCCCCCAGCACCAACTTGAGCAGCACCTCCACACCCGCATCCACCACCTGCGGATCAGACTGGGGGGCCACACTGCCGCCCTCCGCAGCACCCTCACCCGCAGCAGTCGCAACCACACCCGGTCCAGCCCCCCCAACCGAGGCCCGCTGCCGCGCTGCCCCCTGCTGCACCCCCGCTGCCGCTGCTGCCGCCGCAGCCGCAGCAGCCCTCGCCGCCTCCACCGCCTCCGCATCCGCCTCAACCTCCCGCACCCTCAGGTTCAGCATGGACGCCAGGCACACGTGCAGGAAGCGCAGCGCCTGTCGGCGGTAGTACCCCGGGTCGCCGCCGGGCGGCACCACCACACCCCCGCCTGCTGCGCCTGCTGCGGCTCCGAAGCCCTCCGCCCCGGCCGCAATGCCCGCCCTGGCCAGCGCCACGCAGCGGTCCACGGGCACCAGGAAGGAGGTGGACGGCTGGAAGGTGAGGATGAGGCGCAGGCCGTGCTCGGGGTTGTCTCGGTACTCCAGGGGGGTGGGCTCCTTGAGCCAGCGCCGGTTGAGGCCGCCCATCTTGCCCAGGAGGGCTAGAGCCTGGAGGAGGAGGAGCGGGGAGGAGCGGGGAGGAGCGGGGGGGGGGAGGTGGAGTTGGGCGTGGGGGGAAGGGAAGAACCCAACCCAACCCACATTAACCCACATGACCTCAACCTTACCCCCCTGCTACCCCACTTCTTTCCCTTCCTTTCCCCTCCCCTCCCCCACCTTTGTCGCCAGCGGGTTGTTGAACTTGAGCAGCGCCCACAGTCCGTGCATCAGGTCGGCGATCACCTCCTGCATGGCGGGCTCCAGGAACTCGGGGTTCAGGTTGTCCACCCACACCTCCAGCGTCTTCACAGCGGCAAGCGACAGCTCCTCGGGGCCGTGCTGCGGGGGGAGGGGGAGGCGGGCAGGTGGGTGTGCAGGTGGGGCGGGGCAATGCAGGACGAGCGCGGGAGAGGGCTGGTGTGCGGCTGCTATCTAGACATCCGGAGGAGGGACACCAAGGCATCGTCAAGATGGAACCTGCCTACAAACCAACAAACCCCCGCACACCGCCCTCACCCCTCCTCCCCGCCTCTCCTACCCTGATTGCCATGGTCAGCGGCCGCATGAGCCGCGGCAGCAGCTGCAGCACCCCCGTCAGCTGCGCCGGCAGCGTCAGGCAGATCTCCAGCAGCACCCCCCGCAGCTCCGGGGGGTGCGGACCGCCCAGCATGGCCAGCACCAGGCTCAGACAGGGCTCCACATGCGGCGACAGCGCGTTGTACATCACCTTCCATTTGGAGGAAGCCGAGGCGACGGCCTTGAAGAAGGAGCGCAGGAGCTGCATGTAGCCCGCCGCCTCGCGCTCCGAAACCGCGGCCCGCAGCGCCTTGTCCATCATGCGTGTGAGGTGCGGCAGCAGCACGGGCTCCATGTCGTGGTAGTTGGAGACGAAGGCGAAGAGCAGCTTGAAGAGCTTGAGCGCGAGGGCGCCCTCCTCGGAGGTGACGGAGGAGAGGAGCGGCAGCTGATGGTTGACCTGGGGGAGGAGGGGACGCGGAGAGGGAGTGGACGTGGACGGAGGCGCCTGACCCTACCCGGCGACACCCAACCCAATTCCGCGGCGTTTTGCTTTGGCGCTTATTGCCATCTCGCTTGCTTAGGTCTACTTCCCTCTAACCACCCCCCTTTCCCTCCCATTCCCATCTCCTCCATGCAGCCCCCTCCTAACCCCCCCCCCGGGCCCCCCACCATGAACTCCAGCAGCACCGCCAGCACCACCCTGCACGCCGGGTTGGCCGTCTGCCCCGGCAGCTGCGCGCCCAGCCCCGCGCTGCCGGTGCCGGACAGCAGGTGCATCACCACGTGCACCGCCTCCTTGTCCTCAAGCAGCGCGGAGAACAGGTCGGGAAGCCGGCCGGAGACAACCTCCACCAGGTCGCGGGGCTGGGGGGAGGAACGGAGAACCCATGCCGTCAGATGCCGCGAATGGGTGTGAGGGGGGGTGAGGGGTGCGAGCGGGGCAGGAGGCGCGTGAGGGTCAGGTTAGAGGGACAGTTGGTTAACGGTTAGCGATACTCGGATGCCTTCCTTTCTCATTCTCTTGGTCCACGATGCTTATTTCCTGCCTCGATTCCTGCCTGAAGTGCCATTCCCAGAGTCCTCGTCCCGCGCCATGCCCCCCTCCCCCCACCTCTCACCTCGAGCTGCAGGAACACGTCCGCAAAGGTCTCGTACGAGTCCTTCACGGCCGTCAGCGGCGCCGAGCCGCCCTGGTACGACACCAGCTTCAAACACCGCAACCCGTACGACCACAGCCGAGCCATCAGCCGAATCTCCTCCTCGCTCAGCCCCCCCGCCCCACCAGCCGCCGCACCCCCACCAAGCTGCTGCTGCTGCTGTTGTTGCTGCTGTACGACACTGTTGTACTTTGCTAGCGCGTACGCGAGGTGTTTCATGTGCGGCAGCAGCCCCTGCAGCATGTTGCGGCTCTCCACCACCTCCCGCTCCTTCTCGCCGGGTATGGTGACTGAGGAGAGCATGTCGTCGGGCCCCAGTGCCGCTGCGGCGCCCGAGGGGGAGCACATGGCGGCGCGCTGCCGGTCCAGCACCTCGCGCTCGGAGCGGGCCTCAGCGATCATGCGGGAGCCCTGGGGGGAGGTGGAGAGGGGCGAGGGGGGAGCGCAGCGGGAGCGGTAGGAGCACTAGTTTGACGAGATGTGCACAGCGCGTTAGGTTTGGTGGGTTGGCGTTTTTTGGCAGCAAAGAGGCGGTCCGTGGTGGTGTCTTGACGAGGTCCTCCCAACATCCACACCCCATATCCCTCACCCTTCTTCCCGCCCACCCGCCCTCCCACCTGCATCCGGAGGTGCTTCAGAGCCGCCACCAAGCTCTCCAAGATCCGCCCCAGCAGCCGCCGCCCCTGCGCCTTCAGCCCCTCGGGATCCGCCGCCGCACTCCCTGCCCCCGCGCCCCCCGCTGCTGCCGCCGCTGCCTGCTGCGCCGCCGCTGCCTTGGCCTGCTGCAGAATTGGGTCCACAAGCACACACATGGCCCGCAGACACGTCGCCCGAGTGGACGTCGGCAGCGAGGCATCGTAGGTGATGGAGGCAAAGAGGTGCGTGGCACGAGCCAGCTGGTGCGGCCGCAACTGCCGCCGGCAGTTGTGCACTATCTCCGCCAGCAGCCCGCACGCGCCGTGACGCAACGTCTCCGTGCACGCCCGGCCCGCGCCGCACAACGCGCGCTCGTCCATGAGCTCGTCCATGTGCGCCGGCAGGTGCGTGCGCACGGCGGTTTGCAGCATGTGCCGCGTCACGATCATGAGCTCCTTGCGTGTGGTTACCACATCCGGACACTGCCGTAGCAGGTGCACCAGTGCTTCCGCAATGGCGGGCACATGGGGCTCAATGGGGAAGGCCAGGGAGGCGGCTGCGGCGGCCGAGGCGGAGTGCCGCCCGTCGGCTGCCGCCGCTGCCGCCGCCTGCTGTGCAGTGTATGCGTTGCGCAGCAGCCAGAGGAGGTACTGCAGGCAGCGGACCTGCACCAGCCGGAAGTCCGCGTAGTGCTGCGCGAGGGGGCCGCGCACGTGCGGGTCGGAGAGGGCGGGGCCGGGCAGGCAGGCTGCGCGGATGATGAGGGGGACGAGCTGAGGCAGCACCACGGGGCGCAGCCGCTCGTAGGCGTTCATGAGGTACATGACTGGGGCGGGTGGAGGCGGAGGGAGGCGGGGTAGAGCCAGGGGTTGGGTGGGACGGGTAGACGAGGAAGAAAGGAGATAGTGAAATGCAGCACGGTGTTTTCACCTGACGGATCGACACTCTAGTGCATTTCGTCTTCTGGCACCAGCTCCCAGGCATTCCATATTCACTACCACCCGGACACCGCGGAGGTAACGCTCCAACCCCTTCCAGGCCCCCCAAACTCCCATCCATCCCCTCCTCATCAGCTCAGTTCCCGCCTCCCCTCGTCTCCCCTCTCTGCCCCACCCCACACTCACCCACGAACGGCTGCTCCGCCAGCACCTTGAAGGACTTGAAGCCGGGGATGGCCTGCGAGGGCACCTTGGCGTACGGCGGCTCGCCGCCCTCCGGCCCCGGGTCCAACACCTCGGAAACCGTGGAGGAGAGGTTGGCGAAGCACTGGGGAGGAAGGAGGCGGCGTGGGGCGCGGGAAGAAGAGAGAGAGAGGGTGAGGAGAGCAGGGAGGTGCAGCTGGGAAGCAGGATTGACGGTAGAGGTAAAAGCGAGAGGCGTAGGTGATCCGAGGTACCAGGTGCGAAGGCAGCGGGGCCTTGGCCATGTAGCATTGCCGACTCAGATGCCAGGGACGATGTAGCAGAAGGTGCTTGCTGAGTATTAGCAAGCGTACACTGAGTAGTAAACCCAGCGTTGACCAGTGGCATGGAGCCTAAGCCCCCCTGCTGCTGTGAGTTGCTGGCCTGGTACCTCACACTGGACAGCACGGATGGGGCGCTATTGGCTTTGCCAGCAGAAAGCACAGCCAGCATGTCCAGTTACGCTCATGCAATACCCCTTTAGGGTATGGAACCCCTGCTGCATCCCGGGGCCCCACCTTCATGAGAAACTGCGCCAGCAGCGACCCCTGCCCCTCCAGAAAGGTCCTGAAGCCCTTTTGCAGGTCCAGGAGCAACTTGATGGCAGGCAAGCCATTGTCCTGGTTGTCTGTCTGGACTACGTTCAGACAGACGTCATATAGTTCAACTATGTGGCTGCGCAAGGCTTCGTTTTGTGGCAGTCGTGTGAGGATGTCCACCACATTGTTACGGAGCTTATGCTCAGGCGTATCCGCAAATTGTGGTGGAACTGTGCGCAGAATATCACAAAACGGTCTGAAAAACGTTGACAAGAAGGAGGAATACTCCCCGGTCAGCACAATCTCAATATTTTCTTTCAGCTCCGATGCGACCTTGACCTTCTCGTCCACAGCTGCAAGCAGCAAAGGCGTCGGTCAAGCGATGCTTACTTTCTAACTACACCGCGCGCATGTGCACGCAACTCACAGGACGCCGGGTCCGTTAGCCGCCTATGATGGTCAGAGTATTGAAACATGGCCGCTCTTGCGGGGGCCCTGAGGGCCCGCCGCTCTTAGTTGTGCATTTACTCAAGACCGCCAAAATGAGACCGCGATGCTGCGTAAGGTTATAAAATATGTTTGCAGTATCTATTTCATTCGCCTTAAGGAAGAACGCTATCTTTCGGCTATTCCCGCCTGCAACTCATTTCATGCAGTGCAGCAGCCTGCACGGCTCCCGTCATGAAAAAAGCCCAACAACAGCCTCATACACATAACACTTATTACTTCAAGCATATGCATATATATTTCTACACTTCTGCGTCCAGGCACAAAGGTGCCCTTACTTGTTACCGTGTCGCGACGCTTCCTTTACAGGCTTACGCTTTCTGTAGAACGGTTGCAAACTAATTACACGCATTGGCGTCTCCAACATCAAAGAGTTGCTTTCAGATATCGCTATTGGACAGCACGGCGCACTGCCAACCCTGACGCCTGACCTCTCACAACAAACGCCTTTTACAGCTGGACGCAATTACCTTATAGCGAATTGCTGAGCGCTAGCCCACAGCGACCATAGACGCGTGACACCTCGGCGTACGTTGCTTTGGGACCGAAATGGCTGACGACGAGTGGTTGCGTTTCCAGGTAAGGGAGAGCAAGAAGTCGGATGCGCCCAGAGCACCGTAGACTGTACAGCGTCACGCTGGGATTTGTGCAGGCGGAGCTAGCGGCTGTGGAGCAGCAAGCAGGCGACCCGGAGCCGACGCCTGCGGCCGCCTTGGCACCTCCGCCCACGCTGCCGCCACCTGCCAGGCCACCACCACCCACACGGCCTCCGCCGTCTGCAGTGGCTCAGGCACCGCCCGTGGTGACTAAGCCGCCAGCGCCAGCATCCGCAGCCGCGCAGGTGCGAATGGTCATACTAAGCAGGCCATGGGGGCCCATGGCTCCTGTCAAACACATTAGCTGCCTTATGCAGGGCGCGTGTTGATGCGCTCAGCTAAGGTGTGGAGGGAAGTTACTGGCCTTCGGCTGCTCTGGAGCTGGTTAGACACTGTTGCACTGGAGTGGGGGTGGCTTCTTAAGCCAGCTAGCACTCGAACACAGCAGCGCCTGCGCCCTGCACTCCACCTCCGCATCCATTATGGGGGGTCCTCCCGACCCGGCCCCTCCTCGCAGCTCCGTCTGCGCCTGTTCACAACTCCCCTTTGTGCCCCTGCCGCACCCCAAACGCCCCCAGTTCTCAGCTCCGCCCGCCACGCTGCCGCCGCCCCCGCAGCCGCCCATGTCTGCCGCCCCCCCGGTCAACCCGGGGGGCTACCAGCAGCCGGGCATGTACGGCCAACCGGGTGGGTGCAGGCTGGGAGTGAGGAGGGGGACCTGGGGTTGCTGGCGCGCAGAGAGCGGAGTGGGGGGGTGGGGTCGGGGCGTGCTGGGCCCCAAGGAATGACCGCGACCTGACCTGACCAAGGTGGTCAATGGCTTGATGTGATTGGCATGCGCGGGGCGGCTCAACAGGGGTCCTTCGCTATGTGGCAAGAGCAATTTCTTGGGCGCCTTCGCCGCTTGCCTTTTCGGTACTGTAACCTGTGGTCCCTATTGCCGGTGCAACCCCCCCTCTGTGGCTCCTGTGTAGGCATGGGCGGTATGGGAATGGGGGGCATGGGCGGTATGGGGATGGGGGGAATGGGGATGGGCGGTATGGCAATGGGTATGGGAATGGGTGGGATGGGTGGAATGGGGATGGGTATGGGAATGGGCGGCATGGGGATGGGTGGGATGGGCATGGGCGGCATGGGCATGCAGCAACAGCAGCAGCAACCCCCCGCGGCGGCTGCTGCTGGCGGCTCCGCTGCCGCTGCTGCTGCTGCCGGCAAGCCGGGCGGCTCCAAGGGGCAGCAGCCGGGCGGTAAGAAGAAGGTGCTGCTGCGGGAGGCGGGCGGGGAGAAGTGGGTGGACCCCAGCCTGAACGAGTGGCCGGAGAACGACTTCCGCATCTTCGTGGGCGACCTGGGTAACGAGGTGACGGACGACCTGCTGGCCAAGTCCTTCTCCAAGTACTCCTCATTCGCAAAGGCCAAGGTGGGGCGGGAGGCTGGGGTGGGGAGGAGGAGGAGGTTGGGGTTGTGAGCGCTGGGCGGCACGGTTGTGGGGGCGGGTGATGCGACGGTTGCAAGGTCGAGATCTGAAGGTACTAGGCTTGTAGCAATCCGTCGTCGTTTTAACCGCATGCTAACGCGAAACGTTAGCGGCCCAGGTAAGCGGTACGCCGCCCAATCATTCCCTCGCGGCTCCCGGGCGCAATCCAGTACCCCCCCCTACCCCCCTCCTCTCCCGCACCCCCAGATCGTACGCGACTCCCGCACCAAGAAGAGCAAGGGCTACGGCTTCGTGAGCTTCCTGGACGGTAATGACTTCGCCAAGGCGCTGCGTGAGATGAACGGCAAGTACATCGGCAACCGGCCCTGCAAGCTGAGCAAGAGCAGCTGGGAGGAGCGCACGGTACGCAAGGTGAACATGCGGGAGCCGCAGGCCAAGAAGCAGAAGCGGTGATGCGGAGGAGGAGGAGGGCGAGGAGGGGAAGGAAGGAAGAGAGGGGTTGAGAGGCGGTGCGGAGGGTCGACTTGGATTGAGAGAGAAGGATGTTGTGCAAGGGGATGTGTTTGTTCGGAGGGTTGAAGCCATGTTAGGCTGCAACTGGGCGGCCAAGCAGGTGTCTTGGTTGGGAGAGGTTGAGGCTGCGGAGGAGGATGCTGGGTCTGGCAGGGTCAGGAGGAATGGTGCGGCATCCAAGGATGGGCGGACAGCTTCCAGCTGTGGTGGTGCTGGATTGCTTGGCAGGTGCTCATGGCATACGGTACCTGTATGCTCACACACGTGCAGCGAAGCACACGGCTCAGTGAAGTTCGCTGTGGGCTTGTTACAAGGAAGAACAGGCGCCATGTGAGACATGTCGCTGACCGCTTGTGAGGCACGTGAGCAGTGTACGACCCTGACTTCCTGCATATCGACACACCTAGGCATTGGATACCCAAACGGGGTTTTAAGAGAGGAAGACGTCCTCCGCGTGTCTTCATCTACGGTAATTCTCTGCAATTGCATCAAATTGCATGCTGCATAACATGGTAATCGTGAACAACGTAACAACGGCATGCAACAGCGGCTCATAAGGGAACACAAACACACGGAAACCCCTTGTACAGGATCGCAGAGGAGAGAGCACTGGAATCACAAGGCAAGTTCTGTACCTATCTACACTACCTAAAGCCCTGGCTGCTCTGTCACCAACATCTTAATAGCAAGGGCAAAGCCGACATCCAGCCTGCGTCGTCTGTCATCACAACATGAATGGATGCAGTGCCAAACCTCCGAGCTGTTTGCAAGCACGGACCTACACAGTGACCAAAACACGCCACTACTGCCTACGGACACCTTGAATAGCAAGCCGATGAACATGCACGGCTTAAGAGCCCACTGGCACCTGTTGATGCCACAAGCACGCCATAAATACACCGCCAACGAATTATATATATACCCTTGCTTTGATCAACCCGCATCCACGCCGGTATGTACAACATGCCGTTTGCAAATGGCAGGACGGAATGGTATGACTAGATACTGTTACACGTAAACAGAACAGGACAGAACATTCATGCATGCACGCTGCGGTTTGGCAAACTCCCGCGTGGTACGACACAGTACTCCAAATACGACACGGATCGCGGATCTCTCTTTTGTCAGCCGTTCACACGGTATTCTTGCACGGCATGGTCTTTGCCATGTACGACATCATGCCACTTGTATCGAAAGGGAGTTTGGGAACGTGACGGTAACCTGACACGACCACATCCCGGCTGACCCAAGCCCACACGCTCACACCCAGGAACGGATTGCCGACCTTCTCATAGCCAGCACCCAGAGTCTGGTTCAGGACAGCGAAGGCGTTGGGAATGTAGCTGTTGGTTAGGTTGTTAGCGTCGTACATTGGGTAGCCTGGAATGGTCTTGGCTGGATTCGTGGTGGAGATGCCGGTCTGGAATTCACAGGCGGAGGCGGCGAAGGGGAGGCCAATAGAAAACTTGCCGTACTTGGACGTTGCGGCGCTGGTTAGGACGACCTTGACGTTCGTCAGAAGGTTGGTCTGGTAGGTCTTAGGAGTTTCTGGATAACCGGCTTTTGGAGAGTCGAGATCGTAACCGGAAATGACTGCGTAGCCATTAGGGCCCAATGCGTCGTACAGGTCAGCGTCGGCTTGACGGGGGCCCACGAAGAAGGCGAGGAACTTCGGCTTGGCGCAGGTTGAGTTGTCACGAAGGTTTTGTGAGAGGCGTCGAACGAAGGTCAGTGTGGAGTTTTTGTAGGTTGCGCTGTACGGCTCAAGGTCGAGCTGGATGCCATCCAACGCGGAGGAGTTGCAGTACACACGGGCGTAGCTGTCGGCAAAGGCCTTCACCTTTGCGCTAGTGAGGGAATTGAGGTTGGCGCTTCCGGACAAGATGCCATCAATTATGGCACCGACGTGGGTGACGTAGGGGATTGAGCGGAAGGACTTCGCTGCGATTTCGGTTAGCTTTCCGATGACCGGTGACTCTGTCGGGGGGTAGGCAGCAAATCGCATGATACTTCCTCAGTGAAGACACCCACCGCGGCAGTGGCAATGTTGGAGGGTCAGCCATTCCACCACTTACGATAGGTGATGTCAAAATCCATGCTGTAGACGTAAAGCACCCGGATCGCCCTTTGCGGCCCAGCTAGGGTGTTATAGTTGGTAATCTGCTGTTTCCACAAGTCGATTTGTTGCTGGGTTTCTACATACAGCCATGCACCGTTTCCCTTCGGAGTTGCCACCACAGCAAGGTTATCGGGAAGTATTGCAGAAGACGCGATGCCCAGGACAAGTGCAAGGGTAAAACCTCTCAATTTAACAGCGTTTGGGTCCATCGTCTAACAAGAAGTCAGCCGTTGCTCCCTCCGTTGCTTAACTAGCCTTGTATATCTTTGGTAATGAAGCAGCTCTTTGCATTAAACTGTGCTTATATATTTGGTATGTCGATAAATACATGGAATGTTTGGTACGTTTCCTACATTCCTGCCTTCTGCTCAAGTTCTCCCGTACAACAGCGGCCGGCTTCCTTGCCGCTGTGCCGCTGCCAGTAGTTACGTAAGGCGTTTACCCCGTCCCAAAGCTTTGTGTTTGAACTTGAACATTCAACTCCTTCAGCACAGCTGCCGCATTGCGCCAAGTCTGCTTGCTTACTGCAACACTAAACCTCTCGCCGTTATGCAAGATATATACAAGTCAGCATAACTGTGACGCCAGTTTTACGGTCGTGGGTAAGAGGTAATTCTCCGGGGAGTCAACGCGTTGCGTCTTCAAGCCGCGTTGCGGTCGAGGGTGTTCGACGATAGGGCATCTTCGTCACGCTAGATGTTTCCACCCTGTTATTCAGCTAGAACTCGGAGAGGGTGCTGGGTACCGGTATGCCAAAGTGTTTTATGAAATGTTGTGTTTCGTCGACATGGCGTTGGCATTCGCGTTGGCAATGCCGCCTGTGCGCAGCCGCTTGGGCGCTGAGCTAGGATGTAAGGGCCATAATTTGCTAGCCTACGGACCATAATTTGGGGGCCTTGGGACTAGATCGGGTAGCGCTACAGTTAGGAAATGGCATGGTAAAGCACTGCTGCTGCTGTGTCCTATACGCCCGCAGATATTGCTAGCCTGTACCTCTACTACTTGTGCAATACGCGCGATGCGCAGGCGACACACGGAAGGTCCCCTCCCCTCCACGGCTTGCGCCAGGAGGGGAGGGCGGAAAGCGAATTACATGGTAAAATCAAAAACTCAAAACAGTCTAACGCAAACTAACAGTACCTTCAGCACAGAGGAAACCCACGAACCCGCACCGTTTACATGGCCCGTCGGTCGCACATGTGTAGTAACCGTTACATGACAACACCCAGAACACCCAAACCTAAGACGCAACACACGAGGATTTCAAGACACACGAGGCCAAGCTCCATTGTCCCCGAGGGAACTGCACGGAGCTACGGCGACAGCATGGACGTGACTGCCGGCGCAGTCCAGCCTGGTGTGGACCGGCATGCACGGCATCCAAGGAGGTCATCTGCCTGCATGTGCCCGGTGGCCTGGGCGGCGGACGAGCAGGGGGAGGAGCCGCAGGGGGAGGAGCCGCAGCGGGAGGAGCCGCTAGCTGCTATACGTGTGGCGGCACGGGCGGGTGGTGGTAGAGCGTTGTGGAGCTGCGGCTGCGGTGGCTGCATGGGCAGCACCGGGCTGCGATGGCTGGCACGACGTCTTCTGGGCGGCTCCCAGCAGTGGCTGCATGGCAGTAAAGGGATTGGCTGGAGCGCAGAAGTACGGATCTCCGGTGAATGATCGTTTAAGAAAGAGGAGGAACTCTTGGGTTTGTGCGTACAGGTGACCGGGTTCAGGGTAAGAACAGGGGCCCAGGGAGCCACGCCATGCACGCGCTTGCAGCGGTCATGATGTCTCTGGAGCGGCACGCCTGATATGCTGTATGGGGCCGCATGCACCGTTGGGCCTGATCCTGTTGAGAAGCCTGTCGCAGGCAGCCAAACGTTGACTGCGCTTGGATGAATGTTGACTGCGCTTGACTTTCAAGGCGTGTGCGAGATACGCCTTAACTGATGGGCAACGGGAGATAGTTTCGGGGATGGTTTGGCACCGCAAAGACTGGTACCGCTCCAGCTGTTATGGTGCCGGGTAGGAGTGATGTAGCTGAACGATGTAGCCGCTGGCTGGCTGCAATGACAACTGCCCCTGCCACGCTGCTTTAACTTGCAGCCCTTGTCCGCACCTCAATGTCCATGCAATGCATGGAATGTCCACTGTACTCCGGCGGTACGGCACATTTGCAAGGCGGTTGGCCCGTACACGCAAACGCTATCAGGTAAACAGCAAAGTTTGGTTTTGGTGTCACTCCATTAGCCATGGCTTGCCTGCAAACCAAGGTTTCGCAGTCTGCGTGCAGTGCGGTCCGGCGACAGCAACTTGTCGCCGGTCGCCTGACCGTTTCTAGGCCTACGACTTTTGTACCTACCCATTTTGCTCAACAAGGATGCCAACAACAAGGATTTAACGCGCAGGGTAGGACTTAGCGCTTTTGGCTATGAAATGCTCATGCACATTCGGCGGCCGTCTCACGCATTGCGTTTCCAGCAGGAGCTACTGGCATCGCAGCGAACCGTGATGCCTGCATCGCGCGCGCTACATATCATGGCGCGGTGATGGCAGAGGCTGGGAGCAAGTATGCAATCGTCGTGGCAAAGTTCAACAGCCTAGTTACGAAAGGGCTCCTGGAGGGTGCACTGGAAGTATTCGAGAACCATGGAGTACCTAAAGACCACGTTGATGTAAGGAATATTATCGGTCGCGGCATTGGTTGTTGGATTCTCAGCCGATCAACGTTCTGTGTTTTGGTGCAGGTCGCGTGGGTGCCTGGTGCCTTCGAGCTGCCGGTGGTGGCTAAGAGCATGGCGAAGTCCGGGGCATATGCGGCCGTAATCTGCATCGGCGCTGTGGTAAGTTGCAGTCGGCAGGAGTCCTAGAGCAAGCAGCCGCACTCCTCATGGCCCTTCTCGGCATTCAAGGAAGGGGAATGTTTTGCTCACTAGGGGCAAACTACCTTAAACCCCCTCCCTCACCCCTGCAGATTCGCGGGGCAACGTCCCACTACGACGCTGTGGTTGGCGCTGCTACGAGTGGCGTGCTGGGAGCTAGCACGGACACGGGTGCGTGGGGTGCCGTTGCATGCTGGTCGGGAGAATAACGCATTCTTTCCTGCCCTGCTATGCCACACGTCCTCCAAATCCAGTCACACCGCCTTGCTGTCCACTGTGCGCCCTCACGTTGAGGGTCTCTTGGGCCAGTTACGGTACTCACGGAGCAATGTTACTGACTGACAGTGTTCCTCCTCCCTTCCCAGGTGTGCCCGTGGTGTTCGGGGTGCTCACGACCGATAGCCTGGAGCAGGTAAGGCGGGTGATGCCCCATGGTGCAGCATCATGGGTCATACGTGTTACCGTACCGGCTGCCATGCCTGAACCCCTGCCACACGGTGATTATTTCGCAGGCGCTAGACCGCACGGGAGGCAAGGTGGGCAACAAGGGTGGAGAAGCGGCCCTGACGGCCATCGAGATGGCGTCATTGTTGTCCAAGCTGAAGGCGGAGGGCAAGGCGGCTTGGTAATTTGGTATGCAAACGGGTTGTCGGTACTGTTAAGCAGCCGCACAGGGTGCAGCGTCATGTCAGCGGTAGCGAGACTGGATGGGGGAATTTTGTTGACACACGAACCCGGAGTTGTCACGCCCGCCCGCTTAGTGTGGCCGTTGCTGGTGGTTGCCCGCCGCGTGTTATAACTATAAGGTTTGCACAGCAGGGCGGTATAGGCACATACCAGTGCTGGCAACCTAGGGACATTCCTGCACGCAAGGGAAGGACACGAGTGCAAAGTTTTGCTGCCGATAATACTTCTACCTTTGTAATTATAAGGCTTCTACATAGCCTAAAATGTGCTATAGGCGAGCCTGAAGTCCATCTTGTACGGCCAACGTTCGGCCACAAGGACTTGATGAACCTCCTCAGTGTTTCACCCCAGCTCAAGCATTTTCTTAGGATAGTAAAATGGCGACTTTTGGTTTGCAGCAGCGGCTCTTGCAGCCTACGGCCGGCGTCCGCCGGTGCCCAGCACCTTTTAGGCCAGTGGTGCCTAGCAGGCTCCAGCGCCTTCAGGATATCGTAGTGCATACTGCTGCAAACTATGAGCTCGATGAGGAAGTTGAGATCATCGTTAAACCACAGCAAAATCTGCGGCGCGAGAAGCCTCGCTCCAAGCGCTTCAAGGCGATGCGGACGAAGACGCCCGGGCGCACGACGGAGATGGACCCCAAGGAGGCAATTAAGCTCGTAAAGCAGACAGCTTCCACCAAATTCACGGAGAGCGTTGAGTTCCACGCCCGTATGGGCCTGGACCCGAAATTCGGAGACCAGCAGCTGCGCGCTACGGTGTCGCTGCCCTTCGGCACCGGCAAGGAGCTGCGCGTGGCCGTTCTTACCCAGAGCGACAACGTGCGGCTGGCCAAGGAGGCCGGCGCAGATGTCGTCGGTGGGGATGACCTCATTGAGAAAATTAGCGGCGGCTTCCTGGAGTTCGATAAGCTGATTGCCACCCCGGACATGATGCCCAAGGTGGCTAAGCTGGGTCGTGTGCTGGGCCCGCGCGGTCTCATGCCCAACCCCAAGGCGGGCACGGTCACGACGGACGTGGCGGGGGTAAGCAGGGGCTGCAGAAAGTATTGCAAGGGAAGAGGGGTTATGCTGGTTGGGTAAATCACGCACCACACAGAACACGAGCTGTGCATGTTTGGAATCACCAGTGGAATCACCGCGTTTGGCTTTGGATGGCCGTCAGGGGCTGCTCCGTTCGGGGGGGCACTCCTGGGGTTCTTCCGGGCTACTCGCACCTCTTGAGCGCTATCCCATAGCTGACGAACCTTCCGGCCGGCAAAATCCGCAGAGCACCTTTTGCCGACCCACATGCGCGCATGCATGCATGCGTGGGTGACCTAGCCCCCTCGCCTACCCCTCCCCGTACACTTGGTCCTGTACCCACCCATAGCTGATGAGGAGGAGGTCGGACCCCATGGCTGTTCCACCCCAAAAACCCTACACTCCCCACCTGCTGCCTCCGTCCCTCTCCCACCTCTGTCCCTCCCCCTCCCCTCCCCTCCCCCCTCCCTCCCCCTCCCGCAGACCGTGAAGGACTTCAAGGGCGGCAAGGTGGAGTACCGGCTGGACAAGACCGGCAACGTGCACGTGCTGTTTGGCCGTGCGGACTTCAAGGAGGAGGACCTGCTCTTCAACCTCAAGGCGGTGCAGGTGGGGGCGGGGGCGGGAGGGGCGGGGACGGGAGGGGCGGTGCAGGTGGGGGCGGGGACGGCAGCAGAGGGCGCGGGGGATGCGGTGGCCGAGGGATGTGCTGATGGGGATGAATGTTTCATGCGGCACAGCGGCGTGCATGCGGGGGCTAGGAATGAGGTTGGAACGGTACGTCGTCGATCTCCCAACCAACCGTCATCCCGTCCTTTCCCTCCGGCCTCCTTTCCCTCCCCCGTACCCTCCCCCCCCTCAGGAGTCCATTGAGTCCAACAAGCCCTCGGGCGCCAAGGGTGTCTACTGGAAGAGCATGTACGTGTGCAGCACCATGGGCCCCTCGCTGCGCCTCAACGTGTCGGCGCTGCAGAACACCAAGGGCAAGCCGGAGTGAGCGGGGTAGTGCGCTGCGGTGTGAGGAGCTGTGGGGAGCTGTGGGAAGCTGGGGAGGAGGAGGAGCACAGGGGTGGTCGGCTACAGCAGCCCGGGGAGGAGGAGCCGCAGTGGTAGGAGCGGCAGCATCGGTGAAGCGGATCATGGCCGTGTTATGGGAGTTGTGGCAGTAAGGGGGTCTTAGCGGCGGGTGGGAGGGGACTCCTGCGTACTTGCATGGACGGCGGTTATTGCGTGCTGCATGCACCAATTTTGGTTTCTAATGGCCGCCTGGGCGCAGTGGATGGGTTGGGGTTTTAATCGTCCCGGCTTTAGCGGTATCATGCTGGGCTGCTAGGTCGTTTTGTTGGGAGGCCTGGCCGTGGTTTTGGTGTAAAGTTTGGTTGAGCAGCAGAGAAGAAGATATACGTCGGTGGTGCCCGATTCCTACTAGGTCGTGTCTAGGCAAGGGGGCGACAGACGTGAGGTTGACACACATCTTGCTGAGAGCGACAAGAGACAAGAGGTAGTAGTGGAGGGTACAGGTTCACACCTCCTGGCGTCCGACACATGAGCGATGAACATGACCTTGTTTGCAAGTACGATGATTTGTAATGTTTTTGCCCACTCCCCTTCAGCGGCCGCAGCACCACCAGTAGCCACATGAGGAGTAAAAGGAGAATTCCCAATGTGTTGGATGATAATGGCAAACAAGAAAGACAAGCGGAGGAGACGCGCGCCAGGTGGAGTAGTGCAGCGGAGCTGGCTCACAGCAGTGCGCGTTGCTCGGTGTGTTGGTTGGAACTTTCTCCGCCAGAGTGCTCAAGCCTCAAGGGCGTCCAAAAGCAAAGGGACATGGTTTGACCGGGGGCTTCTGTCCCGTTACATGACCAGTCTGTAAACCCGGACACTGACATAGAACAACCCTACATGAGCAACAAAGGCTACTGGTTCCCCTCCTCCGGAGCCCAGTAGCCAGGGCCCCCCTCGTGGTGCCACTGCTACTGAGTCTTGTGCACGCTGCAGAGGCTACTTGATGCTGAAAACATATCCGCACAGGAGGTTCCTCCATATGTACATCCCCGCCGTACAACTGTGCCGTACAAAGGCACGGAGCAGATTCTCCTAAGGTACCGTATCCCAGGACCCCGCAACCGACACTACCGCACACCCACCGTCTACAGTACCACACACCCACAGCATAACGGTACGTAGGACACCGAATGTGACAGCGCTCTCTATCACTATTCACTAATGTACATCCATTGTCTTGGCTACGGCTACGAAAAAGATTTGCCAACTGCTCTTATGTACAATCCTCGCTTCGCACGCATGGGATCATCGCGTCCGTCACCACATCCGCAACCGCCGGCCCGGACCCCAGGTTCCCCGCGCCCCCTCCCGCCAGCCCTCTGAAGCCACTCCAGCCGACATCTCGTGACCCGCACGCCCTTGTCACCCGCAGTTGCTTATCTCTACTACTCTATATCTGCTTCCTTCCCTACAACGCACGCCTCTTCTGCATGCCTCCCTCCCTGCGTCGCTCTACGCCCTCTCCACCTGCCCTCCTTCCGCACGCCTTCCTTGTCCCCTCAACCGCACGCCTCCGCCTCTACTCGCCTCCCTCCCTCCACCCGCACGCCTTCACCTCTACTCGCCTGCCTACTTCCGCCGCCCCCCACACACCCGCCGGTGCCCCCCCGCCCAGTGCGCCCGCTGGCACTCCCCCCCGCAGTACCACACCTCCCTGCACCCGCCGCACCGCCGCAGTGGCAGCCCCGCCTCGCTGTCCCCCTCCAGGTTGGCGCAGTCCGGGTTGCCGCAGGTGCGCAGCTCCCCGCCCCCCTCCTCCTCCCCCCCGGGGGCTGGTGGTCGCCAGGTGGCCGCATGCAGCAGCAGCCGCCCCACCTCACTCGCCCATGCCAGCCCTCCGCAGCAGGGGAAGTCCGGAGGCTGCTGCGGCTGCTGCGGGGCCGCCTCCGCCTCCGCCCCCGCCCCTGCAGGCCTCGCAGGCCTCGCAGCCTCCTCCGCCTCCGCCAGCCCCGGGTGCCTCCGCAGCAGCCGCCTCCGAACACCCTGCAGCAGCAGCCGCACCCGCGCCGCATCGCTCATCTCGGGACCCATCACCACCACCAAATCCAGCAACCCCCCTGAACTAAGGTCCTCCGGCGGGAAGGTAGCCAGTGTGCCGGCCTGCATCGCCGCCAGCACCTCAGCCGGGAAGGCCGCCGCCATACACTCCAGCGCCGCCCAGAGCTGCTGCGCCGCCGTACAAGCCGCCGCCGTCTCCGCCGCCGCCTCGTCATCCTCCTCCTCCGGCTGCGGTGACGGCGGCGGCGGCGGCGGTGCGGAATCCGATCGGAGCTCCCGCAGCTCGGCTGCCAGGAGGGATATCACCGCCATATCCTCCAGCAGCAGCGTCCGCCAAATGGAGGTTGTGGAGCCGCCGCCGCCGCCGCCCCCGGATGAAGTCGCACCGCTGGCGTCTGAAGCGGCGGCGGCGGCGGGTGTTGTTTGCGCGACCGCCCTGCAGTGTGCATGCACCAGCGGCGGGACCCAGGACAGCAGGTGGCGGGACACGGGGTTGCCACCGGGTGGCTGCAACGGGGCCGACGGAGCCGACGCCGGCGTCATGACGGCTGCCGTACGCGCGGCGGCGGGCAGCCACGCCCGCAACGCGACCCAGATGAAGTGCAGCAGCTGCTGGCAGGGGCCGGGGGACCATTGAAGCGCTGTGGCGGACGTGTTGCCGCTACAGCCCCCGCCAGCGTCAGACGAGCCAGCGGCGGCGGCGACGTCGCCGTCAGGAGCCGCAGCGGCGGCCGCCACAGCCGACGTCGCGGCGCCAACGGCGGCGTGCGCGGGTGCATGCTCGCCGGCGCATGCTCCCCCTGCCCCTGCCCCTGTCGCTCCACTGCCTCCCTCAGCTCCTGACACAGCCTCGCAACTCGCCTCTCCCGCGCCTCCGTCACCGCGCCTTCCTCCGGCCCCCGCCGCACCCCCGCATGCGTACTGTGCTAGCCACTGCTGCATGGCGACAGTGGGCAGCGACTCCAGCGCCGCCGCCCCGGTCACATGCAACAGCTGCTGCCCCAAACACCGTTGATCGCCGCCGTCGCCTCTGTCGCCTCCGCGCGACGCCGCCGCCCCACTGACATTGCCGATCACCGCCGCCGCCGCCGCCGACGACGACGAGGCCGCCCCGCTGCGTCTGGATCCCTCCTTTTCGACAATTTGCTGAATGAGGCGATCGTAATAGGACATGCCGCTGCTGCCACTGCCACTCGTTCCAGCGCCACCGCTTCCGTCATTCAAAACCTTGTTCGCGGCAGTCAATGCGACGGCAAACATGGTGTGGTACATGCCCTTGCCCCGCAGTTGTAGCAGTTTTGCGCTCGTGGCCAGCAGCGACGCCACCTCACGCGGCCTGCCGTACGCCAGCAGGCGGCCCATGCGCGGCCAGCAGCCCCATGCGGTGTGCAGCAGCTGGGTGGCGACGGCGGAGGGCAGCGGCTGGGAGGCGGCGGCGCGCTGGTGGGCCCGCAGGCAGCGCTCCAGGAGGGGCAGGTAGCGGTGGGACAGGGCGGCGGAGAGGTTGGGTGGCGGGGAGGGGGGCAGGTCGCCGGCTGACGGGATGGTTGGAAAGGTGGGAGGGTGCGAGGAGGGGGGGTGTGAAGGGTTAGGTGGAAAGAGAGAAGGAACTGGCGGAGTAGGAACTAGGAGTTACCGGTGCGGTACACTGTAACACTGTGCCGTGCATGGCACCCGTAAGCGTTGTTGAGTGGCGGCGGGTGTCGGCGAGTGAGTCTAAGGAATGCCGTGCCCACGTACGGTACATCTCCCAGACCGCCGTTTCTTGTTGAATAGCATTTGACCCCTGGCACATGGCCCCTCCCAGCTCACGCATGCGCGCTCCCCATACCCCTCGCTTACCAAACGTTTGCCCCCTCCGTCCCACCACCTTCCTCATTCCTCCCACTCCCCCCCTCCCTCCCCCTCCTCTCCGCTCACCCGGCCAGCAGGGCACCTCCACCTGCAGACCCCACTCCAGCTCAGCAGTCAGCGGCCGCAAGGGATCCGCACCCTCGCGAGCCACACTGCTGTCCACCAGCAGATGAAGCGCCGGGACAGCAGCCGCCCAGAAGCCCGCTGCGGCGGCCTCCACAGCAGCAGGCGAGCGGCGGCGGCCTCCTCCCCCATCTGCAGCAGCAGCAGCAGGTGGCGGCGCCTCGCGTGGTGTGCCGTACAGCAGCGGCCTGGGCGACGCCGACAGCGCCGCGCAGTGCAGCGCCGCCGACAGCACCTCCGGCACGTCTCCCTTGCTTAGCGGCAGCTGTAGCAGCGAGCCTCCCTCCTCCCGCTCGTCGGCAGCACCCCCCGCAGCTGCCGCCGCGGCGGACGTGGAGGCAGATGTGCCGCTGCCGGCAGTGGTGGTGCTATTGCCACGCTGCCGGCGGCCGCTGCTGCCGCCTCGGCTAGAGGAAGCAGCAGCCGCCTTCGCCGCCGCCGCCGCCGCCAGCGCCTGCCGGTGCTTGCGGTCCAGGCACTCCGCATGCTCCGCGGCCGACCGATTCGCCAGCCGTACCACCCTCAAGCTCACCTCGTGTACGGCAGAGCGGCTGTACGGCACCAGCGGCACCGCGTAGCGCATGCAAAAGGCCCACAACCGCATCACGGTAAGTAAGCCCTTCCTGCAGAGCACCCTGGCCTCCAACCCTGGACCCTCGGCGATGCACCCCCCGAGCTGTTGATGGTAGGTCAAGATCTCCGTACGCGGCTGCATCACCTGATCTGGCGTTAGGCCGTACGCCGTACCGCCGTCCCCGGCTGCCGCCAGCTGCGCCACCACCTCCGCCGCCAGGGCGTACTGCAGGCAGGGACCGGACAGCAGCCCACGTGCGCTGGCCAGCACTGCAGGCGCTACAGGCGAAGGGGCGATTTGGGTCGGCTCGCGGTGGCCGCCGCCGGTGGCACTCGCGGCACTGCTTTCGCCGCCGCTGCTGGGGAGTGCTGGCACTGCCGGGAGGTCCAGCAGCCCGGTTCCGTGCAGCATCTCACGCAGCATATTATGCAAATCGTACGTCAATGAGCTTTCCCTGCTCGAATCCGCTGACTCCTCCTCCACCTGGGCATGCTGCCGACCCGTGGGTCGCGACCCGCCGCTCAACCGGCTGAGTGCCTTCAAGCGCGCCAGATGCTCAAGCAGCCCACTGGCGGCGATCGCATGCAGGACCTCCATCGCGCGGTTGCCGGCCCAGGACGCGTCGATCGGCTCCTCCTGCATGTCCGTGCCCTCGAAACCCTCCTCATCGCTCCCTGCGCCGCCCCCTCCGCCGGAGCCGCCGCTGGCAGCGTTTGCGGCATCCCGGGCATCCCCGCCTGCCCGCTGGCGTGCCATCCCTGAAAGCGCCTGGATGCTCATTATCATGCCCCAAAGCAGCGGAGTAACCGTCCTCTCTATTGTGTTGGGATCGTGCCCCGAAGCCAGCGCGACGCTGCACGCGGGCAGTGCATCCATGCGCACCAGCAGCACCACGAGCCGCAGCGCGCAACGCTGGGCCGCCGATAGCGCCTCAGGCCGGACTGCTGTGGTTGACGCAGCAATGCTGGCAACACCACCCCAAATCATCCGGTTTAAATTACAGTTCAGGTGTATGAAGATGTGGGAGTATAGGGTCTGCTGCAAGCGAGGAACGGCGCCAGACGCAAGCGCGCGCGCTGCGGCTGCGTGCAGCTTCAAGATAGCGGTGCGGCTTTTGGCGGGACCGAAAAGACTGCGTAAGTGCGCCTTGGTTGCAGCAACGTCGGTATTTAAGCCAACCTTTTGGGCTAACCAATCTAAGGCCGAGACGGTTGCCTGTAGCACCGGTGGCGAGACTGGAAGGCGGCCGTCCTGGTCTAAGGAAGCAGCGGCTGAGACTAAGCAGTCTGCCGCAGCTGGCACAGTTACTGGCCTGTCTGGGGAGGTGGCTGGAGGCTGCCTGCTGGATCGCCGCTGGTGACCCGATGGACGACCTCGCGAGCGCCGTGGCATTGTTTTTGTGTGACAGAGCGCTGCGGTTTGTTAAGCTGGCGAGCTGTTTCTGACAAAACCCTTTAGTTCGCTATACGCAAGGCGTAGACAAATAGGGCAGCTATGTTTTGATAAGTATGTATTAGGAGAGGATAAGCGGCCTTGTAAGGAAAGCCTTCGAGTAGTCGCGCCGTATGGTCAAGTCGCGCACGCAACGTTGGGCGCTTTGCATGAGGCCCATGGCCCATGCAATACAAATCGGAGGACATCACCAGACGCGTTAACTCTGTAACCATGGCTATCAAAAGGAACACCCCAAACAACAAATACCGTCGCTTCTACCGCGAGCCTCCTCAACACGGCGCCCGATGACCATGCGCTGTACCCCTCGCAATGTACATGCGTCCACCGCAAAGGTGCGCTCCGGACCCATGCCACCCGCACGCGCTCTCGTACGGCTCTCGTACATATACTACACAAGAAAGGTACACTGCACGCTGACTGACGCGCTGGGTTAACCTTCCCGGCCCATCTCCGTTATGGTACTTTCCCTATGTACCCAGAACTCCATCTGCATGTCCTCTGGCAGTACCCTGTAACGAGCATTGGACCTCCTCAGCCGCCTCCACCTCCTCCCTGTTGTGCCCTGCCTTCGCCATCCCCCCCCATCCGGCCCCCCCCAGGACGCCGAGGAGGCGGTTGCCTTCCTGAACGGCACGCTGGTGGACGAGCGGGAAATCCGTGTGGACCTGGACTGGGGCTTCGTGGAGGGCCGGCAGTACGGCAGGGGCAGCTCGGGAGGCCAGGTGGGGGGGGAGGAGGAGTGTTGGGAGGGAGACAGCGGGGTTAGGGGACAGGGTTGCCGTATTTTTTATGGATGGGATACGAGTTCACGCATGCACCAACCGCTCTTCGTCCAATTTTTCCCCCTCCATGCTCCGCCCGCTACCCGCCCTTATCTTTCCCTACCCGCACCTGTCCCCTGCCACACACCCTCCTACCCTCCCGCCAGGTGCGCGACGTGTTCCGACAGGATTACGACCCACGCCGCGGCGGGTACGGCAAGATAATGCAGGCTAAGATAGAGAAGGCGGAGAAGATGGAGGCGGAGATGATGGAGCAGATGGGACTGGGCATGGACGCAGCAGCAGGCGCTGGCGGGGGAGACGGGTGCGAGACTTCAAGCGGCAGCGCGTGTTTGGCGGCGGCGCTGCTGCCGTGGGCGCTATGCAGGGGCGCGGTGCCGCGGGAGGGGGTTCTGCGGGCGGGCAGGGAGGTGGAAGTGTGCAGGGAGGGGAGGAGGCGGTCGGTGCAGGGGCTGGTGGGGGCGCAGAGGAGGTGCAGGTGGAACAGGAGCATGGGAGTGGTGCACAGGAGGAGATGGAGGGTGGGGAGGAGGCAGGGTGAGAGGAGTTTGGGGGCGAAGGGTTTGGCGGTGCGGTTGATGGTGAGGGGGATCAATTTTTGGACCATGGTGAGGGGGAAGGCGGGCGGTGTCAGCGGTGTGGGAGTGGCGAGCGAGGAGGAGGTTTATGGAGGAGCGGAGGGCTGGGGAAGTGAAGAAGAGGGGCTAGGTGACAGGGGCTGGGGAGGGGGGCACGGCAAGAGGGCTTTGCGTGCATGCCATTTTGCATAAACATAGACATTAGGACAAGGAGGATGAAACTATCATGGGAAGTTTATACCATATATGGAACATTGAACGAACACAATTGGCTGCGTGTGCTTTTGTCTGCTCGTTCTTGGGAACGTGGCCCTTACGGTCGGTTCTGAAGACCGCGGGTATGCGGCCGGGGCGGCAGACCCACGGGTCGCATGCGAATAGGATAGGGACAACGGAACACTCACGTTTACGACTACCGTAGTAAGGCCCGCCTTCGGCGGGAGCTGCCCGTAGTTCGCGGGAGATTGCTGGACTACGAGAAGGACCGGCAGGTGATGCCGGGAAGTTGCAGTTGCAGGTATGCATGTACGACGCAAAGCACAATGGGTATGCATGGCGTAAACGTATGTAAACGGTTAGGATGCACGTATGGCTTGAGGACGCCGTGGATACATGCAGTATATCAATTCCATGAAGCATGTCCGCATCACCATCTGACCTGGCCATACAGTACGGCATGGGTTAGGGCTCAGGTAGTGAACTATAACTGACTGAATGAGCCATTAGCTCTTTGCTACCCTCGGAATACTGTCTACCAGCATCAGGAGGGTGACCTTAGGTGTTCCCTTGTACGAGAACGCTCCTTCCAACCCCTCATCATCACCCCAGCTCCTCTGGTCATTCTCACATCATCTTCACATAGCCATCTCATCTGGCCGTCCAGCAGTACGGCATGGTGCGTGACACGGTCTCCCAGTTGCTCTCCCACGCTTCTCTCTCTCCCCCCATCAGCCATTCATCACCCACCACCATGCTCCCAGGAAAAGGACAGCCAGCCAATCCTGCGTTGGCCGGGAATGGCAAGCTAGGAACGTTATTCACTGCTGCGGCTGTGCCTGTCGCCCATACTAGCAAGCTTACGTCTCGTCAGTCAGCTAAACCAACCTACCCCATACCCACCAGTGTATCAGTCGTCACGCGCGGCCCGTGTTAGCGAACGGCAACTCATCCCCTTCCTAAGCGATCCCAACCCTCGCCAGCCCCAAGTCGCATCGTCCCGTGTCTCTTCACTACGAGCATCGACTGCTCCCTCGTTAACATTACATCCAGTAATACGGTGACCGGTCGGTCCGGCAGGCGTTACTGCGATCAGGTCTGTCGCCGCTGCCTTCCAGTGCGGTGCAACAACACCACAGATTGCTGCACCGCTGAAGGCTCCGTTTGCTGCCACTGCAGGAGCGCGGTGATGCCGTTAAAAGTTCGTTAACTGAGCGTGACAGCAATTCGGGGCTACGCTGAGCACTTCGGCATGAACGCCGAGCCGTGAATATGCCGGCTGAAAGGATCCCGTTGAGCGTGACAGGAACCGGGTATGCTTCCCTTCGCTTCGCTCCTCCGAAACCGTATATTACGTATCCGTTTTCTTCGTTACGAGCTACGGGGACATGCTGTGGCAACAAAACGCCTGATCACACGAGTCATGATGGCAAGCAACAGTCAACAGCAAGCAACACGGCGTCTTTAATTCAATCCATGTAAACAAGCCGTAGTTTAGTCTTGCGCTGAGCGCATGTACGCAACATCAGCAAGGGAGCTGCAATGCCATCTCTGCGACACAGCAAACACGAGCTAGCAAACCGACCTCGAGAATGCGATGGAGCATCAACCCGGCCTCAAAATTCACGCAACCGCAAACCGCATGTGCCGCAACGCCCAGTTAAAACTCCTTTATTGCACACCCCTTAACAAAGCACAAAATGACGAATTCCGAAATGCCCACCTCATCGCCCAACGTGCTCCGAACCCAACCGCGGGGCAGCATGCTGAGGCTAGTACTAGTAGTATCCGAGCCATTTACCACGACATTTACGAGCTCTTAATTACCATTGCAACCAAGTATGTTTCCTGGACCCTCCTCAAGCTGCGTGCGTGCGAGGAGCCCTACTTCCGGGCCTTCTGTAGTCGCCGCGACCCCCACCCCCCCTCCTTCCCATCCTTCCCTCCTACTTGTAGGTCAGCATCTCCTGTTTGAACGCCTCCACCTCCGCCTGCCCGCCGTAGTCCGCCGACTGCTGCAGGCAGGGCAGCGCCGCCACCTCGGGCGGCAGCACCAGGGAGGCGGGGTTGCCCTCAAGGTAGCTGAGGGGGGGCAGGGGGGGGAGGGGCGGGCCGGGGGGCGGGGGAGGGAGGAATAATAAATGAGAAGTGCAGCAACTGGAGTCCCAAAACCATATCCCGAGGCATGCAGACACACACAGGGGAGGGGGGGCAGGGGGCGAGTAGGGGATGGCCGTATTGAAGGCTTTAGAGTTTTGGGCAGGAGCAAGACAACACGACGGACCGGCGGCGAGGGAAGAGCTGCGCGTGCTGACCTCCCTACCGTACCATTACCGCTACCACCACCCCCTCTCCCGCCCAGTCTCGTCATCCAGTTCGTCAGTTTTCCTTATTTTTACCCGCCTCCCGCCCCGCCCCCCTCCCCCCCCCTCACAGCTTCCTCAGCCCCGTGAGTGCCCCCAGCTGCGGCGGCAGCTCGCCCAGCTGGTTGTGGTCCAGGTAGAGCTCCTGGGGGGAGGGGGAGGTGGGAGGGGGTGGGGGGGAGAAAGAGGAAACAACTGACTGACCCTGTGATAAGGCATGAGCAGCAGGGGTGTACATGTGAGCAGGCTAGGCCGCGTCAGGCGTGAAGACAGGCCACAAGGGCCAGCAGCACCTTCCCTCATGCCCCTCTTCCCTCTCCTGCCCCCCCCCCTCCTGCCCTGCCCCCCCTTAATTGCCTCGTCAGTTTCCTTACTTTTACCCCTCCCCCCCCACCTGCAGCCGTGTGAGTCCGCTTATCTCGCCCGGCAGGTGTGTGAGGCGGTTGCGATCCAGCCACAGCCGCCGCAGCTCCCCCAGCTGACCCAACTCGGGGGGGATGCAGGTCAGATGGTTGGAGTAGAGCCAGCTGGGGGGGGAGGTGGGGGAGGGGTGGAGGGGTGGAGGGGCGCACATGCCGGGACTGTCAGGGCGGGGTCCGGCGTTTTCGTGGACGACGTTCGAAGATGCATGGCATCATCTTTCCCTTTCCTCCCTCCCCCCTCCCCCCCCCCTCTCACAGCTCCTGCAGCCCCGTCATGGCGCCCATCTCGGCCGGCAGCTCAGCCAGCTGGTTCTCGTACAGGCTCAGCCGGCAGCAGCCGCCGGGCCCTATCCCCGCGGGCAGCTCAGGCGGCAGGTGGGTTAGCGCGTTCTTGTGTGCGGACAGCGCCTCCAGGCGGCTCAGGCGGCCCAGGGAGGGCGGCAGCTGGGTGAGCTGGTTGATGTGGAGGGAACTGGCGGGGGGGGGAGCGGGGGGGGAGGGGAAGAGGGGGGCGGGAAAGGAAGGAATGAGAAGTGAAGCACATCCCCATGTAATGACTCATGCAGTGGGGAAGAGGGGAGGGAGGGGAGGTGAAAGAAAGGAAAACCAGGCGTTGGTAGAGGGGAGGGGGAGGGAGGGGGAGAGAAAGGGGAAGATGCATGTCCGCAGGGTGTGCGAAGGGAGGAACGCGAGTCTGCATCCCCCCTGCAGCAGCTGCCAACCCCCGCCCCGCCCCCCACTCACAGCCGCACTAGGTTTGTGAGCTGCCCCATCTCCTCCGGCAGTTGGGTCAGGCGGTTTGCGTTGAGTGACAGCCACACCAGTGCCGTACAGCTGCCCAGGGCGGGGGGAAGCGACTCCAGCTGGTTGAAGTGGAGGGAGCTGGGGGGGGAGGGAGGGGGGAGGAGGGGGGGGGGAGGAGGGTAAAGAGGAAGCAACTAACTGACCGTGTGATGCAGGTGTTGTCATGGTTTGCAGCAACATGAGAGCCAGCCCGAGGGGGTGGGAGGGGGAAGGGAGGTGAGGAGGAGGTGGAGTCGGCTAGGGAGAAGTTGGAAGCGCTAGGCAGCTAGGGTATGTCCGGGTGTGTTAAAATATCTGGCCGCGAGGCGAAACGTACTGTGATTGCCGATTCCGGGTGTGTGTGCCGCATAAGCGCAGCGCATCAACTGTCAGACTGCACATTTGTTGTTCGTTGTTCGTTGCCAAGCACACCAGGACACCTTCCCTCGGCCCCCCCCCACCCGCTACCCGACCCCGCTCCTCTCCAACCCTCCTCTCCAACCCCCCCCTCCACCCCCCCTCACAGGTGTTTCACGCGCGTGAGGCGGCCGATGGCTTCCGGCAGCTCCCGCAGCTGGTTTGTGTGCAGGTCTAGCCTGGGGGGGGGAGGGGGGGAGGGCCCAAGGTGTTCAATGATAATGGGGAAGGAGGGGGGGAGGGAGTGGAGAGTGGGGGTTACACCAGGGCTGAGGCAAGGAGAGGGGAGAGGCCAGTTGGGAGCAGGCCTGGTGATATTCCCCCTGGGGAAGGTGGCGATATGCCGGCCGGCGGCGTGTGCAAGCCAGCCGGCATACCGCTCCACATCACGGGCGATGTGGGGGAGCCTCCTCCTGCCCTCCTGATGCACACTCGCAGCCCTTGCGCCGTCAACACCACCACCCGCCCGCCCTTCTTCACATCGCCCGTTTGACCTCTTCTACAGCCCGTAAGCCCATCAACACCATGCGCTCATTGCTTCTTCAGACCTTCACAGCCTCCCCCCCCACTTCCCCCTTCTCCCCCACCTGGTGAGGCTGGTCAGGTTGCCGATCTCCTCGCACACCTCCTCCAGCTTGTTCTCCGACACGTCACTGGGAAGGAAGGGGGGGGCGGGGGCGGGGGGAAAATATAGATAAATGCATCAACGGAGTCCCAATCCCGAATCCCGACTCATGCGGGGGCGAGGGGGAGGGGGGCACAGTCCGATACACAGGAGGGAAGCCAGCGCTTGGGGACAGGGGTGCGAGCAGCGGTCAGCAGAGCACCTTCAGCAGCAGCAGCAGCTCAGCGTCAGGGCTGTCACCCCTTTACCTGACACCCCTCCTTCCCTCCCTCCCTCTCGGCTAGCTTGCCTCCTCCTCGTAACCCCCCTCTTCCCACTCCACCCTTACCGTACCCTCCCCCCACTACACTGCACTGCATGTGTCGGAATATGGGATAGGGACCCAGTTGCTGCACTTCTCACTTATTTCCCTCCTCCCCTCCCCCCCCCTGTGGCCCCCCCCCCCATGCTCTCACAGCCACTCCAGCAGCTCCAGCCCGCACAGCTCCCGCGGCAGGACCCCCGACAGCAGGTTGGCGGGCAACCACAGCTGCCGCAGCCCGGCCAGGCGGGGCAGGCAGGGGGGCAGACCGCGGAGCAGGTTGGAGCCCAGCCAGCTGGGTGGGAGGGGGGAGGGAGGGAGGGGGAAGTGGGAAGGGGCGGGGATGGAGGAAGGGAGGGGAAGAGACGATGAGGCAGGGAGAGGATGAGTGCGCAATGAGAGGATGAATCAGCACAGGTGCGGGTGTGGGGGGGAGGCCGACGGTGCGCAGGTGGTGTGGGTGGTTGGGGCAGGCAGCCATGACTCCCGCGCGATGAGCCCAGCACAGGGTGGATACCGAATGATGAGTCAGTACACAGCAGCAGCAGCAACAGACCCAGCAATGGAAGCTGCATTTCAGGGAGCTAGTCTGGCCTGCCTGGAGTTCCCGCCTGCCACCCCCCGCCCCCACTCACAGCGAGTGCAGGCTCTGCAGGTTGCACACCTCCTCCGGCAGACTGCGCAGCCCGTTGTTGCTCAGCCAGCTGCGGCGGGCAGGCGGGCGGGCGGGCGGGGTTCAAACAGGGAGACTGGAAACTCAGTGACAGAGCAGGAAGAAGTTCATGTGGAAGGGGAAGCCATTTGCGGAGTACGGTAGGTTCCCCGGTGTCCGTGCCGACCGTGCGACATGCATGCAGCCTGTGCTGGTAACCAACTGCCAGGGCATTGTTTATGTCCGTAAAAAACATGTATGCCCATCGTAAAAGCATCCGTGCTCTATCTTACAGTTTTTCGATGTCCGGTAGGTCGAAGAAGGCTGTTGGTACCTCGGTAATGCCGCATGCATCAACCATCCTGCGGTCAAGGTTGACTCAAACACCCTTAAAAGGAAGAAGCCTACATTAACATAGGTTTGACGTCGTCACTCACAGTTCAACTAGTTTGCCATCGCGCTCCGAGACACCACGCCATTCTCTCGCATCCGTCCCAGCTTTCCAGTTGTCGGCGAGTTCGCTGCTTTTGTTCGCTTTCGCCAAAGCCAGCAGCGGCGCTGTGAATGCAAACTCGGGCACCTACGGGTGTTTCGCTGCTTTAGCTCGTCCCGTTCGAATTAACGAAAGCGGACAACCATGACTACAGTGGATACTATTGTTTGCAAGGACGGGAGCATGCAAACAGCGAGCATTAATACCTCTTTTTCTTCCTTCTTTTGGGGTATGCGTAAGCCGTGTAGCACCGGCAAAGCTGGCAGGGATGTGAACGCCATTATTCTCGGCAGTATCTAGTTGCTTTCATGCCATATACGGTCCGCGTAGTGGCGTAAGGCTGGCATAGTACCGGTACCAGGTATTATGTAATGTCGTACAGCTCCGAGACAACTAACTGACACTAGATATGCGTATTGGATGAATAGCAGCCGCTATTGCTTCAATGGCCCTTTCTGGTATCAAACTTTACAGCCACGACAGTTAGTGAACAGGTTACCTATCCCGAATCCCTTCCTCGATGCCTGCATCTGCACACGTGACCATCCCCTCCATCCAGGGGGTCAAGGTCCCTTGTGCCTACCCTTTACCCCAACCACCGCCGTACGCCGCTCCAAGGCGTCTAGGACGGACCTCCTTGCACCTCCGAAACCAGCGACCCAAACATCCAAACACCCCAGAACTTTTATCCCAAGCGCACGTTCAACTTATCAGTCCCAGCCACACAACGCGAGCTACCTACTCCGCTGCCCGTGCCTCTCTCCTCCCCTCTCCTCCTCATACCGCTGCACCCTTAGCGCCCCACCCTAACCCTCACCCTCACTCTCAGCTTCCCTCCCTCCTCTCAACCCCTCGCACCCCCCTCTCACACCCCGTACCCAAACACCTGCCGAATGCGCTGAAGCACCTGCGACTGCCAGCCTCGCTCCGTCACGTCCGCCGTGTCCTCGTTGCCGAACCGGTCGGCCGGCGGCAGGCCGCTGTGGCAGATGCGAACCACCGTGTTGCCGTACTCGGGCTCCGAGATCTCAATCACAACCTGGGGAGGGGAGTTGGGACAGGGAGATCAGTTACCGGTTGTAAATTAATGCATGGAAACCGCGAATTGGGGCAAAGCAATGGGCAGTGGTCAGGTGGGGCGGGAACGCGGGATGGTAGGGTGGGGAGGGGTCGGGTCTGGCGGGGTAGCCATGGATGTAAGTTAGAGCTGGAGGCCTGGGGGCTTAAGCAAAGTACGGGTGAATATATGAGCAACAGATGGGCCGTTGAGCGTGCTTCCTGTACACCCTTACCGCCTCCCTCCTCAACCCATTACACCTCCCACCGACCCCTTCCCCCCTCCCCATCCCCTTCTTTCCCCCACCCCAGTCCCCTGCCCCCCACCTTCGAGCTGCACCCCTCCTCCCACGTGTTGAACCGCCAGCTCATCTCGATGCGCCCCGGCGGCTGCAGCTGCAGGAACTGCCCGCTGATGGCGCCGCCGTACCAGGAGAAGGTGCCGCCGGGGGCGTGTGGCTGCACCACTGCGCGGCTCTGCGTGAAGGCGCACACGCGGCCCTCCACCTGCGGGGTGAGGGATGGGGGTGAGGGGGTGGGGGTGAGGGGGTGGGGGTGAGGGGGTGGTGAGGGGTGAAGCCAGGCTGTGCAGCGGACACGGCTGCCTCCATGCAGCAGCGCCGCCCGGCACCTCGGCTCCGCACCACTTGCCCCGCCCCCAAGCAGACACCCACCGCCGTGCACCCCATCCACCCATGGTGCAGCCTTGTCGCACGATTACCGACTACTTTACCCACCCACCCCCACCCGCCCCCACCCGCCCCCACTCGCTCCCACCCACCCCCACTCGTTCCCACCCACCGTGAAGCACTCGTATATGTCGGAGGGGCGGCAGTGGAACCTCTCCGTGATGCTGATCGACCGGCCCCCGCTGCCACTGCCACTCTTCGCCGCAGCCGCAGCCGCAGCAGCCGCCTTGCTCCTCTCCACCTCCGCACTGCTCAGTTTGGGCTTGCTGCTGCTGCTGCTGCCTCCGTTGGCTTGGCTGCTGCGGCCGCCCTCACCTCCGCTCGCAGCGCCCCCAGCAGCAGCATCCGACGCCTCCGCCAGGGCGGGGCCGCCTGCTCGCAGCTCCGCTACGAACGCGTGTACGGCAGCCAACAGCGGCTTCTTGCCGTACGAGTGTACGGCAGCCTTGAGGCGCTCCGCGTCCGAGGTGTTGGTGTCGCAGATGATGCGGATCTCGGGGTCCTCGTCATGGTTGTCATCTGGGTGTGGAGGGGGCCGGGAGGCGGGGGGTTAGAACATTAGATAGCCTGATCCGCGAGAAATACTGACCCTGACCCAGATCGTTGTCGTGGTAGGTTACCGGAGGATGATGGCGTCCCAGGGGAAGCGGGGAATGAGGGTGAAGGGCGGGAGGACCTCCCCCCAAGCGGACCCCCAGCGCAGCCTCCCCCACAAAAACCGGCGTTCTTCCCAGACCGCAGCCCTCACCTCGGCTGCCCCCTCCTTCCACACTCCCCACCTCCCACGCTCCTCCCTCCCTCAGCTCGCCAGTATCTTCCTCTTCCCTCCTCCCTCCGCCACCCCCCCAGCCTCCTCCTGCTCCTCCCCCCCTCCTCCTCACCTCCGATGTGCGGCAGGTGCAGCTTGCCGCTTGCACTGCCCACCACCCGCCCCTCCCCGTCCGTCAGCTCGCCGCTCCAGCCCACCCGCACCTCCAGGTCGTACGAGGGAATCAGCTTGTTCTTGCGGATGTTCAGGAAGGCGTCGCCGACCATGGACTCCAGTGTGGTGGTGCGTACGGCAGCGGGAGGCGGCGTCAGCGTGATACCCGCAAGCACCTCACTTAGGCGTTGCTTGGCCTGTGTGGGAGGAAAAAAATAATGGGTGGTGGGTGGGTTCCAAGGTGTGTCGTGCAGTCAACTGCAACATGTGTGTTAGGCCGATGAGTATTTTTTGATGCTAGTAGCTAAGAGGTGTTTGGGTGAGATGAGGCTGGTTGTGAGGGAGGAAGCTTGAGCAGTGCGGTGTGAGGGAAGGGTGGAGGGTAGGGCTGGCAGTACGGGTGGCGTTGTGCGAGGAACAAGGCGGCTTCGCGGCTCAGGAGCTAACCTACCCATTCAGTGCAATCGCGTTCTGTCCAGTGCCAGTTGTTGACGTTTCGTCCCTGATCGCCCATATCCTTCACAAGCCATCGCGGGTCCGCCTCCTCAAAGCGAGCCATTCCGGTAAAGTGATAGCCTAAATTTGTTTACTACCTATTTCTGCAGCCCTAGTGAGGCACTGAAGTAAAAGGCAAAGTGAACATTCCCTTTCTAGAACATCATGCCGGGCCTGTACGGCGTTGCAATTCCTTGTCGCCAGCTCGCCATCAGTCACAGCAAGACTTATTCACCTGTTGGCCATCTCCAAGGTATTGTTACCTGGATACTGCAAAGTGTTAAATAAATTTCTAGCCATTTGAGGCATTCGCCTTTATGCTTGCCAGTGTTGCAGCCATAATAAGTCGTCACTCACACATTATGTTGAACGATTGACGTATAGGGTATAAGTATCGCACAATTATGTCGAACACTGCGTCAAACTGCAACAGTCGTGTGCTCAGCGCTATATCCTGAGCCACCTGTGAAAGGCGTAACCATATGCATGCAAGCGAACAAGTATAGCTCAGTGTTACTGGCCATTTTTCACCACCTGCTGCATTGCCACCGGAAAAGCCAATGCTTCGGCGGAAATTGCTGACCAGCACAACCCCGTGCGTTCCAGATGTAGGCTGAGCACGCAAAGCATTGCGTTATACGTAAGCTAGCCATCGGCCAGATGTCCGTTTCCCTCTGAATTAATCAACCGTTACCGGGGCCCAGGAACCGTGGTGTGCTGCCAACATGTTACGAACTTTGCCTTCTACAACTGAGTATTCGTCAATCCAGTATGCTGTCAATGGCAACAGGTTAGGAATAGCTTCTGCTACGGCAACTTACAAATGTCCCCGCAAGACCCGCGTCCAGCATTCCGTCGCATATCAAAGACCTTGAACCAAATTTGCATACCACAGCTGCTTCTTGCATCCCTTGGTCGCCAACAGCAGCACAGCCGGCCTTCACGTCAAGCAGAGGAGTCATCAGCAGCGCGAGGAGCGCCATGATGCTGCGCTTGGGTACCTCCAGCTTCCTAGCGCCGCCTATGCATTGCGTGATGAAATCAATAGCTTATCAGGACAGTATGTCGGCCTGAGCGCTAAATCACCTCAGCTCGCAGCTGCCGCTGTCCAAGCTGTAGCGGAATGGCGTCTTGTCCCTCGGGCTGCCGGGCTCCTCATAGAGCTCCTCCATGCAACTCAGCAGCCGGCATGCAGCTGCGCTGAAGCCGAAAGCGCAACACCCGGAACATCTGCCTCAGCTTCCACCAGCGCGCCCCCTCCCCTAGCAGCCACAACCGGCAGCCTTCCACGGCTCGTCCACATGACACGTGTTGCCGCCCTAGCGTGCGAGCTGCTACGCCTCCTGGCTGAGTGTGCCCACCTAGGGCGTGATGTAGTTCCAGGCAGCACCACAAGCAGCCGCGACCGTGCTGCTGCCGCCAGCCTGGCAGCTGACCGCATGCGGCTGTACGAACAGCTCTGCGACGCCGCCGTCGGACATGCCATGGCCGCTGCCGTACGGTTCGTCCAGTCGGATGTCTGGCCGCTGCTAGCGGAGCCGGAGTGGGCGAATAGACAGGAGGCAGGGGCGGCGGGCGGCAGTGCTCATGAGGTGCAGCTGAAGCTGTGGGATTGCGGGTGTGGTGCTGTGTTTTCTGCGGCGGCCGTACCGCTCCGCCTGTGCACCTGGAACGACAACTGCACGACTCCGCCGCCGCCGCCCCAGCAGCAGCAGGCGCGGCAGCTGATGCAACTGCTGCAGCAGAGCGGCATCATCGCGGCCGTTTGCGGCGCACTCGCCACCGTGTCCCCCCGCCAGTACGAGGCCTCAGGCGCGCTGGCGGGTGCCTGCTCGAACCGCACCAAGGAACCCTTGGAGACACTGCAAAAGGCGCTGCCATGCGTGGTTCACGCCCTCAGGACGCTTCATGACCACGAGGAGCGGTTCCAAGGCCGCGAGCAAGAGGTCCTGGTGGAGGTCCTGGCTGCGCCCGAGGTGGTGGCACTGCAGCGGGGACTGCTGGAGAGGGTCATCCTGGACGGAGGCGGCGGAGGCGATGAGGGTGACGAGGGTGACGATCTGGGTTACTCCGGCGGCAGTGAAGGCTCCTTGCCGTTACTGGACAGCGTTCGGGGGCTTGCAGTGCTGATGCCTCCCGAGGATCGCGCCACGGGGCGGAAGCTGCCCCTGGAAACGGTACACTACTGTATCGTGTATCCATCCCTTGCGTCGTGGAAGGCGGTGGGGGGGTTGCGCCGGGTGCCTTCCGCCCTGCCCAGCGATCCCGAGCGCGCACGACTGGCGGTTCGGCTGCTGCGGGCGTTACACCGCCTGGTATGCGGCCGCGGCGTCGGTGGGCAGTACGACATGACGTCGGCGGGTGCTGATCCCGACAAGGTCTCTCGCAACGTGCTACATGTGGCGAGTGCTGCGCTGTGCGACACCCCATTGGATAAGGGGAACAGTCAGATGGTGGCTGACCGGCGGGAGTCTTGTGCCTGGATTATGGTGATAGCAAATGAGCTGGCGCGTGCCGGTTGGGCGAGTGACGCGGATGCCGATTCGTTTCGTGGCCTCTTGCCGAGCGTCATGACGCACTGGCACTCGATTAGCGGTAGGTGCCGGGCCATAAGCGGCGTGGGATTAGGAAGGGCAGCCAGGAGCAAGGTGGCAAATCATGTTTCAAGCATGTTTCACTTACCTATTGAGTTTACCTGTACCCATCCTTGCTCCCTCCAACTCAGCGAGTTGACTCTGTGCATCGGCTTGAATTTGTTGCAGTCGCGCCTTTGCCAGACGACGTTCGCTGCGGCCTTGCGGCACGGCTGGGCCGAGCCCGTCTACTGCGCAACTTTGATACCTTCCTGCGCCGCACCGCCATGGACGACCTACCGGCGGCTGCGGGATCTGCTGGAAGCGCCTCGCTCGCTGCAGCCCCGTCTGCCACTGCAGCAGCAGCTGACGTCACAGGAGCACCCAAACTAGCGGACATGCTGTCATGCAGTGGTGGGGTGCTGGATCCGCAACTGGCTGATGTGCTTACAGAAACTTGGGGCCGGCTACTGAGCGGGAGCGAGGTCGAGGGAAATGGCAGCAGCAGCAGCAGCGGTGCTGACGGCGGGGGCAGGCGCGCGGGGCAGCAGGCCGTGGACGCTGATAAGGACCCATGGGACGGTCGGCGGGAGCTGGGGTTCTTCATCACGGTCAGCAAGCTGGCGCTGCGTGAAGCCGCGCTGGAGTGCTGCCAGGAATCACCAGCAACGGCAGCAGCCGCAGGCCGACCAAAGCTGTTGTACCACCTGAGCGCCCTGCTGTGCCTCACCTTGAACCGCTTTGGCCCCATGGCATTCTGGCTACGTGCGCCAACCGGCGTGCGGCCCTCCGCCGCCGGCCTGACGGAGTGTCTGACGCTGGCGACCCGGGCAGCATGTGCACTGGCGGCGCCGCTGATGCTGCGTGCGGCGGCGGAGATGCCATGGTGGGTACGCGAGGAGTCGGCGACTGAGGCAGCGCTGGTGCTTTCCAATGTCGGCTTGTTCGCTCTGACTACGCTGTACGGCAAGGTATCGGCGGCAGCATTGCTGGCGGCGCAACCGCACCGGCTGCTTGCGGCGCTGGGGGTGCTGCTGGGGCGCATGCCACCGCCGGGGGAAGGGGCGGCAGAGGAGCCGGCGGAGGCGGCGGTAACAGGAGCGACAGCGGCTGTGGATACGGTATGTCTTGCTGGCACCGTTTGGTTGACAGTGTTTTGCGCCGGTTACGGCGACTGCTTGCAGTCATGCTGCAGAGTGTACCGGGAGGCGAAGTGGAGGGAAGCGTGAAGGAGGCCTTAGAGGGTTCGGGGGGGCAGCACATGTCACCGCGCGCGTATACACTGGCCCTGCTGGGTTGGCCGGCGGAGGCGGCAGGTGTGCCGGCGGCCGCTGGTGCCGCGTTGAGCAGCGCTGGTGCGATGCTGCTGGAGGGGCTCGCGGGCTGGGATACTGCGGAGGCGCGTGCGCTGCGGGCGATGTGGCGGGCGGCGGCCGCAGCGGATGGGGGTGCGCTGCTGGACTGGGTGGCGAGGGCGTTGAGGAGTGAGGAAACGCCCCTCGGCACGTGGGAGGTGGAGGGAGTCGGCAAACGCTTGCTGGAATTGTTAGAGACTTGGGTGGCGGAAGCGGCAGAGCGATGTCGCGGCGTTAGTGATTGCAGCAACTCCGATACGGCAGGAGGTGGGGCAGCAGTCACGGTGGTGCTGCCGCCGCCAGTGGCAGTGCCGCCGGTGCGCGGTGTGTTGCGGATGTGCGGCAACCCGAGGTGCGGGAACTACAGCGGCGCATGCGAGTGCGATCTGCGGCTGCGGAGGTGCGCCGGCTGCCGTGCCGTACAGTACTGCAGCGTGGAGTGCCAGAAGCAGCACTGGCAGGAGGGCGGGCACAAGCCGGACTGCTGGGCTTGCAAGAGGCTGGTGTCGCAGGGCTGACCTGTGGGTGTTTGCAGTCGTTGGTGTTGGGTGCATGTGACTATGCGGGGGGAGGCGGGCGCATGCCACTTGCGTAATTCCAGTTGGATGTATGCATGCGGGCGATCGGGGTGGGGCTCTGACGAAACCTGCGTGCAATTGGATTCCTATGGCGCATAGCAAACGGCAGGATGTGGTACACTGTTCCCCAGCTGCACACTGCGAACGTGTTGTTGTGAGTGAACGGGGAGGCAAGATGCATCGGGTGATGCAGGTGTAAATTCCTTTGAACGCAGCAATTTGCGGGCAATGCTGCAGAGAGTGTAGCGAGACACGTTGCTGTGTGCAAGTGGTATATTGATGCGAATTGTCTTCCCGTAGCAGCATACGACATCAGATGGTCCGTTTTATTACTTTTATACATGTTCAGCTGTATCAGGTTGGCTCGCCCCGATTAGGGGCGTAGTCTTAGCGTTCACTCAAAATAGTCCGAGCTGAGGCGTTATGTCCTTTTTGTACCGTGTGCATGTCCTATGTGTACCCTTGTACAGTTTGTATGTACCTGCACCGAGGTCTCAGATTCGGTCGGACAAGGTGGCGTAGTAATTGGTGTTGTGTTTTGAATACAACGGCATGTCGGAAAAAGTAAGAGGCTCAGAGCTCAGAAGACGACCCAAATGTCGTACATATTGGCGGAAAGAAAGTGCTGTATGTTGGCGGGTTTGTCTAGGTGATTCGTAATTTCCATAGCAATGCCATTGTAGTGTTGTAAAGCTGGAACCAACGTTTAGCCCATAAGCTCTTGTTGTGCCTCCCTCAAGGCTGACTTGCCTCTTGCAAGAAACTGAACTGGTAAAGCTGCTATTTCTGCTATAGTGTAGAAAGTTTAGTTGTAATTCAATACAAACAGCTTAGCAAAGGCTGCCGCTGCCGCGGCGGCCGCAGAGCCAAAAGTGGGCATCGTCCCGCTACGTTCACATTTACGTTCGTTCATTCATTTCGTTCGTTCAACGGCCACCGCTGAAAAGTGGATCGCACGACGTGCTCGTTTGGCGTATTCGATGTGTCCCTCGCCCGACATGGCATTTGTCGCAATCCTGTGGGCTATCGCTCTGGCGATTGCTTCTTTGATGCCTTTCGTTGGCTGTTGTTCCAGCAACGCGGAGTTGATGTGGGTGTATCAGCAGTGCGTCAAGCGGGGATTGGCGAATTTCGCCGGTGTTAGGGCGTTTTTGTGGAAGCCTGCGCACGAGCGCGCATGTTGGACCCTGCCACACCGCATGCAGAGCTTAGGCATGGGGTTAGCGCGCAGTTCGAAACCGACGATCCACACGTGTCGCTGGCTGCAAAAACAGCCACGGCCATTCCTAACGAGCCGAGATATGCACGCACCGCTGCATCAGAATGCGCCGCTGTGGCTGCTTACTGCACGGACATGCTATCGCTGGGAGAAGGGCCTGTGGTCACAGCGGCATGGGCGAACGAAAACATCGTACACTGGGTAGCAGTTGCCTGAGGGTTTGGCATGCCGATGGCTTTGGGTGTCGTGCTCTTTCTTACGCATATGGCGGCAACAGCGAAGAAATGCGCTTGACTTTTTTTGCGGGTCATTACGAACCACTTGTACGGGCAGACCCCACACCTAGCAGCCGCCAACATGCAAGCATCCAACGAACCAAACCCAAACCTCAATCGCCGATCCAACCCCAATCTAGCCCAACAGCATTGCTGAAGTTGTGCGATCAGGTGCTGTTAGCCGCAGAGAGGCTGTGCATTGGCATACAATAGGCATCATCTTGACGCAAAAGGTGGGACAACCTACCCCTCCTTGCTAACAGGCTGTTTGACTGTGTTTCAATGGCGCGTGATAACTGGACGCACTGCGCTCGTCTTTTTATGGCGGTGGGCCAACCTAGGTTTTCAAGCATGGCGGACTGTTTTAGCAAATGTCCGGTGGTGCGCCTGCATGCATACTTTGGGATAGAGGAGATTGGTGGTGCACCTAGGGTTTTGCTCTTGTCGACCCATGTTCCCGTTTCCACTAGCTCTACACACCGCCAAACCTCGCGTCGAATCACGGGGAAGCAGGATCCCACAGGCACGCCCACGGACCGCACTGACGCTTCCATGCATAGCACTAACATGTAATACGCATCCCAACTGTACGACCTCCCGCCATTCCGTTCCAACGGAGCCGGCACCGATATGTCCTAGGCAAGACTTGATAGCGAGTTGAATTTAATAAAGGGGGCGAGCCCCGGTGTCTGCGAAGCTGACGGGTTTAGCATGTGAGGTGGTGTGGGCAGCATGGGGCTTGTTAACGATGAGATCTTTTGCAACACTGCAGTTACAGTCACAGTTTGTACACGCGTACGGTGTGTCCGAGTAAAATACCCCGGGGGCCCAAGACACTATATGAAGAGGCGTTAGTCCGGGTCAGGGTCTCCTACCGGCCCGCCGCTTGCATGTCATGCCAATATATGACCTACGAGGTCCCAGAGCGAGTACGGCCGAAATGGGCTCAGGTCCTGCCATTATTTTCACGTTGTGTTTGAATGCAGTTGCGTCGTTGACATCGCCGTCAGTAGCCGATTCACCTCCAATGGTGTATGCACCATGTCCAAGCTGATGCGTCAGTGTGCATGCAGTGTCCATGTATGCTGTCTTGTCTGTGCGTCAGTGTGCATGTTGGCTCGCCCCGATTAGGGGCGTAGTCTTAGCGTTCACTCAAAATTGTCCGAGCCGAGGCGTTATGTCCTTTTTGTACCGTGTGCATGTCCTATGTGTACCCTTGTACAGTTTGTATGTACCTGCACCGAGGTCTCAGATTCGGTCGGACAAGGTGGCGTAGTAATTGGTGTTGTGTTTTGAATACAATGGCATGTCGGAAAAAGTAAGAGGCTCGTATGTGTTACAAGCTTCGTACCGAGCTCGTAAGATCCGTCCGAGCCAGAAGGCTCATGGATCGCGAGCACAAAGCGCGAAAACAACCAAAGAGGCTCAGAGCTCAGAAGACGACCCAAATGTCGTACATATTGGCGGAAAGAAAGTGCTGTTGGCGGGTCTGTCTAGGTGATTCGTAATTTCCATATCAATGTCATTGTAGTGTTGTAAAGCTGGAACCAACGTTTAGCCCAGAAGCCAAGGATAAGTTGGCTCTTGTTGTGCCTCCCTCAAGGCTGATTTGCCTATTGCAAGAAACTCAACTGGTAAAGCTGCTATTTCTGCTATAATGTAGAAAGTTTAGTTGTAATTCAATACAAACAGCTTAGCAAAGGCTGCTGCTGCCGCGGCGACCGCAGAGCCAAAAGTGGGCATCGTCCCGCTACATTCACATTTACGTTCGTTCATTCATTTCGTTCGTTCAACGGCCACCGCTGAAAAGTGGATCGCACGATGTGCTCGTTTGGCGTATTCGATGCGTCCCTCGCCCGACCTGGCCTTTGTCGCAATCCTGTGGGCTATCGCTCTGGCGATTGCTTCTTTGATGCCTTTCGTTGGCTGTTGTTCCAGCAACGCGGAGTTGATGTGGGTGTACCAGCAGTGCGTCAAGCGGGGAATGGCGAATTTCGCCGGTGTTATGGCGTTTTTGTGGAAGCCTACGCACGAGCGCGCATATTGGACCCTGCCACACCGCATGCAGAGCTTAGGCAGGGGGTTAGCGCGCAGTTCGAAACCGACAATCCACACGTGTCGCTGGCTGCAAAAACAGCCACGGCCATTCCTAACGAGCCGAGATATGCACGCACCGCTGCATCAGAATGCGCCGCTGTGGCTGCTTACTGCACGGACATGCTATCGCTGGGAGAAGGGCCTGTGGTCACAGCGGCATGGGCGAACGAAAACATCATACACTGGGTAGCAGTTGCCTTTCACCTTGACCGATGGGATGCCGATGGCTTTGGGTGTCGTGCTCTTTCTTACGCATATGGCGGCAACAGCGAAGAAATGCGCTTGACTTTTTTTGCGGGTCATTACGAACCAGTTGTACGGGCAGACCCCACAGCCCACACCTAGCAGCCGCCAACATGCAAGCATCCAACGAACCAAACCCAAACCTCAATCGCCGATCTAACCCCAATCTAGCCCAACAGCATTGCTGAAGTTGTGCGACCAGGTGCTGTTAGCCGCAGAGAGGCTGTGCATTGGCATACAATAGGCATCATCTTGACGCAAAAGGTGGGACAACCTACCCCTCCTTGCTAACAGGCTGTTTGACTGTGTTTCAATGGCGCGTGATAACTGGACGCACTGCGCTCGTCTTTTTATGGCGGTGGGCCAACCTAGGTTTTCAAGCATGGCGGACTGTTTTAGCAAATGTCCGGTGGTGCACCTGCATGCATACTTTGGGATAGAGGAGGCTGGTGGTGCACCTAGGGTTTTGCTCTTGTCGACCCATGTTCCCGTTTCCACTAGCTCTACACACCGCCAAACCTCGCGTCGAATCACGGGGAAGCAGGATCCCACAGGCACGCCCACGGACCGCACTGACGCTTCTATGCATAGCACTAACATGTAATACGCATCCCAACTGTACGACCTCCCTCCATTCCGTTCCAACGGAGCCGGCACCGATATGTCCTAGGCAAGACTTGATAGCGAGTTTGAATTTAATAAAGGGGGCGAGCCCCGGTGTCTGCGAAGCTGACGGGTTTTCTGTATGTTAACCGGCGTGTGGTCACACCAGCTGGGCCAGCCTGTGTACATGCATAGCAGCTGTGCCCCAGACTGCCCCGGTTGTCACGCCGTTGCATGTGCACCGCCGTATTTTGTGATGCCAGCGGACACGGTGGTGCGGAAACAATGGGGGACTCCAAGAAGAATTTACCCACGGTGGGGAACTCCCGCAACCGTTGTGTTTGTGGCATCCACCTGACAACTACTCTGCTCATCTTTCCGCGCGCAAGGGCATTCCTGGCAGGCCAGCGGCAATGGGGAGCGGTGCGGAAGCAGGGTCAACTGCTGTTACTCCTGCCCTATACATATAATTAGGCTGCCCCCAATTCTGTAAGCACGATGCCCGGCAAACACTGAAGAAGTATGTATGTATTGTATGTATGTTACAAGCTTCAGGCTCGTAAGGCCCAGACGAGCCAGTAGAAGAAGGATATGTTGCGATCTTATGTTTGCAGTATGCACCCGATAACTACTGGCTTCAGAGCTGTGTGCGAGGGGAGTTATCCATGGAATGCAGTATCATATACAGCAAATATGCAATGGGTATGGGTTCTACAAAGCTAAGCAGTTTACATGTGCACCATTTTGGCATCATCGGTTGGTTGCGCGGGATTCATCAATGCGGCACAACAAATCCGCTTGTCGGGTGGGTTTCTAGTAAAATATAGGGTGTGAGAGCTATTTATGTAATATATTTTTTGTGTTGTATGCAGAGACAAGCTCACACTTTCCTGATCGGCCTCCCCGCTAAAGCGAGGCCTTGCCGGCCTATAATAGCAGTTCATAGTCGTAGCAAGCTCTCGTGGTTATCTTAAATAGATATGCAACAAAACGATTAAGTTGTATGAGAATTCTGGCAAAACCCTTTACACCATCCAACGTTGCTGCGCTTATATAAGCGAAAACACCTTATGGCTCATACCTAGTTATCAACAGTTATCAGCCTATGTCTTCAGGGTTTGTGATCGCAGAGCCAAAGGGAGAGGACACCGAGACGAGCTCCCTCAGCTCTCTATTTGCAGATGACGTGGTTCTCGATGATGCAGACGATTTAGAACCAGCTCCACCCTCAGATTCTTCCTACCGTCTACCACCCAGGCCGCCGTCTAAAAAGGACTTCTCAACAGTTGTTGCGCACTCTTCGGCTTCCCTCTGCGGTCGCTTGGCGCGGGACCCATATGCTCTTATTGTCACGGATGACAACAGCAACAGCGATGGACACCAATGTCTGCCGGTGGGAGTTAACAAACACCGGCGCTCCGAGGACAATCCATCGCCGGGCCTCTCGAAATCTGTGTCAACAGCGCAGCTCACAGCTGTGGCGGGCTGTCAAGCTCTAGATTCAATCGTGACCTCCAACGGAGTCACGCTGGACGGGGCATCGCCGCAGAGACGAGCAGTCACGCCGCTGCCGGGTAGGTTTGTTCGCCGCGGGGCCACAGAGCCCCGAAGGACCACGTGGGGGGTTGTAGACGGAGAGGGCAGGGGGCATGGGCCCCACCTCTGTGCCACACCGCCCTCCTGCAATCGAGTTTTCCCGTCTCCCACTTGTATGCTAGCCCCGCGATTGGGCAGCCTAGCTTCCCTGAGTCCGTTACCTACTCGTGCCCCGAGCAACACCCTGATCCCTTTGCCACGCACATGCCTTCCTGAGAAGAAGCCCCATCTCACCTCCACACCTCTCTCTCCTATGCTTACTCCCTCCAGTCGTCCCAAATTCTCTCCATTACCTTTCCTCCTCCCTCCGCCTGTGCAGACCCCCACCACAGCTGCAACACCCCGGTTGCCGCACCCCCCTCGCGCTCGCACTCCCCCGCCCTGGCGCACTCCCCAGGCTCCTCCAGCACCCACCTGCACCCCCCCGCCGCCCTCACCCTGCCGCTGCCAGCCTCCCTCGCCGCCGCCTCGGCCACCGCTGCCGGCCTCATCTCCCCACACGCCCACCCCGGCCTCTCCACTCCCTCCGGGGCCGCCCTGTCGGGGCAGCCGCACCACATGGGCGGCAGCGGCGGCGGCGTGGGGCCCGGCAGCAGCGGTACGACACCCCTGCCGCCGTACACCCACCATGCCCGTAGCCTGAGCCTGGGTGTGGGTCTGGGGGGCGAGGAGGAGCTTCAGAGCCTGGGGGCCTATGTGGCGGCGGAGGCGCGGCCGGCGGAGAAGATGCCCACACCGGATGTGGTGTGGGGGCAGACGGAGCGGGAGCGAGTGTGAGTGAGGGAGGGGGCGGGAAGGGAGTTAGGGGAGAGGAGTGGGGAGGAAACAGGGCCCTGGTGGGGTTGAGCAGTCGTTGGCATTGGATAAGGTTTGGGAGTTGGGTTGGGGATGTCACTGATTAGCCCCCTGCTGGTCCACTGTACGGGGAGGGGGGTGCATGGCGACCCATGCTTGCAACCCGGGCAGTGCCGTACGCGTGGGGGGAGCGGTTCTGGGGCTTATTAGCGGCTCTGGGGCCGCCACACGCTACCTTCCTGCTGGCAGGCTCCACACGTTTGCGAAACCGGATTGTTTATGTTGGCAGCTAGGTGGTGGGGGAGCGGCATGGAGCAGCGAGGGAGGGTCGTTCTTCCCGTCCAGGGTTGGGGCCCTTACACATCTGGCCGGGTATGGCATGCTACCGCAGCAGCCGCCTTGTTCACCTCCTGCCAGACCCCTCACACCTGCTCCTCTGCTCCCCTCCATGCCGCCTACCACCTACCTCCTCTCCCTAACCCTCTGCCCCCCTCCCTCCCTCCCAACCCCAGCTACAACTTCCTGCTGCATGTGCCGTACCAGCTGGAGCGACTTATCTTCTTCGGCATGCTGCTGCTCACAGACTCATTCCTGGTGAGGCGGGCGGGGGAGCAGGGCGGGCAGGGTCCGGAGGGGTTGCCTGGGGACCGCAATGTGGGAACCAGCTACCAGGGCTCTCGGCAAACCAGCCCGGGGATAGTTCGGTAGCTTCCATGGATTGCTAGCCTTCCCCTCATGCGTGCTCTAACCCCATGAACGTCTCCTTATCTCGGTTCCTTCCTCCCCCTTCCTCTCCCTTCCTCTCCCTCCAGGGTATCTTCACGCTGCTCCCACTGCGCTGCGCCGCCGCGCTGCTGCAGCTGCTGCGGGGCGCGCTGGCGCCCCTGCGGCCGCGGAGACACGGGCGGTGGTGGGGCAGCCGCCAACACCACCGCCCCACCAACACTGCCGCCTCAACCGCCCCCGGTGCTGTAGCAGCAGCAGCAGCAGCCGACAGCAGCGCCAGTGCTGCCCCCCCTGCCCCCGCCCCCCGTCTGAGCGGCAGTCAGCTGTACGACATGCTCTGCCTGGCCATCCTGTTCGGCGCCACCGCGGTGCTGCGGGCGGTGCGCCCCGGCTCCATCTACTACTGGCTGAAGGACATCACCAGCGAGTTCCTCAAGATGTCGGTGCTGTCCACCGCATTCGACATATCGGACAAGGTGGGGGGGGAGGGGTGTGCGGAGGGGGAGAGGGGGGGTGCAGGTGCCGGTGTAGAGGGCAGGGAGGGCATGGATCGGGAGTCATGTGGGTCACGCGGAGGGCCAGCGGCTGAGTGTGGGCTGTCACCTGTGCGGACCCTCCTGCCTTCGTGTCGTGCATTATTGCTTGCATGCGTCTCCCCTTGAGCCGCTTTCCCGCCCTTTCAAGATGGACCGAGATGGACCACATCCATTGCTAGACTCTCCTCTCCGTCGAAAGAACTTGGTTTTAGTTCTAGTATTGCGATGAGAAAGTGCGATGAGAAACAGTTGAGTTAGGTGTTTTGAAACAGTTGATGACGTCATCTCCGTCCGCTGGCTTGGAATGCTTGGCTCAAACCAATGTGCGCTTACACATGAGCACCATGAGCTGGTTTACATCCGCACGCGCTCCCTCCAATGCCCTGCCTTCTCGCCCTCCTTCCCAAACCCTGCCCTTCCTGCACCTCCCCATTTCCAACCTTCACCCACCCCCCTGCTTCCCTTCCTCTCGCCTCCCCTCCCCCCCGCTTCTCCCCCCCCCCCCGCCTCCCCTCCCCCCAGATCCTGTCCAACTTCGGTAATGACGTGCTCGCCGCGCTGTCCGGCACCTGCACCCAGGTGCTGGCGGGCAGGAAGCCAGTGGGGCACCTGGCGGCGGATGCGGCGGTGGCGGCCGTCATCGTCACACTGCACGCGCTCACACTCATGTGCCAGGTGGGGTGAGCGGAGCGGGGGAGGGGGAGGAGGAAACATGCGTTGAAGAGGTAGCGGGGGGGGAAGATGTTAGTAATTGTAGTTTTTTGTGGGTATAGAGATGCTAGTAGTCGTGATAGGACTGTCGTTGCTAGCAGCAGAGCGGTGTTCCCACGCCCCCCGCCTCCCCCCCGCCCAGGCCCTGATTGTGGCGGTGGCGCTCAACTCCTCGCGCAACGGGCTGGTGGCGCTGCTGATCGCCAACAACTTTGTGGAGATCAAGAGCACGGTGTTCAAGAAGTGGGACAGCACGCGAATTTGGGCGCTGGTGTGCGCGGTGGGGCAGGGGGGGGATGGGATTGGGGTGGGGTGGGAGCGGGGGTGGCGGAGGCAGGCAGTAAAAATGGCTTTCTCCCGTTTCACTGACAGGTAGCGCGTTTTGCAGTGTTCCGGGCATCCTTGCCGCCGATCTGCTGTTACCGTTACCCCAATCCACCTCGCTTCACCCCTTCCTCCCCCGCCCCGCCCCCCCTCCAGGACGCCGTGGAGCGGTTCCACCTGCTGGTGGTGCTGTCGTTCGTGGTGGTGGAGGAGATGGACAGCGCGGGCTCCTGGCGCCCGCCGCCCGACTACCTGCGCGTGTGCGGGCTGATGCTGCTGGCGGAGCTGGGCATCGACGTGGTGAAGCATGCGGTGCTGGGCAAGTTCAACGACGTGCGGCCGGGCATATACCGGGAGTTCCACCAGGTGGGGGGGGAGAAGGGGGAGAGGGACAGGGAGAGAGAGAGGGGGGAAAGCGGAGGAAGGGGAGATGTGAAATTGATGTGCTTAGATTGCACCGACGTAATGGGGCTGTTCGCAAGGCTAAGAGCACCATGCGAGTCGAGCTGACTGCTGATAGCGCGGCTGTCCAGGCCCATGTCCGCCGCCAGCTTGCGCTGCCACAGGGCCTCGCGCACTGCCGCGGCGGACATGGGCCTGGACAGCCGCGCTATCAGCAGTCAGCTCGACTCGCATGGTGCTCTTAGCCTTGCGAACAGCCCCATTACGTCGGTGCACTCTAGAAGGGACGGTGGGGACGGAGTGTGTTACACGCCGGAAGCGCGCAGGGCTGCTGCCAAGTGTATGTCCGCCTATCCCCCTCCAACGCCACTTCCTTACCTTTCTCCCCTCCCGCTCCCGCTCCCCTCCTCTCACCCCTTCCTCCCCTCCTCCCGCAGGAGTTGTGCGCCAAGTCGCTGGCCGCGCAGAGCCACTCCTCCCCGCGCCTGCTCAACTTCCACCACCTGGCCACCGCCGCACTGGGGCTGCGCATCGCACTCACGCTGTTCTGGCTGCGGGTGGAGACGCGCGCGCAGGTGGGGGCGGGGGGGGGGCCGAGGGGTACACGGAGGAGGTCAAGGGAGAAGAACATGCTGTGGGGGGTCAGGGATATGCCAAAACCAGAGGCTAGGGCAAAGCAATGGGGATAGAGGGAAGTAGCTCTTCACGAACAGAAAAGGGTGGGGTGGGAGAATAAACAAATGAATAATAGAGGTGAAGCAATAATTTGAGAAAGGTTGGGGAGCAGGAGCAGATACTTCACACGAGCTTGGGGCGTCTGCCCGCGCATCCTGTAGACCCTCCTGCCCGGGGTCTTGCATGGTGCTGGGCGGTGTTAGGGTCCAGCGGACTGGGGGTAAAGTGGGTTCAGTGCTCGAGAGGCCAATCCCAAACTCCACTCCATCCCATTCCCGGTCACCTCCCGGACACCTCCCCCCCCACCAGGTGTGGACCCGGGTGCTGCTGGTGGCGCTGCTGTACGGCCTCATGTGCGGCGCCAAGCTGCTCTTCGGCTACTGCATAAAGCTGCTGGCATTCGCGTACACGCGATACTACGGCAGGAAGTACGGCAGCAAACACATGTACGGCGTGCGCACGGGCTCCACATCTCGCGCGGGGGCTGCACCCTCGGCAGCAGCCGGCGGCGGCACAGCGAGCGCGGCGGGGGCGGCTGCCGGGCAGAGTGGGACGTCCGGGGTGTCCGGGTCGGGTCAGGCGCCTCCAGTAACCCATGCGCCAGGACTAGCCCCCACTGCGTCGGGCCCGGGCTCGGGCTTGTCCGGCCTGGCGAGCCCCGCTTCGGCGCCCGTGCCGCCCCTGCAGCAGCACCACTCGGCCGCCCCGCCCTCCTTCTCGGCGGGAGCGGTGACAGCGGCGGCGGTATCGCTGGTCCCGAACGCGGCAGGTAGCGGCGGCACGGGGGCGTGTTCGGTGTCGGCCTCAGGCGGGTCGGGGTCGAGTGGCTCGGGTGTGTCTTCTGTGCTGGCGGCTGGTGGCGGCGGCGGTGTGTTGCAGCAGCTGGTCCCGTCCGGGGAGCTGGGGGTGGGGTTGGGGGTGGGGGTGGCGGCAGTGGTAGCAGGGGTAGGGGTGGGTGCAGGCGGCGGTAGGGTGGGTGCTGCGGTGTCGCCGCACGCTCCGACACCTCGGCGCATGAGCAGTCCGGTGGTGGGGCTGGGGTCCGCGGGGCTGGGGGCAGGGGGGCAGGGTGGGGATGCGCAGGTAGCGGCGGCAGCGCTGCTGTCGTCGCTGTCGGGTTGGGCCTTGAATGCGGCTGCTGCAGGCGGTGGTGGAGGTGGAGGTGGTGGTGCCGGAGGCGGGCATTTGAAGGAGGAGTGACGACCGTGGGAACACACAAGGGATGGCGGTATAGGCTGGAGGACAGGTTGGAGGTCGGGTGGAGCAGTCGTGGGATGCAGTCGGTGTGGGTAAGGGTGTGGCAGGTGGTGTGGCAGGTGGCGGGGCGCCCCAGGTGGTGGCTTGCACCCTGGGTACGCCAGCTCGGCTCTGCTGCTGGTAGTAGTGGTGGTCGGGGTTGGGGGAGGCAGGCCGTGTGGCCGCACATGGTATTGCAGACGTGTGTTTGTCCCCCAGTGAACCGGTGTACGGTGGTGTACGGGCGCTGCGCTTTCACTGTATTCGTCCCGAGATAACGTTGGCCAAGTTCCTCTACTAGAGTGCCAACGTACCCGGAACTTGGTCCTAACGTGGGACAGGCTGGGGCGTTTTGCCGCCCTTGAGGAGGTGGAGGGAAGGGGGGAAGGGGGAGTCGCCTTTGCAGCTGCGCGGCATTTTAGCCCCGCGGGAATGCGTGCCGGTGCTTTTGTGCACGTGGCTTTGTCCTGCTGCTGCGCCTGCGACTCCCCGGGGGCTGCGGCTTTTGCGGGTATCTGCGGGTTGGGTTAGAGCTCTCAAGAGTCCGAGAGAATTTGAGTTTTGCTTGTTCTCGTTTGCAGGATGCGCTAAGCATGTTACACGTGGTTCATCATCAGTAGGTAGTGGTAGGGGGTGAGGGATACAAAAGCCGTAAGAAACACATACATGGAACAGTGGCTGAGGGGTGGGTTAAGGGAGGCAGGTGTGGGGAGGGGGATGTCTGGCTTGCTGCAAGGTTTTGCTATGACGGTGCATTGTTAGGGTGGACGTAGGCAGCGGGGGCAAGCGTGATAACGGCTCCTTCAGATGAAAGGCAGCATCAATGCAGCAGCTAGGGAGGCTAGCCGGTACGACAATGTGAGACGAAGACAGAAGGGCCGGGCTTTGGTGGCAGTAAGAGACGGAGACAGAAGGGCCGGGCTTTGGTGTTAGTAGGCTTAGGTAGATGGCTGGAACCTGGCTTTTCGCCGCGGGGTTCTCCTTGTGATCCAAGTGGTTCGCCTTCTCGTGCCCTTCGGGTTGCCTGCACTTGCCTGCGTACCGGTGCCCCTCCACTGGCGGCTGCTGCTGGAAATGGCACGCAGCGTGGTGCGCATGTGTAGCGTGCTGTGCAGGAAAACAGTAGCACGACACGAACCGACTTGCCCTCCGTTGTTCCTCCATGTAGAGGGAAGCTTCACTATGTGACGGAAGCGCATGAGGGACGGACTTGCATGCTTTAGGAATGGGCTTGGGACGGGTGAGGGTTCGGGAGGGGCGCACCTTGATGATGATGCGGAACTTGGAAGGAGGGTTCACCCCTGCTTTTGAAGGGTGGACTGTGCGGAGAGCCACGGGCGGAGCCGGAGATTGGAACGGCGGCGAACGATTTTCAGCGGCCCCACAACAGCACTGACAGCAAACGAAGGTTGCATACCCCTATACCTCCGTATCCCACCACTACCACCACCTCTATCGACTCCAAAGTGCTTGACGCATGCTCTGCGCTAACGCTCTGCTGTCGTCTGCTGTTCCCTCTACTGTCCCCAAACAGACATGTGTATGTCATGGGCGGCCGGGGGTAGGGCAGGCAACCGCTGCCCATCCAATCTAGTCTGCACGCCTCTACCTGGTTTGGGCGGCAGTGTCCGTTGGAGATTGGGGAGCAACGCCGTATACTCAGGGGCGCCAGACAGGCCCAAGCCTACATATAAGCTGAAAGCAAGAAAGCGTTACCTGCATTCGGTGCGGAGCACATAAACCTATGTCGTTTGGCCCGCTACAACAGCTTACACAATTTAATTAAAAGGGGACGTTGGCATTGCCTGAAGTATAAAGGCTTGCACTTGTCTGCATATTACCGAGGCTACATATGCTTCCTGCTTACCAAACCGATGGTTGCATACAGGCAACGGCGCGAGACCTTATTCCTCGCATTACTTCCTTCAGGTACCGTACGCGACTGCCTGCCACTTTGATCGGGAAGGTATGTAAGGAAGGTGTACGAGTGGGATCAATGAGCTCTTGATTGCCGAACGTCCTTCTCACGTTGCGCAATCGCGGCCAAGGCACAATCGGCTTTATAGGGTATATGTTTGTGCAAGAAGATCTAGCTACGTCAACTCTTTTACGCGCCGACCGTAAATGAACACTCAGCAGCTTCGTGGCCTGGGCCGGGCACCCACCACAGGATGCCCTCGCCGCTCCCTAGTGATTCGCAATGTTGCTGAGCTTACCCGGCCAACAGTTGCGGCCCCTGCTGCCAGGCCACGGGTGCGCAGAAGGCCAACGTTATTGCCTGCAGCATCCGTCGACGATTCCTCATGGTCTTTGCCAACTTTTTATTACTGTAGGTTGGCGTGCCAGAGGGCACTCCGGTTGTGCCACCACAGGTGCGTAAGCTTTGTACGCAACGTTGCAAGTGTAGCCATGGCTGACTTCCCACGACTCGTGCAGGACCTGCCCTCGCGCCCACGCCGCAACCGTCGCAGCGAGACTTTCCGTTCCGCAATTCGTGAGAACATTGTCTCCCCCGCCAACTTCATCCTGCCGATCTTCGTGCACGAGGAGGGCAGCACCAACATCCCAATTGCCTCCATGCCCGGCATTTTCCGCCTTGCTTTCGGCAAGAACGTGATTGACTATGTCGCCGAGGCTCGCTCTTACGGTGTGAACCAAGTCGTTATCTTCCCCAAGGTGTGTGCCCTTCCCCACGATGCGTTCTGTAGCGTCCCTCGCATGACCCTTCCTATCAACAACACCTACCCATACACCACACCTACAAATACAATACCACTAAAGCACGGATGTTACCACCGGCCAATGCCCCAGCCTTGCCACCGTCTTGCGAACAGTAGAAGTCGGTCGTGACCTCGACTCCTCTCTCATTCCCCCTGCTCCCCCGCCTCCGCCTCCGCCCTCCCCTCCCTCCCCTCAGACCCCCGACCACCTGAAGACGACCACCGCGGAGGAGGCCTTCAACCGCAACGGCCTCTCGCAACGCACCATCCGCCTGCTGAAGGACACCTTCCCGGACCTGGAGGTACGGCAGGGGTGGGTGGGAGGCGTAGAGGAGGTGAAGGGGGGGGGGGATACGCTTCACAGCGCCATCCCGGCAACCTGCACCGCCTTTCCTGGCTCCTATTCGCCTCCTCGCCTTCCTCCAGAGTGCCTCTTACCGTTCCACCCATCCACCCATCCATCCATCATTGCCTTCATTTGGTATTCTTCTTACCCTCCCCCACCAGGTGTACACCGACGTGGCGCTGGACCCGTACAACTCGGATGGCCACGACGGCATTGTGTCGGATGCGGGTGTCATCCTGAACGATGAAACCATCGAGTACCTGTGCCGCCAGGTGGGGTTGGGGAGGTGGCGTGTGGGGGAGTGGGATTGGGTGGAGGCAGTTGGGGGGCAGATGGAGGGTCGATTGTCGCTGGGGTGAAAGGAGCGGTGTGGGGGCGTGTAAGGCGCGGCGGGTGGGGCTGGGCCGGGTGCGTGTTGTGTTTGGTGCGGGTGTTTGGCAACTGCGCAGCGAAACCGGCGGCCTGGACCCCGCCGCTCACGTAACCGTCCTTCCCCCATGCCCGAGGTGCGCCCTCCTCCACCCCATTCCAGCTGCTTGCACAACATCCAAACCCCACCCCCTCCCCTGTCCTTTCCCCCGCTTCCCGCTCCCTCTCACCCCAACCCCCCTTCCTCTAGGCCGTCAGCCAGGCCGAGGCGGGTGCCGACGTGGTGTCCCCCAGTGACATGATGGACGGCCGAGTGGGCGCCATCCGCCGCGCGCTAGACCGCGAGGGCTTCACCAACGTGTCCATCATGTCGTACACCGCAAAGTACGCATCCGCCTACTACGGACCCTTCCGGGACGCGCTGGCGTCGGCGCCCAAGCCGGGGCAGGCGCACAGGTGAGGAGGAGGCAGTCAGGGAGGGGGCGAGGTGATGAGCAGGATGCGGTATGCTGGTGAGGACTGGGGTGCGAATCGATGGAGATGCCGAAGCAGGTTCCAGATTTGCCTGCGAGGGCGAAGGAAAGCGGAGGCGTCTTGCCCTCGTGTGTGTTAGGGCCCAACCCTCCCTGCTCCCCCCGCACCCCCTTCTCCCCCCCTCAGGCGCATCCCCCCCAACAAGAAGACCTACCAGATGGACCCCGCCAACTACCGCGAGGCGGTCCGCGAGGCGCGCGCCGACGAGGCGGAGGGCGCGGACATCATGATGGTGAAGCCCGGCATGCCGTACCTGGACGTGGTGCGGCTGCTGCGGGAGACCAGCCCGCTGCCCGTGGCGGTGTACCACGTGTCGGGAGAGTACGCCATGCTCAAGGTGCGGAGGGGGGTTGCGGGGGAAAGGGGAGAGAGGGAGGGAGGAGGGCGGCGACTGCGAGTGGGGGTGGGTAGGCGGCTACCAGCTAGCTGCGCGCACGAAGCAAGCCACTTGCGGCAGGATGCCCCCCACATGACACTAAAGCCACAAGCTGCTAAAACCTCGAGGCAGCCAGTTCGTCACGGTAGGCCTTGTCCTAGGAAACCATGCGCCTGGGCCGTGCCTAATGCCCTGCCTGCCAACTCTTCCCGCCAACTCCCTGCCCCCCCTTCTCTTCTAGTTGTTTGCATTTCTTATACAATTTTCCCCTTTCTTCTCAGGCCGCTGCCGAGCGCGGGTGGCTGAACGAGAAGGACGCGGTGCTGGAGGCCATGACGTGCTTCCGACGGGCGGGCGCCGACCTCATCCTCACCTACTACGGCATTGAGGCGTCCAAGTGGCTGGCAGGGGAGAAGTAGAGCAGGGGAGAAGTAGAGCGCGGCGTGGCTTGGGGCTTGATGGAGGAGTGTAACTGTTGCGGGATGGATGGGAGGTCTTGATTTTGGGAATAAGGAGTTGTGACGTTTGTTTCTGTTACATGTGTTGGAAGGGCGATGCTTCGACAGCCTGACACATAATCACATCACAGGGTGGCTGTTGTGTCCTACTTGGGCGGTGCTTCCACCGCCCACAATTTTGATACGTTGACTGACGTCGTTGACCGCGGGATGGCGACTGTAGAGGGAGGTGAGAAGAAATATTTACTTGTTTTCTGGCGGGGCGCTGTGGTCCCAGCTTGCGGCGCAGGATAGCGTGATGGTGCATGGGAAGCTCCGACTTCCAATATGTGCGGGGGATCCTATCAGAGAGTTCGGCCTCTGCCACCCATGTCAATGTTATTCATGGGGGAGCAATGCTTGGTGTCCTAGACGCCGTGTGCAAGCTAGGCTTGGGTGAAAAGCTACCATGAGGTCAGGAACTCGGGATTCCCCCAAACTCGTGCATTCCCCAAAACCTATACGGCTACAATAAGGTCCTATCCGGACTGGAGACGGGAATTGGTGGCAACCATCAAGAAGGCAAAGACCGGCAGACTCTTTGGCAGAGAACTGTCCCGCGGTACTAGACAAAGGGCGGATGAATGTGTGTTTTACGGCTTTAAGACGCGGAACACCGGGAGCAGTGGCTACTGGGCCTTTGAATAGGTTTGCAACCAAGGATGCCAGCCCCTTCGCCACATGACATGCACACAGGTCCATTGGTACGCTTAAGGTATCAAGCAGCAATCGGTGAAACGGGCATCTAGCCCTCCGTTGTAATGAGTTTCACTAGTGTGCATTGGCAGCGAAAAAGCCCGGCAAGATTGGGAGAGTGAAAACGGAGAGTGGAATGGGATAGTCCCCGGGTAGGACAAGTCAGCTTGTTCAGAGCGATAAATTACTATGATGTGCAGCAGAGTTGAGAAGCCATTTTAAATTGATTGCGTTGAGGAGATTTGCGACTGCCTGATCGGCTCCCCTGGAGCGGTTACCTGCGTCCCCGCGACAAAGTCTGGTGCGTCGCTTACCAGGTCCCTTTTCGAAGCGGAAGTCACAATGGGCGCCTACAAGGTGTGAGACATAGTCTAATACATATTTACCTGTAGGAATACTTGCACATCCGCCGCCGGTAGACATGGTTGCTTTCTCCCTTTGCAGTACGTTGAGGAGCTGTGGCGGAAGAAGCAGAGCGATGTGCTCCGCTTCCTCCTCCGTGTGCGGTGCTGGGAGTTCCGCCAGATGCCCAGCATCGTGCGCCTGACGCGTCCCTCCCGCGCGGACAAGGCCCGCCGCATGGGCTACAAGGCCAAGCAGGGCTACGTTGTGTACCGCGTGCGCGTTCGCCGCGGCAACCGCAAGCGGCCTGTGCACAAGGTACAAAACGGCGGCTTTCAGCATTAGCAGCGACAGCGGCTTACAGAGCTTTTTCTTTCGGTTTGCAGGGCATTGTCTACGGCAAGCCCGTTAACCAGGGTATCACCCAGCTGAAGCCCGCCCGCAACCTGCGCAACGTGGCTGAGGAGCGCGCCGGTCGCAAGTGCGGCGGTCTGCGCGTCCTGAACTCTTACTGGGTCAACCAGGTGAGCACTAACTACACTGTGGCTGGTAACATGTTTACATAAAACTTAATATTAATACCACTTCTGCATTCCTCACACAGGATTCGTGCTACAAGTACTTCGAGGTGATCATGGTGGACCCCGCCCACGCGGCCATCCGCAACGTGAGTGGATATATCCTAGCAGCACAATGGAGCTTGGCGGGGGATGAAATAGACCGTATACTAGCTAATACTTTTCCTCGCGGTCGATTCCACGGGTGGCAACTGGGTAACTGACGGGTTTCACCCTGCACCTCCACCCCTCAGGACGCCCGCATCAACTGGCTGTGCAACCCCGTGCACAAGCACCGCGAGCTGCGCGGCCTGACCTCCGCCGGCAAGAACTACCGCGGCCTGCGCGCCAAGGGCCACCGCGCCAGCAAGACCCGCCCCTCGAAGAGGGCCAGCTGGAAGCGCCGCAACTCGCTGTCGCTGCGCCGCTACCGCTAAACGTAAGCACAGAGCACTTGGGGTGGGTGGTCGCCTGGGGGTTAAGTGCTGTTCCGACCTCTCGGGGGCGCCATGCGGATTCCCACACCCGAAGAAATTTTACTAACAAGTACCCTTTTTGCTTTGTTCTGTGTTGCAGGTTTACTCCTCGTGGTGTTTGATCATCCGCCTGGCGCTGCTACATTTATCTGGTTTTGTAACGACTTGGCTAGCGGATTTGTACACCTTTCCTCGTCACGCATTCAGCACAATTTGCACTGACGGAATCAGCATTAGCGAGGGAAAACTCTTGGATTCGATACACACTTGCCGTACTAGCCTAGCCCTCCCAGTTTAGCACATCCCCGGACTTGGGTAAAACCTGATGCAAGTTGAAGACAAAGCCTGGGCGTGGCAGAGATTTTATACAACGCGGTAGTCGCGGCAGGAAATCAAAAGATGTGACAATGGTTTACCTTGCTACTTACACATCCTCGGGTGCACTACCCGTGCTCACGATCGGCTACAATTTCAGCCAACATCCCAAGTTCATCTCTGCTACACCACACTTCATCTTCACAGTTTCATCCAACGGCCTGATGTACAACCTCCACCCCCATCATCTTTGTCTGCTTACAAAGCCACTGGCATTAACCACCGCATGAGCCCCTCGAGTCATCCCAACAGGTAAACATGAAGTATCCGAATGGCCAGTGGACATGAAGACCCGTCATGCATCAAGCAGCAAAACTTGCGTTTCGTGCTTCACAGCCTCACAAAGACTAGACTAGCCCTGCCCCTGTACCCCCATGCCCATGAACCCAACCAACGCTACTACGGCCTTCACTTCGCCATCACAGCCTTGTGCAGCGCGACAACGTAGTCGGTGTACGACTGCGTTGCGGGGCTGCGGTCCTCAACAAAGTACGGCAGGACGTGGGCGTCCAGGCCCGAGCCTTGCCGTACGACAAACACCTGCTGGTGCAACGACCGCCCGGTGCGCAGCGCGCGCAACAACGTGTTCAGCCGCCGCGACATGGGGGCATCGCGCCCTGGCTCCACCACCACCCCGCTCGTGTCCTGCGGTAGCGAGATGGGGTCCGTGCCGAACACCTGCACACAGCATGCCAACGCGGGAGGATGAAGGGAACCGTCGTTAGCCGTATCCAATCGTTGGTGCCTTCCAGTCTTCCGCCACCTCCAGAAGCCCAGTGCTTAGGATCGACCGACAACCCAGCCCTATCATTCCCGCCCACCGCCAGCACGCGCCCTCCCCAAGCGGCGCGCCCCGCCCACCTCCATGCACCACTGCGGCGAGATGGCGCGGCCCACCCACAGCACGAACACGCGGCCCGTGTCCAGCAGGTACGCGCCCGCCTCGCTCAGCGCCGCCAGCGTGAGCGGCACCGCGGGCGGCAGCGGCACGGCGCCGTCCTCCTGCTGCACGCCCCAGGGCCCCGCGGGGTCGTGCAGCATGTAGGCTGCCGGGTAGGCCAGCCGCAGCACCGCGTCCACCCCGCTGCCCATCAGGTAGTGCCCCACCGCGATGCGCTCGTCCGCGTTCACGTCCTTGGCGCCGCCCCTGGGGGGGAGCAGCGGGGCGCAGGGTGTGGGTGAGCTTGGATGCGTGGCAGCTGCCAGGTAAGCGGCAGGTAAGTGAATAGGTAGTTGTGGGGCCGTGAGAGCCCATTCTCCATACCAAGTGCACGTCGACATCGCATGCATCGAACCCAAACCTGCCAGCAGCAGCAACCTGTTCTTCACCGCCTCCTTACCCACTGCGCCACCCATCCCCCAGCTCCCCTCTCTCCTCACGCCCCCGCACCTCCTCTCCTGCCACCCGCGCCACCTGCACCCACCCACCTGAACGCCGCGCACTTCATGAGCCCCAGCGTCCACACCGGCAGGTACTTGTAGGTCTCCGGGAAGATCAGCTTGTTGGGCGCCCGCAGCGCCGCGCTGCTGTTCATGATGCGGAACTCCTTGAGCGCGCCGAACAGCCGCGAGTGCAGCGCCTGCCGCGTCTCGTCCAGCCGCGAGCTCAGGTACTTCTCAACCGACAGCTTGGCCAGCATGCAGGTGGTGGCGCCCGCGTCAGTGGCGTTGAACAAGTCCGACAGCTCGGACACCACCGGCACAGCCATGGTGTGCACCCTTTGGGGGGGGGAGGGGGTGAGAAGGCGGCATAGCGCACATTAGGCTGAGTAGAAGGTAGCTTGGGTGACCCAAGGGAGGGTATCGTAGCTATCGTAGCCCCAGCTGTGCGCTGAAGCCGCATATCCAAAGGTTCGGCCTCAGGTGATCAGAGCACAGAGCACGTGCCGACACAGCAGGCCAGCATTGACGTGTGCTGCGCACCTGATTCGCCGCTCGCCAATGGAGTTGGTGTACAGCAGCGCGCACTGCACGTACGCCATGCCCGGCTGCACCATGCCCTCCTCGTGCGTGATCTCCATCGCGAATGCCTGCAGGCGAAGGAGGGAGGGTACAAGTAAGGAAACCACGCGCAACTAGATAGGAGGGAGGACTGTGGTAAAGAAGGAACCGGGGCGGAGCTACCGGTCAGCTCCGCGCACTAGCACGCAGGTGGCTTCCCTAGCCCAACCCCTTTCCTGCACGGCCCACATCGGCACACCAACAGTGCGTTCCCAATCACGCCGCTCCGCACCCCTTGGCACCGCCAGCGCCATTAAACCCTCCCGTACCGTAGACCTGAGCCACATGCCACGAGCACACACGCGGCCCCATGGGGTCTCTACCCCCTGGCGCTGCAACAACTGCCCTCCCCTCTTCCCCTCCCACCTTGTCCGGGTCGCATGTGGGCAGCGCCAGCAGGTCGGTGGATCGGTTGAAGAAGTGGCCGTGGAAGGCGGAGATGCGCAGCCCCTTGGAGCACCGCACGCGCATGACCGCCTCCCAGGCGGTGGGGCGAGTCAGGTTGCGGCGCAGCTCGGCGCTGAGCCGGGGCCCGTCGCGCTGGGCCAGGAAGCCGGGGTAGTAGTAGAGCTGAGGGGCACAGGGGCAGAGGTTGGGGATGGAGGTACGGGGGTTTGGGAGGAGAAGATAGGTGGCGCCACCCCTTGCTTCTACAACCTCCGCTGTCTCCTTCTCACGGCATGCGCTGCACCACTCCTAACGCCGCGTTCCTGCGCAGCCTCGCGCACTTCACCCTCCCCCCTTCACACCTCCCCCTCCGCCTCCACCCACCTCTCCGCACGTGTACCGCGGAATGGCTGCCAGGCTGGCCAGGTCGCAGTACTGCTGGCACAGCGCGAACACATCCACCGTGATCTGCACGCGGCTGCACTCCGCGGCGTAGCGCTTGAAGAAGGGGTCGTCGGGGTTGCGCAGCGCCGGCTCGCGCTCCGTGCCGTACGCCGACAGGTTCTCCCGGTTCTTGACCTTGCCCACACCCAGCGAGGGCACGGAGGACTGGAACAGCAGCAGCTTGCCGCCGATGTGGCTGGTGACCATGAAGGCGGCCTACAGGGGGTAGGGGGGAAGGATGAAAGGGAAGGATGGAGGGGAGAAGGCGTGAGCGAAGGCGAGAGGATGGGCATGCACACATCGCGCGGAGTAGGGTAGGGTGCTGCGGCATTGCGAAATAAGGGGTGTGGGTGAAGGGGCGGTCACCCTGCCGGCTTCTGGTCACCAGCCCTGTTCGACATCAGCGTTTCTGTGTTGCAAGCTCGTCTGCTGGGCGCTAGCGTTCAAAGATCGGGTCGGCTGCAGGACCTGGTCCTGACCTAGGCAGAGCCCCCGAACACCCGCCCCCGCCCCGTCCTTCTCCCTCGCCGCTCCCACCCCTCCCTCCCTCCCTCCCCACCTGCAGCGCGGGCCCCATGGCGCTCTCAACCACCGTGTTGCCCGCGAAGTTGCCCGGCAGCGCGTCCAGCAGCGCCTCCACCACCTGGCGGCTGTCGCGCAGGTTGACCAACAGGTCGTCCGGCAGCGGCACGAAGGGGTCGTCCAGCTCCGTCACCACCAGCATCTGCGGCTGCGTCAGGCTGGACTTGAGGTTGTAGAAGTGGAGGGAGCTGGCAGGGAGGGAGGGGGAAGCAGGGAAGAGTGGGTATGAGGGGGTGCATTAGGAGGGACTTGGAGTGGTGGAAGGAATGGAGGACGGTGACGATGGGGACGAGCGTGTGCCCCATCCGCCCACCCCCACCAGCGCTCCTCCTGCCCCACCTGTCGAAGGTGATGAAGCCCACCAGCGTGCGCTCGTCCCCCGGCAGCGAGTCCAGGCAGGACTTGATGGTGGCGGCCACGGTGGCCAGCATGCCGCTGGCAACTGCGCTGTACGACACATCGATCAGGAAGAAGTACACGGGGGGCATGGGCGCGCGGACCTGGGAGGGGGATGGGGAGGGAGGAGGGGGGGGTGCAGCGCGTGCGGGCGCGGGTTAAGCGGTGAGGCAGTGGTGGGGTCGATAAGGAGGCACGCTGCAGGAAGCCAGGTGCAGCAACCCCCTACGCCCCCATGCTCCCTCCCTCACCCAACCATTACGCAACCCCTCCGACCAAGGGATTCTTGCGCTTCGCCTCCTATTTCCACCAAGACCCCCCCACACACACCACAACCATTACCATTACCATTATCACTACCACCCTCCCCTCCCCTCCTCATCATGGTATTCCTCCTCCTTTCCCCGCCCCACCCCACCGCGCCCCCCCACCCCACCCCACCATGTAGTCTGCGGGCGCCACATACTCCACGGTGCCCTGCGACAGCTCCGGCCGCTCCTCCGCATCGCGGCGGCGGCCGTTCTGGTCCAGGCTGCAAAAGTACTCCACCGGGATTTCGTTCAGCATGCTGCACACGTTGCACTTGAACCTGCGGACAGCAGCAGGCAGCAGACAGCAGGAGGGGAGTGGGTGGGGCGGATGATGGAGGGGCCGGGCTGCCATGCATGTTGGCAAGGAGCGGGGAAGCATGGGTGCAGGGATCCCCACCTCCCAGACGCAACAGCACACATCCACGTAATCAACGCAATGTGTCGTGATCCTAGAGGCACGTCCAAGCTCCTCAGTGGTTTTGATTACACACCCAAGCGCCCCCGCCACCACCCCACCTGCGTCCCGCGTCCGTCCACTGTATGAAGGGGCTCATGTAGGTGCGGCAGCGGCGGCAGCGCACGATGCCCGCCGAGCTGAGCTGCACCACCGGCACGCAGCGGCCGTGCGCCTCGTCCGCCATGGGGTGCACCACCACACCCAGCGGCAGCGGCATCCTGGCAGGCGGGGAGGGGGGGGCCAGGGCGGGGAGGGTGGTGGTGGTGCACACTGCCGCAAGCTAGGGCTGCGGTGGTCCTCTCACAAAGCGCCCCAGCGCTACTGCTACTGAGCGCGGTAACGTCAGATGAGGTTACCGGAGGCAGGTGTGTCCCCCAGTACTGGCCACAGCCCAGGGCAAACCAGCCCCTGCAGCCAGCCACCGTACCCCTCTACGTCTACTCCGCAGCCCCCTGCTTGCCTGGATCTCAGCGCCGTGGTTGCGGGGATGGCGTTGACCGTCATGCGCATGTTGTCGGGGCTGCAGTTGGCCGGGTCGGCGCGCGCGTGCGGCGTGCGCGCCCGCTCCAGCTGCTCGCCCACGGGTCGCGGCAGGGCGTTGGGGTCCACCCCGTCCGGCTGCCCGGGGCCGGCTGCCCCCAGCGTGAGCGACTCGAACTGCTCCACCATGCGCTGGGCGAGCAGGGGGAGGGGAGGGGAGGGGAGGTTAGGGAGGGGGAAAGGGCATGAAGACAGGCGAGATAGGTAATGGTTTTGGATAGCCTGTGCAGGGGGTCTGTGCAGGAGGATGATGGAGAGGCACAAGCTGGACATGCGCGGTGCTCCGTTAGAGCGACGCAAGCTGGACTGGGCAGCAAGGCAGCTAGCTGAACCTGGACGCAATACCGTTAGAGCTACATGCCGCCAAAGCCTCCTAAAAGGTGGTAGGTGGTTCGCACAGCTGCTGTCCCTTACCTGTGCCGCATAGGGGTCGTACCCGCCCATAGGCGGCGGCGGGAAGCCGTGCCCGGCTGCTGGCGGCATGCCATGAGCCCCGGGGGGCCCCGGGGGCGGGGGCATGCCGGACGGGTGGAAGGCGCCGGGCGGGGGCGGGAAGCCGTGCATGCCGGGTTGCCCTGACTGCGGAGGAGGTGGCATGCCGGGCGGCATCATGCCTGGGGGCGGGGGCCCCGGCGGCATACCCGGCGGTGGGGGCATACCCGGGGGCGGCATGGCGCCAGGGGGGGCGAAGCCGCCGGCTGAGCCGCGCTGCTGCTGGGGTCCGGGCGGCAGCTGCGTGCCTGGGATGCCGCCGGGTGCAGGGGGCGGGACTGGGGGCGGCGGCATCATGCCGCCGGAAATGGAGCTAGGACCTGCGTTAGCCGGCAGTGGTGGGGCATGCATGGATGGTCGTCAGGGGTGTGCTGATGTCAAAGCAGTAAAGGTGTGGATACTGGGTATGCTAGGATAGCCGAACTCACCAGCGGAGCCCATCGAACCGGGTTGGCCAGGTTGCCGGGGGAAAGCCGGGGGAGGCACACCCGGTGGCTGGATGCCAGGCGGGGGAACCCCCGGTGGGGCCACGCCAGCAGGCGAGACGCCTGGAGGCCGCATGCCGGGGGGCTGCATGCTGGGTGGGGCCCCTCCCGATGGCACCATGCCCGGTGGCGGCATGCCGGGCAGCGGCATCCCAGGGGGGGGCATGCCCGGCGGGGGCACACCAGGCGGGGGCTGCGGCAAGCCTGTTGGGAAGCCCTGAGGAGGAACGCCAGGTGGGGGCATTCCCTGTGGCATTGCACCTGCGCCAGATAGGAGGGTTTGCACTGATTATAAGATGTTTGCGGCCTATAAGGATACGCAGCGCTGACAACGTTGGGAAGCTACCTGGCATCGGAGGGCGCGGCATTGGCGGAGCTCCTGCTGGGGGCATTACCCCAGCAGAAGGGGGGCCGCTAACACCCCCTGCACGCATATTACTTTGTCCAGCTGAAATGCCGAGCGAAGCGGATCTTTGGCTAACTGCAGACGGAGCGCATGTGCATCCTCACCTGGTGGAGGCGGTGGACCTGGGAACGGAGGCCGTGCTCCATATGCTGCCGGAGGATACATTGAGCCTGCGTTCGGCAGCTGATTAGGCGCCGCGTGTTGCACTGTTGCGGCCATCGATCATTTTGGGCAAGCGGGCTCACCAGAACTGTATCCAGGCGGTGGCTGTCCTACCCCTGACATACTGCAAGCGCTTTACTGCAGATCAGGTATACGCGAACTGCTAGGATCGCATAAATAGGTTTGGGACCCCGAACGTCTCAGCAGTTTTTTGTTACCCGCGCATACATCTATGCTATGCAGAGTGCAAATATTGTATATCAAAATGAGTTACAGGTAGCGCTGCTGCGCATGGAACACCTGATGTTGCGAGTCTACTTGCTCGTCATAAGGACACCACGGCAACACAGGTAAAAGCCCCTTAACTGCCATAACAACAATAATCTGTGGTATAAAGTTGCATAGCTTTTCATTATATACGCATCCTGGCATAACTAACTGTATAAAGCAGCGTCCGCCTGTTGCCTGTTGTCCATGAAAGCAAGAGCTTTGCTGCCTTCCAACTTACCAGCCAGCAACTCAGGAAGCGAAACCGACTCGTTGGAAACCAAATAGTTCACACCCGAAAGCCAATAGCAGGCCGCTTCTCACCAGTCCCAAGGCACCTAAAACAAATTGTCCGCGTTGAGCCCCGGCAAGTCAAGCAGTGTTTCGGGAACTCGCCCTTTGGGAGCACTACTTCCGTTGAATGGTTCACACGACCCACTCCATTGCATGTGGGGCATACGGTACGCCCTGTCCCTCCGCACAATGCGCAAGGCACACTCCCGTTTCCTCCTTGCCCCAATTGCTTCCAGCTTTGCTGCCCACTGCTTGTGTCAACGGGTCTCCGTCCTTGGTGCCATCTTACCGCTAGCGCAAAAACGGTGCTAGCCAGAGACACCACGCCACATACTAAGCCTAGCTCAACAACGGATGTCAGCGGCGCGCACTGAACCGCGCAGCATAGAAGATTTCTGCGCGTTTTTGTCGGCCGCTGTAGCCGTTGAAGTGGGGCAGCACAAGTCCGATGAACTGGCTGTGCCTTTAACCCTGACATTGCCTGTAACGCTTGTAGCGTAGCTGAAATTTGTGAATACAACTGCATCATTACCTGCAATCGGCTATACCAACTTGTCAATGATCACGGAACTGCAATACGGCAATACATCAGACGCCGCGTCAGATGCCAATGCATGTCGCAAGCCCAAAACCTCGACACGTATGTAAAAGTAGAGTTGTCCCTGAAATAATTACGTTAAGAGGCATTGCTGCTTGAACGCCTCCCACACATACCGGTATAGCGGTATAGCTCAAGTACAACAGCCCATTGACCTTGCCCTGGCGTTTAACACCTTCCTTGCATCCGCGTTCCAAACCCGCCTGCCAGGAACTACGCTTTCTTACAACAAGCACTATTAACCTCTCTTTTCCAGACTTAAGCACTCAGTGTTGCAACCTCGGCAACCGCAAACCTCCGGCAACAGCACGCGACCAAGGAAACGCTCCATGGCGACGGGACCCGCTCCGCCCCTGCAATACCAGCCGGGATTTGGTAACGAGTTCTGCTCCGAGGCGCTGCCGGGGGCGCTGCCGCGAACCCAGAACAGCCCCGCCCAGTGCCCCTACGGCCTCTACGGTGCGTCCTCCGGTGGTGGTGGTGGTGGTGGTGGAGGCTGCAGCGACCAGAGCACCCTGCCGGAACGCCCTGTCGCTCCTCTGCCGCTTGCACCGCAAGTGCCTAGTCAAGGGCCTGTTGTCCTGTGCGATTGCGGTCACTGCCTCCTTGCATGAACTCCGACTGTGCTCTCCCTCTGCAAGGGCGACAGCTGGAACCAACCCGCCCCATTACCCCCGCACAGCTGCCCCCAACCTGCACGCTTTGCAACTCCCCACCTCCCTCTCCCTCCCTCCCATTTGGCCTCCATTTGAACCTCCCCCCCAGCCGAGCAGCTGAGCGGCACCCACTTCACCGCCCCCCGCTCATCCAACCGCCGCTCCTGGCTCTACCGCATCCGCCCCTCCGTCACCCACCAGCCCTTCCACCCCGTGGACTTCCCGCAGCAGGCGCTCTCCGCGCACTTCTCCGCCGCATCCTCCGCGCTGCTCACCCCCAACCAGCTGCGCTGGCGGCCCTTCCCGCTGCCCGCCGAGCCGGTGGACTGGGTGCGGGGGCTGCTCACCCTGTGCGGCAGCGGCAGGTGCGGGGGGAGGGGGGAGGGATGGAAACAATGAGGAAGCTGACGAGGGGTCGGGTGAGGGGTGGGGCTAGGGAGAGGTGGGAGTACGATATTCACCCTCCTGATGGAGATGAGCGGGGACCAGGCAGGGGCGGGTGCGGCCGCTGCTGGCCCCAGAGCAGCAGTCGCCTGCCCACCCTCTCGCCGGCTGCTTCCTGCGTATCCTCCTGACCTCCCAACCCAGCACTGCGCCCTCCCCGCGCTGCCGTGAGGCGCTCCCTCCGTGGCCCAGTACCGCCGTTTAGCCAGCGCCTCCAACAGCTCCCACGTCCCACTCCCACGTCCCACTCTCCCCCTCCCACCTCCCCTCCCCTCCCGCCTCCCACAGCGCCTGCTCCAAGGAGGGGTTCGCCATCCACGTGTACACCGCCAACCGCTCCATGAGGTCGGCCGCACTCGCCAATGCGGACGGCGACTTCCTCATCGTGCCACAACTGGGTGGGGCGGGTCAGGGGGTGGGGGGTGAGGGGTGGGGGACGGGAAGGGGAGGTGTAGTCACCCCTGGTCAGCATGGCGAGGCGAGGAGGGGAAAGCTATCCTTAAGCCCCTTGTTTGCCCTCCTGCTAAGTTGGGTGTAGCATCAAGTGCTTAGAACCGTACCGGTAGTTCCATGCTCCGAAACCCCCTCCTCCCCCGTCCCCCCTCCCCCCCCAGGCGCTCTGCGTCTCAAGACGGAGTTCGGGCTGCTAGACGTGGCGCCGGGGGAGGTGGCGGTGGTGCCGCGGGGGGTGCGGTTCGCGGTGGAGCTGCATGCGGAGGCGGCGCGGGGGTACGTGCTGGAGGTGAGGGGGGGGGGAGGAGGGGGAGGGGAAGGAAGGAGAGGTGAGAGGGGAAGGGAGAGGCTTGAACTCTGTTCTGGGTATGCCCAGCAACCCTCGCTTGAGCGCTCTGCATGCGTGCTTGCATCGTGTGATAACGGTTTCGGGGCGGATTGGAAGCGGCGCCAGCACGAGGAAAGTAGAGGGATGCCTTGGCAGTGCGGGGTCATAGTTCCGCTGCCATTGCCGCCGCTCCCCTGCCGTCCTCGGTCGTGGGTTACGACAGCCCTCTCCCCCCTACTGGCCCAACCCCCGCCCCGTCTTGTTTGCCAATGCCATTAAGCACATTGGGTATTTACTTCCCCCCCATCCTGTATTGTTGCACTTATCTATAACTCTCCCCCCATTGCTTTGCCCTAACTTGTGGTCTCCTATGGTTTGGTATGGTCTTTGACCCCCCCGCAGACCTTCCAGGGCCACTTTGCGCTGCCGGAGTTGGGGCCCATCGGTGAGCGGGGGCGGTGGGGGCTGGGGGTAACGAGGAAACAACAAGCCCCTCCCCCTTCCCCCGCCCCACCTCCTCCTCCCTCCCCCGCCCAGCCCCAGCCCTCCTTCCGCTCCCTCCTTCCGCTCCCTCCTTCCGCTCCCCCCGCTCCCAGGGGCCAACGGACTCGCCAACCCACGCGACTTCCTGCACCCGGTTGCCTGGTACGAGGGGGGCCCGGCTGCTGCTGCTGGGGGGGGTGCCGCTGAGGGGCCGGCTGCTGGTGGTACTGCTGCTGCTGCTGCTGCTGCTGCTGCTGGTGCCCCCGGAGAGGTGTGCTACCGTGTGCTCCACAAGCTGGGTGGGCAGCTGTTCGAGGCGCAGCAGGCCTTCTCGCCCTTCAACGTGGTGGCATGGCACGGCAACTACGTGAGCCTGGGGGGGTGCAGGGGGTCAGGGGGCGGGTAGCGCATGCGGGCTGCAGGTGTATGCCATGTGTGCACATGTGCGCTGAGGTGCGCTGAGGTCCCGATGTGTCCCCGTGTGCAACCAGCGACCCAACCATGCGGAAAACCCGCTGCGCCCCTCTCCCCCCCTCCCGCCAGCTGCCGTACAAGTACGACCTGGCTCGCTTCTGCCCCGTGAACTCCGTCGCCTTCGACCACCCAGGTGACGAGCGGTTGCTGCGGGGCAGGGGGGGGGGTCAAGGACCATAGCGAACCAGGGGGGTGAGGGGGGGGCGGAGGAGTAAGGAGATACGAACGAGCGTGTTTGTTTTTACAGCAACTGAGCAGCAAGCATGAGTGCATGCCGCGTGTGGATGGGGAGGCTCGCCGCCTAGCAGCATGTCGGTGTCCTCCTGGCCCCATCATGGCCCTCCTTCCCCTGTGTCCTCTGTCTCCGCCTTACCCTTTCCCTCCCTCCCGCCTGCACGCCTCCTCCCACCAGACCCCTCCATCTTCACCGTCCTCACCGTACCCTCCTACACGCCAGGTGGGGGGCTGAAGAGGGGAGATAAAAAGAAGTTCCAATGTGTGGTGTTATAGTGGTAAACTAGCTGACAAGCCCTTATGGAAAAACAGTAAGTCAGAGCCGAACTGGTGACAGATGCGTTGCGAGCTGAAGGGGAGGTGCGGGGACGGAAGGGGAGATGCCGGTGAACGACCCTGCTCCCGCGCCCTGCCCCCTCCTGCCTATACCCCCTCCTGCATGTCATCATACCACCAACACCCTAGCCCCTGCCACCTCTCTCCCACTCCCCCCCCCGTCCACTATCACACCACACACTGGAAGTTCTCCTCCCCCCTCTCTCCCCCGGCTCCCTGCCCGCCAGGCGCGCCCCCCACCGCCGACTTCGTGGTGTTCCCGCCCCGCTGGCTGGTGGCGGAGCACACCTTCAGGCCGCCCTACTACCACCGTAATACGGCGTCGGAGGTGGGGCAGGGGGGGGAGGGGTCAGGGAGGGGGGGTAGCGAGGGGAGGGGATGGGAGAGGGGGGAGGGCATGCATGCGGTGCGGGGGTGTGTGCGATGGTTGCCTGTCGTGTTGGAGATGCAGGGCCGGGGGATCATAACTTCAGAGCTGCTTGCTGTGGGCTCAACCTTGCACCTGCTTGATCCGCCAGATAGCGACAAGAACGTCCTTTCGTAACCCGGCAGCCTTGCCCTGCCCCTACCTCCCTGCCCCCCCCACCTCACATGGGATTCGGACTCCAGTTGCTTCACCTCTTGTTCCATCTTTGACCCCCCGCCCTGCTCCCCCCCCCAGTTCATGGGCCTCATCCGCGGGCAGTACGAGGCCAAGCAGGACGGCGGCTTCCTGCCCGGTGGAGCCTCGCTGCACACCTGCATGACGCCGCACGGACCCGACACCGCCACGTTCGAGCGGGCGACGCAGGGGGCGGAGGAGGGGCCGGCGCGGCTGGGGGAGGAGGTGGGAGGAAGGGTTGTAGGTAGTCCGGGGTGTTGCGGCCGTAAAGGGGGGTGATTCGCGAGTCCTGGTGTCTACATAGACACCTGCGGCGATCCTCATCCCTTCACTCCTCCATCTTTGCTCCTCCTGCCGCATCCAGACGCTGGCTTTCATGTTCGAGACCAACGCCGTCCCACGGGTCACTCCCGCCGCCCTGAGCTGCCCCTGCGTGGACCGAGACTATTACAAGTGCTGGGAGGGGCTGCGGAGCCACTTCGACCCCACAGCGCTGCCGCCGGGATTTGAGCCGCGGACTGGGAAGAAGGGAGGCGGCGAGGGGTCCGAGGCGGCGCATGCGAACGGTGCAGGTGCCGAGAACAATGGGGGCGTCGCAGCGGCGAGCAAGGCAGCGGCGGGTGCGGTGCTGGAGGCGTAAGGCGTGCAGTGTGCGAGGATGTGTGTGGGGGTGCGATGCGGGTGGTAGGGTGGGGCGCATTGAGCCGGCTGCTGCCGCTTTGTTGCTGCTGCCTTCCCTTCCCCGGCGGTTGGACGAGGGGGGCGGCGCCTAGAGTCGTGGCGGGTGCTGGGCTGTGTATCATATAGCAGCTTTGTAAGGTGGGAGCTTGCCTTACGGCAATCTCCCGTGTATACTATCTCCGACTTTATAGATTTATAGTCGTCCATACAGATTAAGAGTGACGTTGCCAAAGCAGTGACCGACCCGGCGGTGTTGCTGGATGGCGAGGCGGGTGTACGACGATAATTGATGTACAGCAGGTCACGGAACTGAAGACGTGCGTCTGGTGTACGATATTTGCTGGATTGATTGCTGGCCCCTTCTGTTGACTGGTTTATGACAACCGTTGCGTTTGTAGTTACATAGGAATTATCCATTGAATAGTTTGTACCGCTTAAAACTGAGTAGGTGCTCGTGGATTGGCAGTTGAGGGGAAGAATGCGAAATCGCCTTGCAGTTTTGATGTTGAAATTTGTCTCACGGCCATGGTATTTTTGCCCCCAAACGCACTCCCAACGAAAGCCATGCAATGGTTGGGAATACGATACTAATGGGGGCTTAGGAAGCACCACAGTACTCCATATGTATTTCTACGCCCGCAGCGGCCGTTGCTTCCGCACATGTATACATTCATTGCGCGTTGTTTTCTTGTTGTTACCGTATTTCATGCTTGGCAGTTGACATACCCGGTTGTTGTTGGTGCAAACTTGTGTCCAAGTGCGCACACTGCAGGCTCCCAGTGCGGCCCTGCAGCCCAGCAGACGCACGGAGGTGTCCTGTCAGGTGTCTTTAGTGCAAGGCATGAGCCCGCGAATAGGTGATGTTTCACGGCTGAAGCTCTGGTGCGCTCGCTAGGATGGATGCCTGCATGCCGCCGGCCAAGGCTTTGGGTATGTTTCGCACGGTATGTGCCGCAGACGGGCGCATGTGATGTGTAAGAGAAAGAATGCTATCTCCCGTAGAAAGGCCATTACTCCTCTTGTGGTGTGTGGCGGCTGTTACTGCCATGCACGAGCATTGCATTACCCGCCGGGTCCCTTGGGTTGCTGCATGAAGACATCGTCGTGCTTACATCTTCCGGTAGTCATGCAACCTTCAGGCTCCATGCAGGTCGTCGTGGCACCCTTGCCCAGTCATTGATGATGACCCCTGGGTCGCTAATCGCATCAAATAACCCAAGATCTTCACAAGGTTACCCAGTCATCACACAGGATCTCTACCCACCATTGGCTCTTCTACCGATTTCTCCTATCTAGCGCCGCTAACAAGCCCGTATATGTACTGGCCGTGTATGTGTATATTGACAGCCCTATTGCCCCCCCCGCTTCCACGCACGCCACGTGTACAGAAACCTCAATAGACACCGGAACCGCTAGATATCAGGATTGGGTTTATAGCCCTATTCACGTGCATGTCCACCGTTTTTAGGAGGTCACCACCAGAGACACCCAAAACACAGCAACAGAATCCAGGACCATAAACGAGTGTAGCTATATTTAAGCGAAATGGATGGAAGAATTCGAAAAGGTCGCTCACAATCTCGTAAACCCAGCATGTGAACACGTCAGAAGCAGCTCGCAAGGGGGTGGGGACCACACCCAACAACTTTGCGCGCGCAGCAATAAGTACCAAGCTACTAAGCTACTGTCGTTAACTGCGTTCCGACTGCTTACTGCTCTAACTAGCTTTTCAATTTATCGTCACACAAGACTGCATGAAAGATAATGAAGTCTAACTCTCAAGCATCGCTGCTGATGCATGGGGTATTGTCTATCTACTTATTCCACTCAGCATGCGTTCCGACTGCTTACTGCTCTAACTAGCTTTTCAATTTATCGTCACACAAGACTGCATGAAAGATAATGAAGTCTAACTCTCAAGCATCGCTGCTGATGCATGGGGTATTGTCTATCTACTTATTCCACTCAGCATGCGTTCCGACTGCTTACTGCTCTAACTAGCTTTTCAATTTATCGTCACACAAGACTGCACGAAAGATAATGAAGTCTAACTCTCAAGCATCGCTGCTGATGCATGGGGTATTGTCTATCTACTTACTCCACTCGGCATGCGGGCCCTCTTCCAACGGAACTTCACATCTAATCAGTTGTCGCTAGCTGCTTAAGGTATAGAAGTATAAACATCACACTCCCGGAGTCATAACTCTCACAAAACACCTCATCACAACAAAGACTACCCTGTCAATGGCAATGATCATACGTTCAAGACACACCTCCCATCTACACAACTGCTTAAGTACAACAACCCTTGGGCAAATATCGGCCCAGGGTGACCCATGGGTCATGCCATGCAAAGTACGCCTGGTCTTCGATTTACCTTCTCTGGTGGCGCATGTAGTTGAGGGCGAGCTGCGCCATGACAGCAAACACGAAGAAGAACACGGACAGGTAGCCTAGGTAAGCCCACTTACTGATTCCCAGCAAGCTGTAATACTTGAGGATGGTGATCCCTCCTGCGGGGGGCAACATGCATGGCTTGAGTGTATTGCAGAGGCATGGGCGCATGAAGGGAGTCATGGGAGCATTCCCAGGCGTTCAAGAGGTGTTGGTGCTGCTGCCGGCCGGACAGCCTATTCGCGGCAGTCAAGGGAGCCACGAGAGGCCCGCAACGCTGGCCAACTGGTGTTCCGTTTGTAAGCTAGTTATTAGTTCGGACAGTGAGGCTGGTGTGCACTGCTGTACCGCTACTGCTGCACCCCTGCCGTACCGACCTGTCAACTCCGCATCGTTGCTCTCAAACTGGTTGACCATGAGGGCACCCCAGGCGTAGCGCAGGAAGTCTGCAGCAGCAGCGGCACCACAAGCCAGGGCATGAGCAGCAGCGCTTGCAGTTAGCCAGTCTTCATTGGCACTGGGGGCCAGGCAGTCGCCCCTTCCCTCCCGCGACTCCTCACGCTTCGCAACAACAGGTGTTCCCTCCCCTCCCCCCCCCCACCAATCCTGGAGTACCAGCTCCACCAGGGCGGCATGGTGGCCGCCGTCATGATCTGCCCCGCGAAGAACAACAGCGTCATCACAAAGGTGGCCAGCGCCATGTTGGCGACGTCCATGTTGGGAGACAGCGCGGCGACCAGGTAGGCCAGCACAATACCCACAACCATGTCAAGAAAGTACACCTGGGTGGAGGTGGGGGTGGTGGGCGGGTGAGGTTGGACGGAGCAGACGCATGGTTGGTTCAGTGGGACGGGTCAATGTACGGCGGAAGGCATTAGGTATTGAGGGTCAAGGGGCAAGCGGTGAGTGAGCTGAATGGCATGTTTGGAGCGAGAGACAGCCCCAAGGCCGCAGGAAGAACTGAACACGCTCTTCTGTAAAGTAGCCTAGCGGCTACTACGCTACGTTCATACAGTGCCCTGCACTCCTCTGCCTCCTCCTCCTCATCCTGCGCCCCAAGCGCCCTCCCCCGCCCCTTCCCCCCCCCACCCCACCCCACCAGCCACCAGTTGTTTCACTTATATAATTTTTTCCCCACCCCACCCTCCCACCCACCAGCCAGAACACCACCCACTGCCCCTGCAGCCTCAAGCCGTGGAACACGTAGGCCGAGAAAGCCACCGACACACCCAGACTGAGGCACACCTCCTCCAGCAGCTTCGCGGCCAGGTAGGTGAAGCAGCGGTACAGCCCGTCGTCGCGTTCACGCACAAACAATCGCCGCTCTGAGACGGAGGGGAGGGTAGGCGTCAGATTGCAGTGACCGGACAGTTTCAAACCTCCAGAAACCCCTGCCATCAACCACCCAGCAGGCAACCAGCAACCCGCCAGCCCACCTCACCTAGCACGATGGCAGGCACGTAGGACGCGGCTCCGCAGGCGGGCAGCAACGCCCACATGAAGAGCGAGGACTGGATGTTGACAATGTTGTTGGGGTTGGGTTTGTTGCCCACGCCCCAGTAGAGGGTGACAATGATGAGCGAGATGATCACCTTGTCCATCACGCGCGGCAGCAGCCAGCTGGGACTGCGGTAGTTGCGGCTAGTGCGGTACTGAGGGGGCGGGGGGGGGGGGGGCGGGGGGCGGGGGGCAGCGGGGGTGCGGTACTGAGGTGGTGGGGGGGGGGCGGGGGGCGGGGGGAAGGGGTGGCAGCGGGGGTGCGTGGCAAGGGGAGTTTAAGACCCACAGTTGCCATGGTGCCGGTATGAAGGCGGTGCTGCTGCTGGGAGAGTGTGCGCGTCTTGGTGGGTTGAGGACAACATGCAGGCAGGCAACTACCTGCATGGGAACATACCGCCCAAGGCATGGTACAGTAGAGCAAGCTGGCACGCTTGCTGTGAGGCAGCAAGAGCCTACCCCCCTTCTCGCCCCCCAGCCCCCCGCCCCGCCCTACCCGCAGCAGCGTCCAGAGGCCCCAGTACCAGGGGGTGCCCGTCTCACTGCGAGTGGCCAGCTCACGGATAGCTTCCTGGGGGTGGGGCCCGGCCGCAGGAGCGCAGGGGTTGAGGCAGTGGGCGGTAGGGAGGTGGCGACAGGTAAACCAATGACGCAAGAGACGGTTGGGGCAGCGGGGCGGCCGCCGGCAACGGTACGGTGCGGTCAAATTTGCAGGAAAAACAGACCCGCGATCCTTACTCTCAGAATCCCGCAAGATTTTCGATGGGAGGCCCACATCGAACCTTCTTTACCCTCCCGTGCAACCTGTTATCCGGTGCCTCCTGGTCCACCCACATTTGATATCCCTCCCCCTCTTTACCCTCCCCCAGTGCCGACCCCCGGGTCGCCACCACCGCCACCCACCCACCTGGTCGGGCTCCAGCCCCGAGGACCAGCTTGCGAGCGGGGACGTCAGGCGGGAAAGGACGGGGGCAGCGGGGGCGGGGGCAGCTGCTCCATTCACCTGCTGCTCCCGATCCGGCGGCTGCTCCACATCTTTGCTGCCGCCATCATCACCGCTGCGGCTGCTACTGCTGCGGCTGCCGGCGGGGCCGCTCTGCTTCGGGTCCTGCCGAGGGAGCTGCGTCCCCTGCTGCAACCCGCCACCGCTGCCAGTCGCAATGCTGCTGTTGCCGGTACCGGTGATGCTGACGCTGGTGCTAACGCCCGCGGCCAGCAAGTAAAGCGCCAACCGGTCCTCATTGACCTGTCACCGGGATGAGGGGGGGCAAACGACAAGGCCTCGCTGCTGTATTGCATGCAAGCATGCAACATACGGGACGCCATCGCTGTTAGAAGGCGATGCCGCCACGCCCCCTTCCTCTCCCCCACCCACCCACCCACCCTCCGCAGCTCGCTCCTGCCGTACGCTGCCGCAAGCTCCTCCGCCCCCCCGTGGTGGTCCGCCTCCGTCAAGGCGCCCACCAACACCTCCGCGACGTTGAGGGCGAGGTAGGAGAGCCCCGCACCTGGGGCGCATGCAGCACCGACAGCTCCTGCAGCGGCGACATGGGGGCCAGCACCGACATCCTTGCAGGCCACAGCCCCTGCAGCTCCTGGCGCCTTGCAAGCCCCTGGAGCAGCCCCTGCGCGCAGACCACCTTCATGCACCGCAGCACCTCCCAGACCTTCCCCAGCCCCACTACAGATGCCGGTCGCCAAGGCAATTGTTGTCACAGCAGCAGCAGCAGCAGCAGCAGTTGCCGTGTCATCATCCTCAGACGCAGCAGCAGCAGTAGCGGTAGCGGTAGTAGCAGCACCCAGCGCGGAGGCAGCGGTAACCCGGCGGTCCGCCGGTCGCATCTCCGCTAGCACTGCCTTGACGCTGGCTGCGGCGTGCTGCCAGTGCTGGGCGGCGTAGTGCAGAGCCGGCAGGCCGCGGGGCCCAAAGTAGACCATGCGCCCTCGAGCCTGCCAGCAGCAAGGGGTAGGGAAGGAGTGGGTAGGGGTTTAGGGAGACAGCATCCCGTTCTGGATGGAGGGAGCCACAAGGGAGGGCAAGGCAACAGGGAGAGGAGGAGGCGGGATGACATAAAAGAGGGAAGAGGGGAGGGAAGACGACCTCGCAGCCCCCTGGGCAGTGCCCCCCACACAGTCACAGGCGACCAATGTGCATGCTAGCTGGCTACTGCATGCAGACCCGCGCATCAAACAACCAGGCACTAACAAACACATGGGCCTCCTCTCCCCTTCCGCCTTCTCTCCACACGCCTCCCCGACCCCCTCCCCACTCCTCTCGCCGCTCATCCGCCACATCAAGTTCCTTTTCCTTTTCTTCCCACCCACCACACCACCACAACGAACCCACCAGCAGCATGATCCGGTCAAACAGCGCAAAAGTTGCGGCGGTGGGTCCGTGTATGGTAGCGGCGACGGTGGTCCCGTCCTGCAGCAGCCCCCGCACCACCCGCACCACCTCATGCGCCGTGTAGCTGTCCAGACCGCTGGTGGGCTCGTCCAGGAACAGCACACGCGGCTCGGAGATGAGTGCGATACCGATCTGGGGAGAGAGGGGGTGGAAGGGTGCGGAAGGAGGGTAGCTGTGGGGGAAGGTGGCGGAGGATTCGTGAGGGCCGTCGGGTGTAGCAGGTTTGCGCTGATGACGGTGGGGTGGTGCGGTAGGAGACACCCATGGCAGGAAGGTTTGCATGCTGCCGGCAGCTCATCCGTATCCGTATCGTTGTGGTAGTAAGCACAGCGCCTGAAGGCATGTTGGGATAGCGGCGGGTATGTCCTCGTCCCCTCACCCCACCCACATTGGTCCTCTTGCCCTGCCCCCCGCTGATGCCCTTCGCCAGCGGGTTGCCAATGCGCAGATCGGCACACGATTCCAGTCGCAGCCGCCGCAGCAGCTCCTCGACCTGGCAGTGAAACGGGCGGCCACGGGGGCAGGAGACGGGGCGCTTGTGGGAGGCGGTGCAGGTGAGAAAGCTGCGGAAGACGCTCTGCGCGACATACCGGCACTGCAGACACGGCACACTCCTGACACGGTCATCATGCGTGTTCCCCCGCCCGCTCCCTCCGTCCCTCCCTCCCTGGTCCCCCCGCCCACCCACCCACCTTGCCCCGCTTGAGCTCCATCGGCTCCCGCATGGGTCGCTTCAGCTCCGCCGTGTACAGCAGCATCTCCCGCACCGTCAGATCGCCCAGCAGCGTATCGAACTGGGGGGTGGGGCGAGGTGGGGCGGTGAGGTGGGGTAAAAAAAGAAGTAACTTTAGGAAACCATAGGTGGGGCGATGAGGGGGGTCTAAAAAGACCTAACCGCAGGAAACCATAGGTGGGGCGGGGAGGCAGAGCATCAACAGCGAATTGGAGTGGGGATAGGGGAGAGAGGTAGAAGAGGAGGACTGGGAGGGAGGAGGGCATCAGGAGAGTCGACAGGGGCAGCAGAGCTGTGTGGCAACAAGCGCCTTCGCGGCAGGTGCGTACGCCAAGAGTCCCGAGGGGCAGCATGCTGGGGGGTTGAGCAAGCAGGGGGACCGTGTCACCGCATGCGCCCGCCGTACAGCCCACCCCAAGCCGCCCAGGAGAGGGAGCAATGCCCCATGGCCTGCATCACGAGGCCCCTGCCCTTCTGACGAGAGCCGCCTGCGGACCTCACCTGCTCCACGTATCCCGTGTAGCGGCGCAGGAAGGGCTTGGAGGGCGCCACTCCGCCGAAGCTGAGGTGCCCCTCCGTCTTGCCCACCGTCTTGCGCCCTGCCAGCAGGTCCAACAGAGTGGTCTTGCCGCTGCCGCTGGGGCCCATCTGGGGAGCGGGAATAAGTGAAAAGTGAAGCGGGGCAGATGTAGAAGGGGGCGCGGTGGGGGTTGGGACGGGACGCGAGGGTGCCAATAAGCATACCGGACACCAAGACAATAAAGCTTCTCAACATGGGAGCTTAAGGCCAGGGGCTAACATGGCGCAGGACGCAGCAGCCGTGGAGGGTGGAAATTAGCGCGCATTAGCGTGCATTAGCGCGCATTAGCGCGCGCGCGCAAGGATGTCGCCAGTAAGGAAATGTTAAAACGTCACAAAGTGCCGCGCTCGTGACGTGGACGAAATAAAATAGTGAACGCGGAGGAGCAGCAACTATCTATATGCACAGTACGATCCGACAGGGCGGGCGAAAAGCAGCCGTGAAGTCGGCCCAGGCTACTGCTTCGTAGCGAGCTACCTACCAACGCCGTCATCTGGTTGGGCTCAAAGTAGGCACTGATGTCCTTCAACAGGTAGGCTCGCTCGCCCCGATTCGTATTCGAAGCCACATGGTAAGTCAAGCCATGCATAAGGATGCGAGGCCCACAGCGCCTTTGACCCATCGAGACCGCCGCACAGGACTCATGTCTTCTCTCCAGCTCAATGCCGCTGCTATCGACGTCCGACATCCTGCAATTTAGCTGCGGCGAAAACGCAGCGGCAACGGCACAAGGGCCCGGCAGAGCATGTATGAGCAATCTACCCAAGCGGTTGTTATGTTTAATACAGATGGGTAACTCCTAAATAAAGGCTATTAACGAGCGCACAGTGCGTGTATTCGGCATCAATACGGTACTTGCACAAACGCGGCACACGCGGCACATAATCCTCACCTTTTTGGGATTCCCTTGAATGCACACACCCGAATGCACACACCCGAATCTGTGAGTCGTGCAAGGAAGGTCCTTCGAACACGACAACCTGCTACCAGCCCAGGTGCCCTACCAGCCCAGTTGCGCTAAGCCTAGATAGCTAAGCCGAGCTAGATAGGCAGAAAGGCGAACTTGAGGGAGTTGTTGCTTAGACGTGTAGCGGGCAAGTGTACTAGATGAGGCTGTCCTCCAAAGGCACTTGCAGCCTTCGGCCGACGCGAATGGCGAAGTCACTGTACCGTTGAGTCCAGGCCTGGGCTTCGCCCTTGGTTGACTAGCAGGTCTACACCAGAATAGTATTGTTGGCTCAGCATACAGTAGAAGTGCATATGTATGTATGTATGTATGTTACAAGCTTCGTTCGTACCGAGCTCGTAAGATCCGTCCGAGCCAGAAGGCTCATGGATCACGAGCACAAAACACAAAGAAACAAACAGAAAAAGAAAAGTAAACTTATGGCAAGAAACGAAAGTACGCAACTCAGATGATGAAACCTGTCTGCGCAATCCTACGACTTCGCATGCTAGTGATCACGCTAGCAAGCAATGCCTGATCCTCCATGCTCATGATAGACATCATATCAGCATCTCGTGAGGCACCACTTTCCCAAATCTTTTCTCGCAAATCATCGTAAGCGGGACATTCAATGAGGATGTGCTTCTCGTCCTCCACTCTCCCAGGCGACCCTTGCACGGCACACATAGGACAAACACGCGCTACTCGTTGCCTACCTGTTGTTACGTGAGTCTGCGTATCCAGCCAGACTTCTGTGGTAGTATTGTACGGCTGGTTCTGGAGCTATCTGTCTGGTCGGTCCCTGAGCACCTTTGGTGCTTGGTGAACTAACAAGTGACATTGGACAATATATATAACAGTATGACTTAGTGTGTAAGACCCTTGGCTAGTGATCCTTAGCTCTCTCCTTGAGCCACTAGCACTTGCACCTAGGAATACAGAACCTCCAGGAAACAACACTACCCCTTGGGCGATTAGCTTCAATGCCCCACACACACAGCCGAAAACGCATCAGGTTGACATGTTGCCGCTGAGTAATGTACCCCCTGTCAACCGGGACACCCATCCAATTTTTATACCGACACATCATAACTCCAACCCCTGGTACTGGGACTACTGGGTTGAAAAGCCGCGGGTCAACTTCCAAACTCCTATCCTCCCAATCCGCATCCACTCTGTCAGCAAACGTTTTAGTGAGAGCAGATACGTTTAACTCCGTGCCAGCAATACGTTCCACACGCGCATCCAAGTTCAACTCATCCCCCAAGGCCGTTAAATCCATCCCTAAAATTTTCAGAATCTTCAACACCTTAGCACCCCAGCCATCAAATTGAAGATCAGTACTGAGGGCTGAACGGATTTCACCGCGCATCGCTTGATGGTAGACCGTGTCCTTTTGCTTGACCAGGTCATTCCAGAAACGCAGGAAAAGTTCCAACCAGAAAACATGCAGCGGGCGCTGGTTAAACTCCTTAAACAGCAACTTGTCCGGCGAGACTTTCACACCCGCAACCTCCCGAAGAAATCCCCTTTGTAACTGCACCATTGGGTCCCGCAAGGACCTCCCGGAGTTCTCGCAGTCCGTCATTAACTTCAGCACCACATCAGGCCCCCACACCTGGACACCGTACGACAAGATGGGGCGGACTTGCACGTCGAAACACTTAACTGCAACAGCAGGGACCAAGAGACCTAGGCGTTCTAATTTACGCTGAAGAGAAAAACATAGCACGTCGGCCAGAGGTCAACAGTTCCTCTGTGCAGGAAACAAAAGTGCAAACCAAGGAAACGGGCTCGTTGTACCCAGGGTATAACCATTGGTACTCGCGCATTTCCCTCAATAGAAGTCCACACCACGGGGCAAAGGGCAGCAAAAGCCTCGCGGATATTTGCACGAGGGTGGAAAACCATCAATTCACATTTACGAACATTCACCCGCATCCCAAAGGCCTCGCACCACTCTCTCAAATCAGCAAGCAACACAATCAGCCGCCTGTGCGTCGTAGCAAAAAGGCTGAGGTCGTCGGCCTACAGTTCCAACGGGATACGCCGGCCATCCGCATGGGGAGTCTGCTGCTTGGCGCGCATAACATCAGGGAGCCACTTATCCTTAGCGTCAACATAGTCAGCAAACCCCTCGCCAAAGATCCCGTAAAGCGTGGGGCTGAGAGGGCACCCTTGCTTGACCCCCTGCGAAGATTCAAAAGGATCCCCCGTCACTCCGTCTACCCTGACACGCTTCATGACCTTGTTGTAACAAGTCTTGAGAGCCTCCAACATAGCGCCATGCACACCTCGTTCCTCCAATCTTAACCACAAGAGATCACGTGGCACCTTGTCAAACGCTTTCTCAAAGTCAATCTGACAAACGAACAGGGGGTCGACTGCACCTCGCCCCCCCTTATGCTTGTCCGTCAGGTGACGTAACAGAAACAGGTTGTGGCAGGTACCCCGCTTGCGTCGGAAACCTCCCTGATACGGCGACCTAGCTCCCACCAGTTCGCTCCAACGAGACAGCCTGTGCTCCAACATAAACGCATAAAGCTTAGACAAAACACCAGTAGAAGTGCATTACCATACGCAAATTAGCATGTCGTACGTAATTACGTACCGGTAACGCCCGCCATCCGGCCATTCGGAATCTGAGTGAGTTATACCCGCTCCATGCGACAAAGTGTTCTCTCCGCTCTGGATATGAAGAAGTACTTTATATACCCATGCCACTACCCTCAACAGTACCTTCGCAGGCCCCCTCCTGGATGCTATGGCCGAACTTCCGCGCGCTTAGGCCGAACTTCCACGCGCTAAGGCCGAACTTCCGGGAGCTAGGGCCGAACTTCCGCGCGCTATGGCCGAACTGACGAAGAGCTGGGGTACGGGGGGTGTTGCATGAGTGGTGCAGAAATGGTACGGGATTGGTGCGGATATGGTACGGGAGTACTGTGGCATTGGTACGGGAGCAGTGCTGGATTGGTGCGGCGGAAGTGGTGCGGGATTGGTGGAAACCCCACCAACCCGCACAGTTTACACGGTTCGTGGGTCGTACACGTGTAGTAATCGTTAGGTACCGGTGGTAATACCCAGAACACTCAAACCAAAAAAGCAACACACGAGCAACTAACGAGTTCCAACGTCCCCGAGGGAGTTGAACCCTCCAGCTGCCCAGGCCTTCCTAGGCAGCAGCCCGAGGAACAATCATTCACGACATGGGCGGTCCAGCCTACTCCGCTGCTGCTTCTGTCGTTCTCGGATCACCACTTGGCCCCTGAAGTTGCTGCAGCGACTCCGGCTCCCTCCAGCGCGCGGCGTGCAAGGGGAACATGCAGACATGGCAAGGGGTGAAAGGGCCCGGGCACGTTTCAGCAAACAGTGGAGGAAGGCCGCACACAAGGCGATAGCTGCGACAGCAACCCATGGGCACTGCCCTTCCCGCGCGCTTCCTAAACACCCAATGACTGGCCCCACTTACTTGGGCACCGGATCTCCCCCTCGGCTCCAGTGCCCCAAGGACGTGCATCATGTGACCATGGGAGGGAGGAAAAGGAGCCGGCATGTCAGCAACAGAGGTACCGGTATGCGAGGAAGACAACACCGCCCAAGCTCCCGGTGATCAGCCAGGATGCTGTGAGCAGCGGGTGTCCGATTTTTCGGGCTCTGCAGCAGGTGAGTACCGTATAAGGAATACCCTTCGGAATGAAGGCGCTGAGAGGGGCAGAGACTGGTCGGCTGCGCCGGCCGTACCTGGCTGTACCTTTCGTTGCAGCTGTGTTGTGTGTTAACGAAGCTGGCCGTGAGGCGGAACGTGTGCCTACATCAAGCGAAGTCGAGCTCCATGCACCCTCACAACCGAAACCGCAGTTCCTGTGGGACGACGGGGCCGCCAAGCGCCGGCTGGGCAAGGAGGAGTGGCTGCGGCAGCTGCTGGCACTGTGGGAGCAGCGGAAGAGGTACCTGCCACGTGTGGTGCGGGTGTAGCTGGGAGGGGAGGCGCTGCTGTTGCACGACAATCCAAGGCGGCAATGTTCCCCTGCGACATGTGGTTGCTGGCGCTCTATATGCTTAAAGTTACCCAGATCGGAGGGGTGTCCGGAAGTCTGGAAGCGAGTAAAGGCTCACTGGTCCCGGTGCCAAGGAGACGTGTAACGGACGAGAGGGAGGGTTGCGATGGAGCGGGCCAGCCTTGGCTGGAAGAGGCGGCTGTGGTGTTGGTAGATAGGCGATAGGGTTGTCACGTGTTTGCTATAGGGGGTTGACGAAGGCCTTGGATGGCCCTTAGGTAAGGCTGTTTTGCGAGGATAAAGTGGGACGACATGCTCAAGAGTACGTTAGCTTTCTTCACATGATCATCTAGCTGCAGGACGGGGCGCGTTATGGAAATAGTACTGGCTGCTCATCATTGCACTTCGACCACGCTTTGATGGCAAAGCATCAGTAGGGAGTTTCTAGTCCAGTTACTCGTTAATTGCTAGCCTAATCTAGGGACTCCTTAGAGCAAAGCGTATTCCATCTTGCACGGCCTTGACGGTTGCCTAACGGCCAATGAGGGTTCTACAGTTCTAGAGACTAAACGGCGTGCGTTTTGACGCAGCTTGTATTGCTGCTTAAACGTTTTGGGTTAAACGTGTGTCTCACCACAGCGTCAACTCTTTACATCCTTGCATATGCACCCTTACACGCAACGCCTTCGTTACGGGCTCTATTTCCTCCTTTTGGGTAGAGTATAGCAGGGCTGTTTGGATAATAGACTTTCGGACTAGGACCAGCTGGCACTTTGATCCCTATATTAATTTTCTACCGGCAGCATGCAGCGAACGCTCCGAACGCTGGTAGGCTTATGTCGAAAAATGCTAAATTGTTACAGCAACCGCACTTTGTCACCAACTCGGCGTGGTGATGCAGGTGTCTCGGTGCATCGGCGCTAGCTGCGGCAGCGCTGGGGCACAGCAAACTGGAGCATTAGCACTTAACGGCATTAGGTATGTTATTTCTTGCACTGTGCACATTCATAGGGGTAATTCCTCCTCTGGCGGCTTTCATGCCTACCTCGAACTGGTGCTATGTTCCTGCATCCCATTACTCAGAATGGCTGAAAGTAATCATAAAGTCCTACAATGTGCAGCTTGGCATCATGTCGTTTCTGCGCCCTTGTAACCCGCAGCACCTCGGGTGTTCTCGTCCAGAACCAGCCGCTGTCCACCTCAGCCGTCGCCAGCGCCAGGGCCCTTCTCCCTGCGGCGCTGCTTGCCAGCGCCCCTCGGTCATGCTGGTGGATGATGCAGCTAGCGCAGGCGCCAGATGCACCCTCCACCTCCCGTCACTACGCCAAAGCAGCCAAGGGCGGTGCCCCTGCTGCCGCCGCTGCCCCCACTGGCCCTAAGCGCCACCGCACCAGCTCAACCAAGCTCTACTCCTGCCGCAACGACCGGCTGCGTCACACGCACGAACAGATCTGGCCCACCATGCAGCTGACGGAGGCGGAGGCCGCCATGTTCCGCCGCAACAGCCGGCTGTTCGTGGTGGACATGGGCCGCAACATCTCGTTGCAGACCAAGTTCCGCATGGGCCAGCAGGACCCCGCGCAGCAGGCGGAGGCAGCGGAGGCGGAGGCGGCGGGCGTGCCGGCGCCACCTGTGAGCCGGGCGGTGCCGTACCACCAGGCCCGCAACCTGCTGTATGAGACGCAGCTGCACCTCGACGCGCTGGGAGAGAACCCGAGGTGAGGCCTTGGAGAGGACGCGACCTAGTGGGCTGGTCAGCGTTGGGCCATGCTTGGGATGGAGCTAGGTGGCGTCAGGTGGCGAGGGGCTGGAGGTGAAGGTCGTCGCTTAAGCCCAAGCTCTTGGACTGAAAAACTTGCCGAGCGGCATTGTGCACGACGTTCGTAGACGGCAGCTGTCAGGCGGTCGGGAATGTGACAAACGAGCTCTGTTTCGGGCCTACTGTCCTGCCAGGCTTCGGCCCTTGTTACCTTTTCTGTTATCTTCCCTCGAAGGATAGCCGCTCCTCTGTACTGGGCAACTATCCCGGTACAAGTTGCTAGGAGGAACTCAAACAACAGGCTATACACGATCGTGTGGTGTCTTTGTTTGCCTACACGGACTACACCGCACCCATGCTTTGCGCCTACCAACGGTATCTTAACCTACGCATTTTATTCGCTGCTGCAGGTACCTCAGGGTACGCAAGGTGGGCTCTCTGTACGCCGCCAAGCTGCAGAACGTGCGCAAGCTGCGGCTGCTGCTGGGCTTCCAGCGCCGCGGCTACGTCCAGAAGATGTACGAGCAGAGCTTGATCACCCGCGGCCCACACCGCATGTGGAAGATGGTGTGCGCCATGGAGTCCAAGCTGCCCATGTTCGTCACGCGCATGGGCCTCGTGGAGGACTCTGTTGGCGCCATGACGGCGCTGAAGTACGACAAAGTGTATGTCAATGGAATGCAGCCCGCCATGCCGTACAAGGGATACCTGACCCCGGGCGATGTGGTGAGCCCATCCGCCGGCAGCACGCCGTACTTCCGCAAGCGGATAGCAAAGAGCTTGGAGCCGCTGTTGGGGGAGGCTGTGCGCTGCGTTGTGTAGTGGGCCTGGAAGCGTCAGATGGGGTCTTGGGAAGGGAGGTTCGAGGTTGAGGAATGTCTCGTAAGCTCAGGTGCATCTTTGGCGCAGCACTGGCGCCACCTGTTCTTTGAGCAGGCGCCGCGCGTGTCCGAACTGCGTTTTGGCCTGGGCCAGGGGGAAGGGAGCTTGCATTATGGTAGCCATTGGATTCCCGCATGCCTAGCACGTTTTGGTTACGGGCACGGCCCCCTGGGCTTTGCGCTGCTGGGTCTTTTGAGAGCTGTTGCTTTTTCCGCACAAGGGTTCATCCGGAGACCGCGGTTTCCATAGGCTTGCATGAGAAGTTGGCCGGTGCTGTCTTGCCAATCGGTTTACTGGTGTAGATTACGGTGCAGCCGTGGTTCGGGTCCATGGGTTGGATATAAGGGCCTGCATTGGTTGTATTGCTCCTCTTGGGACATGGACCTGATGAGGGCACCTTACCAAGGAAACAATGCATTGTGAAGGCGAATACCGTGCGTCGCAGCTGCAAGTGCGAGATTACTAAGCTCTTTGTATGGTGCGCGAAGTACTACTGCGGTTTTTGTTTTTAAGAAAGCGGTCTGGAGAGGGCCAGCCTTAGCGAAGGGAGCTAGCGAATGTCCTGGGTGCCAGTCCGCTGCTGCTATTACTACTGTTAGCTTACAGGGCACCAGGTATGCCAAGGACAACCTCTTGGCAGCGCGTCTTTGTAATGCTTTAACGTTCGTCTGCATCTGCAACGCGTTAGATTTTACCCCATTTGCTTCACGTGTACGACTGCAACCACACCGACCGGATCCACCAAGGGGCAAGGACTCAACGTCCTGACCAGTAATGGAGCTCTTGAACTTCATAATATATTTTTATACTGTTTACCATAACGTTCTTGCCGGCAACCTGCATATACCACTGGCTGTCAGGCATTCCTGGCTGTCAGCATCTGCGCGTGACCCCGAAGTAGGCCAAGAGCTAGAACGCAAACAATACGTCTATTTTAATATGTGCTTGCGATTATGTAAAGAAGCTACTACCCGAAGCTTAGACCCTAGGTTTGTCTCAATAGGACCTTGCCATTAGCGAAGGTCGTCCATCCCGAATGGGCCAGCGCAGCTTATGCGCATCTAGTATACAACGATGTCCGACGCGTTGGCACCAGCTCAGCAACCTAGCCCCGGACCAGGCGTCTCTCCACAGGCGCAGCAAGCCAGCTTTACCGAGAGCTTCCAAAGCCTGCAAAGCAAGCTTCCTATAGGCTCACGCTTTGCAGTAACGGGGCCTATCGCATGGTGCGGGAGAACATACGCTCATAAGCCGGCCAAGCGGTGCTATATCCTTATCCTTAGCTGGGGGCCGCAGGGACGCGGGCATTGCTGGCGAAGCCTCCTCTACGGGCACAGCAACCCCAGTTAAAAGTGGCGCAAGCACTCCTCGATCGACGCCTGCAGGTAAGCAAACCTTCAGGGCGCCGATGGATGAAAGTTTCACTGCTGGAGAGTGGGGCTGCTGTACGGACGCCGTGCATTGGCCCATGGCTACTTACGGTCCTTATGGCACCTGAAACCCCCGCAGTTCCGCAGGCCACAGGCGGGGATAGATGTTCTGAGCTCTTGACACCTTAATTCACGGCAGCCCATCTGCTTTTCCACCGCAGGTTCTACCGTCAGCCCTCCGGCGGACCCCCTTGTGCAGTCCCTGCATGTCAAGTTCAGCGCAAGCACACGCTTCAACGCGTCGGATGCCACGAGCGGTGCAGGTGCTGGAAACGGCAGCCAGCTCTATGGACTTTTCAGGTATGTCCTGTACAGCGACGAAGGGTGAAGTAACCGTGGGGAATTGAAGTGGGGCTTCGTGGATCATGGTATCACCACACGCTGCAAGTCGGGGACAGTCCACATGTAAGAGAGCCCTCGTTGACCGACGCCTACGGCCCTCAGGCACCGCCAACGGGGTGGCACTCCTGCCCGGCAAGGAACCCTGCGGAACGGCGGGGGACACCGGTAAGCTGAGATGCTTTGCTGGCGTAGCCTCCACTTCTTGACGGCGCTCCCTTGCAGCCCATATTTCCGCATGTTCACCTTGTAACGACTGCATGCAGGTCCACTGGTGGGCGTTCTTCTCTGTCCAGGCAGAGCGGGCCCATGCCGACCGACTCGGACGAGGGCCCGCTAAGCAACATTATGCGGGCGCTATCCGGTCGCTACAGGTGTGCATTGCCTTGTATCCCACAGGAAAGTGCTGGTTAGGCATGGTTAGGGGTTGCAACTACGCAGCCCAACATTCTTACGCGCATTTTGCCCGTGGATGCCCCAAGCGGCGTGTCACCCTGCCCTTGAGAAGCCGGAAAGTTGAACCCTCTTGGGGCTTGCGGCCCTTCCCGCAGGCGCACCCACAGCGCAGACTCCTCGGTCATGCGCCGCACCAGCAGCGGCGAACTCCCCTCCGAGAGCAAATCCTCCGTCTCCATGCGTGGCCTGCAGCTACCAGCGCCGCAGGGCCTTCGCGACAGCGGCTCAGGAGCGGGCGAGCCTCCTAGTGCCAGCTTCAGCGGCCGTAGCGGGCGAAGCCGGGGGCCTCGGGTCCGGATGACGAGGCGGGGATCCTTTCCACGGGAACATACAGAAAGTGTGGGCACAGAAAGCAGCGACGGCGGCGCTCGGCGCGGGAGCCGAGCCGCAGCTCGGGGCAGCATGCTGGGTGACTGGCTTGCTGGCTCGGCAAGGGGCAGCGGCAGCATGCGGCGCTCCCAGTGAGTAGGGACCGCACATTGCTGGCGGCTGGGAACGTAAATAGAGTGCCAAGCATTGCCAGGATGTATGTAAACATCAAGGTTCAGCTGAGCGGTTGGAACAGATGGCTGGCACATCTCGCATCCTCGCTTGACCTGGGAAGGGCGCCCAATCTGCTGTTGAGTGGAGCCGCAGCCGTCCAGATCCGCCCTGGGTATGATGCTGTCCTATGGGGTCTACATAGTAGCCGCCACACCGTCTTTCCTTCCCACCTATTGCAGGTCCATGCCCAGGGAACGCGACAGTGGCAGCGGTAGCGCTGACCGTGTGCAGTCCAGGGCTCCTATGCGCCGAAGCCGCACCTTCGCGGCTCCGGCACCAGAGGCCCAATACAATGACACGTCCCAGAGGGGCCGCCGGCAGTCTGGCAGCCAGCGCCGAAGCCAGAGTCGCGGACGCAGCCGCGGCCGCAGCGGAGGCACCGACAGCAGGGACGTCTTGTCGCAAGAGGGTGGTGAGCGCGACGCAGCGGGCGCAGGACGGCGTGGCAGGCACAGCAGCAGCCACAGCCGGAGCCGCAGTCTCAGCAGGCCGCGGGAAGCAGGCGATGGTATCTTGCAGTCGGTGATCTCGTTTGCGATGCGCGGCCGGGGCCCTGCCAGACAGCGCCGTCAGGAAACCGAAAGTGAGTGGGTCCGGTCGTTCAGTTTTATTGGGGATGTGCACGGGCACGATTGGATGTACCGGTAGACGCGCCGTTTCCTTACAAGTTGGGTCGATTGCAAGTAAGGGTCTGTCATGGTTGTACCCTGACCACACATTTTGTCGCAGGCCGCGGAGACGAGTCGCGCACCAGGGCTTGGCTGGAGGCGTCTAGCCATGGGACCTTGCCGGATCACAGGCGAGTAGCCCGGGGCTGGCATTCGACCTGCTATGCCGAATTGCTACGAATGGCTGCACTGTTGCCTCTCATGCTCCCATGTCCTTGCATAGTACATGTGCGTTGCGCACCCCCGGCGGACTAAAGGATACGTACCTGTGCCCCCTCGTACCTCCCATGCCGTTGGGCTCCCCCAGTCAGCAGCAGCTTCGGGCTGACTCAGCCCGGGTACCCCGTGCGCCGTTACACAGCGGCAGCGGCGATTCTTCAAGGGCTCGGCGGGCTGATACCAATCCTGAAGGTGCGTGTCAGTGGCGTGGCTTATGCGGCCTGGTTGCGCAGGTGGAGCTTAGGTGTTTCGTCAGGGACTGTTAATCGAGTAACCGAGATCCTTATCCCCTTCACGTTCAGAGCCCATCCAGCGCAACTCCTATCTGGACGACGTGCCTCTTCTCCAACCCCCTAGCAGGCGTTAACACCTCCTTGGCTTTCCGTGTGAGGGCCGCGGGCGACGTCGACGACGACGATGCACAGGGGCAACCCACACCCACTCTGCGCCAGAACCCGCCCCTGCCACCGCACACGCACCTGGATCTGCGGCGGCCGCCCGAGCCGCTGCAGCTGCGGGCCCATACCCGGCAGCCGCCGCCCTTCATCCCACGGACCTCCCTCACTGCCGCAGGTGTGGGGGTGACTGGTGAGGAGGACAAGCACTGCGCCGGCTGGCATGTCCGCTGGCGGCATACAAGTTTTGGGGCGAATGTCTCGCTGGCACTTCCCTAACACAGGCAGTGGTATAATGCGCTTCCCCAACTACCTCCACCTGGTGCGCCACCTCCCTTGCAGGAACGGGGTTGCCGCCCGATCTCGCACTGGCGACGTCACCGCCGTCTGACGCACCAGCACGCCGCGAGCGGCAGCAGCAGTTGATACACGGTGAGGGGGACCGAGACCGGCCTCGTGCGACGCAACCGTCCGTCCGAGGTCCCCAAGTGTCGAAATCTTAGCCTGTGCACGTCTAATAGACGGTTGGTATCTTCCATGCTCTGCTCCAAAGCCTACTCAGCTACTTGTCGTGTGCTCCCGCTTCCCTTCCATGTCGCCTGCTACCCATGCGACCCTCTCGCATGCAACCAGGCAAGCGCACCCCTCGGTCATCCAGTCGGCCCCGGAGATCTCAATCCGCGCCTCGCTCCCGGGCAGCCCAGCGGCGTGCCGAGATGGTGGCGGCGGGTGGCGGCAGCGGTCGCCCGAAGCGTAGCAGGTCAGCCCAGCGACAGGAGGCGGGAGCTGACAGGAGCAAGTCCTTTGCGGCACGTAGGAGGTAAGGTCCCATCTGGTAGGTGTGAGGGCCCTGTTATAGAGGGCCCAGGCCGTGAGGGCTGGAGGTGGTGCAGGAACAGGGGGTACTAAATGTTTGGGGATGTTGTGATGCTGCCTGTGTGAGCAATCTTCACGTCGTGTTCAGTAGGGGCCATGCGCACTGCGCTGTTATCGCGGCTGTCCACCAACGGCATGAGACGCGCCCTGTTTACAATTGTGCACGTTGTGCTGGATGACCCTAACCCGCTGATACCTGCCGTTATCGGAGTTGACAAAAATGCAACCATGCCCTACCGACAGACCTTTCCGCTGCTGCCGCATTGCAGGCAGCGCAAGATGTCCGTGCCAAGCGGTGACGGAACCGACTTCACCGCTGAGAGCAACAGAGACACAGACAGCTCACCGCGCCGCCCGGCCGGCCTCCTGTCCTGGCTGCTTAACCGTCGCCCCCGACAGGGCGTCTCGCCCTCCCCATCGCCACGCTCCCCTTCTCCAGACCCTTCGCAGCGGCGCCAGGGCGCAGCCTCTCCACTCCCGACCTCGCTGCCTCCCTCGCCGCCGCCCGAAGCCCACACCTCAGCAGCGCCTAGAAGCGCTCCTATTGCGCCTTCCAACCTCCCAGGCAGCAGCCCAGCACCCGCTCAATCCCCACCCGACGGCGCGGTCGCACAGCCTTCCCGGACCGGTAGCGACCTGGCAGCAGGGCAGCCACCTAACCCCTTCGTCACCTCACAGCACACCAGCCCCAACCTCATCCGTAGTCCAGAACCAGGTTTCAACTCCGGGACTTCTGGCCCAAGGCTCTCGACGGAAGCTCAGTACAGCCCGCCTACTCCGAGTCCAGGCCGTGATGATCGGGACAGCCCGCTGATGCAGCTGGGTGCCCGAGCCCAAGGACCCAGGGCTGCGGACAGCCCGCTTAACAATGTCGAGCGCCGCCGTCCGCCGCCGCTGCAACTCCCGGAGAACCTCCGAGTGGGTGCCACGACGGCCACTCCAAGCCATGCGGCAACACCTGGGGTTCATGGCGCAGCCCCGGGGATAGTGGCAGCGGCAGCAACCACGGTAGCTGAAGGGAGACCAGAGGACAAGAAGAAGGGCGGCTGGTCGCGGCTGGGCCAGGCCCTGGGCACCATGGTGCCGAGGTGCGTGCGCATTCTGCAGTGCTGTGATAGCTCCAGTGGGGCTTATGTTGTTGCGGTGTGCATGCATGGCGTCGCCTATTGGCATGTTCACGGCGGAGTTGGCCTGCCTTTTGACACAGCAACCCATGGCGCTCATGTACTTGACACGACAACCCACGACGACTCCAACCCAACTTAGTACCGTACGGGCCCCAAACACATGCATTTGCGCTCGTCATTCACAGGTGGCTATCCCCAAGCAAGCAAAAAGCCCTCGCGGACGCTCCAGGTGCCGCACCCACCACCACCACCACCGCCACGCCCTCCTCCGCCGCGGCCCTGGTTGCCCACTACGCTGGTGGGCTGGCCTTCAGCTCCTCGCAGCTGCCCCGGCCCGCCTTCCCCATACCCCGCCCGCTGCACCCGACAACCGACGGCAGCTCCAGCAGCAGCCCCAGCCCCGGCCGCCCGAGCCCCCGCCCCGCCGGCCTGCTGATGGAGGGTAGCCTGAGCCCTCGGCAGCGCTCGGGGCCGGGCCCCAGCCGCCTGAGCCAGGTATCCATTCCGCCGGTCGGGACCGGAGCTCTGGAGGAGTTGCGGCAGGGCGGAGTGCAAGTACCGGAGGGAGGCGAGCCGAATGTGGCGGGCGGTGGGCCGGGGAGGCTTGCGTCTTCGTTTGGGAGGACAGCGAGGCAGCTGCAGGAGGCGGCGGTGGCAGATGATGGAGCAGGGAGGGTGAAGGACGTCGGCGATGGCGATCGCAGGATTGAGGTGCGTAGGGGGGCCAACGGGGGCGAGGGATGTCGGTGCGCCAAGAACGCGCGGCTGTATTAGGGATAAAAGGCTGTCAGCAGCCAACATCAGCCAAACCCTGCGCATGGGCTGGTGACCATGGTCCTACCTGGCCGCCCCTCCTGCCCTGTCCGCCACTTCCCCCCACCACTAGCCCCCAGCGCAAGACGCCTCACAGCCATCAGTCAGGACCTCCCGCTCCAGCCGGCAGAGCCACCACGGCCGCTCCAAGAGCGACATGCCCCATAACGTCAAGCGGAACCGCAGCAAGGAGCAGCCAACCAGGGAGGAGGGGTATGTCCCCATCACCACCATCGCCGCCCGCCCTGCGTCCGCGGGACCAACCCTGTCCAGGGGAGACGCGGCCTCCCCTGCGCGGCTGCTGCGGGCACCCGATGTGGTGCCGTGGGGGCGGTGCGTGTCGCCTCTGGGCCGCGGAGGAGCTCCTGCGGGTGGAGGCGGAGGTGGCGGGGCAGCATACGGCGGCGGCAGCCCGCCGGTGGTGATGTTGGCACCGCTGGCAGCGGCTGCGGCTGGGCAGGTGGGGCGTTGATGGGGAATATGGAGGGATTTCCATGAAGCTTGACCAAACGGTATGGGGGGGGTGAATTGTGGCAGCAAAACAGTAGTTCCTAAGGCGTTTCGCTGCAGTTGGGCCTTTCCTTGATCCCTTGTGCACACCCCGCCGTGTAATAGGCGTTCGTGTCACCGCTGCGGGCTCCAGGCCTTGGTGTTGGCGCCACAGGAGTGCACGGCACAGCTGCTTGGGGAGTGGAAGGTCAGGGCGTGCTGCTGAACCACGATAGGTAAGACTGAGCAGGGTACCGGTAGCTGCAACCAGCAACCCGGTGGTGTTGGTGGTGAATGCACTCAACCTTGTGCCGTGCCCTGGTATTGCACACCGTCCCCCTCTGCAGACTTCCCTACATCCAATCCAACCTCAAGCCCTCACCCGGCAGTCGACCTCTCTCGGCCCCATCGCACTCAAGGAACCCAAGCCATGCAAACCTCCCGGGTCCAATGTTCTTGCCCTCTGGCAGCGCCCTGCTCGCGCCCACCATTGAAGCCCTAAGAGGCGGCGCCCTGGACAACGATCAACCACTGTTGGGCTCCAGGGGCTTTGCGGCCACAGCCGCAATTCCAGCGTGGGGGCGGCGCTTTGGGCAAGCAACGACGGCGATGGCTGGCCAGGACGTAGGCCCTTGGGCGGGCCAAGGAGGCATCCCACTAGAGATGCCGCCACAGCAGCCGGGCATGCTGCCATGGGAGGGGCAAGCATTGCGGGATGGGCTTCATGGGGAGCACCTGATCTTGGAGCCCCTGGGGCAGTGGCAACCAGAAAGTGAGCTGCAGCTGCCGCTAGAGTACCTCGCAGATGACATGGCCAACCCGCGCTTCGCACCGCAAGCGCCGCCGCGCAGCCTGCACACGCCGCTGCTGTTGGGGTTGCGGCAGTCGATAGCCGCCGTCAGGCTGTCACTAGGGCAACTACCGGAGGATGTTGGCCGCATCACAGGGGTGGAGGCGGGTGCTTGGCCAGGGTCTGAGGTGGCCGCACATGCGCCAGCGGGCAACAACCCCTACCAGCCGCAGGGCGACGTTGCGCCTGGGTTGCAACATGCATGGCATCACGGGGCTGCCGAGGAGCAGGTGGCAGTCGGTGGCGGTGGTGGTGTCCTGCCGTTCGCCGGGGGGCTGAGGCCTGCCATGGTACAACCGTACTTCGCGCAGGGAGGCGAACCGGCAGTCGCGGGCGATATGACGCGGAGCTGGCGGGGAGCTGCGGACGGGGTCATGTCATCGGCAGTCGGTAAGGGGTGTGAGAAAGAGCAATTGCATTGGGCGCTTCATATCATAAGCTCCCGTAACGCCCAGCATATCCTTCCTTCGTGCCCCTTGTTGCCGCACAGGTGTGCCCGCTAACGCCAGCTTACCGTCGCTGCTGGCTCCCCGCCGCAGCCGCAGCTCCGACAGGCTCCCGCCATCCGCGTACCGCCGTCATAGACCGCTTGGACTTGTACAAAATGGCCGCGCAGGTGAGGAGGATGTCCATGCAAGCAGGCACGTTTTGCTTACCAGCCGTGTCCATGACAAACGACACCTCTTCAACCCCACGCCCGCGAGCCTGGTCGGAGAAGCGTGCTGCCGCCCCTGCATTGCAGGCCCTGAGGAGCCGTATCCACCGCTGCGGCCACCCGACCACCCGCCGCTGCTGGAGCCGCAGCTGCCGTACCCGCATGCAGCGCCCACCACCGCACCGTACCGACCAGAAGCAACTGCTACTGGGGTATTGCCCTCCTTCGCCCCGCCTAGCCAGACGACGCGTCCGCTGCCGTTTTCGGCAGGAGCCGGAGTCTGGAGCGATGACGACAGCAGCAGCTTGGCTTCGTCAGCCACTGGCAACTCGCTCAGGTAGGGTGTGGTTTCCGGTGCGAGCGCGTCCTCCAAAATAACCGCGGGTGCATCCTGCGAAGATCAGTAGCAAGTACATACTACTCGTAATCCAGCATGTCTGCAGCATTTGGGACTCAATCCTCTAATGTGCTTGTACCTTACAGGGAGATCCAGCCGTCGCTTGCGCGGGAGTTGCGGCGGCGGGAGCTACCGGAGCCCCCGCGCCCGGCGGGCAGCGGTGTGTCGGGTGTGACGGTGCGCACGCTGAAACGCGAGGCAACCGAAGGTACACAGCATTCGTACACTGCACCCTCACACTGCTCCTGTCGCAAGCCCCTTTCCTCCCCTGCGTGGCCATCAGCGACCCCTGCGCCCCCGCACATCCCGCTGTCGCAGGGCCCCATGTGAAGCTGATGAAGCCCAAGCAGCTGTTGCGGCAGATCCAGCCGCTCGGACCCACACCTGCCTTCACACGAAGGCGGCCCCTGCCGGAGGGGCAGGAGCAACAGGTGATAATGAGGCGCTGAAGCCATGGCAGCCCCTAACAGCTTTGTCAGCCAGCGGTAATGACTCTTCGTGCCCGTGTTTACAGGTGCCATTCGGCAGGGGCGAACCCATTGGGGCAGCTGTCCACGAGGAGCCTCGTAGTTTACAACCCAGCATGGCTGGTGCTGACACCTCCAGCACTGAAAGTGGAGCTCCCTCCTCTCAAGAGCCGCTGTCCTCTCAGCACGAAACCGCTGCGGAACTGCCGACTGCCCCCACTTTCGAGCCATGGTTTGCAAGGCAGCGGGAACACCCCGAGGAGCGGCAACAGGGCGCCGACGGGGGCCAGGGTCCCCGGACCTTTGTGCGCGTCGACGGCGCAGGCACGGTTGGTGTGCGGCCGCTGGCGCCCCCGCCACTGCAGGCGCTGCAGCGCACCTCCCCACGATTGTTGCGCATGCCGCAAGCTCCCTCCGACCTCCAGGAGACAAGGTGTGGGTGAGGTACTCCCTATACAGTCGTTACATGGCGGCGAGGCCTCAGGCAGCGGCCGGGAATGTGCTGGGGAATGATATGGACGAAGCGAAAACTATGCCTAGCAAGTCCCACACCCGTAACTGTTGGTAATAAGCCTAGTAACAGCTGCGACAACCCCTCCTTCATGCAGACGCCATGTACACAAGGGGTTTGCGGTTCCGGCTGCGGAGGAGCCTCGGTTCAACAGCGTCAAGCTGATGCGGGTCATGGGCCCGTCCACACAGGTACGACGGTAGGCTCCGGCGTCCGTCCTACCGTCAATTCAATGCTGCCCAGCCCCTCTTGCACAGCTCCAGCTGTTGCGAAACAATACCGGTACCCGACCCGGACTCCGAGCAAGCGCCCCTCACCTCACTCTTGCAGCGTGGTCTGTTGATTACGTGTTAATGACCGCTGTCCTCCTGACAGCTACCGCTACCCCGGCTCCTACCGCCCGCAGGCCCCCTCTTCCGAGCGGCCCGAGGAGCGGCTGCCTGCCGGTTTGCCCATGCGCAAGCTGCGGGTGCTGCAGCGGCCCGAGGGCGAGGTGCCGGGTGTGGTGCCGGCCGGCACCGCGGGCCGCACAGAGCACCTGCTGGGCATGCTGCGGCGGCCCGAAGAGCGCTTGCAGCCGCCCGATGCAGGTGCGGCCGCATGCTGAGAAGAGCTTACGTGGTTGCGTGTGTTGACAGACTAATTTGCGTTCGTGATGACAACATGACATGCTTTGCACCCTTGCAACGGTGCCGCAGGGCTTGGGCAACGTGTTGGGCTGTTTGACGAGGCGACGGCGTCGTTAAAGGTGCCCGGAGCGACAGCGGCGGAACCGTCTCTGGCTGCCAGGGAGGACGCGCCGACTCGGTATCGGCCACCCGAACATGCAGCCACGGCAATCGCACCCTCCCGACGCTCGCCAACACGCGACGTCGGGGTAATGCATCGACCCATGGCTCGGGAAGCGGTTCACGCAGCGACGCAGTCTCCGTCTTCCAGTCCTAGGATTGACATACACGTCCACAGCACAACCACCACCACTAACCAGCCATCCGCCCCAGCTCAGCATTCCCAACAACCGCATCAGCTACAACCACCACCACCAACAACAGCAATTGCAACAGAGCCGTGGCTGCCACAGTTCTACCAGCCAACTGCGCCTCCACCACAACCGCCGGCCACTGTTGCCCCTGTTGACCCTGGTGCCCTGGCCGGGCTGTCAGCACTGAGCCAGCTGACAGCGCTCACCACCCTCGCCGGCCTCGGAGCTCCGGGTGTGGCTCCCCAGCCTGCAGGCGACCCCTGCAGCTGGCCGGACCTGATGGAGGTGGGTGCGAGTCCAGCGGGACGTGTACGGGAGTGTATTTTTGCAGGGTTCTCAGGTTGGGGGGGGGGGTGCCGCAGCAAATGTGACGTTGCTGTTGGGGTGCCAAACTTGGTCAGTCAGTAGGAAGGCGGCCTACTAACCAGTCCCCTGCCCGGCCCTGGGCTATCCTACCGCTGCCCTGCTGGCAGACGACGCCCGAGACCCTGCGTCAAACAGCGGAGAACGCCGCCGTCCGCTGGCGCCAGCAGCGTGCCGCGCTGTCGCATCCCAACATGGGCGTGCTGAAGGACATGAGCCCCGCTCTCTTGCTGGAGCCTGAGCACGTGCCAGGGCCAGGACCGCATTACGAGGCGCAGCACCCGCTGTGGCCGGGAGGTGCTGTACGCACCGCTGGCGCTGGTGACGCTGGTGGGCCAGATGTTTGTGAGGCCGTAAGGCGGTCGGGTTCGAGTTCGCCAGGTCGTTGGATGATGAGCAAGGCGCTGGATGGCCGGGTGCTGGCGGTGAGCACGGCGGCTCTGGGCGACCTGCAGCAGCAGCAGCAACCTGTGCGCCAGCAGGCGGTGGATGCGGGCTTGGACTACCTGTCAGTGCGCGAGCGGGAGCGGCAGCACCGGCGAGCAAGCAAGACGGAGGTCCAAGAAGAGAGGAGCGGGAAAGGAGCGGAGGAGGGAGAGGGCGGGCGTAGGCACGGGGGTGGGCGGCGACACAGGCGGCACGGGCGGCGGCGGAGGTCGAGTTCGCAGTCCAGTAGCGGCAGCAGTACAGAGTCCGCGGGATATACCTCCACAAGCGTCATGAGCGAGCGCAGCAGTGGGGGCGGCCGTGTGAGCCGCGGGCGGCGGAGCGGCAGGCGCGGGCACAAGGCACACCGCCAAAGGGCAGCGGTGCGCACAGTCGACACGGCGGTGCAAGCCGACCCGTTGCCGGCGCTGCAGCCTCCCGGCGCTGCCCCTCACCAGGGTCATGGAAACAGCTCGGACCGAGCTGCGCAGTCCAACGCTCAGTCACCGTCTACATCCGCTCACCACCAAGCCACCACGGGTCCTCAACCAGTGACATCCTCCGCTGCTCTCGTACCGCCCATCCTTGCGGGCTCCGAGGCTATGAGCTGCGCTGATGCATCCCAAGGCCAGCCTGAAAGAGCCGCCGAGCCCGGAGATGAGTTTGGGTTGGACGTCGCGGAGAGGCTGCTGCAGCGCATGGCAGAGCCGCCGAGGAGGGCCTCACACCAGCGGCGTGAAGAGTCCAGCACCGCCGCACAAGGGGACAGCACCTCGCCGCACACCAGGATGATTGAGGTCCTGCATGGAGAGGCCACGGAGCGCAGGGCACAGGAGGTGGGTCCATTCGCTTCTGGGACGAGGGGTGTTGTCCGTGTTGACGGGATTACTTCACCAGTATCCTGATGGTTCTATGGGGGGCTGCTGACGCATGTTGGCCCTTCAGCGCTCCGTTGCGTGCACATTCACGTGAGGGCTGCAGGGCACCTTCAATATTATCTCGACAAAGTTAAGCTCATGTTGCTTTACTGAGTCACGCCGCTGCATTAAAACCCCTGGCCCCGCTGTCCCCTACCAGATCCTGGCCCGCCACGCCGCAATGCGTGCCAAGTTCCTGAGTACGACCGGCAAGCTCAACAGCGCTGCAGCAGCAGCTGGACAAGCACGCGCCGCCGGGGCTCGCAGTCCCACTCAGCAGGATCTGACTGCAGAGCCAACCCTCTCCCAGCTCGCCGCATCACCTGCCAACGCCGCCAACCACTCCAGCGACACCTCCTCGCCCCAACACTGCACCGACCCGCGCTGCAGCCCAGATCAGCCCCCGCCGGGGTCCGGTGACGCACCTCCAGGCCCCTCCGACTCTCTTCCGCTGCCTCAGCCACAGCAGGCCATCCATATCTACTGCTCGCAGCTGGTCCTCAACTCCAGCCGCGGAGCCATCACGCTGCCGGCCTTCTCCATGCACCACCCTGGACCCGGACCGGGACCGGTTGCATGGACCGGGGTGCCGGTGGCAGTGCCGGTGTCGTCACGGGCCCTCGCTGGCGGCGGTGCTGGCAGCGCTGCTCCAAAACCGCAGCAGGAGCAGCAGGGGCAGGAGCATCAGCAGGTACCGCAGGGAGATGGGGCGGTGTACTTTCAGTCCGTCCATGTGCCTCTTGGGGCCCCTCAGCCGTCAGAGGTGCCCGTGTCGCCCAGTCTAGCAGTACACGCGGCATCTGGCGCTGTGAACGATGCCGGTGTACCTGGCATGGCTACTTCATATGCCACTGAGCGCGCCATCAACCCCATCAACCTTGACTACGGCTCCGCTGATACCGGGCTGCTGCAGCGGCAGTCCTCCAGTGGCCCTGCCCCCGCACCAGAGGAGCGGCCATCCTCGCCGTCCTCAGCAACGCAGGCAGCGCAGACCCACGGGACACAGCAAGGACAATCTGTCAGGGTCGGCGTCCAGGGGCAGCAGGGCGCTGCAGGTGATGCACAAAGCGTGAAGGCAGCCGACGCGGGCCTGTCATGCAGCTCGGTAGCAGAGCTTGAGGAGCTGCAGCAGACGGTACAGGAGCCGGAGGCCGATACAACGTTGATAATGACTGAAGCTGCAGCGGGTAACTCAGCCGCGGTGGATGCTGACAGGAGCAGCGGCAGCGGCGGCGGCAGCTCCGCCGCCTCAGCTCCCGAGCCCAAGACCCAGCTAGCCGCGGAGCTTACCCGCCTCATCATGGAGGCCTTCCAGCAGAGCGGCGGCGTCATCCGGCCAGTTGAAGGGACGAAGGAGCATCCCGCGGTCCCGGCCACTGGTGTGGCTACTACCGCAGCCGCAGTCTCGGACAGTCAACCCCAGGGTCCTGCAGGAGCTGCTGACCAGTCTGCTGCCGCCGCTGCTGTGGGGCCCCCACTTGCCACGCTGCCATCCACACTTCCCAACGCCGCGATACCCCGCGGCAGCGGCCCCAGCTTCCTGCAGATCCGCGACATCGAGCTCACCCACCCTGCCGAGGACCCCACCGCCGCGGCGGGGACGCAGGCAGCCACCGACGCCATCCTCGCCGGCCTGGGCGACTGGGAGGCGCAAGCCATGGCGGCGCTGCAGGGCAGGAGCCTGCCCGCATCCTCCGGCTTCCCCTCCGGCAGCGGCGAGCCCTACCCCGCGTCTCACCATGAGCAATACCACAGCATCCAGGCGGTGTCCAGTACGGCAGCGGCGGCGCCACCGGTGCGGGTGCAGCCGGGCCACATGGCACACTACCAGCTGCAGCGGCTGAGTCAGCGCAGGCGGCAGCAGCACGAGGCGGTGCTGCAGGAGCAGCGCGAGCGGCTGCAGCAGACCGGCATGCAGCGGGGCGCCGAGCCGGCCCTGCGGCTGCGGGACGGTGGCGGTGGCGGCGGTGACGACAGCGACGCTTACTGGGCGCTTCGACCAGGGATGGGTGCAGCAGCGACTGGCGGCACCCGGGGCCGGCGCACGGGGAGCAGCTGGGCTGCTGACACGCACGGCTCGCTGTTCCCTCCGCAGCAGCAGCAGCCGGTGTACCTGACGGGGCCGGGAGTGGAGCGGCAGCCGCACCCGCTCAGCCCGCTGCAGCGGCGCATGCACGGAGAGGCGGACCCCCGCAAGCAGGTGGGTGGGGGCATAGGTGCCGACTGTGGTTGACGGAGTTGGGAGTGGACAGTGAAGTGATGGGGGCTACCGGTATCGGCATGCTTGACAGGTCTGCAAGCACTACCGGTACACTCACTTCGGCATACGGCTGACGTAATGCCATATCGGCTGCATACCTCACCTCTTCTGTCACCCCTGATCCCCTGTGTAAATCTGCACCCTCCGCCCCACCAGGTCGCTGCAGTCTCCGACCGCCAACACCGCCTGACCTCCTCGCTACGCGGCGCTTCACAGCCCCCCAGCGGGCTCCAACACGAGCACGATGACTACCGGTACCGTGCCGGCAGCCGCCCTCGCGCCACCGTGACATTTGCTGAGGACACACTTGGAGGCGGCAGTGCCGGCCTGCACAGCGGTCGCCTGCCGTACCAAGCACGTGTTAGCCCCGAAGCTGCTGCCGTGCATTCGCTGGCTGGGATGGTGGCCCAGCGGCTGGGGATTGGGAGCGACGGCCCATTCGGGGCGACAGCAGACAGCTCGGAAGGACATGTGCGGAAGGTACGTGGTATGTGCGGGCTGAGGGGGGCTCAAGCATGTTGGGTTCTTCCTCCTATGCTCTTTCAACAATTTCGTGCAGACTGCAGCTGAATTCTGTTAAGGCAACTGAGTCACAAGGAAGGGTATGGTCCGCGTGTCCTCACACTTGCGCATGCGGCTGATACCCATGCATCTGCAAACCTAGAGGCGGCTGACCACCTTGCTAGCGCCAGACCCTCCTTCTAACCACCGCTGCACGTTGCTGCCCCCAGGCGGGAGGGGCCGCCAGCAGCGCCACCGCATCTCTTCACCAACAGCAGCAACATCAGAGCGAGGAGCGCGACCGGCGGCGCGGTGCCATGCTGGACGAGTGGGCGGCGGAGGTGCGCCAACTCAGTGCCGCCACCTCGCGAGCCGAGGCGACCCAGCGAGTGGCAGTGGCGTCGGCGCAGCAGGTGCGTCGCCAGCGGGGGTTGGTGGGCTGGGAATCGTTTTCGGCTTGGTGTACGCTGTGGGGCGCCCGTCCGGTACGATTCTGGTAAAAGACGACATGGTCGCTCTGTGGGATCGGGGCCTGGATGACGCAGAGCCCCTCATGCCAGCTACAAAGCAGAAAACCCTTGCTAATATGTGCATACCCGCTTGTCCCCCCATCTTCGCCCTCCCCCGCCACCGCCACCGTCCGCCCCGCGCCACCTCCGTCTGCCCCTCAGGCGCTGACTGCCCGCCGCGAGCGCCAGGCTGCCGAGTTGGCTGACATCATGCGGCTGCTCGGGGAGGTGGACGAGATGGCGCGCGGCATGGAGGAGCAGACCCACGACACCCGCAAGATGATGCAGGTGGGTGGGTGGGTGGGGGTTACATGTGTGGGTTACCGGTGTGCAGGGGTGGGGGAAAATTATATAAGAAATGCAATCCCAGGGATGCAGGGGTGGGGGAGGAGGGAAGGGTGGAGCTGATGGTGGGGGAGTTGTGGGTTACCGGTACATGAGTAGGAGGTGGGCGCGATGCTAGGTGGGCTGATACAGACAGTAGTGCAGGCGATTCGGGGCAGGTGACAGCCATGTGGCGCTTTTAGCTGAGGCCTGTGTGGGCTTCATGTTGGCGGTTCATATATCCCCTTCCCTATCCCATTACATGTCGCCGCAACCTTTCCTTGAAACTGTCCTGGCAAGCAGGAGCTCGAGGAGGAGGCGGAGTTGCGTCAGGTGTCGCGACTCAACGAGCTGTTGTTTGAGGCACAGAAGCTCGGAAGCCAGGTGGACGCGGCACTACAAATGGACACGTCGGAGGCCGAAGATGAGGCGAAACCTACGTGATGCTGGGCCGATGTCATGCTGTGATGTGCATATAGCGGTTTGCGGCGTCTGGTATGGGTTCTGACCATGATCGGTGTTTATGAAGGCGGGAGCTGCTAGCCGTACATGGCGGTTGACACAGAATGGATTCCACAGAATGCAGCACCAGTGGCTATACGTAAATTTTAGGTGCTCTACCTCAGGTTGGCGCCTGCTTAAGCGCGTGTATACCAGAGAGAAACACTACGTTGTAACACCTAAGGACACTGTAATACGTCTTCGTCAGCAGTTGTTGGCAAAATGCTTTGCCGGTTCGTTTCAAGTGCGTTGCCTAGTACCGTTAGGCGCAGCTCGCCGGTGGCCAATGTCGTGGGGGCAGCATTCCCGCAGCGCCAACAGTTGGCGAACCCTGCCTTCCCAGCTAGGGCCTTTTCGGAAGCACCTTCTTCGGTAAGATATGAAGGCTGGATCGGATGGGCGATGGCATGAATTGACGAGCTTTTGGCGGGATCATGTTGGCCCTAAGGGAACGTTTCAAAGTCAGGTCCTGGTTGCGGGTATCCCCTTGTAGGGTGGATATCACGAACGGTTTGGTCGCGATATGCCATATTCCCTATTCACGAAAAGAGTAACTTGTCACGCGTCTCCACCTTTCCTCGCCATGTCCTGCCTGGAACCATCCGGGATCTCCCTCCCCCCTTACTAGCCGGCGCCGCAGCAACCGCAGCAGCAGCAGCGATTTCCCGCTCCGGCGCCGCAGCCCATGGGAGACCGCGTGTACACAGACTTCCACATCTACAAGACGCGCGGTGCCTTTGCCTTGAAGCTGCTGCCGCCCACCTTTGCCGAGCGCGTCGACGGCTCCAAGTACCTGGACCGCGACGGTTGCCTCATGCTGGAGTTTGCGAACCCCAACCCGCAGCAGCAAGGCGCTCCCCAGGGGTCGCCTGGGGCCATGCACCGGACCTACAACTGGGGTAACAAGGTGCGTGAAGGCAGGGTTGGAGCTTGCGAGCCCAGTCCAGGTTATGGTCGCAACCGTCCGCAAGACTGGCACCCTGACCCGAGGGAGGGAGGGAGAGAGGAGTCCCAGTGTGTGTGGCCCTCCGTCCGCCGTTCACTGACCCGTCCTGTTGACATGCCCTGGAGCGTTAACGAAGACGGTCACCTCCCCCAAAGACGGTCACCTCCCCCGTCCTGCACTTACATTGCCATGTGGGTTCAGATCAACTTCGCGCTGACCCCCGTGGAGCTGGGTAACATCCTTGCTGGCGAGGGGCTGGACAAGGAGAAGGGCCTCACCTTCTACCATGACCCCGCCAAGCTGGGAAAGAACGGGGAGGTGGGTGGAGCATAGGGGGGGCGCGGGGAGAGGGACGGAGCGACGGAAGGTGTCGGGGGGTGCGCTTGCTAGCTGCGTTCGGTTGAAGGAGTGTGCCCGACGGGAGCTGTCACCTGGACCCCTCACCTCACCTCATACCCGGTTACCTAGCACCTCACCCAGCCCTATAGCTCCACTCGCTCCGGGAGCTGTCCTGCCATATGGGCCGCTTAGCCTTTCAACCTGCACGCTTCACGCCCCTCTCCCACGCCTTCCCCTGTCCACCTTACTCCACTCCCCACCAACCCTCCTCCCTCTTCCCTCCTGCCACCGCCCCGCCTCCCAGCCCATGAAGCGGCTCACCCTCAAGTCCATGCCCGACGGCGCCATCAGCTTCTCCATGTATGCGGGGCCGGACAGCGTGAGTGTGCCCGTGAGCCGGGGCGAGTTCGAGGTGTTCAAGAGCATTGCGCAGTTTGCCATTCCGCGCCTGATGGGCTTTGGCGCGCTGTTCCCATGCTAGGGTGGGATAAAGCCGTGCTGGGGAGGGAGGTGAATAAGGAGAGCTGCAAGGACAGGAAGGGAGGCGGGGGGGGTGCTGGAGAAGGAGGTTTTAGGGTTCCCGTTGCTGCTGAAGGGGGTGAGGGGTAAAGAAGGGGAGTCGATTGTTGTGACGAGGATATGAGGGGTCTCGACTTGGTTTGAGAAGGGCCGGGCGGCAAGCACATGGGAGGTAGGCAGGGATGAAATGGTCGGTTGGACAGCAGGACTGCTTGGTATTGCGCTGGGGTGCATGATGCGCGTGTGTGTGACGGTTTTGTTGCTGGTAGACTGAGGTAGGGCGGCAGAGGAGAGGTGTGCTGGCAAGCTGTCGAGAGGAGGGGAGAGAAACGGCTCGGTGTGTGTTGAGTAAATCCTTCTGCTGCATTGTGCTGGCAATAGGCGCGCTACTGCGGACGTAGAGCGCCCAGTTGGGTTGTGTGTGTGGGGGGGGGGGGATTGTGGCAGGCGGCTCGTTCTTGCAGAGAATAGTTGTGGAGTGGCGGTGAGCTGCCTCGCCCGGGCCAGTCGTGATATGCAGTTGGCAGGGGTTACAATAAGAGTGTTTGTGTCTTGAAGCTTCCGATCTGTCTGAACCGATTGCACCTGTTCGCACCCGCCTGGTGCCGCTGCGGGGACATGTTGATGCCTGCACCTATAGCACACGGCAACACATCCGATGTGTGTAGTTGTAAGCTATAACCAATAAATTGCACTGCCTGACAGGCACGTCAGGGGCCGCTGCACAGTCACCATGACGGCCCTCGGGCCCCTCTGCCTCCCTCCCCCTCAACAGCATCAACAGCGAACTGCTTCCAGTCTGCCCCTTTCCGGAATCCCTGCCGCCGTTCCCCGCTGCCTCCGGTTTACACTCCCAGTTACACCCTTCAACTCATCCCGCTACGTAAACCACCCTCGCTGCCTGCAGCACCTTTTTGTCCAGTGCGTGCCTGGACACATGGGATCGTAGGATCTGTACGCCTGTACCACTGTCTGCCTGAGTTGTTTGGGATCTATTGCGCCTGATCATCTCTGAACGGCCGTACTGACTCCGTTACCCTCTCATGGGCAATTAGCCCTATGAATAGTTGAACTGTGGCGTTTTCTAGGTAGGTTAGGGGCGCACCCGCGCGCCCCACTCCTGGTCTACACTGACGAGGGTGGAGGCGAGAGGGCCCGCTTGATGGGCTCGTACACCACCCAGGACAGCGCCGTTCCTGAGCAACGTAACGGGGGCGAACAGCGGGTGACTGTCAGTCGTCAACACACTCGTGCCTGCCCGTGTTTCTTTCCAAAAGTGGGGGTGCAGTCCCCACCTTATAACCCCCTTCTCCCCCTTACACATTGGAATTTCTCTCCCCCCCTTACCTGGCGCCAGCTGCACGATCCGGGCCGCCAACCCCGTCATGAACACCTGCGGGCACACGTGAGCCCCCCGTCAGGTCGACCCTCAACATGCAACAACCCGCCTGCTGTCGGCTGGTGCGGATTGGGCAGCAGGAGGGGCCGCCTGACGCAAGAGCGGCTTGGAAACGTACCCCACAGCACACAAGAGCAGGTGCGCCTTCTTGTCCTCCTCTGCCGTACTCACTGCCTAGGCGCACATAGACCAAGGGCTTTCCCTCGAGCGCCACCTGCTCCCCTCCAACCCACTACTCCATTCCTCCCCACCACCTCCCACCCCACCCCACCCTGGGTCCCTCCGTCGCCCACATGCGCCCCGCTAGCTGCAGGGCGGTGATGCCTGCGTGCTGCGGGCAGGCGGACAGCACCTGCAGCCGCGTCTTCACCACGTCAGCTGGCTGGGTCAGCAACCCTGCCAGGCCGGCGCTGCCTGTGCAGGGGAGGGTAAAAGGAGGTATCAAACCACGAGTGAGGGCAGGCCCACGGGGAGCGCCCTGCTGCTGAAAACCCGCTACACCCACCGCCACACGCGCACACCGCTTAACCCTCTACAGTTCCAATCGCCACACCTAGGCCCCTCCCCTCCCCTCCCTGCCCTGCCCTCCCCCCACCCCCAACTCCCACCTGCCGAGCACAGCCCCAATACCAGCGGTGACAGGGCCGCCTCGCCGCCCTCACCAGCAGCAGCCCCCGCAGCCCCCCCTGGTTGAGAGGTGCCAGCGGCTGCTGCCGCCCTCTTGGATGCCTCGTAGAAGGCGATGTAGAGCGCGTTCCAGGGGATCCACACCGCGTTGGTGGCCTGGCAGGGGGGAGGGCAGTGGGGGGGGAAGCAGTGGGGGGGGCAGTGGGGGGGGGGGCAGTGGGGGGCAGTGGGGGGGGGGGCAGTGGGGGGCAGTGGGGGGGGGGCAGTGGGGGGCAGTGGGGGGGGGGCAGTGGGGGGCAGTGGGGGGGGGGGCAGTGGGGGGCAGTGGGGGGGGGGCAGTGGGGGGCAGTGGGGGGGGGGGGCAGTGGGGGGCAGTGGGGGGGGGGCAGTGGGGGGCAGTGGGGGGGGGGAGTGGGGGGCAGTGGGGGGGGGGGGGGCAGTGGGGGGCAGTGGGGGGGGGGCAGTGGGGGGCAGTGGGGGGGGGGGCAGTGTGGGGGGCAGTGGGGGGGGGGCAGTGGGGGGCAGTGGGGGGGGGGCAGTGGGGGGCAGTGGGGGGGGGGGCAGTGGGGGGCAGTGGGGGGCAGTGGGGGGGGCAGTGGGGGGCAGTGGGGGGGGGCAGTGGGGGCAGTGGGGGGCAGTGGGGGGCAGTGGGGGGCAGTGGGGGGCAGTGGGGGGGGGGGCAGTGGGGGCAGTGGGGGGGGGGCAGTGGGGGGCAGTGGGGGGGGGGGGCAGTGGGGGGCAGTGGGGGGGGGGGGCAGTGGGGGGCAGTGGGGGGGGGCAGTGGGGGGCAGTGGGGGGGGGCAGTGGGGGGCAGTGGGGGGGGGGGCAGTGGGGGGCAGTGGGGGGGGGGGGGCAGTGGGGGGCAGTGGGGGGCAGTGGGGGGGGGGGGCAGTGGGGGGGTCTCGAGGAGAAAAACCCGCACCCCCACACCAGCACCCTCCCTCACTGTCCCGCCCCGCACCCCCACCCATTTCTTTTACCCTCACTCACCCAGTACCCCTTGAACAGCCCCAGCGGCCCGCTGCCCCGCACCTGCAGCAGCAGCAGCAGCCACCGGGGGACAGAGGGCATGGGGCAAGGGAGGGAGGTGGGGAGTGGTGAGTAGTGCAGCCGCCGGCCGCAGCAGCAGCCAGACGCACCCATGGGTCCACGACATCCCCGCGTACCACTGCTGCGCTGATGGCCAGCTGTTGTTTAGCCCGCTGTCTCGACATGCTCCCTCACACATGGCAACCCCCACACACGCCCAGCACCCCCTCCCTTCCTCCTCCCCCCCCCGCCTCACCATCTCCCTCACCGCCCCCGCCAGCCCCGCCCCCCGCGTGTAGCGCCAGTCCGTCCCCATCAGCGGCGCCACCTGCAGCCGCTCCTTCAGGATGTCGGTGGGGGTGAACAGCAGCCCCGCCACCAGCTGAGCGGCGGCTCCCACCGCCAGGTCGCCCGGAGCACCGCTGCCGGCTGGGTGGGGGGCGGGGGGGCGGGAAGTGGGGGGAGGAGGAGGGTGGCGGGAGGTGGGAATGAAGGAGAGAAGGGGTTTAGGAGGGCGAAGATAAGGAAGGGACGTGTGGATAGCGAAGCAGCGCGCAGCTGTGGGGCAAGCAGAGGCATGGGCAGACCTCCCATCCCAGCTGCGTCTATCACCACCTCCTCACCCTAGCCCTAACCCACCCGCCGCCGCCACTCCCCACTCCACCTCCAACCGACCTGGGCTCTTTCTCCGTTTCATGCTTTCGGTTCTCGCCCCCTCCCCTCCCCGGCACGCATTGGAATTTCTTTTTTCTCCCCTACCCGGCAGCTGCTTCTTTGCGGCCTCATACGTGGCGAAGTAGGCGAGGTTTGCGGGCGCACTGCCCACCGCCACCGCACCGAAACCCCGGTAGAAGCCGCGCAGGCCCTCGTGGCGGGACACCTGGGGGGGAGGGGGGGGAGAGGAAGGGATGGGAAGGGATGGGAAGGGGATGAGATGGAAGGGCAGCGGGAAGGAGGAGTGGGTCGACAGGCATGAACGTGTGATAGGGGGAGGGGAAGACGCTGCTGCAAAGCCAAACCCAGGACCGTGGGAAATCTGTCATGCCCAGAAAGCAAGCGAGTCTGTGCTCGCTTCCAACAATCCGAACCCGCCGGCGATGCCCTGATGTTGTCCCGTGTGCCACACACCGGCAGAGTCCCCCAGCCTCGCAGCACACCTGTCGGATAGCGGACCATGTGCTGCCGTACAGCGCGGCGCCCCCGCCCGGGGCAACAGCCTGCACCTGCAGCCGGGCTTTGATGGTGTCGGCGGGGTCTGCGAGGAACGCGAGTGAGAGTGTTGGGGGCGCGGAACGGGAGCGCCCTCCTCAGCGGTGCGTCCATACAGGTTTTGTGCATTGCTAGTTGAAACAGGCGTTTACTTGCCGGTTCTTACAAGTGACTAATCTAGCGCATATTCCGGCTATCGGCCCCGCCAGAGCTCCTCGTATGCTTGTAAGCACTCCAGCGCTGCTGGCAACTGGCTCATGCTGCTTTCTGGACCCGGCATCTGTCATGTTGGACGAATGCCGACGACGAACGGCACTAAGATTTGTAGCTTCTTCGGCATTGCATATTTATTGCATATTTCTACTTTAAGCAAGCCTTAGACATGCCAAGCGTCATCCTCAATAGTACCGGTCGGCCAACTTTATCTTGGCGTCGATTAACAATCTATTCACAGCCGCACCGCAGCTGTGTTCACCCCGCGCACACGGCTAACTCAGCGCTTACGACGATACTGTGCCAGCTGACATCTTGGCAAGATGGCAACTGCCATTTTCCTGCTCCAAGACCAACGGTACGGCGGATCTGGTTTCTATCTTACTAAAGACAACTTGTAGAGATGTCGACCATAGCACGCCCTAGCGCAGTTATAGAACTTGCGAAGCCTCACAGTAAGCGAACATGCGCCAATACATTTCGCCCAACCTCACGTCTCCTTGGATACCGGATGTTGCGTCCATTGTCGGCATCCACAGACATCGCAATACGGCAAACGCGGCTTATTCAGCATGCTGGCCTTTTCGGATGCCGTCAGGCATTGGGGGATGCTGGTGAGGAGTACCGGTGAAGTAGTAAGCGTGGTTTTGGAATGGGGATCGGAGCATGATAGGCTGCGCCGATGACGCCGAAGACGAACTACTCAGATGCCACACAAGTCAATGGTAGAGCCAGCAGAACACATAAGGAGAAACGATTGTTGCCCTTACAAATCCAGCCACATCCGGCTTGTCTGCATTACGCGCCACTGCTGCGCCGGACTGCGGCCATGGTACACCGGTAGCCATAATGCAGCAGATGATTAGAGTGACCAACCCTGCTGCACCCTGAAGCCAGCAGCGAGTGTTATTAATCGTAGCAGTAGGGTATCAGTAGGGGAATGCTGACGAGGAGTATCGGTACGGCCCCTGTGGGCCCTACCCACAAGCGGTAATGGATACCAAGAGGTTGCATGGCCTGCCGTCGCCCACCAAAGAGAAAGAACGCAAACTTTAACAATAATATCGTCGATTGAATTCAAGATTTCTCACGTTCTTAACCAGCAGAGCATCTCAGCCCTGCATTACGAAGCCAAGTGGTCACAAACCGCCATCAGCGCTGCGGCTAGTATTCAACCAAAGATGCAAACCGTAAGCCTAACACGAGACGAGCAGTGTTCACATGCATGCATACACGGACTTAATGCTGCTCGCTACCTCCCAGCGTTACAGCGGAACCCCACAACAAGTCCCATTGTCCGGTCGCCACCGCGAACCACTCACGAACCCCCATTTTTTAATTTGAATAAGTCGCCGACAGTAACCAAGCAAGGTTGCACTTCCTAGCCCGCGGGTGCATCCCCGGCAGAAGGCCGCCGTGTGCACCCCGGCAACACAAACCGTGCCACCAACCTGTCGCCACTAGAGGGACCTGCCGCCGGCCCTACCCGGCGCCCGGCGCGGCCCGAGGGGTGGTTGGGTGGCAACGCCAAACTAAACGCTGAACTCAGCCGAACCCTAGACCTCAGGTGATGCGCCACCGGCCCTGAGCGGCGCCCGGTGGTGCCTGCAGGCTGAGGAACAAGTATAACCGAGCCACACAAGGCGAGCCCAAACCCATAGTGCCAGGAAAAACAGCCGTCCCTATACGGCGCCCGGCGCTGGCTACACGGGTGGGTGGGTGGGTTCATGGGGCCCGTCCTGGCAGAAGGACGGCACCTCTTGCCTATGAAGTGGTACTGTAGCAAGTTAAGAAACCAGGCACAGCCTCTGCGAGAAAGCCACCGACCACTGAAATGTACGACATCGCTTACACGCTGATCGGTAGCTTGCGCAATAAGTGAACTTTCCACTTCGTGATAAGTTGACACCTTATCACGAAAGACCCCTCCAGCAAGCCCGCAGTCACCCCCTGCGACCGCACCGCCGCTCCCAACGCGCGCGCTTGACTCCATCCTGCGCACTCCCACACTACTGGCACGCAAATGTTACCGGTCTTCCCGCTTTCCCGGCACTGCGCTCCTCCTTCAACAATCCTCCCGTAAGAGTGATAAAAAATGTCCAGCCTCTCCTTCACTCACAACTCAGCTAACTAGCCTACAAGGGGCCACCCAGCGCCTCACCCTATCTCTTCAACCCCCCACCGACACCTACCCCGTACGGCCACACAGCACCCTCATCCCGTCCCAGCCCCAGCCCCTCGCCCACCATCAATCATACACGGGCCGGAAGCCGCTGCTAAGCTGCTTGGGCCCTCCACCATTACCACCAGCAGCTGCGGCGGGGGACGCCGGGGCCGCAGCCTGCCGCCCGCTCCACCCGCTCCCTCCCGTCGCAGCAGCCATGCCCGCCCCTCCCGACCTCACTCCCAACCCAGCGCCCATCATGCCTCCGGCCCCACCTCCCGCTCCGCCCCCCATCGCTGCCGACCCAGGTCTCCGCCCAGCTGACGCCGGCCGCATGGCACCCGAGGACACAGGTCGCGAGCCGCCCCCTCCTGCCGCCCCCACCAACCCCATGCGCCCCCGCTCAGTGGACGCAGGCCGCACCGACCCCGACCCCGACCCTGGCCGCGATCCCGCCCCTGCCCCTGTCCCCCGCGCTAGCAGCGAGGAGGAGGAGGGGCTCCCGGCTGCCCCCGCCCCTGACGCCGCCAGCGGGTGCGGGTAGCCTGCATGCTGCTGCTGGTGCTGCTGCTGCAGCGGCGGCGCGGGTGGCCACTGCGGCGGGTGCGCCACCTTGCCCCAGCGGTTGGCGAGGGGCTGCCCCGTCACCGCGCCGCCGCTGCTGGCCGCCATGATGCGCACCGCCTTCTCGCCGCGGGAGGGGGAGACCTGCGCGCGGCGGAGGCTGGAGGAGGGGGGAAAGGGAGAAAGGGGGGGAGGGAGAGAGTGAGGGAGGGAGGGGAAAGGGATGCAGTACGTGTTTTTTGTGGAGGAGGAGGCCATGGAAGGGCCTCCAAGGCTGCTTCAGGATATTGGCGCAACAAGATGCTTTGCATAGGAACGGAAGTAGGATTCACTTCCCTCTCGCGCCCCCCGCTGCTGCCGGCACGAGTGGCCCGGCGCACCTGCACGGCACGAACGCCTCCGCCGACGCGGCTCCATGGTCCCCGGGGAACACCAGGTCCCGTATGGGCGCATCGTCGGCTAGGGGTCGGAAGTCCTGACCCACGGGTCGGCCCGCCATCAGGCGCTCCTGCGCCGTCTCGAACACCGTCTCGTGGTCCTCCCACTTCAGGTCGCACACCTGTACATGGGGCAGGTGGGGAGGACCAGGAGCGGGGGAGGGGGGTAGCGGAGGGCGAACTGGGGTCGGGCGCTCGGGCCACATGTTGGACCTTACAGGCAGGGGGACGGATGGCGGGGTACAGGGCAGGAGGGCCAGGCGCTTGCTTCCGATGATGCCCACTGCACCAAATCTCTTGGGGGTAAAGCCCGACCTCCCAATCCATGACATGTAGGCCAGTGCGGCTGCTAGGCCACACTGCCGTAGCAGCAGACCCAACCGCGCCATCTTGCATTCCCCACCAACCACCTCGCCCCCCCGCCTAGTCCCCCTACCAGGCATGCAAAGTTGGATTGGAACATGGAGCAGCCGCAGCGGCAGCGGCGCGCGTTGGGGTCGTGTTCGTCGTGTCCGTGTCCGCAGCGGCACTTGGCGCGCCAGGTGTGCACGTTGAAGCCCTTGCGGCGGGGCAGCCACCACTCGCCCACCTCCTCCGGCCTGGGGGAAGGGGCAGAACGGGGTGGGAACTGAGGAAGGCGGCTGAGGGCGTGGAGAAAGGCGCCGGGGGAAAAAGGCGCTGCGGGGCCCTGGACGCCATGTCATGCGGAGCTGACGCAGGCGTACTTGGGTTGCAACAATGGAGCCAAGGAGCCCACTTGTCCCCAGTGCACCCGGGGAGGCCGCCTTCCTCCCTCCAACCCCCCAACCTGGAGGGGACGAACGCAAAGCCCCTGCAGGAGCAGGCCTTGCAGATCGGGTAGGGCGACTTGGGCGACACGAAGAAGTGGTCCGCATAGCTGTGGTTGCAGAAGCAGCGCGCGGTGGGGCCGATGCGGGTGCAATCGGTGCCCTTGGAGCTGCGCCACACCCCGTAGATGCCGGTCTCCATTGCAATTTGCGCCGCCTGTACAAATTGAAGCAAGGTCGAAAAGAGCAGGGTTGGTTGCTTGGGTTAAGAGGAGCTGAGTTTAATGCAATGCGAGTTGTCGGCAAGGGTGCTACAACTTGTACGCGAGTGAGCAGGCGTTCCTTCAGCGGTTCATTCCTTACCGCTTCCTCTGCGTCAATCATCTTCCGGGCACCGGGAGCCAGCCCATATTGCTGCACGCCCTCCAGGACCTGGCCTCTGGTTTGTGCTTGAATCATCCTAACAAACTATTATAGAACGGTGTAAGGAAGAGGCAGTGCGATCCTCCTTTGCAGATGTATCAGCGAGTCACGGTTTACGTGCGACGAAACCAGCTCCTAAAAGACAGCGCATTGGTTGCATATGCTCTTTAGTTGGGACTGTCATCAAAATAAGTAAGCATACCCTACGGTTGGCTAGCGGTCCCAGCTAGGAATGGAACATGATTGGGATTTGGTCCCTGCGCAAGGTTTCGGAACCAGCTGTTGTACGTAGTATCGCACTAGCGCTCCTTGCTCAATCGGCTGATTGGTTGGCGTCATCAGGCAGGTGCGGCACTTACAGTGGCGCTGCTAGTCACGCACGCATGGGTCACTCTGTAGGCTTGCTCAGGGGTCCAATCCCTTAAGGGTTACTATTCACATGGCACCTTGCCCCTGTTAAAAACTGAGTATTCAGGACATGTCGTATAATATGGTGAAGCCGGTGGGTACGGCAGCTGGACAGGAGAGGAGGAGCTTTGGTCATATGAAGACAGCTACAGGAGGGGACGTGGAGATCTTAGCACACGAACTAGGTCACGCTGGCAACGATGGGCATGGCCCGTGGCGGCGTGGGTGAGGCCAGATGCCACGTCAAATCCTCTGGTGTCATAGGTTCAGCCTTCCTGGGCGCAATCCGGTGATCCAACCAGATCCCGCCCTTGCCCACAGCACTAGTAAGACAACGCCGGTCCTCGGTTACCCTGCCCAGTATGCCTCGCCCTGCTGCGTTAGGATATGCTCCAACCACCATCCTATAGTGCACGATTGCAACTTAGACACTGCTAAAGCTGCGATACTGGATGCGTGCTGTCGTGAGTGGCGGGTGTACGGCATCGCACGTACGGGAAGTTGAGAGCAGTTTGGACCGATAGGAAGCCGGTGTGCGTCCAATTTTTAATCCACTGTATATACATTTGTTGCTTAGTTAGTATCTGCCGTGCTGACAATCTATATGGACCGTCTTGCCGTTCCCTCGTGTGCAACATTAGTGGTGGACATTCACGAACGGCAGAGGTTTGCCTAGCTCGTTGATTTGTCCAGGACCTAAAAATGCAGCTCGCCCAACATAAAAGCTGTCGCTGGGCAGGGGGACCCCTGGGCGTCGTCGCTGGTCTATGCAGGACCAGACATGCTCATGGGAACGCAAGCCGGCTACCCAGGACAGCTTCAAGGGCTCGGCTGTCAGCAAGCAATGCCTCCGTGCAGACTGCCGCTACACCACTAACGGCAATGCAATGCGAGAAGCCGCCGGAGGTTGACTTTACAGACGTTAACAGACACAATTTCGCAGCCGTCCTACCCATCATGCGAGCGGCGATCCAAGACGCTACTTTCATCGCTATTGATACCGAGTTTACCGGCCTAACTGCCGAATCAGTATACGACTTCCTTGATGATTTTGAGGAGCGATACAAGCGCATGCAAGCGTCGTCCGCAAGCTTTGTAATTTGCCAGGTAACCTAGCCGGAGAATAAATGTATTGAATTCTCTTTGCAATTCATAGTAGGTTAAGCACTCAGGAAAGCGCGGACTCGGGCCAGTCCAGCTACCCAGCCCCCTCAGCTTTCCCAACATGTTTTGTTTCCCCTGCCTCCTATCCTTCTTTTACCTTGCCCCCTCAAATGGGTCACACTACCATGCTCTGCCAGCCCTACGAAACCCCTATCATCGGTCCAATCTCCCCACGCGTCGCCCATGCATTTTACCCCTCCCCTCACACGCACTGGTTTTGCAGTTCGGTTTGACCGCCTTCAAGTGGCACCCCGGCCCCGCTGGCGGCCGCAACGGTCACTGGGAGGCGCGCACCTTCAACGCCTACGTCTTCCCTCGCCCCGATGAGAACACTGGCCTAGACAAGCGCTTCCTGTGTCAGGCCTCCTCCCTGGCCTACCTCGCATCGCAGGTGGGGGTCTGCCGGGCCAACTTCCCGGCGTGCCCCTCCCTGTGCTCCCTCCCGCGCATTTACATGTATATTAAAGCACAGCATATAGACACCACTGCATCTCCCGGCGGCCTGCTTGTCTTCCTCTTCCCCCCTAGATCCTATCCTAAAAGCTCTAACCTGCTGATCCCTGCTGCTGCCCTGTTGCCCTCTCCTCCTCCTCCTCCTCCTCCTTCCTAGGGTTTCGATTTCAACAAGATGATCCTGGAGGGTATCGGCTACAGCCCGCTGGGCCCCCGCCTGGCTGCACTCCAGGCCGAGGCGGCCAAGCAGAACCGCGGCATGCGGCTGCGGCAGCCCTGGGAGGAGGAGCTGGTGAGCGGGGCGCGGCAGGCGGTCAGGAGCTGGCTGCTGGGGGCGGAGGCGGGTGCGGGGACGGAGGAGCAGCCGGCGGAGCTGCGGCTGCCGCTGCCGCCCAGCCCGCGCGGGCGGCAGCTGCTGCGGCAGCTGCTACAGCTGGAGTTCCAGCCGCCCTCGCTGGGCTACCCGCCCTTCAGCGTGGAGGAGGTGGCCACCAGTACGGCAGAAGGGGAAGGCAGTGGGAGTGCGGGTGGAAGCAGCAAGGCTAGCGGCAGCAGCAGCGGTGGTATTGGAGAGGAGGGGGATGCGGGTGGAGAGGCGGAATCGGAGGATGCGGAGGAGGAGCACGCGGGCAGTGGAGGGAGGAAGGCGGCGGCGCTGCCGGAGGGTTTCTTGCGGCTGCAGCGTGAGGGGCAGTGGCGGGTGGGGGAGCTGGCGGGGGCGGGGCTGGAGCTGAGTGCCTCGCAGCGCATGGAGGCGGCGAGGGAGCAGAGCGGCTTCTCGCAGGTGGGAGGGTGGGGGGTGCCGGGGGTGCTCATGGGGTGTGTTAGATGGGAGGGGTGGTCAAGGAAGAGGAGGGGAGCAGCGGTAACGTCTCTGGGACGCGCCGCCCGGTCACTTTCACGCCTTCTTTCACACCTCTTCCCCTTCCCCTCTATTCCTCTCCTCCTCCTTTTCCCAACCTCCCACAGGTCCCCAGCTTCCATGCTCCCTGGTGTCTTGTGGCACCCTGCCGCCTCCTATCCCCATTGCTGTCCCCTGACTTGCCGCTTCACTTTATTTTGTCTGTCTCCTGCCCGTAACCCGCAGGTGCTGGAGGCCCTACGTGAGGCGGGCCGCCCGGTGGTGGGCCACAACCCCGCCTACGACCTAGCCTACATGCTCGCGCAGTTCTCAGAGCCGCTCCCCCCCACCTGGACGGACTACAAGGCGCTGCTGCAGCGCACCTTCCCAGGCGGCCTGTACGACACAAAGCATGTGGCTCAGCAGCTGGCGGCGCAGTACGGCCTGCCGTTGGCTGACACCTCCCTTGGGGCGTTGTACCGCGCACTTATGGACGAGCAGTGGCTGCGTGCCAATGTGCCGGGTATGGGCCTCATGGGCGCGGGCGCGGGTGCGACAGGAGGCGGGAGCAGCAGCAGCAGCAGGTCGGGAGCAGGAGGCGTGGCCGGCGGCGCGCCGGAGATTCGCCATGCGCCCGGGTTCACGGGTTATGCTGGTGTTACGGATAAAGCTCATGAGGCCGGGTTTGATGCGTTCATGACCGGGGCTGCATTTGCGCGGTTGCTACGGATTGCGGAGGTCAGGAACGCATATGACGGTGCTAGCGCCAGCCTTGGGGCTTCTGAGACTAGCAGTAGCGGCAATGGTGGCAGCAGCAGCAGCGCGGGTCCATCGGCAGCAGCGGCGGCGGAGTCGGATACGCTGCTGCAACCGCTGCTGCCCCACCGCGGCCGCATCAACATTAGCAGATCAGATCTGTCGTACTTTAATATGTACGGCAGCGACCCAGTGCCCAGCCGGCCTGCCGTACTGCACGTGTCGGGTATCACCCCCACCACGAAGGCGCACTTCCTGATGCAGCGTTTCGCGGCGTTGGGGCTGGGGCCGGTGCAGGTGACCATGCTGCTTGCTGCAGACGGCAGCGGCGGCGTACAGGGTGCGCTGGTGCAGCTGCCGCGGGCGGATATGGTGCCGCATGCGCTGCAGGTGACCCGCCGGAAATGGTCGACCTGGAAGGTGATCACCTACGGGGAGTACTACGGTAACCGCATGCTAGCGCGAAAGCAGCAGCAGCAGCGACAGGGCAGTGCGGCAGGAGCGTCAAGCAGCGGGAGCAGTGGGCTGGCGCGGACCGCGCCTCGCATGGTGAGGCCTCGGGGTACGGCTGGTGAGAGCAGCAACGGGACGGCAGCGGCGGCGGGGCCAGGCTCTGAGCAGCAGCAGCAGGGGCAGCAACAGCGGAGAGACGGTGTTTCGGCGGATCGGAGGCGAAGTCGAGAGCCGGACGCCGGAGTAGGGCCCGCAGCAGCAGCAGCAGCTAGCGACGGTCATAGAGGCCCTCCACCAACAGCGTCTACCTCCAGAGAGACGCAGTCCGCCTGCAGTGATGGAAAGACAGCGGTGCCGGAAGAACACCCGACCGCGACCGCAGCCTCGTCTGCGATCAAGCCACCGCCAGATGCGGCTGCAGCGGAGCTGGCCGCCGAGCGGTTACGGCACTTGGCGCAGGCAGCGCAGCGGCTGAAGGAGTTTTCGGACAAGGCGATCAAGGGGAAGGAGAGCTCTAGGGAGTCTGACAGCGGGCTGAGGTTGCAACGGCCGGGGCGACCGAGCCAGAACTGAGCATGGCTGCTAGGGGCTAAGTGACGCTGACATGACCGTGGCGCTCGTCCGTGTGGCCTGGCCGGCTTACTCGCAATTGCTTGCGCCAGGCCCTGATGTGATGTGAGCTCCAAGCTTTGTAAGGCAGGAGGCTGCCTGCCAAGCCTCATAAACCTTGCATTGCAATGGTATCGCTGTAACATCCCACATTGAAAAGGTGTCTCGTTGACACGGGGTCCAACGGCATACACGCCGAGTCTCTGCACCAATACCGGATTCTTGTCTTTCCTTCATGTCCAAGAAAGTAAACGTTCATTAGAACACCTAAACGCTTATTCAGTCATCTGTCGTACAAACCAAATATATGCGGCGGCTGCGCAACTGCTGCGCGCACATGGCCATAGTTCTATCGTGTTGCGTTGGCAACCGTCGTCCTGACACGTGTCAATGTCCAAACTGTCAGCAACGTTTGAAAGAGGTGTGGGAAACATGTCAAAGTCCAAGAAGAAACCTGCGGTAAAAGAGCCCCTGGCAGGAGCCAGGCGCGACCACCGTCCCATGTCCCCACCGGAAGGTATCAGCCATGATGAGGATCACATTCACGCGTCATGTGCACTACAGCCGTCCAGACCGTAACGTGGGTCAACTGCCAAGCCCGAACCAAACTCAGCGTTTGCGCAGCGTCTGCAGGAAGTCATTTGCATCTGTATACCGCATGTACAAGCTGTTGATGAGGTCGTTCGTGCTCCGGTATTCACCTGCGGTGGCAGGTGCCTCGCCCACAGCGCCCGGCCCTGGAAGCCCTGCGGCCGGCGTTGACATCACCGAGGCACCTGGATGGGCCCCGGCTGCTGCCCCGCCGACAGCTGACAATCCACTGCCACTAGGAATGCTAGATACTGCATTACCGGCATGAACCACATCCGCATTGCCCGGCTGCGTTGCATGAGCTGCTCCCTGAGGCTGCAGAGCTCGCAGCCCCTGCGACGCAGCAGCTCCTCCGCCTGGCAGCATGCGCCCGGGTTGCTGCTGCGGCTGCGCGCCAAGGCCGTCAAGGATGCTGGTCGGCCCGGCATGGCGAACCCCTGCCCTCTCCCTTTCAGAAGGCCTCCAGGACGACACGTATGCACGACTAGCGTCTGCACTGCCAGCCCCGGCAGCTTCCCCCGCGCTCGCACCAGCAGCCATGGAGGATCCCGACAGCATGCCTGTGTCCATGCTTGTGCGAACCGAGGTGGTTCCCAGTGCAGCTGCTGTGCTGCCAGGTACCGCATCCTGGCTGTTCGGTGCTCCGCTGTCAAAGCTGCTGCGAAGCACGTGGCTCCCAGGACCAGTAGTTTGCATGTAGCGGGTGCTGCCCATGGCCTCAACCGGCCGCTGCACCGCCTGCGCTGGCTGCGGCACTGTTGCTGCGGCGACTTGCTGCATGAGGCTCCTAGGCTGGAATGAGAATGAGGGCGGGGGCATGGGCGAGAACGCCGGTAGTTGCTGCGCGACGGGCTGTGAAGGCGGAGCCGCGGGTGCTGCTGTTGCAAGTGGGCGGCTCGGGTAGAAGGTGGACCCTGTAGACCCTATGGCGGAAGCTGTGGACATCATCCCCGTTGCAGAGGCGCCCAGACCGGACCGCGCATGGTCGTGTCCACCGAAGTCCACACTCGCCGACGTATACGCCTCTCGGCGGCCGCTATCCGCCGGGCCTCCAGCCTGCGCACGGGAGTCCATCGTTGTGTATGCTGCCCCCTGCGCTGCAGCTGGCGCCGGCGCTGCAGCCGACGGCGACCGGGACGGTGAGCTCCAGACGGATGTGCCCAAGGGCCCTGCTGCTTGCAGCGCAGGGCCCGCAGACCGAGGCCGCGCAGGAGATGGTCCGGCACTTGGTCCCTGTCCGGCCCTAGCCACAGCTCCCGGCGAGAAACCGGTGTTGTGGACAGGCGCCGAATCCCCGTAGCCGGGAGGGCGCTTAACGCACAGGTCCAGCTCACACTCCAGGAAGCGAACGCGACCTTCCAGAACCGTTATGCTTGCCTGCATCACGTCGCGCGTCTGCTTACCCTCCGCCCTGCAAGACACAGGGCATAAATAGGGCAAAAGTGAGTTTCGGCCGCAAACATCCGCGTCCAGTTGTTGCAAGTCGGGGCCATTGGTGCATGCTGCAAGCACTGCGCTGCAGCTTCAGGCAACATGTGCCTTGCCTCTGAACGCTCCCATGATCTGCCTTCCGCCTTACTACGTAACACAGCCATAATCAAGATGTGACGCACCTGCACCTTTCCAACTCCTCTTCTACAGCCGCCAGCTTCTCCCGCAGCTGCTGCAGCTGCTCCCGTGATTCGCGCTCCAGCTGCTCAAGCTTTACTTGCCAGACCACGTCCGTGTCAGCAGCAGCAGCGGCAACTTCCCGCGCCGGGTGTCGCGGCTGCTGGTCTAGCAGCTGCCCGCCCTGCTGTGGTGCAGCCGCACCGCTCCCAAGCAGCGGCCCTGACGCGCCACCGGGTTGGTGAGCCGTGAACGGGTGGCTTTGGTGCATCACGTGCCTGTCACCCTGCCCACTGAGCCCCCAGTGTTGCCCATGACGGTGCTGGTTCGCGTCCGCGTAGGCCTCCGGCCCGTCACTCGCCTGCTCCTCCGTGACGCCACCGCCACTGGCTCCAGCCAACTCCTGGCTGGAGTCGTCGTCTTCCGCTACGCTGCTCCGCCGCTGGGCGTGCACTGGTGACACCTTGCCCGGGCCAAAGAAGTTGCTGAAGCTCCACTCATCCAGGCCACGAGATGCGAATGCAGCGCCGCTGGATGCAGCGGTACTGCCCCCGGCCGCTGTTGCCATAGCGCCCGAGGCGGTTCCAGGACCGCTACGCTGTTGTGCTGTGGCGCGGGTTCCCTGCTGCTGCTGCGGTTGCCCTGGCTGACCCTGGTGGCCAGCTGTCGGCCCCGCAGCAGCCTGGGTACCGGTTCGAGCGCCGTAGTACAAGTGCTTGCTGTTGTCGGCGTGGCGGCCAGCAACCCGCTCAGGCGGACTGCTGCGGAGTTGGTTTGCGGAAACAGTTGCCTGGGGTTGTGCCGGGCTGGCTGTCGACTTCCACCAAGCGCTGCTATCCGGAATACCTGCGTGACAATTAAAGCAGGGGCCGCGCCGTGATAAGTAGAGCCGTTGTCTTAACGGGGAGGCGTTCTAGTACAGGCGCCAGTTCCTGAAGCTCTGGCAAGTGACGTCGACGAAAGTTATAAAGGAAAGTTGATAATTCTTCCGTTACCTGCTCCTAGGCCAAAGCTGAAGCCCAAATCCGTCGCGCCCTCCTCGGCCCCGTCAAAGGCTGGATTCAAGAACCATGTGTGGATGGGCTGAGGTTGAGCGGATGGGGCAGCCGGTCTGCTGCCGGACGCCTGCCCTGCCGGCGCCCGTACTGCAGGGCGGAGGGTAGCCTCCAAGGCATCGCCCTTGCGGGGTGCCTGCAACGCGCCCAATGCTGCTGCATGGGGCCCAGCGGATGCCCTGCCTGCGGCACGTGCGCGCAAGCAACGTAAGTAATGGCTTCCGGGGTCAGCCATGGCGCGAGTAAGCAGGTACAGGTGGTGCGAAACACGGGTGGCAACATAGAGCTTACCAGGCGGCACGCTGGGTGAAGGCGAGGGCGATGAAGCGACAGTTCTCCGGGTCCTGTACACGGATTGCGCGCCGTCCGTGGCGTGCGGCAAGTGCTGCGGTGCTAGGATCTGGTGGACCTCCACATCCTCGTTCCGCACGACCTGCTTGGGTGATGGTCAGAGAACGGTCGGTTACGGATTTACGCTCTCACAGAAGGTTTACAAGTTTGTTAAGCGAATCCTAAGCGGAGCCATGGAGATCCTCCATTGAGCACCGAGCACTGAGCGTTCCAGTGGCGTGTTGTCCGTCAGGCCTCAATACACCGGGGCGCACGCACGGGTATGCGCACCTTTACCACCGGACTCGTCTTCCGAGTCAAAGGGGTCCTGTTGCTGACTGGCTCCTGTGGCTGGGGGTGGCATATCTAGTCAAGGAAAGGAGCTCTGAAGGACTGGGTGCTCCCGATACCCCAGCATCCGTACCTGCCGTGAAGCCTTAAGGGCAGCCAAGCGCTCGTGCCGGACCTCATCATTGTGAAGTTTCTTGCAGACCGCGATTACGTCGCAGAGCAAAAGAACCTTGCGCTCCGCAAAGCCGTGCTCGAAGAATTGCACTGGCGTCAGAACCGTCCGCACATTCAGCACGTCCCTAAATAGCTTGAAGCTGGCTTCAATAAACCGTTGGTCTGTCTTTCCGGCAAGCTGCAAATTGGAAAGGCCTCTTCAGCTTGCGGCCGGAGTCAATAAACTTCGCCCCGCCAAAAAAGTAGATAGACGCACCTCGAAGCCGTTTCGCACGATGAAGCGTGCGACAAGACGAGAGAATTTCAGTAGGGAGTAGCTAAGCAGAGGGAGGAATGCCACAGGGTCTCCTAACCGCAACCTGTTAAATGGGATGACAACGCCGGTCAACGCTCGGAAAAACTGGTAGATTAAGCCAGCAAGCCAGCCAGGACTGTATAGCTGTATTACAGTGCCTACCCCACTTCATCGACGTCCGCTGGATATTTGATCGCCTTTAGCTCCCGCAGAAGACGCTGCACGTTGCCGTTCAAGTCTCCGGTTGACATCTAGAGCGCTCTCAATATTAGTGAAACCTTTGTAACATAATGTACACTAAGCATTCCCTAACGATGCAACTCAGATGCTCGCCATCCGCCTTGCCGCTGCATGATTAACTCGCAAGTGCAAATGCTGGGCCTTTGCCGAAGGAACGCGAGCTTACTGTAATGGCATCTATTTGGATAGGCTGTACATACGCGCAGCACACAGGTCAGCAGCATCCAGCATGCAGCAATACGTTGTACGGCTGACCAAATTCCCTCCTGTACGCTCAGAGCGTTATACGTGGCACTTTGCCTGCTAACCCAACCTAACCTGGCTATATGAAACACTGCTGCTTCTATGCATCATACTTACCTTCCACACTATACCTTTCCCATACGGGCTGTGAACTTGTAAAATACACGAGCTTATTAACTACCAAGTAAATACTTGATACAGATAGAAACACGTAGTTGGCTTGATTTTTATCGTTCTTAACCTGCTCTCACGTCAGCATGGCTAAAGGTCTTTGCCAGCGGCGGCGCGTAAAGCGGGCTCTAGAAGCAGCGAGGGGAAACCTACACAAGATTGCGGTATGTCACGTCGGGCCGCACAGCAAGGTGATGGGAAGCTCAGTTGCGTGTGGCGTTTCACGCAGAACGGCAAGGCGTTACCCAAAGCACTTCCGGAGGCACCGAAGCCAAAGGACACCGAGAAGCTTCCGGCGTCGTTGCGCAAATTGTTGGCACTGAAGGTGCGCAAGTGGGGGGGGGTGAACAGAGGCTTTCCTGCTGCGTCAGCCGAGGGGCAAGGTGCTGCTCAGACACGCATCGTCCCCGTACGGCGGGATGTCACGCAAGGTGCCCCGCGTCCATCCACATCCCGTCAAAACCAACCCCAAGCACCTGATAGCGCGCGTCGCTCACAGCAGTCACGCATACGTACACAGCCGTACAAGTCACGTACACTCCGCACCCGCAGGAGGCAGCTGAGCAGCAGCAAGGCGGCAAAGCGCGCACAACCGAATCTGGGGCCGCACCGTCGACAGCAAGCCAAGGTGGGTGGCGGCAAAACATGTTTCTGCTCTTCACAGATTCCCTACAGCCCTTCACACCGGTACCCATTTTATCTAACAGGAAAGGGAAAACGCAAAGATGGCGCTAAAGACTCGCAGTCAGATGGGGACGGGCCGTCAACCTCAGGCCGCACGGGCATGGCGGCAGAAGCTGCGCAGCAGCAGAAGCAGCAGCAAGGCCACAAGGACGGCGGGTTAAAGGGCGGAAACGCCTTCACGACTGCACAATCGGAAGAGAAGAAGCTGAAGGACCGCAAGAAGGAGTACCTGAAGCGCAAGCAGCAGGACAAGAAGCGGAAGAAGGTGCCCGCGGGGCAGGTGGTGGTGGAGAAGGAGCTGCAGCTGCGGGACAAAGTCAAGTTTGGAGAGGTACGACTGGCATAGGAGAGGCGATAGGGTCGCAGGTTGCAGCCCGGTGGTAATGAGATGGGCGATGGCCTTACCACGACCTTACCGGTAACTCCCGGGAGCCAGGTCCCCTGGACAGGGAAACACGTGAACCTGGACATGGCTGCACACATGCGCGCCTCCTGCATAGCCCGGTTAATCACCTCCCTCTCCTGCTGCTGCTGCTCACTCTTACACCGCCAGGTGGTCGATGCGCCGCTGGAGGTGCACCTGAAGCGCAAGCACTGGGCGGAGCAGCAGGAGCGCAGCGATAACGAGCGCTGCAAAAACATCTTCCTCAAGCAGATGCAGCAGGCGCAGCAGCGGCTGGAGGGAGGAGGCGGCGAGGCGGATGAGGGGCAGCCGCGGCGGGGCGGCAAGGCAGCAGGCGCCGGGCAGCAGCAAAAGCAACAACAGCAGAAGAAAGACAAGAAGCGGAAGGCGCCGGTGAGGGGTGCAGGGGTATGGGTACCGGGTCGGATGTGGTTGCGGCGATAGGTTTTGCGTATCTTAGGTAAGGAGCCTGCTAGGAAACTCTCCTCCCCGACTCTCACCCGGTACAGCCGTGTTAGGTGCCTCTACTACAACACGTCCCTGCGACATCGCCCCCTGGCATTGGCGTCTCTTGACCGCCTCCTGACCCGCGCACGCAGATGGACGAGGAGACGGAGGCGCTGCGGCAGCAAGTGATCGAGTCCTACCGCGCCACCAAGAAGGGCGGCGGATACCACAACGCGGCAGTCGGTGAGTGGGCCCTCCGCGCACTGCGTAGCCTAACCCCCCGCCCCCCGCAGTGCACATGTTCCTCCTGCCCTGTCATAGAGGCCTGCAGCAAGGTGGCAGCTACATGCAGCTCTTCAAACCCACCCCACATCATGACCAGGGCTCCCCTTGCACCCGGCCCTTGCACCCTGGCATTGCCCTGCGGCACATACGCTGCCTGGCACTCCCGTGTAGGAGAGGCTGCTGTTGCTGGCTCCTTTCACACCCCCGCACCGCTCCCGTACACCGTGCAGGCAATGCCACCATGAGCTCGCTGTCCCAGCTGGTTGGGAAGAGCGGCAAGGCGGCAGCAGCGGCTACACACACGCTGGCTTGAGCGGGTGTCCTGTGGGAGGGGATGGAGATGCATGTGCTGATGCATGGGAGCCGTGTGAACGAGGGGCAGTGTGCGGTTGGTGGTTGTGCGGAGGGCTGCGTTGAGTGCCTGATAGGAAGAAGCTGGATCTTTATCCGGCTGGGACATACCTGTTCTGAGCTTCGGACTTCGTAAAACGTGCCAAGAGTTTCATGGCCCTGCAAAATGGCCGTGTCAGTGTCATGGCTGGGCTGGGTAAACGTGGCTTGCTGCAAGACTCGTCCTGCAAGGCCGTTACATCCTGCGTACCGGTTTTAGGCAGCGAACACCTGCTTCTGGTATGAACGTAAAACACAACCGACAACCCGAGTGTAAAACCACCAAACTATGACAACCCATCCCCGCGGCCGCGCACACTCTCCGTCCCCCACGGCGGCCCATCACACTCCACCCGCACCGAAGCTCACGTCAGCCTGGACCCAATCCTACCGCCTACCCAACCTTAATTGAGCCACCTCACGCCGCGGCCTCCCCTCCCGAGTAAGCCTCCGCCCGCTGCCACTCCTCATACCACAGCCGGTACTGCTCGTACCAGGTGCCGTACGCCTGCTGCCACGCGCTGTGTTGCTTCACGTACTCCCGCAGCACGCGACGCAAGCACGTCGAGCAGCGCATCTCGCCCCTCGCATGGTAGCCATCAGCCGCATGCGAGCTGCTGTGGTAACCCCAGACATGCCCGTAGGGATCCGCAGCAGGCGGCGCTGGCGGCTGAGGCGGCTGCGAATGGCCGCAAGAAGAATACGACCCGTAGCACGGCATGTTGTGATGCTGCTGGTAGGGGTGGGGGTAGTAGCATGGGTGCGGGGCCGCAGGGTGGTGGGGGTGGCGGTGATGGCGACCATGCGGAGGGCGATGGTAGTGCGGGTGGTGCAGGGAGGGAGCGGCATGGTAGTGCTGCTGCTGCTGGAGGTGGTACGCGTGTGGCGGCGGCACGTGGCCGGCCCAACCGGGGTAGCCGGGGGCGGCAGTGGCGCTGCCGCCGCTCCAGGGCCCTGACTGCTGGCCTGGCCACTGCTGCGCGGTGCCGTAGTAGCTGCTGGACCAGTCGTAAGCGCCGCCATGTGCGGTATAAGCCCCCTCGGGGTGCCCCTGCGGTTCCGAAGGCCCAGCAGCAGCTGCCGATGGGGAGGTGGTGCCCTGCACACCGGCGCTTGCGGCCCCCGCATGCTCCAGCGCTGCTGCTGCCGCTGCTGCTGCTGCTGGCACCTCTCCAGTGGCTGCTGCCCCTGCCGCCACCTCGCCGCCCGGTGGGAGCAGCACCAGCATCTTGTCAATGATGTCGGCCACACCCGCATCCAGATCCCCATCCTCAACCACCCAACTCTCGTCCTCCTCCTCCTCGTCCTCCTCCACCACCTCGCCCTCTTCCTCATCACCTCCCTCCGCATCCCCCCCAACCGGCGCCTGCTGCTGCTGGCCGCTGGCTGCAGCCGTAGCTGCTCCTCTCGCCGCAGCCGGCCCCGCCTCCGCCGCAGCCCCAGCCCCTGTCGCACTGACCCTGCCATCGGGCTCCCGCCAGCTGCCGCTCTGCAGAACCGCAGGCACCCCGCTCGCACCACGGCCCAAAGGCTCGCCACGCAGCGCTGCGAAGCTGAGCTCCGAGCCCTCATCCTCAACCCCGCCTTGCGCAACGCCGCCTTCGCACCTCCCCCGTGCATCCCCCCGCTGAGCCTTCCCTTCCCCGGAAGCCGCTCCCAAGCCGCATGACGCATTCCCCTGTGCCGCGCCCGCTACTGCGCTCCCAGCCGCACCAGGGGCCGATGCATTCCAAACCGGAGTGCTGCCGTACCCTGCAGCAGCAGCAGTAGAACCGTTCGTATAGCTCGAGGGCCAGGTGTAACCGTACGACGGCTGCTGCCATTGACTGTAGTACTTCGCCCATGCAGCTGCGACTGCCGCTGCAGCCTGGGGGTCTTCCTGGGCGGAGGCTGAGGCCCCTCCGCTGCCGTATGCTGCGTACTGGCTGTAGCCTGGATAGGCGCTGTAGCCGGCATGGGTGGCTCCGCTGTAGGAGGGCTGCTGGTAGTCGTGTGCATATGCGGCCCATGGGTCGTTTGCGGGGGCCGAGTCGGATGGCCTGAGGGTAAGAGCGTGCGCGGGAGGGGCATGTCAGTCATATAGAGTTGGGGGAGAGAGGAGAGATCCAAGTTGTTTGGAGAAAAAGTACGAACCTGGCACTGTTTCTGGAACATGACAGCACAGATTCGTTTACGTTACGCGACGTCCTAGAAATATGCGTCAGGTATCGCCGATACGGTATTGACTGGCGCAAAACTCAACCACGCGCCCTACCTGTTGCTGCTACTGCCAGCGGCCCCCGCCACCGTGCCTTCCGGATACGACACCGCAGCAGCACCTCCATAACCGCCATAGCCCCCATAGCCGTAACCTGTGTACCCGTACGCATCCCAATACGCCTGGTACTGCTGCTGCTGCTGCTCCTGCTGCCTCCGAAGCTCCTTCTCCGCCTTTTTCGCCGCCGCTGCCGCCGCCTTCTCCGCCTTCCTCGCCGCCTCCACCTCCTCCGGCAGCGGCGGCAGCTCCGGCAGCAGCAACACCTCCTCCTGCACACCCGCCGCCTTGCCGCCCCCCTCCCCAGCAGCCTCCCCGGCCTCATCCAGCACCGCGGCAGCACCACCCTCCACCACACCGCCTGACCCCCCCGTCTGGCTGCGTACCGCCGGCAACACCCCCTGCTCCGAGCCCTGCCGCTGCCCCTCATCCTGCCCCTGCTGCTGCCGCCCCTGCTTCCCCTCCAGCAGCTCCTGCCGCGCACGTCGCTCCCGCTGCACCAGCTGCTGCCACGCCTGCCGCTCCCACTCGCTGCCCAGCTCATAGTCGTACAGGTCCTCCGGAATGACAGCCGGCAGCGGCAGCAACACCTCCTCCGCGCCGCCGCTGCCACCGCCTCCGTCACTGCTGCCGCCAGCACCGCCGGCTGCAGGCATTCCGGCATCCCTGCAGCTGCCAGGAGCAACTGCCGCTGCAGCCTCCTGACCCGCCGCAGCAGCACTGTCACCCTGTACCACACCGGCACCGCCGCCATTAGCGTCCGCCGCCGCTGCCGCGGCGGCAGTCGCCGCCGCGGCCGCCGCCGCTTGCTCGTCCACGTACGACACGAGCAGCGCCAGCTCGGCCTGAGTGACGTACGACACGCAGACGCCGCGGCTGCCGAACCTGCCTGTACGGCCGACACGGTGCATGTACGTGGCAGCATCGTATGGCAGATCCAGGTTGACCACAAGGTTGACTCGCTCCAGATCCACACCTCGAGCCATCACGTCTGTGGACACCACCACCTGCGGGGTGGCGGAGTGAGTGGGCGGGGGTGTGAGGGGCTGCGGGTTAGTGTGTGGCTGGGTTAGGGTGGAACAGGGCCGTTGTGAGGTAGAGTAGGCGAACAATGAAGAGGCTAGCCGAGGCTGCTTACGTCGGCCTAGGTCGGCTCCTCCAGGCACAATTGAACTCTCAACATACTACATTTGACTAAGGCAAAGACACACAGAGCAAACCACAGTCTTGTCCAGCGCCTTGTTTCTTCCAAAGAATACTCACCGAGCCCGTACCACTGCAGCCTCCCACCCCCTTCCCTCCCAGTCGCCCGCGCGCTCTCACCCTCAGCTTGAAGCCCCGCACCGCCTGCATGGCCTCCATGCGCTCCGTCTGCGCCCGGTCCGCGGACAGGTAGGCGGCGGGATAGCCCGCGGCGTTCAGCTGAGCTGCCAGCCACTCGGCGCGCGGCTTGTGGTTGCAGAACACAGCGGCCTGGGGGAGGGAGAGGAGGGAGGGGCATGTGGAGGCGGTGGTGGGAGAGGGGAGAGGGCGGAGTTGACCAGAAAGCCGTAACAGGCCGTCGTTGCGCACCTGACGCCCTGTGCGTAGGTCTAGTGCCTCGTCAGAAGCATACCCGCTCCTCCTTTCCCAACTCTCACCCCACACAGATGTGTTACCTGGCCTCCACCTCCCCTAACCCCACCCCCACCTGGTGGAACGAGGCCCCGCTCAGCAGCCGCAGCAGCTGCTGCACCTTGCGTCGGAACACAGCTGGTGCCGCCGAGGAGGAGGAGGACGAAGACCCTGCCGCCGCCTCCCCCTCCGCTCCTCCCTCCCCGCTGCCCCCTGCCGCCCCCGCCCCCTCCTCCACCAGGCAGTAGAACTGCCGCACCCCCAGCAGGCTGGCGGTGCGGGCGCACAGCATGAGCCGCTGCGGGCGGCGCATGAGCGGCTCCAGGTCGGCCAGCAGCTCGGGGGTGTAGGTGGCGGAGAAGGCGAGCACCTGGGCGGGGTGGGGCCAGAGAGGTGGGGGAGGGGAGGGGACAGTGTTGTTGGGTCCCAGGGGTCATAGCACCCGGCCGCCCACCTCTTTCCCCTCAGCTAACGCCGCTCGCAGGAACCCATTCCTTCCTATATACTCCGCGCTGCGCGTTTCTAGTATACTGTCTCCGTATGCGGTCACTGCATGTGTCGGGATGTGTGGGATTTGGGAGTTCAGTTGCTGCACTTCTCATTTACATCCCACGTCCCCCCCCACCTGCTTCCTCTTGGGCAGCTGGTCGTATATCCACGTCACGTCCTCGTAGAACCCCTCCCCCAGCAGGCTGTCCGCCTCGTCCAGCACCAGCAGCGCCAGTCCGCCGCCCGCCAGTCGCCCCGACTGCAGCAGCGCGCACACGCGACCCGGGGTGCCCACCGCGATGTGACACAGCCTGGGGGTCCGGGGGGGAGGGGGGAGTTGGAAGGATTGGGGAGTTGGAAGGAGAGAGGGGGCAGGGAAGCGGGGTGAGGTGCTGGTGGTGGCTGTCGGAAGGTGAAAAGAAGAGGAAGGGAAACCATTCCACGGGAGGTGCAGGAGGTAGGGTAACACGCGGTTTCTCCTTCCCTGCCCACGGCCCAGGACCCCACCTGCGCAGCTTCTTCTCGTCCTCCACGATGGGCAGCCCGCCCACGAACACGGCGGAGGTGGCGGCGGGGGCGGGCAGCTCCGAGGCGAGTGCGCGGATCACCTGCTCGCTCTGGATGGCCAGCTCGCGAGTGGGGGCGAGGATGAGCGCCTGGAGAGGGAGGGGGCGCGGGGGGCGGAGATGATGAGGACGGGGACGGACGGACGCAGGGAATGGGAAGGTGTTGGAGGAATGGTAATGTTGGGTAGACGTGCTGAAGAGGTGGTGATGGGATGGGATGTATTAGTGTGGGCGAAGGGTATTGTGGTGAGCTGGTGAGGGACGGTAAAAGGGCTTGTGTGTAGTTGAGTAGGACAAGAGCAAGCAATTGGGAGAGGTTCGCATGTGAACCGCGAGTACAGGCAAAACAGAGGTGACCAAACCTGAACCGTATAAAAAAACTACTGAAAAAGCTGTTGCTGGTTGTAAGAAGAGCGGCAGGTGACGAGTGACGACGCATGTCGGTGATGCTGATGGTGCTTGTGTGTGTGTGTGTGTGTTACAAAAACTGGCCGCCAAGAGGGACACGTGTGTGGGGAAGGGGCTTTGCCGTATTGGGAGCCAGAGCGCAACAGGGAGTGATAGTTTAAGACGGACTGCTGAGCTAAACGAAACGGAAACGTGAGAGTACGGGATCAACGGGTTGGAGGCGAAGGATTAAGGAGCATGCGATGTGATACTAGCGCTGAAACCTGCTGCCGTGTCATGTCATGTCGTGTGCTGTCGTGGGCATGTGGACATAGCACGCCCTGGGGTACACAAAGGCTTTCAGGTTTGCCTTCGCCGCACTGCAGCACTTGCTTCCCCTTGCAAACACAACGCCCCGTTGCAAGGTGCCAGCCTTCTTCGTCAACTTGGCGGCAATAGCTCCAGTAACCACCCCACAAACCAGGAACTTGCCTGCGTGCTACTCTGGTCTGCTTTTACGCGCTCCAGGCAGATCACGGCAAATACGACTGTTTTCCCTGTTCCCGACTTTGCCTGCACAATCAGGTCTGTGCCTACACGCCCAAGCGGGATCGCCGCCTTCTGCACTGGCGATGGCCGCTCGAAGCCCGCTACTGAAAGGCTGCGGACGAGGGGTTCTGATACCATTAGTTCCCTGAACGATGTGGCATCGGACATGACGTCCTGGGTGCGGCCCCGGAGAGTTGCGGGCCGTTCCGACCCCGGGGCTGAAGGCGCAGCTTGAGCTGCTGCATCTTGTAACGATTCTATTGCATCATCTTTCCCAGTCATCGCGCTTACTTGCAGGGCGTCGTTGCTAAAGCGCAGTCACACAGACTAACTAACCGGCGAGGCAGGTAGATAAAACTGAATCCTATTTTGATTGTGAGGAATGCTGCTAAAACCCCAAAACTGCATCATACGACTCTGCTGTGGCTTGTCACGGTGCGCAGCTGTGCACACAGGTGTGTACGGCGGCAAAGTCTAGCCCAGGTTCGACTTCCTTTGCCATAGGCGTGTGCAGCAACTGGCTCTTACATATTGTAGTATTTTCGAACATTCTTGCTTCCCTATACACCAACACACTGTGCATAGGCGGCCCAAAGTTGACCGAGGTTGACCTACTGCAAGATGGAGACATAGCAAGCTTTCTTGGACATCGCGTGACACGATGTTTTCGTTTCTCTTAGCAAAAGTGAGATTTGTCAAATTAGAACTATGGCTTTCTGGCATTGGCTGCAGCCGTGTGAAATGCCAACTTTTCACGACCTGTATGACGGCCTGCAGGATCGATGGAAATGGGATCCTGCAAACGGAGTCCCAACGAAGAAGGTTATCAAGCTGCAGCGGCAGACGCTGCGGTCCGGAAGCGCAGATGTGAAGAGGCGCTTGCTAGGCCATATCGGGGACCTGGCAAAGGCCAACAGGGAGATTCAAGGCGTTTTTTGTGATGGAAAAGTTACCGCCGATGTATCTCGGTGCTTCCTGGCGGACGCTGCTCCGGTAAGGTTTCGCCAGCGTGCGTTGTGTGGGAGGACTGCACTGCAGCCAGCTTCCCAGGATTATTGCTGAATAGCCATCCCGAAGTCAGGGATGTAAGGCTGCTGTGCTTAAAAAATAACTCGCAAACTGAGGGGGTGTGGCTGACCCATGGACCTTGAGCTCGCAAGTGGGGTGCTGGCCAACGCTCGCGTGCATGAAGCCAATCACATTACACACCTGCCAGAGGCGCTATACTTAAGTGTCCAGTTGCGGTTATTGAACAAGGTTAAAACCCACTGTGCGCAAGAAGCTGGTTAACGAGTGCTGTGTCATGTTGCGTTCGACTGCGCGCCACCTCATACAACTGGAGACAGCATTAACTTGGAGCCCGCTCCTCCCACAACATAATATAAACCCACCAGGTTCAAGAGGCCGCCGCCGAAGCGCTAACCGCGCTGTGTCAGATGGACCCCGCGAACTGCGAAGCGACCATCAGCGCGCACCAGGCAGGCCGCGGCGGCAACCTGCACGTCATACCGCACGCGCTAAAGCTCATCCAGTCCTACGAAAAAGCACCTGGCCTGGCCACAGCCGCTGCCAACTTGCTAAACGTGTTGGCGGCTACAGCCCCTGACCCCGTCACGCAGCTCCTGCTGGCACCCGGTGGCACCAGCGGCTTGCTGGCAGTGGTTCAGGCCTGCAGCCGCAGCGCCCTGGAGCAAGGCGCCCCGGTGGCGCGGGTCTCCAAGCTGCTAGAGCTGCTGCAGCGGCTACTGGCGCTGCTGCTGACCGTCGGCGCAGGCGGGGGACCGCCCATGTGTCGGGAACTGGGCAAATCCCGCGGTCTGGGGCTGCTGCTGGAGCTGACCGAGGCGCACCGGGGCTCTGGACTATCAGCTGGGGCGCAGGAGCATGCGGCGGTGGTACGGCATGCGCTTAGTCTATTGGAGCTTATCACTTCGCAGGTGGGGCCGGGGGCTGAAGACAGGCTCTCCGTGCGCGATTGGGTGTGGTTTTGAAATCCGATGGGCCTGTTGGGACGCATGGGAGGAGGGCCGAACCTAGGGTCTGAACGCCCCTTTCGTCATTCATTATCTTTATCCTCAAAATCGTCATGCAGCAGTAATTCTGTCCCGCCGCTTCTCCGCCACCCGACCAGGTTCCCGCCCAGCGGCTGCCCTTCCTGGAGGCGGACGGCGTGCGGCGCCTGCTGGAGGCCCTGCGCGACCAGGCGCTGCCCTGGTCGGTGCGCCTGCACGCGGTCACAGCGCTGCAGGCGGCCGCCGCCTCCCCCAACGTGACTGCCGAGCTGGTCAAGGCGGGCGGCCTGGCGGCGGTGTTCACAATGGTGGATGCGTTTGTGAGCGGGCGGCAGGTGCCGGGAGCTCTAGGTGAGTGGCTGTTCAAAGAAGCATTGTATTATGGCTCCATGGAGCATCGTTCACGGTTTCATGATGACGGTCGTCTTATAATTTGGTCTCACTTTGCAGGCGCTACCACCACTCCCCCACGCGGCATTGCCCTGGCAGGCGCTGCAGGCGCCTCGTCCTCTATGGCCGGTGCCGCAGCTGCCTCCCCCTTCAGCCCTGCCGGCGCCGCTCTCTCCCCCCTGAGCAGCTCCCTGGGTTCCCCCAGCGGCCCGGGCGGCGCGGCGGAGGAGCCTGAGCCGCGCATTGTGGAGGTTGTGGAGGAGCTGCTGCGGCTGGTGGACGCGGTGGCGGCCAGCCCGGACGCCCCCGCGGTGCTGGAGGGCAACCGGCTGTCGGTGCTCATGGCGGCGTTCAACAGCGGAATGCCCAACTTCCAGGGCGGGGGATACCGGGTGGCGGCGGAGTGCGCACAGGTGCGGCGGGGGTTATACTGGTGTATGGGTTAGGATGCATAGGCGCTCTATCGGCCGGCTTGCCCCATCTTGAGTATTCGCCTCATGGTTGGCGCCTCTTATTCCTAGACCCCCGCGTGTACCTTTCCCACCCCGCCGCCCCCAGGTTCTCTTCCGGCTCTCCCTGCACAGCGCCGGTGCGCTGCTGTCGTCGCTGTCCGGCCCCCACGTGACGGGTCCGCTGGCTGCGCTTGTGCGGCGCGGGAAGGACTACGCCACGGCAGCGGACGCCAAGCAGGCGCAGGTGCTGTATGGAGCCTGGTGCGCGGCAGGGCTGCTGTGCCAGGTAGGGGCGCAAGAGGGGGCCAATGTGGCAGGGTATGGGCTTGGGTTTAATTTTGTACGAGTCCTAAACCGACCGATATCGAAAACTGCACGGGCGCATGGAGGTGTCTGGGGTAGTGCTGCCCTGCCTACGCCTTCCATGCTTCGTCTCTTACACTCTGGCCCTCTTACTTCTCCTGCAGGTATTGGACGCCAAGCGGACGCAGGGGAGGGTGCAGGAGGTGCTGCATGGGGACGTGCTGAGGTGTGCAGTGGAGCTGCTGGACGGGTCGGCGCCGGCGCTGCTGGCTGCAGTGGGTGTGCTGCCGCCGCCGTCCGGTGGCGGTGAGGGCTCACTCGCGGCACAAGCAGTGGGACTTGCCGGTAGGTGCGGTGCCGGGATGGGCGGCTGCTGATGTGTGCAGCACTGGGTTACGAGGCGTTTGGATGGGCTGGCCGTCGCCCAAAGCATGCAATGCTGCTGCTGAACCGTCCTCAAGGAAGCATCTCGCTCGTGCCTCCCGCAACCTGCATCCCCTGTTTCACCCCCGGCTTCCCTCAGGCCTGGTCTTCCTGTCCACGGAGCGGGTGACGGCCGCGCTGTGTGCCGCCGCCTCGCGGCTGCTGTCGCTGCTGATGGAGCTGGCGCGTGACATGGCCAACCAGCAGGCGCTCAGGGGCATGGGCGCAGCGAAGGCCGCACAGCAGCTGCTGAGCTGGCAGCAGGTGCAGTGGTCCGCCAAGCGGCTGCTGCACCTCATGGGCATCATGGAGGCGGAGTACCAGCCATTCGTGCGCTACGGCGGCCCGCTGCTGGCGGCGCTGCTGGGCAGCCAGGGCGTCAGCGCGGCGCCCTTCCTGGCCCGGGGCGTGGATGCGCACATACTGCTGGGGCTGGACGATCACTACCTGCGCACGCAGCTGGGGCTGGATGAGGTGGCGGTGCTCAAGGTGGGGGGAGGGGATGCGGAAGCCGGTGGGTCGCAGGTTGAGGTGGACGCCCGGGTTGCCGCTGCGAGCCCGCCTTTCAGATCATGCGTATCGTGTCTCAGTGTATGTAGCGTTCTCCTAAACGGTCCTCCTCGCCTGCCCCATCCTTCGCTGCCGCCCCGCTGCCCAGGTGGCGCGCATCCGCTCCGCCTACTCGCTGTTCGCCGCCATGGACGCGGAGGACGGCCGCATGGACGGCTGCGTGAGCGCCGCCGACGTGGAGACCTACATGCAGAACAGGGCCAACATGCGGCTCAACACGGCGGTGGACCTGAGGGAGCGGCTGTTCATGGAACTCAAGGTGGGAGCAAGGGGGAAGTGCACCTTGGATAGATGAATGCGACCACCAAGCTTAGGAGTGTCATTACGGTAGCTTCACCTTCGGCCACCTTGGTTAAGCTGCCTCCCGCTTTCCAGCATGCGTGTCGGGCAACTACAACTACCCGTTCCTCTGTGCCTTGCCGCCCCCCCAGGTGCTGCCCGGCGAGCCGATCTGCTTCATGCAGTTCGTGAACTGCTTCCCCTGGCTCGACGCGGAGCTGCAGGCCTTCATGCCGCACCGCTTGTCGCCAGCCGGGCCCGCAGACGCCAGCAGGGACCCGTACGCGGTGCAATCCACCAAGAGGCGGCGTGTGGGGGATGCGTATGGGGGTGGTGGTGCTGGGGGCAGCGGGAGTGCAGCCGCGGGACGAGCCGGGGGGGCGCAAGTCATTGAGGTGGATTGAGCGGAGTGCCGGCCTGGGCAGGGGCGGGTTATAGGGTTTGCATGATGCTTAGGGACCCTGTGAGGGGGCCTGCAACTGGTTATTCGGTCACAACAACCCCACGTCGATACGGCTTTGCCCGGAGCGCTTTCACAAGGGCCTGAGCTAGACCTTGTTGCCCGGACGATCTGGTTGTTGCCGAGGGGCGGTTTGGTAGTCAACGCTTGTTGGCGGTTGCCGTCGTCGTGCGCCAACATGAGAAGCTTGTATGGTTGGCTTGTGCTACCTTATCATCAGGAAGGCGGAGGGCGGGGGCAGGTTGCATTGCATGGCTCATACTGACAGCAGCGAGGGAAGGACGCTGAGGGGCGGGTGGGCGGGCTGCCACCAAGCCTGGCCCGACAGCCTAGAACTTGCACTAGGACTCTTCAGTTGTCATCTGACCCGGATTGTCCTTATGCCGTTAAGCGCGTGTGCGGCAACTGCACCCGCATATGTTTGTTTGGAGTATGGGTGTTACCCATGTGTTCACTGGGTGGATAATGAATGAGTTGGGCCCCACGCTATCTGCTGTTGGATGATGCCCATGTAGTGTGTACATACGAGTGTTTCATCAAGAGCGTGTGTGGCTGTGTGTGTTTTTGGTACGCGGCAGCTAAAGCGTCATGACTAGCGCTGTCTGCTGCTGGCGGCGTACTGGTGTATACCTTGAGTGCATGGTAGAGATTTACTGAACAGGCTTCCTTGCATGTTGGATGGGATCCGGTTTTCCCCTCCAAGTAGAGTCAAACCCATACCGGTACCCTTGCTGCTTTACACCACAATCGTGTTTATAAGGAAATGCCACCAGTTGGCTTAACAAGGGTGTAAACAGTAATGCAAGCAAGTTGGGTCTCTACCGGTATGTCTGCCGGCGTCTTTTACAGAAGTCTTCTACAGAAACCCTGTAGGCGAGGTAAGGCCAAATCCGCCAGACCCGGGTGTGATTTCAGCGACCTGTTCATGGCGAGGGCCGAACAGGATGAACCCGCTGTCAACCGGCCGTCAATGCGCTCGGAGACGTCGCACGTCGCAGAAATTCGCAGGTATGCCGGTGAACGGTATTCGTTACAACCCAGGGCATCCCCGCGTCCCCAATCGCAGGGAGGTTGCTAAGCTGCTTATCCAGCACAGCACCCTGCACTGCAAGCATTGCGGGATAGTGGCTTTCTGGCCGGCGAGCTGGGAGCTGGTGAAGCAGGTGGCTAAGCTGTGGCGCACAGCAGCGAGTGACGGGAGGGCGCCCGGGGTGGTGTTAAGGGAAATTGAGTTCAGATGTTGAAGCACTTACAGCAGCGCAATGTTGCTGATGATTAATGAGTGAAAAAGCAAACTCGGAAGGCGGGCGTTCTGCTGCTTGCACTTAGCAGTTAGAATGCGAAAGTTACAAGGGGGACCGGAGCTCCTGAAAGCCGGACCTTGGTCATTACTAATTCCTGGATCCTCCACTTTTGGATCCTTTTCCCTTCCGTTCCTCCTACCTTGAAACGAAGGTCGACTAGGGTTTAAGACGTTTAAAAGTGAATTTGAAGGAATGACGAGTCCTGGGGTAAAGTAATAGGCACCACACGAGCTAGTACACGACCTTCCAATTCACAGTTAACAGCTCTCTACGCTAACTTGCCCATCATTTATCATTACTGCGAGCAATTAGGGCAACCATGGCTGGTCATAAAACGTCGTCGACTTTGCTTCCTTGTCCGGAAGGATGCGCGCGGCATACGGACCCCAACGCGGACCGCGATGGCAAAACGTTGAAGGGGAAACTATTTGATGATAGCAAGGACAACACCGCTTTGAAATTGCAAGGTGATACCTTATACCAGACAGCTTCGGAGAAGGCCCAAGGCCGCGCAGCGGCTTGCTGCTGGGAACGGGAACGCATACACCTGGGAAGCTGACATGGAAGTAAACCTTTCGGGCTTACACAGATGGAAACTCCAGGAAAAAGCGAAATCATAATCGACCGCGGAAGGTGAGGGTCAGCCCTCATAGCAGCCCTTACCGTTGCTTCCTCCACCGAAATGGCTACCAGGCTTGCTGCTTGCTTGTCACGCTTGGCAAGCAGTTTTGTTAAAGTGTTTGTTAAGGCCTAACATCCATACTCCTGGGCCCTGCTGCAGGCGGCCGTGCATGAGGGTGCCCCCTCAGAGAAGGACGAAAGCCCCAGCACTGCCACGAAGCGCGCTCGTGTGGTAAGGTGTCTCCATACGGAGCCTGCATGCAAGTTTCCCCCAAATCTCCAGAAACCTCTCACGGTATCCCGCGGCGTCCCCACGTACAGCACAAGGAGTTGGCTGAGCTGGGCGCCCACAGTTCCGTCGCCCCGGAGGTGGTGGCCTTGAAGGAGGAGCTGGAGTCGTTAAGGGCCGCTAAAAGGGCCCAGGAGGAGGAGTTACAGGGGTACAAGCGCCGGGTGGCGGATCTCACCGTGAACATGGAGGAGGTCGCTGTGCAGTGGAGTGAGGCAGAGGTGCATGTGTGCAAGTAGGAGGAGGGGAGGAGTCCTGGGATGGGATGGGGTTAGGCAACGTGTGGGTTTGGGCTGAGACGATAGGATGTGGAATGGGAGTTAAGCGCCAAAGGGAAGGAGTGAGGTGCCTTGTCGGTCACGTTTAGCTCCTAAGCTGGCTCCCCACTCTCCTGCAGGGTGGTTGAGAGCCTGCTGGCGGCAAAGGAGGAGATTGCGGCTCTGAACACACACTTGCAGGTACCAGTAGTCGGGGTGGGGTGCATGTGGGGTAGTCTCCGTTGCGCTGTGACGTGATGGGGAGGGGGCGAACTTACCTATTCACCATGATTTACCATTTACCACGAGCTTTATGTTCACATCAGGGATACGACTTATGCTGAGTATACGATCTTTCATGTTGTACGTGAGGACGTTGTGTGCCCGACGCCATAGTCACGTAACGGTAACGGAATGCGTTCCCTATTGGCGTCTCCGCATCCTGAGGCTTGCCGAGACATGCATGCCTCCTTCCCTTAACCTGTCCTGGACCCTTTCCCCTGCCTCACACGCCCTGCTTTCCCTAAGACCTGCTTTCCCTCCCACATGCCACCCATTCCCCTAACGCCACCCACTTGAAACCCAGGCCACCCGCTCTTCCCTGGCGGCAGCTCTTCAGGACCTGCAGGAGGAGCGCAGCCGCCGTGCAGCTGACATGGCGGCCGGCGAGTGCAAGAGCTGGTGTGGCAGCTCAAGGTCACGCGGGAGGAAGGTATGTTGCTGGGTGGGGACTGGGGGCGGGTTGGGGGAGGAAATGGTTGACAAGTGGGCAGCGGCGGAAGTGGCTTGTTGTGTGTTGGGCCTGCTCGGTTAGGGCTTGTGGGGGCTTTGGTGGACTTGCGGGGACCACGCTTGTGGTGGGTGGGAGTCTTGTCGTGCAGGCACGGAGAGTGCATGCGCCTGTGGCAGCCCTTGCACTGCTAACTCGCTGTCCGCCTTCCCTCTCCCTGCATTCCGACGTCAGGAGTGATTGGTGACAGGACTGTCCACGGCAACCCTCGGCTACCCTCGGCAACCCTCGGCTACCACCCCCACCGCAGCAGCCACCGGTGCAGCAGCAGCGCCAGCAGGATGCGCAGCAGGTGGCGGCAGCACCGCCATCAGCGGCGGAGCTAGCGGCCCAAGAGGCGGCTGCCGCCGCAGCAGCGGCAAAGAAAGCGGCTAATTTCTTGCAGGCCCGGGACCCCAGGAGCTCTCCAGGCGCGTCCGCCCCCTGGAGGCTTTTGCGGGGCGGCCGGACATCCCTAGGTCAGGGCTAAGCCGGGATGGAGGCGGAGGCGGTGCTCAGCATACGCGCAAGATTGTCTGCATGCGCTACTAGCCACACTCCTAGAGAGCGGTAGTAAACATGGCCACTTCCGGGTTAGTCCACTTCCGGGCAGGCGTGGAGGGAAGGCCTGGTCGGTGCTCCCTTGCCAATGTCCCGTCAGCATGCATTGCGCCGTGCATTCCTTGCGCCCAGTTGTACAGGCGCACATTTTCCTATTCTTCCGATCGACTTCCCAAGCACAATCGACTTCCTTCGCAGATAGGTGGGTCCTAGAGTCCTTTGCAACTCATAGTGCTTTGCCGTCATGGGACTTCACACATGGCACCGGGTCACCGGTGTTGCTGCTGCAGCCCTCACCAGCAACAGAGGCGGTGGGGCCGTTGGATGGGGTTGAACGAGCGCTGCAGTTGCCAGGGCGGCAGTCACCAGTACAGCAGCTACAGTCCGCCTTTCGGATTGCGGCCTTACTGGCCGTTGTATCCCGTCCTTGGCTGTTGCAGTGTGAGTTGGTGTCACCCCTGCGCATTCCGCGTTTCAGCAGAGTGGGAGTTACCGGTATGCAGGCGGGTGTTGGTTGTAATGGCTGGGAGCTCTTGATGTTTTTGGCGGCGCCAACATGGAAGCTTGTATGGTTGGCTTGTGCTACCTTATCAGGAAGGCGGAGGCCGGGGGCAGGTTGCATTGCATGGCTCATACTGACAGCAGCGAGGGAAGGACGCTGAGGGGCGGGTGGGCGGGCTGCCACCAAGCCTGGCCAGATGATGGCCGAGAACTTGCACTAGGAGTGCATCCCTTCCCCCAGGCAGTAGCGGTGCCGTTCAACGCACCTCGACCGCATTTATGTAACCTTTACACGCCCTGAGCAGCAGCACACGCTTGTGAACGACCGTGCGCGCACTACTATGTCATGGTGCGTTTCCCCTCACACACGGGCCATCTGCCCTCGCGTTACGCCAGCCTCAAAGCATCCTGCATGGCCATATCCCCGTACACGTCCGTTATTAGTTCGTACCTGCGAGGCAGCGGCACCGCCCAGTCCTCCACGTCAGCCTCCAGCAGCGGCAGGGCAGGCGCCTCGCATTCATCCCCACCCCCGGCGTGACTAACGCCACCCTTCTCGGCTCCTTCCGCTGCTCCCTGCGCGCTGAGGCACCCTCCGCCTTGCATGGCAGCAGCACCGCACAGCCGTCTCCGTACCTTCTCCCTCTGCAACTGCCGACCCTGGGCCCCCGTCTCTTGCTCCTCCTCCTCCGCCATCTCCTCATGCGGCCCACTGCCAACCCCCTCTTCACGGTGGCCTGTCTCCTGGGTTCCAAGTAACATGCGCTGATCGCTTCCTGCAGCCTCCCCCCGAGTGACATCCCGGCCAGCAACTACCGATGCGGCTGCCAGTGTCCCCTCAGTCCCAGCAGCCTCGGCCTCCACCCCACCGCCACCCGGCAGCACCGCGCCTCGGAAGGGTGACCGCTCATTGTCCACGTCCTGGTACGGCAGGCAACGCTGGAAGCTGAAGGGTGGGAGGCTGTCGTACAACTGGTCGTACTTGGGGTCCATGGCGGCCCACAGGTCCGACACGCCGCCCTCGGGGTGTAGGACCTGCGCATGGGAATGGGCGTGCATGTGTGTGTTAATAAAACTAGCCGCGTGCCTGTGTGTGTATGCGGATGGGGGCAGCGGGAGCAGAGCGGGAGGGAGGCGCGCAGCTGGGCGGTATTGGAGCGATCGTAATGGGTTTCCAAACACACCCAAAGGGCTGCTTGAGAGAGGGTTGCTGCAGGTATGTAACTTGCAGCGCAGAATGCTCACTGGCCCCCACACACCCCACTGGCCAACCGACCCATCGTAGCGCCCACCGCCTCCCTCCCCAGCCCCGACCCACAAAGGCCCTCTCCGCTGCCCCGTCCCTCGACCCCCTATCACGAACACAAGACGATATAGGCATTGCTCTGCCCCTAACTGCCACCCCTTCACCCCTCACCCTGAATGGCTCCACGCACACCCGCCCCCGGCACACCGCCAGCACCGCAAGCAACGCATCCAGCCGCCGCCGCACCCGCACCAGCCAGCAGGAGTAGGCAGCAGCGGCGGCCTGGTGCTGCTCCTCCTGGTGCCGCTGGTGTGGTGACATGATTTGCGGGTGTGACCCACGGGTCACCGGCTTCGCTGCTGACGTCATCACTGCGGCCCAGGCGGTGCCCAGCCAAGCCCGTACGACAGCTGTCAAGCCGTTGCTGCTACTGCTACTGCTGCCACCTCCTCCTGCCTCCCTGCTCAACTCAGTCGCCAACGCGTCCTCAGCCTCATCATGACCACCAGCACCACCACCACCATCATTTCCGCTACCGGCACTACCGGGGCTAGTATCAGGAGGTTCAGGACTGCTGCCGACATCAGGTACGGCACCCGGATCCAGCAGGTTCACCAGCTCGTACGGGTCGGCAGCCAGGTCGTACAGCTCAAACTCGCCACTGCAGTGCAGCACGTACCTGTACGGGGGGGACCGTTAGGTGGGGGTAGCCAGGGGGAAGGAAGCATGGGTTAGGGCAGGACGTAGGAGAGGAAAAGGTGCGCCAGAGTGTGTAAGTGAGTACGCAAGAGCGCTCCGCCTCCCCTGCCTCACTTGAACGCCCCGCTGTTGCCGCTGCTTTCACTGCCGCTGCCGTCACTGCCGCTGCCACTTCGCAGCACCCGCACCGCCTTCCAGGTGTTGTTGCGGTAGGGCGGGTGGGAGTGGATGGACTCGTCGAACCACTCGCCCCAGAACTCAGCCACCATCCTGGGACGCAGGGAGGGGGGCGGGCAGGCGAGGAAGGCAGGGGTTGAGGGCGGGGATAGAGAGATGTGTGCTAAGGAAACTGGCCGGGTCTGTTATACCATCCGTGTTTGTGTGCCTTAGGGATAATATCAGGGTTGCTGCAACCCATGAGTCGGGCGGGGTGGAAGCCTAGCAGTCCTACAGTCCGTGTCTAGCAACACGGATCCAAACACAGGGGGTTGCAGCAGGGGGGCACATGACGGCAGGGAGTACGGGGCGGAGTACGGCACTAGCGCGGTACGGTAGTGACGACCCCCAGCGTCATGCTTCAACACTGCGGTCAGCTGCTGCTGCCCCCCCCTCTTGCTGCTGCTGCCCAGCATACAACCGGTTGCATGTAGCCCCCACCCCGCATGTGACTCTTACTGGTTGCGGATGGGGGCCTCCTGCTCCTGCTGCTCCTGTTCCCGCTCCTGTGTCTCCTGCTGCCCCAGCTGCTCCCCTTTACCCTCTTCCTGCCGCTCCTGCCGCCCCTGGTGCTGCTGCTGCTGCCCGCGGCTGCTGCGGCTGCCGCCACCTCGCGGGTAGGTGCGCGGCAGGCTGCCGTCGCTGACAGGCGCCAGGGGCAGGGGGGTGCCGTCCAGGGAGGGAGGCAGCGGGATGCCTGAGAAGGAGAGGGGGGTTGGGAGGGAGGCGGGAGGGAGTTACGAGGTGGGGTCTGGGCGTTACCCAGCTGGGGGCGAGGGCGACTTGTTATTGGTTTGTTCCTGCTCTCTGCTGTGATGCGGAGTGCCTGCCTTCCTGGACAGTGCTCTAGCTTTGCGATAACCCTGCCGTGGCGATGTGTGCTCTGCAGCCTGGGGAATGCATGCAGCTTGGCGAGCGACTCATCCCCCTGGCATAACCTTCCCTTTCCCTCCCCCTCTCCCTCCCCCCCCTCCCTCCCCACCCGCCAGCGCCAGCAGTGTGGGGGCGATGTCCACATGTGCCGTGCTGGAGTCCACTCGAACGCCCGGGAGCAGGCCGGGGCCCTGGGGGGGGGGAAGGGCAGCGGAGAGGGGGAGGAGGGAGGGAAAGGGATGGTGCATGTGGGCGAAGGCGGGCGAAGCATGAGGACCCATGTGATGCACTACATGAGCCCCAGCCGCGGCCTATCCCTCCCTCCTCCTCCCACCTCCCTCCACTCCCCCCCACCCCCCCTCGAGGCCCCGCTCACCGCCATCACCAGCGGCACCCGAATGTCCTCCTCGAACGCGGTGGTCTTGCCGCTGCCCAGTCGGTGCACACCCTCGTGGTAGCCGTTGTCGCTGGTGAGCAGCAGGTGTGTGTGCGGCAGCAGGCCCAGGCTGGAGAGCTGGGAGACTGGGGGGGAGGGGGGAGGGAGGGAGGGGTGGAGGGGTGGAGGGAGGGAGGGAGGAGTATTAGCACGGGTGGTGAGGAGGAGGCGAAAGTGGCATGTAGGCGGGGAGCACCCGGTATGCTGGGCGGCCTAAACTCCTGGAGCTCCATTCGCCAGCCTTTCTCCAGCTTGGTCAGCCCTAATACCCGGTGCGGTAATCCCCTCCCCTCCCCTCCTCCACTCCCCCCCACCCAGCTGCTCCACCAGCTCATCCACCGCCCGCAGCGCCCGCAGCCGCAGCCGGAACACCTCTTCCAGGAAGGTGATGTTGGCGGGGGTGAGGCTGCGGGGGGGGAGGAGGAGGGGGAGGGGGGGAGGAGGGGGGGAAGAGGAGGAGGGGAGTCAAAGACCACAGGAGGGGAGGAGGAAGAGGGGGTTGCGGGGTCATTACGAGAGCTGGCAGGACTGGCAGCGGGCAGTGTCACCCACTTGACTGCACGAGGCCGGGCGCTGGGTGCGCATACCGGTATCTGATGCAGTGGACTGACTCTTGACGCCGCGAGGCCGAGGCGAGGGTTGCAGGCGTCCAACGGGGGAGTGGCAGTGGCAACGTGTGGGTTGCGGGTTGCCGCATGCCGCCAGCCCACCGCCTGCCGGTGAACTGCGCCCACGCCTCCCCCCTCCCTCGGCCCTCTTCCCCAATCCCTGCACGGTACGGTTCCTCTATGCTCCTCCCCTCCCTCCCCCCGCACCAACTGACCTCATCAGCTGCCTCATCCAGGCCGGCTTGCCCCGCATGTCCCGCTGGTTGAAGGAGGGCGGGCGGGGCAGCAGCGCGTCGCTCAGCTCCTCCCAGTGCCGGGGCGCGGGCAGCGGCGGGTACCAGTGACGGGACACCAGCGAGCCGGAGGAGTTGAACCTGGGCGGGGGGGGGGTGCGGGGGGGAGGCGGGGGTTGGGGGGTGCGGGGGTGGCGAGGGGAAGGGAACAGGAGTGATGTGGTTACCGTGGGGTGAGGTGGGGACGGCGGCATGAACCCCCTCCCCCTCCCTTCGCTCACTCGTAGTGCATGCTGTGGTGCGGCGCGGGCGGGGCGACCTGCAGGAAGAAGGGCCGACCCGCCGGGTCGGCGGCAGCGGAGCGCAGCAGTGCAGCTGCCTTGGAGGCAATCACATCGGTGACGTACTGGCCTGTGGGGGGGGGGGCGGGCGGTTACGGCGGGAGAGAGGTGGGGCCGTACCGTGTGACACCGATCCACCAGGGGTGGCGGTGGGGTGGGGTGGGGTGAGTAGGGGGGGCCGATGGGTGGCATGAGGGGCCGGGTGAGCTCCCTCCCCAGGCTTGCCCCTCACCACTCCTCCCACTTTTTGCTGCCATACCCTAACTTGCTGTAGGGTACAACCACGCTGCTACCTCCTCCTCTCGGACCCTCCTAGCCACCAGCCACCTAGATAGCTGCCCCCGCCCCTCCCTCCCTTCCCTCCCCCCCCCCCGCCCTCACCCGGGTACATGCGGGGCACCCCCCCGTCCCTGCTGAACGCGGGGCAGCCGTACTCGAAGGTGAAGGGGTGCACCAGCGCGTCGAAGGAGCTCCAGCCGGCTGGCGGTGGACAGCGGTTGAGTAGCGTGTAGTCCACGATGAACTTGCCTGGGGGGAGGCGGGGGGGCCAGGGGAAGGTGGGGAAGGTGGGGCGAGGAGGTGGATGGGTGGAAGGTGGGGCAGGGGAGGGGAGGCGGGGAGAGGAAGCACACAGGAAGTTGCAAGTTAGGGCACGGCGGTAGGGAGAGGAGGAGGCGGCTTTCTCCCCTGCCTTCTTCCCCTCTTTCCCTACCCCCCTGTCAGCCCCTGTTGTCCTCCTCCTCATCCCTCCAGCCCTCCCCTCTTCCAGCCCGCTGCGATCAACCCCATGCACAGCACCCCCTCCCTCCCAACCCCCTCCATTCCTCCCCCCGCTCACCCGTGTACAGGGTGTTGTACCCCGCCCGCTGCAGCCACCCCGGCAGCCAATCGCGGTCCAGACCCAGAGCTCGGAACTTGGCATAGCCGCCTGTGCAGGCGGGGCGGCCCGGGGGAGCAGGGAGCAGGCAGGAAACAACAGCGGGTTGGGGGTGACGGAGGCCGCGCGCGGAGAGTACAGCAGCACAGCTGGACTGCTTCCCGCTGCATCAACCCTCATGCCTCGATCCACGTGTCCCGACCCACGTGTCCCCCATGCGGTGACACGGGCTGTGCGGGCCGACGACCGCGAGCGCTGACGTATGGCGACGATACACTCATGGGCGCTGCCATACCCCTGCAACAGTGCGCCGTACGTTCCCTTTCCCCCTCTCTTTGCTTTCTCGCTGACCCTCACCCCTGTCCCCCCCACAACTCCTCTGCGCTTCACTTCTCACCCCCCCCCATGGTATGGTCTTTCTATGGTCTGGTAATGCGTAGTGGTATGGTCTTTGCCCCCTCCCCCCATTTTAACCCCACCATGTGGCCCCAGCACGTCCGTGAAGTTGGTGTTGTGGCTGAGCTGCCCCCGCAGCAAGTTGACTCGGGAAGGGCAGCAGATGGGGGTGGTCACCAGGTGCTGGCGGAAGGTGACGCCTGGGGGGAGGAAAAAGAAATTCCAATGTGTGGTGGGATAGGGGGGAAGCAGCGGGGAGGGTGGCGGCAGGTTGGGGCTGACGAAGTGATCTAAACCAGCTAGCGGTCGGAGGCACCATGGGTTGCAACCGGACCCTTTCGTAGCTAGGTCTTTTGCGGGCGACATGACAAATTGGCGGCTCGCTCAGACAATGGTATTTCTCATTGCTCGGTGGTTGCCTGAAGCGTTCGTGTGACATGCCTCAGCTTGCGCTTGCTGCAACAGCCACCTCACGACAGAGCCCTACGTTGCTGTGACTTAGTGCAACATGCTTACCCTTGTCTGTTAAGAGACGCTTAGTTGCAGGCATGGCAAGCTCGCTGCTGCTGCCTTGCGTGAGATCCAAGTCGTCAAGGAGGATGACAATGAAATTGGGCTGTCGCGCGAGGGAGCGCGACAGCAAGATGCAAAAAGCAATCGCCAGGCATTGATATTGCAAACAGAACCGCATTCTACTGGCTTGGATTTGCGGCGGACGACAGGCAGTTCGCTGTGCTGTGTGCGTGCCCCGAACCGGATTGCCTCCGAAGCCAGCATTTTGCGCATGCTGGGCTTTGCAGCAGTGAACTGCGAGAAACGGTTTAGGAGCATCGCTTATATCAATACCGATATTAGGATCAAGCATCTGGTTATTAGGGTAGGCACTTCTGAGTCTGGCGATATTTCCGCTCAGCATTTGTTTGTTGCACCCTTAACAGACAACGTATCGTAACAAGCATTTTCACAATTTGAGACTAGTTGCCTGACTTTCCACTATTTCCTTGACGGCGTATCCTGCGATCGCTTGGCGCGCAAACTGTTTAACGCCATGCCGCCGCCAAGTGGCACGCATAGGCGGGAAATCAGCATTGATGGAATAGCACAACGAGTTAGATGGCTGCCTGGCACGCCGCCGGGACCAGCCGACCTCGATGGTCGTCTTACCCACCATGCCATGGTCGTATGGGGCCAACAAGATGCCCAAGAGGTGCGTCAGTAACCTACCATCCCCCCACACCACTCCTACTTTGGCCACGTTTGCAACCTCCACCTCGCTCTCCCTGCTCCTCCTCCTCCCCTGCAGGACAACTTCCTTGTGGTTCACGACCTGGTTGTCACCTCCCGCGGCAGTGCGGTGGTGCGGGTGGAGGACGAGGTGGTCACCGCGTTCGCACACCGGGGCAAGATGACGGACCTGCATGTGAGAAGGAGTCGGGGCCGGGGGCTCGGAGGAGGAGGCGGAGGCTGTCTCCCACCCGCATTCCGCACCGCAACGCCTCTCGTGTCTCTCTCTCTCTCTGCTCCTCATACACACCGCTTCATGCCCTCCTCCTCCTTCTCCTACCCACTTGTATCATTATCACAACACACATTGGAATTTCTCTTTTTCCTCCCCCCCTCCCCCCTCCCTCCCTCCCCGGCCCTGCCACAGGTATGCGACTCCGGCCCCGGCGGCGGTCCGGTCACCGTGCTGTTCGGCACCACGGAGGGCGGGCTGCACCTGCTGCGGCTGGGGGTGCCGCGCACGCCGGGGGCGGGGCCGGGGGAGCTGCAGCTGCTGGAGGGGCCGGAGGGCTGGCCGGGGGCGAGGGCGGGGGCGGGGGGGCGGGGCGGGGAGGCGGAGGGGGGTGAGGTGCTGGCTGCGTGGCTGCGGCCGCACCGGGGGGCGGTGGCGGCGGTGGACATGCAGCATGATACCAAGGTGGGGCGGTGGGGGCCGGGGGGAGGGGGGCCGTGGCGGGGGGAGGGGTGTGGGGGAAAGAGAAGGAAAGCGACCAGAGTGTGAAGGATAGCACCCGAGTGCGGACTGACAGGGAGGGAGGGAAGGGAAGGGAAGGGAAGGGAAGGGAAGGGAAGGGAAGGGAAGGGAAGGGAAGGGAAGGGAAGGGAAGGGAAGGGAAGGGAAGGGAAGGGAAGGGAAGGGAAGGGAAGGGAAGGAAGGGAAGGGAAGGGAAGGAAGGGAAGGGAAGGGAAGGGAAGGGAAGGGAAGGGAAGGGAAGGGAAGGGAAGGGAAGGGAAGGGAAGGGAAGGGAAGGGAAGGGAAGGGAAGGGAAGGGAAGGGAAGGGAAGGGAAGGGAAGGGAAGGGAAGGGAAGGGAAGGGAAGGGAAGGGAAGGGAAGGGAAGGGAAGGGAAGGGAAGGGAAGGGAAGGGAAGGGAAGGGAAGGGAAGGGAAGGGAAGGGAAGGGAAGGGAAGGGAAGGGAAGGGAAGGGAAGGGAAGGGAAGGGAAGGGAAGGGAAGGGAAGGGAAGGGAAGGGAAGGGAAGGGAAGGGAAGGGAAGGGAAGGGAAGGGAAGGGAAGGGAAGGGAAGGGAAGGGAAGGGAAGGGAAGGGAAGGGAAGGGAAGGGAAGGGAAGGGAAGGGAAGGGAAGGGAAGGGAAGGAAGGGAAGGGAAGGGAAGGGAAGGGAAGGGAAGGGAAGGGAAGGGAAGGGAAGGGAAGGGAAGGGAAGGGAAGGGAAGGGAAGGGAAGGGAAGGGAGACCCCCCAGGGGCTTCCCCAGCAGCCCCAGCCTCCATGAGGCGGCAAGGGGGCCGCCTGCCAGCAAGAACCAGGCCCCGCCCCTCGCCCCTCTGAAATCCCCAACCTGCGGGCCCTCCTGCGAGCCCCCTCCCCTCACATCCTCCCCCTCTCCTCCCCCTTTCCCCTCTCCTTCCTACCCTCAGCTCATTCTGAGTGCGGGTGCGGACGGCTCCCTGTTCGTGCTGGATCAGGAGCAGGTGGCAGCTGCATGCGCCGCAGGGGGGGCAGCGGGCGGAGAAGGAGGAGACGTGGACATGGACCAGGGCGGTGCAGCAGCAGCAGCTGCAGGGGGGGCCATGATGGGGGAGGAGGGCGACAGCATGGACACGGGGGAGCGGCGGCGGGTGGGGGCGGGGGCGGGCGGGCTGCCCCCCGGGGTGCTGCCGTACAAGGCGGGCAGCGGCTGCCTGGGCTACACGTGCGCGCGCTGGGTGGACCGCAGCCTCTTTGTAACGGTAGGGGGGGCGGGGGGCGGGTGCGGGTGCGGGTGCGGGTGCGGGTGCGGGTGGGGGAGGGGCGGGTGGCACCAAAGAAGAAGTGGCTGACTAAGGAACCGTGTGCCTCCAGTCTCCACCCTGGGCGCGGGTGGGTTGGGGACGGAACAGGGTGGCACGGGGGCTGGCGGGAGGCGGCGGCTCCCGGCGTCGACCAAGAAGAACCGCCTGCCCGCCCCCAGCGGCACCCAACAACCCCTCCCTGGGCTGCCCCCCTAGCCCAGTCCTCCTAGCTCTCCTCCTGGCGACCGCTCCCCGCTCCTCGCGGCCCCAGCTGCACCACGTGGCTCACACCGCACGCGAGTCCAGGGCTGTGCTGCGAGCCCCGCCCCAGCCGCATGTGTGCGCACCCCGCTGTACCCTGCGCCTGCGCCTGCCGCCCCAACACGCTGCTCCCCCCTATGCCCCCCTCCCCCCGCTGCCCCCCAGAGTCGCACGGTGGGCGGGTTGGAGGTGTGGGACGTGCGCTGCCCGCCCGCCCCCGTGAGCCGCTCGCCGCGGGAGTGGGGCGCCACGGGGCTGGGGCCGGCGGACAGGTGGGGGGGAGGGGGGGGGCAGGGAGGAGGGGGGGGGGCAGGGAGAAAGGGGATTAGGTAAACGGAGCTGCGGAAACAAGGAAAAGGGGAAAGGGGATCCACGGGGGAGGGGCTACAGGGCGTGCCAATATGTACCCATCGCGTGACCCCGGGTCCAGCCCTCATCCACCCATCCGCCTCCCAACCCCTCCTCCCCCCTCCCCCGTCCCCCGTCCGTCCCCCCCCCAGGGGCTGCCACCGGGTGTTGCACAGCCTGCAGGTGCACCCCGCGCGGCCCGATGTGGTGGCCAGCGGCGGCAGCGGGGGCGCGGTGGCGCTGTGGGACCTGCGGGCGGCGGGGCGGCCGCTGGCGCTGAGCGGGGGGCTGGACGAGGGGGCGGCGGGGCCGGTGTGGGAGGTGAGGAGGAGAGGAGAGGAGGGGTGGAGGGGAGGGGAGGGGAGGGATGGAGGGTTGGAGGGGAGGGGAGGGGTGGAGGATGATGTCCGGACGGAGGATGACGGGGCGGGGGTGGGTGGAGGGCGGCCAGGGCGGGAAGAAGGGCTGCTTGGCGGGATGTGGGTGGCGCAGGCGCCCATGCGGCCCGACACACTCATCTCGCCTTTACCGCTCCGCCCAGCAGCTGCACACGCCGTGCATCCCACTGCATACCACCCTGCCCTCACCTGGCTCCGCCGCTCTCGCCGCCCCCCCTTCTTACCCCTCTCCCACCCCCACCCCACTACCCCACCTCGCAGGTCCGCTTCGACACCCGCGAGGGCGGCGACGTCCCCTCCTCCGCCTCCGCCTCCTCCCCGCTTCCCGCAGTCCTCTTCTGCACGGAGGACGGACTGCTGGCGCGAGTCTCATCCGCCTCCTCCTCCTCCGCCGGGGGGGTAGAAACCATGACGGGTGGTTTCGGAGCGGCGGCGGGGGCAGGCCGGGGGATGGAGGAGCTGATGTGGGGGGCTCGCAGCGGTTCCACTGGTGGGGCGGGTGTGGGTGGTGGTGGCGGCAGGCGGGGTGGCGGTGGTGGTCCGCAGGTGCTGGCTCAGCTGCCAGTGGCGGTGAACTCGTTTGACGTGGGTGGGCCGCTGGGTGGGGACCTGGTGGCGGTGACGGGCAGGCAAACGCTCATGTACCTGCCGGCTGCGTGAGAGGGAGGGAGAGGGGGGGGCCAGGGTAGACCAAAGCATAGGGAACCATAGGGAGGGTGGGGAGAAGGATGGGTCACAGTAGTGTGGGCGGGGGAGGGTTGGGGCGGGGGAGGAGCAGTGGTGAAGGGGGTGCCGGGGTTGCGAATGCTGAGGAGGCCCGGGGGGGGGTGGCGGATTGGGGCTGAGAGGGTTTGGAGGTCTGCTGCAGATGCGGCTGAAGGAAGGATCTCGACGTGAGCGGGCAGCAAAGCGCTAGGGCCGGCGCGCAGGTTGTACAAAGGGTTGGTGCGAAGAAGAGCAGTAGCGTGCTTGACAGTGGGGCTGGGGAGGCCAGGGTTGTGAAGGAGGAGGAGGAGGAGGCCAAGGAGGATGCGGGCAGCAAGGGTGCGCATGTGGTGTTATGTGGCGGTTGCAGGCGGTGGTGCTCGTTGCTGGCATGGGATGAGGATGCTGGGAAAAGGCTAGACAGCCACGGTGGTGTGCTTCACTGACACGAAGGGCGCGAACTTGGTGTAACGGGGGGGGGGCACTGGTATACCGGTATCGCCTGCTTGCGATGGTTGCCAACCCGGTGCGCCGTAGGAATTGCGAAAGACAACGTGTTGAGCCTACACCCACATGTCCCGGGGCAATGCCAGTCCTCCCTTTCTGGCGTTGCGGCCTCCTATTGCATGTCGAGGCGGGTCGTACGGGGGATGGACGAGGCGTCGCAGTTCAAGCAAGGTTCATAGCAGTCGGTTTGTATCGTTAGCCGTAGTGAGCTGTTGGGGTTGCTACCGCTTTGGTACTGGAACAAAGTTCCCACCGCTCTGATGCGATCCCGCGCAAGCATATTTCCGAGTTCCTCACGCTGCCTATAAGCATCGGGTAATGCTGATAGGGAGAAGTGTACAGTAAGATTTCATCTGTAGGAGGGATTCGTGTGCCTAATATGTCTCGCTGTTAGGCTGTGTTCGGAGGAGGGAGGATGCCGCCCAACAGTTCGCTGGCCGCGGAGGCCGATGTATCTTTCTTCGGGCCTGATGAAGTGCAAGCACACAGTCAGCTTGTCAAGCTTGAAGAGGAAATCCAGTCGGCAATTGATCAAATTCCCGGTTCATGGGAAGCTGCAGCGATAGGAGGCTCAGCTGTGACGGACAAGCTCCTTCAAGAGCTTCTTTCTCGCATGCGTGGTCAGATCAGGGACCTCGAACTATTATCAGAAGAGCAGGACACGTAAGCCTTGTTTCATTGTGGCAATACGTTAGTCCTGGCGGATGCCTTAATAAATCCTCAACATGCAATAGGGATGATCAAACAGCTGCAGTCGAGGCATGCGTGGAGCTCCACCAGGCAGAGTACCAGAGGTATGCGCCGCTTCGATGATCCCGATGGGTCCGCCTGGCTGCGTGGCTGGTGCCTATCGTTAGTCCACCCGCTCGCTTCATCGCAGGCTGGCTGCTGCCATCGCGACGGCGAAGCGGCAAGCACGGCGGCAGCAGCAGCAGACAGCTGAGCAGCAGGTGAGACCACAGCCCTTTCCTCCTCCTCCTCAGGAGACGTCAAATCTGCTTCCTCATTGCCGGCTACCTCGCATGCGGTACCATGCCGCACTCCCCCTCTCAAGCTCCTCCACCCGCCATTACACCACCCACCCCAACCGCAAACCCCCACCCAACCAACCTCCACCCTAACCACCTCACCCCCCCTCCTCCTGCACCCCCCCATCCCCTTCTCCGCTCCTCCCCTCCTTCCCTCGCCCCCCTCCCGCCCGCTATCCGCCCGGCCCCTCTGGCGCAGCGTCGCGAGTTGTTCGCGGGCGCCAGCCTGCCCGCGCTGCAGCGGGAGTATCGCTCGGTGGCGGAGGCGGTGGGGGGCACCCGGCAGGTGACGGAGAGCTTGCAGCGCGCGCGGGCGGTGCTGGGGCAGCAGGTGGAGCAGACGGCGGCAACCATGGCGGTGCTAGGTGGGGCGGGAGGGGTGAAGGGGAGGGGAGGGGGTGAAGGGGAGGAAGGGTACCCATGTGACTCGAAAGGGAGGAGGGGTGGGGCCTGGGAGGGGGTGGGCAGCGGAGGTGTGTAGCTCAAGGGAGGACGCGTGAGGAGTGGTGCTGGTATGCTTGAGGGCCGGTGGTAGTGGCCCCCTTCCTCCTCCCTTCCCCTCGCAGAATACCCATCTCACATTCAGTGGCCTCTCCCTTCCTTTTCCCATTCCCGTGCCGCTGCCCGTACACACCCACGCACCCACGCCCCCTGCCCCCTGCAGACAGCAGCAACGCGGTGCTGGGTGCGGCCAAGGAGGAGTTCACGGGGCAGCAGCAGCTCAACCGGCGGGGGGCCAAGCTGCTGGGAACCATACAGAAGCAGGAGCGGAACGACAGGTGAGGTGGGAGTGGGGGTGGCGGGGGTAAGAAAGTAGAAACAGTAGGGGAAGGAGAGGGGGAGGGGGGTTTGGGGCTCAGTGGTGGTGGTGGTGGTGGGAAGGGAGGTGCAGCAGAAAGTGGGGCAAGGAGAAGGGAGGAGCAAGGAAGCCTGGATTGCGTGCATAGTGCAAGTCAGCACAGGCTGAGGGACTTCTCTCGCGTCTTCCCACCCCACCCCTACTTGCTTGCCCCCTTCCATCCCGTGACTCCTTTCAACCCCTTCCCAACACCATGCCTCCCGGCTCTCTCCCCTCCCCCCTCGCCCACCCCTCACCTCACCTCCCTCCCTCCGGAAGGCGGCTGCTGTGGCTGGGTCTGCTGCTCTTCCTGTCCGCCTGCTCCTACATCGGATACAAGCGGGCGCCGGGGCTGGTGCGGGCGCCCGTGGACGCGGCGTTCGGGGCGGCGGCGGGGGCAGCCACCCGGCTCTGGCGGCAGGTGGGGGCCGGGGGGGGGGGGGGGTAAAAGAGGAAACAACTAACTGACTGTGGGGTGGGGAGTGGCGGCAGGTGGGCGGGGGGGCTGAGCTGGGGCTGGAAGGAGGAAGGGGGCTGTGTGGCTAGCGGGGATACGGTATGCAGCTGCTAGCTAGTGGTAAACGGCCGTGCGTATGTCCCCGTGTGTCGGCGTGTCCTGACTGCTGGCTGGGACTGCTGCTCGGCTCTGAACCCTGCCGCGATGCTTGGCGCCTACCCACCCGACTCGCACTCACAACCCCGCTTCTGCAAACCCGCTGCTGATCTGCAACTCATCTCCTCCCTGCTCCTCCCCCTTCCCCCACCCGCCACCCGCCCCCTGCCACCCAGGCTGAGCCCCGGCTGCTGCAGCAGCTGCAGCGGCTGCGGCCCACGGCGCCTCCCGAAGAGCCGCCGCCGCAGGTGCTGCCAACCGGGTTCACAGCACCCCCCCACCGGCCGCCGCCGCCGCCTCATGAGGCTGCTGGTGAGGGAGGGGATGCCTGGGGCGCCGGCAGCGGAATGCATGCGAGGGTGCCGCAGCCGCCAGCCAGCCCCTACCTACCGGAGCAGGAGCCTCCTGCTCCGGTAGCAGTAGAAGAAGCCGCCGCTGCTGACATGAAAGCATCGGAAGCCCTGGGTCGCGACCCATGGGACACCGACCTCTTGGACCAGCAGCTCCCGGATTACCATCTGGAGCAGCAGCAACATCTGGAGCAGGAGCAGCCACCCGTGCAGCAGCTGGCCTCCTCTGAGCTGCCGTACAGCAGCCTAGAGGAGATGTACGGCATCGGAGCAGCAGCAGCAGCAGCACAGGCGGGTTTTGCGCTGGGAGCACCAGCACCCGACAGCGACCACCAGGGTGCCCCGGCAGCTGGAGAGAGCGAGGACGACAGCATGCTGGGGGGCGCGGCCGCCGCTGCTGACGTGGCAGGTGGCGAGGAGGCGGATGACCCATGGGCCCGTCCGGAGTCGTTCGCGCAGGACCTCGACCTCCACCCCCCCTCGGGTGAGGCCCAGGTCACGGAGGAGTCCGTTCAGGAGGAGCCTGCCCGGGAGGACCCCTATTCCAGTGCCCGACAGCAGCAGCAGCAGCAGCAGCACCACGAGAAGCAGGAGTGGCAGCGGCCCCAGGAGCAGGTGCAGCAGCAGCAGGTGCAGCCGGAGTCGGAGGCAGTTGTGGCCTCGGAGGAGCTCTATGTGCCGGGTCCTGACCCCTGGGACCTGGGTGACGAGGAGCAGCAGGAGGAGCAGCCGCAGCAGCAGCAGCAGCAGGCACATGATGACGCAGCCGCCCCTGCTCCCCCTGCTGCAGCCGCTGCTGGAGAGGAGGATGGCAGTGAGGAGCAGTTCGCGTTGAGTCCCGTCCTGTCCGGCGAGCCCGAGCCGGCAGGTGATGCTGGGGACCAGGCAGCGGTGCTGCAGCCCGTCCTTTCCGCCCCTCCCGCCCCCGCAGCCAGGGAGGAGGCAGCAGCTGCCGGCTCTGAAGCCAGGGAGGCCGCTGCTGCTGCTGCTGCCCAGGAGCCGGCAGCTGACATAGAGGAAGAGGAGGAGGAGGTGAGGGCGGAGGTCGTCAGCGGCGACATGGCTCCCGCCTCCGCCGCGGGCTCCAGCGGCACACAGGAGGAGGCCGCAGTGGTTGAGGCCGCCGCCGGGGACAACGACACCGCCGCCGCCGCTGCGGCTGCCTCCCCTGTGTCAGGGGCGGTTGATTCCTCTGGCGCTGGGGGTGTGGTGGTGGGCGAGGCTGCCGCCGACTCAGCCCCTGATGGTCATGATGCTGATGCTGATGATGTTAATGTTGAGGACTCAGCCCCTGAGGAGGAGGCGGAGGAGGAGGACCCTCGCATCGCGTCCCTCCGCCGCTTCGCCCGGCAGCACGGTGTGCGCGGCATGCCGCCCTGGATGCGCGCCGTGCTGGGGCGGGAGCGCGAGTTCGCGGAGCAGGTGGCGGAGGCGGAGCGGGAGTGGGCGGCAGCAGCAGTGGGGTCAGCGCAGGAGGAGAAGGAGGCGGAGGAGGAGCAGGAGCAGGTGCAGGAGGAGTGGCTGGTGGACGAGGAGGGCAGGCTGCTGCAGCGGCAGGTGGAGCCGCACCGGGAAGAGCAGGGAGAGCATGGGGAGGGAGAGCAGGGGGAGCAGCTGCCGCAGCAGGAGGGCAGCCAGGAGGACCCGAGCGAGCCTGACTCCCAGCAAGCCGAGGTGCCTGCTGCCGCAACCGATCTGCCAAAGCAGCCCAAGCAGCCCAAGGAGCAGGTTGAGGTTGAGGTTGAGCAGCCGCCTGCGGTGCAGCCGGCGCCTGCCTCCACCCTGCCGGCAGCGCTGGAGCCGCAGCGGGAGGGCGTCGAGGTGGCAGCCGGAGCACAGGAGCGGGCGGGGAGGGAATCCGAGGCGAGCAGCAGCAGCAGCAGTGGCAACAGTGAGGAGGAGGAGCAGGGGCCGGCACCCGCCGCTGCCGCCCAGGGCCTTGACCTGGAGGCCAGCGCCGACAACGCCTCCGCTGCCTCCTATGTCTCGGAGCTGGACTTTCCGAAGCGTGAGGGCGAGGTGGAGAAGGGGGTAGCGCAGGCGGAGGTGCAGGAGCCCCCGGCGTCCGAGGGGGCACTGCAGGTGGCAGCTGCGGAGGAGGAGGAGGAGGCGGGCGGCACGGCGGGGGAGCAGCGGGAGGAGGGAGTGGCGGGAGCTGGGGCGGAGGCAGCAGCGGCGGCAGCGGCTGCTGAGGCGCCTGCTGTGGTGGCTGGGGTTGAGGATTTGCAGGATGGGCAGGTAGGGGGCGGAGTGGCGTGAGGGGGAAGCCGGGGAATGAGTCAGGCATGGCGTTGCGTGGAGTCGAGGTTGCGCGCCTGGTCAGGGAAGTGTTGCTGTTGCTGTTGCTGCTCCGTTCCGTTCCGTGAGAACCCTGAAGTATGGTGATTTGAAGGACCTGAATCACGGTTCTTCGAAGCACCCGGAACCATGGTGACCAGTTGGACCATGAGTGATCGCGCCGGGAGGTGCGCCTGCATGTGAACCCCCTGTTGTTAGCGCAGCACAGTAGGGCTGTTGAGTTGCGCAGTGATGCCAGGGTGCTGTTATGGTCCTGCATGCACAGCTGTGGTGATACTGCATGCATGCACGATATCGCCGGTTGAGCAGGAGGGTGCTCGTGTGCGGCTGGACGCTTGTTGCAACAACACAATGCGAGCAAACCTGGTGTCAGGTGTACTTGTATGACTATATGCCGTGCCTGCATGTTTTACCTTATCGGACGCTGTGCCGTATCCTGCCGCTTCCTTTTGTGCTTGCCAATAAGATACCCTGCGGAGCTATAAGACATATTTATTTCAAACACGCATTTGCCATGTGCCCACTGCCTATGTATGTGAGGGTTGTGAACTCTTCCATGCCAACCACTTCCGCAATCGCGCACACGCTATGGTCAGTATTATTACGCGGTTCAGTTGGTAACCAACTGTTACCCGGCATGTTACCCGACCTCCCACACGCACGTACGCGCTCCCTCATGTCCTCCCCCCCCTCCACCTGCTGCCTCACTCCCGCCGAACCAGCCTCTCACCGCCCCCCACTGGTCCCGGCTGCCACGGCCCCCACCTTGCAGGCACCCAACACCCTCCTGCAGCCCCCAGCAGCTGCCCCCCTGCAACACCCGCAGCACCCCCCGCCCCCACCAGCAGCAGCCCTAGACCCGCACCAGCACCAGCACACCAGCGAGGTGCCAGCTGATGCGGCCAGCGACGCCGCTCAGCATGACGCCCCGGCCACCAGCCCCCTCGAGCAGAAGCCCCAGGCAGCGCATTATCAGCCCGAGGAGTCGGAGCAGGAGGAGGAGGCGGTGGCGTCCGCTGATGAGGGTGGCAGTGGTGATGAAGCCACCGCTCAGGTGGCTGTCCCAGCCACGCCTGCTGCCGCTGCTGCTGCTGCTGTCGTACCAGAACCCGAAACTGCGTTGGACACCGCCGTACCTGAAGCCGTGCCCGGTGACGCCGCACTCCCTGGGACCTCAGCCCCCTCCTCCTCCCTGATGGAGGAGACGAGCGCAGTCGGCTCCTCTAATGACGAGGCCGCCGGCGCGACCCCAGAGGATGCAGTCGCCACCTCCGTCTCCTCCCCAGCTGCTGCGCCCACCCCCGAGGAGGCGGAGGCGGGGGCGGAGGGCGACCCGCTGGATGGGCTGCGCACCATCGCGCGCAGGCACGGCGTGCATGCCATACCGCGCTGGCTGCGGGTGCACCTGGCTGGGGAGCGCGAGTTCGCGGAGCAGCTGGCGGAGCTGGAGCGGCAGGAGCAGGAGGAGAGGGAGAAGGAGAGGGTGGCGGCGGAGGAGGAGGAGGGCGGGGAGCGGCAGCAGCAGGAGCAGCAGCAGGACGGTCAGCAGGAACTGCAGCAGGAGGAGGAGGAGACGCGGCTGCAGGAGCTGCAGGAGCAGCAGCCCCAGGCGAATCAGCAGCTAGCGGGTGAGGAGGAGGCGGAGGCGGCAGAAGCGCCGCCGGCGGGCGGCAGCGGGGAGCAGCTGGGGGCGGAGGCGGGTGACGCGGGTGCTGCCGCCGTGGTCCCTGCGGCTGGGGAGGAGGTGGTGGCTGCTGAACCTCTGTTGGTGGCTGCTGGGGACGCAAGGAAGGAGGAGGAGAATGAGACGGAGGAGGAGGACAGTGAGGAGAGGGAGGAGGAGTCCCCGGTGCTGCAGGATGACGCATCTGCCCCTGCTCCCCCTGCAGCAGCAGCTGCTGCTGCGGACACAGACGGCGCTGACGCAGCTGCTTTGGTCGCTCCGGCTGCGGACCCCGCCGCTGCTGCTGCTGATGAGGGTGTTAGCTTGGGTGCTGCTGAAGCGGTGCCGCTGGCTGCTGCTACGGCTGGAGAGGAGGTGGGTGTGGGCATGCAGGGAGGGAGGGCAGGGAGTGGCGCTGGGGGCCGGACAGGAGGGCCAAGCACAGGAAACCAAGGGATGGGATTCAGTGACGGCCTTCGGTGCCCGCCCCCCTTCCCTGTGCGCGCGCAGGTCCTGTCCGACCACACCAGCGCGCAGCAAGCCGCCCAGAACGACAGTCCTCTCCCTGAGCAGCAGCAGCAGGAGGAGGAGGAGGGGGCGGAGGCGCAGAAGACGGCGGTGCCAGATGGCACGGCGGCCGTGGTTGAGTCGGCTGAGGAGCATGACGGGGTCCAACAGCTCTCTGCACCTGCTTCCCCAGTGCCGGAGGCAGCCGCCTCTGATGATACCGAGGTGGAGGGGGAGGCAGCTGGGTCAGCCTCGGAGATGGATTCCCCTAGCGCTGGGGATGCGGAGGGTGCCACCGGCTCAGCCCCTGAGGAGGAGCAGCAGGCCCCTGAGGAGCTGCTGCTGCTGCAGGAGGGGTTGCAGGAGGCGTTGCAGACGAGTACGCAAGAGCATGGCTCAGAGGCGCAAGAGCAGCAGCAGCAACGAGCGCACGAGGAGGCGGTGTCGGGTGGCCGAAGTCCCGAGGAGGATTCTGCGGCGCCTTCCGACAGCGCATACCGGTACACCAGCACGGTGCATGGGGAGCCAGCTACGGATGCGGAAATGGGCGCAGCTGCTGAGGCTGCACCACAGCAGACGGGTGGAGCTGCGGAGGAGGCGGTGGCAGCGCCGGCAGCAGCAGACGGGCTGGCAGCTGAGGCGGTTGAGGGTAACATGACTGCGGAGGAGCCAGTCGAGTTGGGAGCGGCAGCAGCGGACGCGAGTAACCGTGACGCCGAAGCTGCTTCGGCTCCCGGCCAGCCGGCTGCGTCGGACGGGGTACCCAGGGTACCGGTAACCAGCTCCACGCCTCCAGGCAATGGGGATGTGGATGCCGCAGCAGCCCCTGCAGGTGAGGCAGCTAGCGGGCCTGCCGCTGCTGCTGGGCCTACAGCTGCGCTGGAGGGTGCAGAGCAGGTGGCTCCCGCGGCAGTAGAAGGTGGTGCAGCTGTTGATGAGGGGCCGGGCGACTCACCGGCGGCGGAAGCGGCTTTGGTGGCTGTTGGCGTGGCAGGAGGGAAGGAGGACGGGGCGGAGCGGGGCGCTGCTTTGGCGGCTCCTGCGCAGGAGCATCAGGTGCACTCCAGTGCTAGCCGAGCTGGGGAGGAGGAGGAGGAGGAGGGGGTTGTGGGTGGCAACTCCTCAGCGGGGCTGGAGGCCGAGGGATTTGGAGGGCCTGCAGTGGAGGGGGGGCTTGCTGATGGTGGTGAAGTGGAGCCAGTAGAGGAGGCAGCTGAGGCTGTTGATGGCAGGGAAGCGGAGTTGGAGGTATCGCAAACTCCGGTGACGGAAGTTGAGGGGACAGCGGGTGATGACTTCACTGTAGCTTAGATGTTTGGTGCGGGCTCATGTCAGCGTCGGGTCGGGTGCAGTGCCTTCGACTCCAAAGGTGGCTGTAGTGGAGTTGGCTGGGAGGGACCCATGGGTCACTGGGAAGGTGTTACTGGTGCAGAAAGCAGTCGCATGCGCTCGAACTGAGGGACGACCGGACTCCTGGGGATGTGGCTCTCAGGTTTGGCAACACGTGTATGTGTGGAATTGCGAATCTGTGCATAGTGTCTAGGCATGTGGTAAAGGGCGGCGGGCGTCGTCTGGAATGATTGGGCGTACAGCGTCTACACTCCTGGCTTGTGATGCATAGAGGTTGGATCAGGATTAAGACCATAGAAAGGACCGACACCGGTTTGTGATGAGGACTGGGGTCAAGGTCTAGTTCGCCAGTTGGCTGCCTGCAGGATGCATGGCCCAGCCATGTAGTAAGCCTATGTTGCAGGTTGTGACGGTTTAAGCAAAGGAAGCAAAACCGAGCGCTCTCTCAACGGACCACAGATGATGTCGTATAGATCATGAGAGTTAAGCGCTGTTAAGTGACAACCTTGCCAGCAAGGGGGCACGGAGCCCCAACCTAAAACCGCACCCCGGGCTCCCTACTGGTCCGCCACTGAGTCACCCACGACTCACCTGCAGCACCCTCCGCAGTATCACTGTCTGCGGTACCGTATGACTGCGACACCTAAAGAATGGCCCAGCAAACGCTGCTAATTGCGCTGTCATTCACATAATTCCTGTACAACTCCCGCACCATTGGAAAGGCTACATCGCAGCCATTCATACATGGCATGTGGGTGCACGGGAGCCGCATGCAGCTACCCAGCTACCACAAGCCGACACCACCGCACCGCTTCCCTCACTCGGAAACCCACACTGCACTCGCGTTTCACGCGCTGTTCCAACGACAGCAACAACACCCTGCACTCGCAGTATGGATGTTCCATTATAGCCGTTGGTAGGCTATCTACACTCCTAACACTAAACGAAATAGTCAGATATTCCAGCATCGAATCTCGCAAAAGCGTTAGGAAGCCATACTGCCAGTGCTGGACACCAGTAGGTGAAATGCAACCGTTGTGCATCATGTGTTAAACCAAAGGTCAGACCTGCAACACCAGCCCTCAGAGTTGCAAAAGATCTCACTTTGGACAAGCCCCATGCTGCCCACCCCACTGCAATCGAGCACGTGCTATACCTGATACAGCTGAACGTGTATAAAAATATTAAACCGAATCATTTGATGTCGTATGCTGCTACGGGAAGAAAATTCGCATCAATATACCACTTGCACACAGCAACGTGTCCCGCTACACTCTCTGCAACATTGCCCCGCAAGTTGCTGCGTTCAAAGGAATTTACACCTGCAGCACCCGATGCATCTTGCCACCCCGTTCACTCACAACAGCACGTTCACAGTGTGCAGCTGGGGAACAGTGTACCACATCCTGCCGCTTGCAACGCGCCATGGGATCCCAACTGCACGCAGCCTTCGTCAGAGCCCCGCCCGATCGCCCGCATGCATACATCCAACTGGAAGGATGCAAGTGGCATGCGCCCGCCTCCCCCCCATAGTCACATGCACCCAGCTCCAACGGAAATAAACACCTACAGGTCAGCCCTGTGAGACCAGCCCCTTGCAAGCCCAGCAGTCCGGCTTGTGCCCGCCCTCCTGCCAGTGCTGCTTCTGACACTCCACGCTGCAGTACTGTACGGCACGGCAGCCGGCGCACCTCCGCAGCCGCAGATCGCACTCGCATGCGCCGCCGTAGTTGCCGCACCTCGGGTTGGCGCACATCCGCAACACACCGCGCACCGGCGGCACTGCCACTGGCGGCGGCAGCACCACCGTGACTGCTGCCCCACCTCCTGCCCCACCTCCGCTGCCGCTGCTTTCCGTAGTGTCACCGTGGCACTGGCTGACGCCTCCGCCATCACAGCCGCGTTCACCCACCTCCGCCTCTACCTCTGCCAGCGCGCTACCATCGAGCCGCTCACCGCTGCCACTGTCGCTGCCACCGCTATCCCCACCGCCTCCGTCGCCCCGCAGCCGCTGCGCCACACAGTCCAGCAGCGAGCCCCCATCCGCTGCGGCCGCCGCCCGCCACATCGCCCGCAGCGCACGCGCCTCGTCCGTGTCCCAGCCCGCGAGCCCCTCCAGCAGCATCGCACCGGCGCTGCTCAACGCGGCACCAGCGGCCGCCGGCACACCTGCCGCCTCCGCCGGCCAACCCAGCAGGGCCAATGCATGTGAGCGCAGGGACACAGCCTGTGAGCCGTCTGCGGCTTCTGTGTTGCACTCCTGCACCTCTCCAAGGATTGCCGCCAGCAGTTTCGTAACTTGTAACAGGGCCTTGTTACCCTGGCGCAGGCAGCCTTCCATCTCGTCAGCAGCATCTGGTGATGCCTTGAACACATCCGCCGCCTCGTCCGATGACGACGCGTGGTCGCTTAGCTCTGCCCCCTCCTCCTCGTCCGATGACGACGCGTGGTCGCTTAGCTCTGCCCCCTCCTCCTCGTCCGATGACGACGCGTGGTCGCTTAGCTCTGCCCCCTCCTCCTCGTCCGATGACGACGCGTGGTCGCTTAGCCCTGCCTCCTCCTCCTCGTCCGATGACGACGCGTGGTCGCTTAGCTCTGCCCCCTCCTCCTCGTCCGATGACGACGCGTGGTCGCTTAGCTCTGCCCCCTCCTCCTCGTCCGATGACGACGCGTGGTCGCTTAGCTCCGCCCCCTCCTCCTCGTCCGATGACGACGCGTGGTCGCTTAGCCCTGCCTCCTCCTCCTCGTCCGATGACGACGCGTGGTCGCTTAGCCCTGCCTCCTCCTCCTCGTCCGATGACGACGCGTGGTCGCTTAGCTCCGCCCCCTCCTCCTCGTCCGATGAAGACAGCTCCTCTGCTGTCCAGTCGTCCGGCGGTGGCATGCATCCCAGCAGCACCCCCAGCGCCGCAAGCAGCCGGTGCGGTTGCGCCGCCAGCAATGCTGCCGCCGGTACCCTGCCGTACAGCGCAGTCAGAGCGAACAAGCCGGCGGCGGCAAGCTTCAGTGCTGCCTCAGTCGCTTCTGGGTCCTCCTGAACGCCTCCTGGCGCCTCCACCGCCCGCAGCAGCAGCAGCGCCGCCAGCATGCATGCTGCCCGTGCCGCCAACGCCAGCGCCTCCGCCAGGCCGGCGGTGGTGGCCCGCAGGCCGGGCGGGGCGCGCTGCCACACCGCCATCAGACCGGTGTTCGGGTCCAGGGTCAGGCACAGCAGGGCTGCCAGCTGTGGCACGGGCGGCGGAGGGTTTGCCTGCACTTTCGCCAGCTCCTGAGATGAGTCCAGGTTAGCCACTTCACGCAGCGCCAGCTTGCTAACCGTGATGAAGAACCCCAGCTCCCGCCGACCGTCCCATGGGTCCTTATCAGCGTCCGCAGCCCGCTGCCCCGCGCGCCTGCCCCCGCCGTCAGCACCGCTGCTGCTGCTGTCCGCTCCGTTCTCTCCTGTCGCCCCCCGCCGCCGCTCCCAGGTATCCAGGAGCATTTCAACCAACGGTTGCCGCAGCATCTCATGTGCACAGGACAGGACAGCAACTAGGGCCGGGGGCCGATCCGCGCTGGTCGCCGCAACGGCAGAGGAAGAGGCGGCGGCGAGTGCGGTGGCGACCCCCGGTGTCACTGCAGCTGCTGCCCTGCTGGTCTCGGCTGTGATGCGCAGGAGGGTGTCGAACGTGCGCAGCAGCCGTGCGCGGCTCAGCCGTGCCGGCAGGCTGTGGTGGGCGGCATCAGGTAGCGCTGCGGCGGCCGCCGAGGGGTGGTAGTGGGAAGAGGAGCGAGTGAGAAAATGCTGCGTGTGAAAGCTCAAGGAAATGAAGGGTGCTCATGCCTATGATGTATAAAAACGCGTCAACCTTAACTGCGGCAAGCCGTCTGAAAGAGGACACTCACCAGCCATCTTAGCCCATTGGTTCAGGAGTTCCGGAAGGACTGCCCACACTGTTCTGTTGTGAAGTGGCCAGCCGTGAAGCACCACCTCAGTCACAATCGCCATACACCAAGCAACGGCCTCCTGCCAGCCAGTCAGTGACCCTTCTAGGAAAGGGGCCACAAGGCTCTGCAGAAGGAGCACAGCCGTCAGACACGGCGTCACTTGCGCCGACGTCATGTCGTACTTCCCACCGACACCACGGCCGCATGTGAGGCGGTGTAGCGCCCGCAGCAGCCGCAGTCCCAGCCACATGCGCTCGCGTGGGCTAGGCGCAGCGGAGCGCAGCCCCATTGCGCGGTCTAATGCCATCCACGACTTACTCACGGAGTTCACGATGGTGACATGCGCACATGCGATGTTTTTGCTGGTGGGATCCTCCATGGTGGGGTCTGCATCTGCCAGCACCTCTTCAAGGCTTGGAATGCTGTCCAGCAGCGGCAAGGAGACGCTGGTGCCGCCGGAAGAACTCATATCAGCACCCTCATCGCCTCCGCCGCCTCCGTCCTGGATGATCCTCTCCAGCAGCCCCCGCTGCAGCGCCACCACCTCGGGCGCAGCCAGGACCTCCGCCAGGACCGCGCTACCCGCATTCAATCCAAGGTTGCAAAGAGTTATGGTGGCTTTCATCATGTAAGACACTGCCGTTTGCAACCGATTCAGAGGGCCCTTGATGCGGTTCGGGCAGGCACCCGCCAGCGCGCCTGAGGCCTCGTACTGGCGGGGGGACACGGTGGCGAGTGCGCCGCAAACGGCCGCGATGATGCCGCTCTGCTGCAGCAGCTGCTGTGCCTGCTGCTGCTGGAGCGGAGTCATGCAGCTGCTGTCATTCCAGGTGCTCAGGTGGTGAAGGGTGCTTGCTACAGCGTGCAGGATATCGCACCCATGCTCCCAGAGTCCCAGCAGGACCTGCATCCGGCCTTCTGCATCATCCTGCACCCCGTCCTCCTCGGGCTTCGGCTCCGCCAGCAGCGGCCAGACGTCAGATTGGACGAACCGTACGGCAGCGGCCATGGCATGTCCGACGGCGGCGTCGCAGAGCTGTTCGTACAGCCGCGTGCGGTCAGAGGCGATGGCAGTTGCAACAGCACGATTGCGTGCCGCTGTAGCACTGCCCGCGGCCGTATTCCAGCCCAGTCGGGCACATGCAGTCACGAGGTATACAAGCTCGTTAGCCAGGAACGCGACGCGCGCTGTATGCATGAGCCGTCTGCTGCTGCTAGCTGCCCTTGCTGGGGGAGGAAATCTGGAAGAGGTAGCCGCAGCAGAGCCGGAGGTCGTCGGTGCTGTACCTTTGGCCCCTGCATTGTTGCATGGGTACTGTTCGGTAAACTGCAGAAGCTGTTTCAGAAGGGCCTCCGCTTTCGGGACAATGTTCCACTCGACTGCTACTTGGACTGCGATGGCTGTGAGTTGTGATGATGTGCCGATAAGGTCGTCACATCGCCATGTTAAATCAATAACTTCATCGCGAAACCCATAGACTGGGCGAGGAAACTGCAGGTACGCAAATGCACCATTGCAGCTCCGTCGCTGCTGGCTCTGTTGCGCTTGTTGTGAAGACCGGGCGTGTCGCAGCGAGCTGCAAAGGGGTTCACGCAGCAGCTCAGGTAGGTCTATTTGGTCTATGATCTTTAAGATGCGGCGAAATGCTGGGCGCAGGTCTTGCGTAGGCATTGCCAATCTGCAGCTAACTCTAGTACCGGTAGCAGCGCTATTCTGGTCACGTAGCAGAAACTATAGGTGCTACGGAAATTAACATTAAGGGAAGAGAAGTAAAGCCTGGCCGTAAACTATTTGCCGACTGTCGCAAAGACCTGGACATTAAGAGTTCTGAAGGGGACCAGGGCTCAGACGTTACTATCATAAATCCTTAACAGTATAAGGGTACTTTTCCTGGCAGAGCGTAGAACTTAGACAAAAAGATGCGTTTGAATCGCGAACTGACAGCTCAGCGCAAAAGCGTACGTGGGGCCTGAGACCGTTTCAAGCTACCAAGGTGAAAAACTGCTCGCAACACGGTATACTACTCGCCGGAGTGCACGGCAAAATTATCTCTTGAGAGCTGATACTGCGCCATCAGCAGTCCGCGACCCCCTGTACACAGCAGACCAGTATTGTCCCTGAAATATTTAAGACTTGCGGATGCTAGCGTTTCGCTCGGCAAGAAGACACCTTTCCTTTCATTGAAAACACGGGCCCATGTACGTCCACTCACGGTAAACGTACGACGCTAATGCCACTAGCGCTCCCTGGCCGAGTAAGCCACTCCCCACTTGCCTAGACAATCCACTGCGCATATCGCATATTCGCCTGTACTATTATCGGTTGCCTGTTTAGACGCCACCTGTCTAATACCGTCAATGCCTGCTAACAACATTGGGGTGATGTGAACGCCCAGCACACCACATGCGCCCCATGCGCCCCTGGCGGTGGTCTGGCGGTGGTAACAGTAGTGCGTACGACGGCATCAGGCAGTGGTATGACCCTTTGAGGTCTTGCAGAACGATAGCACGCACTAAACCCTACTCAAACTTGCCCCCATTCATTCCGATGCCATGCTGTACCCTGCCCGGGCCACGGCCCGCGGCACCTGCCCACGTCTCGGCATGCACGGCCAGTTTCGGTACGGCAGCCTTGCAGCCGCAGACCTCCCTCGCATGCGCTGCTGTAGTTCCCGCACCTTGGATGCCGCACCCCCCGCAAGGTCACAATACACTGCCTCTGGTGGCAGCAGCACCGCAAAAGCTGCCGTGCACCCTGGTTCACGCCCGCTGCCGATGCCTCCTGCCCCTGCGACCGCCGTCGGTCATCTTCGCCAGCACACTCCCGCCTAGCCCCTCCTTGCACCCGCCCTCTTTTAACATCCTAGGTGCAACCTGTCCCCCAGCTGTACATGACCCACCATCGTCGCCATGCCAGCAGCAATTGCATCTCTCTGCACCTGCCCACCGAGGGCGTACTGTGATTGTCAAGCGCTGAGCCGCCCACGTCTCTCATATCTCTTTCGCCTTTTACTAAAGAGATCAGCGAGTGCGGCTCACGAAGGCGCATACCCCCAATATTTGCAAGGCTCTTGCCTTTCCCAGCTGACAACGACAGTCATGGCTATTTTTCTTCCTGCCGGTAACCCATAGAACAGCAACCTCATTCCTATTCCATTTCAGATTAGACGACGAATGACCCAGCAGCAGTGCTGGGCCTCCATTGGGTCCACCGCATTACTTGACTGCTTCTGAACACAAGGCTTCACGCCTGGTGGCGGCGAAGTAAGGAGGTCTGGGGTGGCAGGGGCGCAGGAGGTGGGGCTCAGGCTGACGTTGATGGCGGCAGCGGGAACGAGGGAGAGATAGCTGTCTAGGAGGGGCGGAGGGAGAGGCCATCCTCGAAGCATGATGGGTTTCTGGAGGGGGAGACTCACAATCTGCCGCCATTCGATTGTTCAATCGAATAGCTGACATTATGCACAGTTAGCTTAAGGTACATGGTGCAACAGGCGCCCACTGCATAGCAGGCGCCTTCCCCTACTCTGGCAGGAGTTGGCAGGCTTGATTTTACAAGAGTTGTTCAGAAGACGGCAGCAGCTCTTGGTTATTAAATAGCAGGCCCCTGTTGTTCACGGTAGGATCACGGCCAACAGTAGATTCCACCAGGAGGCTGCCCACTGGTAAGTACGACAGGTTTCTCCGTACGTTATCCAGAAAGATTCCAGTCCAGTTCTTGTCGACAAACAACTGTTGAAAGCAAACTGGTCGTTTGAACACATCCTGAAGTGAGCTAACCACACGATTAAGCCTATACGCGTCGTTGCCAGCAAAAGCATGCAACCCCAATGCCAAGCTGGCTTATTTGCAGCGTCCCTCCAGCGCTTCGTGGTCAGAAGGCCGAATGGATAGCTCTAGGCAATCACCAGCAATAAGATGGTTAAAAAATTAGGGAATCACGCACACAGAATCCTCCGCCTAACGGCGGTCGAGCAAGAGATCACATCGGGCCCTGCTAGGACTGCAGGCGGGTTGGCGGGTACGTCACGGGTGAGGGCGCCATTGGTTGTTGTTCCACCCCCGACCACGCTGGTTGTTGAACTTCTGCTTCTGCTTAGGCGAGGGCGGCTTGGGCGAGGGCGGCTTGGGCGAGGGCGGCTTGGGCGAGGGGGGCTTAGGCGAGGGGGGCTTGGGCGAGGGCGGCTGGGGCGAGGGGGGCTGGGGCGATTGAACCTTGGGCGAGGGCGGCTTGGGCGAGGGCGGCTTAGGGGAGGGGGGCTTAGGCGAGGGCGGCTGGGGCGATTGAACCTTGGGCGATGGCGGCTTGGGCGAGGGCGGCTTGGGCGAGGGCGGCTTAGGCGAGGGCGGCTTGGGCGAGGGGGGCTTGGGCGAGGGCGGCTTAGGCGAGGGGGGCTTAGGCGAGGGCGGCTTAGGCGAGGGGGGCTGGGGCGATTGAACCTTGGGCGAGGGCGGCTTGGGCGAGGGCGGCTTGGGCGAGGGCGGCTTGGGCGAGGGCGGCTTAGGCGATGGCGGCTTGGGCGATGGCGGCTTGGGCGAGGGCGGCTTGGGCGAGGGGGGCTTAGGCGAGGGGGGCTTTGGCGAGGGCGGCTTGGGCGAGGGCGGCTTGGGCGAGGGGGGCTTGGGCGAGGGGGGCTGGGGCGATTGAACCTTGGGCGAGGGCGGCTTGGGCGATGGCGGCTTGGGCGAGGGCGGCTTGGGCGAGGGCGGCTGGGGCGATTGAACCTTGGGCGAGGGCGGCTTGGGCGAGGGCGGCTTGGGCGAGGGCGGCTTGGGCGAGGGCGGCTGGGGCGATTGAACCTTGGGCGATGGCGGCTTGGGCGATGGCGGCTTGGGCGAGGGCGGCTTGGGCGAGGGCGGCTTAGGCGAGGGCGGCTTGGGCGAGGGCGGCTGGGGCGAGGGGGGCTTGGGCGAGGGGGGCTGGGGCGATTGAACCTTGGGCGAGGGCGGCTTGGGCGATGGCGGCTTGGGCGAGGGCGGCTGGGGCGAGGGGGGCTTGGGCGAGGGCGGCTTGGGCGATTGAACCTTGGGCGAGGGCGGCTTGGGCGAGGGCGGCTTGGGCGAGGGCGGCTTAGGCGAGGGCGGCTGGGGCGATTGAACCTTGGGCGATGGCGGCTTGGGCGATGGCGGCTTGGGCGATGGCGGCTTGGGCGAGGGCGGCTTGGGCGAGGGCGGCTGGGGCGGTTGAACCTTGGGCGATGGCGGCTTGGGCGATGGCGGCTTGGGCGAGGGCGGCTTGGGCGAGGGCGGCTTGGGCGAGGGCGGCTTAGGCGAGGGGGGCTTAGGCGAGGGCGGCTTGGGCGAGGGCGGCTGGGGCGAGGGGGGCTTGGGCGAGGGGGGCTGGGGCGATTGAACCTTGGGCGAGGGCGGCTTGGGCGAGGGCGGCTTGGGCGAGGGCGGCTTAGGCGAGGGCGGCTTAGGCGAGGGCGGCTTGGGCGAGGGCGGCTTAGGCGAGGGCGGCTTAGGCGAGGGCGGCTTGGGCGATGGCGGCTTGGGCGAGGGGGGCTTGGGCGAGGGGGGCTGGGGCGATTGAACCTTGGGCGAGGGCGGCTTGGGCGATGGCGGCTTGGGCGAGGGGGGCTTAGGCGAGGGCGGCTTAGGCGAGGTCGGCTGGGGCGATTGAACCTTGGGCGAGGGCGGTGGCGGGGACTCCTTGGGAGGTTGCTTCTCCTTCCCCGGGGTGTGCGGCAAGACTTTCTCCACCGCCTCAGGCTTCTGCATGTATTGGAAGAGCGGGACAGGTTAGCGGGCAGCCTGACGGTGAACGTTATACTCTTGGCCGATGCCCACTAGCATGCTGTCGGTATAAGCGATGCCGCTTCTGCACCATCAGTGGGACTGCTAGTGGTTCAGTGCAGCGAGTTAGAGCGGGGCTGGGGAGGCCGTACCATTACTAACCCATGTGCCTTCCGTACGGCAACGGAAGGCCAATCCTGCCTAGTACGTAACCACAGGGCACCCACGCATGCCGTCCTTGTGCGTTACACCCTCCTCGCTTACCTTGTTGATTAGAGACGGCTTAAGCAACACGTCCTTTTGAGCGCTGGCCCCTGCAGACAGCGATGTGTGTGGTGGGAAGGGGGACTGGTGAAGGCATGTGGTCGTTGAGGATGTTACATGAAGCAAAATGCCCGGTGCATGAGCGGTGCTAGTTCTTTCGCTGAAGATTCTATAATGTGCAGTTAGGTTGGGAAGATCAATGTAGTTGCATGCAAAGGCGGCAAGCGATCGGTTAAGATTCGGTGCAGTACGCTTCCGTACAACAGTTATAACCCTAGCCTTGTCGCGCGGTACCTGCCTCAATCCCCTCCTACCTGTTACACCGTTGCATAGGAGTAGCGCTGCGGCCAGCACCAGAGTCGCGGTTACACCGCCCATCTTGGGGCCGCCGCGCGCCATTGCAGCTGATAACCCTCTGCAGCCCGCAGCAGGTAACCCGGACTGTTGGGTGCACACACAACCCACCGGCTAGCAGCTGGCCTGATGTAAGATGGGCAGCACGGGATGTACCCGGCTGTAGCTGGATGGTGATGTGGGTCAGGGTAGCTGCGTTATATATAGGGTATCCGTATAGCGGCACATGTCCTGGGTGTAACGGCGGCGATCATAGGAACGGCGTCGACGGGCAAGTCCGCCTGTCATTGGCCTTTCCTTAGCACGGGACCGTTATGAAGGCCACGGGAAGGGCCAACAACGGTTTTCAGTTAGTGTGCAACCTTGGCGTGCGCGGCCTGGCGGCCAGAGCCGCTTTGTGGCTTCGCAGGGCATGCCCTCTCACAATATGCTTGCAAGAGCTAGTGGACGGGGAACAAGCTGTTACGACCCGCCACGTGCTCAACGGCCGTACCGCAGGTGCCTGCTTGTGTAGTATGGCCTGTCCGACAGTCCAAGTTTGCCGAGCTGCTTACCGGTAATCGTCCTACGCTAGGTATAAATTATGCCGGCTGGTTGTAACGAGGAAAAGGTACGCAACTTGGGGCGGTTTCCTCCACGTGTCCTAATTAGTCTACCGGTACCACCACAAGGCGTTGACCGTCACGGCCAGCCAGGGTACCATGACCCACATGAGCCACATGAGCACCGAGGGTCCACATTCCAAGTTAAAGTACTATCATCCTACTCATCCTAAAAACACCAAGAATACGTTAAGAAAATCCCGGTAAGAACAGGAGGGCAGTCCTAGGGCGGGAAAAGCCGAGCACACCTGTCATAGACCCACATCCACTCAAGAGCATCACAGAGCACGAAGAGTTATGGTACCAATACATGCAGTACCACTGGGTCAATGACGGCAGCTCTGGCAAGGCCTGGAACTCAAAGGTCTGCGGCTTAAGCAAAGCCAGCCCAGAGCCCCGAACCAGCCGTCCGGCAAGCACGTGTCCCCCCATCCACATGCCACATCCAGCCCTGCACGCCAGCCAAGCTAGCACACACACGCATACAGACGCCCCACGCGACCCTCCCATAAAACGTAACCCAGCCGCATCCCGCGCACATTCGTGCCAGCATACTACTTCACTGCCACGGGACTGGCCATAGCATTTTGCGCCTGCCTGCCTTCACAGCTTCCATACACACTAGCAACCCGCAGTCCCCATAGCTGGGCATCAAACCAGCCTACACAAGTGCAACAGCCACCTGCAAATCAATACATCCGTTCGCGGATGCCCTTGCAACACACACACGGCCAGTTATCTTAACACACGAAGCACCCAGCACCCCGCACATGCAAATGCATGCAACATGCTAACACCTGCCTACCTACGCCATTGCAAGCGTCCAGCAGCCAGCAGCACCCTACATAAAGTACTTCTTGGTGAGGTTCTTCTGCCTCATGGCCCTCCCGCACGTCTTGCACTTGAAGTGCACCGCCAGCTGCACCAACCAGCAGTTGTAGCACGCCAGGTGGCCGCAGGGACCCTCATGCGCGTTATTCATGGGCCGCTTGCCACACAGACTACATGACACCGCGGCAGCGGCTGCCGACAACACCCCACCTCCGCCACTGCCTGCTGCCGATGCTGGAGGTACTGCTGCTGCTGCTGCATGTTTCGATCCGCCTGCACCATTTCCTGACGCCGACCCGCCACCACCATTACCGAGGTTGGGCCTCTTCGCCGGCGGTGGCTGCGCACCTCCTCTTCCTCCGCTACTTTCTTCCGGATCAGCCCTGCCGTATGCTCCCAGGTGCCCGGGAGGTGGCTGCTGCTGCTGCTGTCTTCCTCCCTGGGACGCCACCGCCGCCGTGGGGGCAGCAGCGTCCGCGCGGCTCGAGTGCGGTCGAGACAGCAGCTGGGATCGGAGCTGGCTGCCACTGGTGGCGACTGTGGCGGCGTTTATGGCTGCTGCGGACGCGGCTCGAACCTGGGCGCTACTTGGCTGCTGCTGGGACTGCGACTGCGAGTTGTGGCTGCCCCCTTGTGTCGTCCCCCCCTTGGTGTGCGGCTGCGGTTGTTGCTGTGAGGACGTCCCAGCCGAGTGGCGAACGGCAGCGGCAGCAGCAGCCACGGCCGCTGCCGTGCAAGGCGCTGGGATGGCGTCCGAGCCTGCGGGACGCTTGTTGTTGCCCTTGGCGGCCGCCATTCCCCGCCCGCTATTCGCTGCCGCTGCTGCTGCCGCCTGGCCCTGCGTACCTGGAGCGGCTGCTGCTGCTAGCCTTGCAGGCGCAGGTGCAGGTGCTGCCGTCCTTGTTGACGCCACAGCGGCACCCGTGGTGGTGGTTGTGGTGGTGGTGGTGGTGGCGCCCGCGCCTCCTGCCTCCGCCGCTGCCCGCACATGCACCGCCACCACGTTTGCAAACCACTCCCGCTCCGTCTTGGGCATGAAGGCCGCCACGCCCTGCAGCAGGTGGCAGGTGGCGGGGGCGCGCAGCAGAGCCACTGCGCCGTCCACAAAGGCATGCAGGTCCTTGCTGGTCCTGCGGGGAAGGAAGGAGGAGGGAGGAGGGGGGAGGAGGAGGCAAGGGCGAGGTTAGCAGATGCCGTCTAAACAGGACTGGAAGGTGGAGAAGGAGGGCAGAGAAGAGCCGGGTGGTGTTCGGCCGTTAGACATCGGGCGGGCATGGTAGCATCCAAGCGCCAACAAGGCAAGGTGGCACAGTGTTGGGTTGGGTAGATGGACTCACTTGTAAGCCGTCATGAGGCGCTGGAATTCCCTGAAGCCCGCCGCACTCAGATCGGTCTTGAGCTGAGCCATGAAGGCCTTGGGATCCGCACGAGCCACCTTGCTACCCTCACCGCCATCGCCTCCTGCGGTACCAGCCGACGCACCCTGCGCCTGCGAAGCGGCACCCACCGGCCCGGCGCTCGTATCACCGCCGCCTGCAATGCCGTCTGCTTGGCTGCTGCCGAGGCCGTTGGTCGACGGCTGTACGGGTTGCAGTACAATCCGCGTCAGCCCGCCGGCGGTACGAACGCCACCCGCGCCTCTCCGCTCGTCTTCTAGCAGCAGATCCGCCACCGGGTCCACATCCTCCGCTGACAGCGTGCTGCCAGGCTGCTGCTGCTGCTGCTGGTGAGGGCGAGGAGGACCTGCTCTCGGCGGCACCGCTGCCGCATCTCCTACCGGCGGACTAGACGGAGGGCTACTGCTGTTGCCCGCAGTGCCTCCAGCGGCGGAGGTGCCCATGGCCGCCCTCCGTCGCAGCTCCGCCAGCTTGTGTTGCGGACCCACCACCTCAACCGCGGAGGCGGCGGCGGTACTCGCAGACGTGCCGGCGGAAGCAGCAGCCGTACCGCCACCGCCGCCTCCACATGGGCCGATCGGGGCCAGCTGGTGCGCCGCGGAGGAACTGGTCCCCGCCCCGAGGGCCAGGGAGCTAAACGCCGGTGGCGGCAGCTTTGGCAGACCCGCAAGAGCTCTTGATGATCCCCCGCCGCCCCCGCCAGGCCGCCCGGGTCCCGCCCCCCCGGCCTGGTTTGCCACTGCATGAAGCGCCGCCGACAACCCAATGCCGCCGTCGTTGGCAGCGCTTGTGCCGCCGCCAGCACCGGCCGCAGCCGCTTGCGCCCCCCGGCTGCTCCCAGCACCTGCTGACCCCGACCCCGACGGCCCCGCCTCCGCCGCAGCATCCGCCGCTGCCGGGGCTGACTTCAGCAACCCCAGCAAGCCCCCTGCCGGCATCTTCCCCCCTCCTCCTCCGCCGCCACCCGCAGAGGCCGCCTTGGCGCCGCGGTTAGCTCCTCCTCCACCTCCTCCTCCGCCGCCGCCTAGTCCAGTAGCTGCCAGCGCTCCAATGCCGCTAACGTCAATGGCAGCGGGCGCGCTGTCCATGAGGCTCCCGCCGCCGCCGCCACCTCGGCCACCTCTTCCGCCGCCCACCCCACCGGTTTCCAGCGCTGCAAAGGCGGTGTGTGTCGGCGCGCTGACCGCCTCGAAGGCCGAGAGGTTGGTGCTGCGGCCGGGCAGGGTCTTGGTGGGGGCCTGGAAGCCGGCCTTGTCCTGCAGGTGGAGGAGGAGGAGGAGCATGGCATACCTCTGGCATGTGAGGATAAGGTCCGGCGGAGGAATCCGCAGGGAAAGCCCACATCCTCCACCCAAACCCAAACCCAAACCAACGCAAAAGGTTGGCTAACGCGCGCCCTACTGCCATTGCCACAGACCAGTTAATGTAACAAACTCGCGGCCAGTTTTCTTAAGACACCCCGTACCTTGAAGAACTTTGTGAGCGCCGCTGTGGCCTTCCCAAAGTGGTCGTACACCACCACATGCTCCCGCACCCAGCGGCTCATGTTGCGCTGCGTGGCGGGGCCGCGGAAGCGGTCGTCCGCCAGCAGGATGGCGCCGTAGTCCCAGCGGTGGCGGATGACGCGACCCATGGCCTGGTTCACCGCGCGCATGGCCTGTGCAGGGGGGGCCAGAGGGGGGCAGAGGGAGGCAGGGTAGCATGGGAGGTAGTTTACCCACGTTCATGCTGGTGCCTCCACCATCACACGCTGCGCTCCTCTCACCCCGCATGGCTGTGACCTTGTTACTTGCCTGCCCCTGTGGGCGCTTGTGCACTCCTACCCATCCCCGCCCTCCTACCCCATCCCCGCCCCCTCCTCACCGTGTTGGTGTACCATGCCTCCCCATTCAGGGGTGCCACCCCCTCCCCCGCCAGCCCGCCGCCACTGGCGATCAGCCGAGCCTCCTCGTCCAACACGTCCCGCTTCAAACGAACCTGGGCGGGGTGCGGGTTTAGGGTGTGGGGGGGTGTAGCAGGGTTGCAGCATGCACGGCCAGAGGCAACAGGGCAGGGCCAGGTCAGGTAAGGCAACCCGGGTCGGGGTGGGCAGGGCTGTAGACTGGGAGCCAAGCAACCAGCTGGGATACCGCTGCCGGTGCTTGGGACCCGTTGCCGCCCTATCACCCACCATCCCCTACCCTACCCTCCCAAGAGCCCCCGCCAGTCACACCTTGGGGTCGTTCTTGACCGCGTAGGGGATGCCGGTGATGACCACCGCCCGGCCGGCTCGGTCGCTGAAGTCCAGGCCCTCACTCACCTGGGGGGAAAGGGGGGGGGGGTAGTGGGGCAGTGGGGCCGGGGTTGAAGAGCGGGGCACCAGGGTGCGGGGCGTGAGGTAGAGGACCGAGTAGGCGTGTGGCGGTGTGACTGGGCCCAGCGGGGCAAGAGCAAGCTCTCCATCTTGCCGCTCAACCAGGATTTCCCCCCCCTCCCGCCCCCCCTACCTTGCCCCTGCACACCGCAAAGAACACCGCTCCCTGGGTGGCCGGGTCGTCCAGCTTGGCCCGGAACTCCTCGATGGCGGCCCCGAAGGCAGCCGACTCGCGCGGCTCCACCACGGGGGCCTTGTGGCGGGTGATGCGCTCCCAGGTGCTGCCCACACCGCCGGCACCTGGGGGGCCGGGGGGGAGGAAAAGGGGGAGTGTACGGCAGCTGGGTGATACACACACAGACTGTGGCATGACTGTCAAGGCACAACAAGAGAGCCGTACGAGAGATGTCGCCATACACAAGCAATAAAAGCATACCAACAACCACTGCCTCATCTGCCCCCGCATCTTCCTCACCTCAGCCCCACTCTCCCTCCCCCACCCTCCCTCTCCCTCTCCCCCCCCACCTCCGTTTTGCTTCCAGTGGTTGATGGCCGAGTCCATGGCGGCGTACGACGCAAAGAACACCAGTAGTCCATCCGGCACCAGTCGCGCCACGTTCACCAGCGCGTTGCCCAGCTCGTCCTTGTAGGCCGCCGAGTCGCGGGAGGCGAAGGTGGAGTTGAGGGCGCCGCCGCTGGGGCCGCTGGGAAGCACACCCACCCACACCTGGGGGGGGAGCGGGAGGAGGGGGACGAGGGCGGCATGGGTGGCTGTCTGGAGGGAGGGAGGGAAAGAGGCATGGGAGACCAGTCTTTGCAAACCCCGCGCTTCCAGCCGCCTTCCTGCTTTTGTTTTCCTCGCACACCCCCAGCCCCTCCCAGCCCCTCCTCCCTCCCCCAGGCCCCCACCTGGCTGGCTGCAATGACGTGCGGGTTCTCCAGCCGCACGGGGAAGGGGATCTGCAGCTCCGCCGCGAACGAGTCCATGGGGCTCAGCGTGCCGCTGGTGAGCAGGAAGGAGCGCAGGTGCAGCGCCGCGAGACGCCTGGGGGGGGAGGGGGGGAGGGGAGGTGCATGGTGGGAGGGGAGGTGCGTGGGAGTGGGGGTGGCGGTACGGTAATTGGTAACAGGTGCTGCACGGGATTGCGGCACATCGGCACACAGCACCTACGGACAGCACTGCGGTACCACTCCAGGGCGTGTCAACCGTCAGCAGTTCTGCGGCAGCTGTCAGCTGACCCAACACAACCCCCACCCCTCCCCTTCCCTGCCACCCCACCGTTTACCACCATCACACCACACATTGGAATTTCACTTTTCTCCCCACCTGAACGCCATGCCGGGTATGAAGCACCAGTACGACAGGGTGGGTGCCGCCAGCTTGTCTGCCCCCCAGGAGCGCTGCATGTGCACGTGCACCCGGAAGCCCTTGTGGGCCGGGGGGGCTCCGGGCTTGTCGCTGAGCGGCTCCAGGGTGGAGAAGGCGAGGTTGAGGCAGGACTGCAGGTGCTGCAGGCTGGGAGGGGGGGAGGGGAGGGGAGGGGAGGAGATAGGCGTAAGGGATGCGTTGAGGGGTTGAGGATACAAGGAGGAGCCGGAGCTGGTTACCGTAGTCTGGAGAGTACACTGGTTCTGACTGCCAACCAAAAACCCGCCTACATCCCATCCCCCCCTCCCCCTCCCCTTCCCCCACACTCACGCCACCGTGGACGCCCTGCCCGACGTCCTGCCCGCCTCCACCTCCGCCGCCGCCAGCACGTCGCTCGCCGCGTCGATGGCCGCATTCAGCGCGGATATGGTGTGGCTGGTGATGTTGAACTGGGCCAGGAACTCAAACAGGAAGGAGCCGGGGCGCGTGAGACCCGAGTCGCCCCCGCCTCCTCCTCCGCCTCCGTGCAGGGGCGGGGGTGGCAGCTTGGCGGCCAGGGTGTGTAGGCCGGTCTCCAGGGCCTTGAGGACACTCTGCAGGGGGAGGTGGAGCGGGGGGGGGGGTAGATGGTAACATGGGGAGGCAGGAAGGAGGAAGGGGGAAGGAGAGGGAAAAGGAAAATGGGAAGGAGTGGCGGTGCGGAAAGGTAGTCAGTGGTCGAGTGGTCGAGTCCCGTACGGCAGCATGCGGGTGTGCTGTGTGAGAGCGAGGGGCACCGCTACTAGCACGGTAGGTAGTGGAGCCATGACCCACATGACATTCACCCCCCTCCACACTCCCTCCTAACCCTTCTCTCCCCTCCCTCCCTTCCCCTCCCTCCCTCCCTCCCCTTCCCCCTCCCCCTCACCGCCAGCAGGTCCATGTCCGCTGCCAGTCTGCGGTAGTCGGGTCCCTGCGCCTCCCCGCCCGCAGCCGGCACGTCAGCGAGCGCCACCTGGCCCCGCTCGATGCGCTCAAGACACACCTCCTTGCAGCTGGGGGGGGGGGCAGGGTGGATTGGGTGGACAGGCGCAAAAGTAGACGCAACATCTTAGCGCGGGGGCGGGGAAGGGAGGAGAGGGCAGGGGAGGGAAAGGGCACGGGGAGGAGCATGTGAAGGGGTACACATGTAGCCACAGTTCAGTTCAGGTGGGAGTCCAGCACACACGATGTGGGGATGCAGTGCCGTTGAATCCAGCAAACCCTTTCATCTCCCCTCCTCCCCCTCCGTCCCCGCCTCCCCCCCCCTCCCCCCCTCCTCTGTTCCCCCCCCCCACCGTTTGGTCTCCGCCATTGCGTCCGCCAGCTGCTTGGCGGTGATGTCGAAGGAACACGAGTCGCTGCTCACACTCTTGAGGGAGGGGAGGGGGAGGGGGCGGGTGAGGGAGGTGGGGAGCTGCAGGGAGGGGTGCTCCGCGGGTCGGAGTGGCGTGGGAAGACGGGCGGTGGCAACATGCGTGTGTGCAAGGGGGCGGTGGCGGGTGCATGTGCGTATGCTCGAAAGCCTCAGGGTGCTCTGCCATGCTCTGCCACGCCTCGACGGCCCTCCCCTCCGCCCACCGCCCTGGCCTCCATATACGCCTGCTCCCCCCTCCCCCCGCCCGGCCCCACCTCCACGTTGTGCGCCTCATCGAATATGACGACCGCGTTGCTCCAGTTGATGCTGTCAGCCATGGTACGGCGGGTGGAGGGGTCCAGCAGGTAGTTGTACGGCAAAAACACAATGTCGGCCTCCTTGCCTGCAGCAGCAGCGGGGGGTAAGGGGAGGATTAGGTAAGGGGAGGTAGTTGGGTGAGGCGCGGATTGGGGCTATGCAACGCTGACAGGGACCTGGGTGTTGTGGTGCTAGAGGTGTTGCTAGAGGCTGGCAGTCATGGAAAAGAGTCCGCGGATTGCGATGCGAAGCAAGGGAAGAGCCGGGGGGCCCGTGTCGCAGGCGGGCGCATGCCAGCGGAGGCAAAGGGGCCACGAACCTCCCTCTCCCTCCTTCCTCCCCCCCACCCCACCTGCGTCCCTGCCCAGGAAGAACGGGCACACCCCGTGTGTCTTGCCCGCCGCCACCAGCTCCTCGATGTCGGGCACGGGGCCCACCAGCGAGGCGGCGGCGTTGCGATACTTGCCGAACTTGAGCTGGTTGTGCCTGGAGGGGGGGAGGTGGGAGGGGCAGCAGAGGGAATGGGGTATGGCGAGGGAAGGGAAGGGCTGAGGGAATGGGTCTTTCCTTCCGTCCTTCCTTCCATCCTTCCGTCCTTCCTTCGCTATATCGCCACAATTCTGCCGGTTTCCCGGCCCATAACCCAGGTCAAACACCCCCTCCCTCCCTCCCTCCCCTCCCACTCCCTCCCCCCCCACCAGCTGCACTTCTTGGCCATGGTGAGCGCCTTGCACGCCTGGTTGGCCGCCCCGCCCGTCAGCTTGGAGGCGGTAGGGTGCAGGCAGGTCTGCTGACGGGAGGAGAGGACCGTGGAGCGGACGCGGTCCCTGCAGGGGTGGGGGTGGAGGGATTGGGGGATGGGGCGGAGGTCAGGGGACAGGACAAGCTGGGGCCAAGAGGGAGGGAGTACGCGTCCTCCGGTTCCTGCAAAAACGGCATTCCGGGGCTGACCTGCTGGGGTCAGCCTGCTTGCCTTCTCAGCTTAGGTGCCCGGCCCGGACCCCGCGCCTTGCACCGGTAGCTTCCCCCCTCCCCTCCTCCCTCCTCACCAGAAGCTCGTCGGCTTATTTACCAGCCTCATTTCAACAGATTGGGTATCCTTCTTTTCCCTCCTCCCCCTCCCTCCCTCCCCCTCCCCCCACCCACTCCAGTCGGGATATGGGATTGGGATTCGTTGTTTCACTTCTATAATTTTCCCCCCCTCCCCCCACCCACTTGTAGCTGGAGTTCCGCAGCTCCTTCATCACCTGCGCCAGCTGGCTGTGCGTGCGACTCGAGTAGATGATCACAGGCAGGTCCGACTTCGGAGCCCCACCTCCCCCTCCTCCCGCACCTCCCCCTGCCCCTGCTAGTCCCCCCAACCCCCCCAGTCCGGCTGCCGCCCCCAGCGCCCCCAGCCCCATGCCGCCGCCCCCCAGCCCCATCAGCCCCCCCGCCTGCTGGGCGAGGGCGGCTGCGGCGGCAGCTGCGGGGTCGGGAGCGGGGGGCTGGGAGGGAAGGAGGGAGGAGGGAAGGAGGGGAAGGGAGGAGCGTGGGGAAAGAATGAGTGGGGGGAAGGTGTCAAGCCCAGGGATGGACTCTGGTCTGGGTGTGCCACGATGAAGTGGGCAGAGGCGCACTCCCACGCCGTCCCGAACAAGCCGGGGCACAGCGGCACTTGTTCCCATCTCCCCCTCCCCCTCCACCTGCCCCTGCCCCTTCCCCACCTTCAGCGACTCCCTCCACGCCAGCGTGGAGCACAGCAGGCACAGGGTCTTGCCGGTACCGGTGGGGCTCTCAAGCAGGGCGTTCTTGCCCTGTGTGTGTGGGGGCCCGAGTGGGGATGGGGAGGGGTGAGCGGTAGGCGCAGAGGGTCAAAGATTTTCCAGTCCGTTGGAGCCCACAGGTTCGGGTGAGGCAACATGGAGAGGAGGAGGCGGGGTGCTACACAAAACAAGGGATGGCTAGCGGTCCCGCATCACCACCCTCGCACTCCCTCGCGTCGTACAGCGCTCATAGCGGCACCACCCCACCTGCGCTGTGGTCCCAACAGCAAGCAGCACCTCAGCACCCAGCTCCCGCCCAACCTACCTCCGCAGCCCCTCCCCTCCCCCCTCCATGCCCCCAATGCCCCACGCATGGTTCTTCTTCTTCTCCTTCCTTCCTTTCCCCCCTGCAGCCCCCACCCACCTGTTGCAGGGCGGTGATCACTGACTCCATGAAGTCCCGCTGTGGGGTGAGGGTGGGAGCGGGGTGAGGGCGGGAAATGTGGAGCATGGAGGGGACATGAGGCCGTTGGGATGAGGTGCACCCAGGTGGCGACGCTAGTGGAATCCAGCTTGTTGCCAAGGAGCAAGACGGCAGGGCGAATGAACGTAAAGACCGCTGCCAGCCAAGGAAGCGTTTGGGTTTACGCGTGAACGCTTTGCAGTGCGTGTGAGGGAGGGGGGGTGACAGGCATGCATTACGGAGCTGGGACTGCTCCAGGTGTGGGATCTTCGGCACTTGTTAGCGCCATGCCTTACTAGGTGCAAGCCTCACTGGGTGGTCGTTACCATGCGTTGCTAGGTGGGTCAGGTCCCCACCCCAGTACCTGACATGGGTACGGCTCAAACGGGAATTCAACAGGAATTCCTGCAATTTGGAGAACGGTGACCTTGCGCTCTGCCTTGGCCGGTGCCGCAAGCTGCGCCGACAGCTGCTCCATTTCCCGTCGGGCAAGTCGGTTTTCGGAGCTTTTTAAGAGCCGATAACCTTAAGGACGCGTTGCAAATCCACGTGCGGCTGCCCTTCTACGTTGTCATGTTGGCCATGTCATGCCCAAGACAGCCACGACTTTAATGGATTACCGGCAATATGTTAACAATTAAGCAATCAGAAGTCGTAAATAACAGCTGTAGAGTGCGCTGTCTTCCTCAACAACACCCAAGAGCTTGCACGGAATGTCCTGAAGAACGTTTGCGGAAAAACCAGCTAGCTGGATCCGGCAGGCGCCCTATATTAATGTGGTTATGGCATATGCTTTGCTGTAGCATTTGCAACGTGTTCAACGGCGTACAGGGGCCGTGCCATATTGGCGGGAAACGCGCATCGTTGTCTGTTTGCAATAATTATATCTGCCAAATGAGAGGGGGTAATGAGTACTATACTCGGGTAACATTGCTATTATGTTCATGCTTGTCTGCGCATCATGACCTTGCCCGCTGCTGCATGCTGTGCATGCGGTGTCACGAAGAGGCCAAAGCAGCGTAATAGGCATTTGACGATTGAGCCGGATGCAAGTGCCATAGTAACTGTGGTTATCATACATATTCTAAAAGGTTTGTTATCGATGGGGTCGGTGGCTAAGATTGCCCTGACATCGTCCCTCGGGTCGCACGGTATTCGCCATGGGCTTCTAGGTGTCTACGTAAAACTGTCTTGTTTGCTGGCTTGCCGAGGAATCTTCAGAGAGCGTAAGGGACGGACAATGTTACAGAAGGGCAGGTGCATGGTATGACCTGCGATATAGTCAACGCAAAAATCGACGAGTTTCGAGTTATGAGCCCCACTTGACATTTGAGCCCCTTATACCACACAATATGAGACATAGGTTGCAAGATGAATACATGAATGCGATGCATGGCAATGCCATGCGCCATCAGGTGATGGAGGTAGGGGGGTTGACTCGCCACCAAGAGTGCGGCCCACATGGTGCATGTCGCTCATCCATGCACATTCTCGTCGCATCCAATGGGGCGTGGCATACTTGCGCATCCAGCAGCAACAACTTCATTTCGGGGGGTATGCCCTGGGATTGGGCATCCTTAAAATCTTCGATAGTGGACACTCTTCAAATACAGTAAACACAACCACAACAACGACGACGTCATATCTTCATGAACTTGTTTCGAGCACTGAGCGCTAGGCAGCAAGTTAGAGGTCTCTGCGCCTCAATACACAATGCTCTGCAATTCTTCCATCGCTTGACCGCCTGCTTATCAAGAACAGCCGGCAGCGTCAGGGGTTAGGGCACAACCAACCTCAATGCAACCGCTGATTAGCGGCTCGGGGCATGAACACAGCCCAAGGCTCTCAGGCCTTCTCTCCCGCACACCCACATCGCACCGCATGCGCACCTCACCCCACCTTACCCCACCCCGCCTCACCTCAGCCTGCCAGGCAGGCCAGCAGCCGAGGACTCACTCCCATCCCCAACCCCACCGCCCCCCAGCGCACCCCCACCCGAGGACTTCCGCCTCCGCCGCCGCTGCCGCTCCGTGTCACTGCCCGACCTGCTGCCCCAGGCAGTCATACCCGCAAACGAATGCGAGCGGATGCGCTGCCACAGCTCCTCCGCTCCGCCGCCGGAGGAACGCCGAGCAGCAGCAGCGGCACTGACACCCGCAGCCGCTAGGACCGCCGCTGCGGCGGCGGCAGTAGCGCCCGACGCCTGATGCTGTCCCGCCGCCTTCTTCCCGAACCACCTGGGCCGGGCGGGCTCGGCCCCGGCCTCGTGCTCCGGCTGGGCATCCGCAGCTGCTGCTGCACTCGCACCTTCAGCCGCAGCAGCAGCAGCCTCCATGGGGTGTACAGTTTTGCGCCACCTCTTAGACCAGAAGCTTGTTGCAGCGGTAGGGGAGCAGGGCCGTGCCCCCTCCGCAGCTCCGGAGGTCCCCGGCACTGCTGCCCCCGAAGCCGGCGACCCCTCACCCGGCTGCGCCCCACCTGCCGTCAGCAGGGTGCCGCTAGAGGCAACCGGGGCGGCAGGCACCGTACTAGATGCGGCTGTGCTGCTGCTTGCGCCCCAGGGGTGCAGGATCCTGTGCAGAATGGGCTCCAAGTGTGGGAGTTCATGCCTGCTGGCTTTAGCATGCGGATGTCGCTGCTGCAGCTGTTGCTGCTGCGGTTGTTGTTGTTTCTGCTGCAAGGCCTCCCGCGCCATGCGGCCGATGCGGCTCATGCCCTGCACCCACGTCTCCGCCGGCCTGTTACTGCAAGGCGAGCCGGGCTGCTGCTGCTCCGGCGGCGGCTGCTGCGGCTGCGGCAGCATCAGCACCGCGTTCCCGGGCAGGGCGCTGGGCTTGAAGGAGGAGGCGTGCTGCAACGCCTGTCGCACCCGCCGTACCTTGGGCTCCGGAGGCGCCTCCGCCGGCTTGACCTGCAGCACGGGAGCCGCCGGCGGCGCCCGCAGCGGCACCACAGCAGGGGCGGCTCCGCCAAAGCGGACCCGGCTGTGGGAGGGCGACGACGTGTCGGACTCCGACTCCCCATCCGTCGCCAGGATGACAGCGGCCTCGCGCGGACGTCTGGCCGCCGCGGCATCTCCGGCACGCAGGCTGCTGCCCGCAATGCCGGTGGAGCGTTGCAGCCGCAGCGGCGGCAGACGCAGGATGAAGTTGTGTGGGTCGCATGGATCGCTGTAGCGCTCAGGGAATGCTGCTGCTGCTGCCGCGGCTGTCGCTTCGTCCGCCGCCCCAGTTGCGGCAGCAGCCGTCCCTGCCGCGGTGCTTACGGCCATCCAGTTGGGTCGTGCGGCTTGCGGCCATGTGCTGCGCTCCCGTGGGCCCTGCGGCTCCGGCTCCTCGTCTGCCTCCCTGCTGTCTTCGGTCGCTGCTGCTGCCGTCTGCATGTTGCTCTCCTCGCCCTCCTCCTGCTTCGGTTCCGCCCCACAGGCCGCCTCAGGCACCTGATGGCTCGCCGTGTGTGCATCATCCGCACTGCCGACGCGGCCCGTCATCATGCCCTCCTGGTGCTGTTGCTGCCGTTGCGGTTCTAGGTTGCCGTCCAATGCTGGCGACGATTTGGCTGGAGCAACATCAGCGCAAGAAGCAGCAGCAGAAGGCGATTTCTCCAGCCCCCGCTGCCGATGCGGCGCGGGCGTCGTGGGGCGGGAGCCCGACACCGCATGGTCGGGAGGAGGAGGAGCTGCTCCCGCCGGCGGCGATGGTGGGTCAGTTAAGATGGCAATTGTGGGCACGGTAGGCGCAGCGGCCGCAGCCGCAACATCACCACCCGCTTGTGTGGTGCAGGGCGGGGCGCCGCCGGTGCTGGCGGCCGGGGTATTCCCCTCCGTGGAACGCCGAGAGGGGGTGCCCTCAGAGGTGGCGTCCACTGCGCCCGGGGGCAGCCAGCCCAGCCGGCGCTTCTTCTTGCTGCTGTCGGTCTTGGTTTTATGGTGAGCTGAGGTGGAGGCGGGGCGGGACAGCGCGGAGGGGAGGAGGAAGGACAGGGCCGAGCGGCCGGTGGTGGAGGGCAAGCCGAGCACTTCCACCGCGGCTGAGAGGACGGAGCGTGTGGAGGGGTCGCGCGAGGGACGCACCGCAGTAGCGGTGGCGGCAGGGGGTTTGCAGGGGGCTGCATGGGCGGTGGCGGAGGGGGCGGTGGTGGAGAGTGCTCGGCTGGTGGCGGGGGTGGCGGGCTTGGAGGGGCGGCAGCTGTCACTGATGGCATCGTCCTGCGGGGGCGAGGGGCGGGGGCAGGGGGTGTGTCGGCTGGCGAAGCAAGGCGAGGCGGAGGCCAGGGAGAGGCCCAGGATTGGGCTTGCGTTGTAGCGAACCCCACGTGCCCCTCCACGTATCTACCCAGCAGAACACCATAGAGCAGAACCCCCGGCAACCGCTTGTACCCACGCGCGTGAAGCAAGCGTGCAAACGCCCCATGACGTGGTGTGTTTGCATAGCCATCCGAACACCCTAAACCCAGAAGCACGTCCTCAACAGTCCTGCTCCACTCGCACAGCACCCATGATGCACTACTGACGCCCACACCAGCCCACACCACCCCACACCACCCCACACCACCCCACACCACCCCACACCACTCCACACCACTCCACACCACCCCATACCCCGCACCTACCCCAGCCAGGGATTCCGTCTCAGTCGATCCCGACTCCTCCTCCCCGCTAGCTGATCCCCCCTCCCGCCGCCGCCGGCGCTGCTGCCGCCGACGCTTCAGCATCACGGCCGCCGTCACCGCCCCTCCTATCAGCGCGCCCACCCCGCCCCCAGCCGCAGCCACCGACATGGTCTTGGGCCCGCCCGAGCCGCCACTGCCGGCTGCCGCAGCCGCCGCCACCACCGGGGCTGCTGCTGCGGGCTGCAGCTGGGGTGGCGGCGGCGGTTGTGACGGTTGGGGGCAGGAGTAGGTGATGCCGTTGAGAGTCACCAGGGTGCCGACGGGGAGTCCGGAGCATGCGGCGTCGAGTGCGGATTGCCGTTGCGGCGGGGGGCTGCTGTCAGACTGCTTGGGGAGGCATTGGAAGGAAGCAAGGAAGCCCAAAGGGGAGGTAAGGTAAGTGGTAGCAACCGGGGTTAAGGGGCGAACATGCAGAGGAGAGATATCCACATGCTGACGGCGTGCTCATTAATTCAACAACAGCAGGGACAAAACGCATTCCTTTCATGCATCTCCAGCTCACACCCACCAGGGGGCTGCTGGCGGCTGCGGTCGCAGCGGTGTACGGCGGCACGCAGAACTGCAGCGCTGAGCCACCGCCGCTGCCGCCGCCACCGCCCGACAGCGCGGAGGCATCCGACAGGAAGGCCCACAGGCTGAGCGCCGCCACAATGCGCTGTCCGTACAGACTGGCGTCCTCCCCGTCCGGCAGGCGCAGCGGCACGTAGAGCTGCTGGGAGGGGCTGCTGCAGGCCTTGGAGGACTGTGGGGGGTGGGGGGGCAGCAGGGGCGGGGTGGGGCACGCATGGAAGAGCGGGCGGGTAGCTGTGTAGAAACCCGGGAGTGTTTGGATGTAGGGTGTACGGGTTTTGTCGGCTGGGCTTGCACTAAGAAAGAGCTATCTGGGAGGCAAGTTACTAACACCAGTCTATACACGCACAGCTCCATGCATGTGCACCCGCCCACCTGCTGCAAGCGGCGCCGCCCGGCCGCCACAGCTTCCTCCACCACTGCTGGCTCTACGGCTGACGTAGCCTGTTTGCTGCTGCTAGTTTTGGTACTATTGCTGCTGCTGCTGCTGCTGCTGCTAGTACTGGTACTGTTGCTGCTGCTACTGCTGCTGCTACTGCCGCCGCTGACTTCTGAGCTCCCAGCAGCCGCATCCCGGCATGCCAGCGCGTCCAGGTACTCAGGTCCCAGCTGCAGCAGTGTCAGCAGGTGCGAGCGGAAGGCCCCCAGGAAGGCGCTGTTGCAGCCCACGGTGACCCGCGTGCCGTCAATGGTGACCTGGGAACCCAGCGGAGTGGTGATGTTGACTGGGCCCACACTGAGGGCGGGCTTGAGGGTGGGGGGGCTGGGAGGTGGTGGGGGGCTGGGGGAGGGGGATGGAGGCGCGGGGTTGGGGGCGGGGGGTCGAGGAGGAGGCAGGGGAGGTGGTGGGGGAGGTGGCGAGGCTGGGGGAGGGGAGGGCCGGGGCTGTGGAGGACGTGGGGAGGGTGGGAGGGGTGGGCTGGGCCGCGGCGATGGTGGTGCTGAGGGGCTGGGTTGGGGTGGCAGGGGTGATGGGGGTGAGGGCGGGCTGGGCAGTGGGGAGGGAGGCTGCGGTATGTCACTAGGTGGAGGTGGTCGAGAGGGAGGAGGGGGAGGCGGGGGTGACGGTGGTGATAGCGGCGATGACGGCGGGTATAGCTGCTGAGGTGACGGAGGTTCCGTTGCGGGCGGCACTGCTGGGGGTGGCACTGCTGGGGGTGGCACTGCTGGGGGTAGCACTGCTGCGGGCGGCACTGCTGGGGGTGGCACTGCTGGGGGTGGCACTGCTGCGGGCGGCGCAGCAGGCAGCAGGCCTGGCGGCTGCTGTCCTGCGGATGGCGGCGAAGGAGGAGGCGAGGAGTGCGGAACTGGTAAGGCAGGCGGGCTGGGCTGAGGGGTCCCCGGAGGGGCAGCTTCCCCCGGCGGGCTCAGCTGTGCCGCAGGGTCCGGGTCCGCAGGAGGAGGCGCCGGGGGCTGGAGTCCTGCTGGGGTGGGCGGCAGGTGCGGGGGCGGGGCCGGAACGCCTCTGCCGGGCGGAGCGTCCGGCTGCTGCTGCTGTGGTAGTGGCTGCGGGTGGGGAGTAGCTGGTGGCGGCTGCGGCTGCGGGTGGGGAGTAGCTGGTGGCGGCTGCGGGTGCGGGTGGGGGGTAGCTGGTGGCGGGGAGGCGGGGTTGGGGCTGGGTGGGGCTGCGGAGGGCAGCCGGCGGGTAGGTGGTGGCGGCAGTTGGGGCTGAGGGGCGCCAGGCGGGGTGTGAGGTGGCGGAGGCGGCGGCGGCGCAGCAGGGGGGAACGGGCTGGGGCTGTCGCTCACAGGGGGTTGTTGAGGGGGAGGGCCCTCCTCCTCCTGCGGTGCGGCGGGGGGCGAGTCGGGCGGTGGGAGGTCCGGGGGGTTCATGGGAGGGTAGGTGGGCGGGTAGGTCGGGGGCGGGGACTGCGGCGGCTGTAGCGGCGGCTGAGGGGCGGAGGGCCCGGGTGGGGGCGTGCGCCTGCGGCGGGATGGGGGACTGGGAGGCGGGCTGGGTTGTATGTCTCCAGGCGGAGGGAAGAGGTCGTCAGGGGGCGGCGCCAGGTCGCCGGGAGGGGGAGCTAGGTCCGCAGGCGGCGGGGCGGCGTCCCCAGGAGGTGGCGTGGCGTCATCGGGAGGCGGAGCGGTGTCATCGGGAGGCGGAGCGGTGTCATCGGGAGGCGGAGCGGTGTCAGGAGGCGAGCGGAAGTCGTGTGGGGGGTAGGCCGGGGTTGGTGGGGGTGGCGGTGGCGGTGGCGGTGGCGGAGGGGAGGGTGGAGGGGGTGGTGGAGGGGGTGGTGGCGGAGGTGGAGAAGGGGAGGAAGGGGGGCTCAAGGGAGGCGGCGGACGAGGGGAGGGAGATGGGGGTTTGGGTTTGGTTGCCAGGAGTTGGCGCCTGCTTTTCTGGCTGGGTCTGTCAGAAGAAGTGTCGCGGGCATCATTGGGTTGGGAGACGCGTACGCGGGTGCCAGCTAGGAGGAGGCTGCAGTCCAGACCTGCCGGCATGGATGGGGAGGTTTCTAATGGTCAAGTTCCCAACACCAAGGCGCCGTAAGTACGTCCAGATGAGCCATGCTCACCTTGATTCCATTTTACAAGATCTGTAATCTGGATGTCGTATGCACTGGCAATGCTGTTGCATGTTTCACCGGGAATCGCCGTGTGCCTACAATGGGGATCGACTTGCTTGGCAAACGCTGAGCCAACACCTTAAATGAAAGAAGCAATAGAGGGCCTTGGAGACGTAAGTGACATCACTAACATTTCTTACCTTGGCACTGCCTTCGTGGCCTGTCCGGAAATGGCTCCATCCGCACATGCTGCCCCGAGGATGGCAGCAACCCAAGTTGCTGTCAAGAGCTTAACAAGTTCCTTGCTAATCGTTAGTCTGAGGTGAATGATACCCATATTCGGCAGCGCATGGATGTTGTGCCGCTGGTGGGTCCTTCGCGGTTATCAACCGAAAGCAGCCGACGCGTCGAAGCTCATAAACACGGTCTTGGGGGCCAGCAGCATACGGTAATATTATTATTAGTGTGCTATACGTTTACATTAGTTGGATACTGCGAGATGTCAAGCAGCTAGCCTTTGCCTGTGTGCAACAATGGGGACGCCTGTCGGTGCTGAGACGCGTGAGGGGTCAGGAACGGCCTCGCAACCTCCTTTTCCAGGAGCCCTATCGCTGTACATTGATAGAAGTGGTGCGGTGCGTTTGGGCAGCTTTGGCGTCGCTACTGCACATCCGTACAAATGTGGGCTCTCCCGCTCTGCGCTTTCAGGTTTCGATGTTAAGGGACATAACGACGCGAGGATGATGAACGAGGACAGCATCAAAGTGCCAATGCGCAGAAAATGCGTCTAGCAGCAGCGCGAAGGATGGTAAGGAATGTTGACTTCCAACCCCAACAGTTCCCCTGTGAGGCGTTTCATTGCTCAAAACGACGGTTGTTATTAGCGAGCAGTTAGTGGTTATTCGTGTCATGCGTGCGCATAGTGGCCTGCTCCGTGCTGAGGTGCAGTGCTGCCAATATCACGCCAGCGATAGCTCGCATAGTTCCCTCCTTGTTGTTAGCAATTATAAAGACCAGCATATGCACAATTTTTGTTTTCGTTTTCAGGATGGGAACCCTTCTGTGGGGGTCTAACAGCTTTCTTTTGACACAACCTTTGCTCCATGGAGAATTTGGATATCATCCATTCCAGCTTTTTACAGGTAAAAGAATGTTTGTTGAGCGCATCGGGTGCTCCATCTCTTGCAACATGCGGCAAGGTAGTATTCGTCAGCCGTGGATCCTCAGATCCAAACCGTACTTCCGCCGCCAGGCAGCCTACGTAAATACTCCTTTATTTTTATTAACAGCATACCGGTATGCTTGGTGTGTGCACACACTCATCATTGAGTGGACGTGCTCCACTTTCTGCGTCCGGTGTCGCCTCTGCTGGCTTGCTCCATCGCGCTGCATATGGCGACACCCACGTGAACACCTACACCTACACCTACACCTCCTCCTCCTTCTACAGCCAGTCTGTTGCACCATTTGGTAAGTGGACTACCGCGAACAACCCGCACCACGCATTCAATGGCGGCGGCAAGATCTCGCTGCAACCATTCCAGTCATCAAGGCCGATGATGAGATTTCACTAATAGGATCAACCACCTTACTTTTGCTGGTGACAACTTTAGTCCTGAGGCCTCACAATGACTGCACATGCACGTTCAACCATGCTCTTGGTCGCACAAAAGTGGTCGCAACGCGCATCAGCACATACATGTATCTCACTTGCTCCTTGGTCTCTAGCATTCTGTCATGCTGATGGCCGGTCGCGTGGCTCGGCACAGGCGTGCAGTTGCGGTCAGCATGGCGCGGCCTTGTACTGGCCCCAGACCCTGCATGAGCGCTTTCCCTGTGTCCAAGCACCAGCACCCGGTGTCCGACCATTTCTGCGGCAGGGTTCGCATGGAGAAGATTATTCCCCTTAGGCCAGCTTAGGCACCCGAAGAATTTAAGCATACGCGAAGTAACATAGGACAATTCGCTGCCTCCCCTGTGCCCGTAACACATTCGTCTTGCATGCACCTCCTACAGCCTTTAAGCCATGCCCTTGGACGCACCTGCACTTGGCGACAGCAGGCTTCGTCGGGCCCTTGAGCGCACAGCACTTGCCCGATGAGCGCTGAGGCGCACCCGTCACGGGCGAACTGCAGGGGATCCTGGGGTCGCGCGCGGTAGTCTGTGGGCCGGGCCTCCGTCTTGTAGTTGAGGTTGACGGTGATGAATTTAAGCAGGTCATCCGCGTCGGGGCCGACTCCTGGCGAAGCGGGGTTGTGACAGTCATGCATGCAGGTTATGAAGGTGTTATTTGGCCGGCTTATTCCAATGCTGGAAAGGCAGACAGGGAACCATGCCCCGCCAGGACATCATGCTGGTGAAACACGGAAGCGAGCGCCCGGGGGCTTACGGGCCCACCTGCTGACCTGCATGATAACACCGGGCTTACCATGCCCCAGCCTCCACCCCGCCCCCTTAACAGCCAGAGCTTACCAGTTGCCGGGTTGACGTATGCTCGCAGCGTGGCAAGCAGGTTGCGGCTCATGGGGGCACTGCGGGGCCCCTCGCTGGGGATCTCCTTGCAGAAGGGCATGCCTGCGCGTGTGGAGGGATGATGGAGGGGACGGACATGGGTGTGGATTGCAGGTACACAACTACAGGTGCAGGTGCACACGGCTAAGGAATGCGCACGCATGGCGCAAGCTACCAGTGTAAAGGGTATTCGTGACAGAGGCTTAGCAGTGCGTTGAGTAGTAGGGTAATCCACACGTGGAGGCGCGTTTGCTAACACCTCCGAAACAAGGCCCAACCATCCACCCAGCACCCACCCTGGCACTTGCGGGCGAACATGACCACGAAGAAGTACGGGGCGGCGCTCTCGTACGGTGTGCCGGCCAGGTACGGATGCGCACTGCCGTACAGCTCAGACCCGTCGAAGGCCTGCAACAGCAGCAGCAACAGCAGGAGGTTTGCCAAGGGAACATCGGCAAGGCCTAGAGTACCCTCGCCGCACACAAGCGCCTGCCAGGAGTTGTCTCACAAAGCTGCTATTTCTCAGAATATGTTGCTGTTGCATGGTTGGGGTGAGCAGCAGAGCACGAGCGGGTGGAAGGGGGGAGGCGGCGGCGGGCAGGCGCCCTGCGGGGTGGGTACCGCGTGTGTTGCATGCGACCACACGGGGGACCTGCCTTGAGTCCCAGTCGCTGCGTGGTGTCGCTGAGGGCGATGCTGATGTACTTGGCGGTGCCGGAGAGCACGTGGTTGACCCCCACCACCAGCGCCATGGAGAAGGGCCTGGGCAGGGAGGGGGGCGGAGGGAAGGGCGGAGGGAGGAGGGAAGGGAAGGGGGCGGAGGGAAGGGGAGGGGGATGGAGGACAGAAGAAGGGGTGAAAAGGATGTGACTAGGTTTGAAGCAAGAGGGAGGGGGCAGGAGACGACAGTACGGGATGAGGAGAAGCGGAGGTGAGAGGGATAGGTATGATGCGTGACGGTAGGAGTAGCCTCAGTACTGCACCGCCCTACCTAGCTGCACAGCAGGGTGAGACAAGCAGCTGCCCCAGACCCCTCCCCGCCCGCACTAGGGCCCCACATACACGCACGCCCCACACCCTCATTACCTGTTGAGCACCACGTACGGGAAGGCGGACAGGTAGGTGACGTCACGGTTGTCACCGTTGCAGTAGTCAATCATCTGCAGGGAGGGGTGTACGGAGGGTGTACGGCAGGCAGGCATTCGAAAGAACTCCTTTGTGCAGAAGCACGCCTGAGCTCTGTCGGGACTAAACCAAGCCGGCTAGAACACGTCCAGCACCCGCATGATCGCCTCCCCACCCCCCCAGGAGTGATACAGCTCGTCAGTTGCTTTGTCAGTGTCTCATCATCATATATATATTTTTTACCCCACAGGCGCCTAGCGCAGCCAAAGGCACGCGCTGCCACCCAAATGCCTTCCCCCAACATGCCTTAACCGTGTGCTGGTCCCAGCACGATTGCACATGTGAAACGCGCTCAGCCCCCGTTGCCGCCCGCCCTCCACCACCCCGCACATGCACACGGTCAGTTAGCTGTTTCCTCTTTACCCCGCGCATGCACCCCACACACAAGCGTGCGATCAGCCCCCAAGCACACCCTCAGTTTATCTAACCCTCTCATGGCCGTGCGCACCTGCTCCGCGCACTGCAGGCCCCAGTCAATGGGCGGATCAAGGGAGCCCAGGTAGGAGCCTACGTGATGGGTAAGAGGGCAAGGGAGGGGGAGGAGCAGCTCGCGTAGAGACAAGCAAGTGTGTTATTGTGTCAGGGGGCACGCTCATGCATGCATGGTGCATGCGGTAGCTCAGGGGGAAACACTCACTGAACCTCCTACGCCACGTCCCCCAGCCCTCTATGTTCCTGTCGCCCCCTCCCCTTCGCAACCCCTCTGCATGCCGCACGCGCACCTGTTGCCAGCGACCACGCCTGCGCGTAGTTCTCCTCGTACACCTGCTGCACCCGCTGCTGCAGGTACACGAACGCTGGCTCAAGCCACGCCTCCGCAGCAGCAGGCGAGCCACGACCCGAAGCGCCCGCCCGCCGCGCTATCCCCTCCCCTCCCGCGCCCGCCGCTGTCAAGTTGACCGGCAGCAGATCCACCCCCGATCCAGCCATGGATTTGATGACGGACGAGCCCGAGGAGGAGGCCTCAAACGGCACCAGCACCTGCTGACCCTTGGCGGCGTCGGCAACCAGGTCTGCAGCGTCAGCAAACACCGGCGGCGGCGGCGGCGCGCCGGCCGCCGCCAGCTCCCGCGGTACAACATTCGGCATGGCAAACCGGTCGTCTTGCAGCGCCACCAGCGGCATGTCGGGAGCCGTCAGCAGCGCTGCAGCCGCCTGCTGCTGCGCAGTGCTGCCGCTGCCAGCACCCGCCGCTAGCACTCCCAACCGCCCCCGACCGCCCAGCAAGCCTCCTCCTGCCCCGCCGTCCGCCGCCGCAGCAGCACCCTCCGCTCCGCCGCCCAGGGGTCCCGCGGGTAGCGGACTGATCTCCTTGATGGGTGTTAGGCGCCAAGCGCGCAGCGGATTGGATTGCGCGTACGGGCGGAAGTACAGCGCCAGGGCTCCCGCGGGTACGATGGACCTAAGCATCATCATGTAGTACGAATCTCGGGGCTCCAGACCCAACCCCTCGCCAAACACCGGCCCTGGGATGGGTACCACGTTAATCCTTGCCCGGCCCGCACCCCCGCTGCTGCCGCTACCGCCGGCACCGCCGTTGAGTCCGTCCAGCGTGGGTTGCAGCACCTTTGCCAGCGCCGCTGCCGCCGCAGGTGAGGCCGTCATCGCGACCACGAAGAACTGATCAAAGGAGGTTGCTGACGAGGCGGCGGCGGAGGCGGCAGCTTCATGTTGCTGCTTGCTGGCCGGGTCAACCCCTAGCCGAGCTCGTTCCGCAGGCGCCGCCTGCGCCATGGCTCCCCCTCCCCCACTGCCCCGGGTGAGTTGGGTCCAGCTAGACGCCAGCAGCCCCCCACCCAGACCGCTGCCCAGGCCCGCCCTGCCGGCGGCCTGCAGCATCAGCTGCCCCATCAGCGGCGGGCGGAGAGGGAAGCTGGCGAGGCGGCTGCGGCCCGCAGCGGTTGCGGTGGTGCGCT